AAATCTAATAAAGTATACCTTTTAACTTAATTTATTAGTTTTATTCCTAATTTATAAACTTTTATAAAAATATAAATATAATAAAAATAAAATAAAGCTAAAAGTATCTAATATTAAGTTTTTTTATATAATATTTTAAAAGTATAATTTAATATAATAATATTAAATATAATTTATAATTATAAAATAAACTAAATATATAATATATTTAAATTAAAATATAAAAATATTTTATTATAAATTATAACTTTAATATTAATAATAACTATTTATATATATTATTTAAATATTTTATTTAATTTATAATAATATAATAAGGATTTTTAATAAATAACTCTTTATTAATAAAATAAATTAATTATAGTTTTATTAATATATTTATCTTTATTATTAAAAATAAATATTTTAACTTTTATATTAAATTATATCTTTATTATTATTAGAAAGTTTTAATAATTATAAAGATATAATTCTTTTTTAATAAAACTTAATAATACTTTATAAAATTATTAATAAATAATATAAAGTATTAAAACCTTTTAATAATTTTATTATTAAAAAGTACCTAAAAGATTTAAATAAATAATTTTAAATAGTACTTTTAATTTCTATTTTAATAATAGTTTTAAATATTATTAAATAGACTTTATAAACCTATAGAGTTTATAATTAAATACTTTTAGTTTTATTAGAATAATATTAATATTAGTATATAGTTATTAAATAGAGGTTTTATTAATATTATTATATTTAAATATTTTATAAAATTCTTTATATAATAAAAAAGCTTTAATATTCTTATTATTAATAGTTTAAATCTTAAAATTCCCTTTTAAAATTTTATTTATATTACCTTTAATTTATTATTTTTAACTATAAAAATATTATTCCTCTAAGTATTTAAATAAAATTAGTTTTAAATTATAATTTAATTAAATAAATAAATATTTTTAATTCTTAATTATAAAGTATATTAATAAAGGTATTCTTAATAATTAATCTATTAAAAGCTATAAAAGGATATTTATAATATTAACTCCTTTTATAATAAAATAAGTTTTATTAATAATAATAATTATTTTATTATATAGTTAAAATAAATTAAAATTCTTTATATATTTTATTATATACTTTAAAGTATTTAAATTAAAGATTTATAATATTTTATTTATATTTTTAAATAATAAAAGTTTTACTATATATATTAAAATATTAATATAAAATGTTATATCTTCTTTATTATTATTAAAGATTTTATTATATTGTTTTCTACTTAATTAATAATAACTTATTTCTTTCCTTCTTTTACTTTTCCTTATATTTTATTAACTTATTATAGTCTATATATAAATAGTTAATAAAATAAAGTTATAAAAGTAATATTATATATATTCCTTTTACTAAATTTCTTTAATAAGGAGTTAAAGTTAGTACCTAATAGTATAAATTTTTAAGTTTTTAGTATTAATTAGTACTAATTTTTTTAAAAATAGAAATATAATAGACCTTTAATTACTTAACTTTTAAATAAGTAATAATATTTAATATTTTAAGTTTAATATTAAAGAACTTTAAGATTTTATAACTATTAAGATTATTAATAATATTATTTATTATATTAAATAATATTATAAAGAAAAGAACCTTTAACTTTATTATTTTTAAATAAAGATTTTATAGATTTTATTATAAATTAATTAAACATTAAAATTCTAATAAAAGTTTTATTTAGAGTTAATAGAATAAATTAAAGTATTTCTATAAGTTAAAATTATTTTTATAGTATAAATTAGTTAACTAATAAAATAGATAGATAATTAAATTTTTAATATTATAATTAAAATAATTTTAAGGTCTTTTAAATTAATAAAAGCTTTTATATAATATAATATATATTATTAAATTAAAATAAATAATATTTAAAATATAATAAAAGTCTAGTTATTTTACTTTTACTATTCTATAAGAGCTTTACTAATAATAGGCTTAATTTTTATATTAATAATAATTTTACTAAGGTTAATAAAGTAAAAACTTAACTTTAAATAGTATATTAGTTAAGGTAGTTTTTTTTAGATTAAATTTAGGTAATAATAATAAATTAAGCTTAAAATTAAAGTTAAATATTTTAAATAATATTTAAATTAATTTAAGTAATTTTAAATTAATATTAATTAATATAGAAAATTAAAATAAGTAATAAATTATTATAGGTTATATAAAAGTATAGTATTTATTAAAAGATATAAATAATATTAATAATCTAGCCTTATAATAACTATATTCTAATAATTTTTAAATATAAAATAATTTAAAATTAATAAATATTAATAAAAATAAATAAATAAGAATATATTAAGTAATACTAAGCTTATAACCTAATAAGTAATTAAAGTAAATAATAGTTAGTTAATTAATGTTAGGGAGAAGTCTATAATCTCTCCTAGCGCTTAAAAGGAGCGGGTATAAGTGTTAGTTGGCTTAGTTAGCTAGACCCGACCGTGCCTTCCAACAAAATGGACCAACATGATCTTACACAGGGGGGGTCCATCCTGGAGAAGGTTAGCAAATGGAAAGCCTTAGTCTACATTAGATTGTCCTAAGAGGTTATGAGGTTGTCTCGGGACACGTTGAAACGAAGGAAGTTCAAAGTTGTTCTACAAAGGCTAATTCAAGAGGAAACTTCGCACGGCAGATGATCCTAAGGGAGCCCATGAGGGTGTCTTGTAGAAGGCTGTCTTGGAGGAGGTCGTTACGATCAGACGCTGTCCCATGCTCAGGTGGAATGAAATGATGCTTTGTGACTGAACTCACCTATGGATAGCCAATAGCTAAATGCTCTAATAGTCCAAGTAAACAGAGGCCCAAGCGACGTATCGGATCCCACCAAGCACCTCCTACTCTTTGAGGATGGTATCGAACTCTTTAGGCTCGCGCCACGTACTCGAATGGGTTTGAAGTTGTGGTATGTGAGATTATACAGTCGAATCTCCTCCAGATTTGGGAAGCGTGTCGCATATTTCTTCGTCGTTTTGACCAGAACTTTTCGACGGAGCGCGACTGCCCAGGTAATCAGAATGAGGCGCTTGAGATTTCGGCTGGCATTGTGTTCTTTCTTCTCTTCTTTTTTTTTTCTTTTTTCTTTTTTTCAAAAAGAAAAACCCTCCTGGGTCTTGAGCTTTTACCACTGTATGAAGACGCCATGTATGTCCTCGGACGTACGCGGAATAGAAGCGAAACCAGATAAGTGAAATCAGGCAAAGAATGTAAGGCTCAGCGTCCAGTTATGGGCGCCCAATACCTTGGGGTTCGTTCTGAAATACTTAAAGGACAATTGAAGTCAATATACCGTGACCTAAAAGGAACCTTGGAAGGACACAACAAGAATTCGAGCTTTGAAGCTCTTCGTCACGCACTGGCTAGTTTACGCCGCAAAATATGCCCGGGTCCAACAGACATATCACGGGTATGATGGTATTGTCAACCAAGCGGTGGTGCCAGCGATCATACTGCATGTTCGGGTATGTGCGCACCTGGATACAAAGCAGGACCACGACCCGGCAATCGAGTAAGATAAAGGTAGATCAATCCTCCCGCGGACACTGCCTGATGCCACCCAGCCAACGACTGTGATTGACTTCCGGAGTGCCGAGCATGGTGAAGTTCACTACCTGACTTGTTCTTGGCAGCCAGGACGAATACAAGTGGCTGATTGATAGTCGGGCTCAACCTCATGGTAGCAAGCCCGCCAGACAGGCAGAGAGATCACCGCACAGGAGAGGAACCAGCATTTGATCGTTGCAAGAGTTTAGACATTCAACTGTGCTGCTGCAGTGACTAGTTGGAGACATAAGTCCGCTTAAGGGCTTTGGAATGGCAGGTAGTAAGTACTAGCAAGACTCCCTCCCGGACAGCCTCGCCAGGTGTGCGAGCCAGGACACTACAGTCCCTTCAAATGTTGCATCGACGATAGGTCCACCCCATACCATCTTATAACGTCCATCCACCGTGCTGCGAAGCAACTGATGCCCCCCAAACTCGTCCAATGACACCATTCAGGTCGACCAAGGCAGGAAACAGGGCAGACGGAGTGACCAAATCACCTGTATGTAATTGCACCAGATTCAGCAAGGCAGACGAGATCATAAATCACAGCTTCCATGACCCTGAGATTGTGCAGATGACGACCCCTTCAACTGTGAAGCCTCACTCTCAACTGACTGTGAGTCACTCCTGCAATCAAGTCTCCAATCTAGACCACAATGAAGTAGTTTCATTTTAAATTCACACATATGTAATACATATATAGCACCTTTATATAATAATAAATACTTAAAACCTAACATTTAAAGAAATATAATATTATTATTATTAATAAAAATATAATATATAAATATATAACTTAACTTTAAAATATAAGTTAAAAAAGAAATCTAAAAGTTAAGAAGATAGTAATAATAATAAACAGTTAAATAAAAAAAATATAATGTAGCTAAAGCTAAAAAAGAAATTTGCGGCCTGTGTGGATTGAACACACGACTTTCAGATTTTCTTACTGAAGTACGCTTCAGTCTGACACTCTCCCAACTGAGTTAAGCCCGCTTGTTGAAAAGCAGCAAAATTGAATCACCCATAGCCCCATCCAAAGTCCCGCGCTCATTTCGTATTTGAGGACTCCATCGTAGGCCCGGGCTGGCTCGCCGCATTGACCGAGATGTTTCCAATGTCTCGGAGGAGACAGCGTGCCAATCCCCAAAATGCCCACACACTCTCAGAGCTCGAGGATGTGCGGATCCGTCGCCGAGGCCATGTACACCCTGACTTCAGGATACACTATGGCCAAGGTTCACTGCCATACGAATGCCAAGTGTTCACATATGCTATAGAAGAACACGTGCTGCCAACCAAGTGATCAGATCCACGGGCTGCCGGCGGCCGAATACATAACAACACGGGTCCACAGTGCAAGGTCAATATAGAACAGAATCCCAGAAGTTGTTCCAAACATCTGTCACATTACGGAAGAAGCTCTAATGTAGTTAGGTTATAGTTTTCCGCTTTCGTTACAACCCCCATCCTCATATCGCCGCCTTTGATATCATAAAAGCAGCCTCGTAATACATGAGAGGATATGGAATGCACGTTCTATAAGGCAGTCCTCCCAAGCTCATCCATCTCTCTCTAAGAAAAAACACCCACCACACCCATGTGCTGCGACATTTTTAACCCTGGTACTCCTGTACCTTGGACTTCTCCCACTCGCCGTCGACCAGCGCCAGGGGCACGATGCCGGAGACGTGCATGTCGGGGCCGAAGATGTGCGAGTCCAGGCCAAGCTCCTGGGTGGCCGACTTCATGTTCTTCAGACCCTCCTGCCAGTTGGGACCGGCACGACGGACCCAGATCTTGACGTTGTGCTCCTTGAGGGAGTTGGCGTATTCCCTCAGGGCGCGGATGACACCCTTGAAGGTGGAAGCGACGTTGGTGAAGTTGGCGATACCACCTCCGATGAACAGCACCTTGCCCTGCTCGGACACTGGTGCGCGCAGCATCAGGTCCAGGACGGTGCGGGCGTAGTGGAAGGTCTGCGACTCGGTGGGCGCACCAGAGTACTCACTATTGCATCATTAGCGTCAGGCCCGAGGTTTTCCATCTTCACAGTCGAGGGGGTCGGCTCATCTTACCCGTAGTTGGCGAGCTCGTCGGCGAAGCCAGCAGAAGCAATGGCATCGGCGTACACGACGGAAGCACCACCACCAGCGACCAGGGTCCAGATACGCCCGTTGGGGTTCAGGACGGTCAGCTTCAGCGAAGCACCGGTCTTGGCGTCCAGCTCAGCAATGTAAGCCTCCTCCTTGGACAGCTCACGGCCGAAGGGAGCAGGGAACTCCATTGGTGGTCCGGCATCGACGTTGACGGCACCGTTCTTGGACGCAACGTTGGTCAGGCCCAGGGCGGCAGGTGACCGGGCGATGGCCCACTTGACACCACACTCGAAGTCTGCGGTCTGGTCCAGCTTGGCAGCCAGGTCCAGGAAGTGAACCGAGGCGGATGTGGCATCCTCGTTGGGGATGACAACGAGGGGGTTGATCTCAAGGTAGGTGAACTGGCAGTCGACGTACACGGCGTACAACCGTGTGATGAAGTCAACCAGGACATTGTGAACACCCTTGGGGACGTCGGCGAGCAGAACGCTGGCGATCTCCTCGTTGGATGGGTACTGGGAGAGGTCGACGGGAATCAGAAGCTTCTTGGCCTTGGCATCGACATCACCGACATCGACACCACCCTCGTGTGTGAAGAGGATCCAGTCGCCCTGGAAAATGAGGTGGATTAGCAGGGTGCATCGTGGATAGGGCAAGAATCCGAGCGGTTTAGGAAGGTGCCGCGAGCATTCGGAACAGATTGGGAGCGGGAGGCCGGATGCAACGGTATCAGGGAGGGCTAGAGGTGGTTGATGCCGGCCCGCAGTTCGGGCTTGCAGACCGCTCAGAGTGCCCCTTTGGCCCTTCCGTTCGTCCGCAAACTAGACCTGCACGGGAGCCAAATTGCCTGGGTATCCACCGGCACGGAACGAGGCCAATTTTGGGCACTTATAAAGCCAAGCAGTCTCCCCGGCCTCCTCCTCCATCCACTCCCACAAGAATACTCGCGGACGGACAACCGGAAAAATGTGATCAAGGAGCAATCGCCAGGACCAACTCATTTCGTGGGTGTGCTCGCACTTGCAGTCAACCCATGACCGGACGGCCTCGCCGCCGCATCCATTGGCCGAAAGGATCCCATCGAACAATCAAAATCAAGGACGGATGAAACTCACATCTCGGACTGAGTTGATGTTGATGTAGTACTCAGTGCCCTCAGGGTGAGGGACGAAAGGCTCGACGAGGAACTGACGCAGGACACCCTCGACGTGCTCGACCTTCTGGACCTTGCCGGCGCGCTCAGCAACCCAGGCCTTGGCCTCGGCCCAGGTCTTGTTCAGGGCCAGGAGACCGCTCTTGCCTCGCCTCTTGATCAGCTGGTCAGGCTTCGCGACGAACTTGGCGCCGTCCTGGAGCAGCCATGGGTAGGTGACCTCGGCCTGGTTCAGGACATCCTCGACGGCCGCGTCCTCTGGGAAGTACAGAGAGGCGAGCCTTGGGGGAGCGTTGTGCTTGGTTGGCTGCGGCAGAGGAGAGGGCTTGATGACGGGGGCGCGGGTGAGGTGGTAGTTGAGGATGGCCTTGCCATCGGCCTCGGTGATGGACTTTGCGGACATTTTGACGCGAGATCAAGGTATGTAGTTGTGGTGTTGTGAAGTGAGTCTTTCCCCTATGGACCGTCGAAATCCACAGTCGCAAGGTCAACAAAGAGCTTGTGAATCGGGAACCCGCTCTGGATTTCCTAACAACACGCACGTTAGCATCCAGATTCCCAGCTGAGCGTGGCATTGGCCCTGACGCCAGAAGAGCGAGGCGAAGAAGCAACAGAGGACCAGCCCGAGAAGGCTGGAACTGGGCGCACGAGGCCAGCCGATCCAATTTGCGCCAGACGAGTTCTGAGTTCTGAGGCCGTCCAGGGGTGAGAACTGGCGAGGGGCATGAGGCGCATGATGCGCGACCTGCTCTCACGAGGGACAATGAGTGGGTGGGAGCGAGCTCACAATTGAAGTCGAGATGGCACAGCTTGAGGAACTGTGGCAGGAAGGTGTATGGCGACGAGATGAGTGTCTCCGTTGATTGAGTCTTGAGAGGACCGAATTGTTTGCTCAAGGTTGCAAGTGTGCCTGTTCAAAAAATTCAAGGACGAAGACCGGGCTCGGCTGAGCTGGATTTGGGGGGTGGACTTGAAAGCGGGCGCGGGCGTGGAGGGAGGACAAGGTCGGGGAGCTCCAAAAGTTCACCTCAGCACGCTGGGCCGCGGGCAGGGTTCAGTGCTGAGAACTTCCCACAGCTGGTGTGCGAATGGGCGGGGACTGGAGGGGGAATTGCTGAGTGGCATGCAGGGGCCCAGCCCACAAGGGGGGGACGGCAACAGGTACAAGAGCCCACCCCGGACAAAAAGCTTTGGGGTGGTCCCAATCGGTGGGCGGTCTAAGTGGACAAGTACCGGTACATTGGCACAGTCGCCTAGCACACCCGAGCTGCAACGACCACCACCACCCAGCGGCGGACGGAGAGGGACGATCAGGGGTCGGACTGCGAAAAAAAAAAAAAAAAAAGAGAAGATGCAGCAGAGAGAGCAACACCGGGATCCAAGACCAAAGAGAAGGATGCACGACCAACACAAGCGACCACCTGGATGGGCCGTTACGCAGCAATCCTCGCAGGTTTGTACGCTTCTCGTCCTTTACGTCAGCAGCAAGTGCATCGCGGAAGCCCAGAGAGGAAGCCCGTGGAAGAAACGCCAGGTCGTCAGCCGCGGCAAGGATGCAAAACTTGCCTTTCGGCACCCGAGTCATTTGTACCGCCCGCCTCGACAAGCCCGACCGACACAGACTGGCAGACACAGCAGCCTTTCTGTGTGCTGTTGTCGCTGCTGCCAGACCCCCAAGATGCATTGATGGACAACACACCTTGTGTTTCGGCATCCTGCTCTGACTCAGCCTTGCGAGCTACCCGTCGTTATTCTCGGCACGAGGCGAGAGTGTGCAGTAGTATCTGCTCCTTGTCTGCTTGTCCCACCTGAGTCCGCCGGCCATCGGAAACCAGACTGGGGACAATCCGAGTCGATGCTCAGTGCTCAATCTCCCTCCAGTCGGTTATCTTGATACGGGCTGGAATACTTTCCCTTCTTGTCCCATCTCGGCCCTTGCGATGCTCAAGGTTCTGGGCTCGGAGAAACTGTCAGTGAGCACCGGGCTGACTACGACACGAGCGAGCCCGTTGGCTTACTCGGTGCCCGGGTGCCCGACCGGACTGCTTGCTTACTGACTGTTTCGGCCCAGGATGCATCCTGCTACGACTACTGCCGTGGGTTCTCTAGCCGTTGCCTCTCTAGTGCGGCAGTTGGCCGATTTGCAGCGCAACGATCTGGCTCATGCGAGGGCATCGAGTGGTGCCACCGTGCCTTTTGATATCTGGGGCCTCCATCTCCCATTGTTTGATGACGATCCTCCCCTAACTCATGTTGGCAGCCCTAGCGCCACGGGTAGAGGGCCGAGTAAATTTAGCTGCCACCGCGGGCCTGCAGGCATGCGGCTTGTTCCTTTGATATTGAGCTGTTCGGTTATCAGTGTGACGGTCGGTAACGGTCGGTACTGAGTAGTCCACTCGGTTCTCAGTCAGTCAGTCCGCCAGCCAATCTGCCGTGGGGTCACTTAATAATCCACCATCAAGTGATGTGAAGGTCCGACTCCGAATAGAGTGAGCAGCAAGGATTGTACCGGTCGGCACGTTTCCAGTTCGGCGGGTTTCCAGGTCTTCTTGCGGTGGTGCTATCTCGGGTTTGGGGCAGCCTGGCAGCCTGGGTGGGAGGTGCGACGATTGGAATCCAGCCCGTTCCTTCTCTTGCGCCCAGCTCGGGGATGCGAGTGCAGTGCACCTAGCGCTGCCCTGCAGGGACTCTCAAGTACCGGTACACTCCACCTTGGCACGGTCCACTGGCGCGGGCAGGGATCTGAGCTGGATCGGAGGTACCTACCCTTGCGAGCTCATCGTATTTTTCAACAAGAACTGAGCCAACAGACCAGGAACTTCCCCAACTTTTTCAGAGGTCACCAATGCCACACTGCCATGGGCTCGTAGCAGCTGTGCCAGTTAGCCTCCAGCTCCCACCTCAGCTCAGCTCAGCGCCGCCGCAGGACTTGGGAAGGGGGAAAAAGTGACGACCAAAGCGAAGGGGTCAGAGCAGACGGACCAGGAATTTCCAACAAACAGGACAACTCTACGGTTACTAGCACAATCAAGCTGATTCGGGATCGGCACTGTCGCAAGAGCAGCAGAAGAAGCCCGGGACAAAGTGGGCACCACCAGTACTGCCTCCCTCTCTCTCATCGCCGCTGCCCCTCGCATGCTTTCCTCGTCGCATCGATCTCTCCCACCCCCCCCGTCCACCCACCCTTCCATCCCACCAGACCACGCTTCAGCTCCACACCCGACAGGTACTTCCTCCCTTTGACCCCTGCCTGCCCGCCCGTCTGCTCTCCCAATCGCTCCATCTCTGCCTCTGACCAAAGCACCGCAACAAAAAAACTCCCCCCCTCTCAATTCACATACCCACTCCTGGCCATTGAGTCTTCTTTCCTGACCTCGCTTCAGCCTCAGTGAACTCGATACTCTTCACAGCTCTAGGACTGCTAGACCGAAGAATTGACACAGGTATGCGCTCCCCTCATGTGTTGTTTTGCTCCGTCCTGTTCTTCGTCTGCTTGGTTGCGCTGCGCAAGCTGTGTTCGGGTGGTTCTGTCTGTGGCAGTGGCTAGCTCTCCGGGATCTGGAATGGCAGACCTCGAGAGCCCATGCTAGAACTCCAGCACGCTGTTTTGCGAAAATATGTTCCAACAGCAAGAGCAGCTTGGGAAACGCCGTTGATTCAGGCGGTAAAGTGACCAAAGCGCAGGATTGCAACAAGGACCGAAGCCAAGCTGACACAGTGCTCTCACCAGGCCTCCCCTTCAAGTTGTTCTAGAAGCCAACCCTTCAGATACCCAGAACGACCATGTCTACGGCTCCTGTGAACGGCACGGCAGGCAAGGGCCTGTCTGCCAACGACAACATCACCCGTTTTGCCGCCCCAAGCAGGGCCCTCAGCCCTCTCCCCAGCCATGCCCTGTTCAACGACAAGACACGATGCTTCGTCTACGGCATGCAGCCCCGTGCCGTCCAGGGCATGCTGGACTTCGACTTCATCTGCAGGCGATCCACACCGTCCGTCGCCGGCATCATCTACACCTTCGGTGGTCAGTTCGTGAGCAAGATGTACTGGGGCACCAGCGAGACCCTCCTGCCCGTCTACCAGGAGGTGGAGAAGGCCGTGGCCAAGCACCCCGACGTCGACGTTGTCGTCAACTTCGCTTCCTCCCGAAGTGTCTACAGCTCTACCATGGAGCTGATGCAGCACCCTCAGATCAAGACCATTGCCATCATTGCTGAGGGTGTGCCAGAGCGAGTGAGTAGACCCGGATCCAACACTGCCATGGTGCGTTCTGCCGCTAACTTGCCCTTCAGCGTGCCCGTGAGATTGCACACGTCGCCCACCAGAAGGGTGTCACCATCATTGGCCCTGCCACTGTCGGTGGCATCAAGCCCGGCTGCTTCAAGATCGGTAACACTGGTGGTATGATGGACAACATCGTTGCCTCCAAGCTGTACCGCAAGGGTTCCGTTGGCTACGTCTCCAAGTCTGGTGGCATGTCCAACGAGCTGAACAACATCATCTCCAACAACACGGATGGTGTCTACGAGGGTGTGGCCATTGGTGGTGACAGGTACCCCGGAACTACCTTCATCGACCACTTGCTGAGGTACCAGGCCGACCCTGAGTGCAAGATCCTGGTGCTCCTGGGTGAGGTTGGTGGTGTCGAGGAGTACAAGGTCGTCGAGGCCGTCAAGCAGGGTGTCATCACCAAGCCCATTGTCGCGTGGGCAATTGGTACCTGCGCCAGCATGTTCAAGACTGAGGTTCAGTTCGGACACGCCGGTTCCTTCGCCAACTCCCAGCTCGAGACCGCCGCCATGAAGAACAAGACGATGGCTGAGGCTGGCTTCCACGTTCCCCCCACCTTCGAGGCCATGCCCGAGGTCCTGAAGAAGGTCTACGACGACCTCGTCGCCAATGGCACAATCAAGCCCCAGGCCGAGCCCGCCGTGCCCAAGATCCCCATGGACTACTCGTGGGCACAGGAGCTCGGCCTCATCCGAAAGCCTGCTGCTTTCATCTCCACCATCTCCGACGACCGTGGACAGGAGCTCCTGTACGCCGGCATGCCCATCTCGGACGTGTTCAAGGAGGAGATTGGTATCGGTGGTGTCATGTCCCTCCTGTGGTTCCGCCGCCGCCTGCCTGACTACGCCTCCAAGTTCCTGGAGATGGTCCTCATGCTTACGGCCGACCACGGTCCTGCCGTGTCCGGTGCCATGAACACCATCATCACCACCCGTGCTGGCAAGGACCTGATCAGCGCGCTGGTCAGCGGTCTGCTCACCATTGGTTCCCGTTTCGGTGGTGCCCTTGACGGCGCTGCTGAGGAGTTCACCAAGGCCTTCGACAAGGGCCTGAGCCCGCGTGACTTTGTCGACTCGATGCGCAAGGCCAACAAGCTCATCCCCGGTATCGGCCACCGTATCAAGTCGCGCAACAACCCTGACCTGCGTGTCGAGCTGGTCAAGGAGTTTGTCAAGTCCAGGTTCCCCAGCACCAAGCTGCTCGACTACGCCCTGGCTGTCGAGACCGTCACCACGTCCAAGAAGGACAACCTGATCCTGAACGTCGACGGCTGCATTGCTGTCTGCTTCGTCGACCTGCTCCGCAACTGCGGTGCCTTCAGCAGCGAGGAGGCTGAGGACTACCTGTCCATGGGTGTCCTGAACGGTCTGTTCGTGCTGGGCCGTTCGATCGGTCTGATTGCCCACTTCCTGGACCAGAAGAGGCTGCGCACCGGCCTGTACCGCCACCCATGGGACGACATCACGTACCTGCTGCCCAGCCTCGCCCAACAGGGACGGCCAGGCGGCGAGGGCCGTGTCGAGGTGCAGGTGTAAGAAGAGTTTGCGGAAGGAAAAGGCACATATCTAGAAGCGGGAGCCAGGATGGATGTTTCACACTTTTCATGGAACCTCGTGTAGTAATGATTAGCTCTGGGCCGGGTCTGATGTGATTGTTAAACAATTAGAAGGGAAATGGAATTTCATGAAGACGCAAGATATAGACTGTGTACTGATCGGATGCAATATGCGAGCTCTTGACTGCTGCAGTAAGCCATGCGTGCTGGCTAGCATCCAGCTAGCAAGTACTAGATACCCGTAGACGCGGTCACTCACTCCCACTGTGGAAGGGAGATGCGCACGGACCAGCGGCGGGAGTTGCTCGCCTGCCGGGACCTGTGATTTTTTGGAGGGACCGTCACCATTTCGATTCTCCAGAGAGTCGATATGCACCAACGAAACTGCATTGACTGACATCTTTTGCCCCGACGGACCAATTCAACTGGCAGCGGATTTCCAGCAGGGTTCGTTGTCACGCCAATTGTTTCTCGCGGTCCCTCTGAACGGGGGCGCAAAGGTATGGACAGGAAGAACCCATGTACCGAGTATAAATAAATAGGGCACTTGCATGACCACGGAACTCACACGACCTTGCCCTCTCGTCTAGGAAGACAAGTCTGCTCTCCCACCACAGCACACCAAGTCGACTCGACGAAGCTGCCCGCGCTCCCGACGGCTCCCGACCTACGGCCCTTCCACCCACCGAGCAGTCGTGTCCAAACCACACGCGCGCGAGCCCCCATCCATCCGCCGCCCTACAAAACCAACCCACCACACACCAACATGTCCTCCCCAGCAACAAGAGCCGCCGCCGGCGCGGCGGCGGCAGCGTCAGCAGCGACGAGAACAGCAGCAACAGCAGCCCCAACGTCATACTTCCGCATCACCCTCCACCGCTCGGCCATCGGCCTTCCCGAGCGCACGCGCGGCGTCCTCGCCGCCCTGGGGCTCCGCCGCCGCTGCCAGACCGTCTTCCACCCGGCCGAGCCGCAGTTCGCGGGCATGATCATGAAGGTCAAGGAGCTCGTGCGCGTCGAGGAGGTCGAGAGGCGGCTGAGCGCCGCCGAGCTGCGCGCCGAGAGGACGCCTGACCCCGGGTTCTGGGTGGAGCGGCGGGCCGGCGAGGGCGGGGAGGCGGCCGGGCTGTGATGTGGCGGCCGGGCGGGGAGAGGTGTCGGTGCGTTTTCGGTGCTCGTGGGGAGGGGGGTGGAGGTGAGTGGGTGAGGTGGACGGAGTTGGCTGCCTTGGGTGGTATCTGGGGTACTGGAAGATGGGAAGGTGCCCCGATCGGTGCTCGTCGTGGGGGCGTGCGAGATGCTATGCTGAAAATAGCATCAGTACGGCTGGGTACAATGCGCTCGGTGGGCCGCCACCGTCTACAGGGGAGCTCATTCAAGGCCCATGAGGATATGTTCGACTGCCTGCATACCCGTCCCGCTCTTGCTGTGTCAGGTGGCAATGACGAAGCGGAGCCACGATACGATATCCAGCTCCATCTGTGTACAAATCAAGCCTAGAAGAATACATACCCCTATCAAAGGGCGCAAGCTGTCACGTCACGCACGGTGAAGAAGGACCATAAAGACTACTTGTACCAGAGTTCCTTTTGATTACTTATTGTACGTCAACACTGTATGAGTCCAGGGCCGTGAACGTTACTGCGCAACATTGCCTTGTCGACGAGGACCAAAGGCGGCAGTTATCAAAGCCCTAGAACTAAAGCCTCCCTTCCAATCAATCATGCCTGCGTCTCAAAGCCTCAACGGTCCACTGCGCAGAACAACACCACCCCAACAACAATTAAGAGGTGGCAGTGACCAGGACTTCCCGAGGCGCAGGTCCGCTCTTCAGAGCAACAATTCCCCCCTCTCGCATCTCAGCTCTCATCCAATACTGTTCGCAAACCATGGCGGTCACTGTCGACGATGCCTCAAACTGTCATAAGGCAATAATAGTAGTGACAGAGCCTCTGAAAAGAAAACGAAAACCACCTGTCCAGCATGGAATGCCACAACTGTGTCGTGTCTCCCGTCCAACAACGGACGAAGAACCATGGTCGTACTTATCTCGTCGCGTCGAGATCAGACAAAAAGTCCCAGACTGGCCACAATACCACACTCCCCTCATTTTTGTGCTCGAACAATTTTCGAGAAATTTGTGATAATCACGGCAACCGTGACCAAAAGTTCGGTGGACCTCGATTTGGGGAAGAGGATGTCCTCCCACCTTGTTAAAGTCTGACCTTCTCGAGGCCTTTTCAACGTGATCTGCTGCTTGGATGACAAGATCGTAGTGATAGGGGTAGGTGGGAAAGGCCAGTCGATATCGTCGCCCAGCCGAGTGAGCATCAAGTAAGTGTACATGTTTGATACAATTTTTTTTTGTCTTTTTCGATTGGGTTGTGCTTTGGGGTCTCTCGTTGTAGTGCACCATTTGCGTGCTGGCACCGTAGCCTTCGAGTATGATGCCATGTGACTTGTGTCGTTGTGCCGCACTCGAAGCGACTCAAGTTGTGGTAGAGAGATTTAGCTTGCAGCGGCCGCCATCAAATTTGAGTGACCGCAATGCTTCGCCAATGTCGATGTCATCAGTCGATCGACGCTTGGTACACATGATGGAGAAGTTGTAAGGTTAACGCCTCTTGGACGAAGACGCCGTAGACTGCGACCCGCTACCCTTCTTGCTTCTCTGCGGGGGATACGGTTCCTCGATCTCGTAACCAGTGATTCGCTTGGGCTTCTCCTAGGAGCTCTTGGCTTTGTCCTGGTATTCAGGGCCGGGAACCTCGTATTCGCGAACGAAGTACTTCTGGGCGTTCTTGCTCAGCCAGTTGGTGAACTTGGTCAGTTCCTCGCGAAGGCGGCTGACAGACTGCTGGTCCATGTTGGTCTGGGCAAGCAGCTCGGGCAGTGACACTAAAGAAGAACTTAGTTTCATTTCTCATGTAGTGGCGGAGAGATTCATCACAACGAACCAAGTAGTCGGCAAAGATGCTCGCCGCCGTAAACGCTGCTCGGGCCTCCTCCGTCTTTCTCATTCTCCCACTGTGGGAGCAACTCAGAGTACTGCAATCGCTCGAAGCTGGGGAACAAAATTAGCTAGGCCCGTCACATGCGGCAAGGCTTTGATAGGTGCAGACTTACCGATAAAGAAGGATCCTGCCAAGGGCACGGTCGAAGTACTCGCGAAGGCCGGCCATCGTCTCTTTGAGAATATCGATCTGAGCAGAGTCTTCCTCGCGCTTTGGCATCTCATCGTCCAGGTAGTCGTTCAGAATCTTGACGACTGGCTGCTCATGTGGCAGCGGCACGAGCTGGGAGTCCTTGGTGACATGCTCCCAGTCGTCCACGAGGATGCCCTTGATAACATCTGTCATGACAAGTTTGATCGACGGTCGAGCGTGAAAGGATTCTTCCTGTGATTTTGTTTTGAGGTTAAGATCAGGATAATCATATGTCATCTCCCAGTTCAAGTAAGTGTTGCTCATCCAGGTGGGCTCCCAGGGATAGTTGAGCCAGGGGTCATCCGGTAGAGCGGTGCCCTCGGAATCAACACGCATCGAGTCAATCGCCCTCAGAATCTGGGGGTTGCCGGCAGGCTTGCGCCACTTGGGACCCTCGTCTGATGAACGCTGCAACTTTGCAGGCGGCTCCTGGGCGTCTTCAGTCTCCTTCCGCGCTTGTTTGCCCTTGGGCTGCAACTTTACAACCTGGGCCTCCGCTTCCTCACTCAGCTGGCGGCTTCGACTTCTTGTGATTCGGCCGGGGTAGGAGGACTGCATCTTCTTGGGTTTTACCGCCGTGTTCTCGCCAGTCTTGAGCTGACCGAATTGCCGCACTTCCGAGGGTTGTTGATCCGGCCCTTCCTGGTCCTCAGAGACCTCCTCAATGGAAGGCAGTATGCTGGGGGGCTGGCTATTGATAGTGCCCACTGTGCTGTCGGACACATGTGTAGAGCCCTTGATGGCGGATTCCTCGTTGGCGGATTCCTCCTTAGTAGGACCGTTCTCGGAAGGACTCTTCTCAGCAGAGGCCCCCTTGGTAGACTTGTCCTTGGTTGAAATAGCTTTCGGCTTGCATACTCGCTTTGCTGGGCGGCTCTCTTGCTCTACACCCTTGTCGGCAGACGCCTTCACTGCCTCCTCGCTGTCCTCACGAGCTCGCTTCTTGGTTGGCTTTCGTCCATCAGGAAGGGTGCCCGCTGCGCTAGCGGACGGCTGAGTAGAGTCCTTCTTAGAAGAGTCCTCCTGGGTAAGGTTCTCCTGGGTAAGGTTCTCCTGGGTAAGGTTCTCCTGGGTAAGGTTCTCCTGGGAAGACTTCTTGGTTGAAGCGATCTTCAGCTTACGTGCTCGCTTCGTTGGGCGGCTGTTTTGCTCTGTATCCTCGGCAGGCTGCTCCTTGGCTGCCTCCTGATCGTCTTCGCGAGCTCGCTTCTTGTTTGACTCTCGTCCGTTGGGAATGGTGCCGACAGAGACTTTCTCGATGTCATGCACGCTTGAGAGTTCGGCGTTGGTGGTTCCAGCTGCGATGTCAGAGCCCTTGGGAATGGTGCCGACAGAGACTTTCTCGATGTCGGTCACGCTTGAGACTTGAGCGTTGGAGGTTCCAGCTGCGTTGTCAGAGCCGTTGGTAAAGGTGCCGACAGAGACTTTCTCGATGTCAGGCACGCTTGAGACTTGGGCGTTGGAGGTTCCAGCTGCGTTGTCAGAGCCGTTGGCGGAGCCCATCCCCTTCCTCTTGAAGGTAAGCTTTAGTCTGCACGGCCGCTTCACTGGGCGGCTCTCTTGGTCGTCATTCTTCTCAGAAGACTCTTTCTTTGTGACGTCCTCGCTCTCTTCGCGAGCGCGCTTCACAGGTGCTTTCCTGCCATCAGGAGCGTAGACACAATCGAACCCTCTTCTGCGACAGGCATCGCAGGGCGTGCCCCCGGTGCATCGAGTCTTGTGCGACCGGCAGGGATCACAGGCTTTGGTGGCCCTGGGGAGTTTGACAGCTTCGGACTTATCTTTGCCCTCGCTGCTGTTGACAGGCTTGGTTGATGCCGCCTTGCTTGTAGCAGCCTCGGTTGCTGCAGGCTTCTTGGGGAGCGCAGGCTTGGATGCGGTAGCCTTAGTAGCAGTGATGGCTTCAGGCTTGGGAGCTGCAGGCTTGGATACGGTAGCCTTGGTAGCAGCTGCAGGCTTTGGGGCTGCAGGCTTGGGGGCTGCAGGCTTTGGGGCTGCAGGCTTGGATGCGATAGCCTGAGTAGCAGTGGTAGCTTCAGGCTTGGGAGCTGCAGGCTTGGATACGGTAGCCTTGGTAGCAGCTGCTGGCTTGGGAGCTGCTGACTTCTGAGCTGCTGGCTTCTTGGGGGCGACAGGCTTCTGTGCTGTCGACTTCTTGGGCACCGCAGTGTTCTTGGGCGCAACGGTAGTGGATGCGTCCGGCTCGGCTGCTGCTGGCTCCAGGACATCTGCGCGAGCGCGTGGAAGGTCGTTGCCAATGGGCTCATCACCCACTGATCTGGCCTTGGGGTAGACGCTGTTCAAAGCAGCCTGGTAGGCATCATTGTAGGACACGGAACTGCGTACAGGGCGACTCATGTACGCGTTGCAGTTCATGGCCGCGCGCGTGTCGCGCATGAAGGAGTTGAAAGGAGGGGCGCTGTGCAGCCTGGTTCTGCCTGGGTCTTCCTCTGCCTCAGGTGCGATGACCAGAGCGGCATCGCCATCTGGGCCCTGACCATCGGGTAGTGCGGCGGCGGCGGCCTTAGCGGCCTCAGCGGCCTGGGAAGCCTGAGCAGCCTTCAGGCGGGTGTTGCGAGTGTGCGGAGGCGGGGCCATGGTGGATCTGATCTTTGCAGCAGCACGTTTCGCTCTGCTGATGACTGCCTTCTTGGCCTTTTCCACTGTGGTGGTTTTCTTGACGATGGGATTGGGGAGTGCTTCCTCACTCTCGCTTGGGCAGTTCTCTTCCATGAACCTGCGCAGCTCCGCGTTGAATGCCTCCCTGTCTTTTGGGGGAATACCGGCGGTCATTTCGTCCTCGTCCTCCTCTTCTGGGGTCGGCTCTTTCTTCTTCCTCCCTCGCTTCTCTTTCAGAGGCCAAGGGTCAATGTAGTCGTCGGCCTTCGATGTGCACTTCACTTCCCCATTTGTGGTTGTGAAGTAGTGGTTGTTGAGGGCCTCTTGGGAACCAGGATTGGACTGGGGTTGGGAAAGAGATGCAGGGGGCAATCTGGAGAGATTGTCGTATTTCAGACCAGCTTTGTACCAGGACGCCTCTTTCTTGACGAAATCTGGGTCGTATTCTGGTTCCATCAGGCCGATATGAAGTGTGTGGTTAGGACCCGTTTGGAACGGTCCGGACCTGGTGATGATGGAGATGCGGTCGGAGGGGTGATCAGACGGGCAGATTGAGGGGGTGGGATTGATGCAGGACGAGAATCAACGACGCCCGTGAGAGAACAGCGCGCTTGAAGATGTTGACTGTCGGATTGCTCAATTGTAGAGGTGAAAGAAGGTGGTCTCCCGGCGTAAACACAACCTCGTTTGTGGTGGTGTTGAGGGGAGGGGTGAGAGGAGAAGGGCTGCGTCGCGAGTAACGCGTCGATGAGATTGACGAGATTGATGCGATCGTTTTGATCGTTCAGAATTGATCAGGACTCACGAACGAGCAATGCTGAAGCTTTGTAGAGCACTCCTTAAGCCTGAGCGAAGGTTGTGTTGCAGAGCTTGCTGTGCGATTGTTGTTGTCGAAGTTGAGGTGGGCAAGGTGGGCAAGGTGGGAAGCTGGAGTTGGGTTGATTGACGTCGCAAGATGAACGACAACCTTTGCCTGGTAGCCTGCCTAGTGGGGTCTTGCAGACTAACGCTCAACTGGGTGAATTGATGGTGCAAAAGTGAGTTCAACCTTTGCGAGGGTAGTGTTGAGTGAGGTTGGCGTTTGGTCGCTCGGTGTGTCAAACCCAGCAGCGAGGCGAGTGTTGACGTCTGATCTTGGGGCCTTTCGCCCAGAAGCCTCAAACAGAATCTCCCACAGCCGTAGGAAAGTCGCCGTAAAAACAAGCTTCGGATTTTCAAGGCAGCCTCTAGCAGCTTTGGCACGAAAAGCGCGAGTGATGCATTTGGGATCCCTGGGTTTAAATACCTCCACTCTAGCCGAATCCCAACAGCACTCGGGAGGAGACACCCCATTCACTGCCAGCCCAATGGCATGATTCAAGACGGAGACACAATGGAAAACAATATAAGATGGAGGGGTTCACAATAGGAAACGGACTTGGTACTCACATTCTCCAAGTCGAAATCTCTCTTCCGGCCCCGTCCAGACATGGTGGCCGCAGCACCCGACCTCTCCTCGCTACCGCGAGCCGAGCTGAAGTCGCTACCATTCTTGAGACCTGCCTTCTTCGCCGGCCCAGACTTCTTCTGCATGCTCGCGCGAGCCTGCTGGTTGAGCTGGGCTGCAAGCTCGCGGTTCTCATCATTCAGTTTGCGGATCCGGTCCTGAGGCACCCAGTCATCCCAAGTTGCCTTCCAACCCTTGTAATGAATCTTGTAGCGGAAGCCACCCTCCTCAGTGGAATCGATCTCAATGATCTTGGCCTCGTACAGCATGTCATGATGGAAGCACAAGACCTTCTCGTCCTTGGCGTAAGGGGGAGCCGCTGGTTTGGAGGCGGGCGCCATGTCGGCGACAATGTGCCAGCTGGCAGTAAACGGGCAGCTATGGAAGGGGAACAAGGGTTGACGAGTATGAAAGCACGACTGGTCTCCAGCAAAGTCTGTGTCAATCGAGGATACGAGGTATGTTGGTTGAGGAGGCAGAAGTTGGTCGTCGAGGATCAAAGTGAGAGAGAAGACAGGAGTGAGAGTGTCACGGGACCAGGCGAGTCGAGAAGCGCGTCTCGAGGCAGGCGCGCTACTATTGATTGCCGCCCCCCAATCAATCACACAGGTGGAATCACTCCTCCCGCGACGCCGCAAGAGCCACTTCATTAGTTGCCATCTGTCAGGACATGTCATGAGAATAGTAAAATCCAACCCATGACTCGGATTTCAGATCATTCTTGTCAAAAATCAAACCAAGACGGAAGGGACTGAATCGGCCAGCAGGCACGCCGCTAAACATGGCACCCACCGAGGCATCAATCCTCGCCAAGTACCTGCTGATTCCGGCACAGCTGCCGACCATCATCTCCCTGAAGGAATTCACAGAGCTCTTTCCCCGTGCGCAACAGTCATCCCCACAGGTCAAGAGGCTCTACAGAGACCTCCAGAACCAGAGAAACGCGCTCATGGATGTTGTGGAAGCCAACATCCAGACCGAGGCAAGACGGGCCAAAGCGTTACGACGAGAGATTCTGAAGGCAAAGCGAGAGGCCGAGGACCATGATGTTGACGATGAGATCGACATCGAGAGAGCTGTAGGATATTGCCCCCCCTCGGCTCGGCCACCAGTTTTCACGCGGTCCGATCTCTGACAGTGTCACAGCTCTACGGTGCAGCCTCTGGAGCTCCCGTCTCAAAACACGACATCAACTCCATCATCCCAGAGCTAGCTAGCTCTGCAGAGGAGCTTGATGCCTCAATACAAGCCCTGGAGAGGGAGGAGGCCGAGCTGTTGCAGTCCATCAAGCAGACAGTCGGCAACATGAGCGACCTGCGCTACGGTCGATTATCCAACGGACAGCTCACAGAGCAGGTTCTGGAAGGCCTACAAAATGTGCAAGAGACGTGTCAGGCAAGACATTAAATAGGTGCCTAGCAGGCTTGTCCCGCTCGGGCGAAGAAGCCCCCTTGATAAGTGTACAGAACCAGTTATCCCGCCCCACCATGACAGAAGAAAAGAAAGCACCAAGACCTTCCAGGAAGTATAGACATCATACGTATCACTTCGTACATCTCGTCGTGCGCAAAGATTGGTCATTTACCGCCGGGGGGCAGCACCACCGGCGCTAGGAGCACCCGGTGGAGGGGCCATGCGTCGAGACCTGGGCTAAAGTTAGCTATCCTGTATGTTGTCTATGATGCCTCGAGCATGACTTACATGAAAGTCCGGCTGACGAAGGAGACAATCAGCATCATGGCCCAGCTTGGGACGACGCTGAGTCCCCAGAGAGCGTACGCGAGCGGCACGGCAAGGCCGTACTGGGCGAGCTCGCCGTTGAAGGGGTGGAAGTATCCGTCCTTCTTGTGGAACTGGCTCTTGTCCTCACGGGTCTTGTACAGCTCCAGGAAGGTGTCGCTGTCGGTCGTGGACAGGTTCATGCGCTTGATGTAGATGTCGACGGGCGCAGGGGGCGGGAGCATCTCGAACAGCCACACGCTACCCGCGCCGGCAGACCAAGCGTTGCAAAGGATGGGCTGGTCGTCGCAGTTGACAAATCCGACGTGAGGGGCGTCAGGCAGGACGGCAAGCTTGGCGGCTGTCTGGTTGAAGGCCTCCTCGACCTTCAGGCAGTGGCCTGATTTGTGGTTAGCGCGGGCGTTGGGTCAAACTCATCTAGACCCCAAATGAGAACCTACCAAAGCAAGTCTTGTTGCCGCCCGAGATCAGAACCCACCACTCCTCTGGCTTGGTGGACTCGGGCTTGACGGGCTCGTAGAGGGTATCCTTCCAGTTGTCCAGCGTCAAGACGTTCAGCTTCATCTCGCCGAGCTTGGCCTCGGCAGCCCCGACCGGGTCATGCTTGCTGGGGTTTGGCACGTAGGAGCCGAATTGCCCGAGGAAGTTCTGGAATTGGGCCTTGTACTGTTCGAACTGCTCACCCTGGGCTGAGGCCAACAGCGGCAGGGCCAGAAGTGCCGAGGATGTTGAGAAACGCATTGTTACACAGCAGTAAGAACTAAGAAAAGCTGAATGTATTGAGGAGTATAACCGGAAGCCGAAAGCAAAATAGGCAGCTCAAATGACGATGGCTTGTCTAGGACGAGAGGGAAAAAAGTTGAAGAGAACAGATGGAGACGCCGGACAAGCAGAATCCTCGCGCAGGATGCACTATCAGGGTCCTTGGAGAGCTCCGGGCTACTAGCAGGCACCGAAACCTGGGTTCTGGGACGGAGAAGGCAAGCTGAGCCAACCGGTTGGTGAGGGGAACGATAAGATAAGCGGAGCTTGCAGAGACGGCGCAAGTCAATACAGTCAGTGACGACTTGCGGCTGGGCAGTGGGCCGAGTTTGAAGTTCCTGAGAAATGAGTGTGAGTGGCAGCGCTGAACAGGATTGCGACAATTCAAGACGCAAGTACTGCTAGAACTCGGTATTAATACTTTTTCTCCAGGCCTTCTCTGTGTTTGTTGTCGAGCTTGCAAGTTCCCCAGCAGCGAGTGGTGACCGCATCCTTGTCATCGTGGGTTGGTTGACCAGGAAGCAGGGTCTCTCACTTACCCCAAACGGTCTAGGCACTTTGATGCTATCCCACCTGGGGCTTCAATCCATCCTACCACGATGTTAGCGACCCATACCAATTAATCATTCTGATTTCTCTGGAACCACTTCACATTCACAATGGTAAGTGCATAGACGACTCACTCATACCTACCACTAGCTAACAAGACAGCCTCCAAAAGTGCCTGATCAGAAGCGGAAACGCGGACGGCCGCCAGGCGCGTCTAAGTCGACAACCGACGCGTCAAACCACGAGGCGCCGAACCACAATGCTGAACCTGACCCCGAAGAACACGCGAGACCGAAGAAACGTGGTCGCAAGAATGATTCTGAGGACGTCAGCGCACAACCAGGGCCGTCCGATACCCGAAATGGCCCAGCGCAACCACGCGCCAGACCGGGCCGGCCGCCCAAGAACAGTCGACAGACCGCCGCTGGAGAGGTTGAGCCTGAGACCGAGGAACAGGAAACACTCGACGAGAGAAATAATAAAGCCAAGTCGAAAGATAGCGAGGCGCCTGTGAGGGGCAAGCGCAAGGGTTCACCACAAATCGAGCCCCAAGAAGAACAACATCCAGAAAGCTCCAGGCCTCGACGAAGTGGGAGAGTGCCGCGAGGGAGTCCAAGCGAGGCTTCCGGCAGCGATCAGCCAAATCATTCACAAGAATCACAAGCGGAGCGCAGACCGAAGCGCGCTGGCGGCACATCCTCTGGCGCATCGAAGGACAAGACGGCATTGAAGGGGAAGGAGAAGGCGACTGCGAGCCATAGCCCGCCAGAAGGAGAAGAAACTTCGGCTCCAAGACGTAGTGGACGAGATCGACGAACAAGGGAGCCCGACTCAAGTGCCAGCCAACTGAATGACGAACAAGAAGCACAAGCTACAGCAGCACCAGAAGGCGGGAAGTCTAGAACGCGAGCGAACGGGGCATCACGGGCAGCGGAGGCCAACAATGCGCAAGAAACAGATTCAGCTACCAAAGGACAGAAGAAGCGACGGGGGCGGCCGTCGCTCAATAATGAGGATCCTGATAGTGTGTCGGCATTACAGCCGCAGCAGGGCAACAGGGCAAAGGCTCCGGGGAGACCGTCTAAGGCGGACACATCTGGGGATGAGAATCGCGCAGCAGACGAGCCCTCGCACCCAAAACGCCGCGGTCGGCCTCGAAAATCGAATGCTGCTCCTGAAGAGCCCGAGCCAGCTCAACCACGCGCGCGCGGCAGGCCACGACGCAGTTCCCCCGAGCCCGAGCATGAGCAGCAGCAGGGACAAGAGCCAGCCTCCCCCAAAACAAGGCGGAAGAGGCGTCAGTCTCCCCACTTGGAATCAGTGGCCGAGGAAGACGAAGACGAAGGCGAAGACGAACGCGCAAGCTCGGATGAAGACGAGCAAGAGCTTCCGTTTCGCTATCTCAGGGAAACCACCAAAAACATTTCCCGGTCCGTCATATCTGAGAAGTGGAGCCCCCTGGACCAACCGTCTATCAATGCAGTTGGGGCTCTCATTGCCGACGCACAGCGGCCCGTCCTGCTGCGCCTCCAGAACACCAGCCGCCGGCGGGAGCATGCGGCGGCCGCGCTGTCGGGCATCTCCCGGCGACTACACGCGAAGCTTGTAAAGGGGTTCCCATTCCCAGCTCCCACGGCTGCTGGGCCTGGGCGGCCGGCCGCGTCTGGCAGCCACGAGGATGAGTTCGACTTCGAGCGCACCATGAATGCCGTGCAGGGCCTGGAGAACACGCTCAACCCGCTGCTGCACTCGGTCGGCCTGTTGGAGAGGGAGGTCAAGAAAGAGGAGGATGCGCTGGCCCGGGACTACGACAATCTTCACAAGCTGGAGACTAACGCGAGGTCTGAGGTAAAGGGCTGGCGCGAGAAGGCGAAGCGGGATCACGTCCTCGCCCCCGGCAGCAGGAGTAAGGGTGACGATGGCGGTTACGAGGATGAGGGAGACCGTCTGGAGCTGGTCACAAGACCCGAGGGTGCTGCCCTGGGCGGACTTTTCAAGGACCTAGGCGATGAGGAGCTGGTCGCCCTCTCGCAGCAGATTGGGAGTCATATGGAGAGCATGCAGGGCAACCTGCAACAGATTGGTGGTGTTGTTCCGGCGATCACCAGGAGCAAGGCCGCGTTACAGCAGGTGATGCTAAAGCACCTGGACGAGGAGCAGTATGACAAGGTGTTGCTTGGATAGTGTATATTTTTCACAGGTCTCACGATACCCTCTTGGCAGAATTACGAATGTATCATATGTGTTGTCTGACAGAGGTTTGCCCCTATCTATAAGATTCAGGAACCGAGTAAACAAGCCCTGCTGAGGCGGGCTAGCGGACGAGGCGTGACTTGAGGCACTGAAGCATGGTGGCGGTCAGCAACCTGGGGCAGCGTGCATGTTGATGGCTAGGCGCGGCAGACGAGTCATGCCTGGGCTCTGCGAAATTACCCGAGTAGCTCTTTGTTGATCTTCCCGTGTAATGAGCAGGCCGGCTATCTATGCTCGCAAGAGTCGAGAAAACCGTTTCCTCGGGTAAAGCATAATAAGCGGCGCTGCGAGCATACACTTTTTATATGAAAGAGCACCTTGGAGTGATCCGGCCATTAACACCAATGGAAGCCATGCTTTAAGCTTAGTCCACTGGAATAATTGACCAAGTAGATATGTCTCACCATGCTGGTAACACAACCCAAAGACATGCCTTGGTCGAATGCAGAATGCAGCGGCGGATCTGTGCCACTCTGGGAAGAGCCCACGCCGGCCTCGGGTCATCCACGGACGGGAGTGACAGGGAAGAGGCGCGAGGTGATGACAGAAAACCCGGTCTAGTTGGCTGGGCAGCAGGGCGTCAAATGCCCCGAGCCCAGAAGGGGACTACGGATACGGACGGAGTGCGAAGGGATTCGGCCGGGACCCTGGGAGAAGAAGGTGGCAGGCTGGGCTGGCTGGCAGCTTCTATGTATCCCAGGCCGGGTTGCACCACTGGAGCGGCTTGTGCATGCCCTACTGCAGTCCAAGTAGCCCAAGTAGCAGCCATACTGCCATACTGTGCCAATTGCGCCATATTAGGACATCTCTCTGCAAGCCCTGCAAGCGTACTTATCAAGTAGTCAGGTAGTGCAGGTGGTGCACACAAGTGGGTTGGCTAGGATGAGCTGGATGAGCTGGGCAAGCCGGATGATACCTCCATTGCTTCGCTGTCGTTCCTAGTACGGAGCAAGTACGGTGCAGCAGCTTCGAGTGCTCGAGGGACATGGCTAAATTGGCCAATCGTTGGAGCGGTGACAGCCCAGTCCGTGACTCGCAGACCAGATGAGACACAAGACAGACTTCGCAGGACAGACAAAGCGGAATCCAAGATGCAGAGAGGGTAGTCAGACCCCTGCTTGGAAAAGCTTTCAACGGGACGGACCCCTCCCCTCCTCTTCCTCCACAGACCACAGTGCAACACGACGGGGCCTGGGGCTTCTCCCACCCAACTCTAAAGTGGTTGGTGGGTCCGTGGGGAGCTACCCCTCCCTCCCTCAGCCTCCAGCCCCTACCCCTCCAGGCTAGAAGCGTTCCCTCAATTGCTATCGCCCTGTCTTCCCAGGGTTGTCAGCGGTTTCGGCTCCCGATTGCCAGCCTAGCGAGCAACACGTTTTTTTTTTTTCGTCTCCCTCCTTCCGAGCTCTGTGTCGCTGCATGACCCACACACCGCTCGCCCGGCCGCCTTGAATCGACCGCAATTCATAAGTGGCTTCTCTCCCTTCCTCCCTCCTCTTCTGATTCCTCTACTTCTTCTTTTATCCTCCTCCTCCTCCTACCTCACACCATTCTTCCCCTCCCTCCTAAGCTTCATCTATCTCTACGGGTGTGGAGAGCAACGACCAGTACACCTGCAAATACATTCTTGTGCGTATGCAGCCTGCTACCCCTCCCCCACTTCACATGCTCTCCGCAGGGTTTTCCCAACGAAAATCGGGAACCAGCTCGGGGAATGAGTAACACCTGCTGACAAGATCCCTTTGCAGAAATCCCCGGAAGTGGTCAATTGTTCGTGTCGGTTATTCCACCACATCAGCCACCATGGTTCAGTCCGCCATTCTCGGTTTCCCCCGCATGGGTGTCAACCGTGACCTGAAGAAGGCTACTGAGGCTTGTGAGTGCCCCCGGGACGGCCCACCAGGCGTCACCTTTCCTCCTCCTTCGAAGCACCGAGACTGACCATACAACCAGACTGGGGCGGCAAGATCTCTCAGGATGAGCTCCTCGCCGAGGCCAAGAGGCTGAGGCTCGCTCACTGGAAGATCCAGAAGGATGCTGGTGTTGATGTCATCCCCTCCAACGACTTTGCCCTGTACGACCAGGTCCTCAGCCACATCCAGGACTTCGGCGTAAGTTCCCCGGTCCAATGACCAATCACCATGCCTGATACCTGTACCCAACACTGACAACCTACTCCCACAGGCTGTCCCAGAGCGATATGCCGGCTCCAAGCTGAACCGCGTCGACGAGTACTTCGCCATGGGTCGTGGCCACCAGAAGGATGGTGTTGACGTCCCCTCCCTGGAGATGGTCAAGTGGTTTGACTCCAACTACCACTACGTCAAGCCTACCCTGCAGGACAACCAGACCTTCAAGCTCACTGCCGAGCCCAAGGCTGTTGTCGAGTACAAGGAGGCCAAGGAGGCCGGCATTGAGACCCGCCCCGTCCTCGTTGGACCCGTCTCCTTCCTGCACCTCGGCAAGGCCGACCGTGGCCAGTCCGTTGACCCCATCGACCTCCTCGACAAGCTTGTCCCCGTCTACGAGGAGCTCCTCACCCAGCTGAAGCAGGCTGGTGCCTCCACTGTCCAGATCGACGAGCCTGTCCTCGTCCTGGACCTGCCTGCCAAGGCCAAGGCTGCCTTCAAGCCCACATACGAGAAGCTCGCCAGCCTCGGCGACAAGATCCCCAACCTTGTCTTCACCACCTACTTCGGTGACATCGTCCACAACCTTGAGGCTGTGCCCAAGGACGTCTACGCTGTCCACGTTGACCTTGTCCGCAACCCTGAGCAGCTCGACACCGTCGTTGCTGCCCTTGGCCCCAAGACCATCCTGTCTGCCGGTGTCGTCGACGGCCGCAACATCTGGAAGACCAACTTCAAGCGGGCCATTGAGATCGTCGAGTCCGCTACCCAGAAGCTCGGTGCTGAGCGTGTCATCGTCGCCACTTCTTCTTCCCTCCTCCACACCCCCCACACTCTTGCCAGCGAGAAGAAGCTCGACCCTGAGATCGCCGACTGGTTCTCGTTCGCCTCCGAGAAGGCTGTCGAGGTCGCCGTCATTGCCAAGGCCGTCACTGAGGGCCCTGCTGCCGTCCGTGAGCAGCTCGAGGCCAACGCCAAGTCTATCCAGGCTCGCGCCACCTCCACTCGCACCAACGACCCCAAGGTTAAGGACCGCCAGTCCAAGATCACCAAGGCTGACTACAACCGCAAGTCTGAGTTCCCCCAGAGAATTGCCCAGCAGCAGAAGAAGCTGAACCTTCCTCTGTTCCCCACCACCACCATCGGCTCCTTCCCCCAGACCAAGGAGATCCGTGCCTCTCGTCAGAAGCTCACCAAGGGTGAGATCTCCGCTGCCGAGTACGACAAGTTCATCGAGAAGGAGATCGAGGACAACGTCAAGATCCAGGAGGAGCTTGGTCTTGATGTCTTCGTTCACGGTGAGCCTGAGCGTAACGACATGGTGCAGTTCTTCGGTGAGCGTCTGGACGGCTATGCCTTCACCACCCACGCCTGGGTTCAGAGCTACGGTTCCCGTTGCGTCCGTCCCCCAATCATCGTCGGTGACATCTCTCGTCCCGCCCCCATGACCGTCAAGGAGTCCAAGTACGCCGTGTCCGTCTCCAAGAAGCCCATGAAGGGCATGTTGACTGGCCCCGTCACCTGCCTCCGGTGGTCTTTCCCCCGTGACGACGTTCACCAGTCCGTCCAGGCCGAGCAGCTCGCTCTGGCCCTCCGTGACGAGGTCGTCGACCTCGAGAAGGCCGGCATCGACGTCATCCAGGTCGATGAGCCTGCCCTGCGTGAGGGTCTGCCCCTGCGCTCTGGCAAGGAGCGTGAGGCCTACCTCGACTGGGCCGTCAAGGCTTTCCGCCTGTCCACCACTGGTGTCGAGGACGCCACCCAGATCCACTCCCACTTCTGTTACTCTGAGTTCCAGGACTTCTTCCACGCCATCGCTGCCCTTGATGCCGATGTCCTGTCCATCGAGAACAGCAAGTCTGACGCCAAGCTGCTCAAGGTCTTCGTCGACTCTGCCTACCCTCGCCACATCGGACCTGGTGTCTACGACATCCACTCCCCTCGTGTTCCCAGCGAGCAGGAGATCAAGGACCGCATCGAGGAGATGCTTCAGTTCCTCAAGCCTGAGCAGCTCTGGATCGACCCTGACTGTGGTCTGAAGACCCGTCAGTGGAAGGAGACCAAGGAGGCCCTGGCCAACATGGTCAGCGCCGCCAAGTACTTCCGCGCCAAGTACGCTCAGTAAATTCTTTCAACACAGACCTCTGTCCCTGGTGGCGAACGGTCATATTAATGGAGATGATTCGAGATAATGATGGGTTCTAATACGGGCCGGCGACTTGGAAACTAGCGCCGGTCCCGACTTCAACATCGGCGTTCATGCGAAAAGCTGAGGGATTCAGCGAGGCTTTGTTTTTTCAACCAAAAACGGCATTCAGGGAGAGGTGTGAACGGCGCAAAAATTCAACATATACCCATACAGGCATTGCAAGGCAAGGGCGGAAAGGCATCCAGAGTAGCTACCCTCAACGGGACTACCATCTTGGATCGAGTTCAAAACATGACTCGACGGCGTTGGGAACTTGAAATGATGTGATGATGGGTGCGAGCGGTTTGCTCGGCATCGGGAACGGAAGGTCTAGTGATGTAAATGTACCCTAGGGTAGTGACGAGACAGATTGATTGAGGGGGCAGCATGCTCGGCTCAAGAGGTGTGGCGTATGAACGAATACACAAACTGACCAAACATTATTGTGCCCGTCCAATAACACATCTACTGCACATGGGGGAGGAGGCAGCGGTTTATTGTGAGTCAGTGCGGAGTGGTGCGGCGGAGGAATGGATCATGAATGGTGGTGGGTTGCCGAACCAGACAGTGGCTGCTACTGACAACATGGGCAGGTACGACCTAACACGTCTGTTGAGGTCGACGAGGAGGGTCTTTATCCCGTTCTCACGATATGACAACCTCAAGGCGCAGTATCAAGTCAATCGCTGTCCGGGAACAAAGCCGCTTATACGGAGTACCAGGCAACTTTACTTGCCAGCGTGGGTTACAGAGGGTTTCCCAGCTGGCTTCCATGGTACAACGCCCCCAACCCACAACAACTCCTGGCTTCAAACCAATGACAATGGTCGCGAAGGGGGAGGGGGCCTGGGCCCGGCTGGACCCCAGCACCCGCGCAGCCGCGAGGACGGGAAGGTTGCACGGCGAGGGCTTACACTGCGGCATGTATAGTGCTTCGCGTGATGTTGTGCATGGTGTGCAGATGAAGGTGTTGTGGTGGTGGCCGCTCGTGCCTGGCTAGAACTTGCCACCAACCTCATCAGTGTCACGTCCTTCTTCTCGCCGCCCAGCCACCCCTCTCCTGCTCCTTTACACACATGCAGAGAACACAGACGGTCTCCCTACCCGCCTCACCCGCCCGGCTGCCCGGTTGTGCTTGAGCAGAGCAAGAATGGGGGACCGTGTGCTTGGTGGTGGGTTCATTGGCCCGGTACGACTCGGTGCGACTCCAGACGAGGTGAGAGAAGAGGCGATGGCCGGGCGGGGCGGGGCGCGCACACGGTTTTGGGGGCTCGCCTGCTCGCCTGCTCGCCTGCCTTGATTCTGGTTGGGAACGTTACTTGTCCGCAGCGGCCGGCCGGCCCCCTTCACGACGTTTCTCCTTCCTCAGGATCTATCGTGAAGCAGGCGGCGGACACGGCAGTTGAGAGTGCATGACAGGAGTGGAGACCGGCCGGCCGGTCTTACTTGCTCAGCCCGGCCGGTTTGAACCCCCTCGGCGACACCTCGTTCAGGTGGTTGTTCACGAGCCTGCTTTGTTTCTCGGTGTTGAGTTGCTCTGCAGAATGCCATGCGGCTGCTGTGTTTCTGAGGCAAGGAGGGCCGACTAGTGGACAGGGGGACTCAAGGGGTGGCATTGCATGTCTAGGTGCTTCAGGTGGGGCGACTGCTCAGGGGCCGTGTCATGACGGCCCTCCCTCTCTGTGTGTGTCTCCTCGCTTGCTGGAGAAACATAGTCGTATCTGTTCACGAGGACAGAGGGCCTCGTGATAAATGGCCCTTCTGGTATGCCGCCGGTGAGAGAGTGTAACGCTCAGGGCATGGGTTTGAAACTACTAGTTCGCCAACGGTTCACGCCCCCTTGGCTTGGGTGGCCTCACTCAGGAGCTCGCTCTGACGTTGATAGTGCTCCGGTCCAAGCACGACGGGCGGTGCAGGAGCTGGCAGGATATGCCACCAGGCACCAGGACAGAATGTGCAGGAAACGTCAAACGGTGGGCAGTGGCTGAGTATGTATATTACATGGCATGGGCCCTATATGAGCATCAAGGGGACTAGCAGCCGTGGCTTTTTCCTACGTCCCCCCCACGGCCGTTGGCTGATCTTGTCTCGGGAGCCACGGGGTGATGAGCGCCAGGGTCCCAGGACGCTGGGACGGGGGCCAGCCAGGGCAACTACTAGGCATATATACTATTGGGGTAATACGGGGAGAAACGTGCTCTGGACCTTGGTCGCTGTGCCTGTCAAGATATGCCACGGTGGTTCCGGCAACGCGGTCCCTGTGGGTTTATTAAGCTAAGGTTGTTTCAAGGCGACGGACAGAGTGCAAATAGGCGGATGTGAATGCGTGAATATACCACAGTATGCACGCTGAAGAAGAACAAGAGGCTGGTCAATGGTCCCCCATGCAGTAGTGCCTCATCGGGAAGGCCTTGGTCGGCGAATGATGTGTTGTACTGTTGCGTGTACTTTATATACCTGGATCGGCGGTGGCTTTTTGCATACATAGTACATACCTACTCCGTACTACCCCAGACCACACTTATTATTACACAGTAATGGCGGGCAGCGAGAGGCCAGGCCAGCGGCCAGCCCACAGATGCGAGAGACCGCACGGCCTGGGTTCGGAGAGTTTTTGGCCAACCGAGGACAAGACAAGGAGTTGATATCTGACTCATCTTGAAGTTTATATACCATGAAAAGGAAATGACGGTTCTAATCGGAGATATGATTAAAGGGGGGCTAAGTGGCCATTGTCAAGACAAGAAAACAAAAATAAAAACAAGAACCAGAACCAGAGAAGCAGCCAGCTTGAACTTTTCCAGCCTCGGCACATGACAAAGATGGGGGCCATTGGGCAAGGTGTCCACTCTGGAGCACGGAGTATTAAGCGCACTAAACCGGGCAAATCAGGACGACATGGTGCCACGGACGGTGTATACTATGTAGTAGCGAGATGAGCAGCTCCTTTGAGAGTCCTCTGGGAACCGCGGGGGTGCATCGAGAGGTCGGTTGTTGAGCAGAAACAAGGCTGTCATTTCCATCGTCAATCATTCCGCGACAGCTTGAGCAGGGACCAACGTTGACAAAGCGCGCATCTCGCTAGGTGTCGCTGGAAAAGTTCTCGCCCGCATCGCCCATCTTCTACTAGGCCGCATACCCAAGCTGCCAGGCAAGAGGCCAATGCCAGGCCTCATTTCGGGGACGGTGGGGCTCTTCAATCAATCGACCTCGGGGCCCCCTCATCGGCACAGCCCAGAGGGCCCAGGTCCAGAGGTCCAGCCCAGCAGCGTGCACCTACGTGGTGGGCCAGAAAAGACCAGCAGAGCCCAGGGACCGAAGCAACCAAGGGCCCAGGGACCACCCCCAGTGAGTTAATAAACCGCGCTGGGTCTGGACGGCCGTGGAGGGGGGTGTCTGCAGCGATAACGAGACAGGCCACCCCCCACCCGTCCCCACTTCATAGGGGAATTGCGGCTTGGCTGGTGAAACAGCGCACCTCCTTTTCGCACCCCTGCTAGACAGACTCCTGCCAATTTCCATGCCCACACTAGCACCCGTTTTCCGCTCGACGATGCCACGCTCCTCCTCCTGCTCACCCTCGCCGTCAGGTAACTGGGTATACACGAGACGACCTGGCGGCTCCACGTCATGAACTGACGGGGAATTCTTTGCAGTCTGCGATCTGGCCCTCTGGCCATTTTAATTCTGCACGGATGGGCACAACGCATCGCATGCCACTTGGGCAATCGCGCCCTCGTCTTGATCGGCGGCGAGATCTGGAGCAATCTGGAGGCCAAGCATTTTCGTTTCTGCCAATCTCCCGGTCGTTTTGTGGGCCCCCTCTCTCCTCTCCAGAGGCCCAGAGCCGAGAACACGGCGACCGCTTGCTCGCGGAACCACACAGAACCACACAGGCAGGACAGGGCCGCTGCGGCCTGCACGGATTGGCCGGATGACATTGCCGTTGCCAGGTCCATGTCATGGCCATGCAGTGTGCCCAATATGATTCCTGGCCCTGCGCGGAAGCTGGCACGCTGGCAGCCTGGCAGAGACCGCTCGTCCTCGTCATCGCCAATCTCAAACACCATATTCCACGTTGCAGTCGGCAGTTTAAACTTCACCGTCTGAGAGCGAGCTCCCTCACCGTTCGGGAGAGGGCTAGGCCATGCAACCTCGCCCGTGCCATCACTCTATTATAATGACAATGTGGACGGACGGACGCCATGATGGAACAGGTGTCAGCGACCTCCGTGCCGTCAATTTAACTTGGACTGCAAGTTATTTGGACACGATGGTGCACACCTAGCATGCCGTGCCGCCTGTGCACCGCTACTGCTGCATGTACGGCGGGAGATGGCCTTGAGCCTAGTGCTTGTCCGTACTGCCTGGCTGCGTGCATTTTGTAGGAGAAACCCGGCAGCCTACCACAGTAGGAGCTGATGAGACCCACCGCCTGCTTACTGGTTGTTTTTGGTGCCTGCATCCGTCCATTCACGACAGGCCGAGGGGTTATTTGCAGACCGCTGAGCCCTATGGGATCGAAAAAGAAAATGAGGCAAGCGCCATTGGACCCGACAACGTCCCTCTGTTGCCGCCCGCCTCGGTCCAGCTCAGCCATCTATTACACGAGAGCGTCATGAGGTGCGCAAGCAGAGAGTCTAGAAGGTGACACAGCTACCTTAACCAACCGCCTGGGTGATGATCTGCAAAACAAACTACCACTAGGATGGCGACGTTGCGGCGTTCGACAAAGGGAATCGGGTATTAAATTTGGCAACTCTGTTTAGGGTTTTGCTGCTTGACCTGAAGGTCGGATGATTTTTTAAGCGCTTGATCTCCAGCACTTCACAGGCCACAAGCAAGCCCGGAACAGGGCCGCACTGCAGCATACCCTGGGATGATCATGGTCACTGATGTGGTGGCCCCCGAGCAATAAAGATCTCTTCGAGATTCCCACAACACTCTTCGTCCCACGGCGTGACGCCATGGCGGTCGATCAGCCGTGCTGCCTCTGCTGCTCAACGCCGTCTATTCCCCAACGAGCAAAAAGCAAGGCTTCAGTTCAGGCATGACCGTGCAAGAAACACTGGACTCAACTCAGCCTCCACTAGAATAATCAGGAGGCTCAAACAAACAAGTGCATCTATTCCGAACTGCTCAAGGGAGCGCAGAATTTCTAGTGCTTTCCTCATGGGGTAAATCAAGGCACTTCATCCGAATGTTCTGTACGTCGGGCCTTTGGACCCCCTCGGACGACAACATGGGACGTTGATGGGATGGATGTCTCTGTGGTGCTGTGTCCAGCCAGTTGCTGGGAGCAACACTACGGCCACCCCTCCTGTCGAAATGTGCCTCTTGGCAGAAGGATCTGAGCCTCTGCGGTCCCTGCTGCTGACCGGGATGGGGGCGAGCTAGGGGCTATGATTGGATCATGTCACCTCCTCGCCGCGCCCGTTCCTGCATTTGCCCCTGACAGTGCTCAAGGATTCCCTGGCGACGGGAGGGCGGTTGCTGGCCCTCGTTTCTTTTCTCGCCCAAGAAGTCCCAGTGCGCCGAATCTTGCAGATGAGTTGAGTGGCCGAACCCCGGTACCACGCAAGCCCGCCCGGTTTGCTCTAGGCGGTGGATCAGCCAAAATTGCTCAAGGGTTATTCATATCTACGGGCTGGCTGGGGCGGCAAGTCCACCACGGCGGTGCTCTCGGCCTCCTATGCTCAGAGGGGGAACCGGGGTCCCGACGAACCAGACTTGACCCTGGACTGCTCACAAGTGGGCTCCTGATCGAATTTACGGGGTGATCAAATGGAACCATCACCGGGAGACCACCCCAGAGGCGCACATGGGGTGCCCACACCCCTTCCTGCAGCCGCCCGCTCAAAAGGGCTGATGGCCTCCCATCCGCTGGTCTGTATATCTCCCTCCTTCTCTCCTCACCCAACACGGAGCCTGACCTCGATCGTTCTCCCCGACATTCTTTTGAACAGTCTCTTTCGGCGAGCAATAGCAGCTTAGCTACTCATTCCTTCACCAACCCAATACATTCTTTATCGAACGAGTGCAAACTGTGTCTGCCCTCCTCACACGGAATTGACTTCCACTCATTGCTTGCTGATCAGCATACCCACGATCTTTCATCTCCCGAAGAGCACCGAACAAGAAAGAGGATATTCGACTCCCGAGTAGAAATCTGAACCGATAGCCAAGATGAAGTCCGTTCTCGCTGCCTCCCTGGGTCTCGCGACCCTGGCTTCCGCCAACAACGTCTACCCCCAGCACCCTCACTTCAACTACCGCCGACAAAACGGTACCGCCATCGCCGGTGCCGGCCAGCTCACCACCCTGACCGTCCAGCAAACCTCTATCCGCACCATCATCAGCTGCGCCCCGACCGTCACCAACTGCCCCGCCAACCAGGCCTCTCTCACCCAGCTGGCCTCCGTCGCCCCCGAACAGGTCTCCACCGTCCTGGTCACCGACGTGATCCAGCTGGCCACCACCATCTGCCCCGTCACTGAGGCCGAGGCCATCTCCTCCAGCGTCATCTCCGTCGCTGCCACCGGTGGTATTACCGGCACCACCATCACCGGAACAGCCCCTGGCGTCGTCCCCACCCCGGCCCCGGCCCCCGTCGGCGGCAACGGCACCCAGCCCTCGCCTCCTATCACCGCCAACTCCCCCACCGCCACCGGTACCACTGGTGACGATGACGATGAGTGCGAGCCCGATCTGACCACCGAGGTTTCCACTTCCGTGGCCACCCTGACCTCTGCCGTCCCCGTGACCGTTACCATTACCAACGGCAACGGCGGTGCTGAGGAGAGCACCTCCACCTCTTACACCACCATTGTCACCGCCATCCCTGTGACCAAGACCGTCGTCGTCACCGAGTCTTCCCCCGAGGCGACTGACGAGTCTTCCCCGATTGGCTCCGACGAGGGCACCACCATCTCGGGCACCACCACCACCACCGCCTACACCACGGGCACCCGCACCGCCACTCTTACCAGCAAGGTCACCAAGCCCACTGGCGACAGCTCCCCCGTCGACACCAACGCCAACTCCGTCGGCTCTGGCTCCGGCGATGCTCCTGAGGGCTCTTGCGTCCCGTAAGTTGAAACCCCTCACACACAAACAACTCACCTGTGAAAATCCAACCTTGCTAACACCCTTCACAGTGAGACTGTCACCGTCACCAAGGAGGGCCCCACCGTCTACGTGACCGTCGGCCAGGCCGCCCCCACCGGCTCCCAGCCCCCTCTGGCCGCCAACGCCGCCGTCCCCACCGCCGCTTCTGAGGCCGCCTCCTCCCCTTCGTCCCCTGCCACCTCCGGCGGCGCTGACGACGAGGACGACACCTGCGAGGAGGACGGCGAGGACGAGACCTCCCCCGTCGACGAGGGTGACGACGACACCTGCGACGAGGAGCCCGAGGAGACCGTCACCGCCACCGTGGTCCCCGTCCCCACCGGATCCAACGGAACCGGCTCTGCCTACCCCACCGGCGCTGCCATGAAGCGCTTCGCCAAGATGTACTAAATCGACTCTTGATTTAAATGACATTCTTGCGCTAGAAGACGGTGGCCCAGCGGCACGTCAAGACAAGACGAAGACCAGAGATGTGTACAGCGGATGAACAATGACGTCTCTTGGTTTTGGGATGTGGGCAAATTGGGGCTTGGTATGAGACCATGACTGGACTTTTAGAGCGTTGGCCGGATATCTCAATTGCATCTCCAACCTTTTTTTCCCTTTGTTTTTTAAAGCAAAACCCAACCCGTTTGGAGAAGAATGGGGCGGGAGATACAAGACAATATCCTTCCTCCTGTGTGTGCACGGCACCCTTTCTTGTAGAATTGTTGTAGTGTTTAAGGATATTGATGGGGGCAGGGGGGGGGCAAAGCTTTTTGTGTGTGTTGGTTTATTCAAATAGCGACGGCAGAAAGGGAGATGTTGAATCCACCACCAACCCACCGGTGCGTGTCCTCCTCCCTCTGTCTTACGATTCTTGGGAGTGCATTAAATTTTAAGATGGATGTTTTGAACCCCGCCTCAGTTGTTGTCTTGTCGCTCATTGCTGTGCCGTCGTGAGTCCAAACTGATGTGGCTGATTGCTGTTGTTGAAAGAGAGGGCACTTGGGTAGGATGAGGTGAGGTCGGAGATGGGAAACGTTTCCCGGTCACGTTTCTCGTCTCCCTCGTTGCTTGAGTCGAGGTTGAGCTTGTAGGGCGTGGCCTGAAACATTAGATGCTTCCACCCAACTCTCTCGCGGCATTCCTTGGTTAACCCGAACCTCGGCTTGCAAAGTCTCCCTCTATCTCCCTTGCTAGCCTTGCTAGTCAAGTCTGCAGCAGTGCTAGAGTAGGCTTTGGGCGTTCGCCAAGTATTCCCCGTCAGAGTGTAGTTTAGAGGTTTCGTGCCCACCACCAGGAGTAGTGGCCATTTGGGCTGGTGTAGTGCATAGCCATGGGGAATGAAAGATGGACATCTTCATGCGTCTCTTGGAGCGTATTGGTGTCCATTCATGTTTAGGGTGGGGTTAACTGGTGACACGGTCGAGGTGAAAAGTGTATGTCGTTGGGATGAGCTTTGCTCGGATGTCCCGTTGTGTACAGCATGCATCTATAGTGGATGACCCGGTCCTCGGTAGGTGTATACCCAACCTCTTGTAGGGTTAACCTCCCAGGACAACTTCCCCTCCCATAATGGAACTACCATTCGCGGGAATGCGCAGGTGTCGTTAGAAATGCCTCAAGGATGAGTGCGTCATGCTTGTGAGAACAAGGTCCCGTGGAATGATGTTACAGTGAATGGACACATCAGCATCCAAGGTTTCTTGATTAGTCGCCTTTGCCGATGCAAAAGCGACTGAGGGACCACGAAAGACTGTCGAGGCGTGGAGAGCTGAAGCCTCACAGCAGGCCCGGCGTCGTCCCAGCTCGGAGAAAGAGCCCGAACCCCGATATCTGTTGTCCACGTCTCGGCGAAGGCTCTGCTTATCTTGCATAAGCCCGCTCTCAAGGCCATGCGATGCGCTCACCACGACCCAGAGCTCTGCTGTGAAGTTGTGCCGCCATAGAAGGCGTCACAGGATGCCATCTCAGAGAGAGGGGATGGATGGGCCCAAGGATCTTGTCGGGTCAAATGGTGTCGTCACAAGCCAACCTGTGGGGATCTTTGGGCTTGAGCACGCGCACGCCGCTAACAAGTGCCCCGTTGGGCAAAGTACAAGCACCCATTCAATGGAAATGAGCAGGTGGCAACGAGTGTCGCCCCCAGCGATCGTCCCCCGTGTTCTTGTCAGGCAGCTCTCAGGTTGGGTTAATGGACCGTGGGCAAGGACAGTGCAGTTCAGCCGGGCTGGTGGGGCGGTGTCTGGTCGCCCGCTGGTTGTGTCTAAATGCAGCGATGGTGGAGTAATCTGTACGGAGTACTGGAGTAGGCCGTACGGAGTACTGCCCGGCGGCCCAGGTGTGTGATGCGCCTGGCTCCTTTGTACACTAGGCGGCACGCAAGATTGTGGCTTCTCCCGTCTGCTGAGTCGTTGCCCACCGTTCTGCTTATCATTTAGAGTGTGGTGGTGCTGTGTATGGAGTGCTTGTTCAGATCATGGTTTTCTCATGACAAAGAGGAAGCTCTGGCCGAGTGGGCCCACTCATCTTGTTGTCGAGCCCGCACGCCTGCAAGCCTGCAATGCAGGCCTGACAAGCCTGACAAGCCCGACGAATTAACCAGGGTCCAGAACAGGCTGAACTGGGAAAGAGGGCGGCCTCTGCCTGCTCTGCCTAACCTAATCCTCACCTCGGGCAGACAAGAGTGGGCGAGGGAGTGAGTGAGGGAGCTAACAGCGGGTGGTACTGAGTACCTAGGTACTTACATTGCTTTAGTCTACTCTGTACTGCCACTCACTGCCCGACGAGCTCGCGTCTGTCTGTTCCAGGGCCTGGACCTGACTGGACCTGGACCCGGACCCGGACAAGGAACTGACCTGCCAGCCTGCGACGTGACGAATATCTCGTGCCCAACACCAACAACCACCTCCATTCACTTCTACTTTCCCTCCTTCTCCTCGTCCTCCAGAAAACACCACCGTCACCGTCACCGCCACCGCAGCCCGTCCGCAATGTCAGGGCCAGGTTCTCCAGGGCAGGAGGGCCCCACGTTTGCCCCGCCACATCTCCCTCCAGGCTGGATTGCGCAATGGGACGCAAGCAGCAGGAAGTACTACTACGTCCAACTGTCCACCGGCGTGTCGCAGTGGGACGTCCCGACAGACGCTGCCCCCGTCGGAGGAGGCACGCCCGCCTCGCAGACCGAGCACCCCTACGGCGTACCCGGCCAGCGGCAGCTCATCACCCACCCCGACGGCACCCAGACCGTCAAGCACCCGGACGGCTCGCTGGAGCCCGTCATGCCCAACGAGGCCGGCGCCACGAGGGGCATTGACGGCGATGGTCCCAGTGGCGATAGGGGCCTTGGTGTAAGCCCGCACTCCTCCCCCTGCCCGCCTCTGTGTGCGCCGTCCTCCCTCCTCCCTCCTCCCCGGCTGACACTTGTGGTCTGTCCCCCCTCCGCGCATAGACCATGGCCATGAACGCATTGCTTGGTGGCAAGCAGGGCGGCAGCGGCGGCCACAACTCGGCCAGCAGCCCCTTTGGCGGCCTCGCGAACCAGGTCCTCAGCGGCCTCACACAGAGCAACGGCGGCGGCCACGGCCAGCAACAACACCACGGCTCATCGGGCGCATCCAGCGGCCTCGGCGGTAAGCTCGTCGGCCAGCTGACCTCCAACCTCTTCTCCTCGGGCAGCAAGCCGTCCCAGCCCCAGAACTACCACAGCGGCCAGTCCGCCCAGTCGTCCCACAGTTCTGGCGGCATGGCAGGCTCCATGATGGGCTCTGTCGCACACATGTTTGGCGGTCAATCCGGCGCTTCGGTACGTCTGCTCGCCACAACGCCAAGCCGGATCCTTCAGATGAGGCCATGCGCGTACTAACCCATACACAACCCCTTCGCAGAACCAAAACTTTGGATACAGCAATGCAGGCCAGACAGGGACCTACAGCGGCTCTGCGCCTCCAACCACATACCAGCCCCCGGGCTCGTCCTCGCAGCACCAGTCCCCCGCCCAAGGACACAGCGCCCAGACGACCCACAGCAGCCAGCCCGCGAGCACTCCCTCCTACCATGCGCCCCAACATACCCCGAGCTTCCCCCCGCCGCCAGGCCAGTACGAGGGCCAGCACGGCTACGCAGGCCACCAGCAGCCACAGCAACAGCAACAACACACGCCGTATGGCCAGCACGGGCAGATACCAGGTCCGCCATCCGGCGCACCTCCTTCGCAATACGGCCAGTCGCAGTATGCGCAGGGCTATGGCCACTCGCAAGCGCCCCCGGCGTATGGGGGCCATCAGCAGGGCGGATACAACGGGGGCACGCCATCGTACCCCCCGCCCCCGGGCCAATACCCAGGCCAGGGAGGGTACGGCGCGCAGGACCGCGGGATGCCACACCACTACGGCAGCAATCCTGCATACTAGGCGGGCGGGCGCTTGCTTCTGTGATCGAACAAGGAAGTGGTTGGCTTAACTGGATGATCCATCCTGGGAAACATTTAGACTGGCCGTCGGATCAATCGAGTCGTGGTTTGAAGAGGGGTTCATTCCCACGGGCCATCATTATTATATGCAACAAGGCAGGGGCGAGGGGTTGAGGGCATCATGTGGGTGAGAAAAGCAGGTGTCATAGACCAGACCGATTATACCACGAGCGAGGAACGCATGGCGGGGCAGCAGCAGCAGCAGTTGAACAGAGCTTCGGTGGTCGAGCGGCTCTCTCAAAAGGGGTTTTTTTTCTTATGGTGCTATCATAATTCAGCTAGCTACGTACATGTTTTTGCAACAAGAGAGAGAGAGAAGAAGAAGAAGACGACAGAGAAAAAGAAGAGAAGAAAGCTCAGCACACCCGGCAAGGGGCGGCGGGCACACACAGCCGCCCAGGCCCCTACCGCGTCTTCTTCTGCTCCCCGCCCTGCTGCGGACGGCCACCGTCCCCATCCCCGTCCCCGTCCCCGTCCTCGGCCACCATGAGCCCCCTCACGCGCGGCATGATGACGCGCGACGCCAGCGCCCACGACAGGGCGGCGGCCAGCACGGCGAGCCCGGCCGCGGGGGCGAGGGTCCGCGGCAGGACGTTGAGCACAAAGGGGTCCAGGATGAGGTCCGCGAGGACGGGCTCCGGGCGGCGCATCAGCGCGGCGTCCGTGGTGAAGTAGTCGGCGGCGGCGTCGACGCGCAGGAAGAGGACCGAGGAGAGGCGGTCGCCGTGGCCGTCCCCGGTGGTGCCGTCTTGGTACGGGCGGCGAGTCGTCGTGGGTTCCCCCCGCCTGGACGTGGAGTAGTTGTGGAGCGAGGTGATGAGCTCCGGGGTGTCGAATACCTCTGGCAGGGTGTGGGTCTCTAGGCGGAATGCTGTCGGCTGCTGTTGGGCGGGGGGAGGCGCGGAGGCGGGTTGTTGTTAGTGTGTGCGTGTGTTTTTGTGTTGTACCCCATCTCGGTTGTATGATATGAATGAGAAAAGAGGGAACTCACGGTGGCCAGCCAGCAGATGCGGACCTCATAGCGCCGGCCCTCGGCGAGGCCGTCGAGGATGAACCACGATGAGCTGCCGCGGCTCGAGTCCTGTGTCGGGAAGGACGCGTCAATGTGGGTCCTGAGCGACCAGTTGTCGTCGTCGGGCGTGAGGGTGTCGATGTTCAGGGCCGACAGCGACGGCTGCTGGCTGGGGATGTTGACGGGCTCCGGGCCGAGGAAGATGGTCTTCTCGACGTTTGCGGCGGCGGGGGATATGGATATGCCCAGTGCGAGGCATATGAGGCTGGCGAGGAGCATTGTTCTGGAGAGTGGCCCTCTCTCATATGAGAGGGAGTGCTGTTACTGTGTAAGAGGTGTGTACATTGATACCTAGTGGTAGTGTAAAGGGGATGGGTGAGAGGCGTAGCACCAGCCACAATTGAGAAGCGGGATGCACCGCCACAGTATTGCTCCTTCCTCCGGGTTGATCGATCACATGCGAATGCCCAGGGAGGCCAGGGAGGGACCCCACGGGTGGGCTCCCCCAATCGCGGCAAAAGCTGGGGTAGGGACAGGCGTCACTGACCGTCCGCTGACCGAGGAACTGGACCACGGACCGACGAGCTCCAACTTTGCACTGGAATTTGGCGTCTCCCAGCTGCTGGGAGTTGCACGACGATGACCTCGACTCCCGATGGACACGACTCTCCACTCTGACCGCCTGCCAACCACGATACTGTGGGATTCCTGTGGCATTCTGTGTTGAAGACAGTCGGTCGCACGAATGCATTGTATTGTACCTCGTTGATCTGCGTTCGCCGAGGCTGACTGCCTCCCTTCCCACACGGCCCGTCTACTCCTGCTGAAGTCCCACCCTCCACCCTCCACCCTCTCACGAACCAGCCGCAGTCGACCATGGCCTCCCAGTCGAAGCTCCTCCTCTCCCACGTCTCCACCCCGGGCCAGCGCGAGCGCACCATCCGCTCCATCATCTCCCACCTGACCGACCTGTACCTGTCCAACCGCACCCGCATCTCCCGCGCCGTCTACCTGACCCTCTTTGTCGCCCTCATCAACCGCGTTCGCAACGCCATCGCAGAGCAAAAGGCCGCCTCCGCCCGCGACGCCGTCAAGCGCGCCGAGCGCAGCGGCACCACCGGCCGCGTCAACAGCCCCGACGACAACAAGGATCACGATGATGCCACCGGCAAGAAGAAGAGGCGCAAGGTCGAGCTCGACCGCGAGTTCTTCCGCTCCCTGCTGCGCCTGATGCGCATCGTCGTCCCCGGCTGGCGCAGCAACGAGACCCGCCTGCTCATCAGCCACAGCTTCTTCCTCGTCGTCCGCACCCTCATCAGCCTCAAGGTCGCCGCCATGGACGGCGCCATCGTCAAGGCCCTGGTCAAGGGCAACGGCAAGGAGTTCCTCATGAGGATCGTCTGGTGGATGTTGATCGCCGTGCCCGCCACCTTCACCAACTCCATGCTGTCCTGGCACCAGGCAGAGCTGTCGCTCAAGTACAGGACGAGGCTCACCCAGCACATCCACGACAAGTACCTGTCCAAACTCACCTTCTACGGCATCTCGGCCCTGGACGACAGGATAAAGAACCCGGACCAGCTCATCGCTGTCGACGTCGCAAAGTTCTCCAACAGCCTGGCAGAGCTGTACAGCAACCTGGCCAAGCCGATACTCGACATGGTAAGCTCCTTCTTGTTGCTCACATCATCTCACCCCACTGGTGCGGCCTTCTGATGACTGATGCGCCGCAGACGATATACACCTGGTCGCTGTCAAGCAGCGTGGGCGGGGAGGGTGTGATGTTCATGTCATTACTGGTGCAGCTGTCGGCCAACATGATGCGGGCGCTGACGCCTCCGTTCGGGAAATATGTCGCCGATGAGGCGAGACTGGAGGGCGAGTTCCGCTTCCAACACTCGAGATTAATAGACCACAGCGAGGAAGTCGCCCTGTATGCCGGCCACGAGGTCGAAAAGGACACCCTCGACAAGGGTTATTTCACCCTCATCAAGCACGTCAACTACATCCTGAGGCGGCGCTTCTACCACGGCTTCATGGAGGACTTTGTCATCAAATACTTTTGGGGCGCCCTGGGCCTGGTCCTCTGCAGCGTGCCCGTCTTCGTCAAGATACCAGGCTCCGTCACGCAGAACATGGGCGACAGGACCGAGACCTTCGTGACCAACAGGAGGATGCTGCTGTCTGCCTCCGACGCCTTCGGCCGGATCATGTTCTCGTACAGGGAGATCATGGAGCTCGCGGGCTACACCTCGCGTGTGGCCTCGCTCTTGGAGGTCATGGATGACATCCAGGCCGGCCACTTCGAGAAGAAGCTGGTCTCCAGCGCGGGCACCGAGGACAACGAGGCCGTGCTCAAGGGGCGAGGCACGGTCGTGGAGAGCAAGGACATCAAGTTCATCGACGTGTAAGTCTCATCATCTGACCACCTCCCCGAACCTCCGAACCTTATCAAACTGACATTGAATCCTCCAAAACAGACCCATAATCTCGCCCAACGGCGACGTCCTCGTCAAGGCCCTGTCCTTCTCCCTAAAACAGGGCGACCACCTGCTGGTCGTCGGCCCCAACGGCTGCGGCAAGTCCTCCCTCTTCCGCATCCTCGGCGGCCTGTGGCCCGTCTACGGCGGGACGGTCCACAAGCCCCCCTTCACGGACATCTTCTACATCCCGCAGCGGCCGTACCTCTCGCGCGGCTCCCTCCGGCAGCAGATCACCTACCCGGACGGCCTGCGCACGATGCGCGCCAAGGGCGTCACCGACACGGACCTCCTGGGCATCCTCCGGCTCCTGAGCCTCGAGTCCCTCGTGTCCCTGTACCCGGAGGGCTGGGACGCCGAGGCCGAGTGGCGCGACGTGCTCTCGGGGGGCCTGCAGCAGCGCGTCGCCATGGCGCGCCTCTTCTACCACCGGCCCCGGTACGCCATCCTCGACGAGTGCACGTCCTCGGTCACCCTCGAGACGGAGAAGGTCATGTACGACAACGCAAAGGCCCTCGGCATCACCCTCATGACCGTCAGCCACCGCCGCTCGCTGTGGAAGTACCACAGCCACATCCTGCAGTTCGACGGGCAGGGCAACTTTGTCTTCACGCGCCTCGACGCCGACCGCAGGATGCGGCTCGAGGACGAGCGCGAGGACCTCGAGGTCCTGCTGCGGCAGGTGCCCGAGCTCGAGAGGCGCGTCGCTGAGCTTACTTCCTCCTGAGGGGTTTCGATTTGTTTTTTGTTTTTTATTGTTTTGAGGCTCCTTGTGGGAGCGGAGCCGACCATATCAAATTTGGATCACCGCGGATTTATTAGATGGGCGGTGGTGCATGTTTGTGTCTGAGATTGAGGTTCCCAACACTCAGGAGAGAATGTACACTTAGTCTTGGTTAGCAGCATGGGTGGTTTAGCTTATTGCTCTCTCGCTGCCTCTCCCCCTATATCTCTCACACCTTCATATAGAAAGAAGCATATCAGGTGATAATAAGAAAATACTATATTACCATATTGACACCACTGCCGTCTTTGGGGCTCGTTTATTGCCCACCAGTCCGTTATTTGAATCAAAGAGACAATTCACAGCACATCATGACCAAATCATGTGGGTAGCAGCACAATAAAGTAACGCCCGAAAATATTCCATTCATTCATGGGGGGTTTCTATAACCCCATGCGAGGCGTCATCCGCCCGCTGCTATAACTTTTTTCACAACATCCGGGCCAGTCCACTCAGTAGAAAGCATACAATTAGTGCACGCTTCCCACCTGCTGGCCCTCGCCGTGTGTGTATGTAACATGAATATGCCTTGTCCGCCCTCAACGCCATCAAATGAATGCCACCCGCTCGCTGCTGGGTCCTGTTGTAACACCCCAGCCGCAGGACCGCGCCCTCCCCTCCTCGCTTCAAGAGAAGAGGTGTTGGTGGTCCTGTCCAAGGATCTGTTGTCGTCTGTCTGTCTCTATGCACTTTTCACCGGGCTTGTTTGCACACACGAGCAGCCTCCCGCCCCCCTGCACCCCAAATGCTCCGGCTTTTATGATCTACAGTCGTTCCGTGTCGTCAAGGCTTGCTTTTGTCAGCCCTTCGCACGGACTCTATCCCACATCGCCTCCCCTCTAATTCGCCACCTTCACGCCCCCGCCCAGCGGCTGCGCGCCCATCACCACGGCGCTGTCGTCCTCGGCCACGGCGCCCGGCAGCTGGCCCTCGGACTCGGTCAGGCCCTGGCGGATGGCGAGCACGCTGTCGACGATGACTGCGTCTATGCCTTCCTTTACTTGGCGCTGTGGTTTTGAGGGCCGGGTTAGCCCATCAGGATCGTACACATAACGAGCGAGGGTTGGAGGTGGAGGGGGGGGTCGGGGTCAAGGAATTAAATGCATACCTGTACCAAGCGCGGGTCGTTGTTCTCCACGCCGTAGCTGACGCACACCAGGCCGTGCTGCTTGACGACCCGGACGAGCCGCGGGCTGTTGGTGAAGGGCCTGGAGGCGCTGACGATGCCCAGCAGGTTCCACCTGCTCGCGAAGCGGATGGCCTCCTGCAGCGACGAGGCCCTGACGTCGCCGACGGGTGCGTCCCCGGCGTCGGTGAGGAACATGATGGGGAAGTTGGGCTGCTTGTAGCTGAGGCACAGGCAGATGTCCGGGTTGAAGCTGGAGAAGATGATGTGCCTGTCCTTGGCCAGGTCGTACACCTTGGCCAGGACCGTGTCGCAGAAGCTGTTGAGCTCCACCGCGTACGCGTCCATCTCGTGCTCCTCGCTCTCGTGCAGCATCGGGTACTTCATCTCGATGTTGAAGCCGACGCCCGAGGGGAGGTCGCGGAAGAGGTCCTCGAGCGTCGCGAACGGCGCCTGGATGAAGTTGCCGCGCGAGTTGCCCTTGTACCCCTTCTCCTTGAAGTCCCGCGTGTGCTTCATGCGCTCGTCCGCGTTCGGCGTCTCGCCCACGCCGTAACCTACCGACATGGACCGCTGCTTCGGCCTTGGGAGCACGTTGTTCTCGCGCATGTTGCGGAGCTGCTGGTTGAACATGTCCTTGCCATTCAGCCGGCGCGCGTCCGGGTTGATGTGCAGGAACTGCTCCAGGGTGAGTGTGTGCACTGGGGCGTCGATGCCGGTCTCGCTGACGAGGAAGTCATGATAGATGACTGGGACGTGGTCCTTGGTCAGCTGCACGTCGAACTCGACATAATTTGCCCCCAGGTTGGCGGCTGCGATGAACGACTCTACAGTGTTCTCGCCGAGCTGCAGGGACTTGTTGGATGTGTTGTTCTTGCCCAGGCCACGGTGGCCGATGACCATGGTGGAGGCCAACTTCTTCCAGTACGTCTGCTCAGAGGTAACCTCCATATTTGGGTGCGAGAAAGGCGTGACGACCAGAAAGTTGAAGTTGACAGTACCGATCACCTCCAGGGTGCTCGACGACATGACAGGTACACAAACATCACCCTGGAGGTTCATCCGCTTAGACCCGACAGAAGGGCGGATAGTGGAAAGTAGTGCCACAGCTCTACCGATCTTGTTCTTCTCGTTGCCAGAGTAGGTTGGCACAATGTCGAACAACAACTTGACTTTGCTGGCGTCCTTTGTTGTGAAAACAATGGGCTCCGTCGAGATGTTCTCATGCACGGGCAGATCAACGATGGTGGGCTCGCCCAGAGCACCATTGGCGGATACTACGACTGACAGCGCAGTATCGAGCTGTGTGGTGTGAGCCTCGTTGAGAGGCACGCGATCTAACTTGACAGCGTCGACGTCCCGTCTCATGTCCATCGAGCCAAGACTGACCAAGACCAGGCTCTCGTCCTTGAGGTAACGATGTCCAAACGTCTTGACCGGCTCAGCGACACGCGCAGTTACCTTGGAGCGACGGTCCTCAAGGGACTCGACCTTCGGAGGCGAGCCCCCGTTGGCGCTTGACTGTCCAGCGCCGTTGGTTTGAGCAGCGAGAGCAGAATCGTCCACATGGCTGTTCTCCTTGAGCAGATCAGCAAGAGCGAGATGCCCCCTCAGGGCAGCGTGTTCCCTGGCTGTCCACCCGGAAGAATCAATCTTGTCCACGTCAGCCCCGGCTTCGATCAGTAGCTTGGCGACGGATAAGTGTCCGTCGACTGCTGCAATATGGAGTGGTGTCCAGTTGAAATTCCTCTCCACAAGCTCCAGGCTGGCCTTCTGCTCTTCGGTGCCCTCCATCAAGATGCGAGCACACTCGTCATGGCCGAACCTAGCGGCGATGTGGAGGGCTGTTTCTCCCGAGCTGTCCTGCCAATTGATATCGACGCCGGCCTCCACAAGGAGCTTGACAATGGTCTTGAAGTTGGATTTTGTGGCAATAGCCAGGACAGCGCTGGACTTGGAAATGCCTCGTCTCCTAGCCATCTTGTCTTCGCTAGCTCCCTGCCAGTTTTCACCCTGGAGGAGAGCCTGGATGGTAAGAGGGTGGCCACCAATGACAGCGAGGTGGAGTGGCGCGTTGCCCTCTTTGTCTTGCCAGTCCTCAGAATCGATACCGTCTTCGACATTGAACTGCCCCCACTCTTGCATCTTGGCCATGATGATCTGACAGACCACCACGAACCCAAACTGAGCGGCATAATGAAGAGGAAGTCGGCCAAAAGAGTCTACGGTACTCAGTGCCGGCCGCTGATCCTCACTGAGTCTGTCAAGGAGGTAGATAAGTACCTGTACGGCCTCGTCGTTCTTATCGAGGAGATTCGTCTCGTTCACATGGCGAGAGTCAGGGGATGCCGAAGGTGAAGCGGCTGGGGTGATGTACTGGGACGCGTAGTGGTTTCCGGCAGGGAAGGGGTAGGCCGGAGCATCGGAATCCCTGGCGTTGGCGGACTTTGTCCGACCAATGTGGATGACCAAGCGGTGGATACAGTTCCGCTCGTTGATGTCATCTGCCTCATCCAGGGTCCTGAGATTTGACAGTATGAACTCGATGGAATCCTTGGAGCGTGCGGAAATCGACCTCTGCAGGAGGTTGTGCAACAAGCCCTGCGCCGGCGGCTCCGACAGGACCAGGCTGGCGTCTTTCAGATGGGTCTTCAAGGCCTCGACGTTGTTGTCCCGGATGGCCTGGTCCATCTGGTCCAGGAGAGCGGAGGGGACGGTGAGCATGCCCTTGGCCGAGGCTCGCCCCAGAGACCGGATGGACCTCTCTGAGCGATTGTCCTCGACGTTCTGTGCATCTCCAACCGCGGACATCCACTTGTTGATCTCATTCAGGAGCCTCGCAATGGTGTTATCTTTTGCGAAAGGTTTTGGGTCGACCTTTGTGGCGATGTAGCGGTGCTGGGTTGCCGAGTTTGGGACCTTTTTGTCGAGCTTTTTTGTGATCTTTACGAAGCCACGCCTGTTGATCTCACCAAACCACTGCAGCTTCCTGAACTGGGACCGCAGCTCGAGGAGGGCCCCCATGAGCTCTTCGGTCTCATCGACGTCCAGGTCGGACACGTCGGACATCTGGCCATAGCGGTCATGAAGGAGCTTCAGGCGCCGGCAGGCGTCTGAGAACTTCTTGTTGTAGAAATAGTCAACATCCTCCAGGTTCCGGTCCAGGGCGAAGAAGAATTCTGTTTCCGAGTGGTTAGGCGTGGGCTCAGCCCGCCAGGAGGGGGGTTGAGCGGTCCAAATGTTTACCTGCAAGATCCACCTTTTCGCCGCTCTGAGAGGCTCTGGCGTCGGCCTTGATGAGCTTCTTCAGGCCCTTGTAGTCGATGTAACTAGACGCCCACTCGGGCACCTGATTACGTGGCAAGCTGTGAGGGATGTCAGCCTGGGGTTTCTGGGCGGTGGACTAGGAGGAGAGGCATGAGGCATGTCATAGCATAGCATAGCTTATCATGGCGTAGCATACTTCTTTCCAAACTTCATGTTGCCGGCAGACTAGTCAAGGTCGAGTGGTGTGCCGGTAAGGGAATGCCGTGGAGGATTAAATGTCTGGCGTTGGGGCGAGTCGAGTGGGAGATAGTTGTAGGCCAGGCTGATTGCCAGGTTTTAATTGAGGGAAATTATGGGTCGAGGCGGCCACTACTGACGTCGAGATATGTGGCAATCTGTTGCTCTGATGGGGGGCCGCCGACGAGCTGGCCGTGAAGCTCGGCGAAGGGTGAAGTTCACAGGGAATCGAGAGTCTGCATTTTGATTGTGAGAAGGAGTCTCGGCTTGAAAATGGGTACTCAGGCAAATATGACCCTGCAGTAGTGATGTTGTGATGGTCGTCCAAGCAATTCTCGGGAGGAGCAGTCGATCAGATCAACCCAGTTGACGGTGGAAGTCCAGACAGAGTTGCAGAACAAATGAAATAAATGAATGCTATTTTTGAGAGTACACACACTAAGTGACCACTAAATAACAGCGATGCGGTGAGGATGAATCTAACGCAAGCCCGTGGTCGAAGTTGAAGTGGTTCCAGGACGGCTCGTGGGATAGCTAAGCAGGCTAAGCAGGCTAAGCAGGGTAGGAGGAGAGTGACGTCGAAGGGGTCTGAGAGCCGGGCCGGCCAATGGAAAAGGATGGACAAAGACACGTTCCTCAGCAAACGCGCCGGCTGGAAGGGCTATTTTGGCTGAGCGAGATCCGGGGAAGGGCCAGGCCGCCTTGTCTCCTATTTGACTTCTGACTCTGACAGCAAGGGATGGCTCTCGCAGTATGTGTCCCAGAGTTTTACCTCTGTTCCACGTCGGCCGTCACGGGTTCGCCCACGAGGCGCCCAAGCTGAGGCGAGTGTGGAGAACGGTCCCTCCCACCCGCTCATCGGGCTAGGAACACCCCTCTCAGGGTCCAGTTTAGTCCAGCGGCAGAGGGTCCCCCAAATTGTGGGCGCCATTGGGGACCTGTCAGGCTGTCAGGCCTGTCAACACAGTCATCAACGGTCTGCTGTCTCAGCTGCCTCACCACCGCCCATCCGTTCGGGACACCCTGACATCGTCTGTGCGACTCGGCTGGTGTTTAGTACAATTAGTATAATCGGTAGTCTACGGGCTGCGGTCTACCGTCACCTGCAACTGCTTGGCTCGACTGACTCGCACTGGCAGGACCAGAACCCGCATCCCCTGAGCCCCCCAGGACCCCCAGGACCCTCAGGACCCTGAATGATGAGCCCCCAGGCCAAGATCTACACCACGGTTTTGCTTTTCCCATGTTCCTGCCTTAGCCCTACGCACACGCCGACTCTACCCATTTCTACCCATTTGTGACATGTCACTGCCAACTCGACACATCGAGCTGGTGCACGTCAGATGAGACAAGCAATTGCGTCCCCCCGATAAGCTTCCAATTTATTACCAAAGCAAAACCTGCCGTCCTGACTGGTCCTATCCCACACCGTCGCCTGCTCACCTCGGAACCCCGGCCTTGGCGCCGCGCCGGTACATACTTGAGTACCTATGCACACCCCCAAGAGACTAACAAGCGCCGTTGCATTGGAAGCTCTGAGACGACGTAATGTGGGCAGCCCTGTGGTTGTTTCGTCATGTGCTCCCCCAAATAGAACCGCACCATCCGTTTCGCTATACTTCGAGAGCCTCGAGGACTTGTTGTCCTGCTCATGCGCCTCGAGACCTTTTTCGGACCCCGACGACCATAATTGTCTCGTGACTCGGCAATTGAGTCAGCGTAGAGAAGATGGAACAACTCCCCACGCCCAAGAGTCTGGGGTCTTGGGGACAGAAGCCAGGGTCTGGACGGTGATGTTGAAGCAGCTGCGTAAGGCATCAAGAGCGCTTAGAACTGACCTCTTGTGTTCGAGTCTTCGATCAGCCTCCTATGGAATAGTTAGCTTGCTGTGAAGACACATGGGGTCTACGGAAGAACATCCTACAGGACAGGCGGGGCGACTTGATCGTTTTCGAGAATGCTGATAGACTCTTTGCAATGATGGCACTTGAGTTTGCCCCTTTGATCAGAAGCAGAGAGGCATATCCCAAGACTCTCTGTCTCAAATTCAATACTGACTGAAGGCTGGTGTCGAAGACAATTGATTGTTACATTAAAGACAAAGTAACCAGTTGCCAATTAATAGAAATAAGTTCCGTATTAGGCAACGAATGGAAACGGATAGATAACCTCAATATTATACCTTTAAAATTATATAGGTAGGAGATGCTTTGGTCTTATCCCAGGTCGTATCATTAACGTAAGACAACTCGTCCATGACAACTAGTCAGTCATTTGATCCGTGACCAGCAAATTTTGGATATGTGACGGAGAGCATGGTGGACACTGGTCCAAGATCCCCTCCACCGAGGCATCTATCTTGCACTGAGACATGTGACCAGGTATACATGACTGGGCTTTCAAGTTCCTTCACCTCTCACGCTTTGCCATCTCTGTAGCTGGCAAGCATTGCTACGTTAAATTTGAACAATCCGCTCTAAACTCCGACTAACTTGTTGACAGCGTTCACTACATCATCCGTGGCGGTGAAGTTTGGGCAATGCCCGGCTGCAACTTCGAACACCTCCACTTTGCGACCGGCTTTCTCCATCTCCTCGATAAAGTGCTGTTGGTAGTGAACAGGCACGGTCATATCCGCGGTGGTCTTAATATAGGCAACTGGAATATCCCTCCAGGCAGCATGCTCGCTTGCTTGGTACATACAGTTTCCGTGCCAGCGGACCCAGGTCTTAAGGTAGGCCTCGATCTCTGCGTCGCTGGGACCGGGACCGATGATCAGAGTCTTTGGATCGCGGCTGACGGCGGTGCCATCATCAGCGAAGTCGAAAGCGAGAGGAACAAGGTCCATATTGTTGAACTCCTTGACCTTGTCCATCATGGCAATGCCCTCGGGTACGGCGTATCCACAAAGATAAACCAAGTGCGAAACACCGCCCTTGAGGCCCTTGGCAGCTCGCGCATCGGTGCCTAGCCCGTAAAGGGCGTTGGAGGCGACCTGCCCGCCATAGGAGTGGGCGATGGCTACGACACGGTGCCCGGCGCGGACTAGGCTTTCCGCGTAACTGCGTACGAGCGCCGTGTCATCGGCGAGGCCGGCATTGGGAGGGCGAACCTCGTTGGCGGACAGGAGACGCGGGCAGTGCACTTCGTAGCCAGAAGCTTCGAGCGCGCTGATGAGCTTCTCATAGCTCGCAGGCGTGTGCCAGCCTCCATGGATGATCTGTTGTGCGTGAGTTAGTGGGAGCCCATCCTCTCTTGAAGGGCGGGGGTTTCGTACCAAGATTGTTGGCTTGGTGGTGGTCGCCATGGTGGGTCTGGGTCGTTTCTTGGAAGGGTGGGGGGGTTGGACGAGGGGTGCAACCGGTTGACAGTGAGGGGATCTCAATAATGTGAATTGCCGTCTTCAGTTGTGGTGAGGGATTGAGTGGCAAGATGGGTTCCTTTAACGTTCGTAGACAGACGGGCAAGGTTGCAAGAAGGTGCAAGTCACATCGGCAACGTAAATATTGGGTGTTGGTTTCCTGCTGTTGGCCGTGGACGTCACCAACAGCCACGTCCGGATGTAACCGTAGTTGATATTTGACCAGCCAAAAATGCATGTCGAATCCTTCAGCCCCATTAATCTTGACTACATCATAACCCTTCTCAACCAGACTAGCAATTGATGCTGTCACCTGTGACTCAAACCTTTCCCTGAAATATGTGTGCACCCTGGTGCTCACCACTCCCCGAGGGTCCGCTTGGGAGGCACAGCTGCCTACGGAGTAGTCTGCCTTGACCAAGTCTATGCAGTCAAGATTCAAGAGTGTATACACTTACATTAGCCATCTTATACTCCGCTTTACTAACTATAAGCTTTAGGTTATTAGGGAAGAAATGAGTGGTTATATAGTGTAAAGGAAAAATATAGTGCGGCTGAAGTCAAGATTGTATAGAATTGAAGCCTTCCAAGGTTATTCAGCAGCCAGAGGTGCAGTAGGAGGAATAATCAAAAGGTTTGTGTCAAGAAGCACATGATCAAGTGAATTCTAAATTCCATGCTTACTTCCTTAGATCACTTGGGAGCTCCATTCCACCAATTGTCAATTGCTGAAGCTCAACTGGCGCCTTGTTTTGTTGCCTGGACAGCACACACGCTTTCCAACCTAAGCTTTATCAGCCTTGTTGATTTCCCTCCATCATCCACAAACACTCCATCTGCCACTTGTCGCAGCCCAGCATCCCATTCATTCCTTCTTTCAAGTCATCAACCGCCCGTCCACCTTCCAAGGTTGGCAGTTTGACTTCATCATGGTCCGCACACGATCCGGACGCCACACAGAAAACACCAAACAAGGGAAAGCCCGGCCAGCCAAGTCACACGCAGCAGATCATGTCGGCAGACGCAGCGGCGGGTCCTTCCACCGCTTCCAAGACCTCCCAGCCGAGCTCCGCCTGATGGTCTGGGAGGCCGCCCTGGCGCCCCGCCTCGTCGCGGTCAAGCCGAGGCTATGCCCCAAGAAGAGCGAAAAGGCGAGCAACCTGGAGATCAGCCTGCTGCGAGGCATCCCGGCCCTGCTCGCCGTCAGCCAGGAGTCCAGGTACCTCGCCCTGCGCCACTACACCTGGAGGTTCACCATCGACCTCTACTTCGTCTGCCGAAATGGCCTGGGCTACGTCGAAGTGGAGTCGCACAGGCGCGCGCGCGTCGTCATGGCGCCAGGCGACACCCTGGGACTCTTCCGGTGCCAGCCGAACTGGTATTCCTACGTACGCCCGGTAGACTTCCTCGTGAGGGTCGCCGACGAGAAGAGGAGCCCATGGCGGATCCACCCGACCACGAGCGCGCCGCGCGGTGGTGAGGATTGGTTCAGGAAGGTGGCGATCTTGGGGACGGCCCTCGAGAGGAACCTCTACATCGCCAGGGCCCTCAATAGCACGCTCTGGGACCTGGAGTCGCTGCTCCACGGGCGGTCCACCGTGGCGAGGACGGCGCGCTCGCCCCACACGAAACACAAGATATTCATCGCGTCCGCCGAGATGGAGCAGGTATCCTCATCGGCCTCGAACATCGCGAATGCCCTTTCCGCTAGGTTGCGGCTGGAGGATCGTTGGAGCCCAGACATATGGGCATACGAATTGGTCGGTGGCACGGAGGGAAAAGGCTGGCGCCGCTTTCTGAAGATGCTCTAGCCTGCGGTTCAACGTCATGTCCGATCTGCAGTCCGACGAGCTCCGAGATGGGGTGGTTATTACATGACGACGATGAGGAAGTCACGTTGAAGGACGAATCGGCCACATCAGTGGAACTGTTCAACCGGGACTTGGCACATACAGAGATGGCGTTGGGAACAAGGAGTCACTCATGGTTGTGGAAGGAATTAGAGCCTGGAATGGATGTGGCGTGTACATTGCGGCACTACAGGTTGGGACAGTCTCCTATAGGACGTGGCGATCTGGGTCCTTGGGCAGGCATTCACCGACACGCCCAACTTTCTCAGCCCACTTCATTCCTCACTCTCAAGTCGGAAAGGAGAAATCGCAAGCCTAATCGAGGTATGTGTATCACACAGCGCAGCTCTGAGCATGGGCTTAGAGGTAGCTGGATCTTCAGACAGCAAAGATATTTACCGGCTCAGCGGTCCGTTCTGAGTGCCTTCAGGCACATAGCAGTAACAATGGACCAGAATCTTTTTTGGCAGACAGTGCTTCCTCTTCTGACACTGGAACTGTGTAGTTTACGACCTTTGCTCAGATGTCCGCTACCCGGCCATAGCGTCTATGTTGTGAACCGGGTGATGATCTCTCCCATACTTGCCTGGATAGCAATTTCTCATCAACTGGATTCCTCTAGAAATATGCCCTCAAAGGCAACCGATGACCTTCCGTAGGCAAAGATAGCTGGTAACTGGAAGCAAGATACGGTTGTCCCATAGGCGGTTGTCTCATAGGAGGGGTCTCTGTCATGGCGCGTCGTGATGACTCAAGTCGTCTCGGCTGGCTGGAAGTCCTGCTCACTGCGCCTACATCCATGCCTGCTTTGTGTGGCAGCCTTCTTACGCACCGTAGGAAAAAACGGACGCCGATGGTTTGCCCGGCCGTCCCTGACGATTTCATCTTGACATTTCATGTACATGTTGTTTCGATGCGTGGTATATACCTAGTCTAAATGAAATTGCCGATGATGCCCGACAAGGTCTTGGCCTTGACGCAGCCATCGACTCCGATATTCAAACGGAGGGGCACTGATCCTACAGATCATGCAGATTGGGCAACGGGGCCGGGGGCCCAGACCGGCAGCTCGTCGTCCAGACCCTCCTCCTCCGGCTCGACGTCGTCTGTCACCTCTTCAGGCGGGGCGACGCCCTCATCATCTCGTGAACGGAATGACACTAGAGTGGTGGAATCGTCCGTGAACGGCATCAACACCTTGACGTCGTACAGCTCACACAGTATGCCGCGTACGGCCGTCTGAAACTGGGCGGCCAACACGAGCCGTAACTCGATCTCGAGTATGACCCGCTGCGCCTCCTCCCTGATGCCGTACATCTGGTCCAGCCGGTACCGCATCCACTCGGCGGCGAGCGCGGTGATCCTCCGGTCGTGCTCGAAGAGCTGCCAGCCCCCCGCGTCAGTCGGCGCCGGGATCGTATTCCTTAGAACCTTCGTCACTTTGCAGAACAGCTGCTCCGTCGTCCCGGGGTACAGGTCCCACGTCTTCGCCTCGAGTTGTTTGGCTGTCTTCAAGAGCTTCTGGTGCTTCAGTAGTACCATGGCCAGCCGGCGGTTGTGCACCTTCACGCGTGAGAGCTCGCTTATGGCTATCTTTGCGTAATCGATCGTGTTCAGCGGACCTAGCCTCGTGTATAAGACTCGACTTGCACGTCGAATGATGGGTTCCAGTCTCACGAGGTGTGTCTCCGCTTGCCTGATGAACATGGCGACTGTGAGCCGCCGGATGCTCTTACGGTCCTCTGCAGTGGTTGCAAGGGTTGTAGAGTGCCAGACCATGGTGGCCCGTTCTTCCGAGAAGGGCCAGCTGGGAGGTTTGCCCATGTTGAGTAGCGGATAAAGGTGCTCCGCCAGTTTCCTTGGGCAGTTGGCCCGGAGAATAAGGGAATTCATCACCCTGGCATTTTCGACGAATCCGCGCAGGAGAATGTCTGCCGCGGGGGCATCGAGATGGTACAGACACGACTTTAGCAGGTAGATGAAAAGCTCGACACTGATGCCCCATTTCTCCTGTAGCGATGCGACGAAAACCTTGGCCGCGTCCTTGACACGACCGAAATGCAGGAGCCCAGAGACCATGCTTTCGTATATTTCTCGGTTCCTCGTCGGCATCTCGATGACCCAGTTGCCTTTCAAAGAAGTCGTCACCTCGGGCTGCATGGCCCACTTGCGCAGGTCCGGAATATCGATGACATCTTGATGCCAACGCCGCCTGAGGAGCATGCCACGGTTATCGAGGGCCAGCATGCGGCGTATGATGCCATAGAAGCCAAAGATATCATCTTTCTGGCGATAATGAACCAGCAGACAGGCGACGGTTTGAGGGGTGGGTCGCAGACGGCTGTCTGCAAGGAGACATTCCGCCACTAGATCTGAGAGATTGTGCATCCCTTTCCTTGTGAAGCCCAAGATGAGGGCGTTATAGTGGTGGATGCTGGGCGGGACTGGGCAGACAAGCAAGTTGTAGCAGATTTTAGCCACCTGGTACTTGCGATGTGTGGCTTGATCCCACGTGTCGAACAGCTTTCGCAGCATCTCCGAGAGCTGGGTGCGGCCCTCTTCTGCTGCTGCCGGGTCAAGCCCCGGGTGATTGTAACGCGGGTATCCTTCGGAACGGAGCATGCGCATTGCGTTCCAGGCAGAGTCCAAACTGTTGAGCGACCTGCGAGCATACTCGGGGTCGGACGGGGTCTCGTCATAGTAAGACTGAATGATCAAGGAGTCGACGAGCTTGTTCATAGAGTCATGCAATCGCTCGAATTGTTGATTCGTCATAGGTTCGCGGTGAAGGATGCCAGCTTTTTCAGATTCCTGCCGTACGGATTCGGCAAGCAGATCGAAGTTAGGCCCAAGTATTTCGTATGAGCCCGCCAGTGTTCCTTTTGGACCGTATATGCTGTGCATCTGTCGGATGAAACTGTGGAAGGCTGGCTTGCTCTCGACATGGCGGATGAGGTGAGGTTCCATCTTGCAAATGGATTCGAGAATCTCCAGGGCGTTCCTTCCGAGCGAAGGGCTCATGATTTCTTCGAGCTTCTGGGCTTTGGAAGAGTTGCGCTCGGGGGCATCTTGATTGCTGGCAGCCGAGGACGACAGGCTGCGCGACAGGGTCAAGCCATTGCCATTGCTCGAGGAAGCAATGCTCCCGCGTAGCACCGCCGGCCGCACATTCTTGTTGTGGGCATCACGGACAGTGGGTGAGCCGCTGTGGGTGGTGTAGAGGGTGGTGGAGGCGAGGCCAAAAGGTGAGCATCGAAAACGGGTCACCAGGGTAGCGGCGCGTGTCGTCGGGGAGCGAGTGGCGTGGATGCAGGCTCTGCAGCTGCAGACATGAGCTGAAGCAGCTCGAGACCAAGTCGATAGCATACCGGAGGCATTGCGGAGGCAGTCACCGGCTGCTGCTTGGTTCCACGGTCCGGAGGGGGGTGAGGGCGGAGGTGACGGGCGACGGATTGTGCGTCGTCGCAAGGCGGCGTGGCCGGGTTGGGTGACAAGTGCATGGGTGATGATGGGTGATGGGTGCACGTCAAATTCTGGCGAGCCGCACTGCACTGCACTGCACTGCGCCAGACCCCCCAATCTCTGATAAGAGACCCCCCACCCCCCTCCTGGCGGGCTGGTGCCACTATGAGGGGTTGATCAGAGAGAGCACATGCTCTGCATCAATAGCTACCGCAATTGTAGTTGATTGACCGCCACCACAACAGTGTCAACTACAAGAATAACTTGTACAAGCAAGAGCATAAAACGGGTCAGTTGGCTCCGAATTTTGTCCTTGTGTGTCAGCCATCCTCTAACAAGAAAACACAGACAGACTCGGGAGAAGCCCAAGCACAACACAGGATGTACGCCCTCAGTGTGACGGCTGAGCTGGGAGGGTGAGCACTTGAGTAGGCTTCAGTTCACAGGAACAACCACTTGCTGACATGTCCCAGTGTGACTAACCTCCGGCCCGACGACACCGAGGGAAACCCCTTTTGGTACACGTTCAAGGTGCAGTGCACATCATGCAGAGAGACGCACGCGAACTGGGTCGGGGTGAATCGATTTGTGCGTTGAAAACCATGCATCCGTGGTCCCCGCCATCGTCGCAGCCCCTTGACACCAGCTGACTTGGTGTCAGGAAATGAACGAGATGGGCGGTAGCCGGGGCGAGGCAAACTTTGTATGGAAGTGCAAGAACTGCAAGGTATGGACGAGGCGAGAGTGCCGTCTCCCAACCCCACGAGCGTCGCAAGGGTGACGGACTGACAAGATGTGTGTGCCCAGCGCGAGTCCTCGGCTACCATCAAGGCAGCTCCCTCTCCGTATGAGCAGTCGGAGCCGGCAAAACCAAAGAACATCCTGGAGTTTGACTGCCGGGGGCTCGAGTTTACCGAGTTCAAGCCAGAGGTATGAGACACATTGCTTCCAAGGTTGGTGATTCGATAGCATGGGAATTGACCTTGTGTCGGAAACAGGGAGATTGGCTGGCAGAGGGCCTCGAATCCGGGACAAAGTTCACTGGCATCGACCTGTCTGACGGCGAGTGGTTCGACTACGACGAGAAGGCTGGAGACGAGGTCAGCATCAAGGACATCAAGTGGGAAATCAAGAGGTCATGAGGAGACTGGGCTGGTTCGCCGTGGTGAGATTGCAGAATATTGCAGTCTCATAGGAGCTTGTCTCGTAATTACTGGAGGAAACTGGGCGGAAGGGGTCCCGAGCACCGACGACGGGCTGAAACGGAAAGTCCAAGCCATACTCTTTTGCACCACATGCTTAGCTGGACTACTTTTGCAAGTCCTCACTGAACAAATAAAGTATGAGCATGAGCATGCTCACTTGTGAAGGGGGCGATGTAGAACCTGAGAGAAGCTCCCATCGACGGCGGCCGTTGATATTTGCACTAGCATCAACCAGCTTATCCGCACCGGCCAGCCATCAAACCTGGCATTCGGTCTTGAAATTAAACCACCCCCATTTCTCTCCGCCACCACCACCACAAAGCCACCTCACCTCACCCAACTCAGAGAAGCCCCCAAGATGGTGTCCTCAGAACTGGGCCCGCAGCTGCAGTTCCTGACCGACGCCGCCCATCTCCTGTCGGCCTCGGCACCCGAAACCTCTGCCTTTCTGATGAGCAGGCGCACAGCTCTGCTGGTCGACCATGATGTCCCCATATCTGACCACCAGCGACAACATGTCTGCAGCTGCTGTGGGCACATCATGATCCCGGGCCAAGGCACCCAACTCAAAATTGGGGTGGACAAGGCGCTCAAGGCCAGGGCCAGCAGGCAACCCAGGGCCAAAGGCACAACGCAGAGGCCAGGAGTATCCAAGGTCTTCACATGCGGTAGATGCAGCAGGTACACCAAATCGCAACTGCCTGCTCCCAAACCTCTCAAGGCCCGGGGCAGGAGCAGCAAGAAGGTGGGCCAGCAGAAGGTGCTACACGACAAGCGGCCATCAGCAACGCTTGCCTCAGCATCAGCATCAGCATCAGCATCAGCGCCAGCGCCAGCACCCACTGAAGGGGCCAGGCTTTCTGCAAACGCCAGCAGCAAGAAGCGAGCCAAGAACCGCAAGGCTGGCCTGCAGGCACTGCTCGACCAGAGATCCGGACAGTCCTCTGGTGCCTCCTCCGGCTTTGGCCTGAGCTTCGCAGACTTTATGAAGAAGTAGTGACAGGTCAGACCCGCGAGACGTCTCACTCACTCACTCGGCCGAGACTCATGGGCCAGCCGGGCAGTCGCGAGAAGGTTCCCCCACGCCTAACCGCCTATGACATAAGCCTGGCTGCCCGAAGATTTCCACCCCGCCATCGCCGCGCCCAGATTCTTGGGGACTGCTAATTAATATGACCATGACTGTTGCCCCTCCAAATTTTTTGATCGCAAACATCAAGGCATAATCTTTTTGCGACACAGGTTTTTACCAAGGGTCAAAACAGCACAATGTCTTCCTCGGACCAGGCGCAGAGCAACGGCTCTAACAACCCCGTCACCTCGAATGAGTACTTCCGTTCCATCGGCCAGCAGGTCGACCAGGTCGCTCCCGCCACCAACGGCGCCTCCGACAGCGACGATGTCAAGCCCGTCGAGGAGATCGAATCCCTCTGCATGAACTGCCACGACAATGTCAGCCGCGCACCCCCTCTGTTCCTTCCATCCGTAGTCAAGACAGACCAAAACTAACTGGCGTTTCCCGCTCCAGGGCATCACCCGCCTCCTCCTCACCAAGATTCCCTACTTCCGCGAGATAATACTCATGTCCTTCTCATGCGACCACTGCGGCTTCAAGAACAGCGAGATCCAGGCCGCCGGGTCCGTCCAGCCAAAGGGCACCCACTACGAGCTCCGACTCACATCCCAGGCCGACTTTGCCCGCCAGATCGTCAAGTCAGACTCCGCGACAGTCAAGTTTATCGAGCTCGACCTCGAGGTGCCCCCCGGGAAGGGCCAGCTGACCAACGTCGAGGGCATCCTCACCAACATAATCGACGACCTCGAGTTCGGCCAGGAGACGCGCAGGCAGCAGTCACCAGAAGTCTACGAGAAGGTGGCCGAGATCATCGCCAAGGGCCGCTCCATGGTCGCGGGCGACTCCTTCCCCTTCCGCCTCTACGTCGACGACCCCGCGGGCAACAGCTGGATAGCCCCCGACCTGCAGGACGGGGTCGGCAAGTGGTCGAAACGGGAGTACCTGCGCACGGATGAGCAGAACGAGGCGCTGGGCCTGTCGGACACGGCCCCGGCCAGCGGCGACGGGTCCATCCCAGTGGGCGGCCAGGGCCGGCTGGGCGACAACGACGAGATCCTGCCGGACGAGGTGTACAGCTTCCCCGCGAGCTGCCCGGGCTGCATGCACCCGTGCGTGACACACATGAAGATGGTCGACATCCCGCACTTCAAGCAGGTCGTGCTCATGAGCACCGTCTGCGAGGACTGCGGCTACCGCAGCAACGACGTTAAGACCGGCGGCGAGGTCCCCGCCCGCGGCAAGCGCATCACCCTGCGCGTCAGGGACGAGACCGACCTGGCCCGCGACATCCTCAAGAGCGAGAGCTGCGCCCTCGAGTGCCCCGAGCTCGAGCTCTCCGTCAACCCGGGCACCCTGGGCGGCCGCTTCACCACCGTCGAGGGCCTGCTGACCCAGGTGCGCGGCGACCTGCACAGCCAGATCTTCCAGGGCGCCGACGAGGGCGGCAGCGGCGGCGACTCCCTCGCCTCCGAGGAGAAGGCCAAGTGGGACCGCTTCTTCGAGGGCCTCGACGCCGCCATCAAGGGCGACCGCGAGTTCAGCATCGTCCTGGTCGACCCCCTGGCTAGCAGCTACGTGCAGAGCCTGGCCGACGACCCGAGCCAGCCCGACGACCGCATGACCATCGAGGAGTACGACCGGACACACGAGGAGGAGGAGGACCTCGGGCTGACCGACATGAAGGTTGAGGGCTATGAGGAGGATGCCAAGGCTGATGGTGCCCCGGCTGCTTCCTCATGACATGGTGGATGGCGCTGAGACCAACTGCTTGCTGCCTTTTCTCACCCGCACGCGATGTTTTCTTGCCCTCCTTCATACATAGACCAAAAGTTTGCATGCATCAGAGATACCAGAGAGGTGTTGTGAGAAATACATCATGGCTGACGGAGCACAATGAGCAACCTGCCTTCCTCCCCTTTGAAGTCTGTGAACGGCATGACCTGCACCCCCTTTTTTCAGTTAGGACACACAGGAAATAAGAAAGGCCAAAGTAAATATACTAATGTCATCATTGCTTTTCGCGTCTATCTGCGGGCTGCCCCGGTCTCATCTGGCCGGAACAGAATCATCTGGCCGGAACAGAACCCTTCAAAAAAAAAAAACTCAAGTGTGTTCTCACTCATCTGGCACTTTTTTTTTCTGATGTCGTTTTCCACCCCTTTTATTTTTTCCTATCCTTTCTTGTCTTCCCCTGGGAGGATATCATCCAGTGCGAGAAACCAATCTTTCAGAGGAACCAACTCGAATCCCTCAATTAGACCAAGCATCCAGTCCACCCCGAAAGTTGCCAGGCATCAAATAAGAACCAGGTCGCGGGGCGGTCGGTGCGGCCAAACCTCCAAAAGAGGGTGAAAAAAAGAAAAGCACCCGTCACATCCAAGACGAAAACCACCCAAGACATTCTTGTGAGAACGAGAGGCCTGCAGTCTCTCTCTCTCTCTGTCTCTCGGAGGACTATGATCGTACAAATACAGTCGATCCCGGTAAGGTGGATCCTGCCAGTCCAGTGTATCCTGGCCCAGACGCATGATACTGCTTTTCTTCTTCTGCGTGCAACAGCTTTTTGTGTGGCTAGCCCCTTGTCGTGTTGCTTGATTTGAAAAGACAATCCAGAATCAAAGGTGGAAAGACTGCAGCGACGGAAAAGGAAAAGAGACGCCGGAGAGGGGAAGTTAATCCCTCAGGTTGCCGCCGTGGAGGACCCCGGAGATTAAAGCAGGCTAATAAGGGCCGCCTCAAAGTGCCGAACCAAGACGAAAGGAAAAGAAGGCACAAATTCGTAGATCATGCCGAGGGGTATTAGTTCCGTAGACCAAACGCCAAAAAGAGAAAAGCCCACGAGTGAAGAACCAAGTGTGTCCTGGATCGTGTGTGGTGGCCGGATTTCCTTGTCCGTGTGAACAGGGCCAGGCGATCTAAATCAGGTCCGCTCTTCCTCATCAGAGCAGTTCACCATCCATATCCAGTTGCGTAGCGGCGAAATGAAGGCCCTAGAAGAAGGTGGGTTTCGTAAGAACGCGGTACTCCACGTAGTCCTCGCCGTCAATAGAGATGATGGTCCCCTGGGAGACGAGCTTGCCCTCGAAGGGGCCAGTCTGCTTGCGCTCGTACTTGATGCCCATGTAGATCTTGGCGTCCTCCTTGTTCGCTCGCATACGGCGGGCCTCCTGAGCAGCCCAGACTCGGTTCAGGCGGGAGACGTTGTCCTGGAAGGTAGCCTGACCATCGGCTTCTCCGTCGACCTCGCCCTCGGTGGTCTGACGGGCCATGTAGGCAGCCTCGCGCTGGTCGTTCTTTGTCTGCCTTGCCTCTGCGCGAGCGACCGCGTTGACGGCCAAGTTGTTTGTGCGGGACTCGACAGCAACGCCGCGGTTAGCAGCGCGGAACTCGGGAGGCTGCGTGGACTGGCGAGCCTGGTTTGGCACGAGAGTCGGCAGCGAACGGCGGGCGTGGGCTTGACGGGTCTCGTGGGTAGGAGTCTCGCGCTTGAGGAAATTATCAGGGTATGGACCCTCGCCGAGGCCGCCGTTGGTGTTGGATGGCAAGGGCTGCTCTCTAGGCTCAGGCTTGGTAAAGCCCGAAGCGACGCGGTGACGTGCCTCGTCGATAGCCAGCTTGCGATTCTGATCCTTGTCCTCGGGGCGCTCGCCGTGATCCATCTGATACTGCCGAACACGACAATACTCCTTGAGTTCCACGCGGCTCATGCCCTCAAGGTAGTCCTCAATCTGGTACTCATCGAACGAGAGCCATAGCGCGCCTGCGCCAGAAGGGAAGTTACTCTGCAAAGGCCTGCCATCACGAGTCTCCCGCCCCACCTTGACGCGGAACATGTCGTTGTTGCCAAGAATGCCGAAAACAGCGTGCTTGTCCTTATCGTCGGGCTCGGCAGAGCCCTTCCAGAAACCCAGGAGGATCTTGGTAGGGCGGGTGCCATGGAGATCAGCCACGGGCGGGTGTGAGGGGGTGTTGGCGGACTTCGCAACCGGGGTGGCGTTGGCAGAGTTGACTCCCCCTGTACGGCGACGCTTCTCGGGACGATGAAGGGCATGGTCGGGGATGTCGACACCGTAAGCAATCTGTGGCGGCTGGGCTCCTTCAACCTGGGCGCCGCGTGCCTTGCACCGCGCTATGGCCTGCTGGACGGCGGCCGAGTTGGGGCCAATCTCGCCCTCAGGGTCATCCATCTCAGACCGGATCTTGACATACTCCTTGACCTGGGTCTGGTCAAGATGCACGAGATGATCATCGAACACGATCTTCTCAAAGGTCACCCAGCTGCCACCAGGTCCCGGATTAAGGGGGTAAAGGTCGGTGACAACCTTGCCATGGCGGTTGCAGGGCTGGACACGAGTGCGCAGGCGGTCACGGGAATCGATAAAGCCCTTAACAATATGCTTATCACCGATGGGCGCCTTGGACTCACGCCAATAGCCAATCGTCACGCCCTTGACACTAGCAAGGCCATGAGTTGTGCGGGGCGTCTTACCGATCCTGGGTGCGGCTGCAGGGCCTGGGGCTGGAGAGGCTTCTTCGTCCGTCTCGTCGGGGACCAAGGACTTGTTTATCTTGTCCTCGGTGAGATCACCAAAGACATAAGACCGCTTCCGCTTAGGATAGTTGGAAATGGGGGCGTCAGCCATCTCCTCCTCTTGGTCGACATCCATGATGTTAGAGTCCTCCCGGTCAACAGCGGGGGGGAGACCCTCGGTCTTGGGGGTGCCATCATTGTTGGCGGAGCCAACAACGATCTCGTCCTGGGAGCCTTCGTTCATGGGCACATCAGACATGCCGCTTATAGACTCGGGTGGATCACTCAAGTCATTGTCGTTGCCAGTATCGTCATCAAGGCCGGGGTCCTTGATAACCGAGCCAACCTCGCTGTCTGCGCCGTATGCCATGCTGGGCATGGTCCTGGGAACCAAGTCAGCTGACCAAGTGGTTATGTAGTTGTGGTGTTAGCTGGGGGTAGACATAAGTCAAGGGGGCATCTGAATATACTGCGGTGGTTGAATCATTGGGGTCTGTGGTATGCTGGGTGGTCATCAATGCAAGGTGGGGCAGGGGGTCCAAGTAAGAGTGTATGAAGCAAAAGCTGAGAGAGCCAAACGAGGAGAGGTTGGATTGGGGGCGAGGTTTTCCAGCAGTACAAATTGATCTGTCCCTTGACGAGTGTGTGTGCGCGTGTGCGTGTGGAATAGGGCAACGGAGGGCAACGGAGGGCATCGGCAGGGCTGGGTTTGCAAGTGGAGGGGATGAGAAGCATCGCGATGTCGCACCTGCGACTGGTCCACAAGCTACTGAGAACGTACATGTTGCGAGCCCTACTCCTCGTCGCAGCGAACACACCAGTGATGGGGGTTGACAAAGACATGGCTTGAGCCTGTTGCAGCCCCGTCTTATTGTCCAAGGTGTGGTGGCACTCAACTCTTGGGCTTGTTTGGTGTCTGTGGTGATGGGTTGGGTGGGTTGTGCTGGAGTTGGGGTTGACACAAGAACAAGCAGGCTTGGGTAGGAAGGAAGTGTGGTCAGGAGACATAATTAGAGAGGGAAGGAGTAGAGGTAGAGCCTGGGCCAAGGGTGAATGGCAGACGAACAGTCCTGACGAACAGTATTGACAAACAAGACATTGAAGCTAGAGGCAGTGGACAAAGTGAACTGATGGTGCTGGGGTCGATAGAATGGTTGCTCAATGATATTGTGAAGCTCGTGCAAGTGCATCGCCGCCGGGGACCAGCCCAGTCAACACCCTCGTTGAGTCGCCAGGACATCTCGTCACTGGTGGAGATGACAGGCCCCCCAGCCAAAAAGTGATATATTGTGACTTTTACAATGGCAACTTGTCTGCTACTGATGGAAAAGTGTCTGGCAACCCAAGGTGAAGTATCGGGGGCTGAGTTGAGGGGGAGAAAAAGTGTGGTGTGAGAGAGTGTTGGAAACATGCCAAGGTCGTCACAAGCTGCGATGCGACAACAACAACAGCAGCAGCATGGAGGCCATGGGAGGAACCGTTACTCAGACGAAAGTGGCCCGCAAGAAGCCAAACTTACGTGGCAAATGATGCCTTCTCTGGCTGGATTTTGTCTGATCTTGGGGTGGCTGGCTCCGATGCGACAGCGCCCTTGTCGGGGGACGTCTCTGGGGTCTTCTTGGGCTCGATGGGTGGTGTCTGCGCGGGAGACTTATCCACAGGCGGGCTCTTGGGTGCCTCAAACGAGGAATTGTCCGATTCCATAGTGGAAGTGCAAAGCTCAATGGGACTTGGTCAGGTGCTCAAACAGCCAGTGGCGTGGCGCGATGATTTGCACAAGTCTGAAGTGAGGCTTGTGGACGGAGAGTGTGGAGGCTGAAGAGGAACAAGAAGACGGGTGGAAAGGATGGATGGCAGCCCTGGAGGGTGTGGTCGGCCCTTGTCGCGCGAGCCACAGTCAGAAGGAGTGAGGGTCGGGGCACTACCTGATGTCTGGGGTGGAGCAAGCTGTTTGTGTGGCGTGGTGTGGTGTGGGCGAGAGCCAATTGGGCTGTGAAATGATTGAAGAAACAAAGTGAGATAGAAGAAGAGGGGGTATTTGGGCCGACAACTGATGGGAAAAGATAATTGTTGGCAAGTGGTTCTGGTGTACTGGGATGCGCTAATTTGCAAGAGAGACAGCTCTACGGGCTAGGGGACGGGTTTGTTAGCTGTTTGTTGGTATTGTGCAGGTCTGGCCGGGAAACTAAGCTAGCAAGTAAAGTGAGTTTTGCGAGGGGTCTTTTGCACTGCGGATGGTGGAACTTTGAGAAGCAAAGACTGTGCTACTCAGTGGTTTCAAAGCCTGGACTCTTAGCGTTGGGGGGTTCATCGGGGGTACCTGGCAACCTGGAAATCCGCGGCAGCTGCTTCTCGGCTAGTGTTCGGGATATGAGGACAGGGGAAATATCTGCACACTGCAGTCCCAAACAACTCAGCACATCAGAATACATTGGGTCACGGCACCTACGATGGCTGAAGAAAGAAGAGGCAGCTAGGAACTCAGAGGCAGCAACCAAGCCAGCCTGTCTGTTGACGTGATTGACCAATTCAGTAAACACGAGCATGCACAGGTGAGGTTGCCTTGTCTTTCTATTGGAGGAACTGGCTGGATATCAATGACACGGTATCAAAGGTCAATATACACACTACAGCCTGCACAGCCATCTCTGGCAATAAGGTTCAATAGATGCACACAACGAACAATGCATGGTTTTGAACTCGGAGGTTGGCATGATAATGGGATTGAGAGATGTTGGTTGTTGAGCCTCTGGCATTCTGCGCCTGGCTGCCTGGGGGGGTGGCATCCTCCATGAACCTTCTGTCTTCCAAGGTTGGGGTGGGCCTGGGGATGAGGTCTTGGTATCTGAAAGGATCTCCCGGCTGCCCGGCAGGGAAGCCAACACTAGCGGGCAAGGGCGACGGATCAAATTTAGTGTGTCATTACAGCAAATCTTGAATGCTGGTGGGTGACACGCAAGCACTCCCTCAGAGGCTGGCTCTTTCCCAAGCCGGACAGAGGCCCATGGAGCTATTGGCTGGGTCCTCCTGCGGTGGGGCGCTAATTACATTGCAATCAGCTCACTGGTTTCAAATCTAACCAGACCTACCAGACCTATGTACCAGACCTTGCAGACCTACCGAGTACCAGACCAGACATAGACACCAGACACAGCCAGAGACACGGCTCTCGGAACATGCCTGGCACGCATGAGAATGAGCATGAGCATGAGCATTGGAGCCAGCCAGGTAGCTTCCATGGTAACTCATCGTGACTCCAAGTGTCTCACTACTTTTTGAAGCCGGTGATACGGCTCGGGCCTTAGCCACTGCTTATTAACGCGGGGGATCGTTTAAGGTCCTGTTGGTCTACCCACTACGGAGCAAGTTCTCCACTGCAACATTCAAAGATAAGTGCTGGTCCACGCAAAAAGGCTGTGAAAATCCAACCTGCCTGCCTGACCTGGGGAAGTGCCAAGCTTGATTACAGGTCACCCACTGTCAGAAAAAGGAGATTGGACTCGACCAGCTTTGTTTTGATATGGATAAGATTGAACAAAAGCAACCTCGGAAGTTGCAGTAACTATGCCATGCATAAAACCAGACTGGTGTGCCAGCTCTTTGACTTCAATCCTGCAGAGCCCAAGGCCTCCGAGGTTTCCAGGCCCCGACTTTGCATACCTAGTACCAACAGGCAGGCTGGCCCCACTCTTGTGATCCAAGATCTTGGCCGACCAAGGCGCTTCGTCCCCTCTGCTTGAGTTCCCACAGTGCGTGCACTGCCCTGCCTGGGCCGCCTCTTGAAGTGTCTCAAGAAAAGTTTCCAGGAAAACATGACCAAAGTTTAGGTATTTCCCATTAGAGTGTTTCCAAGATGTACTTGAGCAGCACACAGTAACTCAGAAGTACCAACCAAGCTGGACTTTATTGCCTAAGCACTCATAGCTTTGAGCTAAAAGTGCTGGGAGTTGCACTATAGATCAGCACGTCGCCCGCCTGCATCGACTCGGCACGGCCAAGTGTGCATGGAGTAGGTAGCCTCTGTCACCGAACAAAGTGCGTGTTTTCGAAATCAGATGCTGCCACTCTGTACGCTTCCTAACGGAATTTTCCAGACGGATTCGCTCAAGCGCTAAGACACCAAGAGTCGGCTAGCGGTAGTCTTCGAGAGTGTGCTTCGCCGTGTAGTGACATCTGTAATTGACAAGGCGATGGGAGTGGCAAGTCCACTCGCTTGCTTCGAATTACTTTCGGGGCATAAGACGGCCGGTATAAAAACTCATCCACTTGCCCTTGCGACATAGACGGGCTGCCAGCGGCTCCCACCGGACGGGTCACATGATGCAGGCGAGTAGATAGAAGCATGTACTCTGCCGCATGAAATATGCTGCAATGAGTCAGACCGAGTAGAAGCGCCGCACTCGCCCAGCGCAAGAGGCAACACTAGTTGACCCAAGTGTGATTGCCAGGTCCTTGGAGAGAGGCCTCCACTGGGCTGGTTTTGTGAGAAATGGGGTGGTTCTGCCAACCTAGCTCCTAGAACATGGCGGGAGAGGTTTGACTAACGCGTCCGCGGCGGCAGTGGTCCCTGGAGAATGAGGTCCAAGAAGACGCGGCGTGGCCGGAACGCGTCTAGCCACAGCCGAATAAGTTGTGCGAAGGCAGCACTCTCAGACCGGTCAAGCGGGGACAAGTCCACCACGTATAAAGTGGAATGCCGATTTGGCTGTTGTCAGGCTGTGTGCTGGATTAGGTGGGACAGCCTTGGCTCAACCGCCTCTTCCGCCTCGGCCTCCTCTGCCTCCTCTTCCACCCCGTCCACGTCCACCGCCCCTCTTCCCGCCCCGGGGCGCCGAGCGCACATCATATAGCTTGTACAACAGCTCTTGACCGAACGCGCCCTCGCCGAAGCGCATGTAGTTTATCACACCGTGGTCGTTCACCGCCACCAGCACGTTGCGGTGTCCGTGCTTGAGCCTCCTGTGCATCATGAACGGGGCCTGGCCCTGCCGCGGCAGTCGCGGCGGCGGCGGTGCGTACGGCACAGAGTCCAACAGGGCTGATACTTCATCCGAGGTTGGCACGGATGTGTCGTGTGCATCGACGACGGCGAGGTAGTATTCGGGCGGGGGTGGCTTGGTCTTGGACCAGTTCTGGGCGCTGGGCTTCCAGACGAGGAATTGCACGCGGAAGGGGCTGTGTTGGGTTTCTGATAGTGGTGCGGGAGGATGCGCGGTCGGGTCGTATCTCGGTGCGACGGCAATTTGTTTGTAGATTGAGCTGTAAGACCTGTACAAGCCTGGCCGTAGGAGCGGGCCGTACGCTGGATGGGCGGGTTGTCGGTCGGCGTAGAGCAGGGCGAAGAGCCTTTGCCACACGGGCTGTTGGTCTCCGGCGACGCTGCCCTTGGGGGCGGGTAGATCGGAGGTCGGCGGGGGCACTCTGATGACGTTGAAGCCTGCACGGTTGAGGTTCGAGTAGACTTGCAGGTTGCGAAGTGATGTCTTGCCCCTCTCGCCCTCTTTCCCGACGAGCAGGGCGTACGCGGCTTGCAGACTTAGCGGGAAACCGAGGGCATACTCATCCTCCTTCTCGGCGTCTAGTATTGCGCCCGCGCCCTTTCCCTCGCTGCCCAGTGGGAATATCTCGTCCATGGTTGCTGTCGGCCACCAGAGGTCCAGGTCACCCCTCTCGATCAGGAAGAGCGCCTCCTCTGGCAGCAGCCACACCTGGTCCCAGCCGGGTTTGTTGTTGCCCTGCCCTCTTATCTTCCTCCCGAGGGTCTTGTGTTCGAAGCCCATGCAGACAACCCTCTCCTGCGCATGCAGCTCCCTCCTCTCCGCATTGACGATCCTGCTCTTGACCTCGTTGCCCTCAAACACCTCGTCCTCGAGCCAGCGGTCGGGGAAGTACCAGCCGCGCACCCAGTCCTTGTTTTTGTGCACGCGCGTGTAGCCGAGGACCTCCTCCATGGCCTGCCGGCTCTTTTCTAGCGCGCTGGCCTGCGACTTGGTGCCATGCGACTCGAAGTCCTTCTCGCCCTTACGGATGGCCGAGACGGAGATGTTCTTCTTGCGCTGCAGCGTGGTGAAGTGGCGGAAGTCCTGCGCCTCATCTTCGAGAGCCTCCTCGGCGGTGGCCTGCGCATCCTCGGGCGACTCGGCCGGGCGCTGTGCCGAGATATCGTCGTCGTCGTCGAATGCCATGGTTGTTGTGGTCGTTTGGCATGTGGAATTGAGGGTCTGGGAATGGAACTTCAATCCTCTCCAAAAAGTTGCCGTCCCATTTTGGGGTAGGCCTGCAATAGCGTCGGTACGCCTGGAGGTAGCCCCGCACAGTCAGGGCACTAGGGTACATGGGTACAAGGTATGAGAAAGGCATGCTCAAGACCTGACACGAGATGGAAATTCTCATACCTACCTACCTCTATAAGTACCTAGGTACCTAGGTAGGTAGTAAATATAGATAGAATTCTATATAAAGTTAAAAAAAAATTATATAAAATATTAATATTATAAATATTAATATTTTTATAAGAATAATATAATATATTTAAAGTATTAATACTTATTTATAATAATATAACTTTAAAACCTTTTAATAAAAGGAAATAGAAGGATAAATAGGAAAATCCCCCTAAAAAAGTTTAAAAAAAAAAGAGGCTGATGCGAGTGAGATTCGAACTCACGCCCGTGAAGACTGCGGTTATAAATGAGACAGATCTCACCTAAACACAGCGCCTTAGACCACTCGGCCATCGCACCTGGTTCAGCCGTCGTTAACAGAGATCCCGGTAATTTCAAAATTTATCGCAAGATCTTTTAGCAGGCAGAGCTTAAGCAGTGGTGGACTGCCAGCCTAATATACTCTTATAAAGGGTTTAAAATCATATAATTTTAAGATTTAATATAAGAAAACTTAGTTATAACTTTAAATAATATTAAATATTTATTTAAATAAAATTTAATATTTTTATAATATTTATATAACTTATTTTTTAAAATTATATTTATTACATTATAAAATATTATAAATAAAATTATTTAATATAAAAGTTTTTTATAAGAGGTTAGTGTTAACTATAAGAGGTGTGCCTATTAGATAAATTAAGTAAGAGTTACGTGATATAAAGGTTAACTTACCTATAACCTCTCACTCATGCTGCCCTAGTAGGTCTTCCTTTAACCTACTACTACCTTAAATACTACTCTACTTTATGCCTAACTGTACCGTGCTACACTAGAGGGTGTCTTATAAGAAGGTGTTCTATAAGAGAGTATCTTATAAGAGGTGTCCTATAGGAGGGTATCCTATAAAAGGGTGTCTTATAAGAGGGTGTCTTATAAGAAGGTGTTCTATAAGAAGGTATCTTATAGGAGAGTGTCCTATAGGAGAGTGTCCTATAAGAGGGTGTCCTATAGGAGGGTGTCCTATAGGAGGGTGTCCTATAGGAGGGTGTCCTATAGGAGGGTGTCCTATAGGAGGGTGTCCTGTAGGAGGGTGTCCTGTAGGAGGGTGTCCTGTAGGAGGGTGTCCTATAGGAGGGTGTCCTATAGGAGGGTGTCCTATAGGAGGGTGTCCTATAGGAGGGTGTCCTATAGGAGGGTGTCTTATAAGAAGGTGTTTTATAAGAGAGTATTTTATAGGAGGGTGTTATATAAAAGGTATCTATTTAAAAGATTTTATTTTAAAGGTTTTTTTATAAGAATTAAAGATTAAACTTTATTTAAATAACTTTATTAAATATTTTTATTATAAATTAAATATTTAAAAGTTTAAATATATATTACTTTTAAAATTCTTTTATTAAAATTTAAATTTATATTTATAAAAACTATTATTTTTAATAATAAACTTTTATAAATAATATTTTAATTACTATTTATATTAATATTTATATATATATATAATATTATTTTAAAACTTTAATTTTATAAACTTATTATATTAATATATATTATTAAAATAATAAAATAATAAAAGTATTTATAAAATATTTAATAATATATAAATATTAAATATATTAATTTTATTTATATATAATAATAATAAGAATAATATATATTAATAATATAATTTTAAAAAGAAAATTAAATAAATTTAATATTAAAAATACTTTTATAAATTATTTATTATTATTTTTATTATTAAATTAAAAATAAATAATAAAAGTTTTTAAAAAATATAATATAATATAACTTTAAAATTAATTTAATTAAAATTATTATATAAATCTTTTATAATAACTTTATAATTTATTATATTTATTATATTATTAATTTATTAAAAATTAAAATTATTATTAGAGGGAGAAAAAAAGAGAGGGGGGAAAGAAAGGAGGAAAGGGGGAGGAAGGGAGGGTTAAAAAGAGAGAAGAAAGGAGGGAGGAAGAGAGAAAGAGAGGGATAAAAGGACGAAAGGATAGAGGGATGGAGAAAGGGAGGTAAGAAGGAAAGGAGAAATATAATTAAAAGTTATATATTTATATTTTATATAATAAATTATAATATAAATTAAAATTAAAGTATTAAAAATATATCTTATTATATAATATTTAAACTTAACTTTAAACTATTTATTTATTACTAGATAAATACTCTTAGTAATTCTTTTTATTATAAATTTAAAAACTAGTAATGTTAATAGTCTGTCTTCCACTACATGGACAACCTGAAAAGCATAGGCATAAGCAAGACCTTGGGACTATAAGGTTAGGCTCAACCCTAGGTTCTCTCCTGAACAATCGTGGCCCCGAATTGGGGCATAAGCCTGTCAACTATGCTTCACAACCGGCTCTTGTGAGACATACAGCTCTCGGCCGGAACTTCTCAGCTTGTCTGCTGAAGCAGAAATGCCTGCTTCGTTCAGACTTTTCAAACGAAGCAGCCCTATCTGCCAACATATTCCTGTTTGGCAACGAGGGTTTGGGAGGTAATCGGTGAATATGACACACTCTGTACATATGAATACTGGGCTAAAGGCGACTGTTGGGCTTCTGCCTAAGCTTGGCACCCCCTTCATCCGGCACGGGATTCACAAGATCCTACCAGCTCGCCATGGGACGGAAAGAAGTCAAGTTACTCGGGCCATTCACCACATCACAACGAGAAGTCTTGGTAGAAGTATGTCTACATTCTTCAGCTAACACCCGGAAGGAGATCATAGCTACCTGACAAGAAGAGCTCATAGTCCTTAAAAAGTAAGCCCGGGTCTGATCTAGTCTGATTTAGGGTTTTTAGTGTTTTTTATCTTTATTTTAATATTTAATGTTCAATATTACCAACCTTGCTTTCACGCTTCACTGCTCCTAAAACATTAAGTTTTAGGAGTTAGTAATATAGGTAAGAGTAATGCACCTACTAGGCCACCACTAAATCACTAGGGTTACTATTCACTACATTTAATATAGTAATATAATATAATAGATATAAATAAACTTAAGGCTAAGGCTATAGGCACCTATTATATTATAACTATTATTATTAGTATTATATTCTTTTTAAGTGTTAAGTTTTAAGTGCTTACTATTATATAAAGGTACTATATATATTCTTAAATATATATAAAATAAAAGTAAAATTATAAAACTATATAAATAAACTTACTATACTTTATTATATTATATTAAAAGTATAATATATATAATATAATAAATTTAAATATAAATAAAAAGATTAATTAAATATTAAATAAAAATAAAATAAAATAAAATAAAATAAAATAAAATAAAATAAAATAAAATAAAATAAAATAAAATAAAATAAAATAAAATAAAATAAAATAAAATAAAATAAAATAAAATAAAATAAAATAAAATAAAATAAAATAAAATAAAATAAAATAAAATAAAATAAAATAAAATAAAATAAAAATAAAATAAAATAAAGAAATAAAAAGAAAAAAGTTTATTTATTTATTTATTTATTTATTTATTTATTTATTTATTTATTTATTTATTTATTTATTTATTTATTTATTTATTTATTTATTTATTTATTTATTTATTTATTTATTTATTTATTTATTTATTTATTTATTTATTTATTTATTTATTTATTTATTTATTTATTTATTTATTTATTCACACTAGATGTTAAACACTCCTATCCTCTCCCCCAACTATGATACCATGATCCAGCAAACACCAGGACCTCACTCTTCACAGAAGAGGGGGTGCTAGCTGCTCCTAAAACAGAGGACGGGTGGCGGCCAGATAATTTTGCACACCACGCTCCGAACTTCTTGGACTTTACAGCTAACCCTACCTTCCCCAAAGCGCCTTAATCACCATGAGGCTCTCCAGTACCGAAGATGAGCCTGCCATGGGCATCGGACAGACTGCTATCGAGACTGCTGTCGGCTACTAGTACCTATGCCACTCGCACCCCGGCCACCGTGAGCCAAATCACTCTTCTCAGCACTTCACTCGCTATGAGCCGGCCTCAGTCAGAGGTCAGAGGCAGACCACTGGCAAGGGAAATCTGTCCCACTTGCTCCTCACATACCAACTCGGTCCAGCAATAGCTGTAATGATATCAGACACCCATGGCCCAATACCATGTCCATAATTCCTGCGCTGTAGTAATCCTTTTCGCAGAAGGCAACCCGGGTCGAATTGTAAGTTAGCATCTACTAATCCTGTCAATTTCCATCAGTATCCATTCTGATTGCTTCATCTCAGCGGCTTTGGCCACCATTGTACCAAACCTGTCGTCCTCGTTTCCAGCGGACCTCCATGGCTCTAGCCAACATCTCCACGACCACATACATTAGCAGCACAGGCAATAGCTCTTTCAAGGCATCCAGCGGCAGTGGCAGTGACAGGAGAGCTGCCAAACCCCGCCCTACCCCCCAACCAAATCACAGAGGTCAGCCCAGTCACACATCCGGAGCAGTACACCTATGGCATAAATCACTAGTACATCTTCTACACCACCTATCGTATTATAACTATCGTTATCGGCATCGTATTCTTTCCAAGCGCTGGGTCTTGAGTGCTTACCACCGTATGAAGGCGCCATGTATGTCCTCGGACGTATACGGAATAGAAGCGAAACCAACCACACACATCTTCTACACCATCCAACACTACTCAAGTACCTGCCCAGCACCAAGATCAAGGACATCCGCGAGTGCTGCTGCGAGATAGCAGCCAAGGCTGCCCCTAACAACGGCAACAATAATAAGTTTCATCCCATCGCGCCGGGCTCCCAGTAACGACAGTCAACAAGCAGGCTGTCTAGAAGCACTATGATGCATACATCTGGCACCACAGCCACATGCACAACAACCAGGCGCGAATACAGCATGCCGTCCCATCCCCGGTCAATTTGAGGCCCATCAATTCAGCCACCACGCATTCTGAAGGGGCGGCACAACTGTCAATGCACTTGAGCATGTGAAGTCTACTTGAACGAGCTGCTGGAAGGGCAAACCTGCAATACAAACTTCTCAGCGCTGTCGGGGGATCCCAGCCTTCCTCACCGAAGTTCTTATGTCTGGGTGCCGTCTCGAATCCGTGGCAGAAAGACCTTCGAATCGTTTGGAAAGTACAAACTCTTGGGCGTTCTTGCTCCACACCAATAAACTCGCCCACGAGACTTGGGTCAACCATAGTTGCACCGCAGCCACCTAGCCTGACATTTCCGTAAGTCAGCTCACCTTCCCATATTCCCTTTTGATCATAAATAACAAACCATTATCCAGGTACTTTAGGTAGGAAGGCAACAGGAGAGACTTCTAGTCAGCAAGATTGGAATCCAAACGTAGAGACACTTTAGATAAGGTCATCCTATAGAACGTCATACTATAGCAGGTTATCCTATATAATCTTATTTTAGAACAGGTTGTCCTATAATAATTATCATATAAAAGGTTATATTAATAAGCTTAGGTGCACCCTCTATTTTTATAGGTATAAATCTCTAACCTTTATAATATATAAAAATAAATAATTATCTTATAAAGATTAATATTAAATAAATTCTTAATTTATAACTTAATTTTTATATTTATTTTAAATTTATAAAAATATTTTTAAACTATTAAATATTAAAATTTAAAATTTATTTATAAAAGAAAATTAATATATTTTTATTAAAATATTTTAAAAAAGCTTTAATTTTCTTTATATTTATTAAATAATTATAATATTTCTTTAAATATATTAGAATAAACTTTACTTTTATATAATTTTACTTTTATTTTATATATATTTAAATATATATATAATATTTTATATATTAATAAATATTTAAAACTTAATATTTAAAAAATATAATATTAATAATTATAATTATAATATAATAACTATTTATAACTTTAATTTTATAATATATAAATTAAATTAAAAGTATTATTTTAATAATAATATTAATTAAAATTATAAATTAAAATAATTTATAAATTAATTATTATAAAAGTTATATAATAAAATTAAATCTTTAAAAATAATTATTATATAAATAAATTATATTAAAAAACTTAATTAAAAATTATTTTTATATATATATATATATACTTTATAATAAAACTTTTATTAAATAAACTTATAAAGTTAATATTATAACTTTTATTTAAATATATAATTATTAATTTTAAATAATTAAAAATAAAAAAATAATTTATAATATATTATTTTAAAACTTTTATAATAAAATATTAAGACTTTTTAAAAAAATAAAAGAAAGGTATAATAAATTTATTTTCTTTAAGTTTATATTTTATTATTAATAATTATTAACTTTTAATAATATAAAAAATATAAGAAAAATAAAGAAAAAAGAATTTATAGTTTTTATAAAAGAATTATAAGGATATATATAAAATTATTAAAGACTTTATATATAAGTTTTAAATTATTAAAAGAAATAAATAGTTAAATAAAAGATAATTATATATTAAAGTAATAATAATATAATATTTTAAATTATTAAATAATTAATTATATAAATTAATTATTATAGTTTTTAATTTAATAATATAAAATTATAATTAATAATTATTAAAGTTATTATTTATTAAATAATATATATTAAATTTATTAATATAATATAATAAACTTTAAACTATTTTAATATAAATATAAATATAAATAAATAAATAAATAAATAAATAAATAAATAAATAAATAAATAAATAAATAAATAAATAAATAAATAAATAAATAAATAAATAAATAAATAAATAAATAAATAAATAAATAAATAAATAAATAAATAAATAAATAAATAAATAAATAAATAAATAAATAAATAAATAAACTTTCTTTTATTTCTTTTTATTTTTCTTTATATTTTATTAAAATATTTAATAAACTTTTTCTTTTTCTTTTTCTTTCTTTTCTTTTACTTTATTTATATTTATATTTAAACTTATTATATTATATATATTAAATTATTTAATATAATATAATAAATTTAAAAATAAATATAAATATAATAAAATATAATAAATTTATATTAAATATAATAAATAATAACTTTAATAATTATACTTTTATTATAATAACTTTTAAATAAAATTATTTTTAAAATAACTTTTATAAAATAACCTTTTATAAAATAATCTTTTATAAAATAATCTTTTATAAAATAACTTTTTATGAAATAACCTTTTAAAAAAATAATATTTTATAAAATAACTTTTTATATAATAGTATTCTATAAGATAGTATTATATAAAATAAAATCCTATAGAATAATATATTATAAAATAACTTCTTATAAAATAAAGGTTTATAGGGAAGCCTTATATATAATAACCTTAATAGTGAGACCTTTATATAAAGTAATCTCCTATGAAATATACTCTTGTAAGAAAACCTTCTATTATAGAGCCTGCTGTGGTATAAATAGTATTTATCTACCTAGGTAATTAGAGAGGAAGGGAATGAAGAAGTCTCATAATCCTATATTAATGTTATCATACTTTCTCAGACCATAGCCGTGTTCCTATAAACAATAATATTGCATAAAAAGGTAATAGGTATACTGGTGGTATAAGGAAGTCTAATGAAAAGATATGACTTACCGTATCACCAACCAGTAAGCTTCAATACTGGAATGAATGCAAATGGTATGGGCATTCAACTTTTAAAATTACCCGATATATCCTGCTAGCAATTTTCACTGTTACAGAACTAGAAACACTGATAAAAATGATACATTCCATAGATACAAGCCCTGGCTTAAGATGACTGGTGGGTTTTCGGCCGAGGCTGGCACCTGGGCATGCCCGTTGTTGGGCATGCAAGCCGCAAACGTCCCGGGGTCCCGAGGTATGGGATACGCTGAGGCCTACAAACAGGTGTGGCCACCAGACCCAGATCCGTCAACCCAATTCTTTGTTATAAATGTGTCGGAATTATCGAGACGACGCTAGGATGGAGGTTCTAGCCACTCGGCAGCAGAGGATCACAGTCCATGCTTGAGGTCAGATGACCGCTGCGTACGGTGACCGTGCTGGGTATGCCAGTAGACGAGACCGTGTCCATACAATGTGAGACCGGTATCGATAACCTGGAGCTTGGCCATTCTCATGTTTGAATTGGATGATGACTGCACTTCGGTAGTAACCAAGCTTTTGTGATGGTTAGGATTGGGTGACCAGTGAGGTGATGTGACACCACATCTGGTGGCAGTGACTGCGTACAGGATGGCAGAAGTCCCGTCAATCCCACACCCCAAAGCCCCATCATGTGCACATAATGAGAGGTCTCCGCTGGATGCGTCACCCAGCCCCTCTGTTCATCAGACGCTTCTACCCTCAAATGTCTGCTCGACCTGCTTCTGGACCACGATGGTCATCCTCCCCTTGCCCCCGGGGACCCACCGGCCGCTGCTGTCATTGCGTCCAGAGTGCCTTTACTGCGTCTGGATCCGACTTGAATTTCGGTTCGGGGACCCCTCGTCTCAAGCTCGAAGCTCTCGTCGGACTTTATTGGCCATCAGTCAGTCATTTGATAAAATTGAGGCGGTGATAGCGAAGATGCCCCCACACCACAGGTGGTAGTCCAGGCTCAGGGGTCCTTACATCTCTGACATTCACAAACTCCCTTCGCCGCTTGCCTTTCATCCTTGGCTGGCTGGTCGCAAACTGTGCTGAGCCACCTGAGGCATCGGGAGTTTTGTACGATGACAATGAAAGGATACGGTTGAACAGCTTGTCGAACACAGGCCTTAGGAGCGCCGATGATGCGACCAATATGGCGACCCCGGCTTCAGCAGTTGTCCACGTCATGACTGGGATGACAGTGAACGAGAAGTCCTTGAAGTCGATCGAATTCAGAGACGTCAAGCGTACAGCGGAGAAAGCTATGGTACTGTTAAGTGCCGAGTCAGCATGGACCTCGTCAGTCCTCGACAGTGGTCTCCTCCGACTATAGAACAGTACAGCTGGGGAACTTGACGTGTTCGGATAGAAAGTCCTCATGTTTTGTAAGAGATTACAGCGCGACTCACACTATACCGATGCTGAAAATAGCAAACAGGCCGACCTTGTAGCCCGGTCTAGTCTGTAGCCTGTATACCATAGGCAGAGGAAGCAACAGCATCAAGACGTCCACGACGACATTGACCACGGAAACAGCTGTGTAGCCAGCGATCTGGTTGCCGCACGTCCCCTCTACTGTTGGGTCCCAGTTCTTCTGGACAGGACGGCAGATGAGGAATCCGATCAGGACGGTCATGACGAGCCACCCGGCTTGGAGGAAGATGATGATCCAGGCCACAATCTGCAAGTATACCGGCAGGGTTAGTGAGACACAGTCAGACCTTTGTTACTTGTCCACAGAGGAATACCGACCTCAAACGGCTTGACGGCGAAGATGCGCTTCAGCATGAAGAGCATGCTCCACTTCACGGTACACATTGCCAGGCCGTACAGAGCCTGTATGACCAGAATAGACTGCGATTTACGTATAAGTGTCAGCTGAAGGGCTTGTGGTGGCTTTGGGGCTCCATGGGCTGACCTGTGTAAGTCTTGCGATGTGGTTCTTGTTTAGCTTGCTCATATGCTGTCCTGCTCCACCGAGGTACAGTGCTGCAATGCAAAAGTCAATACGGCTTGAGTCCTAGACAGAGGAATATACCCGACCTACCGAAGAACAAGCCGACAACGAAGCCAAAGAAGGAAAGCTAAGAGGGGTCGGCGTGGTGTGAGCAAAAGGCCTGTGCATTCCATAAGCCACCAGGAATAGGAATACTCACCACGGCGGTGTGATACAAGATATCTTCAACGGCCAGAGACAACCCCCTTATCCGTCTCGAATAGATCCGCAAACCAGTCCATATTGTCACGAGCACAAGGAAAATGCCCGAGCACCATATAAATTGGTGTACATCATCCCTGGGGGCGAGAGGGATAAGAGTCGTCGTGAACTTGTCATCACTGCTCGTTGGGTCTGTATCAGCAACAGCGGCAGCAATGTACAGCTGCATCGTCTGCCGATGCTGAGGTGCAAGTCTGCAGAAGGGTCCAGCTGTCCAACACCGAGGTGGAGGGGGGGCCCGGAGGGAGCAGTGGCGCAGATAATAATGGCATTTTTGTCTGTCAAGACCTGTCCCCCGTTCCCCCCAACCCGCCTTGGCTCGACACGGGTGCGAATCGCGCTCGCCCGGGAGATTTGACTGGCTATGCTTTGCTTGGATCGTGTACCGAGTATCTGGTCCCTGGCAAGGACTGGCAGACAGCTGGCCCGCTATCCGCAGGCAAACTTGAGACATGAAGGCGGGTGGAGGTGGGTGGGAGGATGTGCATGCCTGCTATTGTGGCCCTGCATTTGCGTGTGACGACGCACGCGAGAAATGATATGCCTGGCTTGGGCGTGGGTCCGGACCGTCTGAGTGCAGGCCGACCCAGAAGACCAAGAGACTGCTAATGCGCATGGGTGACTCGGTATGAAACCCGTGCAGCCCATGTTGGGACCACAACGTGAGGGCATAGATAGGTACTGTGTACTGAATGCCCGAGATGTGATGAGTGCTACCAGGGGGAGGCTGTCAGACTGTCAGCGGACGGGAACATGACGGGCAGGAGGATATCCTACCCTGCAGCGTGTTCGTGAGCCAATCTCCAGCCACATAGGTTCGACCCTCTCATCGGATAACCTCTTATAGGATAACCTCTCATGGACAGCCTCTTATGGGACAACCTCTAATGGGACAACCTCTAATGGGACAACCTCTTATGGGACAACCTCTAATGGGACAACCTCTAATGGGACAACCTCTCATAGGTCAACCTCTCAATCGCCCTCTCATGGGAGGTATCCCCACGGGAAAGACGACCTGGGGACAGCCATTTGAACTCTGGGTCCACTGAGATCTCCACCAAGGATTTCCGAATCGAGCCCATCAGGACCCGTGAACCGTCATCCAGTTCACCTTGGCAGCTTGGGTAGAAGAGCGGGCTAGACAGGTCCCTGGTCAGAGCCCCTTGCGAGCCAAATATCAGGGAGACTTTAAAGTGCATTGTAGTGTAGGAAATTAGGAATGAGCGGTTGTGGGAAACCTAAAGCTGCTCAGTTTCCGGCAAAGCAGCCATTGTCATTGTGTGCATGTCTCGCGCACGTAGTTGTGAAACAAGGGCGCAGTATGCTTTTGCCCTGCCTGGAGTGAAGGTTGTTGGCTGTTGAGAGCGATTGCACATTACAACAGAGAGAGCTGACAGATCACATTGTGTCCTGCGTTTTCCCCTCTCCGCCACTGCAACTGTGTGGGGAACACACCTCTGCCCGGCCAAATGCAGCCACGGCTGCAACGGCCCAAGACTACTGCTATTGGAAATCTCATCTCGCCTTTCCAATACTAGCCAGAACCGTCGTGGTGAATCAATCCGCCGGCATGGTGTCAACAGGGGGAAGGGGAGCCGTCCCTCATGGGCAACTACACAACTCTGTACTGTCTGACTCTCCTAGCCGTTGATCCCACGAGCACCTCACTCCGTCCAGGGGTCCAGGGGTCTAGATTCACATGGAGCACAGCTGGGGCAAGTAAGCACCTAGGCAGGTCTTTTCTGGGTTCCGAGGGACGAACCAGAACCGCGCGACCTCTCCCAGGAGTCCCAGCTCTAGGACGCGAAGTGGCTGCGGTGCCACGCGGGAACCACAGTCATGCATATCCAGCGGGTGTTGGCCCAGAAGAGGCAGACCGGTTGGTTCTGGTTAGGGAAGGAGCAAGAGATTGGTATCCACGTTGGCCTACCACGTCTGCTACGAGATAGACATCCCTCATACCATACCAGCTAACAGGAAAGAAAGCCTTGTACGTAAGTAGATCCCCCCCGTAAGCCTGTCCTTGAGCATCAGCACTTAAACCCGTCGACCAGAGCTCTCAACCCGGACGAACTCCCCTTGCTACTGCCCAGAAGCGAGGTCTTACGTTGCCGATCCTTGGTCTTGTGCAACCACCCCCATAACCCGTCACCATGGCCTCTGGCAGCTACGACTACATCATCGTGGGAGGCGGCCTCTCGGGGTGCGTCCTCGCCAGCCGGCTGCGGCAGTACAAGCCCGCCTCCAAGATCCTGCTGATCGAGGCTGGCCAGGACACCCGCTCGCGGACCGACATACTGCGGCCCGACATCCTCAACCTGGGCGGCGAGCTCGACTGGATGTACCAGACCGAGCCCCAGGCGAGCATCGGCGGCCGTAGCGTCGTGTACAATGCTGGCAAGGGACTTGGCGGGGGCACGCTTATCAACTCGGGTAAGTTCTTCAGCACGGTTTTTATTAGTTGAGGAAAGCACACTTGTCTGACATGTAAATGAAGGCGGTTGGACTCGCGGCTCTGCTGCGGACTATGACGAGTGGGCGGCGCTCGTGGGAGACGACAGGTGGAGCTACAAGGGCCAGCTCCCGTACTTCAAGAAGGCAGAGTCGTGGTTCGACGACAGGAACCCCGAGGAGCACGGCAAGGACGGGCCTATTTGTGTTGCCTCAGCGCTGTCGACGGGCCGCAAATTCCCCCTGACGGACCCGATCGCCGCAGCCTGGGAGGAGTTGGGCGTCCACGCCCTGCCTGGCCTCGACCAGAATACTGGCAATAACCTGGGCAGAGCATATATCTGCGAGGCTCGCCGAGAGGGCAAGCGGCAGTACTCGGCCGGGAACTACCCACTCGAGGGCGTCGAGATCTTGGCAGACACCCTGGTGAAGAAGGTTATTCTGAGCAAGACTGAAGGAGCGCCCAAGGCGACTGGCGTGGAGCTTGCCGATGGAAAGGTCGTCTCCGGCACGGAGGTGATCGTCTGCGCTGGGACCATGAGATCCCCCCAGGTGCTGCTCCTGTCCGGCATAGGCGACGCAGCCCACCTTAAGGAGCACAACATCGAGGCGCTGGTCGAACTCCCCGAGGTGGGCCAGGGGCTGCACGACCACATGTCATTCTACCAGTTCTGGAAGCTCAAGAACCCGGAGCGAGGCTACACCCTGGGCTCGAGCAACCCCCTGTTCCAGCAGCCCGAATTCGCCCTCGGCATACCCCTGGACTGGATCGTCTCAACCGACGTCCCCCACGAGGCCCTCGCCAGGGCGATCGAGCGGGACGAGGGCAAGGCGCCCGACGCGGCGACGCACCGGCTCCTCCGCGAGGCGCGCACGCACATCGAGACGGTCGTGCTGTACGTCAAGATGCCCCTCCCGGGCGTCCAGCCCGACGCGGAGCACCTCACGACCCTCACGGTGCCGTTCCTGCCGACGTCCCGCGGCAGCGTGACCCTCAGGTCCGCGGACCCCGCCGACGCCCCGAGGGTCGACCTGAACTACCTGGGCACGGAGACGGACAGGTGCGTGGCGCGCGAGGGCGTCCGCACCCTCGCGAGGCTGATGCTGCAGACCAGGTTCGGGAGGGAGCACATCGCCGGCGAGACGGTGCCCCCCGTCCCCGGGGTGGAGCCCGTGGCGCTCGACGACAGCGACGAGAAGCTCGACAAGCGCCTCGGGCTCGCGGGGACCACGACCTGGCACTCGGCCGGCACGTGTGCGATGGGCAAGGTGGTTGACTCCGAGTTCCGCGTCAAGGGCGTGGATGGGCTGCGGGTCGTGGATGCTTCGGTCCTGCCTGTCCCGCTGAGCGCCCATATACAAGCACCGGTATACGCGATGACGGAGCAGGCTGCGGCTATCATTTCTGGGGCTGCATAAGATAGATAGCATGATGTGTGTCTCTTCGTCATAATGCTATTGATGATTTCAACTCTCACGGATAGGTGTTGGTGATACAGACACCTCAGGTGACTTGAACGCAACTCTTTGCCCCATGCTAATCTCTAGAGAAAGCTGCTTAAACAAGCAGTGTTTTCTCCATGCGTGCGTGGATCGACATTAGCTCGATTACTCACCCCTGATCCGTGACATGATTGCTGCTGCCTCTGAGTCAAAGGACTCTATCACCCCAATCCCACAGCCACCACGGCCTCATAATAAGCGAATCCCTGTGGTGATGGCAGTCTTGCAGTCACTACTTTCGCAGCGGGTACGGCGTCGTCATCTCGCATCGTGAGCCATCGCCTACAGGCCCCGGCACGAATGATGGGTTGAGCCCCATCTAGTCCATTTGATCATACACATGATCATACACATAATGTATGGGCCTCGGGCAGCAGCTTGATGCTGAGCGTCTTCCTACCCGTCTCGTTGTCTTTCTCTACAGCTCCACGGTGCTCGACCCCGACGGCGTATTGAGATCCAGACTCGCTCGCGTGGTAAGGTCGTTATGAGTCGCCGTGGCTTTCGCGCGCGCCAGAATAGAGGGCAATGATCGAAGACCGGGCTGGTTTCCTTCGGCCCGACCTTTCTTCGTCCAACCTCCCACCTCCCCGGGGGCGCGACGGGCCGAAGCCTCGTCTTGCTTGGAATAGTCCATACCCTCCAAGTCCCTCAGCCCGCCAACGGGTTCGCATGGATAGTAACACTCTCGATCCTGCAGGGCTCCTTGGGGCGGTTCTTCTTATCCACCTCGAGGGCCTCGATCTTGGCCAGGGTGACGAGGCTGTCGTCGCCGATGACCTTGCCGAAGACGGTGTTGAGCCCGTCGAGGTGGGGCGCCTTGTCGAAGAGGATGAAGAACTGCGACCCGTTGGTGCCGGGGCCCTTGTTGGCCATGGAGACGATGCCGCGCTGGGCGTGCTTGAGGGCTGGCCGGATCTCGTCGTCAAAGACGCCGCCCCAGATGGAGCGGCCGCCCTTTGGGTTGTCGGGCGGCGAGGGGTTCGCGGGGGCGCCGGCCTGGGCCATGAAGCCGGGGATGAGGCGGTGGACGGGCGAGGCGTCGTAGTAGTGGGAGGCGCAGAGGGCGAGGAAGTTCTGCGGCGTGGGGGACGAGGCGTGGTCAGCTATTGTGTTCGGGTGTGTTGAAGGAGGACGAGATTGGATCGGCATGGGGTGCGTGGGTGCGTGTTACCTCGGCGGTCTTGGGGACGCTGTCGCAGAAGACCTCGATCTTGATGTTGCCTGCTGTCGTGTGTAGTGTGACAGACATGGTGGCGGCGAGATTGGTTGTTCCAAGTCAGATAACGTGGCGGTTGTGTCTACCAGCCTTTTGACTGCAAGGGAGCTCTGTAGGAACGGAGTGTAGTGCCTGAGTGGGTGGTCGGTAGGTATGATGGCACCGTGTCAGAGCTTTTTCAGAGGTCTGGACTCTGGAGCTCCCCCCTGTTCGTTCAGTAATATGTGATTGGCCGGTGTCCCACGAACATCAAAGCTCCCCAGGCCCCCTCGTGCTGGGTGCAGCAGGCACAGTACGGGGTACGTACTGCGAATAACGGACGGGCTGGAGGCTGGTGCTTTATTAGGCGCTTCTCTGCTGGGCTCGGCAAGATCCGAGGGGGCCGAGGAATATGGACTGCAAGACGGTGAGGGGCACATATACACAGAGACACAAGTTACAACCCCTCATGTGATACCCTCCTTTGGAACAAGCACTATGGTACTATCCGGATTAATTTCCTCACGGATAAGCTGATGTATGATGGCCATCTACGGAGGAGCCCTCTCCAGCCTTTTTTTTTGCAGCTTGTATTCAATGTTGGCACTGGCAGCAGAGTCTGTCTTATCTTGTCAAGCCTGTCTATCATGTATGTAATATCACAGCCAAACTTAAAAGAAACAAGACACGTGCGGACTTCGGCAAGATCAGATTAGCGAGAGCCAGGTTCGAAACAAAAACGTTACCGGTTCAATGTCTGCGCAGGCGAGCTGAGGACTGAAGACGTGGAGGATGCTGGATGACGCACTGGATCCCGGAGCTGAGGGTTGCGTTGTTGCAGGGTCCTCCCAGTAGCGAAAGCGGCGCCAGCCAGGGCCAGAACCAGCCCAGCAGCTGCCCAGCACCGAAGCCCGTTGCCGTCAACAAACAACCCCTCCTGCCCTCCCGGGGACCATCACAGGGCTGTCTCTTGTTGGTCTTCAGCAGCTGGTTCCACTGTTTCTGCCGTGCGACCAGAAAACAAACAGCAAGAACATCAGTGCGGTGGATACCCACATACATACGTGCATGCGTGCATGCCTAGAAACCTACGGTCCTACACAGTCAGTCCATACTCCATAGTAGGCAGCCTGCGGTCGTGGAGAGTGGAGCCCCTTCGAAGCCCACCGCAGCGCAGCCTTCTTTCGTCTGTTCTACCCAGTCCCAGTTCCAGCTCCAGCTCGCTCTGCCTGTGACGAGCCCAGCCCAGTCCACTTGGGCAGTTGTTGTTGGTTGGCGCCGGGCGGTTCCTCCCTTTGCTTTCCCGCTTTGGGCCATCAAGCCGGTCCCTTCACCGTCACGCATTACGACGACTCGCTCCCAAAAGCCTCTCTTTGGACCTGCCGTTGCCTCCTCCGTCCTACCTTGTGTTACCAACACAGGACCTTGTTGGCCGAGTTGAGGGGAACGGCCCGGACTGCACAAAGAACCCTTGCAGCAGCGGTAAGTCAGTCAGTCGCAGTCAGTCGTCAGTCAGTCAGTCAGTCAGTCACCACATCCACCGCATACCACGGCCACGACCACCACCGCCGACGAGTTTTGCCCCTCAGACTTGTCCGAGAAGGCCACCCTCGAACCGGGCTCAAATCCCTTCCGACCCGACTCGACTCGACTCGTGGTCCTGCACTTCCTACGCTGCAGAACCGGGCCTTGACCCGACCTGGATTCCCGCCTGCCGCACGCCAATCTCGTCCTGCAGGAAAAGCACATCCTCCTCTGCGGCCTCGGTTCTCCATCAGGCACGTCCTGCCCAATAAGCGCCCGCCGCCACCAACAGCCCAGCCCTGGGTTGCGCTGAGCTGCGCTGTGTGCTGTGCTGTGCCGCAGTCCGCACCAGCCTGCCAGCCTGACGAGGTGCCAGCACTTCGCGCGGCCGCTCAAGAGGCGACCCCAGGTCCTCAGGTCCCCAGGTCCCCAGCAGGGCCCAGCAGGGGGGACACAAGGTGTGCGTCGTATCAAAGAAGCCTCCCCGGCCGGGGCATGCGGCAGCACCAGCATCATCGGGAGCACAAGACCGACCGACGAGCACCACCAGCCGACCAAACTCCAAACTCTCTGCATACCACTTCCTCGACCACTCTCTACCACCCTGACTGACCACCGCTTTCTCGCTCTAAACTTTGCCCACCTCTCCTTCAACTTGCGACCGGCGGCCGAGCTTCGCCCCCCTAGACCGTACGACGCGCGCCTTTGCTTGCGACACGGCGTAGTACCCCGTACCACCAGACACCGCCCGAGCCTCGCAGTCCCGCTTGCTCCTATTGCTGCACCAAAAGTCCTAGACCACCATCTCACCAACCACTTTGCGCCCACCTTCCTCTTCCGAACTTTTGCCCCCCGGGCTTTGGCGACGATTTGCTCGAGCTCTCCCGACTGCAGCTGGCCCCCTGCGACTCAGTGGGCTCCAGCTGCTGAGCTCTTGACCCCCATCCTGGTCTGGCCACCCTGCCAGGAGGCTGCCAACACTCATTCCTGGATACCCCACATTGCCCGGCTGCAGCATTGCTTCACAGCCTTGACACGGCGAGGCCGGCCGTCCCTTGCGCATTCATGACCGTCCACCCGCGGCCTTCAACTCGCACAACACCGTCCCGTCTGCAGTCGTAATTCTGGCACTGCGAACAGGATGGCTGCCTTTGTCCGGGTCACTGGCCCGCCAAACAGCAGTTTCCTCGTTGGCTACCCTGGCATATCCGCAACTCTGGTAAGTCCTGCCCTGCTTCTGCCAACTCTGGACCCCCTCCATATCCGAGCGCACCGTCCTTCGCGGTGGCCAGGGCTGTTGCGCAACCACAGCTGACTGCCAGCTAACCCCATACCATCGCGCAGCCGCGCATAGAAGGCAAGGTTGAGATCAGACCATCACAAGGCTTCTCTATGCCAGTCGCAGTTTCGTTAGTACGAATATGTCTACAACGACGAGAGACTATACACCCCGCCGCCGAGAACGTCGCGAAACGACATCTCGGAACTCCGAGGAGGGAAACGATCGATGTGGTTGGGAAAGAGCTATTGCTCTTCAGGTGTCAAGCCGGGAAAGAAGCCGAGAGCGTGATCGCCATGGACCTACCTTTTGTGCTTTTCATACCATTTGGCCGAGGCGGCGAGGAAACGAATAGGAGGATCCCCCCTGCATCATTACAATTACCATCGAGGACGGCCGAGACACTCTACGAGCTCGTCGTGACCGTGCAACAGGGCGCAAGCACGCAGAACAAGTATGCGTTCCCCATACCATTGCAAAGGTATGACACGCTATCGACCTTCGGCATGTACAACCGGCCCGAGTCAAAAGTGGTCACAGCCGACAATCTGGTGACCTTGGGAATATCGCTGCCAAAATGGAGCTACGGCCCCTGTGACCCCATCACCGTCTATATAAAGCTTGCGCCAAATGCGGACTGGGCCAGCAAGGCGAGGAGGGTGACGATTCAGAAGATCACCCTGGCGATCGAGGAGGAGATAACATATAACCCTGAGGGCGACGAACCAACCAAGAAGGTGAACAGGATCGCCAAACACACGCAGCCAGTCCAAGCAAAACTACCAGAAGCCGGCTATGTTACAAACCTAGGCCTAGTGTTTCCGTCAAAAGACTTGAGGGATTCCGAGGGCATCGTCAAGAGGGGCAAGCCTGGATTCCCGCTCTACGAGGTCACATCATTCACGACGAGCTCGACACTGTACAAGATCGAGTTCTTCTTGAGTATCAAGGTCCGTTGCATCCAGAGCGCGTAAGCCAGGCGTGTAAGCTGACAGAACGCGACAGGCCCAAATGAGCTCTGCTCGGGACATAACTTTGCGGCAGCCGATTGTCATCTGCCCGATGGACCAGCAAGCTTGTAAAGAGGAGATGGACGCCATCGAGCAGGCCGCCAAAGACGCATCCCACGTCGATCCGAACAACCCCATGCTCCCCGCCAGGTCTATCATAGTTTCCACCGACAAGGACGCTCTCAAACACCTCGGGCTCTGCAACGTTGCAGGGCAAAAGAAGCCACTTATCGAATGATAGATCAATCCCGGTCAGTGAACGACGTACCGTTTACGGGAACTTGAAGCTCATTCTTGGGGCTACACCGCACCTTGTTCAGGCCATGAGGGAAGGCTGACTTGGCAGCCCCACGACGGCTCTCCGATCTCTGCGCAGATGGGCCGCACTCGAAGTTACCCACGCCGGTCGGGCCGCAGGGCTTTGTAGTCCCGCGCTATCCTGCCTCGTGGACGATTGAGAGACCGTCGAACTATGCCTGCCGAAGAAAATAGACAATGACCACTCCGGCCGGCCCTTCGCATGCTGCCAGGTCGGCCCGGGTGCTTGCATCCCACGCCCTACGCTTTCGGGCTCAGTCTTGCGCTACGGCAGTTTTGGTAGACGGGAGCCAGGGCAGCAACAATGCCAAGGACAGGCTCATCGGGGCTCAGAGAGCTTGGGATTTGTGACAAATCGATTTTCACACAAGCCCAAATGAGACCACGTATTACGGCGTGCTCCCTCTCCTCGGCCATGCACTGCGGAGGTCAAGGGCAGGACGAGGCGAGGGAGCGAGACGAGTTAAACTTCTGCGACGGCCGAAGACCGGATCGAGATATTTATTTACTTCATTAAAACTTTATTCTCAACGTTTATAAGCAGCGTACCACGGCGGCAGGCACCACCCTGAGGAGTAACGTGCATCCTGGCGCCTGGCGACCCGGCAGTTCAGGTCTAGGGCGGAAGGATTATTTGAAGGAGCGGGGCTGTTTTTGGGCATTTCCGGCGCAGAGATTTTACGAATGACTGACGAACGAATTCGAGGTGGACGAGGAGAGGAGGAGAGGAGGAGAGACATAACCGCCGTCTATGGCTACGCAGACGCACTGTACTTGGATGGGAACGGCTGGAATATCACACGTTGGATAGAATTGAGCCAGCGCGCCAAGTGTCAAGTGGGACGAGGCCTCTTCCGCGTGCCTGGGGGCTGGTTTTCGCTGTTGCTGTTATCATCATCATCGATGCTGTACCACAGCGCCTACGTGCGTGCTACACACACCGGGGGACAGCATCAAACATGGACTGTGCGGCACCAGTCCCCCTCCCTGACCTGATCCTACCTTTTGGGAGTCTGTTCCCAGACGAAGGAAAGGGCACCCTAGGAAAGACGATTAATTCTAAGCCTGAATGATTAACCAAAGTCCGCGGCCTCACTGGGATTGCAAGGGACGACAACGAGCAATTTCACGGCTGTCTCGCACCTCTAACTCTCATGATGTGACACGTGTATTCAATTTGGATATGTACGGTCCTTCACGGCCTGTCTCTGATACGACCGGCCCCCACAAGGCTGACGGTGGCCCAAAGTTGACTGGACGGCCCGAAAGTGTTGGCTAGAGAGCCCTACTGGGTCGGCTGCCAACAAGCAGCCAGCCAGCCAACACACACAGTAAGTAAATAACCACCGAACCGACTACCTTGTCATTCAGCTCGCTCGCCCGGGCCCCCTCTGCCGCCACTCCCTCCCCGACCCACCGCCGGGGTTTACCACAAAACTCCACGTCGGTGACGGTCGATCAGTCCGTCCGCCCGTGGCGGCCTTGTCGACACCTGCTGCTGCTGCTGCTGCTGACTGCGCTGAGAAGCAGGCGGCAGAGGGACGAGGCAAGCAGGGCCGTCAGCGCTAGGGGAACTCGGCTGGGTGATCAGGATTCCACGTGGGGTCAGACCGCTGGCCCAGCCAGGGGTTCTGGTGACCCTAGGGGCCCTTGGGGGAGGGAGGGGGGGAGTGATGATTGCTTGATCTGGCCTTTCTTGTCCTGGTGGGGATGTTGGATGGATGTTGGATGGACGGGTGGGTGGATGATAAATCATGGGGGTTTGGGCTGCTTGCTGATGAATCCCACCGGGCTGGGCAGGGCTGAGCGGGTTGTGGTGGGTGGGTTGGTTGGTGGATGTGTTGGGATGTGGTTGGGGAAATTGTCTGACCGCAACGTTTGAAGATATACTGGTATATTGTGTACTGTGTACTTGTTTTTTTGTGTTCCTGTGGATATGTGTGTTTTGTTTTCGTGTCTGCTGCGCGGCTACGGCTTAGATATTGAACGATTTGGGCATCACTCACTCGCACTGCTTGACTTTCCATAAAATTAGCCTCTGACAGGATGACCTCAAGTGCTCCCACAAGACAAGCCCCTACTAGGATGTCTTCCTTGATGTAAATTCTCGTAGGATAGCCTGATAACATTATAATTATTTGTTTGAGAGTGATGATATCGATAGAAAGGCAAGCCAAAGAAGGCCTGCTATGGCATGGGTCGCCTTGAGAAGTGCGAGTAGTGATGGTGGTGATGTATGTGAACACCTGCTCCCAAGTAGTCCCCAGAAAGATCCCCATGATTGTGACAAGAAAGTGGATGGTCCTAACACGAGCAACAGGGCAAGACGTGAGTAATAGACAAGAGAGGATCAAGCAAGAAGCTGTGAATGGGATATACCATTCTAGTGAGAAAAACTCACCGGACATATCAAGTATCTATAGAGAATTTCCTTCCAAGATAGCAAGACCCCCAACATAACAACCGGCAAATTCATTCAACGTATCAGTCTCGTGATCCACACATCAAATCTGAACAGCAAAGATATTCCATTCGCTACCCTATCCCATGAAACTAGTCTATCTTGGTTATGACGGGTAAATATCCACTCCCTCGAGCACCTTGAACCCACAACCTGGGGATGACTTGCTTCCCGGGATGGCCGGCCGGATCGGGGCAAATCACCCCGTAACAAAGCATCACATCCCGGCCTTCTCTTCACATCCTACGCTTGCCGCCTACGCTTCGCGGTCGGCTGTTCCGACCCATCCAGGTCCGTCCGCTGTATCTCCTCCGTGCCAGCAGGGCTCGGGGTATCCGCCACCGCGGGGGTGCCAGCCGTGAGGCCGCCGTTCACGGGGGCGGCGGCACCAGCAGCAGCGGTGCCCTGCGCAAAGTCGGCGTTGGGGAGGCTGAAGTCGAAGTCGGTGCCGTCCGCGTTGCCGTAGCCGGCCCCGTTGTTTAGCTCGTTGAAATCGAAGGTGTAGCCGGGGTCCATCGCCGAGGGGTCCAGGTACTGGTTGAAGTCGAAGTAGTCCGTCCCGCCGTTCTGGAAGCTGTCGATCCCCGAGATGTGGCCATTGGGGGAGAGCGGGGCCGCGAGCTGGGCCAGGCTGCTGATGTCCTGGCTGATATTGCGCTGTAGAGCCTCGACCTGGCTGATGCCATTTTGCTGCCGGGAGGCTTCTTGCAAGGACATTGGTGGTCTGGCGTTGTTGAGAAGGGGCGAAAGTGAGGTGGCAGGCTGGGGGCCTGTTGGAGGGGGGAAAGCGGAAGGTGTGGGAGGGATTGGAGTTGTGGCCGGCATGGCAGGCGGTCGGAATGGGGAGACGGATCGGTTATTTGATGGTGTGGTACTTTTGCGCGACATGCTGCTCACCATCTTGTTGCGCTGACCAGACGACATCCTCGCGGACGTCGCAGCAGCAGCTTCGGGGAGATCGACTCCCGGTGTCATTCGGGCGTTGGTCTCGCCCATAATCTTCAACATGGTCTCCTCAGGGTTCGACTGAAGCTCGTTCCGGATGTTGTTTGGCGAAGTCGTGTCAGACGGCGAGGTATCGAAGACCTCGGTGACTCGAGGCGCCTGGTGGGAAGATGAAGAATAGGGCGTCGGACTTGCGGGTAAGCCGAGTGCACTCTCTGGGTTGATCGAAGCGTTTGCATCGCCGGGAATACCGGGCAGGAGGTGCTGTGGTCGCTTTGGGAGGGTTGGGCTGGGGCTCGCTCGGTTCTTGGGATCGTTGGCCTGCTGCAGATACTCGCTCAGCCCGCTCAGCCCGCTTAGGTCTTGCACGCTCCTGGTCGGCATGGCATGGTTAGAGCCATGCTGCGGGAGAATGCTCGCCAGCATATCAGAGATGTTCTGCGCGCCGCCATTCTCCTCCAGTGACTTCCTGAAAACATTGGCCAGGAAGTTGAGGATGGCGGTGATGGAGTTCTCATGGCGGTGGTGCATCTCCTCGAACTTTTGCGCTCTTTGCACAATCTCGTGTTGATTGTTCTGTAGATTCTGGATCAGGGCCAGACACTGCTGCTGCTTCTGCTGGACCTGCGCGAGCTGGTCGCGCAGCTTCCCAATCTCCGTCTTGGCCAATGGCCCGGCCTCGCTGCGCCCAAGATTCCTGCCCGGGTGGATGTCGGAGAGAGCGTATTGGCCGCTGGGGTCGTCCATGAAGTCCTCGGCGTCGCTGTCCTGGTCGGCAGCCCCAGACGAATCCTTGTTGGCCTGCTTCTGCCTCTTTTTGCCGCCGGTCTTGTTCGGCTTCGTGATGAGCCACTGCAAGACCGGGTGAGCGCGCAGAAAATATGGGTGGGCGTATTCGCTTGGACTCTTATTCTTCTTCTCGCTCGCCCTCATGGAGTTGTCGGACAACCCAACCCGCTTGTGAAACCCGTACATGTTCAGCTGGCGGACAAACGAGGCGTAGTTGTTGTGCTTGAACATCTCGGGTATCAGCTTCTTTGCGAATTCCTCCTCGTCGAGCACGATGAACGAATCTCCCTTCTCGGACCACCGGATGAGGTCGCTGTTCCTACCATTGTTGAGAAAGCTGCAAAGCAGTCAGTGTGAGTCGTCCGGGAAAGGGTGCGACAACGTCGGGCGGCGGGTGGGGTAGACAGACCTGGAGAGCTTGAGCACGAACGGCGGGATGCTCCGTTTCTGGTTTGGCCCTGGATTCTCTTTGGTGGCGTCCTCCTCGATCTTCCTCGCGCGCTCCAGGAGGAGTCTCAGGTGCTCCTCCTCGCTCATGGCCTCGTTCGACAGCGGTATGAGGGCGCCATCGCCTCCCAAGGTGCCCCATTGGTTGGGCTGGTCGTCGTACGGGGAGCGCGGGGCGGTGGAAACGAGAGCCCTGCTGCTGGCGGGATCGCGGAGGGCCAGGGCATTCGACGGGGCCGGGGCGGGGGATGGCGACAGGAAGGAGTGCGAGGGTGGGGCGGACTGTTGCGCAAGCATGTATGGCGTCGTGGTCGAGAGGTCGGCATGGCTGTTCCCATTCGCGGCTACGCCGTTCCATCTCATCATGTCCTGTGGGGTGAATTGGGGGGTGGGCTGTGGGATCGGGCCAGCCGGCAGGGGCGATGCACCGGGTGCAGGGCGTTTTCTGGTGGTGGCGGGTGAGGATGCCATCGCGAGGCCAAAAAGATGGATGTGGTATGGTGGTTGGAGATGGCTGCTGACGACGGCGGCGGATTTCTAGTGGCAGTGGAGGAAAGCGACCAGGGAACCTTACTAGGTAGGTCCGTCCCGCCTGCCTGCCCCGCTGGGTTGCGGGCTTGTAGCTGTGCTTTGGGTAAGTATTATTGGAAGTTGGTGCAGAGGTGGGTTGATAAAGTGCTGAGTGCTGGTTGTCGAGTGCTGAGAAGGACCATGAGGTTGAGTGCGATCGCACTGTCTTGTCTCTCGCTTCTGTCGCCTTGGTTGCCTGCCTGCCTGCCTGCCGACCGTTGGTCTGTCCGTCCGTCTGTCTGTCTGCTTTCGGCTGCTCTGCTCGCGGCGGGTCGAGGCTGGAGGGGGAGGGGTCTGTTTTATAAATAAGGAAGGGTCAGGGCTGCTGTCAGGAATGGGGCGCCGGGCACAATGGGGCCACAACACGTTTCGATGCGACTATTGATTCTTTTGCGACAGACACGGACAACAATAGCAGGCTGCGGGCCAGGGACTTGCAGTTACATGAGATGCCCGTCCCGATACCGTACAGTAGCATTGTTTGTGAGGGCTGAGATGGGGAATGGGGACCACCCCCCCCCAGGCCCCCCCCAGGGCACTTGGGCTGCAGTTCTGTTATCCGTCCAATCGATAACGCCATTTTTTTCTGCCAGTGGGGACCCAAGGATCGTCATCGCGATCTTGCAGGTGGAAATAGGAAACTGAACCTTATTGTCTCTTGCCAGGCCCTGCCAGCCCTGCTCGCCGGAGCATCCTCTCCTCTCCTCTCCTCTGCCACCACTGACCAACAAACACAAGCACACACTCACGGCCGCGTCACCAGTCAAGTCTGCCTTCTTGCCCTGCACACAATCCGATCGTGAGATGATAGATGGTGTAGTATACTACCTAGTAGTATAAGAGCACCAAGTGGGACAGCACCTAAAAACGCCATTGGACGACCTCGTCTCACATGCAATCAACGTGGCTATCCCGGTGTCTCCATACAGAGTGTCTTTACCAGAATCTACGATCCCCGTGGCAGTTCGTGCCCCCACCGCAGAGTGGGTACTGCCGTGTAAGTCGGCCACAGCCAGGCCTTGTCAGCCATGCCAGCGCCGCTTCGGCTCGCGTTCCCTCTCCATTCCTATTACTCAGAGCCGAGTACTGTGTACCTTCACCATTCCCTCAAAAATTTTGACTCGGCGGCGGCCAGTGCGGCAGTGCGGCTGGACGAGTCGAGCCGACTTTGAGTTTGAATTGCCATCTTCTGACCATTCACAGTCAAGAGCGTTGGGTATCTCGGGAATTAGTACAACAAGGGAACAGCTCTCTTATACAATATGACAAACAGTTGCACGCCCATGCTGCCCTCCCGTCACTTCGCGCCTCTTCCCGCCAGGGACGAGTTTCGGGACATTTGGGCATTGCGTGCCAGGTCGCCCCATGCACGTCCGGACTTTCCGCTCCGGCCTTCACTCTCCTTCTCCGCCTTCCTCTCCGCTTGGATGCTGCGCGCCTTTGCGAGTGGGTCGATCACGATCAGCTCATCCTCCGCCTTTTTGCGATAACTCAGGTCTTTGCCGAGCTTGTCTGCGGCAAAGCTGAGCGAGTGCGACATCCACCCCTCGTCGTCGCTCTCGTCTTCGCCCTCAGCCTTGTCCCACGCCTTGCACGATTGGCAGTTGGCGATAAAGTGAAGATCGCAAACCTCGTCTTCCTCGGCATTGTCCCCAGCCTTGGTTTCGCCGTCCCCTGCGGCGGGCACCTCTGTTGCTGTTGCCTTCTCTGGCGGCGCCTGATCCAGTTTTTCCTGGAACGCTTTGAGAAAGCTCAGTGCCTTCTGTTCCTCAGCAGCTGTAGGGTTGTTTGCGCCAGGTCTCCTCTTGCGCCCTCGCGTCGACGTCTGCGGGATCATCTGCTCCAAGGCGGAGGATTTCTTGCCCTCACTGACGGGCTCCGAATGGACAGTCCTCCTCATCGATGCTTTCAGAGCAGCTATTTCCTCGTTCATCCGCTCGAGCTCAGACTTGCCTTTGGACACCTCTGGCTCCGGGGAAGAATCGCTCTCAATATCTTGTGCGGCCTTCTTAGATGACTTCTTCATAGCTTGTGGCGGTGGTGAGGGCTGACGCTCGGGAGGTGTTGCTTCTCTCTGAGGAGGCTCCCTGATCGGCACAACAGCCTTGGCACCCTTCGCCTCTTTTCCTTTCTTTGAGGCCTTTAGCGGCTTGACCTGAGGCTCTGGCTCGTCGACATCCATCACAATCCTTGTATCGAACTTTGGCTTCTTTGGAAGAGGTTGTATGTCGCCCTCGCCCTCTTCGTCGCCAAAGCTTAGCAACTGCTTGCCGCCTTTCCTTTTCTTGTCCTTCTTCTTCTCCGTGGCGGCCGGCCGTGTTGTGCGCTGCGCAATGCGCTCCCTCTTCTTCATGTCGTCGAAAGGGTTCACCAGGATCTCCACGCTGGAGATCCTGGTTGGGTATAGGGGTCGCTCGGTTCCCTCTTCCACTTCGCCTTCGCCCATCTTTGCCAGGTTGTAAATGGTGTCGCCAGCGACGCGCCCAAACATGGTGTTCTTCCCATCCAGCTCGGCAGCCTTGTCCAGCGTGAAAAAGAACTGACTGCCATTCGTGTCGGCCCGGCTTTCATTCGCCATACCCAGCAACCCACGACGGTTGAACTTGAGGCGCGTGTGGAACTCGTCCTTGAAGTTCACGCCTTGAGGGCCGGCGTTCTTTCCTCTCCGCTGGTCCATCGGCCATGGGTCCAGGTCCCCGCTGAAAGCGCCGCCATCGTAGATCGACTCGCCTCCATTGCCGGTGCCGGTCGGATCGCCTCCCTGCAGAATGAAGCCGGGAACCAGGCGGTGGAATATAGTGTTGTCGTAGTAGCCGTCTAGGCAGTGTTGGAGGAAGTTGCGACAGGTGAGCGGAGTCTGCTTCGCGAAGAGCTCGACTGATAGTTCGCCATGGTTCGTGTGGAGGATGACCGACGCCGTTGGCTGCGGCTCGGTGTTGTAAATGCTCGACATTGTGCTTCGGTTACCGCCGCACTTCCATGCCCAAATGCCCCAGTAGTAGAGGGTGTGGTCTGTTTGTTGTTGTTTCTGTTGTTCTTGGTGCTCAAAGCGGCCTGAGAAGACCGTTTCGAAGTCGTGAAGCAAGTGGCTGGTGCAAATCAATTCGAGGTCTGCAGCTAAGTTTAAAGTTAGCTGGAGCTTCTAAGTTCTGGCTAGCAGTACGAGCTTTGCCAGCCGGAACGATTGATCACCGCGGTGGGGCGGGGGAGGGGCGACACCCAGCACTCGGCTGGCCTACAACGGTGCTGGCTGCTTGCCTGCCCACCTAGGTAGGTACCTAAGTAGGTGCTGTAGCGGCTCCAGTCAAGAGACCCCTTCTTGTAGTACAATATGAGCATCGACCAGGGCTTGTACAGGCTTCTCAAATTGGTCGCCTCGAAGTGCAATACCTTGAAGTGTTGATATTCAATTCATTTTTCAAAAGATACCTAGGTGCTGTTCAACTGCAATTTTTTCCTGTCTCGGATGCGTTTGTGAAGCTACGGCGTATAAAAATAGAATCGTCGGCAAGTGAGGGATCAGGAGCTGACGTCGGGTGGTCTAGCGGGTGGTCTAGCAGAGGTGTTTCCTGACCTTGGAGAGGCTGCTGGCCAGTGCGCCGAGCTTATCATCCGCCCAACCTCCAGGAGCTCCCAAACCACCAACTACAATCGTCATCAGTCTGCACACTTGCGCCCTCGACCACCAGATCCACACACATCCAAGCAGCAGCCATGGGTGACCCTCGCGAGTCGTCTTCCTACTCGGTGGTGCCTCACCTCAAGTACAACACTGTCGGTGGTGTGAACGGCCCTCTGGTCATCCTCGAAGATGTGAATCACCTCCTCCCGATGCCTGCAGACCGACAAATCCGTTGACCGCCATGACAGGTCAAATTCCCCCGATACAATGAGATCGTCGCCTTGACGCTCCCCGATGGAACTACGAGGCAAGGACAGGTCCTAGAGGCCCGAGGTATGTGGGACATGTCTTGAGGCATTTCGAATGAACAAGCGCTAACTGGTCGACGTGCAGGAAACCGAGCTGTCGTCCAGGTATTTTATCAAGCATCCCGATTCAACTATTCGGTCGATTAACGAGTATATCAGGTCTTCGAAGGCACCTCTGGTATCGATGTGAAGAAGGTGCGCAGAGCCTCAGGAGCGTGGTCTCAGAGCCTGTTATACTGACGGCTTGCCAATAGACGAAAGTCGAGTTCACCGGCCAGAGCTTGAAGCTTGGTGTGTCAGAGGACATGCTGGGACGTATCTTTGATGGTTCAGGTCGGGCCATCGACAAGGGCCCCAAGGTGCTGGCAGAGGACTACCTCGACATCAACGGTAGCCCAATCAACCCCTACTCGAGAGTACGGCAACCAATTATCCTAGACAGGCGAGGGGAGCAAAGCTAACAGAGGCCGCCAGGTCTACCCCGAGGAAATGATTTCCACCGGTATCTCCACCATCGACACCATGAACTCCATCGCTCGTGGACAAAAGATCCCCATTTTCTCCGCCTCTGGTCTGCCGCACAACGAGATCGCTGCCCAGATTTGTCGCCAGGCTGGTCTGGTCCAGAAACAGGAGGGCGTCACAAACAAGGGTGTGCACGATGGCCACGAGGACAACTTCTCCATCGTGTTCGCCGCCATGGGTGTGAACTTGGAGACAGCTCGTTTCTTCACCCGCGACTTCGAAGAGAACGGCAGTCTGGAGCGTGTCACCCTGTTCCTCAACCTCGCCAACGACCCAACGTGAGTCTGCCGCCTTGGGACATCACTGGACGATTGCTGACTCTTGCACAGGATCGAGCGTATCATCACGCCTCGTCTCGCTCTCACGACCGCCGAATACTACGCCTACCAGCTCGAGAAGCACGTCCTGGTCATTCTCACAGATCTTTCGGCGTACTGTGACGCTCTTCGTGAGGTCTCAGCCGCTCGAGAGGAAGTGCCAGGTCGTCGTGGTTTCCCCGGTTACATGTACACTGATTTGTCGACCATTTACGAGCGAGCCGGTCGTGTTGAGGGCCGTAATGGTTCCATCACCCAGATCCCCATCCTGACCATGCCTAACGACGATATCACCCACCCGATTCCCGACTTGACAGGATATATCACGGAGGGCCAGATTTTCGTCGACAGAGGCCTGTACAACAAGGGTATCTACCCTCCCATCAACGTGCTGCCATCGCTTTCCCGGCTGATGAAGTCGGCCATCGGTGAGGGTATGACGCGCAAGGACCACGGTGATGTCTCGAACCAGCTGTACGCCAAGTATGCCATCGGTCGTGATGCTGCGGCCATGAAGGCAGTCGTTGGTGAGGAGGCCCTGTCAGCCGAGGACAAGCTGTCGCTTGAGTTCCTTGACAAGTTCGAGCGGCAGTTCGTCTCCCAAGGAGCCTACGAGCAGCGAAGTATCCATGACTCCCTGGACCTTGCCTGGTCTCTGCTCCGCATCTACCGCAAGGACATGCTCAACCGTATCCCTAAGAAGATCATTGATGAGTTCTACTCGCGTACTGCGGCTGCGGACCGGAAGAAGAAGGACGCCAAGGACAGCAAAGACACCAAGGACAACGCGCCGGCCGAGGAGGAGAACCTGATTGACGCATAAAGGGACAGGCAGCCTACACACGGTCGGAGCAGATTAACGAGGCCTCAGATTGGAGCATGAGATTTGGTTGCATTTGTATATTGCTAGCATGTTGTGTTCAGTGAGGCACAGTGATGCGTGTTACAGACTTGAAAAACAATTATGTGGAACATACAGTACCAGTCAGCGATAACCAGTGAAATTACGGATTTCGAAATTTTGCCCTTTACCAGCCAGCTTTTATCTTACTAGGTTGGGCGGGTCTTGTCAGGGCCATAAGCTAAACACCCACAGGACTAACTAATAGATCTATATACTCTACTTATCTTATTAACCTAAATAACCTCCATACCTCTTATAATATAGAATTATAGCTTTACTACTTCCCTTACATTATTTCTTAAATAAGTTTAATTTTAAATTAATAATTCTTTATAAATAATTTAAACTTTTTTTTATTATAAAATTATTTTAAATTTAAAAAGTTTTATAAATACTTTAATTTTATAAAATACTTTTAATTTTAATATAACTTTTATATAATTTTATATACTTTTTAAACTTTTAAAACTTTAATAAATTTAAAGATTTATTTAATTTTAACTTTTATTTAAAAGTTTTTATTTTTATTATAAACTTTTAATTTTAAAAATATATTTATATTAATATTTAATTTAATTAATATAATTTTTATTTTCTATAAAAATTAATAAATTTAAAATTTTAAAATTTTTATATTTTAAATTATATATTAATTAAATTTAAAATATTTTATTTAATTTATATTAAATTTTATTTTATTTTTATTATAATTTTATTTATTATAAATATAATATAATTATAAAATTTTATTTATTATTATAATATTTTAAAAATTAAAAGTTATTATTTAAAAGTTTAAATTTTAAAAATATTAAATTATTATAATAAATTAATAAATAATTAAATAAAAATATAATTAAATTTATAAGAATAGTAGACTATAGTAAATTAGCTACTATAAGGTTAGTAGGCTTATATATATATATAAACTATATTTAGTTAGCTAGGTCTAGTTAATTTAATTAGGTGCTTTACTACCTATTAGGTAGACCTTTTAATTATTATTAATTTATACTACTTTAACTACTTTTTATATATAAGTTAAACTAACTAATACTAATTAGTTACTAACTAGCTTTTAATAGTAAGGTAAATCGTTTAAACTATTTAAGCGTTAAGTTCTTTTAGGGGATAAATCGGTAAGGCTATTTTACCGTTATAGTTTAAAGAAGAAGATAAATTAGTCATACTACTATCACTGTTATAGCCTTTTTAGAAGGTAAGTTGTCTAGGCTGTCTAGGTGTAATTAACCACTAAGTAGGATCTTTTCACTAGGTAAGTCTTGTAACTCTCTCTCGCGACAACTCTCTCTCTCTCTCTCGCACACACAATCAATAATTTAAGCCTACCTATTAAACCCTTAAACTAACTACCTACTAGCTAATTTGTTTAGCTATCTACTAGTTAACCTATTTACCTACCTTATATTATTTAAGTAATTAACTAAGTAAGTGACTAAGTAAGCGACTTTTATACTTTTTCTTAACTTCTCTTTCTCTCTCTCTCTCTCTCTCTTATAATACCTAAATAGAAGATACTTTAATAGTATAGCTACTATAACCTTAAGTCTTTTATAATAAAGTTATTTATAGCTACTATAAGTGTATACTAATAGTGCTTTTACTTATATTACTTTAATAAAAAGAAGAAAATATTTAAGTTAAAAAATAAGTTAAAGAAGTATATTAATAATACTTATAAAGAGGAATATATAGCTATTAAATCTAATAATAATAAAGTTTAATAGTTTATTAGTAACTTTAATTATTACTTTAATAAGAACTTTTAATACTTTTATTAAACCTTTAAAAACTAAATTAAAGAGTACCTTAAATAAATTAAGTTAGAGCTTTTTAAAGACTTTTATAATAACCTTTATTGAAGTAATATTTATATTAAACTAAGTATTAAGCTAATACTTTAAGCCCTACTAACTTTTATTTAAATACCTTACTTTAATAAAAAGAAATATTATAACTACCTATATAACTAATTAAATATAAGATAAAGGATTAATAAAGTAAGTAATAATTTATATAAATAAAGTAGTAATATATTTATTAAAAGGAACTATATTTATTAAATTAATTAAACTATAAAAAAGAAACTATTAAAAGGGTTAACTAATTAATTAATTAACTAATTAAATATTAATAGTTAGTAATTATTTAATAATAGTCTAATAAATAATTAATTAATTAATAATTTAAATTTAATTTTAGTTATTAAAGTAATTTAAATTTAAGTAATTTAAATTTAAGTAATTTAAATTTAAGTAATTTAAATTTAAGTAATTTAAATAATTTATAAAATATTAATTTAAAGTGTTTTTAAATGTTTAAATTAAGTAAATTATAATTATATATTTAGTAGTAATTTTAAATACTTTAATAATTTAATTAGAAACTACTTTATTAATAAATAAAGCTCTCTAATTAGTTAGAAGAAAGGGAAGGACCTTAATTTTAAAAAACTAAAAAGTTATTAATGTAGAAATAGTAGGCTGTAGTGGATTAGCTACTATAAGGTTAGTAGGTCTATATATATATATAGACTATATTTAGTTAGCTAGGTCTAGCTAATCTAATTAAGTGCTTTACTATCTATTAGGTAGATCTTTTAACTATTATTAATTTATATTATTTTAATTATTTCTTATATATAAGTTAAGTTAACTAATAAAATTATTATTTAATTAAATTATAAATAATAAAAATAATTAATTTTAAATTTAAAAGTATATAAATTATTATTTTTAAATAATTAAAATTATAAAAAGTATTATTTTATTTATTTAATTAATTAATTTTATTATTATTACTTTAATTATTTATATATTTTAACTTTATATAATTTTTATTTAAATATATTAATAATATATTTTAAAGTTTATTATATAATTATATAATTAATAATTATTTAATTAATAAATTTAAAAATTTAATAAATTAAAAAGTATTAATAAATATATATAGGAAAAGATTTTAATTAATTTCTTTTAATAAAAATAAAAATATTAATAAAAGTTAATATTTATTTATTTAACTTTTATAATTACTTATTTAATAATTTTTAAATTTACTTTATATTTATTTTCTTAATAACTCTTTTATATTTATAAGTATTTTTAAGTTAATATTAAAAGACTTTATAATATAATTTCTTTCTTTATTTTTAATATTTTAAGTATAAACTTTTTAATATTTTTAATATACCTTTTAATATACTTTTAATATACTTTTAAACTTTTAAACTATATATATTTAAATATTAATTAAGTATTTAAATATTAATTAAACGTTAAAAGTTAAAAGTTTAAAGTATTAAAAGGTTAAAAATATTAAAAATTAGAAAGAGTATAATCTTTATTTTTACCTTTTAATTTCTAACTTTTTAATATTTAATTAATATTTAAATATATATAACTTAAAAGGTATATTAAAAGTATATTAAAAGTATATTAAAAGGGTTTAAAAGGTTTATATTTAAAGTATTAAAATTTAAAGAATGTTAGTTAAATATATAGTTTTATATAAACTTTATATATAAAAGTTAATATTAAATAAATTTAAAGAAATTATTAAATAAATAATTATAAAAATTAAATAAATAAATATTAACTTTATTAATAATTATTAATAATTATAAATATTTAAATATATATAATTAAATAAAATAAATCATAATAAATAAATTTTATTATATTTTTAATAAACTTAAAAGTTATTTAATAAAGTTTTATTATTATTAAAAACTTATTTATAAAAGTTTAAAATAATATAAAAGTAATTTTAATTAAAGTATATTTTTAATTTATTTTTAAAAATATTATAATTATTTTTAAAAGTTTAATTATATTATTTAAAATTATTAATTTATTATTAAAATTCTTTATAATTATTTTTAAACGTTTAATTTTATTATTAAAAATTATTAATTAAAATAATTTAAATAAATATTTATTTATTAATAAATTACTTTTTTACTTAAGAATTAAATAATATTACTTATAAAATAATATTAAAATATAATTCTTTTATAAAAAATTCTTTTAAATAATAATATAATAAAGAAAATAATTTATTTTATAATTAAAAGTTATTTTAATATTATTAAAGTATATTTAAATTATTTAATATAAATAATTTAAAAATTAAAAATATTATATTTAATAATATTATATTAAAATTGTTAATATAAATAATTTAAAAGTTAATAATTAATAAAATAACTTTATAAAATAACTTATAAAAAATATTATAATTTTATAATATAAAGTTTAATAAATAAATTTTATTAATATATTTAATAATTATTTATATTTAATATTATTAAATAAATTAAATTATAATTTCTATTTTAAATTTAAAATTAATAAAATATTAAAATTATAATAATAAATATTATATAAAGAAAGTAAAACTTTAAATATTTAAAAGTTAAATTTTTATTTTAAAAATATTAATTTTATTAAAGATTTATTGACTTTTATATAATATATAAAAATTTAATATAAAAAAGTTTTATAACTTTATTTTATATAAATAAATTTAAAAATATATATTAAATAATTATTAAATTAATATTTAAATTATAAATTTATAATTAATTTAAAAGTTAAAAAGATAATAAATAAATATATATATAATTAATAAAAATATAATATAATTAAAGTTTATTAATAGAGAAAATAACTTAAAAGCTTATAAATAGGATATAATAATTTAAGAAGAATAAGAAAATTATAGAAAGACTATAACTAATGAAGGAAATAAGCGGTAAGTGTCCTTATAACTTCGATTTATAAGCTGAGTGCTAATATATGATCTAGTCTGGACTTCCGATTTGCAACCTAGGTTACCTGAAGTTATGAGATAGATGATTGAAAAATCCATGAGTCTCAGGCCCTGGCCGGGTATGGAGAAGGCGGACCCGGTAATTGGCGCTGCACAGAATTTGCCATGCACACTGTCAATCACGAGAAGTGAGCCTCGGATTACCTTCAGCGAAGTAAAACCAAAAAATGATGCTCTTGAATGAAGGTATGCCCACGAAGCGCCGAGATCAATGTAACCTAGTTCTCCCATCGAGATGATATCATAGGAATAGTAATAGATTGCCTGATCGTATCATAAGTGCATCGCACAATACTCACTAAGACGAAAATTCACACTGATAGCATTGCACGTGGCCTAGGCAATGGATGCAAGCTGGCATGAGCGTGCGTTGTATGCGCCACCAGCATTGCCGTTGGGCATGGAGAGATGCTGGGGAGGCTTCTGTCCAGGCTTTGCATTTCGAGATCGGCTGAAAGAGTCTATCAATGAGCTCCTGGGGAATCGCAACAACGGAAACTCTTGCTTCGTTGGTGTCGAGAAGTGGTCAATGTGTCGAGCAGGTTAATGAAGCTACCCGGGTAGCGACCGATCTTCGTAGGCTCTGACAATTCAATTTCACCGACTACCTATATACCACGCTGATACCTAGGGAGCGCAACCGATAATTCCAGGTCTAGATAAATCTGTATCGATTTACTGCTTTTGTCGAGTATCTAATCAACTGACTGGCCCAAATACTTCCAAGAATCATCGGTCTCGCATTCTAGGAAGAAAGCTCCAGAGAACGAGGGCTTAGAAGCCACCCAAAACTTCGGTGTGTGTAATCGCAGAGATAAGCTCATTACCCTCTGTCAACTTCTTACCATCAAAAAGGGCCCCATGAGGTCTTCTGTCAGGTGGCGCACTGGTGATAGCTATGCTTGTGGGGGGGGGGGGCAGCCACCTGCTATTTCGTCCGTCCAACTCCAACCATGAAGCCGAGGTTTCAATTCAACTCATCAAGTCTTCTTGTAGACCAAACTGAGATAATCCACCCGTTCCGAGCCCAGGGCTTTGCCATAGGGCGGCAACTCGTCTCCCTTCTTGCCAGCGCGCAGGACCCACCCCCCATCCAGCTGATCCAAGCCCTCGATGAGCGACCCAGCCAGCAGTGCGATCATCTTCCAGCCAAAGGCGTACGTCGTCCGGTTTCCCGCAGGACAAACTCCTGCGAATGGCATGAACCCAAGGTGTTCCTCAAATTCCTTAAGTGTTCTGGCTCGTGCGTCGTCGAGGAATCTCTGCTGGATCTCCAGCCAGCGAGCGGGCCGGAATGCTTGGGGATCGTCGCCTGCCAGGTCACGATTGCGATGCATCTTCTCGAGGTCTGCGCTGATGAAGGGCTCATGGTCCGGGTACTTGCGGTGGATGCGTCGTGTGGGCGGGTAGAGGCGGAGGATCTCCTTGACGACGTCGATGGTCGCTACCGTGTCATGACGGTGAATATTCAAGTCGAGGGTTCTATGCTCGCCTTTCCAATTGTCGCTGTTGCTTGGCTCTTGCAGGTATGCCATGAGAAGTCCCTTATGATGGACGTGATCGTGGTTAGAGTTGCCTCGAAAACAGATTTCAAGCAGACCTCGGAAGACGGCTCGCCACATTGTCTCGTATGCAGGCAGAATTAGGTTCATTGGGTTACGGCGTGGATCGCGCGGGTCATGGTCAGGGATGATAGTGAGAAGGTCCTGGATTATACCCTGCTCCTCATGCCAGGCTGGAATACTCCTCCCGTCACTGCCGCTACCCTTGGAAAGGATCCACAGGTCGTTGATTCTGTTGGCGATAGAGATGATGACGTCCTTCTTATTGTCGAGGTCTTGTTCTGGGACTTTGAAAAGATAGCCGATCGAAACCTTCAGCGTGACGAATTGGACAAGCTTTGCAAGGTTGACAGAGTTCCTCTCTGCTTGAAGATATTGCTGGACAGCGGACCTCATGTTTCTGACCAGGAAACTCCAATCTGGCTTTTCATTTTGACTTGTAGAATCCACCCTCAGTGCCTGTTTCAGTGTGTCGATTGCCAACTTTCTGAAATTCCCTGCCCACTCGGTGTCTTCGGTTGTGAAGATATTGTCAATGCCAAAAGTGGTTTTGAGGCGCCGGTTAGGCACAGTTCGGGCAGTGCTTCTGTCAGAGAGCGGTCGACCTGTGGTCAGATCTTTGCAGTCAATGATGCGAATATGTTGTCGTAAGAAAGCTTTGTTTTCGTTGTGAGTCACCCGCGTCTTGGAGAGATGCAGTAGCAAAAGTGCTCCGATAGCGATCGTCGCTGCAAAGGCAGTCAAGCCGGGAACAGTCAGCAGTATGCTATTCATGATGCTGGCCATGTAGATGGAGGCTGATCTGTCCTTGGACAGGAAGGTAGTGATGGTTGGGAGGAAGTACTATGGCAGGGCAGATTGGGTGTTGGCACATCATCACATACAATCCATGGATGTTTTTACCCGCCGTGGGTGCGTTGGCTAGCAACTAACATCAGCTGTTGCCAGGCCAGAAGGGCAGTCATATATGGACTCCTAATTATGTGACCCCCTCCCTATTCGCTGCCACAAGTGCCAGGCAATGACAGAACGGGAACACAACTGTAATCATTGTTTGCTTGTTTGCTTGTTTGCTTGCTCATTGTTCCTTTCTTTGTGGGTTGTATCGACAAGTCGATTTACCTGGATAAGCAACACTCATTGTAGATAGCTTCATTCGCCGAACTCATAGGAAGGTAAGGCCAAGCGCAGCATCCTCTTCGGCCTCCCCCCCCCCCCCAGACACATACAAATAATTAAGATAACCTAATAAAGGAAGATTATATAAAGTAACTATTATATATAGTTTCACTTCTATTTTATATATATTTAAAGATATATATAATACCTTTATATAATAATAAATATTTAAACTTTAATATTTAAAAAAAATATATAGTTTTACTTTTATTTTATATATATTTAAAGATATATATAGCGCCTTTATATAATAATAAATATTTAAAACTTAGTATTTAAAAAGAATATAATATTAATAATAATAGTTATAATATAATAAATATTTATAACTTTAACTTTATAATATATAAATAAAGTTAAAAATATTATTTTAATAATAATATTAATTAAAATATTATAAAAGTTATATAATAAAATTAAAGTTTTAAGAATAATTATTATATAAATAAATTATATTAAAAAGTTTAATTAAAGATTATTTCTTTAAATATATATATATATTAATAAAACTTTATTAAGTAAATATTATAACCTTTATTTAAATATATAATTATTAATTTTAAAAGAACTTTAAATAAAAAATAATTTATAATATACTACTTTTAAAACTTTTATAATAAAGTATTAAAACTTTTAAATAGATTTTAAAAGTAATTTATAAAAAATAAAAAAGTATAATAAATTTATTTTCTTTTAAGTTTATATTTTTATTATTAATGACTATTAACTTTTTAATAATATAAAAAGTATAATAAAAATAAAGAAAAAAGTAAATTTAAAGTTTCTTTTTAAAGAAACTATAAAAATATATATAAAGTTATTAAAAACTTTATATATAAGCTTTAAATTAAAAAAGAAATAAATAGTTATATAATATAAAGGAAAAATATAATATAATTAAAACTTAAAAAGAATATAATATTAATAATAATAGTTATAATATAATAAATATTAATAACTTTAACTTTATAATATATAAATAAAGTTAAAAGGTATTATTTTAATAATAATATTAATTAAAATTATAGATAGAAGTAGCCTATAGGCTAGTCGCTATAAGGGAGTCATATAGCGAGACTAGGTCCGCAACTATTATATACCTAGGTATGTGTACTGAAGCGTGACCAGGATTGATCTTAAGACTAAATCAGTAAAAATATCTAGGTTACCGACCTAGTGAGACGAATTATACAATGCTGCAACGCAACTGCCCCGGCTAAAAGAACACCATTTCAAGTCCCACAGACTTGAAATCCAGCATTTATAAGAGCCGACCCGTCACATGCTACTTACTGTTGTGAATTTCTCTCAAGGAAGACGGCCGGCCTTTACAGTTCGATGAGATTTTCAAAAAGAGGATGTTTTCTAACAATTATCATTCTAAAAGAGGTCCGTTACCATGCGAGTGGGTATCGAGTAGCGCACACATGAGTACAACTTCTGGAGCTAATCTAATAATGCGAGTTCCTAGTACTGAATATTGAACAGCCAATCGATTAGTGGATTCCAAATACTCAATAGCTGTTCAGTTGAGACAAAAAGCTAAGACAGGCCCGCTTTAAGAGGACTAAGGACTAAATAGCAACTAAATTAGCACCCTAAGCCCCCTTAGCCCCTTAGATGAATGAGAATAGTACCCTAGGGTACCGATATTAAAGTAATATACCTATCATATTATAACTATTATTATTAACATTATATTCTTTCTAAGCGCTGGGTCTTGAGTGCTTACCACTATATAAAGGCGCTATATATATCCTTGGATATATACGGAATAGAAGCAAAACCACATACTCTACTCAGTCCCTAGCAGACTAGCTTAATAATCACTACATGTTTAATAATTACGTGTATAATAGCTAGGCCACAGGCCTGGTTGAGGATATTTGATTTGTGAGATAAATTTTGGCTTTCGATCAGGCTCTCCAGCTGATTATATCTTTTGATGCAAACATTGTGCCTCACATATACATTTCCACATCTGTTGTCTTACCAGGTCCAGCTTCTATTAAAGCGGGATTGGAAACACTGACTGGTTGATGCTCAGATCGCTCCATATCCCCGTTACACTTCTGTCGTCGGAGTTGTCACAATAGACTGCCTGTTCTCAATAGTCACCCCAGTCTGGTCAACGATGACCTGCGCGCTTCCTACAATAAAGCTACTCTCCAAGAACTTCAATTTGGGATCAGAGACCAGATACTCGGTCCTCGCAGCTATCACCCCATGTTAGCGAGAGATTAGTAGGCAAGAATGAAGCAGATGTGTGTCTTCTGTCGACAGCGAAGAGTACTCAAGTACATACCGGCGTGGCCAAAGCCAACGGAAGCCATGTCGGGCTGCAAAGTGAATATCTTCTCCGCCGCTGGAACCATAGTAATGATTCCGAATGTTCGGACGTCAATCTGATGTCCCTCCTCGGTCCTGCAGCGCCGTCAGTCATGGCTTCTTCGTATACCCTGGCTCAACAACCTCAGCTTACTGGGCTATGCCGCGGAAATTGACGCGCCCATGCTTTCCATCTGCATCCATGGAGAACCAGTCGCCGCCGAAAGTCACCTTGGCAGAAAAGGCCGGCTCGAAGCCGGGGACTGTCTCGATGGTCCCCGTGGGAACTTCCTATCACACCACCGCAGTGTCAGTGAGAACATTTTTCATGTCGTGAATTTGGTCGTCTGGCTGCTGTCCACCTACAAAGTGCGTGAGGGTGGAGCCGTTGAAAGTGGGCCCTGTATAATGTCAGCGAGCGCACTGCGAGAGGTTTCACGATGGCCCCGTGACATACCAAAGGGATGGATTTTCGTCACATCGACATTCACTTTCGTGATGATTGCAGGCTTCAAGGATGGGAAACCAGAAGGCTCAGACATTGTGACCGTGTAATTCTCAGACTTTGCTTAGCGAAGGTGCCGATGGTGTTTGCTCTTGAGGACAAGAAGTTGTGTTTGTGAGTCAGTCTATCCATTCAAGTAATCTCCAGCCATTATGATTGGTATTGTTATATTGTTATATTGTTATAGATCTTCCCCTAAACAATGAAGAGCTGATTGCCATTGGGTACATAGGTTGTAGTCAGTTTTCTGTGGACTCGGACCGGAGCGGTCCGGATACCTTTCTTCGGGCCGGGCAACCCGCCGACAACGACGCCGAATGCCCGGAAGGTGATGCGGAGTTCGACTCCTTGCAATGCCGCAGGAGGTCAATGTTTAGTCTTTGGCCGTCGGCGTGTAGCAAGAGCGTGCCGAAAACTATCGTGGCCCTACCCTAGGGTCAATCGACCACCGGTATCTATCGTCGCATAAAAGAGCCCTCTCCTGAGAAGCTTACCGAAGTCGACACGCAAATAGGAATTGATTATCGCACTACATGATACTCTCTATCTGAAACAATAAAAAAAAATGTCAACATTCTTCGAGGGCAAACTAATCGTCGTCACGGGCGCAGCCTCGGGCATCGGCCGGGCTACTGTTAAGATCCTCGCCAGGCATGGCGCTCTGCTTTCCCTTGCCGACGTCAACGAGGACAACCTCAAGGCAGTGAAGGATGAAGTCTTGGAAATAGCAGCAGCACGTAATGCCACAGCAGCAGCTGGAGGCGACAGCAGTAACAGCGACAACAAGCCCGCCCAGGCGCCCGCCGAGCCCGTCTTCACGGCGGTGGTGGACGTGCGGTCGCAGGAGTCGTGCAACCGCTGGATCCGAGACACGCTGCAGCACTTCGAGTCCGCCGGCGGTGGCGGCGGGCAGCAGCAGCGGCGGATCGCGGGCGCGGCCAACCTGGCCGGCGTCAGCAACCCGCCGGGCAGGACGGAGCCGGTGGCGGCGCGCGACATCGCGGACCCGGAGCTCGAGTTCGTGTGGGACGTCAACGTGCGCGGGGTCGTCAATTCGCTGCGGGCCGAGCTGCCGCACCTGCAGGAGGGCAACGGCGGCCGCGGCGGCGCGTCTGTCGTCAACGCCGGCAGCATCTCGGGCCTCATGGGCCTCCCCGGCTACCTGCCCTATGTGTCCAGCAAGCATGCCGTCATCGGCATCACTCGCACGGCTGCCAAGGAGGAAGGGCCCAAGGCAATCCGTATCAATGCCATCGCTCCGTAAGTTTTTTTTTCCAAGTTGTCTTTGTTGGTGTGCGTGATCAGGCGAGGCAACGCCCTTGTGGTTTTTTATCCAAAGCTACTTCCGTAACGTCTGGTAGCCTGGACCACTGCTAACGCCGTCCCCAGTGGTATGATAGACACGCCCTTACTGCGTGCCGTTGCAGAGTCAAGAGGCGTAGATCCGTCTCACGAGATGTTTGGTTCGAGTGCAGGCCCCTCACCGGCGCTGGACCGGCTGGGAGAGGCTGAGGAGGTCGCAGAGGTCATTGTCTTCCTCTTGAGCCCACAGAGCGGATACATCAATGGGGCTGTCATTCCAATTGATGGGGGCCTTTTAATATGAGCTGGCGAGAAATGCCATGGACTATTCCAATCTCTATACAGCTTGTTGCTTGGTGTACACCCGTCTTATGGAGTAAATCCACCTTATATCGGATCTATAGTCTATCAATCTAGTTTCAATCACATGAGCCGTTTCGCATACAACGACATTGCTCTCAGTTAGTTGTTCACCACTTCAGACCATCCTTAAGCGCAGATCTAAGAAGTATTAACTATAGTTTTTCCTTCTTAGTATTCATTACTCTAGAGGTATAATATATAATAAAATTATAATTATTATAAAAAGACTTTTATCTTTATAAAAGTAAGTAAAAATATTTATTAATAAATATAAATTAATTATTAATTATTATACTTTAAAGAGCTAATATCCACTTACTTAATAATTATATCTACTTACTTAGTTCCTACTAACTATTTACCTAATACTAAATTTTCTAAGTAACTCCCTTATATTTATAAGTATCTTTTAAGTTAGTATTAAGAGACCTTATAATATAATTTCCTTCTTTAATTTTAATACTTTAGGTATAAGCCCCTTTTAGCATACCTTCTAGTACACTTTCTAGCACCCCTTTTAGCACACCTTCTAGTACACCTTCTAGCATACCTTTACCTTCGCCTTTACCTTCACCTTCACCATTTAATCTATATATATTTAAGTACTAATTAAGTATTTAAATACTAACTAAATATTAGAAGGTTAAAAGTTTAAAGGGTTAGAAGGCTAGAAGGAGGGCTAGAAGGTTAGAAAGTATATAATCTTTACCTTTACCTTCTTAGCTTTTAGCCCTTTAGCGTTTAGTTAGTATTTAAATGCTTAGTTAATACCTAAATGTGTGTAGATTAGAAGGCTTAGAAGGTATGTTAGAAGACGTGCTAGAAGGCATGTTAGAAGGCGTGCTAAAAGGTGTGTTAGAAGGCATACTAAAAGGTATATAGAAGGGGCTTATACTAAAAGTATTAAAAATTTAGAGAATCCTAGTTAGATATATAGTTTTATATAGACCTTATATATAAATTCTTATATTAAATAAGTAGTTAAAAAGAATTAGATAAATAGATATAATTATTAAGTAAGTAAATATTAACTTTACTTTAAATATTTAATTAATAATTTAATATAAATTAATTTATTATATATTATTTATTAATTATAATAAATTTAAAAGAATATAAATAAATTAATTAAATTTTAATTTAATTATTAATTTAATTAATAAGTTTTTAAATTTAAAGTTAAAGTTTTTATTTTAATTATTTATAACTTAATTTAAATAATAATTTAATTATATTTTAATTAATTATTTTTTATTTATTTATTATATTAACTATTAAATAAAATAAAAATTAATATAATATTCTTTTATATAAAAGTTAATTAATAATAAATAAATAAAAGATAAATAAATTATTTTTATTTTTATTTTAATAAATATATAAACTTAAAGTAATAATAAAATATAACTACTTTATTTAATTATATTTTAATTTAATAAATTAAATAATTATTATTATATAATATTATTTATAATATAATAAAGTTAATAAAAATATTTATTTAAATAAAGTTAAAACTTATAAAAATAATAATTTTATTTTTTTATTTTAATTAATTTATATAATAAATTTTAATATTTTTATATAATATTTATTAATATTAAATTAAAGAGTTTATAATTTATAATAATTTTAATTTTTAATAAATTAATAATATTAACTTCTTTTTAATATAAAGTTAAAAGATTTATAATTATAATTTTTAATTAACTTTTATTTAATTAGTTTCTTTTATTATAATTTAATTTAATTTTTAATTTAATTTAAACCTTTTAAATTATATAAATACTTTTATTTTTATAAATATAAATATTAAATTAAAACCTTTAAGTTTAAGTTTAAGATTTTTATAAATTTTAATTTTTTAAATTAAGCTTATAATTTTTAACTTTTCTAAAAATATATTAATTATTTTAAATATTAATAACTTTTTTAAAGTAAAGATTTATTTTTATATAATTATAAATCTAATTATTAATAATTATGTCTTTTTTATTTATAGTAAAATTATTAGAATTATAAACCTAGATATTATATATAATAATAAAGTATAGTTACCTTATTTAATTATTTCTCGGTTTAGTGGTGTAGTAGGTTAAGTAACTATTTTTAAGTAGTTTTACTTAATACGTATTTATTTAAATAGAGTTAGAACTTTAGTTAGAGGAATAATAGCTTTATTTTTATTTATTTTAATTAATTTATATTTATATATAGTTTAAGTTATATAGTAAATTTAATACTTATATATAGTGCTTATTAATATTAGATTAAATAGCTTATAGTTTATAATAACTTTAACTTTTAATAAACTAATTTATATTAAGGTTAATAGTATTGACTTAAATTAATATAATTTAGTATATTAATATAGGAAGGTATTTTTAATAATAAATAGTATTATAAATAATTATAAAGTTATTATAAAAGTTTTATATAATAAATTTAATTAAGTTAATTTTAAAAATATATTATATTTTATCTTTTAAAAGTTTAATTATTTACTTTTAATTTAATAATAAAATTAAAAATATAAATAATTTATAATATTAACTTAAATTAATTAAATATAATTTAATATATTAATATAAAAATATTCTTTAATAATAAATAATATTATAAATAATTATAAAATTATTATAAAATATTTTATATAATAAATTTAATTAAATTAATTTTAAAAATATATTATATTTTATTTTTTAAAAACTTTAATTATTTACTTTAATTTAAAAGTAAAATTAAAAAATTATAAATAGTTTATATATATAAATATAAATATAAAGTAGTTAGAATTAAAGGGTGATTAGAAAGTATATTAGGTATGTTAGCTATTTAAAATTCTTAAGCTTAATATTATAACTATTGTTTCGAAAGATCTATTCACGCTAGTGGTGGGTAAGTCGGAGCCGAAGCTAGACTACGAAACTTTGTGGTTTCGCTTCTATTCCGTATACATCCGAGGACATACATGGCGCCTTCATACGGTGGTAAGCACTCAAGACCTACGAAACTTTAAACCAATTTTACAACCCTGGCTCCGACATCGGCCAGTCGAGATGGCATTCCCATGCGAGGGTAGGCACCGCCAATTCTACAAAATGTTTGTGCTACCTCTTGTTCTTTCTGCTGACGTGAACTGAAGGTTCCATACCAACCCTATATCATATCATGATGCACACACATCTTGTTTACTAGCCAATGTCCCTGTACCATCATGTCATATACTGCAGGGAAAGCGCTTAACCCTCGGATCCTACTTTTCCAACTTTGTCACAAGACACATGTTGAGATATTAGGAGGTTGGTATGAGGGGTCACGCATGTCAAATCAATATTCCTGTTCGTGTTGATGACTGATGTTCACGCACGCACAAATGCAAACACTGCCCGTTGGCCCAACAAATTCTCCAGCTCCACAACTCAAAGACGGATTCAGAGACCTTCGAACTCTTTATCGCATTAAAAATGTCCATCATTAAAGCTTGTGGATGCCAGTTCTAACCTGCCGATCTGAATCAGTGCCCATGCATCCTGGAAGCACCATACCTCTCCGGGATTACTAATTTAGTAAAGATTAGAAGACCGATACTTAAGTAAAAATCGGGAGAAGACTATGCTACCCCATTCTTTTACCGGCAGCTTACTATTTGTCATGTCTGCATATGCAAGTGAGCAAGAGCAAGGGACGTGGGCAGCCTGGCCCCGCCATGAACGGCCGTGATGGCGAATCGGGTCTTGTCGGTCGTACAGAGTGTGACACCTTCAAACACAATCGGCAGAGGGATACGCTAAATGGCTGGCGAAAGACTTGTATGTCGTCTGATAAGGAGGGGAACCATAAAGATGTTGACATGCATGCATTCGGATGTGGGTCAATTGATGTGTGCAAAGCTGTTAGTAACGCCCTTCGCTTCGCTCGATTGGCCAGCCCCGCTGCTTGCTTCCATCGCTCGCGGCGGTTTCCTAATTCCTAGAGTATCGAAATTCGACGTGCCAAGCGTTGATGCGTCTACGAGTCTCCTTGAGTTTCGTTTCTGTTTCTATACGTCTCATCCGCTGGTATTTGACCATATAAGCTCACACGTAGGGGGCACTCAAATCTCGGATGCATGCAGCAAATCCTGTTTAAATATTCATTTTCCTCTCACTTCAAGTGCTCTTTATTGCTTTCCATCGTTTCGCGTTCCCAGAATCCTCGGTCACGTACACGTGACACACGAACATGTCCATGAGTGGCAGCTTTCGGCACATGGCGTGCAAGTTCTGCCGCGATCGCAAGGTCCGATGCGGTGGCGAGCAGCCGTCATGTGAGAAGTGCCGGCGAGCTGGCGAGGAGTGCATCTACCTTCCGTCGCAAAGGTCGCCAACAAAGGCCAGCCTTGCTGAGACCGTGGACACGCTGCAAAAGCGCCTAGGTGAGCAGGACCATTCTCCCCCCATGTTAGGAACGGTCATAAGCTGACAGCATAATTTTCTTTTTATTAGAGGAGGCGGAGACTCGCATCACTAGAATGGGGAGGCATTCAAGCCAGAGTCTTACGCCGCACATACCATACAGCCAGCTGTGGCCTATGAGCACAGAGTATTTGGCGCAGGCGTCATCGTTATTATCCTCTGACAACTTGAACTCGTATTCCGGCCTTGCTGCGCCCTCGGCGAATCTCTACAATCAGTCTGCCAAGAGCTACTCGGCCGAGCCCACGCAGCACGACAGGATGGGCTCGGTCGACACCAACTTGACGCGCCCGGGCACGGGGAAGACGGACCCGCTGCAGTTCCGTGAAGAAGATGCAGAGAGCAACTCTTCCTCGTTTGCGGACCTCTCTGCACGGCTTGGGCTGCCAGACCACCGAAGGGCCAGCTACCCAAGGCAGTTCTTCGACGCCAACACGTCCTCCAGCAACACGTCCATGTTGGACACGCCACAGACGGAGAAGACAGCCGAGGAGATCGCTGGTCCGATACTGAACCACATCTCAGTGTTTTCCACGGCAGTCTTCCGGCACCAGGCGGAAATATGCGGCATCGCCGGCGTGCTGTCAGAATACGTCGCGTGGCTGCGCAGGTCCCCGCCTGGGGTCAGCCCTTCCGGAGCCAACTCTGTCTACTCGAACGTGCTGGAGACGATCGAGGCTCGCCTTCGGGAGCTGCGAGAGATAGCCGAGAGCAGGCACGTTGGCTCGTTCCACGACCTAGCCGTGGGGGTCAGGGAGCTGGTCCCCGCGGGCAGCACCCACTCGCACGCCATTGGCGACCTGGAGCGAGACTTGCAAAAGCAGGCGGCCGACCTGTCACATTTCTTCAAGACCCGGTACAATGCGTGCTCCATGCTCTCAGAGCAGCTCCGGAGCATGCCGTATGGCCCGATGGACCAGGGCAATAAGCCTGGCCTATGAGAAGTCTGGGGCCACAGTTGCGGATCGACACACACTTCCAATGTTAGACATAGACAATACACGACAACGGCGGTTAGAGAGAGAAAACACCCCAGGCATCACAGATGAGTGACGTGATGCACGAGGCCCCACCCATACGCTCGCATTCAAGATGACATGCAGCAGCTTACGCCCCTCGTCAGAACCCAGAACCTGGGTCTGAGCAGCCTTTGCCGTCTGCTGAGAGGACAACTCCAGATTAGGTCGACATCGGGCCACTCCGGATGAGGTAAATTCTGATCGATCAACTTGCCCAGAGCCTCGCGCGGGTAATACGAGTGCCAGTGGGGCATCAAGTTCGGGCATCAAGTTCGGGTAAGAAATTAGGGTGATGTGGCTCAACAGCGCCTCTCGCCCCCAATGTACAATCGAAAGACAGAGAAGAGGAGGAAATCACATCACAGGAATCCACACGCCCCTGTTCCGGGCCGGGCCACCGAGACTAGAAGAGTTCGGTCTAATCGTGCCGCTCCGTCTGATGTCAGCACTTGACGATGTCTTGGCCTTCCTGGCTTGTACGTCTCCGAACCAACTACAGGCTTGGCGGCAGAGGCGGAGGCCTACAAGTATTTCAAGCAGAGTACTGCTGCAGGCTGGACCACAGACGAGCACACCACCCCGAAGCTCGAAGGATTTCATCCCACGTCGGTTATTCATCATGTCACCGCCTTCGACACAGAAACACGATGGGAAATTGAGGGCCTTCTTGTGGGCCCATGGGCTGTTGAGCATACTCTTCATCTGGGGCCGCATTGCCGCCGACGGAACCCTGACATTACTGCAGGAGGCCACCGCCAGCAAGAGCTATCAGCTGTCAGGCAGCGAGACAGCACTGGCGCAGTCCTTCGTCGGGGTCCCCTTTGTCGACCAGTCCCTGCGGTCCCTCATCATCCTCTTCTGGGGCGCAGTCGACGGCTCGTCACCGGCGACCACGGCCGCCGCCATCTACTTCGCCGGCCAGATCTACCCCATGGCCACCGCCATGTACCTGGACGGCCTGCGCGCCGGCAACGGGCCCGGCGTGGTCAAGGTCTCGCTCTGGTTCGAGCTCATCGGCCTGGCTGCCATTGGCTGCGTCGGATCCCTCTGGGGCGCCCTCTACACGGCCTCGTCACCGACCACGGCACCCGCCGTCACCCGCGACGGCCTCAGGGCCGCCTCGCTGGTGGCCGAGCCACGCACCGCGGCGCTCCTCCTGCCCGCCATGCTGGCCAGCTACGTGGGCCCACTGCTGCTCATGGCGTCACCGTCAGCCCCCGCCGTCCAGTGGGCTATCGTCGCGTGGAACCTCTTCCCTGTGGGGATTGTCGTCATCGTCAAGGCTGGGAGCGCGCTGTTGAACACGCTCTTCCCCCTTGGCCAGACCTCTGCAGTGTCGCCCCAGCAGGGCAAGGCCACGGCCACAGCCACGGCCCGTTCCCTGCAGCAGGCACACATGAGCGTGGTGAGGTGGCTCGGCGTGACCTCGGTCGCTTTTGGGCTCGCCGTGCATGTTGCAGTCGGCGCAGTTTCCCTGTCGTCGGTCGTGTTTCCGGGTCTGTTCCGTGACGAGCACACCCGGGCACTTCATCCTTGGACACTCTTCGTTCCGCCTCTCGCGTTGAAGGAGGCCAGTGTAGTCAGTGATGGTCTTCTTGGTTTCATCAAGTGGGATCAGGCTTTTGGCTACTCGGTCGTGATTGTGGTCTACCTGGCTCAGCTTCGAAATGCCGCGGCACAGGCCAGCGGGATGGGTGGCTACTCTTGGCTGAGGCTTGTAATCTTGTCTGCGTTGTCCTGCTTGCTTATCGGGCCGGGCACGACCATCATGGCCATAAGCTGGCTCAGGGATGAGGTCCTTTACAGTTCATAGATGCCTGTAGAGCTCTTGGTATGAGCATTGGGTACTGCGCACAAAATTGATTGGAGAAAAGACTTGACTTCGACCTTCAAGAGGCGAATGTTTTGGGAGGGAGAACTGCCGTGGCCAAGTGACTGTGCAAAAAGGGTGGCTACCCTGCCACTGGAGAGTAACAGAGGTCTACATGTGAGCGGCGCACCACAGGCACGAGTATGCTGAATCATTAATCAGGAGACCGGTCATTCGCACCCGCAAAAACGGAGGGTACACCCATATTAGGCAGCTTGGAGATCAAAGTACTCAGGTTCCCATAGGAGGTTATCCTAGGATGTTATCCTATAGAAGATTGTCCTATATGAGGTTGTTAGAGTGCTTACCACCGTATGAAGGCGCCATGTATGTCCTCGGACGTATACAGAATAGAAGCGAAACCACGCATATTAGGTTGTCCTATAGGAGGTTGTCCTATAGGAGGTTGTCCTATAGGAGGTTGTCCTATAGGAGGTTGTCTAGTAGGAGGTTGTCTAGTAGGAGGTTGTCTAGTAGGAGGTTGTCTAGTAGGAGGTTGTCTAATAGGAGATTATTATCCCATGGGAGCTTATTCCTTGGGTTTGGGTGTACCCTCCATTTTGGTGGGTGCGAATATCCGATCTCTTAATCAGGGGGCTTCACCACTGTAGAGCAGACTCTGCAGCCGTAACAATTGAAAGGCTGTGCCCATTGCGACGTGCAATAAATGGTGTACAGTGGTTGTATATACCCAGGTATTAATGACATGGCCATGAAGTCGCCACCCGTCCAATGCATCCAGCCCTTTAACACCACCAGCCACCATTAGCTAGAGCACTGGTTATTAATGCTAAGTCGAGGCCTTAATTATGTCAGACGCTCGCTCTGCAATGGCGTACAGCGCAGCCATCATATGTCCGCTGATCTGGACAGGTATGACTGAGGCGTCAACGACGCGGACATTCGTGGTCCCGTAGATCTTCAGGTTCGAGTCTACCACGCCTCCGAGTTCTCGAGGAACCATGGCGCATGTGCCCACGCCGTGCCAGGCGGTCTCAGCTGCGATTCCAGTTAGTGCACTGCTCTTACAAGTGAGGACGGGGACGGGCATTTCCAGGGAAAACATACTTGTATGTGCGATGATTGATTTCCACTGGGCATCAGATGCACGAGCAGGAAGGGACGCAGTGTCGGGGCTGACTTGAGACAGCACGATGTCACTGAAGGGTTTCGTCCCGAACAGCGATTGTGCAAGCCGTCCAGCACGAATAAGGATATCCGTATCAAAGTCCACGGCATGCATCTTTGGGTCCAAGGCCGGCTTGTTGATATCCTTGGGCGACTGGAGATGGACATTTCCCCAGGAGAATGGTATCATGTCCACTGCCACTACCGAGTCCTCGGTCAGCCAAAGGACCTCGGCTACGGTGGCCTTGCGGTCAAAGATGATCTCATGCTGGATCTTGAACCTCTTCTCGAGCGAAGCCGCGCTGATCCCATTGTTGAGAGATGATGACACGGCCTTCGCCCACCTGGGGATGTTCTTCGCGCTGGTACGCGATAGGGATGCTGTCTCCTTGCCATAAAGGTCTTCGGCCGTCGCGAAGACTGCAAACGGGGTCTGCCCCCTTGAGGCGACGTCAACAGAGTACACCAAGGGTACCATTGACGCGTCTTGTAGGCCTTCTCCGACGCCCGGCAAGTCGACCTTGGTTGCAATTTTGTGTTTGGAAAGTAGCCTGGCCAAAGTCAGCGCCAATCATCAAAAAATACGCATTGGATTTGATTCCGCACCTCGGGTTGCCCACCCCTGACAATTCAAGAATCAGAGGGGTTTTGTACGTCCCAGCAGCCACGATGACTTCCTTTGCGGCCTTGAGGGTGGTCTTCTTGCCTGCACCGTCCAAGTACTCGACACCAGTCGCCGTGGCAGTCTTGCCCTTCTTGTCAGACCATGTGATCCTCGTCACGGTACCCTTGATAACCTTGAGATTGGGTCTGCTCTCAGACGACGTATAGTATGCACGAGCGGACGTCTCTCGTATTTTAGCATCCCGGTCAATGGTCCTTGGAAAGCTCCCAAAGCCGCGTAGCGAGCCGCCGTTCAGGTCCAGATTGAACGGAACACCGAGTGCTTGGGCCGACTCCTGGACCAAGGTATGGAACGACTCATTTGCGAGGTTATAGGGGAAGCCGGTTTTGAGGTAGCCTTCGCTGCCGTGGTACTCTGGCTTGTAGGAGGCTCCGGAAGAAATTTGGTCCTCGGTTGGTGTGGTGAAATTCTCGGTGCGTTGGAAATATGGAAAGAGTGTGTCCCAAGTCCACCCTGCGTTACCAAGGATTTCGAAGGCGTCGAGCTGGACCTTCTCCCCGCGAGTGTAAATCATTCCTTGATGGGTTGTCAGCTCTCTGTCTAAATCTCACAGCCTGCTCAGCTGGTGATATGTTACACGTTGCATACCATTGATATTACTTGTTCCGCCGATTGCTTTCCCAGCGTGATATAAGATCGACCTGTCTGCCACATTCTTTTGGGGCAAGGAGTTGTACTGCCAATCAATGGAGGCATTAAACTCGGTCGAATCGAATGTCATGACCCCGGGGTAGTTGCGGGCGTCGTCACCAGCCTCGACAATGACAACTCGGGCATTGGGATCTTCGGACAGCCGGTTGGCAACCACCAGTCCGGCAGTACCTCCCCCAACAATCACATAATCATAACCCGCAGTGGATGATGGTTGTGCTGCAGCGCTGCCGAGCGCGAGCAAAAGGTGAAGTTGAAAGTCTGTCCGCATGGTGAACTTCGAATGCTTTGTCGTGTGCGGCTGTTGGAGATCCGGGACACGCCACGAACCTTTAAGAATCGGAACAAGAACAGAGCATTTATATACCCGCAGCAGGATGCTATTGTTAGCGAATTTTGATACCTAGCTATCATCGTCAGTGATTACTTGCTCAGGATTCCTGCTCATTCTGGATGAGGTGCGAAGGAGGCAAAAAAGCTTATCACAGAGGATTCATAGCACACCACTAGCAGTCTAGTCTAAGCCACGCAAAAGAGAATAGGGACGTAAGCTTCAAGGATTTACACGAGATTACTGGAATGGAAGCCACATGAATCCATTTGTACCCAAGAGGATCTTGTGGCCCGGTGTTGGTGTCACATGCCTGCTGCATCTGTTGCAGGAGCCGAACTTTTGCGCTGTGACGTCTTGCCTGTGCTGGTACCACTATTTTACAGTCATACCGATAGCATTGTATCGCCGAATTTCAGGGCCAACGGACTTCCTCATGACATTAGAATACGGTACATAGTTTCAAAGTAGAATCGGATGACACCTCACCGGATCCACTGCACTTCCTAGGCGAATTTTGCTGGCAGGTGTTACGAGCATAACAAGAAATATGATTGGAGTACATGGTGACGACAATGGAAAAAGAGAAACACCGGTCGAATTTGCCCTTGAAAAAAAGTAAGATGAAAGGATCTAGCCACGGCACAATAATTAACCAGATCATAGACCTCTATGGACTCCACACTAGACTTGAACATCTTATCACGCATCAGCTGTGTGGCAGGGCCGGGTAGAACAGAAAGGATGTAATCTCGTGCGTTTAAGCCGGCGGCGGTGATTCGTGATTGGACAGAACTGTTCGCAGCGGCACGACCTTGGTGGCTTTGATCAGCATGTACGCCTTGTTCCGCCTTATGCTTCAGCCCTGTTTCCCAGAAAGTACCTACCAATCCGAGTAGGATTTGAACTATATGGAAATACTAATCCCCAGCCAGCAAGGGCCCCGACGAGTCACGAGCCAAAAGCGTGCGGAGCTCGGCTGCTCCGAACGTTGAAGCCGAAGAGGGTGTTGGCTAATGGCATCCTTGTGGGGGCGGGTGATAAAGTGCAGCTATTTCATTGGGCCACACACTCCATCAGCCCTCTTCACCACAGCCGGGCTCTGATTTATAACGGGAGGAGTCATGGGAGGAAGAGCATTTGCGGCTGAAGCCTGGCTGCGGCTAGGTAAGTAGGTACCTAGATAGCATCCCCTGGCGAGGCCACGTTGGGGGCACGTGGTTCGGACCCCAGCATAATCCACAACATGTCCAAGTGCTACTAAGGGTAAGCGAGAACCCTGCATGTCTTCTTTGTACACTATCCAAGACGCGATCACTGCTCTTCGCCCGGATTACCGCGCTCGCCCCCTGAGCCCACACAGGTAGGTAAGCCTGCGGCAAATTTCGGTCATCCCTTCGCTTTATATTCCTCAGCATACTGGCTTAATATCTGACCGAGTCAAAAGATTCTTCAAATTACCGTCCGGACTCCCCGTCCAGCAACAAAAATAGAACCATTCCTGCGGGATGTGGGGCATAACTCTGCTGACAGACCAGCCGCATCGTCGGTGCAACATTCAAGTTGTGGCCGTCGTCGCCTGTCCACAAATCAATGTACCTGGACTCCTTACCATATTCGGAAATCTATCGGGGGGGGGGCGGGGGGGGTCGAAGACAAGCAGGGTCTCAGTCTCATGATCAGAAGCAAGTTGAAACAGTACCAAAGTTGTGAGCCTGGTCAATCTCTCGTCCGTATTTCAGTTACAGCCGTAATGCTCCGTGGGTCGACATTGCTCAAGTAGATGAATCAAAATACACGTAGAATAACAAGGGCGAAGAAAGCCCAGACGATTATAAGGTCGATAAGTGCCAGATTGTGTTCCAGGCCGCTTTTCAATCATACCTGAGCGCTGCCGACGGGGATGAAAGTCTTGCGACAATGACATGTAGAGCGAGATGATACAGGATCTAAGCTCCGGTTGCCAAATGATGAGCAAATGCCTTCATATTGGTGGAGCACGAATGTTCCATTTCAAAGTATTTTCAAGACTCTCTACTAGTACATTCGGTCAACTCCTCTATTAGACGGCGTTGCCACCTGTTCCACGGGCCAGTCCATAACTCCAACGTCTTCGAGTCTCCAGGTAGCGTTGGGGCAACAGGAACATGTATCAGTGCGTGTCGGCCTCAGGAGAAGGTCAAATATGTCTTCATGACTCAATAGGCTCATTCTTTGGCCAGAAGATCCAAGTACTGCTGAGCAACCTGCTCGACAGCCTTCTCAAAGGGAGCAAACTTGAAGCCAAGAGTCTCCTCAGTCTTGGACGCATCAGTGCTGATCTTCAGCGTGGGCTGCTTGCCCTCAACGCTCAGCTTGCCGGCCTTGACAGCCTCGGGGAACTTTGTGCGGAGCACATCAAGGGCATCCTCGTAGACGATCGGGGTGCTGGTGATGAAGGCCTGGTTCCCCTTGACGCTGGGGTCCAGCGATGCAACGTGCGCCCTCGCCACGTCCTCGCCGAGGACGGCGTTCCCATTGTGGGGGAACTCGCCCTTGTTGCCGAGCAGGAGGCCCAGCAGCACCGTGTTGGTGCCGTCGGCCTTGAGGTCGGCAACCGAGCTGACGACCTCGTTGCGGCCAAAGACGGCGGCGGGCAGGATGCTGATGATGTCGAGGCCGGCACGCTGCCCATTCTCTGCGACCCACTTCTCGGTCGCGTTCAGTGCGGCCACCTTGCCGGCGGCATACGAGTCAAACTCGCCGAAAAAGGGGCCCTTGGGGTCTGGCTGGCGGTCATCCTCAGTAAAGCGCTTGGTGTAGTCCACATCGGGAGACCCGGTGAAGAACGCAAAGGGGATGACGGCCATGACGGTGTTGGTCAGGACGACACGGCGGACAGTGCCCGCGGCGGCGGCGCTCTCGAGCATCCCGACATGACTGTCAACGAGGCCGCGGATAAAGTACGATTCGTACTTGTCAGCAGAGACCGTGACCTGGCCAGTAAATGACGGCACGGGGGCTGCGAGGTGCACCACGTAGGTCACACCTTGCAGAGCAGCGTCGAACGCCCCTGGCGCGGCCATGTCAGAGACGATAACGAATGAGAGGTCATCTTTGGACGGGCTCAGGGCCTGGATGGCAGGTGTGGCTAGGATGCTGTCGGCCTTTGACTGCGAGCGCACCGCGGCCCTAACGCGGTATCCAGACTTGAGGAGGTCCAAGAGGGTGAGAAACCCAACAAAGCCGGTCGCTCCGGTGATGAGAACGAGTTCTTTGCGGGGAGCCATTATGCAAGACAGGCGGCAGCAATAATTATGGCTTGAGTCTCGTCCAGGAGTATAGTTACGCGTTGAGTTTGCTTGGTGGGCTTTGTTGTTGGATGTGGGTCAAAGAGCGAATGAGAAACATTAAACTGTGCTGCTCAGTTGGAGGACCATAACTCGCTTCTTATCAGCAAGACAAGAGACATCCGGCTGAAGAGCCTGGTGGCTTGTGGTCCCGGACTGGACGAGGACGGATGCGTCGCAGGAGCTCAGCTGAAGTCGCCTGCCGTGCCTGAAACCTCGCATCCTTGGATTTTCATTGTGCTCACATTTCTAAGCAGATGCATTTCAAAGCAAATAGGATGCAGCACTCGAATAACGAATGGCTGGTCCCACGAAAAGTGCCAAGCAATGCCCGTGAGATGTTAACAGAGGAAGGAATATTTGTTCGATAATGTCAGCCGCTATGTAACGCGTTCATGGGACCCTCGTCAACCGGGCAGCTCGGCCCGAGCTTAGTGTCATATGTATCTGTCAGCCTCGCCAAGTACCCCTGAGTATCCCGGCATACACTAATGCCGGTGCACAACTCAAAGATACGTCTGCAGCTTACGACTACGAGATAGATACAAAGCTACGCTCGGTTGTTCCTGGCCGATTGGAGCCAGATTATGCAAGTAATCCGGGCCGAAGCCACCGAGCGGCATTAGTTTAAATCCTCCTATATACTTACCTGGGTACTTCTGCTGAGCATACAAGCTTCAGCCCCCAAACTATCGTGACCTCGGCCCCTTGAGCAACAAGAAGCCTGCGTGACGCGGGGGGGTTCGAGGCTTTCCTCCCGCGGCCCGCGGGCTAATTTTCCTCCGAATGGGTGTGTTTAGGCCGACATGAGGTTTATCGCAAGCGCGGCTTTTACCGCTGTTGGAACATGACCGCTCAATGGCGCCTTACACACGGCGCCTTGCATGACCCATTGATGTATGCGGGTGGCAGGGGTTCACTCCGGTGCCCGGTGACCTACCAGGACTCATCCCGGCCTGTACCTGAAGTAGGATTGTGCACATGAACTGGCGCTCTTGCAAGTCCAATACCTGATCTTGGTATCTCAGGATTCTATTACGCTGTGCGTGTACCCCCAGCTTGAGAGCAACCGTACCTGGAATCCAGCTGTGCTAGATGATCAGTGAATCCAGTCTGAGAAGACCTCGTCGAGTATCAAGGAAAAACCAACGCCCTGTCATCTATGTACCTACTGAGAAACTCCGTAGTCCGAAAATGCTCCTCTTGCTTGCTAAGACGGTGGATGACATAGTAGGCAGATCGGCGCAACACCGCAGCGGGGTTCGGACGCCGCCATGACTGTCAGAAGGATTGTCTACCTGGCTAGTAGGTGTTCAACATCAGGGGTAGGTTCTAGTAGCGGGCCCATCGAGAAGGTTGCAGAGACCAACACATCGGCTGCAGTATATTGTTCAAATAGGTGGTATCCTGGGTGGAATGGTTGACCTAACTGGATTCTGGATACTGGATATCTCTAGAGTGATCAAATTGGTAGTAATTCTGGCACCAAAAACGGACATCTGACAATGTCGCCACACACTTCATTTTCCATTATCATTTGGTTCACATTTGTCTTTGTGGCAGCCTTGTCAACATCCGGTACTACCACCAGCGCAGTCTGCCACCAGGCCAACAACAGAATACCTAATAGAATATGGTACCCGTCAAGCTTGGCCTATAATGAGTCATTGTCTTCATACTTCTCGGCCCAAGAGGCTGAACTGCGGCCGCTCTGTATATTCAGTCCCGAAAATGTGTCAGAACTCTCAAACTTTGTCAAGTTGATTTCTAAAGACCATGGTTATGGACAAGCAGGCACTCAAGCACCGCAGTACGCTGTCCGCAGCGGCGGACATACCCCATGGGCCGGGGCGGCAAACATTGAAGGCGGAATCACGGTCGACCTGCGCAGCATGGATTCGGTTGTGCTGAGCCCGGATCTGAAGATGGCTTCACTTGGTGCTGGCAGCATATGGAGTGACATCTATTCGCACCTCGCACCCTTCAACCTCTCTGTGATGGGTGGCAGGGTTGTCGGTGTTGGAGTTGGTGGGTTTCTGACAGGAGGTAGGTAAATATTCATTTGTCTCAGAAATCTCTGGCGTGCGACTGCTCACCAGTTTAGGAGGCATATCCATACTGTCGCGCCAAAACGGGTGGGCCTGTGATAACATATATGGCTATGAAGTTGTCCTGGCCAGTGGCGAGATTGTTTATGCTACCGCAAGCTCACACCCGGATCTCTGGCTTTCCCTCAAAGGCGGCTCCAACAACTTCGGCATCGTGACGCGCTTTGACGTGCCGACCTGGCCTCTGAGCAAGCTGTGGGGCGGTGCTCTGTCGTTCAATTACACCCCATCAATTGTGGATGCCCACAGTCAAGGCTTCAGCGACTTCATGGATCCCATAAACTTCGATGACGCAGCATCCATGTTTTTTGCTCTATTCTATGCGAGCACGGGCCGTACTCGCACTGTGCTCGACGTCCTTTTTTACGCACGGCCTGTCACAAAACCCACGATATTCGATCCTTTCACTTCTATCGAAACTCCAAATTCCAACACATTGCGCTTGGCCAGCGTGAGCGATATCGTCTCTGAACAACCCGGTTCCCTTCCACGTGAAGCAAATTGGTGGGTTGCCTTTTCAGGACGGGATCGGAGAGACAAAATGCTGACCACGCGGATCAGTGCATTCTACACCACATTTACATTCAAGAACGCTGGAAAATCCGTGTATAACGAATTGATTGAGATTTGGGAAGACATCACAGACACTCTGGGCGATGTCAAGTCCCTGAATCTCGGCATCTTGTTCCAACCTTTGCCTGTCACAAATGGCACAAATTCGCTTGGTCTTCCAGTGGGAGAGACTGACCTCGTACTCGCGGCTTTGACAAGCTCATACGAAAGAAGATCAGACGATGACACCGTGCTGAAAGCGATGCAGGCAATACAAGCTGGAATGGAAGTAGTCCTGCGAAAAGAAGGCCTTCTTGTCCCATTCCAGTACCTCAACTACGCGTATCAGACACAGGATCCCATTGGGAGCTATGGGGCCACGTCCAAGGCCCGCCTTCAGAAAGTCAGCAGGAAGTATGATCCGAGCGGATTCTTTCAGACAACTATTCCAGGAGGATTCAAACTTTTTGCATGATTCGGAAACAGTATGATTTCAATGATTATATATGGGAGTTGATGTGTAATTTTTCGAATCCCGAATATCACATATTTGATTGAGCCTTTGATCCGTGAATAGGAGTCTTTATTCAAGTGGTTATTGTCATTGGTATGAACAGGACCTTACGCTGACCCCATCAAAGCAACTTGAAGCTGAGCCTGCAGGCTCGGCTTGGGCATTGAAGCGAACACTTGAACTAAGTAACTGTTGGCCATCGTCAGAGCAGTGAACTTTTGTGAAGAAAACTTAAATGAATGTAAACCAAGAAATTAATACTGCTAGAGCTGTTCATGAAACTTGATTAACGCTGATAAAGTATTCAAAGACACTGTAGTCTAGATGTAGAATTAGAAATGTTCTATTAGAAGAGGGCTTTTGTAATTGTGGGTTGGTAGTGACAACGGAAACACAATGTGGGCATTCGTCGGTGTTGAGGGTGTCCCAAATGGCAGCCACCCAGGTTATTTAAGAAGATGCAGCTCTATTATTCAATCAGTAGGCACAACTTGATGCCCTTCATTACTCTTCTTTCAAATGTGCACGCAATGCCGTGACGGGCTTAGGGGCACGTCTCATTGAGTTTACCTTCCGCTTTCCATTAAAATTTTTAAAAATACTTAGGAAACCTTGGAGATGTGCGTAACTGGTTTCGCTTCTATTCCGTATACGTCCGAGGACATACATGGCGCCTTTATACAGTGGTAAGCGCTCAAGACCCAGCGCTTGAAAACATACTGTGCCTATACAATATTTAAATTCATTAATCTTTTACTGTAATCTTAAGATTTAGCCATTACAATAAGTAGTGTGATCTTCACAGGTGTAGTGACGCTTGATTGTGGCGCTGCTGCAGCCGTTTGTAGTCTGTGAGCGCTTGATCGGTGGGATTGACTTGATTCTCAAGGGAAAGGGAGAAAGGCCATAGGGGCCAAGTTACTCCAAATACAATGACAGGTGCCGGGATATTTATCCCTCGTGCCCCCTGATCGGGTGGTATCAAGCACACTGCACTGATTATATTGTGCAATTCGAACCAAAAACCCCCCTTCCCCTGGTAGGAATGAAGAAACTACATGACCAAGACACTGCGGAACCGCACACGATTGGAACTGCAGTGCTCCATAGCCTTAGCGGCGTCAGCCAGCGTGAACTTTTCAACCATCGACCTGATTCCATGGTTTCGTGCAAAGTTGATGGCGTCTTCCGAGTCTACCGTGTGCCCACTCGGCCAGCCATGAACAGACACTCCTCGAGTGACAAAGAGATTCGTGTCGAATGGCACTGGCCCCACAGGTGCGAGGACTATCAGCTTGCCGCCCGGTTGCAGACCCCCGATGAGTGGACCGATGGCCTGTGGGTTGGGTGCAGTTGCCACAATGAGGGCTGCGCCCCCAAGCTGCTGAAGCTTTGCGACGGCTTCGTCTTTGCTTGTGTCGATGTATCTGTGATGCCTCAAACTTCAGTCGTCTTTTCTGGAACAAATTGCGTTTGGCCTGAGGTATATGGGAGAAGAAGGATGGGGTATGTGATACGGCGGATATTTAGGAGTAAACACACGTACTCGTGTGCGCCAAGGTCAAGCGCAAAGTCCCTCTTTGAGCTGCTGGAGCTCATGGCAATGACATAGTAACCCATCTTCCTCGCATACTGGATGGCGTAATGGCCCAAGCCACCAATACCCTGTATAGCAACAGTGTTTCCCTGCTCAACATGCATCTTCCGGATGGCATTAAACACGCTGACCCCAGCACAGAGCAAAGGAGCGACCTGTGCCGGGTCGACGTCGCTTGAGACCCTGACCAGAGCCTGTTCCCGAAGAATGGCATACTCGGCGTAGCCACCGTCAGAGCTGACGCCGTTCACATGGGCATTGTCGCACAGCTGGTACAGACCTTTGGTGCATTGCCGGCACGTCCCGTCGTGGCCTTTTAGTTGACAGGGCGCCGGTGTTAGCACGGGAGGGCGGAGGGAGGGAAAAGGCGGGCGTGGGACTGACCTCCGTGCCAGGGAGCCCCGACTCTCTGGCCTACGCAGAAACGCAGGACCCCGTCCCCAGTGGCTACAATATCACCCACCAGCTCATGTCCTGGCACGCGAGGGAAGACAGGGCCCAGGCCGCCTTGCTGTTCAAGAATGTCCGTATGACAGACGCCACAGGCGAGGACCTTGACGAGGACCTCGCCGGATCCGGGAAGCTTCAATTCTAGATCCTTGATCACAACAGTCTGCCCTGCCTTCTCGAGAACGGCGCCCTTGTACGTCTTTGGGAGCGAGCCGGCCATGATTTCAAAAGCATGGGTTGAATCTGTCGAGATTGTCGCTGGCTCTTCAGATACCGATGCTGTCCTGGGAAATTGCAAAACCTGTGTGGCCAACGATCTAGAAGCATGAGATAGATCTGGGTGGCATAGCAGAAGAAAGGGTGGGCGGTTTGGGCACTACGTCAAAATAGCAGTGAATACGTCTGCCACAGAATCGCCTGACCTGGCCCTCTTGTTTTTTTCTACATACCTGGCCAACGGCTTGTTGATCAACGTAGACTACTAGTAGATCCATGCAACATTCGACGACGTATCCAAGTCCAAGTAAGCGGCCCGTGACCTCCACTATTCCGCATGTAATACGGGGGCACCTTACATACCTACGATAGGCGCTGCGGTCTCCGGGATATGCAGCCGCCAGGCCCAGATCAGAGACGTTCAGTTTTAGGGTCCTCATGGGGTTTGGTGTGGGCGTAACCTGTACCGGAGTGACTGAGCGTATTAGTGTGCACTTCTAGATGCCCCCTCTCCCGCCCCGACGGACCTCGGGGAGTTGGCGGCCCGGACGGACCGCATGCAGTGTCCCCAAGTTTGAATTCACGGGGTGTACGTTGATTGCACAGCAACCGAGGTACCTCATGGCTGGCCACGCAGAGCGATGGGTCTATTCAGGCTTTTCCATGCCGGATTGGCCAATTCCTGGAGGGTCACCGCGCATAGGAAGATTTGTGTTGAGAAGTATACTCTCAGTTAGTTGTTTGAGTCCAGATGCCAGGATACTTATAAAATTCATACAAATCTCGTCACTCCCATTGTATTACTTCGCTCCTGCATGAGCATATCCATTGAACCTCACCCAGACCAGAAGCCTTGTCAACCCAGTCCAAGACATTCGAAGTCGCCGTCCGCACCATGGCCCAAGCAGAGACGCCTTTTCGTGTCATTGTCGTGGGTGGAGGCGTTGCTGGGCTCGCCGCGTCCCATGCTCTTCAGAAGGCAGGTATCGACCACGTCGTGCTGGAAAGGAGGTCCAGTGTGGCGCCACCAGAAGGTGCAAGCATTGCAATGTATCCTAACGGGGCACGGATCCTCCATCAATTCGGCGCCTTGGAAGCAGTGCAGAAGCATTGCGTTCCACCTGGTCGTTACTGGGCGCGTCTGCCCAATAAGAAGATAATTTCGAACAATGGTGTCTTCCGCATCATCGAACAGAAGTGAGCATGATGAAATTCACCCCTTGATTCCTGCTATCGCTTCACACTGCCTTTCTGCCTCTCTGCTCCTTGCATCTTCTAATACGTGTAAATCAGCCACGGCTCGGGACTACTCCTTATCGAGAGACGACAGTTCCTGCAGGAGCTGTATGATACCTTGCCGAACAATTCTTATATTCGGACAGATGCTGGCGTGCGGGATATCAAGATGACTCCCGGTGGGGTCGAAGTGGAATTGAACAACGGCGACGTCGAAAAAGGCGATTTGGTCCTTGGCTGCGACGGAGTCTACAGCCGTGTGCGGACCATAATGTGGGACTACGCGAACAAGATGACCCCGGGACTGATCCCGGTAGAGGAGAAACTGGGTGGGTTGATATGCCTCCGAAACAAGGCCGCCAACATCTTGGAGGTCGTGGTTCTAATTCAACTTGTACTGACTTTTCCTTGGTATATCGCTAGCTATCAAAGCGGACTGGAAAAGCCTCATTGTCATGACCACGGCGATCCCAGAGCTCGGGGCCAAGGACCTAACAATAGTCCACAACGACAACTACTCGCACATGTTCACCATGACCCCAAAATTTGGCTACTTCTTCGTCTTCTTCCGCCTGAGCGAGCCCTGCACCTGGCCTCACCGGCCGCGATACACGGACCAAGACGCCGAGGACCTGGCGGCCAAGATTGCTAGTCACCCCGTGTCGGACACAATGGTCTTTGGGGAGGTCTGGAAGCACCGGATCAGGGCCAACGTCGTCAACTTGGAGGAAGGCGTCCTGGATCACTGGTACCACGGCCGCATTGCTCTCGCAGGCGACTCTGCGCACAAGGTAAGTCTTTGTAGGCACACATGCCACTGTCATAACAGAGCCCTGCCCACCAGCTGTCAGCGAGTCTGCAACACACTGACATGTCGTTGACCAGGTCACCCCCAACATGGCGTTCGGCGGCAACTCGGGCATCGAGTCGGTCGCAGTGTTCACGAACCACCTCCGGCGGCTGCTGGCCGAGAGCAAGGGCGCCAAGCCGAGCGCCGCGAAGCTCGAGGCCGCGCTGGCCGACTACCAGCAGGAGCGCAGGGCCCGCATGCTAGAGATCTGCAACTTCTCGGGCGAGGTGACGAGGGCTCAGGCGTGGGCGAGCCCGTGGTACAAGTTCCTGGCGAGATGGGTCATCCCGATGCTGCCGGCCAGCGCCTTCGGGAACCAGCTGGGGGCCATCATCAGCGCCGCGCCCAAGCTCGACTTCGTCGATGTGGGCCAGTTCCCAGCTGGGCGCATGCCCTGGAAGGATTCGGTTGCGCCTCATCGCCACACCGGCGACAACAAGTCGGGTGTCGGCCTTGGGATTTCGGGCTATGGCTATCTGAGCGCTTTTGCCGCCTGCGCGTTGGTCTTGTACATGAGCAGGCTGCTTCCATTGGCCATCAATACTTGAGTAATGGAAGTACTGTATGTTTACATAGCTACTGCTCGTCTCCTCATTGTACTACAGCAGTCCATAATCCAGTACTACAAGGCCAAATGTTGAGAACCCTCATTTGGTGCAATGAAAATTGATTAGTCTATGGACGAGGGTATATCGTGGTATCGTGTTTCGTCGCCTTCCCCATCGCTATACCGTAACTTAATAACTTGGAGACATTGGGCTTACCTATGCAGCTGAAGACATAGCATTTGAGATACATCAGATATACGTGAAGACCACGGACAGGTCCAAAGGGGCATACATCTCGCGGGGTAATCACTGGCATGTGTGAGGTGACCAGGTGCTGGCCGCCAGCCCTGGGGCTCCAAAAAATCCAAGAACTTCGCGTGGATGCCAGTACAGAGATCGCTGCATTTAGCATGATGTCCAATACGCTCTTGGTATAATAAAATCTCAGATTGTATGCACAGTCCTACATATCGGATCTACCCAAACGGCAATGGTGGCTTTTCTTTGTTTGCACCCATCAATAGCAGTGATATCTGGTTGAACTTGAAGTGTCACGAGGCTCGATTCAAATGAAGTATCCAGGGGTCATTTTCCGGCCTCCCCCCAGCCCTGCTCCCAGTCGAGGTCCTCAGTGGTCTCACTAATCCCGCTCTTTCGGTCGTGTCCATGCTTCCGGGCTAATGCAGCACGGAACTCGTCGATTAAACCACGGTAGTTGCGTGGATACACAGGCATGAACAGTTCCGTAAGAGGGTTACGCCTGCGCACAATATTGATGCCTAGGTCCTCCAGCAAGGTATCTATGTACTGAATGGGACGCAGATATTTGTCAGAACATGTTTCCAGCAGGATGACAGTTGCACATTGCGGATGCCCCCGGGTTGAAGAGCACACACCGTTGAGGGTCAAGTACTGTGGGGCTCATAAGACGAGGTGCATCAACTTACAGACAAGAAATCAAAGATGGCATATGCATGCTTCCTGCCTTGGGCAAGGTACCTCTTTCGGCACCAGACATTCCACTCTGCAACTTCCGTCTCCATGAGGTCCCTCGATGGGACGTCCACTAGATCCAGCAAGAAGGCCACACCCCACAGCGCCTGCACCTCTGATACCAACGGCGTGTAGATGGAGTGTATGAAGCCCGGGAAATACACGGATCTGTCGCCAGCAGCAGCAAGCTCGGGCACGACCAGCCGGCGGTAGTGGCGGCTGGGGCCGTGGAGCAATTTCCTCGGCTGCGAGTCCCCAGCGGTGGTCTCGTGCACCTCGCGCCTCGCCTCATGCACGGACTTCGGAACCGGTGCGTTGCGGAGGGTCGGCAGCAGCATGTCGACCGTGTCCTCGGCGGCCGCCTCCAGCACCGCCCACTTGTCTGCATCGGCCGGGCCTGGCGCCAGCCCGCACTGGTGCTGCAGCGACGGACTGAAAGGGTGGTAGGACTTGTCGAAGCCAGTGCAGAGGATGAGATAGTCCGTCTCGAGGCGCTCGCCGTTGCGGAGAGTGACGGTGCTGGTCCCGCCGAGAGAGTCGATTTCCGTGCGGTGGATCTTGCAGTCGCCCGCGTGGACGACGTTCCAGAAATTCGGGACGCTGGCGCAACCGAGACCAGCGTTGGCCCAGAATATACTTTCGAGGACTTGTTAGTCAGGGTTCTTGTCCCAGTATCCCCCCGTTCCTCCTGAATTCGGGAACAACGACAACGATAATATCCAAGCCCAATGGTGCCTGAGATGGGTTGGAGTGTGTATGATGAGAAAAAACTCACCCCTTTCCACGCGGTAATGGCCTGAGATTCTCCGTGTTGGGTGTCCTGGAGTATCCAGCATGCATGTCGGCGAGAAGCGTCACGCCTCTCCAGAAAAGGTCTCCGACCGCTCGGCCAACCCGCGTTCTCTGGAGGAAGTGATAGGCGAGCCCTCTGGTTTTCATGATACTGGCGCCGAATGCTGCCATGACCCTTGTGGAGATGACGTCCATGGAGTTAAGGAAGCCGAAGAGAGTGGGCGGCATGATGGCCATTGGCCCAGATCCATCTTCGCGGATGACCCAGTCCACCTTAACGCCGTTTGACAACAACAGAAAGACCGTGTCGTACGCTGACTTGGCGGCGCCTACCACAACGGCTCTTTTTATGCCGGATAGCTGGTCCAAGTGCGTGCCGACGGCCGAGGAATGGATGATTGGGGTCGTGAATTCTGCTGATTGCGGCCAGGATGGCACGACGGGATGCGAAGTCGCCCCGGAGGCGTAGATGAGCTTAGCACACTTAATGGAAGGGCCGCCCTCGATATCGACCTGCCACTCTCCACTCTTTGGTACACGATCCACCTTTATTACCTTGCTGTTCAGCCGTACTCTCCGCGTGAGATCGTAATCGCGAGCGAAATCGACAAGGTACTGGTTGATTGTCTCTCCAGAAATGTATCCGTCATTCGTGATGCCTTCTCGGCGCATCGGATAGAAGGAGTATTCAAAAAGCCCAAACTTTATTTGAGCATACAATGATGGGTAGATCTTTTCCTTGTTCCACACTCCGCCGATTGACGCCTGGTCGTCAACGAGGACGAGCTTAGCACTCGGTTTGAAGTCGAGGTAAGTCTTGGCAGATATGAGGCCATTCCAACCTATTTCGAGTGGGGACGAATTTAGTATTTTCTGGTACCCAGAACTGGAACTTTGAAACATTCAAACCCAGATGTTGGTAATTATGGGGTGTTCCATGTGCTGTGAGAGTCCCGTGCAGGCTCCCTCAAGTGCTCAATATTAGACTCGGATGGGTCAGCATACCTGTTCCGACCACCACGACATCAAATCTCTCAACTGCCATTTTTTATGTGAATTTAGCTAAGCAATTGGTTTGGTAGCATATTATTTAATATCGGATCTTTACAGATGTCAGCCTAAAATTCTACAACCTCTCATTTATGTCGTATCTTAATCGAGCACAGATTCATGGTAACCTAGGGTCAATTCTCGAGGATATTGATCATCGACAATCAGCCCACGTTAAACAAGGCTAGGATCTCGGGATGAACCTCCCGTAGACAAGGCGTCTGATGACTTTCGCGGGGGCTCGGCAATGATCGGCGTGGTCGGGGGTTGCTCGGACCGGCTGGGGCCGCTTACCGTGTAAATATGTCCAGGATGCCTGCAGGGACACGACCAATGCAAAGCGTGCATAGGTATTGTGATGCCTATGTTGAGTATGCAGGAAGAAAACGGCGGTCGACCGGAGAAGAAGCCAAGCAACCAAGGAACGGGCGCAAAATGACCGCTGTATAACCTACTAAGTACACATGTAGGATACTAGGTACAATAGTCGTAGGTGGCCATGAATGGCAACGATAATCAAGTTCATGGGTTGATTATGTAGTTCCCGTGGCTGCCACCTGCAATCCTTCAGCACTTGGTTTCAATGCTGACGCCCAGGTTGTCTTGTCATCCCTTCCGAGGTTGCTCACCCATTCACAAACACATACTGTCAATAGAAAAGAAAGAAAGAAATACTCTACCAAAATGGGCATCGACGGCGTACAATCATTATTTGCAGTACTGGGCACAGCGGGACTCATATTGCTATGGGGGAACATGGTCATCAACGGCGCTATGGCTGCAATGCTGGACACATCTTGGAATGGCATCTTTCCAGACGGGTCTGCCCTCAAGATGAGCTACACCGGAATCCCGCCACTGGACCTCATTCTCAGAATCCTCGTTACCTTTTTCTACCCACTCATGACCGACAGAGTTCCATACCTGGTCATCCTCGACATCGTTGCGGCCATGTTGGTCATCAACATTATGATCCTGGTGGAGAGTCGGCGCACATCAGCGCCCAGTTGGCTACGCTCGTAAGCAATTACGCATACAATCTTCCTCTGAGGGGGTCCATTTGCGTCTGCGGCTAACCCTTCAACCAAGTTGCGTGCAATGGCAGTACCAATTGAACGGTGCAGGTGTTGCCGTCTTCCTACCCTTGTACTCGATTTTGTTTCTAAAGCACCGATCGCCGGGCCGCCCTTTAAGGCTGCTCGAGTCTGAGGCGCAGGCAGTCCCCATGACCGCTCTCTGGAGCCTTCTATTACCGATACCTCTGTTGATGCCGGCCATATCCGGGGCAACACCCTTCCAGATCCAAAACGGTTTGGTCATCTACTTCTTCACACCTATTCTGTTCGCAATGTTCCATACCGCAGCCGGCTTCGCCAGCTCGAGAATGTCGGTTTCCACATTTCCCGGCTTCGTACAACCCGTGCGAACCGCATACGAAGTAGTCGGTGTGGCGAGCGCCGTGATTCATTTTGGGATCCTCGCCTATGCCTTGTCCTCGACGGAGCCGGGGGTTTCCTTGACCGGCCTGTACTACCCCGACAGCTCGACCGTCCAGCGAGCGGGGTCCAGCATTCTGAGGGCTGGCGGGCTCTTGTTCTCACAATGGGACGTCCTTATCACCACGCTGGCCACGCTTCTCCTCGCCGTGAGCCGCCAACAGTCGGATCCGGGGTCCAGAATCTCAGCTTGGACATTGACGGGTATTACTGCTGCCCTGGGACCTGGTGCCGCGCTTGCATATGCCCTTTGGAACGAAGAAGATCGTTGAGACCGTTTGAGCGATGGAGAAAAAGGCGGCAGACTGAGCAGAATGCTTTGAACCAGCAGCAACTGACTGCTTCAGGTCGATAAAGTGAATAACTAGTCAGGCAGCATGAGCGTGGGATGCATTCCTGAGTGATTTGGGGAATTTGGCGTGTAGTCATAGAATAGCTGCCAACCAAGTAAATGAAATGGCTTTTTCCCCTTTTTTCGCTAGCCTTTATAATCACTTAGGATTGGGGCCCGGTTGACCCTCATGGACCAGGCGTCTTGGACTTGTTCACGTATCGAAATTTGGCACTCGGCCGAGGCAGTGATTGATGAGCTGTTATTCATTGTTTGGACACCACTGGCAATTAGTAAGTCGGAGAGACGATGCATCAGCCAAGTTTTTGTAACTTTGGATCAAATTTTTACTAGCCTATATGCTCATTTCCCGTCCATGACACTGTCTGTTTACAAGAAGATTTTCAGGAAAGGTCATGAGAATGAGTATACCTTTATTGTGCCAGATGCCCAGGTGTCTCCGCGCTTGGGACTTACAGCTACTTGCCCAGGTAGGTACTGGGCCACCTGAGCACATGCAGGGATTCAGGTTGCCCAGGCTGACGACTAGATCCATCCAGCCCTTGTTCGTTTCACATATCGTCAGAGTTGCCAGATGAAAATGTTTTCTTCGGATTTGTCCTCTGACCTCTAGTATTCGCGCAGCCAGTCAAAACAGCCCTGGGAGGTGTGCAAAGCCGAGTAAACCAGACCAAGTGCATGCATGTTACCCGGCCAATCCTGTCAGATGCCAAGCCATCCAGACAGTGAATGTCTCTCCTTATTGTTACCTCTTATCGACGGATCGGAGCAAACCGGCCCGCTCCGTCAGCTTCTGGAACGGAGCTTCAATGTTGGCTCGGATGTCCAGCAGTGTAAGCATGCAGCCGTCAAGCCCATGCGGGCTACTTGCATGGCATGTCCGACCCTACCTAGGTACCTCCGCTCGCTCGGGGACAAGCGGAGGCTTTCGCTTGCCGCCTGGCGCCGACCTAACCGAGCGCGTCAGCCTCGTGATGCTGGTCCATGCCCACAGTCAGCCCGCCCAACTCTTTCTTGCCTTTCACCCCACAATACCTGTCTTCCATTACGAAATAGCAAAGATCGGTGCCTGTAGCTTTCTTCGAATACTCCATTACACCGAACTCTCATCTCACTGCGTAACCTGTGTGTGTTGAACGCCTTTGAGCTACTCAGATTACTCAGAAAACCGGGGCAACCAGGGCTCACACAGTAATCCTGGGCTGGGATACATACTTACTGTAGTCCTCTTAGACTGGCCGGCGTATTCTGTTTCTCAGCCGGACTATCGAACTCTTCTCCGTGCCGAAGCCGCGCAGGTCCGAGTAGTCCCGTAATGCTATGTCGTGAAAGGAAGGTCGACAAGTGCTGCCCAACTACGTAGGTACCTGGCGAAAGAGCCCGGCCCGGTCCTTCGGTGTTCGAGCAGCCTTCCGGTCTGGGCCTTACGGGGAGGGGGAGCCTTGACCAAACGAAGGCACAAGACACCATGTAGGTGAGAATAGATAGTCTGCTACAGGTTTGTTGGCAATGGAAGACGAGACGATAAGAATCGAACATATGGTAACCCAGATGGGCTCGCACAATACAAAAACTATACGCCGTCTAGCTTATGCAAGTTGCATATTACAAGTCCCTGTCCTAGCATATTAATCGGTCCATGTGGGCTGATGGTGGCTCGATATCTGCCCAAGAGAGCTCCCCAAACAAGAGCAGCTTCACACGCCAAAGCCAATCACTATGCCTGGCTTACTGAGGTCAGATCAATCCTCGTCGTCCTCGAATGAGGACATCACCGATGCTTCGGGCCCGAGCATCAGGGCATCTCGGATCGATCAAGCGCAGGTGACTGCTTCCGGCCTGAGCGATGGAGAGAAGCCGCTGGAGGAACAGCTAGAGCCTATTGCGGTGGTGGGGATGGGTAGGTTCAGCACACAAATTCGGACAAAAATATGCATACAAGTTCAATTTTAGTACTTACTGACCCCGTGTAATTAATCAGGATGCCGACTGCCAGGGGCTGTGAAGTCAGCCTCGGACTTCTGGGACATGATGATCAACAAGCGGACGGGAAACACACCAAAAGTGCCCGCCTCACGATTCAACATCGACGCGCACTACCACTCAAACAACGACCGCCCAGGCAGCTTTGGGGTTCTGGGCGGATACTTCCTCGATGAGGAGCTGACCGACTTCGACCCTGGCCTGTTCGGCATCACGCCGGTCGAGGCCATGTGGATGGACCCGCAGCAGCGCAAGCTGCTTGAGGTTGTGTATGAGGCGCTCGAGTCGGGTGGTATCTCGCTCGAGGCCATCTCGGGCACCCGTACTGCGGTCTTTGCCGCCAGCTTCACTGCCGACTGGCAGCAGATGGCCTTCAAGGAGGCGTCGTTCCGCCACAGCCTGGCGGCAACCGGCGTTGATCCCGGCATCATCAGCAACCGTATTAGTCACGTTTTTAACCTCAACGGCCCCAGCATTGTCTGCAACACGGCATGCTCCTCGTCCGTGTACGCGCTGCATAATGCCTGCAACGCCCTGCGGAACAACGAGGCCGAGGGGGCCATCGTCGGGGGCGTCAACCTGATCATCACGGTAGACCAGCACATGAACACGGCCAAGCTGGGCGTGCTGTCACCCACGTCAACGTGCCACACGTTCGACGAGAGCGCCGACGGCTACGGCAGAGCAGACGCGGTGGGCGCCGTATACCTGAAGCGACTCGCCGATGCTGTCCGGGACGGGGATCCGATCCGCGGCATCATCCGTTCCAGTGCTGTCAACTCCAACGGCAAGGTCCCCGCCGTCGGCATCACACACCCAAACCGCGAAGGCCAGGCCGACGTTATAACCCATGCATACGAGCGCTGCAGCCTTGACCCTCGCCTGACGGGCTACTTCGAGTGCCACGGGACGGGCACCGCCGTCGGCGACCCCCTCGAGGTGCACGCCGTCTCCATGGCCATGAACAAGAACCGGACACCTGACCAGGACCCCCTGTGGATCGGCGCCGTCAAGACCAACATTGGCCACAGCGAGGCTGCGAGCGGCCTGTCGGCACTCATCAAGGCCATCCTGATAGTTGAGCGAGGCATCATCCCGGCGACCCGCGGCCTCGTCAAGCCCAGCCCGAGTATCAAGTGGGACGAGTGGCAGGTCAAGGTTCCGACCGAACCAGTGCCTTTTCCCGCCCATCTCCCGGTGCGCCGTGTGTCCATCAACAGGTAGGCCAAGCCCAGTACCCTCCACTTCATGTTGACACTGTCCAGCACTTGTTTCCTAACGTGGGAGATGAACCAGTTTCGGATACGGAGGGACCAACGCCCACGTAGTGGTCGAGGGGGCGGCATCGATGCTGCGAGGACGGGCACCAGCATACAAGTACACCGACGCCACGAGCGTCGAGTCGCGCAGGAAGAGCCTCGTCCCCAGGCGCGCCTCGCACCGCAAGCGGCCGTTCCTGCTTCCCTTCTCGGCCCACGACAAGGCCACGCTCCTGCGCAACATCAAGGCTCACGGCGAGGTCGCAGCGAAGTACGACCTGCTGGACCTCTCGTACACGCTCAGCAGCCGCCGCAGCGTCCTCCAGAGCAGGGCCTTCACCGTCGCCAGCCACCGCACGCTGCCCACTGCGTTCGAAGACGTCGCCGCCTCCTTCTCCTTTGGCCAGCAGAAGCCGTCCAGGCCGCGGGCCATCGGTTTCGTCTTCACTGGACAGGGGGCCCAGTGGCCGCGCATGGGCGCGGAGCTGATGGCGTACAGCCCGCACTTCCTGGAGTCGATCCACGCCCTCGACAACGCCCTCGAGGAGCTCGGCGACGGCCCGGAGTGGTCGATCGAGGACGTCTTGCTCGAGAGCATCGACACGTCGCCTGTCAACAACGCCGAGTTCTCGCAGCCGCTCTGCACCGCGGTCCAGATTGCCCTGGTGCAGCTGCTCGCCCACTGGGGCATCCGGCCCACCGTCACGGTCGGCCACTCGTCGGGGGAGATGGCTGCTGCATATGCTGCCGGCCTGATCACGGCCAGGGAGGCCATAGTTGCAGCATATTACCGGGGCAAGGTCACGCGCGATGTCGCGAGCGCCGGGTCCATGCTGGCCGTCGGCCTCGGGGCCGAAGCCGTCCAAGAATACCTTGGCCGGGACAAGTCTGAGGGACATGTTGTGGTGGCGTGCCACAATTCGCCATCGGCCGTCACGCTGAGTGGCGACGAGCACGGCATAGCGGCTGTCAAGGCCAGGCTTGATGAGGACGGCGTCTTTGCCCGCCTTGTAAAGACAAGCGGCAAAGCTTACCACTCTCACCACATGGTGCCGGTGGCCACCAAGTACGAGGAACTCATCCGGGCCGCGAGTGTGAGCGCTTGGGAGGATGACCTGGACGAGAACCCCGCGCCTGCCAACGCCAGGATGGTCTCGTCAGTGACAAACAGCATCCTGCCGCCAGGCACCCGGCTGGACGAGTCGTACTGGAGCAAGAACCTCACCAACCCGGTCCTCTTCAACCAGGCCGTCCGGACCATCCTCACGGACGACGAGGTCTCAGACGTCGACCTGTTGATCGAGGTTGGCCCACACTCGGCCATGGCTGGCCCCATCAAGCAGATCAAGGCGGAGCTCAAGGCGGAAAAGCTCGACTACCTGCCGACCCTGCTGCGAGGCACCGACAGTGCCGTGCAGCTGCTCAAGCTGGCGGGCGAGCTGTTCCTCAGGGACTACCCCGTCAAGATGGAGCGCGTCACAAACGCCTACGTCGGCGGAAGTGGCAGCAAAGGGGGGGCCGGTACCAAGGGGCACACCATCGTGGACCTGCCCCCGTACCAGTGGAACTACACGCGGCCGTTATGGGCCGAGAGCCGCGCCAGTCGCGAGCAGCGCCAGCCGAAATACCCTCGTCACGATGTGCTGGGCCAGCGGGTCATCGGCTCGTCCATGGCGGAGCCCACCTGGCGCAACGTCCTGCGGCTGCGCGACCTGCCGTGGCTCAAAGACCACTCGCTGGGCGGCGAGGCCGTCTTCCCTGCCGCGGGCTACTTCGCCATGGCCATCGAGGCCATCACACAGGTCCACGAGCTGGGCGGGGACGATGCCTCCCGCGAGCCCATCGACAACTACACCCTGCGCGACGTGTCCATCAAGAAGGCGCTCGTGACGCCAGACGATGACGACGGGATCGAGGTGCTGCTGAACCTGCGGCCCGCCGTGCAGGGCGGCGGCGGCTGGTGGGACTTCAGCGTGTCGTCGATCGACATGGAGCAGGTCCACAAGGAGCACATGGCCGGCAGCATCGGCATCAACAAGAACCCGCGCGGGTCCAAGGCAGTCCGCCGGGCGCCCGAGTTCGCCCAGCGGGCCACGGGCAAGGCCTGGAACCACGCGCTGCGCCAGGTCGGCTTCGACTACGGCCCCACGTTTCAGGACATGGGCGACATCCGCTTCGACGGCAAGACATATGCGGCCAGCGCCCGGTCCTTCATCAAGCAGCACGTCGACGCGTCGCTCGGCGAGTCCCGCTACGTGCTGCACCCGGCCTCGGTCGACTCGGTCCTGCAGCTGAGCATCGCGGCCATCTACGCCGGGCGGACCAACGCCATGAGCTGCGGCGTCGTCCCCATCCAGGTGGACGAGGTGTCCATCTGGCCGCCCACCGAGCCGCAGCTTCAGGTCGGCACGGCCAATGCCTATGCCTGGGTGCCCCGTCGAGGCATCCGGTCTTTTGAGGGGAGTGCCCAGATGACCGCCCTCGACGGCGAGCTGGTGCTAGACATCACAAATGTACGGACCACGAGCTACGAGGCCGCGGTCCCCCAAAAGGCAGAGACATTTGTCGACGACACGAGTGGTGCCTATGGCGAGATGAGCTGGGACTTGGACATTGACAGTCTCGAGTCGGGCGCCGACGTCGGCAGCTGGGTTGATGTCGCAAACCTGATCTTGTTCAAATACCCGGCGTTGAAGGTCTTGGAGCTGGGCACCGAGAGCGCGGCGGAGCTCCTCTCCAAGAACCCTCAGCTGTCATATACAGCCGCTGTTGGCCCAGGCGAGACCATGGTCGCCGCAGGAAAATCACTTGTCGAGCCCTACGCCAATGCCAAGGTGGTTCCCCTTGACCCGGGGCAGGACCTCGAGTCACAATCTCTCAAGACGGCCGGGTACGACGTCGTCGTTGCTGGCCTGGAGGCGACGGCCTCGGTCCAGAAGCTGCTCCCCAAGCTGCGAGGGCTCCTGAAGCCAAGCGGCTTTCTTGTCACGGCGCCCCAGGCCACCAGTATTATCGAAGAGTCAAAAGGACCGGGAGACTTTAGATTGAGCTTCAGGGCCAGCTCAGGGTCTTCAGTGTGGCGACCAGCGGAGACGACGGACGAGACCAGGACTGAGGTGCTCTCCCCGATAGAAGGTCACGCCGTGCAGCTTGTGTACCGCACGAACCCGAGCCCGCTGGCTGAGCAAATCAAGTGCGCACTGGAAGGGCTTGGTTGGAGCGTCTCGGTCAACAAGCTGGATGCGTTCGGGGTGGATTCCGGCGGTGACGTTCAAGTCGTGGCTGGGCATGTGATTATGCTTGCCGACCTCGAAGGCCCTGTGCTGTACACGGCCACAGAGGCAGAGTTCTTGGCAATCAGGGCCATCATCGACTCGGCATCGGCCCTGCTGTGGGTTACCAGTGGCGGGTTAATCACGGCAAAGAGACCAGAATACGCCATGGTGCGGGGGCTTGCTCGGTCTGTCGCTTCGGAGCAGGCCTCGCTCGACTTCCGCACCCTCGATGTGGATCTCGACAGTACCACCGTGCCTACGCAGGTGGTCCAGTCAGTCCTGAGGATTGCCGGGTTGCAGGCGAGTAGCGGCGACGAGGCCCCGCAAGAGCGAGAGTTCTCCTTATCCGGAGGAAAGACATACATTAGCAGGCTCGTACGAAACAAGGGGCTCAACAGTATCTTCAAGACTCGGAGCGATCCGGAACCACAGGCCTTCTCAGCCGAAAGGCCTCTACGTGGCAAAGTCCTCCGCGGCAAAGTTGTCTTTGAACAGGAGCCGGAGCGGGACGCACATGCAGATAAGCTCGCACTCAAGGCTGGCCTCGTCGAGGTCCAGGTCCAGGCCGTCGGGCTCACGAGGGAAGGCGTTCTGGTCATCAGCGGTTCTGATTACCCAACCACGTTCAGCCACGAGATCGGTGGCGTGGTCACCAAGGTAGGACCAGATGTCTCGACTCTCAAACCAGGAGACAGGGTGGTTGGGTACAAGCCGGACTGCTTCGCCAGCTACCAGCAGGTGCCGGCCACCATGCTGCACAAGCTCGCCGACAAGGACGACATGGACGCGGCCGTGAGCCTGATATCGGCATACTCGAACGCCATATACGGCCTGGAAACCCTGGCCCGGGTCAAGGAGGGCGACACGGTCCTCATCCTCCACAACACAGGCACGAGCGGCGTGGCCGCGGCCAAGATTGCCCAAGACAAAGGCGCGACCCCGTACCTGGCAGTGAAGACCGACGCCGAGGCCACGTTCTTGACGACCCGGCTCGGCCTCGACCAGAGACAGATCCTCGGCCCCGGTGGCGGTGCTGTCTCGACGCAGCTTGGGCGTCTCACTGGCGGCCGCGGGGCCGATGTCGTCTTCAGCACCGGCAGCAGCGTGGATACGGGGTCTGCGAGCGAGGCATGGCGCCACATCGCACCTTTCGGCCGCTTCGTCGACGCCGGCCGCAAGCACGTGCTCGACCGCGGCGCGCTCGACACGGTGCCGTTTGCGCGCGGCGCCAGCTATCTGCCGTTTGACCTGCTGGACATGTACGAGAGCAGGCCCGACATGACCTCTGGCCTTGTTGCGGCCGTCATGCAGCTGTCTGAGCAAGGATCCATCACGCCGCCCGGCACCGTCGAGCCCCTCCACCTGTCGCAGATTGACAAGGCTGTCTCCTCCTGGTCCGAGTCCTTCGGTGCTCCCAAGCCCATCATCCGGTTTGAAGAAGCACCTGGACACCCCGTCTTGACCCTGCCCCCTGAGCGTGCCGGGCCCCGGTTCAGCCCTGACAACACATACCTGCTCGTCGGCTGCCTGGGGGGTCTGGGCAGGAGCTTGACGGCGTGGATGATGGTGCATGGGGCACGGCGGTTTACCTTTCTCTCCAGGTCTGGCGCTGACTCCCAGTCGGCCTCCACGCTCGTGGCCGACATGGAGAGCGCCGGGGCCATCGTGCAGGTTGTGCGAGGTGATGCGACCTCACGGTCAGACGTTGTTCGTGCGCTCGAGGGTATTCCCGCGTCGCACCCAGTTCGAGGCGTTGTCCATGCTGCCATGGTACTTCGGGTGAGATACCTATTGAGTCCCCTTTACCTAATGCTACATTTAGTAGTCCTCCTGTTGGGCCGGATGCTGACCATGTCTGTGCGATACTTACCTATAGGACGGCATGTTCCATTCCATGACTTTCGACCGTTGGAAGGCGACAGTGGAGCCCAAGGTCACTGGCGCCATGAACCTGCACTCGGCCCTCGCCGACGTCCCACTGGACTTTTTCCTCATGACCAGCTCCGTGTCGGGGACGCTGGGCACGCCAGGCCAGAGCAACTACGCGGCTGCCAACAGCTACCTAGACGCGCTCGCGCATCACCGCGTGGCCTCGGGCAAAGTCGCCACCTCGGTGGTCCTGCCCATGGTCCTCGGCGTCGGGGTTGTCGCCGAAAACACCGACATCGAGGACGGCCTCCGCCGCATGGGCATGTACGGCATCGACGAGGAACAGCTCCTCGAGGCCTTTGAGGCTGCCATCGTCGCGCGCCAGTCTCTCGACGAGGCACCTCACCACATAGCCGTGGGCTTGGACCCGCACCTGTTGCGGGAGGCCATGGCCGACGCGGGGACCACCGAGGTCTTCTGGGACCGGGACGCGCGTTTCAGCCACCTCGCCCGCGCCATGAGCGCGGCAAAGGACGGCGCCGACACGGCGGGCAGCTACAGCATCCTGGCCGCCGTCCGCGAGGCCGACTCGGCCGCCGCCGCGGTCGCGGCGGTGTCGCAGCACTTCATCGAGAAGCTGTCGCGCATGCTGATGATCCCCGAGGACAACTTCGAGCCGCAGGGGCCGTCCATCGCATCCTACGGCATCGACAGCATGATCGGGGCCGAGCTCCGCAACTGGATCTTCAAGGAGTACAAGATCGACATGCCCTTCCAGCAGCTCCTCGCCCCCACGCTAAGCATCGAGAGGTTTGCCGCGCAGGTGTGCGCGTCTGTGGTCACAGCGGCTTGATGGAAACACCAGCCATTGGGATGTGACCGTACCCTATCGCAGTCGATTCTATGCGTCTTTGTCTGACACAGGATCCTGTACAAGGACATAGATTCGGGTGGTACACTAAGAGAATGGATAGATGGATGGATTATGATTAACGCCTCGGGCCGTAGGCCCAGGCGATGGCCGTCTTTGAAATTAAGCAATATACTGTGCAGCCGCCAGGTCTATATGAACTGGCCGAAATCAATACATAGGGTAGCGGGTGTAACTATGAACGGTGGCGGCCTAATAGGCTTTGTTGAAAGAAAGCAACGTATTTGACCAAGTCCGCTTATTAGTACATGTGTGCCAAAAGATGAATTTGGTGGCCATGCCATAAATTGATTTTCAGGCTGTATTTTAGCTTATGTGACACACCAACGATGGCGTCTCCGAACAAGATCAACACGGTTCGAGACATGTTCCAGGCCCATTCCTCGCGTCAATGACGACTCTCGAACATCTCACGACTAACTTGTGATTATATTACTTGTTCACAGGACATTCTGGGAAGCGGAACGGGGACGTGCCTTTGACCGGAACGAACAAAAATGGCAGAAGCGAGATGCGGCGCCGCGCATCGGGCCAGGGCCCCGGGGCGCCCTCGCATGCCCGAAGGCGTTGGGTGCGTCAGCACGCATATCTGCACACTTGCAGGCCAATCACGTCCTAGACCGAAAGGTACTGTAACAGATGACACCAGCTGACAAATGGCGTGAATCATTCAGCTCAGTCCTTCAAAGGTCTTTGTGTGCACCTGGCGCTGGGCCTGCAAAAGCCCCTCGCACAAGTAACCGTCTGAGAAGGAGATGAAAAAGGCCTAGAGCCTCACTGGTCCTCTAACATCCTCTAGCCCCTGCCGGCGTTGCTTCCGCTGCGTTCACGTTCTCTGCGGGCCAGGCTGCCAGGTTGGACCTCGGTCCCCGCTCGCGCCATCCTCTGCGGACGCATGTTGGGACATGACAACGCCAGTGTCGACCACCATGACAACTGGGGGATCATCACGGCACATGGCGTGCAAGGTGCGTCGTTCCAATTTCGAGTCCACCACGCTGGCCAGCTAGAGCTCACGCTGGGAGCAGCCATGTCGAGACCGCAAGGTACGCTGCGGCGGCGAACAGCCGATATGTGACAAGTGCAGGAGGGCGGGCGAGCACTGTGACTACCTCCCGACGCAGAAGCCGACCAAGGCCGACTTGGCCCATAAGGTTGAGGCATTGCAGAGACGCCTAGGTGAGCCCACTCCCGTCTGCCCGTCGATGCCACCGCCGAGTGCAGATCATACTGATATCGGGCCACCACTTCCAAGACGAAGCAGAGGCATACATCCGAGCCACCCAGTCCCGGGCTTCGTCAAGCAGAGGCGTCACCGTGCCGTCTCCCCACGGTAGCGACTGGCTTGTCAACCCAGACGCCCAGTGCCTGCCCTCCTCGTCAGATGGCCAGAGCCCTGCAGTCCCAACACAGTCGTCGTCGTCCGGGCCGATTTTTCAAGACTCACCACAGGCCGCCATCGACCAGCCGGCACAAAGAAGGCAGTGTGCCGCCCTGATAGGCCCATTCCAGGGCGATGGGGACCTGGACATGAGCATGGACCCCAACGGCCTCGACTTCTTCCCGCACGACAGCTTCGTGTTCCAGAGGGGCCTCAGCGAGGAGGGGGGCGCCGCCGTGCTCGAGCCCCTCAAGAGCTTCACCTCGGCCGTGTTCCGCAGCCAGGCCGAGCAGTCCGTCATGGCGACCGTCGTGGCCGACTACCTGGCCTGGCTCCGCAAGGCGCCCCCCGGCGGCGGCATCCCGGCCGCGGCGGAGAACCCCGTATACCTAGGCATGCTCGAGACGCTCGAGAAACGCCTACGCGAGCTGTGCGACGCCAGCCGGTCGCGCGGTGGTGCCGCGGTGAGGGAGCTCGTGGCGGCGCTCGAGGCCGTCGCGCCGCCCGGCGGTGCCATGGCGGCCAGGCTGGGCTCGCTCGAGGAGGACGTCCAGAAGGAGGCGCTTGAGCACGCCGCCGAGTTCCGGGCCAGGTACAACCCCTGCGCCCTGCTCTCGAAGCAATTCCCGAGTGGATCACCCTGATTACATACCTAGTAGTATGTATTGTCCTATCTATCGGAATATCCGGATGCCACTGTGGCCATGGTTACGACAGCTGCGTGGGCTTAGATCAGAGATGGAGAAGATTCATTCAGTTACGGGGCGTGGGTGAGGGCTCGGCAAAAGAAACAAAGGGTTTGGCGGAAGCTGTCTCCAACATTGCTGGCGGCGTGGCAGCGTTGAAATGTCATATTGAACCACCAGTGGACCACGTCGCCCCCCCGCGCAACCTCTCCACCAGCCAGAAGTTCGGACCGCCAAAATCGCGACACACAATTATTTCATAATGAGCGTGCATATTGGTCCATAGAGGTCCAAAACTGCAAATAGATTCGGGCTTGCAATTGAGGTATCTCATGAGGCTAGGATAAGATGGGTTTAGTACCTTATTTTCTAGGGTTTTCTCACAAAGGGCTTTGGAGTCAGGAGTAAAGGGTGTTGATATTTAATTTAGTTTCAGTCCAATCTAAACATCCTCTGTGTGTACAGTTTGAAAAGGAATCAATCCGGAGGGCATATCGGAGCTTAATCCGTCGCTCCTTTGGGTAAGTGCCTAGGTCAACTACCTTGCTGCACTGTACCCACAGTGTCACGGTATATAAGTGCTAGCCACGGTAATACTCTCGGTATTACAACTTCCTTCTTTTATAGTCGGTGTTGCTAGCGCGATAGGCTTTACTCGTGCTGTAACACACAGTGACTTAGTTGTCCACACACATCCTCTATTCAAGAGAGCGAGGATTCGCAGGGCAGAAAACGGGGGTTACAGGGGTACATGTTACCCTAGTGTGCAGACCTTAATCTATACTATATGCTCACCATATAAGACAGATATATACGGTCATAAACTACACATCTACTTGCCTCTATTATCGTCACTTCTACTTACGCCTATCGTCGTCGGTCGCTTCTACTAGCTGTATTGTCTAGGATGATTAGGCACTAATACAAGGACCGTAATCTCCTCTTAGGTCCCCTTATTATTAGTGAGGGTATTGTTACTTGTGAGGGTATTGTTGCTGGTGAGGGCGTCGTTACTGGTGAGGGTATCAAATGCACTAGGTTGGGGGTGGTGAAGTTGGTTGAATGGCGTTGAATGGGGTACTCTGATTGGCTGGCAGTGGTTGTGGTCCTGTACCCCCCGTTTTCTGCCCTGCGAATCCTCGCTCTCCTATTCAATTTTGCAGTGTGACTAACCTGAGGCCTAGGATAGGCCTTAGTTGCAGTGAACGCTGTTCTTACACCCTATCATGTCACCGATGAAGTTCTATTGTCCAATGTGGGCCACAGCAGCCTGTAGATATAGCGGATGACTACTGTAGGCCCTTTTGCTCTGGCAGTGAGTGAGTGGGTTTCGCATCCCGAGTGGTCGAGTGGTTGGGACCAGTCAGTCGCACACAGTTACGGACCCAAACGGATAAGAACGTCCCAGGGGAGTCGGGACCGTTGGCGGTAAGGGACGGAGTAAAGGAAAGTGCACGTACGGCATGTACATACAGTACAATAGATACTTGCTCGGTGTACACTGGCAGCTTCGGCCAACTCAGCCCGGGGGTGGGTCCAATCACAACCGTAGGACCGCACCCCTGCACCACTCCCATCCAATCGGCCACTTCTGGCCGAGAAGGCAAGCATAGTGAAGGAAGGCGGAATCAAACAAACAAAAATGATTCCGAGCATGCCAATTCGAGCGACTCACTGGCTGAGCAGGTGCAAATTCCAATGGCCGGGCCGGGCGAGAATGAGATTACCAAGTACCTTTTTTTTCTTTCCTTTTGATTCCTAATCATTTCAGATTTTGGACGTGGACCAAGTACAAAACAACAACCGGCACACACATAGTGTCTTGTCATCGCTCGCTGCACACACATTGGCAGTGCGTTTTTGCGTGTTCCTGTCATTTCTGAATTGGATTGATATCTGAAATGGACAAACAGTCAGTCGAAGAAGATGGCCACGCGCCCAGAGACGAGCGACTGTCGGCCAAGACCTCGGACGTCGACACTAGCACCGCAACACCCCCAGAGAAATCCGCGCCCGACGAGAACAAGGAGCAGCCACCAGCGAGGACCATCACGGGTTGGAAGGTGAGCGAGCCAACTGGATCCCTTCCCCCCACCTCTCTCCTATTCCCAATCGGGATCGCAGTGATTGGTGTGCTGACTGTACACAACAACCAGTGGGCACTGGCTTATGCCTCCCTCATGTCGACCGTCCTTCTCTTCGCCCTCGACAACACCATTGTGAGTCTCTCCGCCACACGCTGGCCTCTACGGTGTGATAAAACAGGGTGTTAACGGAGAAATCCTCTCAAAGGTCGCCACTATCCAGCCAACCATTGTTGAGACCTTCGGACATCAAGAGGACCTGGCATGGATTGGCGTCAGTTTCGTGCTGGGCCAGGCCCTGATCCTGCCAATGTACGTCTTCTGCGTGCCCCCTTCCCCCTTACCGACAGATGCAACTTGTTTGTCGTGGGTTGGGTCTAATCTGGTGAGACTACAGTGGCAAGTCCTTTGGAATCTTCAACATGAAGGTTGTTTTCATCACCAGTCTCATACTGTTCGAGGCCGGCAGCGCCATCTGCGGAGCCGCTCCCAACATGGCTGCCCTCATCATCGGCCGTGTCATCGCAGGCATCGGCGGTAGCGGGATCTACGTCGGCGCCTTGACGTACATCAGCATCTTGACAACCACCAAGGAGCGTCCTGTCTACCTCGCCGGGGTCATGACCGTGTGGGGCATTGGCAACGTTCTCGGGCCCATTGTGGGCGGTTCACTAGCCGAGAGCTCCGCCACATGGCGCTGGGGGTTTTATATCAACCTTCCTATCGCCGGCCTGTTTGCCCCAGGCTTTATCTTCCTTCTGCCTGGTATAAATGCGATGCCGAACACACCGCTTATGGACAAGCTGCGTAAGCAGGACTGGGTCAGCATTGTCGTGTTTACCGCCTTTTGCGCCTGTTTCTGTATGGCGGGCAGCTTTGGTGGCACCCTTTACGCCTGGGACAGCGGATCGGAGATCACCCTTTGGGTCATGACGGTCGTGCTGCTAATTGCTGTCATCGTTGTCACCATTTACCACCCGTTTGTATCGGCCGAGGATAAGATGATGCCGGTCCAGTTCATAAAGACCAAGGATCTTTTTCTCCTCCCACTGCAGTCTTTCCTCGTTGCCGGGTCGATGATGATGTCTATTTTTTATACCCCACTTATCTTCCAGTTTACAAAAGGAGATGATGCATTGCAGGGCGGAGTGCGTATTTTGCCACTGATCTGCATGATTGTCTTTGGCTGCCTCCTAAATGGTGTCGTTATGCCGAAGTTAGGCTACTACATGCCTTGGTATGTGGTCGGTAATGCTTTGTTGGTTACGGGCGCTGCATTAATGAGTAAGTCTTGGACTGGGCCCATTGACTCAAACCAGCAATTGTCCAAACTACTAATTTCAAACAGCCACCATTGACGCTGACATTTCCAATGCACGGCTCTATGGATACACGGTCCTTATCGGCCTCGGCATCGGCTGCTTCCAGAGCGCCGGAATCGCGGTCGTATCGGCGATCGCCCCGGCATCCGAAGTCAGCAATGCTGTGTCTATCATGACCGTCTGTAAGTGGCGACACACGCTATCCCGGGCGGGCATTTGGGGGCTGACAGGATCATCAACCAACAGCACAAGTTCTCGGCATCATCGTTGCGCTCTCCGTCTCCGGGTCTGTCTTCCAGAACATGGCTCTGCGGTACCTCGCCTCTGCCCTACCCAACGCCGACGCGTCGGCGCTGGGCCAACTCGTCACCGGAACTAGCGGTGCGTTCTACCAGAGCCTGGACTCCGCCGACAGGTATCTGGTTGTCCAGCAGGTGACGGCCGCGATCCGCGACAGCTTCTACTTCCTGTGTGGTGTCACTGCTATTGGCTTTATCACCTCGCTGTTCCTTAGTGTATGTATACGCACCCATTTAACGAACGCACACAAACCCCTGATCGTGTCCTCTTTCTGACGGACTTTGTCTTTTCACAGCGGAGGAAGCTGTTCCTCGAGCCTGGCATGGCTGCCTAGGCCCACTATTATGTTACTTCCTGGCGTCGGGATCGAGTCGAGGGGCTCGAGCGATCTGGTGAAAATCAATAGAGATGATGGTGCGAGCACATTCGGCTCGCGGTGCACTTTTCGACTTGGAACGTTTCTCTTGAGTAAGCAGCAAGCGGGAAAAATATCAGGTCCTTCCGACTGTGGGTCGGGCAGTTCTCTGGTGCAATGTATACATAGACTGATGACGAATATAACAGCCAGACAGCTAGTAATGGTCAAAGGCATGCGACACCCCAATGCGACATGACACAACTGTTAAAGACTTATGTTACACGTCTGATCCAACCTACCCCGGATCTCCGGATCTATAAATCGTGACATAAATGTAACTACTGCTTGGAATCAAGTGTGCCGGCCAAAGGGCTATATATAATTACTAATCCCTAGTTAGCTATTTAACTAGTATTTAAGTTCTATATTACTATATTAATTAGAATGTACCTATAGTTAGTATAAATAAGTTATTTAATCCTTAAATTATTTTAACATTTAATATTATTAAAGTAATATTATAAATTTTATAATAATAATATATTTAAAAGATTTTTTAATTTTTAAATTAATTAACTTATATTTAAATAATTTTTTAATTTATATTATTTATTTATTTATTTTATTTTTATTTTTATTTTAAATTTAATTAATATAATATAATTATTTAATACTTTTAATATATTAATTTTTTTTTATTAATTTAATTTTAATTATTTTAATTCTTTAATAAATAAAAGTATTTTTATTATAAATATAATAATAATTAAAAATATATTAAAATAAATAAATAAAATTAATAAATTTATAATAAAATATTATTTAATATTATTATAATTTTAAATAAAATAATAAAATAAAAATATATAAATAAATAAAATAAAATTAAAAATATAATATTTAATAAATTATTAAAAGTAAATAATTTAAAAATTATAAATAAATTTATTATTTTTAATTTATTTAAAAATTTAAAGTTTTAAATATAAAATATTTTATTAAATAAAATTAACTTTATTTTTTAAAAATATATTTATTTATAATAAACTTTAATTAAAATTATTAAAAATATAATTTAAAAATAATATATTTATTATAATTTTAATTAAGTAAAAGATTATATTGTTTTAAATTTAATTTTTATAATAAAATTAAATTATTTTTAAATATAATATAAAAACTATCTTTATTTATTTAAATTAAAATTATTTTATAAAAATAATAATATAATATACTTTAAATAAATATATTTTATAAAAAATAAATTAATATATTATTTTATATAAATATTATATTATAAATAAATTATTAAAATAATTATTATATATATTTATAAAATATTTAAATTAATTATAGTTTTATAATTATATTAATATATAAAAAAAGCTAATATCTACTTACTTAGTAATTATATTTACTTACCTAGTTTTTTTTAACTACTTACCTAATATAAGAATTTATATATAGGGCCTATATAAAATTATATACTTAATTAGGATTCTTTAAATTTTTGATACTTTTAGTATAAGCCCTTTTGGCATGCCTTCTAGCACACCTTTTAGCATACCTTCTAGCACACCTTCTAGCACACCTGGCCTGTACGCCTAGCCTGCATGCATTTAGATACTAACTAAGTGTTTAGATGCTAATTGAACGCTAGAAGGCTAGAAGTTTATAGGGTTAGAAGGCTAGAAGGAGGGCTAGAAGGTTAGAAAGTATATACTCTTTACCTTTACCTTCTTAGCTTCTAGCCCTCTGGCGTTTAGTTGGTATTTGAATGCTTAGTTAGTACCTGAATGCAGGCGTGCTAGAAGGCGTGCTAGAAGGTGTGCTAGAAGGTATGCTAGAAGGGGTTTGTACCGAAAGTATCGAAAATTAGAGAAGGAAATCGTGCTATGGGGTCTCTTAGTACTAACTTAGAAGGTACTTATAAATATAAGGGAGTTATTTAGAAAAATTAGTATTAGGTAAGTAGTTAGTAGGAATTAAGTAAGTAGATATAATTGCTAGGTAAGTAGATATTAGTTTATATAAAAAGTTTAAATTAAAAGTTTAAACTTTTAAAATATTAATTAAAATAAATTTTTTTAAATTTAATTTAAATATTTTTAATTTATATAATTATATAATATTTAAAAAAACTTTTAAATTTTTTTTTATAATATTATAATTTATAATTTTATTTAAATATTTTTATATAATTATTTAAATTTAATATATAATATAATATTTATAAATTATTTATATTTTTAATTTTATTATTTAATTAAAATAAATAATTAAAGTTTTAAAATTAAATATAATATATTTTTAATATTAATTAATTAAATTTATATTTATTTATAATATTATTTATTATTAAAAATATTTTTATATTAATATTATTAATTTATTAAAATTTAAAATTGTTATAAATTATAAATTAATTTAATACTATTAAAAACTTTTATATAATTTTAATAATTAATTATAAAATTTATAAAATTTTAATTATATTATAATATTATTAAAATAAAAATATTAATTAATTAATTTTAAAATTTATAAATAATTAAAAGGGTTTTATTATATATACTTTTAAAATTTTTAAATTAATATATTATATTATATTTAAATATTATATTTTAATAAATATAATAATAAAATAAAATTATATTTATATTTTATATTTTATATTTTATATTTTATATTTTATATTTTATATTTTATATTTTATATTTTATATTTTATATTTTATATTTTATATTTTATATTTTATATTTTATATTTTAAACTTTAATATATGTTTATATTTTATATTTATATTTATATTTATATTTATATTTATATTTATATTTATATTTATATTTATATTTATATTTATATTTATATTTATATTTATATTTATATTTATATTTATATTTATATTTATATTTATATTTATATTTATATTTATATATTTATTATAATTTTAAATAAAATTAATTTAAATATTTCTTAAATAAAATAATATATTTTATTATATATAATATATTTAAAAAATATAATATATTAAAATAAATATAATATATTAAAATAAATAAAATTAATTTATTATTAAATAATTTTAATTTAATTATAATATTTAAAATTTATTAATAATAATTTTAAAATAATTTTAATTAAACTTTAAATTTTAATTAATAATAATTATATTTAAATATTATTATAATTATATTTAAAAATAAAAATTAATATTATATTAAAATATTATAAAAATAAAAAATAAAAAATTAAAAGATTTATATTTATATATATTATTATATATTTCTTTTAAATATAAAATTAAAATTTATATATATAATTTTTAATTAATTTTTAATTAATTATTTTATTATATTATAATTTAATTTAATTTAATTTTATTTAAATTTTTTAAAATTTATTTAATATATCTTTATAATAAAATTAAAAATTTAAATATTTTAAATTTAAATTTAAACTTTTATAAATTTTAATTTACTTTAAATTAAATTTATAATTCTTTAATTTTTAAAAATATTTTAATTATTTTAAATAATAATAAATTTATTTTAAAATAAAAATATTTTTATATAATTATAAATTTAATTATTAATAATTTATTTTTATAATAAAGTTATTAAAATTATAAATTTAAATAATAAAATATAATTATTTTATTTAATTATTTTTAATTTATATAATAAATTAAATAATTATTTTATATAATTTTATTTAATAAATATTTATTTAAATAAAATTAAAACTTTAATTAAAAATAATAATTTTATTTTTATTTATTTTTATTAATTTATATTTATTTAAATTATATAATAACTTTATTTATAATATTTAATAATATTAAAATTAAATAATTTATAATTTATAATAATTTTAATTTTTAATAAATATAATTTAATATATTAATATAAAAATATCTTTTAATAATAAATAATATTATAAATAATTATAAAGTTATTATAAAAGTTTTATATAATAAATTTAATTAAGTTAATTTTTAAAAGATATATTTTATTTTATTTTTTTAAAATTTTAATTATTTATTTTTAATTTAATAATAAAATTAAAAAAATATAAATAGTTTATATTATTATATTTAAATATTTAAAGTTTATATTAATTTTTATATAAACTAATTAATAATTATAACTCTTTATATAGTATATAAGGTGTAGATCTCTACTAGTATAACTTTAAAATCCTTGTATATTATATGGATACTCCGTACCGCGGCCTAGAACCTTCTCCACACTCTCTCTGCCACTCTCCCGCTCATCTGTGTGTGACGCAAGGTTGTGTGCATCAGGTCGCATCGTCAGAATCCCGACGACTCGGGACTCCCAGCAACCTGGTAGCCGTCCGCGAGACCGCTTTCTTCTTCACCTTGTACGTTGCAGGCAGACGTTTTGTTATGCGATCGATCTGAATGAACTACACTATACTAGACAACGCCTCTTATTCCAGGTCCCTTGCTGAATTGTGAAAGCTCATTGGCAGGGCAAGAGCAAGTTGTTTGGCTCGGGGCAAGCAACAGCTTCTGGTGAGTTCGGCTAACGACATTGTAGGCGACACAAGGGTCATCGGTTTAGAGGTTAAGCAAGGGGACAACGGGCTCGCTGATGGCAGACTGTACTGAGTTCCCGGTATAGTGCCTGTTATGCGATGCCTTGACCGCTCTGGTTCCATTCGCATGTTTGGTTGCCCCCTTTGAGGATCTCCACTACTTGCTATCTAACACAGTTCCCAAAAGGCCCCAGTTCGGCACGCCGCAGGATACAGCAGGAGACAGTCCTGCACCGTTGAATGTTTATTATGAATACCCTGCACCTGCAAATGCTTGAAATTCACCCAAATTTCCGCAAAGCTGGGGACCCCGCAATCCCTCATGTCCGGCACGCGCAGGACAGGGGCCAGGGGCCACAAAGCTTGAAAGCCATCTCTCCCAGACAGACCCGCGCCAATAAGATGGGGCGGCAGCGAATCCATCCCGAGGATTAGTCCGTGTGGCGGCCTTTGTTAGCTTGCTTGTCGGTCAACCTTGCAGGGCTCGAATGCCGTTGGGGTGACCTTAGTGACGGTCCAGCCACATGACGTTCATCTCTGATCCTTCCGCCGAGTTGACTGACTTCACCAGAGCTCAGATGGAGAGTCAGTTGGGGTCGGGTCGCACAAGGCTGATCCATCTCGGTTGGACAGGACGAACCATGTGGTAATTGGATGATAGAACTCCGACCCCAAGGCTGCTGAGTGGTTTGTACGGCTGGCAATATGTTGCTGGACATGCAATTAGACTTGGGCCTGTGCTAATTAGAACCATCCCTTCATCGTCCCAATTAGCAGCTCTATGGTGCCTTGTAAGGTGTCCAGGGCCAGGTTGTTTGCGGAGGAAACAAAAGAACACCACATGTTCCTGGCCGCGTTGGTCGACAGCCCATGCAGTTGGGGTGGCCATCCCAGCACCCCCGCAGATGATGGTTGGTTGACCCCGGACAGCTTTTTAGTCGTGATTACCCGCAGCGTTACCCCAAGAGGACGAGATGTGGAGTAGGGCCGTAACCAGTGTGTGCCGACTCTCTCGCTATAGCACTGCCCAAGTAGTGGGAGTACTTACAACCTACGCAGAGGAACCTGTTCATCCCCAACCTGCAGGCCAGGCTCGTGTCCCTGTCCGTGGTAGCATTGGAGATGCCCCCGGGCCATGACATACAAGTGCGAGCACCCACGACCATGCATGTTCAAGTCAGGTAGTATAAAGCAGCTCATTTTCCCTCTGGCCCCCGTAGTAGTAGCCCGTTGGTCCCTCCCCAAGGCTCTCGACCCGACTCGCCTTGCCAATCCCCCCCTTCTCCGAGTCGCTTCTAGCCCAACGAGACTACTTCTTTCCGGAGAACAAGCTCTCGGTCAAGATGCATTCCACCCCTCTGCTGTGGGCGTCAGCCTTGCTGCTCCCCCTCGTCTCTGCCCAGAACAGCACCTCTGGCCCGGATGAGAATGGCAAGTACTGGATTTATGGCACGGGCATCTCGGCTTCCTTCATCCCGTATGGCGCCTCCATCTCGAACTTGATCATCAAGGACAAGTATGGCATCGACCGTGACATTGTCACTGGCTTCGATAATGCCTCTTATTACGAGATTGACAGGCAGCACCCGCACTTTGGCGGCGTGCCCGGACGTTATGCCAACCGCATCAAGAACAGCACGTTCGAGATTGACGGCGAGACCTTCAACATCACGCCAAATGAGAACCCCACGCCAGAGGCGCCCGACGGAGCAGACACGCTCCACGGCGGCCTGGACGGCTGGGACTGGCGCAACTTCACGGTCGAGTCTGTCTCCGAGGACAGCATCACCTTCAGCATCTTCGACCCGGACGGGAAGGAGGGCTTCCCCGGCGACGTCGTGTCGTACATCACGTACACGCTGGGCGACATGACCTGGGACTTCAAGATGGTGGCCCTGTCGCTGACCAAGAAGACGCCCATCATGCTGAGCTCGCACACGTACTGGAACCTGGACGGCTTCGCCAACAACGAGACCAACACCGCGCTCAACCACACGCTCTACATGCCCTTCAGCGGCCAGCGCGTCGACGTGGACAACATCCTGATCCCCACGGGCGACATCCTGGCCAACAAGGCGGGCTCCGTCAACGACTTCTGGAGCGAGCCCAAGCAGCTCGGCGCCAACCTCACCAGCCCGGAGCTGGTCAACAACTGCGGCTTCAACTGCACGGGCTACGACACGTGCTACCTGGTCAACCGCGCGCAGAACGGGCCCTACGACTGGCGCGAGGACGGCGGCTTCGTCGCCTCGCTGTCGTCCCCCTGGTCCGGCATCACCGTCGATGTCTACACCGACCAGGACGCCTTCCAGGTCTACAGCTGCAACGGCCAGAACGGGTCCATGGCCCTCAAGTCCACCCAGGGCATCCTCGACGACCCGGACTTCCCCCGCACCATCCCCAAGTACGGCTGCGTCGTCATGGAGGTCGAGGACTACATCGACGCCATCAACCAGCCCGAGTGGCAGAGGGAGAAGAAGCAGATCTACGGGCCCGGCGACGACCCGTACGTCCTCCAGGCGAGCTACAGGTTCAGTGTCAACTAGTGTGGCTGAGCTGCGGCGCTCGCTGTGGGAGGGTGTTGGTGGTCTTTTGGGGGGTTCAAGGGTACTTAAGCTTAATTAATATTCTGAGGCAGACGTCTATATTAAACTAATCTTGATATGTCCTCCCAATAACATTGTTCCCCAGTGGCAACCAGCCTTTATTGGATGAGTTTTCGTGTCCAGTACGGTGGATTGTCTCACCGAGCTGACTGAGTGAGGGTTGAATGCCATGCTGGAGGCGTTCCAATAGGCCCTACACGGCGTTCTCTAATGAGAAGTTGTTCTAGTGAGAGGTTGTCCCAGAGGAGGTTGTCCCAGAGGAGGTTGTCCCACAGGAGGTTGTCTTACGGGGTTGTGGAAGAAAGATGCCGTGGCCGCGTAGTGCTCGCGGACAACAGGGCAGAGCTCATGAGGGTTTGAGGAATGCGGAAACAAGAGAATGCGATGCGATGCATCTGCGGTGTGCTTATAATCAAATGATCATTTCGGATCCTGATTATTACTTTTGAGCTCTTCTGGCTCAATTGGTATTCAAAGCTGCTGTTGTGAAGCCGATGGTTGATCCCGCAGGCGTCACTAACAAGCAACTCATTGATGCAAACGCGCCAGACCGTCGAACCCTCACATTTTCAAGCGCTTCTTCACCTTCAAAACTTGTCCGTCACCCATATGCCACCCATATTGGCCCGCAACCAATGCAGATGTCAATAATCCTAATCTCCCTCATTTCAAGCCCCTAAAACGATCGTCCGCGCCCACAAAATCCACGCGCGACGCGGTCGTTGGTTACATCATGGCCTCAACCTCAGTCACGCTGCACCCCAGCACACCAGCCCCAGCCGGCGCGGGCAAAGACAACCCGCTCCCACAACTCCTCCAGACACCATCAGGCCTCGCACTGCTGGAGCTCCAGGGCACCATCAACCTGCCCGGGGCCGAGGGCGCCGCCGACGGGCCTGGCGAGCAGCAGCAGCAGGCCCCACTGCCGATCGGCCGCATCGACTTCCCGGACTACAGGCCCGACTCCATCACGTTCGACCCGGCCGGCACGGCGTGGATGAAGCGCGTGTACATGTACGTCGGCCAGCACCAGCGGCTCACGGGCGAGGTGAAGAAGCTGCCGCGCGCGGTGGGGGTCGTGAGGAGGCGGCAGCAGCAGCAGCAGCCGGGGGCCGGCGGCGGAGGCGGAGGCGGAGTCGGTGAGGAATTGGAGGTTGTCGAGATTGTCAAGTACAAGATTGTCTTCTCGTCGAGGCCGGAGCCTGTTGGGACGGCGTGAGAGGGGTGTCTGAGGGCCGGCCTCTCTCTGCACACCCGGCCAGGGCTGGGGGGGGGGCGGGTCCGTGGCTTTGCGAGATGCTCGGGTCTCTTGTTGTGATGGTGGAGACTTGGGTCACATCCCATTGGAGACGTTCTGAAGCGTTTAGAGGGAAACACGTGATTGTCATGAAGAAGAGAGGGGAGGCTCTGCGTGTGTCTATTGCCATGGAAGATGTCTATGGCGATCGTGACGGGCCTATATTACAGAAACAACCCCATGGCTTTTGTGGGCTTTGAGAGGTAAAAATATGAGGGCTGGTGACGCTCTATGCCATATATCCAGAACCCAGAGACTACTATGTTCACCTCTATTTGCATGATATTGTTGGCATGGCCACTGACTGGGCGTGGCGACATTCTATCTCAGACCTTCACGTAAGTTGTATATCGAACCAGAAGCAGAGCGACTTGGTGCTGTTCACACTAGAATGATGTATCTCAACGAGCTCATTTATTCACAATAATCTGGTTTCATTTGCTGTCACATATCTAAGTGGCCTCCACCAACTTTGCAGGCTTTGTTCTACCCAGGCCGTCCTTGCCATAGTAATCCATAGGGTACACACCAGTCTTACTCCAGTCCTCCTTCTCACCGAGTGCAATCAGGGCTTCATACGGCGTCAACAATGGCCTGGGGAACGCATAGCCCCAGTCGATGCTCAGCCTCGGGCAGGCAACCTGCACCCAGCACTCGACATCGCTCATCATGGCGAGCTTGCCCGGGAAGATCTCGCTGAGCAAGAGGTTGATCCACGGTATCCCCAACGCCGTCAGCTTCTTCTCTATGAGCGACATCGTGTTCGGGTTCCCCTGCCGGCCTAGGGACCCCAGAATGAGCCCCCATTTCTTGGCCGACTTGGCCGTGTCGATGGCCTGCCGGCGCAGGTCCTTCATCTCGTCGTGGCCGTACGTCTCGTGAGTCAGCTTGCGCGAGTACGGGTCGTACCTGTAGGCCGGTATGTTGGGGTTATGGATCATGATACTCTCCAGGTGGAAGCGGCCGTCGCCGAGGTAGAGGATGAAGTCCACGGGGCCGTCTTCGGCGTACTTGGTCAGGTCAGGACTTGTGCATCCCAATATCTCCCCCTTTGACAAGGGCGCGATCTGTGGGACTATGACCTTGAACCCGGCCTTTGTCAGGGCTGCCTTGACGCCGTGGATTGTGGCGTTGAACTGGATGGTGCCGACCATGGCGATGGTCTTGCCAGGCGTGAAGTTCCTCTCGAGGGTCGCCAGCAGGTGCGCCGTGTCGATGCTGATGTCAACGAAAACGTACAGCGTCTTGATCTTGGTCACATCCACGGGTATCAGGCATGAGTGGGCGTAGTGGATGAGGACATCACAGCCCATGGCGCGTGCTGTGTAGTCGTCGATGCAGCAGGCGCCGTAGGTGACATCGCCCATGATGAGCGTCTCTATGCCGGGGCAGAACTGCTGCAGGATATCTGAGATAGTCGTGGCGAACAGGAGCAAACCCTCGGGCATCTGCAGGGCGACCTTCTTCGCACCCAGACTCCGTATGCGGTGGATGGTCTTGGGAATCTCAAAGGAGTAGTTCGCCGGCAGAAGAGAAATGGCTGCCTTCAGCTCGGGATCGTTGAGGATCTCTGGGGGCACCTGGTTCAGGAGGCGAGGTGCCCTCTTGGGTTGGGCAACTAGAGAGGGTGTCATTATAAGAGTAGAGGTATATATACATGATGACGGGCCACTGTACCCTGAACGGCGCCGGCATCTTCGATAGATCCAGAGCCGTCTCCATTCTTGGATGCTGATGCTTCTGCCGCCGTTCTCCTGCCAACGAATCTCTTCTTTGGCTGTCTGGCGACGGGCTCTGGGGCTTGTGCTGCCTCGATATCGGCGGCTATGCCAAGATCTGTCTCAGCCCTGTCGTCCTCCATACTTGGGCGGCAACCACAGTGCCTCGGTGAGGGGCCAGTGAGTTTTGTGAGCGTCGTGGGGTGCCTTGAGAATGCAGCCGGGTTGAGTGCACGTCTAATACGGTGGTACACTGTGCGGGTTGGGTCAAATGGAGGGTGCAGTCTGATCACCCTATAATTCCTATTGTTTCCCTCGCATGCATCTCATCAGTCATCTGAAATCCCAGAAATCTCAAGCTTGAGCCGTTGCCACAGCCCACCCCACCCACTTTTCAAGGTGACCGTTTTGGGGGTCCAAGGTGAAGGTCTCGGTCTGGAGTTGGGCCCCACCCCACCCAGGTCCTAGTAGCCAATCAGAGGCAAGTGAAATGCACGGACCAACTCAATTTTAGCGCCCACAACTGAGAATTTCCATTTTGCTGTGGCAGCAACGACCTCTCTCTTTTGAAACTTCTATTCTGCTATCTCGACCAGTCCGCCCATCGACAACCCGACTTCATTCTTTCAGTCTACGACATCTCGACTGAGAGCCAGACAAGATGAAGTTGAACATGTACGTTCCGAACAATTCGCCTGCCGTCGTTTTTGGTTTCAAATGCTTTTGTCGGTGTTGATCTTTCCACTCGACTACAAACGCATCTGTGGAGCCTGCTCACGGGACGATGACAATTATGTCTTGCGACAGTTGCTGACATCTGAATTAACAGCTCCTACCCGGCTAACGGCAGCCAAAAGCTGATCGACATCGAAGATGAGCGCAAGCTCCGTGTCTTCATGGAGAAGCGTGTACGTTCCATCCCTAGCCGGCCCAGCACGAGCTGTCGAGATCACCGCGACCACCGTACATCTCAAGCACGAGCGGCCGGGCGATCTCGAGTCAATGGAGAAAAATCCTTGGATACTGACTTTCGACATGATTAGATGGGCGCTGAGGTCCCTGCCGACTCCCTCGGAGACGAGTGGAAGGGCTACATCTTCCGCATCACCGGCGGTAACGACAAGCAGGGTTTCCCTATGAAGCAGGGTGTCATGCAGCCTACCCGTGTCCGCCTCCTGCTCTCCGACGGCCACTCCTGCTACCGACCCCGCCGCACCGGCGAGCGCAAGCGCAAGTCCGTCCGTGGTTGCATCGTCGGCATGGACCTGTCCGTCCTTGCTCTAGCCATCGTCAAGCAGGGCGAGCAGGACATCCCCGGCCTGACCGACGTCGTCCACCCCAAGCGTCTCGGCCCCAAGCGTGCCACCAAGATCCGAAAGTTCTTCGGCCTCACCAAGGAAGACGATGTATGTTGTATCCGACCCATATCATACAACTCCGTCTTCGCCTACCCGATGGCTGCGGTGGTGGAAATCAGGCAGCTCGGGTAGAGAGTGAGAGGAGTGAGATCCTCAATAAGGAATCTCAGGGCTAATAATTACATTTTCCACGGGGATATAGGTCCGCAAGTACGTTATCCGTCGCGAGGTCCAGCCTAAGAAGGAGGGCGCCAAGCCCTACACCAAGGCCCCCAAGATCCAGCGCCTGGTCACCCCCCAGCGTCTCCAGCACAAGCGCCACAGGATCGCGCTCAAGCGCCGCCAGGCCGAGAAGGTCAAGGACGAGGCCGTACGTTTCCCCGGGACACCCCACGACTTGTTCGCCCCTCCTTTACTAACCCCCCTTTGCAGGCCGAGTACTCCCAGATCCTCGCCAAGCGTGTCGCCGAGGCCAAGGCCCACAAGATCGAGAACCGCAAGCGCCGTGCCTCTTCGCACAAGGCTTAAAAAGTTTGGCGTCACTCGAGGATGGCTTCTTTTATACGGATGGGTTACGGATCGGGCATCTGAGGGTTTCCATTTGGCCAAGAACGGGATTGTATTCATGGCATACTAAAAATGGACGAGACTTCAGAAACCTGCTCAATGATTGATTTGATACCTTGGTATTTTAACGGCGTCGGCGCACGTGATGAAAATGAAAACCATGGTCTGATGATCGTGCTGCGATCGAGCTGTGTCGACCTCCCAGGAGGTGTTGTTCATCAGGATACGAATGTGTTGGCTGTTCCCGTTCTCTCGGGATAGCCTGTCTAGCCCAAGGTGTCTCCAATGTCAATATCCCCCCGCCGTTAAATGCATGACCTCGTTCCAAGCTTGACTGTCGGTCACATTACCCCCTAGTCATTATGCCTCCCAAGGCGGTGCCAATATCAGATATGATATCCGCTAGACATGGATGTGCTTGAATGTCTTCAAAGCTGTGCAGAGAGCGTCAACTCGTGGTGGCACGGGCCGAATGGTTTAGTTCTGGTGACCCCGAGAATCCATCCCACCACTGCCAGTCTTCTCGCTTTGTTCTACAATTTTTTCGATCCTCCCCATGCGACATAGCCATGAAACCGGAGATCATTGCGGGAAAATCATCGTCGAACACATAACCCCGACGATAGTCCTCTTGTCACAGCAAGGAGAGGCTGTTCAAGCGCAGGACAGCCGTGTACTTGAACGAGGCTCATTCCTCGCGAGTGCCTTTATCTACCCCGTGCCGGATAGAAGTTGCATCTTGTCACCAGGACATCCCGATTCCTGGGCCATGGTACATACTTGGACCGTCTTATGTCCAAAAGGGTGTTGTAAGTGTGTCTTGTGTAGTAAAGGTCACAGTCTCTGCGTTTTTGTCCTATCTCTCGTATCTTGGAAATCACACAGAACAGAGATCACTTAATCCAGTGTGATCTATAGCGATCGCCTTCGACCTCATATAATTATCCGCGGCTCTGCTAATGTCTACTTACTGACATGGACTCCTTGTCCGTGGTGAATCTGTATTCCATTTACCCTTTCCACCCGGGCAACGCCACTTCTTCGAACAGCCAGATACTCCAATAGTTTTGCTGTACGGAGTTTGTACACTACTGTTTTGGCCTCCTGCTCATCCTTCGAGACCACGTCTTGGGAAGCTCCTTCAGGCCATCAGCAGCACGCTGGACGGTCCTACTCTTCCTTGCTGCAGAGCCCCCCCCCTTTGTGCACCAGTAGCTAGCTGTACACTTTTCCCGGACTATGGGACTCTATTTTTGAATATCATTCCGACCTGTGTCTGCTCTAGACCGAGGAACAAGCGGTTCCTCCTGAAATGCAAACCTCGGTTCATGAAGTACCACCCAGACCCAACCCAATTTTCCAGTCTCTTTTCCTCTAGGCGCCGAATTCTCTACTCAAAAGACATGCGTGAACAAGTAACTGACACTCTCACCGTTGTGCGTCCTGCGGATGGACTCGGCCAGGGTGCCGCTGACGTCGATGACCTTGAGCTTGGGACACCTGTCGAGCTTGTCGCCGAGGGGCACGGTGTTGGTGACGACGACCTGGGACAGGACGCTCTTGTTGATGTTGTCGATGGCGGGCCCGCTGAGGATGCCGTGGGTGACGATGGCGACGACCTCGCGGGCCTGGTGCTCCTTGACGACGGCGGCGGCCTTGGCGAGGGTGCCGCAGGTGTCGGCCATGTCGTCGACCAGGATGCAGATCTTGTCCACCACGTTGCCCACCAGCACCATGCGGCCGACCTCGTTGGGCCGGGGCCGCTCCTTGTGGATGAGGGCGAAGGGCAGGTCCAGCCGGTCGGCCATCGAGGTCGCGCGCTTGGCGCCGCCGGCGTCGGGGGAGACGATCACGCAGTCCTTGATCGAGAGGTTCTCCTGGACCCAGCGCAGGACCGAGGGCTCGGCGTACAGGTTGTCGACGGGGACGTTGAAGAAGCCTTGGATTTGCCTGTGGGACGTTGCGGACGCGCGGTTAGTTAGCCTTGGCTGGTGTGGTCTGTAGAGTGTTTGTCCTGCCGGGCTTGGAAGGGCGCAAGGGGTGACGGGAGGTCGCAGCGGGTACGTACGATGCGTGCAGATCCATTGTGATCACATGGTTGCAGCCAGCGGTTGTGAGCATGTTGGCTATCAGCCTGGCGCTCTGTGATGTATTCTTGTTAGAACGTCGTGTTTTGTAGACGCCAGTCCCGGCAGCAGAGGGCGACGTACAATGGGCGCTCGGCTCTTATCCTTCTTGTCCTGTCGCGCGTATGGGAAATTTGGAATCACGGCGGTGATGCGCCTCGCGGATGCGGTCCGGCCTTTGTGCGCAAAGAGTCAGCCCTTTGTGTGTCTCGGAACTTGTCGGTCGGCGGCACGTACAGGCGTGGATCATGATCAACAGCTCCATGAGCCCGTCGTTGATGTCGCCGGGTGCTGTGGATTGGATGATGAAGACATCCTCGTCTCGTACGGACTCTCCGACTGTGACACTCGTCTCTTGATTCGAGTAGTTCAGACTCATGGTCTTCGCGATCTCTATTCCCAGCCTGTCTCCCCCCAAGCCACAGTTAGACGCGACATGGCCCCGGCGGCAAGGATTCGGCCATATTCAGGGCGTTGTGAGGGCCTCGGGGGAGCAAGAGACTGAGGGGGAGACTGACCGGTCGGCCACAAGCCGCGCCAGGATGGGGTGGGAATTCCCACTGAGCAGCTTGATCTCGTTGGACATGGTTGACATGGTGGAGGAAAAGGTCGGGAGACGCCCCCTTTCTTCACCGGAGTATCTATGTACCTTGCTTGCTGAGGTCGTACGACTGCGACTGGTCTCGGGCCTCTGGCTTGGGCCGTGGGCTGGGCTGGTATGCAGTGCAGTGCAGTGCTGCTGGCGGTGGGCTGTAGGTGCCGCAGCTGAATATTTTAGCGCGGGGTGGACTCCAATCGCTGCGTATCGGGGGCAGGCCGTGGCTTGATTTTTTGGAGGGGCAGAGGGATTTCCCCACGAGGCGGACTGGTTGGTCGTGAGTTTGTGAGACTGACAGACAAGAGGTTTTGCTAGGAGAACTTTTCGAGTTATAACATGTAGGGTGACGAGCGGAAGTTGAGCCAGGCAAGAATAATTAGGAAGGACTGTCCTGTCTGTGCACTGCGCGGAAAGGCTAGCTGATTCAAAGGATACCTGCCCGCCTCTGCCTGCCTCGCAACCTGTCTGTAAGTATTTTTTCTCAATGGGAGGGCGGGTCAGCGGCGGTCAGAGAGTGCGCCTAGGTCCGTCCTGTCGCTAGCCTGTCCCATGTGCTCTTCAAAAACTTTCCCGGCACAAAGCGGAATTCTCTACTGTGTAACACATGTTTCGGCACCTCAACGGCCCCACGTCCCCAGGCTGGGAGACTGGGGGCATCCTGCTAATGAACAGTGAGTGCGGAGTACAGCTGTTCCCTTTGAGGCTCCGTATCCTCGGGCCCGATGCCCAAGACAGCCAGCCAGCCCTGCCCTCGTCATGTCAACCAGCAATGACGAGCCGCCTCTGGACCTTGTCCCGCCACCGCCAGTATAGACATGGCCGCAAGAATCATCACTAGCAAGTATGGTAGAAATGCCTAATGCGCAATTGAAAGATTCGGTTGACGGAAACATGACTTGAGTCTACTATTTCGAGTGCGATATACCCCCTGAGATTTACGCTAACTCAATCACCTCACACACAATTCAAGTTGGTAATCTTCATGGCAAGGAATCCCGCCTATTAAGGAGCACCGATCATCTCCCTCGGCATACTGGTGCCTACACAATCCCATTGCCTTTCGGCACTGGTGCAACGGTGGACCAAATCAGCAACATGAGATAGAGCCAGGCTTTCGATGTGTGAACCTGGGCTGCGTGTTTTTGACAGCATAAAAGGTCACCCTCTTGACCCTCAATCATTAACAAGACCATGTCTGGCTTCCCAGAATGATCGGCACTGGGGATCTGCTGTCTTGCTGATCAATCACCCCGAAATCCGATTTCCATATGGGAAAATAAGTCTGTCTTTGCATACTTAATCCTGGACACTAGCACACCTTTAAAAACTAGAAATCATGTCATTGTAGAGTCACTTGTCTTCTTCTCGTACATTGGAGTGTAAAATTCCTTTTCTCAAGGAAATTTCATAACTCGAGGTCTGCCAGGAATATCGTTCTATGAGAGGTGATCCACTTAGAAGCTGTCCCTTCGGAAGAGCTTCCGTAGAAGAGTGTTCTCTAAGAGGCCATCCCATATAGGCGAAGTGTAGGAACTGGGGAGATGAATACCTTGGCCGGCCGCGCAGCGGACATCTGGGCAGAGCTCGCACATATGTACCAGACAAGAATCTAGATGGCATGCTCCATAGTTGCAAAGAAAGCAATGATCCCAGGCATACCAAGAACCCTCGACCAAACAAAGTATTGCTTTTCGAGGAATTGGCTGTGGCTGATTGTAGCCGGGAGCATCGGCAACACGGCAACACGGCAACCAGGAACATGCATTTCTATAAAAACCACACGAGGGCCTGGAGTACACTATGGAGGCTGTATCTGATTTCCAGGTGACACTATAGCTGGTTTAAAAGGACAAGCTGATCGCACAAGGTTAGTTGCCCATGGGCTTGAGACGTGGTGCATCCTGTTGTTGAGGTTGCGTGAGGAAAGGGACCTGGGCGGCGAGGAGTCATTATCAATCAGCTCGTTCATCCGGTTTGTATGCCAGAGAGTGGGGTTGGATGACTGAGCTGGGCAGCCTGCTGGTAGGAGAGAGTAGCTTGCAGTCCGTCAGAGCTTGGTCATTTCGCACAGGCTTGATGGATGAGCGAGTATGTACGGACCATACCTGCCGAGAAGCTGCCAGGTACCCCTCCATGTTAGTCTGTATGGGTGGTACACAAACATAAGTGGTCCTGCCCTCCCGAGCTCATCTCATCCGGAAGAAGGTCCTGCCCCAAGGGTGACAGCCTACTCGGATTTGGATTTTTTTTTCTCGAAAGGAAACACCCATCGCTTTCTGCTCTTCAGGAAAGACCTCCAGACACGAACAGGCGCGCTTGTTGGAGCTTCCCCGCCACCTTGCCAACGCGAAGCCCTACATACTAGCCCCGTCTAGTGCTGTGGTGGATCGGCCTGTGGAGCCTGCCGGAACGTCAACGAACAGTGACTTTCGGCTGCTGCTTGCCTTCCAAAGAAGCTTGGGCCCATTACGCAAATGCTTGCCGGACTTTTGCAGGTTGCAACTCGATCTCTCAAAACCCATCCATCATCAACCTAAACCTACCATCCAACCCTCCGCCGCCCTCCTCCATCTCCCATCTCCTACAAAAACAGATACCCAGCTCATCCCCCCATCACCTCGCGGCTGAACCTGCAACTTCAGCTGCCTGCACGCGAGTAGGCGACTTGACTTGGAACGACGTCACGGCGACCTGCACCCGTCGCGGCTTCCGCCCAGGTCTTTTCTGACGACCGCATCGCGCCAACTCCTCAATCACACTGCCACTCTTCACCCCGCCCGACAACAACCACACGACCTCACCCAGCTGCCTGTCGAGTCGTTCAACGCAGGACACTCCTGCGATCAGCCAAGCTGTCTTCCAGGGCAGTCGGTCTCAGGTAGTGGAGGGGGAGTTCTCATTTCTGCGGCTCTGCCGCTCCCGCCGTCAAGATGGGAAAGATTACCAAGACAATGCAGCCCAAGCATAGGGAGACTCTGGTATGTCACACATTACACAAATACTCGCACTCGCACTCGCACCACACCTTCCCCCCGCTCTTCCCTTGCACGTGCATTTCCAAGCCAGTACAATGCTAACCCTCGACATAGTCGCCCTGGCTCAAGGACTTTGTGCAAGCCGCCTCGACCGCGTCTTTGCCAGAACTCCCAAAACTCCTCGACACGTTCCCTGTAGCGAGATGGCCCTTGCCCCGCGGTGACCTCTACCACTGGATTCCCCTGCTGAATCGATTCGACAACATACTCGAGTGCTTCAACAAGGTCTACCAGCTAAACGAAGGCCCACAGACGCGTGATTTCGGCTGTGAGGTCTTGCTTGGTCGTGGCATACGTGTCGAAGAATACGGATCGAAGGAATGGGACGAGGAGAAATTGAAAGCAGTGGGCTACGAAGAATTTGGCGATTCTCAGCTCGTACAGGCCGTCCTGCAGTTTACCAGGCGGTTGCTGAATCACTGTGGCAATCGGAGCATCTATGCCAGCAGCTCTCACCTCAATGACCTCTTGAACAGCACTTGTCTGTCAGTCATACAGGCCACATTGGAGGTTGGGTTGGAGCTTGCACAGCGTTACCAGGCATCGATCAAGCGTATGACGCAACCGTCCCGCCAGGTCAGCAATGCTCTGCTTGCCAACCACTACAATATTGAGCTTGACCGTGTTCAACAAATCGCCCAGTCCTTTGTGAAGACTCCGATCATCACCCTGGCAGATTCTTCTGCGCACTCTACCCCTGCGTCGGCGGGCAAGGGCAAGGATAAGGATAAGGCCCAACCCACAGCCTCCAAGAACGCAGCTTCCATGATTGCAAATGATCTAGGCTCTGTGGTTTCTGCGGACGACGGCTCAGACGGTCGTTGGAGGGGCTGGGGTGACCTGAAGGTGGTCTACTACCCGAGGGTTGATGGCGAGCCAGCGCCACAAGTTTCGAGCGACCGAGTCAACGCATCTGCCCCAAATACGCCCACTCCATTGCGACGCAGTACTACCATAGGGACACCACACCAGACACCTCGCGCCGCCAGGGCTACCCAAAGCTCTGACGACACTCCTTCACCGGCCCAGCAGTCTCCAGCCGTGAACGCGGATGGAATGCCAAGTTCCAGTCAAAAGTCTGTAGAGATTCCGCAGGGTACTGTCGCCTCTTCGACCATCTATGACCTCTTGAAGCGGACTCCTTCGGACATGCCCAAGAACTCTCAGTATGAGTTTCTCAACCGTTCGAGAATATGCAAGGCTTTGCTCAGTGGTCCCGAAGCACGTCAGCAAGCCCTGGCCGTCCGGCTTCTCGCAATCGCAAACTTGGCCTATATCCACCCGGAGTTTGTCTTTGTGGAGCAAGTTCTGAAGCAGGACAACGACGAACCACGTCGGTACCACCTAGTCTATCAGTTGGTGGAGCTCATCCACCCTTCTACACCTGGTCAGACAGCTGCCCCGCGTTCTTTGCAGAAGATCGCGCTCTCCTTGCTGGAGGCTATTTCCCACTTCAACGCGAAATATCAGGACGTTATCTCGGCCCTGAATGCAACCGTGAACCATGGCGTACTTTTGTACGTCATCCGAAAGGCAGTTGCCGAGATGAAGGAGGAAACTGAGCAAACCGAAGGCGATTCGGTTGAGTTGGATGACTGGCGGGACAACCTCTTTTCTCTTGCCCTGCACCTTGCCATGACGGGGCGTGTCGGCGCCGAGATGATCAACGCAGGTTTTATGGATGTCCTTGTAAGCATCATCAACATGCGGACGAAGGTAGCGGAGCGCTTGCACAGCACAGCTGTTTCTTATGTGGATGCGCTGGTCCTGAACTACGCGCCAGCTGCGTTCAACTCTTTTATCAGCGCGAACGGTCTGGATGCCATTGCCGAGCTGATGATCGATGCAACATCCTCAGCCAAGAGTCTCGCGGAGGCCGGCCAGGGCACAAAGCCTGAACTCTACTCCAGTGTTGTGGATTACGAGATACCCTATGTCCAACAGCAGACCCTGAAGTGGCTGTTGAAATTTATCCACCACATCATGAATCCCAGCAACTTTGCTCAGAATAACAACACGGACCGACTGTTGCGGAACCTCGTTGACAACTCGAAGCTTCTCGGAAGTTTACGAACCATCATGGAGAACACCAAGACCTTCGGCTCTGTGGTCTGGACAAACTCTATCAACCTGCTGACCGACTTCATTAACAACGATCCCACCAGCTTCGCCGCCATCTCCGAAACCGGTATGGTCAAGAGTCTTCTGGAATCGCTCACCGGCCGTGAGGTCTCGACGGATCCAGCAGCCGAACGCAAAGATGACGAGCAAGCGGGTGACGAGAACGGCACACCCGCCGAGGAGTCTGTTGTCTTGCCGTCAGATGACCGCCCACACCCTCCAGCCCCGGAAACACTCCGAGCTCAGCGACCCTCTCCGCTGGCTGGCGGGATTCTGCCATCTTCGGAAGCTACTGCTGTCATTATCCCCGTCATAAACTCGATCTGTCTCAACAATGTTGGACTGAGGCTGGTAGCGTCCTCACGTGTACTTGAAAGCTTCCTAGAGGTTTTCGAGAGCCCAGAACACGTGCGAATCATGGGAATTGATTCCGATCTTGCCTACAACATAGGGCTTCAATTTGACGAGCTCGCTCGACACCACCCTGCCTTGAGACAGACTGTTGCGAATGCTGTCATAGACATGATTTCGAGGATCAAACACCTCGGCACTGTGAAGGCGGAGACCGCTGGGTGGGGAGCCAAGCTGTTCGCGACTGACCTTGAAGGGAAGGTGGTCTCTGCTGACCGTGGCTTGTTGCAAAAAGCTGGGGTCGAGTTGGCCTCAACGAAGGGCAAAGAGGTGGCAACGTCCGCCGAGGATATCGAGATGACAGACATCGTCGGGTCCGCCCAGGACTCCTCGTCTCAACAGGCAGACCTTGCTCCTGGCGCCAAGACACCCGAGGGCATCACACCCTACATCAACGCCCTTGCGTCCTTCCTGAACGCCTACATCAGCAATTCAAGTCTGAGGACGTCGCTGACCAAGAGCGGCGGCATCGAGTATTTGCTGGACATCATGGTCTTGCCCAGCCTGCCCCACCAATTTGCTGATTCCACTGCCTTGGGACTGTTGCAGCAAGTTCTGTCCAACGTTATCGAACACGCTCCAGTCGTTGGCATGCCCTCCTTACTGAACCGCATCCGTGCCACCATGTCATCCCTGGAGCCTCTGCTGTCCAGCTCGCCATCCCCTTCATTCTTCAGACCATTCGTGGAGCCTGGTGTTAACTTGAGACGGAGCGAAGAAGGAGCTTGGAATGTCGATCTCGTCCGCCAGGTCTCAAGCGGCACCGATGTTGCGAAAGCGCTTCTGAATATCCAATCTCTCCTCAAGACCCTCTGGAGCTGCTTCCCCTACCAAAGCCGGCACTCGTCTGTTTCCCTGCCCGCAGTCAACGTCTACGACCACTTCCAGGAGGTGGCCAAGGCGTTGGGACCCTTGTTACGTGTGGTCCTGTCGGAAGAAATATCCCTCATCAGCCTTGTACCGCAGCACTGGACTGCACGGAAACTAGCGAACGTGCGCCCTGGCAGCTCCAGTGAACTGCTGATGGGAGAGCAGGACATAGCACTGGCGCAAGTGCTTGGTGGTGCTGGGCTCGATCTTCCTGCGGAACAAGCAGACTCAAGTCGACAAAGCCGCCCTTCGACAGAAGAGCAGTCCACTGCCCAGTATCAGAATTACCAGATCCTGAGGGTCTTATTGCAATCTCTTATGCCGAGCGCCTATTCCTTCTTCCAAACTCTGGGTAAAGCGCTTATGACGCGTCGGGAGAGAGACGCCTACGCGAGAGCTAAACATATGCAATTGGCCGATGCTTTGGCCGAGACGGTTCTGGATCAACTTGAGCCGCTGATCGATAGAAGCCTCAGCAAGTCTGAACTTCAATATTGCATCATCATGCTGCACATCATTCATGAGATGCTTGTCGACTCTACTCGGCACAGTGACCGGCCTGGGTCCAGTCTGATAGTGCCCGTTCTGGATGCATTCAAGCAGCGCCGCGGCTTCGAGATACTCAACAAGCTTCTCAACGTCTTCACAGAAGAGCTTGTCAAGGAACGCGATGAGACAGAGGAGGCGCCCGCCAATGCTAAATTAGCATCCATCGGTACCAAGAAGATCCTCGATCTATACTCCGTGGTCGTGAACGGCAAGAACCTTGCGGAATCTATTCAACACCTTAATGTGGCCAATCGGACCAACAACAACCGGTCAAATGAGTGGTTCCAGAATCTCAACCAGTTTGTCGTCGAGGTCCGAATGTCGGTGTTCCCTACGGTCTCAAATCTGTGGCGCTCATCCCTGATTGACAAGGCTTCTACGGAGGTCGTTGGCAAGATCGTAGACATTCTCAAGACGGTCTGCCATGCAGAATCCGAGAGCTCTGCGCTACGCAGAAACGACCTGGCAAAGGCTGTGCCTCTATTCAAGCGGGAGCAGACAACTTTCCCTTGGAGTGTGTATGCAGCCCAGGCCGGACGCCTGGCCGAGGAATATTCCGAGGAACTGGCGCGTGAAGCAGTATATCGTGCCGTCGGAGTACAGGAGAACGCGAGCGAATACTGTCGAATGCACCAGAAAGGCCTCGCGGGAGAGCGCAACCCGATACCTTCCGAGGACGCTTTCCAGATCACCTCCACGGCAGCGAACGGCTCAGCGAGCCAGACCCCCGCCTCCTCGCGCAGCTCCGACCTACTCAGAGAAGCAATGAACGTTGACCAACCGCCCGAGCTTGCACAGCTTATCGGCGATGCATTAGTAGCACGCGACATCTCTTCTGATTCCAGAGAGAGCGAGGCTCCCGCGCAGCAAGACGAGGACGGGTCCTCGTCCACACCTGTGGCCGCTCTTCCGACCGCGGCTGCCACCTCTTCAGAGAACACCGAGCAAAACGCTGCCGACCGGCCGCTGTTTTGTAAGGAAGACCTTGATGCGGAGCGGGAGAAGCTGCGAAAGGATCTCATTGATCGTTGCTTGGATGTAATCAGAGCGCACCCGAACTCAGTTTTCGAGGTCGCCGAGCTGATCAATGTCACGCTTGACCGCCAGGATAATGAGGATGCGCGCGAAGAAGTTGGCGAAACCCTGGCCAATGCTCTGATATCGTACGCACTCGACGACGAGGAGAAGACTACGAATGGTCGAAGTATAGCTGCGTACGCCCACCTGCTATCTCTGATGCTTCATGGGTCGCCCCGCTTTTTCAAATCCATAGTCAAGACTCTCAAGGACAACGTCTCCGAGTATCTCGGCTTCTTGAAGGTACCGCCCGGTAATTCCAACGAGGAACTTCCTCCCTGGATCCCTCACATATTGCTGATATTTGAGATGCTGCTGGCGGATGATGCGCAACCCATGGAAGCGAAGTGGACCCCTCCCGCCACTGAGAACGACAAAATCGAGGACCCGGTTCTGCAAGCCAAGGATCCTATCATGCCAGAAGATGAGCGGACCACCTTACTGGAATCTGTCCTGGAGATTCTGCCTCGAATCGGCAAGAATGAGAATCTGGCAATTGCAGTTCTCCGCGTCCTGGTGATCTTGACCCGGAAGCGATCAGTGGCGAATATCGTGGGAGAGAGGAGGAATCTACAGCGTCTCTTCGTCATGACGAAGCAGCTTTCTGGGTTGGGGTCTGCTCGCCTGAAAGACTCCACGGTTTCCGGAAATGTGATGACGGTCTTGAGACACGTCGTGGAAGACGACGATACCGTCCGACAAATCATGCGAAGTGAGATTCGGGGATACGTGCTGCAGATGACCAGTAGGAACCCCCGAGCCATCGACATACCCACCTATACTCGAAGCCTTGCACATGTTGCTCTGCGGTCGCCAGATATCTTCATCGAGATGACGAACGAGATTGTGACGCTTGTGCGATTTTCGACTGCGAACGATCCTTCAGGGCCAGCTGGAAGAGGGGTTGCCCTCATGCTCAAGGTGCAGCCAAGTGACAAGCCTCCAGTCTCACTTCCCGTGAGCGAATCAGTTGAGCCAACTGTGCAGGCTACGGAGGAGCTCACCATTGATGATGTCAAGCCAACGACAGAACCAGCCGACAAGGAAATGACTGACGCTGCCAAATCTTCAGCAGCCGAGCCAAAACGACCTGTCGTCGAGAAGCCTGACGGAGTGATTCACTTTCTACTGTGCGAGCTGCTCAACTACCGAGAGGTTGCCGACAAGGAGCCGTCGGACACCGCAAAGGATACTCAGACGTCTGGTGACGACACTGGGGCGGCGAGCAGTGAGGCGACACCGGTAGACGAGCAAAATGCCGAGAACAGAGACAAGAAGCCACCCAAAGCTTCGTTCAAGGCTGAAGAACACCCCATCTTCGTCTACCGCTGTTTCCTGCTCCATTGCCTCGCAGAGCTACTGCAGAGTTACACGAGCAAGAAGATGGAGTTCATCAACTTCAAGCGAAATGCCCCCACGTTCGCCAACACGCCCGTGAAGCCTCGCTCAGGTGTGCTCAATTACCTGCTGAATGATCTCCTGTGCACGAGCAGTCTTAGCTCGCCACAGGACAGTGTTGCAGCGAAGAAGAAGGCTGCCACATCTGAGCAAGCTCGCCAGGTTCTCGTGGCGCTGGTTGCCAAGACCAACGAGAGGCCCGTGGACAAGAGTCGTGACCGGTTCGACTATGACGATGACTCCGATCTGCTATTTGTCCGCAAGTGGGTCCTGGACATGATCCTCCGCGCGTACAAGGACGCCTCACTGCCAAGCGAGCCTTTCGACGTGAGATACGCAAAGCTGCTGTCTCTAGCTGAGCTCATGATCAACATGATGGGTGACAAGGCTGATTCGGCAACCCCCCGTTTCTCTGACAACTCCGCGGCGAACCGCGCACACTGGCAACTCAAGCGGCTGATGTACGAGAAGGGTTTCCTGCCGGCACTGACCTCATCCATAGCCGACATTGATCTCACGTTCCCTGGTGTAAAGCGCACCATCAAGTACATCCTGCGTGTTCTGCAGATCATGACCAGCACTGGCATCGCCCTCAGCCACGCCAACCTGCTCCCGTCCGGTCCACAAGACACCGTCGAGGATGAGATCATGTCGGCATCATCGCTCTCCGACTTGGAAGACGATCGTGAGGAGACTCCCGATCTTTACCGCAACTCAGCCTTGGGCATGCTGGAGGCTGGCCGGGAAGACGACTTTGACGAGGATTCCGACGAGGACGGTAAGCGACCCTTTTTTCTTCTGTGGAATGTATACAGCAGCTAACGTGTTGATTCAGAAGACGAGGAGATGTACGATGACGAGTACCCAGACGAGCTCGACTACGGCGACGAGATGTCTCAAGATGGCGAGGAAGACGTCAGCGACGACGACGAAGAGATCGGCGAGATGGGCGAAATCGAAGGCCTTCCGGGAGATCCCGTTGGAGTCGAGGTCATCATGGACGATGGGGACGACGACGAGGAGGATGACGACGAGGATATGGACGAGGACGACGATCTTAGCGACGACGATGATGACGATGAGAACGATGGCGATATGGCCTCGGACATGGAGGACGACATGGAAGATCGCATAGAGATCGTCGACGAAGAAGGGAACCCAATCGAGGATGACGGCGGCTCAGGCTGGGAGAGCGAGACCGACGACGAGGATGAGGGTGATGAGGACGACGAGGGCCAGCCGTACGAGGATGGAGTACACGACCTCGATGACCTCGCCAACATTCCCAACCCACTCCACGAGCTGCAAGAGCTCATGCAGGATGACCACCCAGAAGCCCATCATCATCATCACCACCACCATAACATGCTGACTGAAGAAGGGTTCAACTTCGGTGGCGATCGTTACGATGACGAGGCCGAGGATGATGGTAAGTTATCCCTTGCCAAAATGAGAGGCCCGCCCTGGTTCATGCGCACATACTAACTATTTTGTAGATGATGAGGATGAGCAAGTTGATGTCGAGGACGATTACATCTATGACTACCCCAGTGAGTACCACGGAGCCATTGATTCTTATTATCAACCCAGCATACCAATGTCATTCGCAGGACCAGGAGATGAGATTGCTCCTCCCCCCATGCCCGCCGGCCTTGGTTGGGATGCCCTCGTTGTCGAACGTGGCCCTCAACGTCCCCGCCGCAGTCCCTTCCCAGTTGGCCCCTTCGTGATTGGGGGTGGGCCACGGGGCGGCGACCCACTTGGCGGTACGTCTTCTGGTCGATCAGAGGCTCATGTGATCGCGCTCGGCGCGCAGTCTTTTGAGCAGGAGATGACTGCTGTTCTGTCTCGTCTCATCATGAATCGACGTGCTGATCCTGCGACAGACTTCCGCAGTTACTTCCGCACCCGAGCGCCAGGGCCAACGGCCAACCAAGACGATGGGCTCAACCCACTCCTCCGACGGGGTGCCCCTAATGCCCGCGACGCTTCCCCTCGGTCTCTTATTGCTTCGACCTTGCAACGACCCTTTGCTGGTGGTCTGCACAGCTTCCTTGATAGTCCTATGACCATTCTCAGCGACCTCATGGCCAACCTACCTCCAGGTATCGCGGGACGGACTCCCCACTTGTCCTTCCAAATCCAAGGCCCGGGTGGCCGTGGCGAGATCCAAGAGTTCAGTATTCCTCTCCGAGCTGGCCAGCACAGTCGTGATGTGCGCACCGAGACTCGCCGGGAAGTATACCAGGAGCCACAACAGGCAGTTGGATTTACTCCGGCTACGACTGAGCAGCGGTGGGCCGATGAAGCTCGGTTGGTTTTTGGCCACACGAACCAGGAAAAGGCGGCGAGGCTCAACACCCTCATCTGGGCAAAGCTTATGCCATACACTGCCGAGCGCGAGAGAAAGGAGAAAGCTGAGCAAGCGGAGCGCCGACGCAAGGAGGAAGAAGAGCGCCAAAAGCGACACGAGGAAGAGCGAAAGGCACGTGAGGCCAAGGAGGCTGAAGAGAAGATAGCAAGGGAGAAGGCAGAAGCGGAAGAGCGCGAGCGCTTGGAGCGCGTGGCCGCCGAGGCCGCCGAGGCCGCCGCCCAGGCTGGTGCAGAAGACGATCAGCCTTCAGCCGAAGGCTCCGAGGACGCTGAGCCGCAGCCTATGGAAGGTGTTGAGACGGCCGATGACTCTCAACAACCCGAACGTCAAGAACCCGGACCCCCCCAGCCTCGGGTACTCACGACGATCAGGGGCGAAGAAGTTGACGTCACCGAGCTCGGAATCGATCCTGAGTACCTTGCCGCTATACCTGAGGACTTGAGAGAAGAGGTCATCGCACAGACCGTGACGTCTAGGCGCACGGAGGCCCGCGCAAATGCGGCAGACAGCTCCGCTGGGGAGCAGGGCGAGGCCTTCCAGGAGTTCCTGGATGCGCTCCCCGAAGACATACGTCACGAGATTGTGCAGGCAGAGCGACATGAGCGGAGACGGGCAGAGCGCGAGGCGCAACGCCGCCAGACCGCAAATGTCGGACATACTCCTGCAGCGCAGGATATGGATGCTGCAAGTATACTGGCCACCCTCCCACCTGACCTCAGGCAGACGGTGCTCATGGAACAAGGCAACGAGATTATGGACCAGCTCCCCCCTGATCTTGCCGAGGAAGCCCGCGCTCTTGCAGAGCGTTACCACCGGACCTCGACCACCTCAGCTATGTTACGCACACGGGATGCGGGCCGCAACGCCCCTGAACCAGCGACCGGAGCCGACAATAAGGCCCAGCGCCGTGCCATCGTGCAGATGCTGGATAAGGCCGGCGTAGCGACACTTCTTCGTCTAATGTTTGTGACCCAGCAGGGTTCCATTCGCAGCCACCTCTTCCGTGTGCTCAGTGACATTTGCGAGAACCGTCAGAACCGCTTTGAAGTCATTGGATCAATTCTCCAGATTCTTCAGTTTGGCAGCACGGACATGGAGGCTGTGGAGCGCAGTTTCAGCTCGTTGTCCCTGAAGGCCAAGCAGCCAAAAGACAAGGAGAAGGAGAAGGACTTCAAGACTCCCCAGAGCCTCAAGCGGACCTTCACCAACATTAGCTCGACCAACAACATCCAACAGAACTCGGAGATCTCTCCTCTGTTGGTCGTGCAGCAATGCCTCGATCTGCTCGTGGACCTTTCCAGCAGGAATCCACACATCCCTTCTCTCTTCCTGACTGAGCATGAAAACATCGCCGTCTCTCTGAAACAGGCGCACAGCCGCAAGGGCAAGACTAAGGACTCAAAGGTACACAAGTACGCCATCAACTCTCTGCTGCATCTCCTCGACCGTGATCTTGTCATGGAGAGCTCTACGGTGATGCAACTCCTCGTAGACCTTCTCAACAAGGTCACACTCCCGCTTCAGGCACTTGAGCGCCGCCGAAAAGAAGCCGAGGAGGAGGCCAGAAAAGAAGCAGAGAAGGCAAAGGAAGCGAAGGAGGCCAAGGAGGGTGCGGAGCAAGCAGATGGTGCTGCTGCCGTGACCGATACGGCGCGGGATCCGTCTGCCGTTCAGATCGAAGCCCCCGCGGAGTCTGGCTCGAAGCCGACCGAGATCAGTGCAGACAAAGCTCAGACCGAGCAGAAGAAGATCCGACAGCTCCAGCCCCCCTTCATTCCCCCAGAGAACCTGAAGCTCGTGGTCAAGATCTTCGTTGCGCGCGAGTGCAGCTCCAAGACCTTCCAAAACACCATCTCCACCATCAAGAACCTGTCCAATATTCCTGAAGCAAAGCAGACCTTCGGGAGGGAGCTTGTGAAGCAGGCGCAACTGCTCAGCAAGAACATCGTGTCGGAGCTCGACGAGCTCATGCCACATATCTCAAAGGCAGAGTCCGGCACGGAGATCCAGGGACTCGCCCTTGCCAAATTCTCTCCTGGCGCTTCAGAGCAAAACAAGCTTCTTCGCGTCCTTACCGCGCTTGATCATCTTTTCGAGACCAGGAAGGACGAGAGCCGAGACTCGGGCGATGCTGCCGCGGCCGATGAGAAGTCCAGCTTGCTCATGACTCTTTACCACAACGAGACCTTCAACAAGATGTGGGAGAAGCTAAGTGGTTGCCTTGCGGCGATACGTCAGCGGGACAACATGCTGAATGTTGCCACTATCCTCTTGCCTCTTATCGAGTCCCTCATGGTTGTTTGCAAGAACACAACGCTCGAGGACGGCCCGCAGAGCAAGAGCCAACTCAACAAGGATATGGTGCTTTCCAGCCCACCCCCAGAGGACGCCATGGCAGGCCTTTTCTTCACATTCACCAATGAGCACCGAAGGATACTCAACGAGCTTGTACGTCAAAACAACAAGCTCATGTCGGGCACGTTCTCCCTCCTTGTGAAGAACCCCAAGGTCTTGGAGTTCGACAACAAGCGCAGCTACTTCACACGGACAGTTCACGCAAAACATAGCGGCCATACGCGCCAGGCCTACCCACCGCTGGGCGTCAATGTCAGGCGTGACAATGTCTTCCACGATTCTTACCGAGCTCTTGCCTTCAAGTCTGATGAGGAGGTCAAGCACGGCAAGCTGAACGTCCGCTTCCACGGTGAGGAGGGCGTCGACGCTGGAGGTGTCACCCGAGAGTGGTTCCAAGTCCTGACCAGGGCCATGTTCAACCCAGACTACATCTTGTTCACCCCCGTGTCTGCGGACCGCACGACTTTCCACCCGAACAAGTCTAGTCATTACAACGAAGAGCACCTGGCCTTCTTCAAATTCATAGGGCGAATCATCGGCAAGGCAGTCTACGAAGGACGTCTTCTGGATTGCTACTTCAGTCGTGCTGTGTACAAGCGCATCTTGGGCAAGCCTGTTTCCGTCAAGGATATGGAGTCGTTTGATCCGGACTACTACAAATCATTGGTATGGATGCTCGAGAACGACATCACGAACACGGTGATTGAAACGTTCTCGGTCGAGGAGGACGAATTCGGCGCAAGCAAGGTTGTCGACCTTATTGAGAACGGTCGCAACATTGAGGTGACCAACGAGAACAAGCACGAGTACGTCCGGCTCATAGTGGAGCACAAGCTCCTGTCATCCGTCAAGGTCCAGATGGAGCACTTCCTGCAGGGATTCCACGGCGTCATCCCGGCGGACCTGATAGCCATCTTCAACGAGCAGGAGCTGGAGCTACTCATCTCTGGTCTCCCCGACATCGATGTGGATGATTGGAAGAGCAACACGGAGTACCACAACTACACGGCGGCGTCTCAGCAAATCCAGTGGTTCTGGCGCGCGGTACGATCCTTTGACAAGGAGGAGCAGGCCAAGCTGTTGCAATTCGTGACGGGCACGTCCAAGGTACCTCTGAACGGCTTCAAGGAGCTGGAAGGCATGAACGGTGTCAATCGCTTCAACATCCACCGTGACTATGGCAACAAGGACAGGTTGCCGAGCTCGCATACCTGCTTCAATCGTGAGTAATCCCCTTAACCCCCTGACGCCCCTCTTTGCCGGCCGTGTGCTGACTGTTTCTGCTACAGAACTTGATCTCCCCGAGTATGAAAGCTACGAGGCTCTCCGCAGCCAGGTCATCAAGGCCATCACGACGGGTGGTGACTACTTTGGTTTCGCTTAAGAGAAGAGCGAAATTGGCTGGGTGAAAGGGAGGGTGGCGGCAAGGTGTGATGATGCATTTACCCCGGCATAAAATTCGGGTTGTTTAATAGGGGTCTGGTGTTCCGGATGGCAGGGAGAAACTACAGCATGGGCAGCCATCAGAAGGGTTTGCCCCAAGCACTGGGAGTGTTGTATCATATTGTTTTGCTTTCTTACAAGCGTTTTGCCTCGAGTACAGAGAGCCGGCAATGCTGGCCTGAGGGCTTTTGGACCGGCTGTTGAGGAGGGGGGGGGTAAGGAACTTGAAGCGGAGTGCAGGCCGCGGAAAGCGAATACCCTCTAGTCATCCTCGTAGTTTTAGGCTGGCGAAACGACGCAGCTCATAAGAGAATGTCTTTTCAGATTCTATGTGGCTGGTACCTCCAACAGACTGTTTGTACCGACGCTCAAAGCATTTGAAGCAGACGTGAATGAAGTCCAAGCCAGACAGCCCATAAGCAGTACCCGCATGTCGAGGCAAGTGGATGGATTAGCCGGGTCTTGGTGGCTGCGCACCAGCCTGCGCATCCTCTTATCGGAAGGACTTGAAGAAGGGAAGATGCGAGCATGGGGTGCGGTGCGGCGCGGTGGAGTCATGGTGTTTCATGAAACGCCTCTGGTGGCCAGGCAGGCGCCCAGAATGACAGCGATGACAGGGCCGGCGGATCTGGCCTCGGTTTTGTAGTGGCAGGGCAGGGCAGGGAGGCAGGGAGGGTGCAGTTTAGTATTTATTTACCAGGTGTCATTGGGGGCCGGGCCGAGATGGGATGAACAGGTGCTGACGAGGGGGCGCGGCATTGAGGGCTGCCTAAGCTGGCTGGGGACCGACCGATGGCTGCCCAGGTGGATATATGTGCAGTCAGCTGTGCTGATAATCCTGTCATGGCCTTGTGCGCGTGCTGTGTTTTTCGTTTTGTGTTTCGTTTCAGGGAGGCCGGGCTAGGCTGGCTGGCTGGCCAGCCTTTGGGGCTGGCTATATGTGGGCAGTTAGTTGTACGGAGTATTGTATGTAGTCTACGGGATAGCCTCGCGTGAGATGTGCCCCACTTGTAGACGATTGCCTTTCCTAGCATTACTGTGTAGATTCAATCCTACGGCGGTCGGCTTGGTGGCCGGCGGCGCCTTATGGGGCAGCTGGATTCTCACCATGGCCTATTCTGAAACCTGGTCGTGTGAGATTCCCACGTGTATAAGAAGAGCCCCTCGTATGTAGAACAACAAGGGCCTGTGGAATTATACTATACTAACAGTATACAATACAGAATGCAGTCGGGCAAGTGGCCTGACCGGGCGAGACTGGTGTCATATTATTGATGGGAGTGGGAAAAGTTCAAATAGTGAGGTGGGGGCCTGTCAGTGGTTACCCACAGGAAGGAAGCGGAAAAGGGGGTCCGTAGACACACGGATGCTGGTAGACTGGTGGACTAGTAGTAGACAGTATCGCGGGTTGCAGAGATGTTGGAAAGATCGGTGTGTAAATACTCGGTAGGCGAGCATGGTTTTCAGGCTCTTTGAGAAGATGCTGCACAACACAGCAAGCACACGTCATACTGTATGTACAAGACGCATGTATATATAATCCTGAAGTCGGTTGTTGAACAAGATACTCGGCCAGACCAAAGGGCCGTGCTGGGCGACCCCTCCACCAGGTGGACAGGTGGACTACACAGTAGACTTCCGAGTCGACACTACTGCAGCGGCTCGCTGTACCCTGGTCGACGGAAGCGAAAAGGGCTGATCCCTGCAGGGCCCCCTTGGTCGCTCAGCCGCTGGACCCCCTGGCCCCGCCATTTTTTCTGGTCTTGTGGTTTGGTGAAGAGACGGTCAAGTCCGCGCGGGTGTCGATGGGTGGCAGAGTGGGTGGTGGTGGTGCTGTGGTGGTGGTGGTGACGGCAGCGCAAACGGAGGGAGATGGGCCGTCTGGCCGTTCGGGGGGAGATGCTGTTGTAGGGAAGCAGATACGAACGAGGACAAGGACAGGGCCACTCACGGTCAAGGTTGAGGCCGGGGCGTCAAGGTCGAGGTCAAGGACAAGGTCAACATGGCCATCGCCATCGACAATCAATCACGGCCGCCCATTGTCACTCCATCTTGCATCCAACCCCGGGTCCCCCAGGCCGGTGCGGTACGGATCCTGCCCGTTTCACAAGCTTCTTCTTTATTTTCCAGACCGCCCCTCATCAAGTCACGGCAGTCACGTCACGTCTCAAGACGGCAAGAGGTTGAGACAAAGACGCTCGAGGCAAGCAGACAGCAGACAGCAGACAGCAGACAGCTCATCATCCTGTGGACTGTTCCCACATGCCCACATGCACACATGCAACAGACAGACACAGCATTGACAGTCTAGTTGCTTCTTCTTTCTCTTTTCTGCTCTTGGCTGCACCCTGGCCCGTCCACCTCGCCTGTTCCACCTGATACTGTTATTATTACCACGGTACAACTTCAACAGGCTCATCGTCGACCGCCGTGTGCATCTGAATCCGAATCCGCATCCGCATCCATCCATCCCTTCATATGACTTGGACGGGCCGCCGGACTGACGGACTGCCGGCACTTCGACCAACTAGTAGCAACCCAGCCCGGCCCAGCCAATCCACACATGGCCTGAAGCTTGCATCCAAGCTGTGAACAGCTCTCCAATCCCCCCTTTTTTGGTCCCCAAGCCGACCAAGCACACGCCCACCGACAGACGCGGCGCCCCCGCGACTTTTTTCGAAATACTCGGCTCCCACTTACAACATCCTCAACTCACTCGCTCCTCTCACACCTCCCACCTCACATCTCCCACCAACACCCTCCCCGCCCCAAACACCCATCCACCACGCCCAACATGTCGGTCCAGCAGATGGACGCGCCTGCGCCTGTCCACACGCCAATCTCCCCCGCCGCGCCTGTCTCCCCCGTCTCCCCTGTCAGCCACAAGCTCGACGACAGGGACATCGACTCCCTCGCAGACTCGGACCGCGAAATGGTACGCTACCCTCTGACTGTCGAATTTCCCTTGCATGCAACCACGCAAACCTTGTCTGCTTTGAGAGGCCCCGTCCCCTATCTCCAGCAAGCCACCTTGCCACCTCAATCTCCCTTGTCCCCCAGCCCTGGGCCTGGTTACACGCTGGCGCCCTGCCGTCACACGGCAGCCCATGCGCCCAGCCTGTCGCGTCCCCTGCCCCAACATGTGCTGTTGTCCCCCGGAGATTGCATGCTGCTGGGTGCTAGAGTGCTAAGTGCTAAGTGCTAAGTGCTAACCTCGCCAATCGCCCCTGCAGGACAGCTTTGAAGACGCCCCAGACACAGTGCCAGATACCTCCTCCATCCGCTCCCTCACACGTCGAACTTCCCCAATCCCAAAACCTCAGCCTCCCGAGCCCGAGTCAAGCCACAACAAGGACCAACCCCACGAGGAGCACGAGACCACGCCTGTTGCCGAGCTACAAGTAAACAACGCGGACGGTGCCAAGGACGACGACACCAAGGCCCAGTCTCACGACGACGACGACGACGCCGACACCACAACAATAGACGAGGACAATGACCAATCTCTAGCACAACCGGGCAGGCCCTCCATCTCGCCGAGCCAACGCTTGTCCCTGACATCCAACGGCCAGCTCGCCGAAGTCAGCCTTGATGACGAGGCCCCACAGCGAGACAAAGGTTAGTGGTTCGCTCACGCACCTGCGAGATGAGCTATGCTGACGGGTAGCGTTGCAAACAGCACCGGAACCAGAAGTCGAGGACGTCAAGATGAGTCCCAGCGAGAGTGAGCCCAAGAAGACCATCTCCCTGAGCAGTATCACAAGTGCCCTTCCGGCTATGCCCTGGTCACCGGGCCCTCAAGAGTCACAAGCAAAGAATCTCGACACCCCTCCAGCTACCGCCGCGGCGCCCACATCCCCGGGCGTCCCTCCTGCCCAGCCACAGGCACAAGCTCCCGCACCACCTCCACCCCGGAAGCTCGCCAGCGCCTTCTCGTGGCTGTCTAGGAGCTCGTCCAAGGATATGACCAACTCCTCGCCGCCCTCTCTGTCTCCTAGGAGGAATACTGCCAGCTCCGTGACGACACTGGCCAGCAACCCAGAGATGATGCTCAGTAAGCTGGAAGAGGAGGGCGGCGCCAACGGCAATGTGCGGAATAGTCTGAAGGACCGTTTCAAGGCAATGCGTATGAGGGAGGAGGCCGGCATAACAAGCCTCCCCGACGACGGCGATAAGACTGGCTTTGCCAGCCTGGTGAACAAGGGGCCAAATGGGCTAGCAGCCACGCCCGCCACGGAGGAAAAGGACCCGACATCTACGCAACCCCCGGCCTCGCCCAGGCCTGCGACTGCGAACCTCGCCCCAGGGACCGCCTCCGGGGCAGCAGCTGGGCCCTCCACGTTGTCGGACCAGCCAGTTGACTGGGACCTGTGGCAGTCTGTCGTCTATGAGGGACCCGCGGCCGTTGCCAAGACGAGTGCCGAGGAGCTGAGCAGAGCTATTGCGACTGGCATCCCCAGCGCTATCAGGGGCGTCATATGGCAGGTGCTGGCACAGAGCCAGAGCGAGGAACTGGAGGCCGTCTACCGGGAACTTGTGGCTAGGGGCACAGACAAGGAACACGATCGGCACAGTAACGCCTCGCCGGGTGCTAGTAGCAACAGCAACAGCGTCAAATCATCAGCGTCGTCGACACATTCCGCCGACTCTGGTGGTGCTGGTGTGAACGGCGCATCGGCCAAGGACGATGAGGCCTCTGCCAAGGAGAAGGCGGCTTCAGAGACCGAGCGGAAGAAGAAAAAGATGGAAGACGCGGCCTCAATCCAGAGGCTGGAGAAGACCATCCGGAAGGATGTGGGGGCTCGGACAGCGTATTCCAAATTTGCATCTGCCCAGGGGCTTCAGGAAGGCCTCTTTGGCGTTTTGAAGGCGTATGCGCTCTACGACGAAGATGTCGGGTACGCCCAGGGCATGAACTTCTTGATCATGCCCCTCCTCTTCAATGTAAGCCTTTAAAATCCGCCCATACTAGTCTTGTCGACCGGCGTTAACTGACACACTTCGCAGATGTCCGAGGAAGAATCCTTCTGCCTGTTGGTACGGTTGATGAACCACTATCACCTGCGGGACCTGTTTATTCAGGATATGCCGGGCCTGCACATGCATCTGTATCAGTTTGAGCGGCTACTCGAAGATTACGAGCCCGCTCTGTATTGCCACCTCAACCGACGGGGCATCTCGCCACACCTCTATGCCACCCAGTGGTTCCTCACGTTGTTCTCATACCGATTTCCACTGCAGCTGGTCCTCCGCATTTACGATCTGATCCTCTCTGAGGGTCTCTCGGCTGTGCTGAAGTTCGGCATCGTGTTGATGCAAAAGAATGCGCAGACGCTCCTTGGCATGACCGACATGTCCCAACTCACATCCTACCTGAGGGATCGACTGTTTGATGTGTACATCGAGTCAGCGCCAAGCGCCACCAGTATCCTCGAGAATGGCTTCTTTGGCAGTTCCACGTCGAGTATGGACAAGGAGGTGTACCGTGCCGATCAGCTGGTGCATGACGCCTGCGAGGTTAAGATCACGCCTGACATCCTGAAGTTCTACAGGACGGAGTGGGAAGAGAAGACCAGAGCTGAAAAGGCGCAACAAGAGGAGCTCGAGACCCTTAGGTCCCAGAACGCGAGTTACGCCGCCAAGGTTCGCAAGCTAGAGACGCGGCTGCAGGCAGCGGATCGCGAGCAAGCGGACCTGGCAACGGAGCTGGTGCACACCAAGGTCGAGAACGAGGAGCTCAAGGACCAGAACGAGTCACTGCAGGGCCAGGTCCGGGAGCTCAAGATCGTGATCGAGCGGCAGCCCATCGACATCGAGGAGCAGTGGAAGCTGGAGAGGGACGCGCTCATCGAGCGGAACCAGCGGGTACACGAGGAGAACGAGAGGGTCGAGAAGGAGATGGCCGAGTTGGAAGAGCAGCTGGTGCAGACCAAGATGCAATATGCCGAGGTGAGTGACCTTCTTCCGGCCGGGGTCGATATCCAGAAAAGACCCATGACTAACAGCACCTTGTAGATCAACTCACAGCACGAGACCCTCCAGAGGAAGTGGAACGACCTGAAGCGTACGTTCGCGTAAGCGCCTATATTGAGTGAAGTGAAGTGGGTGGGGAACATGGGGACAGTCATCCATGCATCTAGCCGGGCTGAGAGCCGGTGCTACAACTCGAGCGAGGGGGGCAAATCGCGGTTGTAATCTATGTTATCATATCATCTACCCCCTACTACTACTACCACCACCAGAGCTACCAGTAGCCAAGTAGCAGCAGCAGCATCCCTTTGAAAGGGAAGGGCCAGGGCAGACACGCAGGCAGACACGCAGGCGTCAACGGGATTTCGAGGAGACAGCCCCAATTTGGAGAATTGAAAGCAAAATGACATACATACAAACCAACACAAGTAAGTATAGGCTGGGCGACGATCACTTGTGTTGAGCCCAGAGGGCGTTTTACAACGGCAGCAAGCAGCGGCCATGAGAAGGCGTATGGGGGCGTCTTTTGGCATTTATGAGAGGCATACAAATAGCATGAGTTACTTGGAAGACACGGATGGTCATTGGGAGGCGAATTGGGCTGTTTGATAGTGTCGGTCAGTTCAGGATCATCAAGTCATAGCCAGCAACAAACAACCTCCTCGCCCGTCTCCACATTTCCGCGAAAAGACGCTGTTGGTCGGTTGTCTACTTGTCTGTGCCATGTGTCTGATTCAGGAACGTCTTGTATGTTGTGGAGGCGGGTGGGTGTTGTGGTGGCTTCAACGTCTGTCTGTCCTAGTCACTTCACCAGCGAGGTGTGGTAGAGGGGACAACGGATTCGAGCGCGCGCCGTAGAAGCAAGAAGCAAAAAGAAGGGCACAACAGGGAGCCCCGGGGTTGGAACCCAGGCCTGGGTTCCTCGTTTCAGCAGGGCGGTCTTGAGCAAGACAGACTTCGAATGCTGTCCCGGAATGGATGCTTGGGCCTAGAGTCCCCCATGCTCCCACTACTCTGTCGAGGGGAAGTGAAGCCACAACGGCAACACCTTGACGGCGGCGGCCGTTCTTTCGCTCCATTGTTTGAGATCGTCATGAAACGGCCTTGAGTTGGGCTGCCACAGCTTTGTGGCCCAAGTGGGATGGATATACAAAGGGCAAGCCGGGCAGAGACTAGATTCACAGGGTGCAGGTATGAAGATGATGCACGAAGATGCTGGCAGGATGGACCGGATGTTCATTGTGCACGTAAAGGCATTTTGTTCCTTTCTTTTTTGATTGTGTCCCTTTTCCCGTCCCAATGCAAATTGAACCTTGAATGAAAAACGACCAAGAAGCGGGCATCTCACACTGCTGAGCATGTGCAGCACAGGTATCATAGCCACCGTCTCATCATAAGGGCAGCCGATCCGTAGAACACCGAAATCCGATTTCGCCTGGTGGAGGTGGCGGTGGTATCCCCACCTCGCTAAGCTACCCTTGCCATCCTGCTGCTGTCCTCTCGCAACCCCGACACCGCGGCACGGGGGCCAACCGTCTACTTGTGGAGCTTGCGCTGGTAGAAGGCGAGCTCCTCGCCCTCGAGGATGTAGCCGTCGCAGCGGCCGGACTGGCCGGGGCGGGAGGAGACGACAGCGTAGAGGCGACCGGCCTCGAACTGCTTCTCGATGGCGGCCTCGACCTTGCCGTGGGCGGCCAGGCGTGCGGCCTGCTTCTTCTCGACGGACTTGCTCTTCTTGACGGGCTCCTCCTCCTTGCCCTGCTTGGCCTGCCTCCTGCGGCCGAGGGGCTGGCCGTAGTGGGCCTCGTACCACTGGCGGAAGGGGGCGGCGTCGATCTGCACGACGGCGGACTTGGTCAGGGTGTTGGTGCGGACCAGCTCGTTGTTGGACGGGTGGTAGGCGACGGCGATGACACGGGTCTTGCGCGTCGTGCCCTCCGAGGCCCACGCGAAGTTGCCGCTGTCGAGGCGCAGGGCGCGGTACTTGTGGTTGCCGCCGCGGGTGCGCACGGTGTGGATGCGCTTGGCGCCGATACGGGTCTGCGCGGGCTGGCGGCCGGCCTCGAAAGCGCGCTTCTTCCCTGTTGACAGAGGTCAGAACGTATGTTCCGGAGGGTGAAGCGTTTCCCCTTCCCCCACCCTTCCGCTCTCATCATGGGGGACACCTCTCACTGGGGAAGAGGCATACCCAGGTGGATGGAAAGGGGGGTTGGTGGGAGGACGCAGCAGAGCTCCGAAAGCGATACGGGCTTTCGATTATATTTTTTTTCAGGTGTATGTTATCGGGGACGCACTGTAGTAGGCACGCTTGGCACCGGAAGCGGAGCGCTTGTGACGAGAGTCGCGAGAGATACCCATGATTGCGGTGTCTGTTTTGCCAGATGTCGAAAAGTCAGCCAGAGTCTTCGCGCAGCAGAAGGGTGGGCAGAAGAGGTGAGAGGGGGCGACCCTTTGCACAAAATCACCGGGACCGTCGTAGCAATTCGATGAGATCGACCGGTATTTGCAAAATGGGTTTCCTGCCTGCACGTACCTGATGAGTTACTGAATCACCAGAGCAATCGTTGTTGGAGGGGGGATGGTCGTCGGTTGTCGAGGGATGGGATGTCTGGCGGGAAAATGTGCAAAATGGAAAATCAAACCAAAGTCGATTGGCGTTGGCAGAGCCTGTGGGTTTGAAAAGCGGTGAGGGGACCGCGGCAGAAAATTGCCAGGTCACGTGTTGGGTCGCATGACACCCCTGCGCTTGACCACCCCAAAACGGTCGTACCTCAACCTGCGGTGACAGTGCGGAGGGCCATGAATACCGGATCCTGTCGAACATGATTGGCAAAAGCTTTTCAAATTTAGATTGTAATGGCTGTTAAAATCACTCTATGAATTTGAGACGTCTCCTTCTGTCGAGAACCCCAAAAATCACGCGAATCTGCCGAACCAGGCGAGACATGACTGACGGTTGCTAATTCCTCTAAGACCTCATCGGACGCTGCATACTGTTACCCGTTTGCCCATTTCTACCATAGACTGTTCTCAGACTCGCATCAAGAATTATGCCTCACCGATGAGCATGGTCCTGTCTCCCCGTAGAAAGCATTCAGAAAGCGAGACACGAGTATGCACTACCCCCATTCAATTTTGTCTGGGCAGGACGAGTGCGCTGGCTTATAATCCCAAACAGCTGGTTCCTCACGAAGTTGCGCAGAGCAGACTTGTGAAACGATCAGATTATAATTGTCCATTATCCGTCTGATGCTGCACCGCGATGCCCTCCGCAGTTACCCTTATGAATATCTCACCCTGCACTTCGGAACCAATAACAATACATCTGCCAGGCATTAATAGGTCGCACCTCAGCACAGAAGGTCTTGCACCACCCAGAACGCAAGAACACACCAGCTATGGTAATACAGGAATGTCCTTTTGTATTGTCATTCCTCTCTCTCTCCCCGACGATGATCAGTATCATGTATGCCTCTCGCAATCACCAACAAGAGCCTCAGTGAAAAGACCAAGTCCTGGCCGTCGCTCGCCATGATGGGACAAGATACATTATCACATTATTCGAACCAAGTTATAATACCCTTTTTGAAACCATTCCAAACCCATCATTGCTCATATAATAACGCAATCGAGAAACAACCGGCCCGGCCCGTCGCCGCCAATGCTTGAGATAAAATGTGAAATTCCTGTTATGCAGATTCAAATTGATGCAGCCCGTATTGCGTTCGTTATAATACATGCCACCCTCGATCAGAGAGCGACCCTGCTCCCGTTGTGGCCCAGGCGGAACGGGAGCTGCCCGCCGTAGGACCCCGGCCCAGGGCTGACCGCCGTGTTGGGCGTCATGAGCTCGTCAGTGGAGGAAATGCTGGTGATGGAGTTCAGGCTCGAGGACCCGGCGCTCGACATCGTGCCGGTCCGCGAGCCATGCATCGACCGTCCACCCATCGATATGAGGGCGTCGGCGCGCTCAAATACCCCGCCGTTGAAGGCTTTCGCGAACGAGGCGCTTTGTGGGGTCGCCACGGTAGCCTGTACGGCCGGCCCGAGCGCCGCGGACTGCGGTGTCATGGGCAGCCGAGACTGGGCAGCAGGCATCGTGCCCGAAAAGGACCCACCGAAAGAGCTCGTGGTCGAGTTCGAATGGTTGTGTGTGCGGAGCGAGTCCGACCAAGGAGATGTCCGGATCAAGTCGCGAGTCTCCTTTATGCTGTGTTGCACGGGGCGGAGGCGTTGCCTCGTGTCGCTTGGCAGCTGCACTTCAGGCACGTTCGCCGTGAGTGACATGATCATCCTGCCGAGCTCAGCCCACGCATCGATGAAATTGGTGCATAGTGCCCAGAATGCGCTGTGCGTCCGGATGCCTGGCTCCTTGAGCTTGATCAACGACAGGCGCTTCTTGAGAGTCTCGGTGTTCTGGATCGCTGTGTTACATTTGTAAATCAAATCCTTCCAGTGCTGCTGGACTTTGGGCGTGCTGGTGGCAATGGCTTTGTCCAGGCAATCACCGAATTGGCTGTTCAGCGGGGGCAGAGATCGCATGATCCAATCAGTCGATCTCTGGAGGGACAGGTATATCCTCTCAAAAACGCGGTCTTCTTCTGTAAAGTCCCCGTTCATACCCCTGCTGCTGTTTGAGGTCCAAGACTCCCCAGACCGAGGTGTAGGTGTGACTGTGGCCGTGCGTCCCGTCCCGTTGATGTACGGAACTTGCAACGGGTTCAGCGGGACGTCGGTGGCCACCCTCAGGTTGCTTGGGTTGTGGACAAAGTTTCCGCTGCGAGATCGAAGGCCGTGGCCAGGTCGATCGGCCGTAGGCGTGACCGAGCTCTCACGCGAATGAGGTTGCGGCCTGATGGTGTCGCCCAATGCGGCTCTGCTGGCGGCTCTTCTAAAGCCAGCATCGGGGCTTGGGTTGGACACCGTGACGCGGAGTTCCATGATGCTGTTGTAGAGGAGCATCAAGAGTGTGCGGATATATCGCGGGTCGCCATTCTCGATGAACAGGTCGACGTTGGTTGCCAACAGGGAGCAAACGTGCGCGTAGGCGTTGACAAGGGTAATACAGGCTCTCTGCACGCTCTCGTTCTCCTTATAGCCGGAATCTACTGTCTCAATAGCCATCTCGTGCCTCTGGATCTCCTGCTCAAGCTCCTCGACATGCACATTAGTATTGTAGAAGACGATCTCGAGGCTCGACCTCTTAGACGTGCCATCGCTCGTGAGGTGCATCAGCATCTGGATCATCGGATGAATCTGGAAAACCGAGTAGAGAATGCCTTTGGCCGCCTCGAGGACAGGATCGATATATTTGGACTCGCGCCGGCGCTCGGGCAGAACGGAAAGCCGTCGCACGTAGATCGGGCGTTGAAGAAAGGGTTCTGCAGGGCTGGCGGGACTTTTGATGGTCATGCTGGTTCCGTTGGGAGCTTGCATGGCTGAACCGTGACTGAGTCCACGGTAATGGCTGAATCGGTTGTTGGCCTGAGTCTCGTCCAGGGTGCCTAGCTCCTGTGTTCGCTTGGAGATGGATGCCATGCGGCGCTGGCGGTCCCCGGAGTATTGATTGCGGGCTTGAAGTAGAGTTTCGGAGTTGCTGCGCAAGCGCTCATTGACATTGCCCCCCATTGTCAAAGGCATAACCCCAGGTCGACGAATTGATGTTGTACTCTGCTGGGAAAGTCCACGATAATGTGATCGCGTGGGAATCGGGGGTGGTCGTGGCGCATTGTTTGGTGATCGAAGATCAGGCACGTCGGTCCCGTTGACCTTGATTGGGAAACGCCCGCTTGCAGGACGCTTCATCGGGGCCAGGCGCGGGGTCTCGACGCCTTCAGACGAATCTTCGCCAGCGGCAGCAGCTTCTGCTTCCATCCGGTCGTTGGCGTGTTGCCTCAGGAATTTCTTGATGGCAATTGTCACAGTCAACTCCTTCACTTCTGTCTCCTTCAAGAACCCGTCGTTGGGCGGGCTGCTGGCTTGCGCTTGGAGAATCTCTCTTGGGGGGAACACGATCGGGTTTCCGTCAAGCTTTATCATCTGCAAAGAGCCCATGTCGGCCAGGCAGAGAGGCAGCTCCCTGATGAGATTTTTCTGCACTGCAAACACCTTGAGCGAGGTAAGCCTCGCAATGTCTGGCGGTAGATTTCGCAGCTGATTCCTGCCGAGGTCGAGGATCTCGAGTGATTTCAGATCACACAACTGGAACGAACAAGTCAGGCTTGACTGTCACTAACGTAGTGGGAAGGGGGGAGGGTGTTGGAATTACCGGCAGTGGGAACTCGCTGATCCTATTATTCCGAACGTTCAAATATCGAAGTAACGTACATTCGGCGAATCGAGCCGGGAAAGACGAGATTTTGTTATGTGAAAGGGCAAGTCTGGCAAAAGCAAGTGTTATGGTTAGTTACCGTGCTTGATCTTGTCCCTTGCAGACGCACTGATGTCGGGGATGACATACCTTTCAAGCTGGTCTTTGATAACGTCGACGACCTCTTCCGGCAGCTTCTGGATGTTCTTGTGGCTCAGATTGACGGTGACGCCGGGCTTGAGCTCGCTGCTAACGGCGCTTGCCTCGGCGACCTGGCTCTGGTTCTCCTCGACAGCCTTCTTCATGGCGTCTCTCGCAAGTACAATGACCTGGCTCTGGGTGATGGGGGCCGATGCAGTGAGGCCGGAATTGGAGGGTATCTTCCGAACAGTCTTTGGGATCGGAGGTGGAGGAGGGATGTTGATGCCTGCAGCAAAGGCAGCCCGACGCCCCTGGGCCGGATTGCCAGGGAGCCCCATCTGCGCCGGGTTCGGACCGGAGGGCCTCTCCATGGTGGTTGCGATCATAGACCCAACTGGTGCCCGCCGTTATATCGATAATGAAGGATGGGTGTTGTACAGGATGCCCCAGTGCGTCCAGCCCTAGGTCCACGCTTGAGGGGGTGTGTAGCTCTCCGTCAGGTCCGTCGCTCGTTGTGCGGGCGAACCCACCTAAGGAGGTATGGGTTTAGACCAATTGGGTGGGCTGTGAAAGCGAAGTGGCCGATTTCATGATGCCAAAGCAAAGAAGGGCCGGTGTTGTGTGTGCAGAGGCGGCGGCGGGTGTGGTGGCTGTTGAGGTCGAGGCAGCAGCGTGCTGCGGAGGCAGTTGAGGCAGTTGAAACGTTGGACGGGCAGGGTCTCGCAGTAGCACAAGCCCTTCGCAAGACGGCAGCGATGTCGTTGTTCGGGCCGGGGCCAGTTGCCTGCCAGACGGACGGACTGAGATGGAAGATTGCCTGGTGGTAGAGCTGGCAGATAGATGTTGGAGCAGGGTGGCGGTGGTCGGTCCGGCACAGGCTTGTCAATGCAATCAATGGCTGTCTCCTCGTATCCTCGTATCCGTCGCTTGTATAATCGGTACCGGCAGGCGGCGCTGAGGGCAAACAAAGGTACAGGCCGTACAGTAGGGATGGGGGCTGACCCAGGAAAAAGAGGATGCCGTGAGGTTGGGACAGCAGTCTCTCTCGGTCTGTGGCTCGGGCCCAGGGTGGTGGGTGACTGAGTCTGGATATCTATCGGGCGGGCTGGGTCGACTGGCTGGCTGGCGTGCGTCGGTCGGGCACAAGTGTTTCCAAGACTGCGCGGCGCCGGTGCGTTGTGGAGGGAAAGGGGTTGCAGGAAAAGCGTCGGGTGCCAAAAGGCTGGAGTGGCACCGAATGGCCAAGCCTAGCCCACAACAAGCCTAGCGACGCTTGGGCCACTGGAACAGGCAGGCCTACCACCTGTCGAGTCCCCCTTTCCTAACCACAAAGGGGCTCAAGGGGCGCCTGGACGGGGACTGCTCTGGGTACCTGGGTACCATGACCTGGGCCCGTACTGCGACACTGGTGGTTCGCCAGGTAGAGGGGGAAAGGGCCCTTTGGGGTCTCACTGCTTCCTGCAGGTCTCACCCCAGAGGGGTTGTGGCCGTCGCATTCGTCGCCACCTTCCCACCGGAATTCCTATCCCGACCTAAAAAAAATACACAGCCAAACAGCCAGACAGCACAACATGACCTGCAGTAAGAAGTACATACACTACGTAATCTGTGTGTACGGCCGGGCGGTTGATCGCCTGCGGGATCCTCAGCCGTGCCTGAGATAATATCCGATACAGTACGTACAGCATGCAAGGCACATACATACATACATGCCTACATACACACATCCAAGATCCAACACAAAGTTCTGGGCTGGGCTGATGTCACCCACCTGCTCGCCTGCTCGCCTACTCTCCGAGGCAGTCGGGCTGGCGTGGCTCCCCTGGTCTATTGGTATTATTAACCTCACCATCTACACAGTAATTACTACACCCAAAGACCGAGTCACCGACATGGCTTGGCCCATTGCGCCCGTTGCCCCCGTAGTCGGTCCACAGTTACGCCGTGGGCTGCTCGAGGCTGCTCGAGGTTGCTTGATTGGGTTCAGGGGACGCGGTTCCATCCATCGTCAAACAAAACCCGGGCGACGACGTCGGATGGATGCCACGTCCCATATCACGACATTGTTTCCAGGTGTTCCCGTGGTTCTGGCCGCCAGCTGTCCCCCTACCAAAACCTTGCGGCTGCTCGGCGAGTCGTCACGCGGCGCTTCTTCTCGTCCCAACTCGGGCCTGTCGCAACGTCAAACACAACAGGGCGGTGTCGACTCGATTTGTTTCGCGGGCGCAAGCCCAACGCCTTTTCGTCTTCCTTTTTGTCTTCTGCTTGTCTGGGTTCCTCCGATGACTTGACCACCCAACCGTGCCTGCCGATTCGCCGCTCACAAGCACGGCGTCGCCGTTCCGGGCATCAAGCACCGAGCTAAACCCTCCCTTTGGAGGCTCCACATCAGCCATGGCCACATGGTCGTCGTTGGCCGCTCCCATCACGGGCTGCACGGCGAGTCGATGACTTGTCCCCTGGGGCCACCACCTTATGCCATGCCAGCATTGCCAAGTCTTCTGCGACAACATTCTTCACCACCACCTGTGCCGTACTTCTTATTCGTGGGCTCACTCGGTCCAATAGCAGCCACTTGTCTTCGAGCTGATCCTGGGCCTATACTTTTGTCTCTGCTGTAGGCTGGCCTCAGCCAAAACCTAGCCCTCGTCCGAATTCCCCTCCAGTGAGAGAGTTAGGCCCGAATCCTACGGGATCCACACGTCCTGACGTTTCGCGTCCTGGCGGCGATTACCTCGAGCCACGGCTCAATCCGAGTCGTCTAAGTGCACAGACCTTGAGGCGCCCCAAGATGGCAACCTGCTGTAATTATACAGCCTGCTCATGTCCAATTCTCGCACATACTTTCTGCTTTGGAACACGTTCTGAGGCCAGCAAGACAGACCGGACTGCTCCGCTATGGCGAGCATCGTGGACCTGGAAGACCTCTCCTTTCAGCCTCCCCCGAGCGAGGCGGTGCTTCCCACGTTGCTTACCATTGATCAATTGCTGGTACAGCTCTGTGGCTAGACCATCACAATAAACAGACTCCCAGATATGCCAGATCCGACGGGAAAAGGTGAGCCGCTGCATTCCCGAAGCTTGACACCGTGGCAAGGAAACCCCGCTCCCTGAGTCTCGCGGCGTTAGCCTTGTACAGCTGCTCTCCTTCACAAGGACACAAAACATGCCAGTGTCAGGGCTTACCATCGCGGCTGATTCATTACCCGGGCATGTTCTGTGTACTTGAATGATCACCATATAGTAGCATTGCAATCTCAGATATTGTATCGAGGTTGCACTGCTTGACGATCCCATCATCCTTGCTCTCAAATTCTCGTCGCTGCTGTTCGCGAGGGACACGAGGGCAAGAGGGGCACGAGGGGCACTATACTGGCGACAAACGACCTGCAGCCGAAACCGGGAAATATGTGTTTACTAGATTGAGTGTCGGCAAGTGCGGTCTTGAGTCTGTGACAGCAAGGCTGTGACCTTTGACCCGGCTCCTGCTAGGAAGATCATACCACAGTACATAGTAGATGTTGATCATCGCGAATGTGGTCCCTTGGATCCGTGAACCCACCCATCGCTTATTCCCGTATGGAATTGCCTCGCGGCAGCTCCACAAATCAGACTTCCCATTGGAGCCGGCCATGATGCAATCTCATCACGAGGCTGAGGCTCTTTCATGCCCTACTGGATTGCGACGTTGCCAAAATACGAATAGTCGTATTTTTCCAAGGTCCGGTTCTGTATCGGTTGTTTCTAAAGCTTGCGTCTAGGTTTTGAAAGAGTCTGGGGCCGTTGGTTTCAACGTTGACTTTTACGGGGTCGGAAACAACCTTGACAGAATCAATCCTATAAGGCAGTCCTGGCAGTCTGGAAGGCCGCTAGAACCCATTGCCCCAGGTACCCCCGTCCTCAGGGGACCCTTGCCCACGCCCTGTTCTGCAGTGGACGCGACCCGTCAGTGACGAGCGCCCTTGCCAATCACTGACCGTGATGCGAAGTAGCATGCCCATATTCTAAACACCACGAACAGCCAGGGCTGCTAAGTCCGTCAACCGATCAGGAAATTTCACTCCTCCGCTGCATCCCAATTTTCCAGAGTCCTCACTGGAGGTACTTGCACGGCTCTGGAGGCCAACCCGGGGCGGGCAGGTTGAACGCGTCTGGCGATGGGCGAACCGACCTGACGTCAAGTCTGGGAACTCGGAGGGCAGAATCACGACCTGGGTGTTGCCTCGTAGGCTGACATATCCTGCCTCGAGATGGCACCCCTCTCAAGAACAAATTCGTACACCGATCCGGCCTTCACCCTGAGGCGGCAGTTCGGCAAGGAGCACTTCAGGTGAGATTCCCATGCACCCACCCAGCTGACTGCTGACTTCTGACTGACCTTCGCTGACCTGATCAACGCAGACCTATGCAGAAGGACATCATAGAGGCAGCTCTCCAGGGTAAAGATGTCTTTGTCCAGGCCGCCACCTCGTTCGGAAAGAGCCTGTGCTTCCAGCTGCCCGCTGTCATAGACCACGGCATCACCATCGTGGTCTCGCCCCTGCTCAGCCTGATGATGAACCAGATCGAGTCGCTCAAGCTCGCCAACGTCGACGCCAGGACCCTCAACAGCAACACGCCCCCGGCCGAGAAGGACCACATCTACCAGGACCTGGCCTCGGGCCACCCGCGGACGAGGCTGCTGTACGTCACCCCGGAGCTGTGCTCGGGCGACCACTTCCGCCGCAGGCTGAGGGTCGTGCACGAGCAGCGCGAGCTGGCCCGCATCGCCGTCGACGAGGCACACTGCATCTCGGAGTGGGGCCACGACTTCCGCAAGGACTTCAAGAAGCTGTCCTTCTTCCGCGAGGCCTTCCCCGACGTGCCCATCATGTGCCTGACCGCCACCGCCAACGAGCAGGTCCGCCGCGACGTGCTGTCCACCCTGGGCCTGCTCCAGAGCCCCGCCCGCCTGCGCACCTTCGCCATGACCGCCTACCGGCCCAACCTGCACATGGAGATACGCTTCACGAGCGACCAGGCCGACGACCGCTTCGACAACTTTGTCACCTGGATCCAGGGCGTGTACGCGCGCCGGGAGACGGACGGGAGGAGGCCTGAGCTCGAGGCCCGCGGGGAGAGGGTCAAGAACGTCCCGGGCATCATCTACACCAGCTCGAGGGACGAGTGCGAGATGATCGCGGCGGCGCTGCGGCAGGAGGGGATCGGCGCGCGGCCCTTCCACGCCAGGCTGCCCAACCAGGTCAAGGAGGAGACGCTGGCGCGGTGGGTCAACAACCAGGAGGGCTACGATATCATCGTGGCCACGACGGCCTTCGGCATGGGCATCGACAAGAACAACGTGCGCTTCGTCGTGCACTGGCGCATGCCCAAGAGCTTCGAGGGCTACTACCAGGAGGCCGGCCGCGCCGGCCGGGACGGCAATGCCAGCTACTGCTTCCTGTATTACAGCCGCGAGGACCGCGACCGCATCTCCAACATGGTGTCGAGGGACGTCAAGGACGGCGAGAATCGCGAGGCGAGGCTGCGCAGCCTCAAGACGCTGGCCGACTACTGCGAGGGCACCGATGGCTGTCGGCACGCTGCCATCTGCAGGTATTTTGGGGAGGCTGACGTCCCTGCGTGCGATTTCGCCTGCGACTGGCACAAGGATGCACAGGACCTGAAGAGGAGGTGGCGGAAGGGGCTGGCCAGTGAGGAGTGGGTCAGCACGCAGGCGCAGGGCGGTGTTTATGACAATTATTATGATGATTACTGAGGGACGGATAGACTCCTGGAAGATACCCCGGCATTGCTCGGCTGCCCACTTTATGCGGAGCGAAAATCACAGTTCGTTTTTGAGACTTCCTCATGTGCATCATTACATGCAATGTGCAATGCTGTCATTCCAACATCTGGTCGTGGAGGGCATCAACACCTCCCTCCAAGAGCAGCCTCTTGTTGTTCTGCCAGTGTATGAAAGCTAGGCCCTGCAACAAGCAGTCAGCCAGATCGTCCAGCTTCTTCATCCTATCAGCCTTGCGCAGGAAGCTATTCTTCCCCTGCCACTCGTTCAGGTACACGGCAGCAACGAGCCTTGCCGGCTCAGCAACATCCAGACCAGCCGAGGCCAGCATCCTCCCAATGATATCCTTCTTGACCTTCTTGTTGTCGGTCTTGTCCTCCGCGCCCCGGTGCCGGGCCCAGATATCCCCGACGTCAAAGCCGGCAAGCCGGGCCCGCGCGCCCATGAACTCGAGCACGTTGCGCGCCACCACGGGCTCGATGCGCCCCACGGGGCTGTCCCACCGGCCGAGCTCGCGCAGCAGCGTCAGCAGCGCGTACAGCATCGACTCGAGGCTGTTGACCCGCAGCGTCCACTCGTACACGCCCGACCCGCCCATCTGCCGGAACCGCTGCTGCTCCAGTATCACCACGTCCGGGCGGAGGGGGAGCAGCCGGTTCAGGACCAGGTCCACCGCCAGGGCGGACAGGCGCGCGGGCGAGAAGTCCTCCACGAGTACTGGGGTCGTTGCCGGGCTGGCCGCGGCTGTGGGGTCTTCTGCGGCTTGATGTCTTGGGTCGGTGGTTGCGTCTGTTTTGGATTTCCTCCGGCCCCTCTTGGGGAGGACTTCTTCATCTTGCTGGTCTGCGTCGGCTTCCTCGTCTGCCTTGGCTTTCTTACGGGATTTCTTGGTACTTCCACCGGGTGGCACAGCTTTCTCGGCCTTGGGCATCAGAGCTAATCGTTCCCAAGCGAGCAGCCTTGGCTCTTTGAGCGCTGCAGACGACGGGGCGGTGTCTTTCTTCCTTTCCCAAGATGACTTCCTAGCCCATTTTGAGGTCTTGCCAGGTGTCCCATTGTTGGGGTGGGGAACTTCTAGCAGGCTATAGGCAAGATTTCGAATGCCCAGGTCTATGCTCAGCACTCGCGTGCCTGGGGCAAGAGGCTGGAAGGTCTTCAGGTCCTCTGCAATGCGATCTGCGATGACTGCCTTGGTGCCGGACCTGCTTTTACCGCATAACCTTGCAATGCTCTTCAGTTGCACAGAAGACAATTTAGGTGGCAAGACGAAATTCATTGTCCGTCCTGTCACGAGGGGTGTGCGATTCCCTTTTGGGCGCTGGTCCTCCCTCGCCTCTCTCTATACGTGGCGATATCCCCCATATAAAACCTCTGCATTGCGTGTCGGTCATCCTAAACACTTTGAGGCAAAGCTGGGGGAGACATCGACATACCCTCTAAATAGCCAAGGCAGTCGGCTCGCCAGCAGCACGCATGTGTTGTGTTGTAGGAGGGACAAATTGGTGGTTTCATCTATAGCTGTTTGCAGATCTCATTCGTCGCGAATCCGGCTCCGCACGATGCGCGTCGGAAATCCAATTGGGAGCGCGCCAGATCGCGCATGATGATCCCTGCGATGACGCTGGCACTGGCAGACATACGGCATGTGTGTCTTGGCGGTTCGGTGCAGGGATTGGAGAAGCTTGTGGAACCAGCCGTGGCACGGCGGTCCCTCCGTAGAGGTTTTTGACATGCTGCTGGCCGAGGCTCGGAGCTGGCGGGAGTCGCACAGCAAGCAAGGGTCCGACGGAGCTGCTTATTGATCACCGTTAAGAGACTTTGTCTAGTGTCCCGGAGCCTGTCGTCATACAGACGGAAGTCACTCGAAGGGCTAAGCTCTGATTGCGCCTTAATCTGCACCCTGCAGGCCGACTGATCTGATTACCGATACATTTTTCTACATCTGGTGTGGTCTTGATTTGGAATTAAAGACGTCAATCTCGACCCCTCCCCCGCGGCTCCCTTATAAACACCACGCCCTCCCCCCACCTTCCCTTGCCCCTCCAAGAGGCTGCAAATACACGGCAACCAGCACCTCATGCTAGCCTTTGCCTCTCTCACAAGAGCTTCTTCCAGAACAGCTTCCCATAGATTAGCTGGTTTCTCAAGGCACTTGTCCTCCTCGGCTTCAGTCATGGCGCCCATCAGCAAGGAGACCGACTACCTCGTCATCGGCGGCGGCAGTGGAGGCCTTGCCTCTGCCCGTATGGCGAGTTCCAAGTTCGGCACCAAGGCCATGATCATCGAGAACCAGAGGCTGGGAGGCACATGTGTCAATGTTGGGTGAGTCTTCCTCCAACCTCTCTCAGCCGAGCAAGCGTGACCCGCGCCAACCAGCGACTAACAAGTGTTTGCTTCCACTCAGTTGCGTGCCCAAGAAGGTGACCTTCAACGCCGCCTTGATCTCTGAGACGCTACACGATGCGAAAGCCTACGGTTTCTCCGTCGAGCAGACGAAGCCATTCGACTGGCCCACTTTCAAGGAGAAGCGTGATGCCTACATCAAGCGGCTCAACGGAATCTACGAGCGAAACCTGAAGAACGACAAGGTCGAGTACGTCCACGGCTGGGCGCGCCTCCTGTCCAAGAACGAGGTCGAGGTCACCCTCGACGACGGGTCCAAGGAGACCATCCGCGCCAAGAAGATCCTCGTCGCCGTCGGCGGCGCACCCACGATCCCACCCCACATCCCCGGATCGGAACTCGGAATCAACAGCGACGGCTTCTTCGACATCGACAAGCTGCCGAGCAAGGTCGCCCTGGTCGGAGCTGGCTACATCGCGGTGGAGTTTGCGGGCATGTTCAACGCCCTGGGGGTCGAGACGCACCTGTTTATCCGCCATGACCACTTCCTGCGGAACTTCGACCCCATCGTCCAGGAGGGCGTGACGGCCGAGTACGAGCGGCTGGGCGTGCACCTGCACAAGGGCTCGTCGCAGTCCAAGGTGGAGAAGGACGACAACGGCAAGCTGAGCCTGCACTACAAGGACAAGAGCGGCGAGGGCGTGCTGAAGGACATTGACCACCTGATCTGGGCGGTCGGGCGGACGCCGCTGACCGACGGCATCGGCCTGGACAAGGCCGGCGTCAAGACGAACGAGAAGGGCTACATCGTCGTCGACGAGTACCAGAACACCTCGACCGAGAACATCTACGCGCTGGGCGACGTCACGGGCCAGGCGGAGCTGACGCCCGTCGCCATCGCCGCGGGCCGGAAGCTGGCGCACAGGCTGTTCGGCGGGCCCGAGTTCAAGGAGGCCAAGCTGGACTACACCAACATCCCCTCGGTGGTGTTCGCGCACCCCGAGGTCGGCGCCATCGGCCTGACGGAGCCCCAGGCCGTCGAGAAGTACGGCAAGGAGAACATCAAGGTGTACAACACGAGCTTCACGGCCATGTACTACGCCATGATGGAGCCGGAGCAGAAGGGCCCCACCAAGTACAAGCTCATCTGTGCCGGCCCCGAGGAGAAGGTCGTCGGGCTGCACATCCTGGGCCTGGGCAGCGGCGAGATGCTGCAGGGCTTCGGCGTGGCGATCAAGATGGGCGCGACCAAGAAGGACTTTGACAGCGTTGTTGCTATCCACCCGACGAGTGCCGAGGAGCTGGTCACGCTGAAATAGACAGATCACGGACATGTGTATAGATTTAAATGTGCCACTTGGCGTCGTGTTGATTTAGAAACCATGTCACGAATTTCAGCATTAACCTGATTGCGATATTAAAAGACTTGAGCGAGCTATAAATGCGCTTTCCAATAGGTTGACCCCTAGACACACACCCGGGATCAGCTGCAACTGGTTATGCAGTTGGTGTCTAGCCTGGGTGCCTGTTGGCGGTTCGCATCTAAAGAAAAGGCGAACCCCACCGCCAGCCAACGCTCACTGGAACCTTGAAAACCCTTTTCCCCTCTCAGACCCTTCAGAAAGTTTCAACAGCTTACCGAAAACAAGACAGCCTTTCTGTCAACGGCTAGTCGAGGTATGTCTTTCGTTGGTCACTATTAGACTATTGGTCTTTTAACACAAGTAGACAGAGACTCTGAGACAACTATCATGCCTATCCGCGTAGCACCAACTAGTCTATTTCCCATTGGGGATGAGCCCACTCGCATCTCCGTGCGAGTCAATCGAAACCTATTGAAAGTCATCGACCCTTCCATGGTCCCATTAGAAGAAGGGGATAGCTTCACTCGAATCACACGGAAAGGGAGAGCTGCCATCAACCAGATGGCCCGCGATGTGAGCAGGGTAATATTTGGCACAGAGGTTCCCAAGTTGGAGATGGATATCTCATGGTCGAATCCGTGGGTGGGGCCTAATGGTCCTGAAAACAGGGCATTTTATTGGATTGCAATATGTTTTGATCATCATGTTACTAAGGAGACCCCTAACCATAGGGTACTAGAGCTTACAGCAGATGAGGCGACTGCCGGGGATGTTATGTTTGATGCAGTGCGAGTAGATGTTGCACGGAGGAACCGCATCAACAACACTATTAATACTAGCCTAGAGTAGTAGGTTGAACACACATAGGGGTGTCACTGGAATGATGTTGTGTTACCTAGGTAGTCAGTGGATACTTGATCCTTTGAAATTTGAAATAAACTGTATTTCTATTGGATTTGAAGCCACGACCTTCACTTTCTATAGCATACAGAAACCAGAAGCAAGCCTGGATTGCAATCTGTGTGAAATTGCTGCCGCATGGACAATTAATCTAAGAGTGTCTAGTGTGTTGTTGGTGACCTGGATCCCCTCGACCAACATCCTGTCCACCAGATCCCCGAGGGTCCTGTTCCCCAACTCGCTTGTGCTGCGCCTGCATGAGTTGGGCAAACATGGTTGCACCTTACGGTTGTCGTGTTAGCAGTTACCATTATAGATTCACCATCACAGCATGTCAGGACTTTACTACTCGTATTAATGTAGTTGCAGTACTTATACAAGGTGATCTTGCTATGACACATGATGAAACTTGAATGTAGTAGTCAACACTATATTAGCATTCAGCTAGATGTAAACATTACACTGCCACATACATTTTATATATAGGGATTAAAAATGAAACCACTTATTAGAAATAATATACCTTAATATTAAGTTTAAAATACTTAATAAAGATATTTTAAATAGAGGGGACTTAAATAGTTAGAAAAATATAATTTAAATATATTATAAGTATAAAAGTTAATTAAATATAAATAATAAAGAATATTTATTAAAGATTAATTATATGAATAAAATATAACTTTTTTAAATATAAACTTAAAAGATTTATAATTATAAAACTTTAATTAATTTTTATTTAATTATTTTATTATATTATAAAGTTATTATAAAAGTTTATATAATAAATTTAATTTAATTAATTGTTAAAATATATATTATATTTTATTCCTTTAGAATTATAACTATTTACTTTTAACTTAATAATAAAATTAAAAATATAAATAGTTTATAAATAAAATATATAAATAATTAAAATATAATATATAGTTTTATTTTTATTTTATATATATTTAAAAATATATATTATATTAATAATAATAGTTATAATATAATAAATATTTATAACTTTAATTTTATAATATATAAATAAAGTTAAAAGTATTATTTTAATAATAATAATAATTAAAATATTATAAAAGTTATATAATTAAAATAAATTTTAAAATAGTTATTATATAAAAATTATATTAAAAACTTAATTAAAACTTATCTTTTAAATATATATATATATATATATTAATAAAACTTTTATTAAATAAGTTTATAAAATTAATATTATAACTTTTATTTAAATATATAATTATTAATTTTAAAAGAATTTAAAATAAAAAATAATTTATAATATATTACTTTTAAAGTTTTATAATAAAATATTAAAACTTTTAAAAAAGTTTTAAAATAATTTATAAAAAATAAAAGAAAATATAATAAATTTATTTTCTTTTAAGTTTATACTTTTATTATTAATAACTATTAACTTTTTAATAATATAAAAATATAATATAAATAAAGAAAGAAAAAGATTTAAAATTCCTTTATAAAAAATTATAAGAATATATATAAAGTTATTAAAAATTTTATATATAAATTTTAAATTAAGAAAGAAATAAATAGTTATATAGTATAAAGGAAAAATATAGTATAGTTAAAGCTTTAGAATATAGTATATATTAAAAATAATAAATACTTCTTAGAAAATAAAGCTACCTATAAATATTTAAGTTTAGTAAGAGAGAAATATATTACAACAAGTAGTCCTTTATGAATTCTAGCTAGGATGCTTGTATTTAGCAAGTATTGGGTCTAATATTGTGACAAAGTGGTCTTGTGTTTCAAGAAGACATCATAGGCCATAGCCTTGAGAATGGCATCAAGCATACAAACTTAGAGTTTGTGATATACGGCACAGAATTCTTCTGGTGCAGAACCGCTGGATATCATACGTAGTCCAAGATGTCGCCAGCCTCCTGGGACCGTGCCGCCCCCTTGGCAGGATGCGAAGTAGGTCTGGCTACATGCTGGTGGCCACAGAGAAAGACCTGAAGGAGGAGAATGGGGCAGTAAATGGACCCAGACAACACATGTTACCGGCATGCAGTTGGTGCTATGTGCTAAATTTGGGGGGGCAGGTCGACCAACAATGTGACAAAGCAGTTGACCCTGGCACCAACAAGAGTGGGTCTCCAGGCAGCCCAGCCCATTATTGTTGAATTTTGGCCAACAATAGCCTTGCCCTGTGACATGAATTGCTTCCTATTTTTGTGTTCCAACCAAATCGATCAGCTGTACCAACAACAGCCCGGCCTCATACCACAGACCATTCCCCTGTTTATGACACATCTTATCTCGACCGTTGTTGGTGGAGGCTTTGGACGCTAGACAATTATTCCTGTGTGTTAGTTAGCAGCACTGTTTGGAATGCAAGTTGCTCAAGTTGGAGAAATTGATAGTGGAATTTAGGAGTATGGATATGAAATGGAAGGTGCACTCATGGATAGAAACATGATCTACTAGTTCTAAATAGCCTTCCTCCTTAAATAGACCCTGGTCTAGCTAGATAGCTGGAAAGCCTTCCAGCACCAGGTCGCTGCACATGTCCACAACTACTCTAACATAAGGACGGATATTTCATCCTTGCCACATGAATTTTGTAACAGATTCTAAAAATATCAACTGCTGTTGTTGTGGACCACTTATTATCTCCACAAGGCCAGACTAATGGCTTCCTCGGCCTGCTACCTGAAGCCGGCCAGGACGGCCAGGACGGCCAGGACGGCCGGACTCTACAAGATGTATCAAGAACTGCGGCTCAGTTCACGATGCGTTGCTATGTGAAGTGACCATGCTTTTAATAATAAATACCCCCTTTCGCCAGAACATCATATTGACATCTCTTCCAAGAATCTTCAGAACCAGCACTCATCACTTATAATATCTCTTTACCACCCAATTTCTACTTCAAATCCAACTCCACCAAATACAATTCGAACAAAATCATGGCTCCTAAGGCAGCACCTCGATCAAGCCAGTCTACAACAGCCGGCGCTCCCAAGCCCACAGCCGCTAACGCTGTCAAGTCTCAGCAGGCTACTCACAGTACTACTCCTCGGCCAGGGCATGCCCACACCAAGCCCGTTAACGGTAGTGCATCGAAAGGGACTGGTAGTTCCAGTGACAAAAAATGCTGTCACATCTCGGTTACTCGGCGCACGGCTAAGCCCTCGAGGAACCTAGCTATCCGGCAAACAGCTAGTGGCAACAAAGGCCAACACACTTCGGTTACTTCTGGGGCGAATAATCCTTCGGGCAATCAAGACACCAGGAACGCAGGCAGTAGTAGCCATGCTACAAGCAGCTCAACTGGTCGCGCAACCAATTCCAGCACGGCTCCTGGAAAACCTGTCTGTGACCCGAGATCAAGACAAGAGGAGAGGAGATACAGCGGAATTCCCAAAGGTGGAAGCAACGACAGCTCTTTTGTGAAGATTGTTGTTTTTATATCACATGGACATGGCGATGACTGTTATTACAATCGTCATGTCAAGGCCCACTTCACCTCACCACAGGACCCAAACATGCATGAGACTGTTCACGCTGCATACTTTGCAGAATTCGATGGTTCTGCGCAGTGGGAAGTTCTTCGGGACCACAACAAAACGGAACAAGAATTGAGAATGAGCAGCTTGTTCAATTCGAAAATGGACCCCGTCTGGATAACGGTCAATAGGGGTCAGGAGAGGGTGCCGGCGAACATTTTTGCCAATGTGAGTGTGACCGATCGGGAGCCTGATTGGAACTGCCAAGACTTTTTATTGGAGGGATTCAAGGCGCTTGCACAGAGAGGTTATAAGACGATGCAGTGGTACAATGATTTTGTGGACGAGCTGCTTGAAGAAGTGATGTTAGGGTCTCAAACATAAGGTAAAACTATTGGGTTTGCTTAATCAAAGATTAAGAATGAACCCCAAGAGAATGTACTCTAGGTCATGGCGCTTATCAAAGAGGGATGGAATATGCTGGCCAATTGTCTCCCAGTCAACATTATCCAATCCACGCATTGCAAAAACGTACTCCCAATATTCTGGATACCAGCCCGCAAGTTCCCAGTCTATAACAGCAACAATGCGCCCGTCTCGCACCATGATATTCCGCGCGGCAATATCAGCATGTGTAAAAACAATAGGGTAGTCGGCACCGAGTTGTGTTGTAATTTGGTGCCAGTACATAGAGCGTGCGTTTTTGCGCAGCAGCGGGCTGGCCAGCCAGTCGTGGAACTCCCTTAGAGATCCAAAAGGCCCGCCCCCGCGCTCCATCATAAGGCTTGGGACTACGACGCCCTGGCCGTCGAGGCGGCCGAGAGAGGTACCGCTCAGGGAGCGCATTTGGGCAATATAGTCGCGAAGCTGGGCCAGGATTCCGGATTGTTGGCTGGGCGTGAGGACTGGCCAGGCCTGTTGTAACGTTTGGCCCTCAACGTACTCCATAGTCACGCGGTCCCAGTCACTGCTAATCACCTCGGGTACTGGGATCGTGGTATTGGCTTTTATGAAACGCAGTGCAACCGCTTCGTTTGGTGTGTCGTTTCGGCCGAAGCCGTGCACATTTGTTGTAATCTTGGTGATAGTATTGCCATGCCGGATGATGTAGCGGTTATGGATGTGGTGAATAATGTCACCCTCGGGGAAAGGAGCCGGCTGCCGCTCCGGCGGGGGGTTATCGCCAAACATTCTCCGCGTGCGATCCTGCTGCATCCTCTGCCGCCGGAGGGCGGCTAACGGCCTGATGGTTTCCCTCTCGTCCTTTGGCAATGGAGGCGTAGGCTTGATGAGCCTCCCCGCCAAGTCTGGGTGGCGATGCAGAAACTCGCCGGCGTAATCAGACGTGACTTGGTATCCGGTTCTGTCTCGATGATGAACCCGCTCCGCAAACCAGTTGATGAGTTCTTTTCGTACGACCGTGCCAGAGGACCTTTCTTTAGAGACCCACTCCTCAATTTCAAGCTCTTGCTCTTCTGGAGGCTGTAGCTGCTGTGGGTTCGATGTTTGGACGTTCGACATTGCTTTCGTCAAGTTCTGTAAGAGTAGACATACCGGACACCTGAGAGAGCTGTTCAGAGGTGATTGCCCCTACTTAAATACTTCAAAGTGCTTGAATTTCAGCATTAGGTAATGTTGTTCCTGTTGGTGGTCCGTGCCGCATATAGACCCTCCCAACCAGCCACCTTTATGCAGCAAACTTCACTTCACAGTCACTACTAGAGTACATCATCAGGTTCCTAGGCACCCCCCCCCCTCTTAGGTATATCATCACCCCTTTCCTCTTCCCTCCTTTTACTAATATAAAAAAAATACTTTATAAAAGAATTTTATATATTATTAAATTAATATTAATAATACTTTTTTTAAATATAAGAATGGAAATTTATATACCTAAAATTAGAAGGTGTATACCTAACTATAACTAAGTAGTACCCTAGTTAATTAGAGGACTTTATTTTAATTTATTATATTATTTAAAAAGTATTTTTTTATATCCTTTTTATTATACCCTATTATAAAGTTTTTATATTTAATAATATTTATTAACTATTATATTATTATATATTAAATTAATTATTTAAGTATTAAAATTATTAATTAAAATTAAATTTTATTATATTATTTAAATATTATTTTTAAGTATTACAATTAATAATATAAATATTTAATTATTTTAAATTTAAATTATAATAATAAATAGATTATTATAATTAAAATTATAATATTATTATTAATAATTATTACTTTTAATATTTTTAATTTTTATATTTTAAAACTTTTAATAATAAATATAATATTTATAAAAGCTTAAAGTTAAGTTAATTAAAATTATAAAGTTAATTAATTAGTTAATAATTTTTATAATTTAAAGCTATATTAAAAGTTTTAATTTATAATTATAATATATAATAATTTTTAGCTTTAATTATTTATAATAGTATTATAATTAAGGTTAATTATATTTAATAAGGATTTATTTATATAATTAAAGTTATAATAGGTAAGTAAAGGTTTATAATTTAAGAAGGAAGTATATTTATTATAGACTTTAAATAGTATTTAAAATAAAATAAAGTTAAATTAAGTTAATATTAAATTAATATAAATGTTTTTAAATTATTTATAATATTTTTATAATAAAGTTAAAGAAACTTAAATTTATATTTTAATAAAAGTATTTTATAATAGTATTAGAATTTAATATAATAAAATTTTAATTAGTAAAATAAAGGAAAGAGAGTTAAAGTATTTATATATTAATATAAATAATATTAAATTAATTTTAAAATAAAATTATTAATATTATTAAATTTAAAATAAAAGAGAAGTATTATTAATATTTTTAATATAAAAGATAATAGATTATATAGATTTAAAAGTAATATTTTTATAATATCTTTTAATTATATTTATATAATTAATAATAAAAGATATTATATTTTTAAAGTATAATTATAATATATATAAAGAAAATTTATTTTTATTTTAAGGTATTATTAATAATAAGAAGGAAATAAGTTTTTAATAACTTTTAAAGTAAGTTAAATTATTATTAATAAAGTATAAAGTTATAAGTTTAAGGGTTATTATTATTAATTATAATATTATTTTAATTAATATTATTAAATATATATTTTTATATTTATTATTAATTTTATATTTTTATATTAATATAAATATTATTTTTAATATTAAAAGAAATAGTAAAAGTATTAAATTTAAAGAGTATAAAGAAAAGAAAGTTAATAATAAAGAGAATTTAAGGTTTAAAGATTTAAATATAGCTTTATTTAATATTTTAATAAAAATAAAATAATAATTTTATTAAGGGTTTTAAATAAAATTTTTATATTTATTAAATTTTATTTAATTTATTTAAGTTTATAAAGTATTTAATTAATTATTAAATCTTTAATTTAATTTAATATTATTTATAAAAGAGTTTTTAAATTAGTAAATAATAATTTAATATTTAAAGATTTATTATATAAATAAAAAAGGAGATTATAATTAAATAAATAATTTATAAAATTTATAAAGTTTTTAACTTTAATTTATGTATAATATTTTTAATAAAGAGTATATATTAAAAGTTTAAAGTTTATTTAAATTATAAAATAAAGAATATTTTTACTTTATTAAAGTTATTTATAAGGTTTTAAAGGATATTATTTATAACTTTTAATTAAAAAAGTATATTAAAAGATAGTTTTTTTAAAAGTTTACTAGATAGAAATAATTAAAAAATTTTAATATAAGTTTTATAGGTAGCTTTAAATTTTTTTAAATATTAGAAAATATATTTTATAAATATTTAAAGGTAAGGTTTTATAGAGTAATTATTTATAATTAATATATATTTATTTTATATTTATATAATATAGTTTAATTTATATTAATTAAATTATTAATAAAAAGAGGTTAAGTAGTTTTTAAAAGGTTAATATATATAAATTTTTAATTTAATTATAATTTATTAATTAAAACCTTTTATTTATAATTTATTTATTAAAGTAGGTTAAATTAATTAAGGATACTTTTATAAAATAATTATATTTATAATTAATAAAGTAAGTATTTTTAAGTAAAATAAAAGCTAAGTAATAGTTATAATAGGTAAGAGAATAAAGTTAATAATTATTAATTTAAAAAGTAAGTTAGGTAATAAAATAAAGGTAATAATAGTTTTTCTTTAATAAGTAAATTTAGTTTAGGAGTGGAATAATTTAATTCTATAATTTTTAAATTAAGAGAATATTTATAGTAGTAGTATTTAGTAAGAGACTATTTAATAAGACTAATAGTTAGTAGTAAGGTTTATAAGGTAAGTAAATTATTAATTAAAGTAATAATTTATTTCCTTAAATATATTTTAATTATTTTATTAATAGTTAAAAGTAGTATATAGGAGTATAAAGGATTATTAATTAGTTATTATAGATAGATTTAATTATAAATAATATTATTTATAATAATAAAGGTATATAATTAGAAATTAAAGTATATATATAGTTAAGTATAAATTATATTTAAAATATTATTAAATTAGACTTTAATATATATAATTTATATAATTTTTACCTTATTTTATAGGTTAATAAAGAAATATTACTAAATAGTAGTTATATATAGTAACTTTAATAATTATTATAGTGGGCCTTAATTAAAATAAATTTATATATATATATGGGTACTATTTAGTTATAATTAAATATATACCTTTTAATTTTAAGTATATAAATTTCTATTCTTTTAAATATAAAGTTAAAAAACTTATAATTATAATTTTATAATTAATATTTTATTTAATTATATTATTGTGGGAATAGAGGTAATTGTAACTAGTAGATAGTTTAGGTTACGTGATCCTAGTTAGTAGACTATAGTGAGGGACTTGTAGCTAGCCCTTTAGGCCTAGCTTCCTCCCTTTTATATAATTTAACTTAACTAACTAAACCACTCTTTATGTATATATATATGATAACCTATACTAATAATTATATTATTATTATTATATTATTTTTTAATTTAATTTAAATATTTTTAAATTTATTTTCAAATTTAATATTTTTAAAAAATAAATTTAAAATTTCTATAAATTTTAATTTTAACTTATTTTAAATTAAATTTATAATTTTTTTAATTTTTTTAAAAGATATATTAATTATTTTAAATAATAATAGCTTTTAAAATTAAAAATTTATTTTATATAATTATAAATTTAATTATTAATAATTATTTCTTTTTTATTTATAAACTATTAAAATTATAAACTTAAAATAATAATAAAGTATAATTATTTTATTTAAAAGTTATATTTTAATTTAATAAAATATAATAAGTTAAATAATTATTTTTAAATACTTTTATTTATAAAATTAATAAATAAATATTAATGTAAATAAAAAAATAACTTTATTTTTATTTATTTTAATTAATATATATTTATATTTAAATTATATCTCTCTTAAATATAAAGTTAAAAGACTTATAATTATAATTTTTAATTAATTTTTATTTAATTATTTTATTATATTATAACTTAATTTAATCTTTAATTTTATTTAAACTTTTTTAAACTTCTTTAATATTTTTCCTTTAAATAAAATTAAATTTAAAAGGAGCCTTTAAGTTTAAATTTAAAATTATAATTCTTTAATTTTTAAAAATATATTAATTATTTTAAATATTAATAACTTTTTTAAAAGTAGAAATTTATTTTATATAATTATAAACCTAATTATTAATAATTATTTCTTCTTTTATAAAGTTATTAAAATTATAAACCTAAATAATAAAATATAATTATTTTACTTAATTATCTTTTAATTTAATAAATTAAGTAATTCTTTTATATAGTTTTATTTATAAAGTTAGTAAATAAATATTTATTTATAAAATAAAGTTAAAACTTTAATTAAAAGAATAATAACTTTATTTTTATTTATTTTAACTAACTTAAAAGCTTAAATTATATATTAATTTTATATATAATATTTAATAATATTAAAATTAATTTATAATTTATAGTAACTTTAACTTTTAATAAATTTATAATATTAATTTAAATCAATTAAATATAATTTAATATATTAATATAAAAGATATTTTTAATAATAAATAATATTATAAATATAAATTATAAAGTTATTATAAAAATCTTTATATAATAATTTAATTAAATTAATCTTTAAAAATATATTATATTTTATTCTTTTAAAACTTTAATTATTTACTTTTAATTTAATAATAAAATTAAAAATATATAAATAATTTATATTTAAATTATATAGTAATTTTATATATATAATATTTATTAATATTAAAATTAAATAACTTATAGTTTATAATAATTTTAATTTTTAATATATTAATTTAAATTAATATAATTTAATATATTAATTTAATATTATTTTAAAATAATTTTAAACTTTATAACTTTTAAATATAAAAAGTAATAAAAATATTAAATATTAAATTTATTAAAAATAATATTAAAATATAACTTAAATTTTATATAATTAATAATTATATTTTTATCTTTTAAAACTTTTATTAATAAAAATTAAAGATATAAATTAAAGTTATTAATAACTTTACTCTTCTAATAAATATATAGTAAGAATACTTTTAATTTAAATTAAAACTCTTTAATTTAAAGTTTTTAATTAATTAAAATAACTTTCTTTAATTCCTTTATATAACTAACTAAGCTTTTCTTAATTAATACTAGCTTTAATTAATCCTTAACTTCTAATTAACCTATTTAGATTTAAAGTAGCGGTATATCGTTAAAGTGAGTGAGTGGAGTAAAGGTATTTACTAATTAATTACTTAAAAGAATAACTTTTATAAGTTTTAAAATAACTATTTATATAACTATATTAAAAATATTTTTTTTAATAATAAATAATATTATAAATAATTATAAAATTATTATAATTATAAATAGTTTTAAATATATTAAATTAAATTAAATTAATCTTTAAAAATAAATTATATTTTATTTTTTTAAAACTTTAATTATTTACTTTTAATTTAATAATAAAATTAAAAATATTATAAATATAGGAATAGTAGGCTGCAGTAGATTAGCCACTACAAGACTAGTAGGCCCGTATATATGCACGAACCAAGCTTAGTCAGCAGGTTTGGCCAACCTAACTGGGCGCTTCGCCGCCCAGCCAGGCAGACCTCTAACTATTACCAATATACACCACTTCTACCACCACTTCTTACACATAAGCTAAGCCAACCATCAATAAATAATTTATAAATAATTTATATATTTCTATTAATAATATTATATATTTAATATTATAAAATATTATATTTATTTTTATATACTTTATATTTTTTATAATTATTTTATAAAGATTTATTTTTATTTTTAAAATATTATAATTAAAAAGAATATAATAAAGTTATTTTTATTTTTAATATAATATTTATTAATAAAAGATTAATAATTAATTATTATAAATAAACTTTTTTTAAATATAATTATAAACTTTTTAATTTTATATTTTTAAAAACTTAAATATAATATTTATTTATAATATAAAATTAAAATTTTAAATAATAATAATAATAATTTTATTTTATTTTTAAAGATATTATTATTTACTTTTTTAACCTTTAATCTATTAATAAAACTTAGTAAAAGAATATAAATAAAGTAAGGAAACTTCCTAGAGCTTTAAAATAGATATCGTATCTATGATTCGGTCTGCTAGAGGTCCTTGCCATTACTCATAGTTCCTATAACCCCAGTCATTTACGTCAGACCTCTCAACTGCCACAAAGTCAACATGCTGGAAGAATACGTGATCATTCCGAGCCTCGACGCACAGAACCGGTGGAATATTCAAATTGACAACGGCATAATTATATCAAGAACCCCTTCACTACCTAGCTCATCGTCCTCGCCCAAACTTCTCTTGCCACCTCTCTGCCACCCGCATATACATCTTGACAAGGCCTATCTCCTCACCGGCAACAAACCAACCTCCCATGGACAGCCAGACTATTCCGATCTCATGCCCCAGACGGGCGACTTCAAGGAAGCCCTCGCGAACACCTCGGCCGCGAAGGGGCGGTACACCGAAGAGGACCTGTACCTCCGCGGCTCACAGCTCCTCGCCGACAGTTACCGGCACGGGGTGACCTCGATGCGGGCTTTCGTCGAAGTAGACGTCGTCACGCAATTCAAGACGGTCGAAGCAGCCATCAGACTCAAGAGGGATTTCGGCCACCTGATTGAGATACAGATCTGTGTCTTTGCTCAGGACCCCATCTTCTCGGGAGACAGTGGGCGTCGCAACCGGGAGCTCCTCATCAAGGCGCTGGACAAGTACGATGGAGACGTCGAGGCCCTGGGGACGACCCCGTATGTCGAGACGGATCAGCACGCCGCGGTCGAGAACATCGATTTTGCCATCCGGACAGCGATTGAGAGGGGCCTGTTCCTGGATTTTCATCTGGATTACCATCTGGAACCCCCGCCGGACCCAGCACCAGGCACGCTCCTCGAGACCCTGATCAAGCACCTCATTTACCACAGGTGGACTGAGCGAGCTTCGAAAACCAGACAGGCTATCGCCATCGGCCACTGTACAAGACTAACCACCATGGAGTCGTCATTGACGGCAGCTGTAGCCGGCCTGATCAAAGACCACAAGCTGCCGGTCCACTTCGTCGGGCTGCCCACGAGTGACCTCTACATGATGGGACGGCCCAAAGCATCAGAGCACCAAGGCCCCGGCCGGCCACACACGCGCCCGAGGGGCACAATGCAGATCCCCTCGATGATCAAGGACCTGGGCCTCAACGGCTGCCTGGGCGTCAACAACGTCGGCAACGCCTTCACGCCCAGCGGCGACGGGGACCCGCTGCAGCTGGCCAGCTGGGGGGTCCTGCTGTACCATGCCGGCGCGGAGTCTGATGCCGGGCTACTGTACGGGTGCGTAAGCGAGCGGGCGAGGAGGGCGATTGGGATATCCTCGGCAGATGAGATAGGCGAGGAGCTTTCGCGGGCGTCGCGGGACTCTCAGGGCCTAGGTCGCGGCGTGCCTGTTCCCGGTCTTCTTGTCGTTAACGATGACTGTGTGGTCCTCCCTGGGAAAGATGGCGATGGGTCTGCTCGGATCACGGTGCCTGCCCGACAGAGGCTCAGTGTCAAAGATGTTGTCTGGGATCCGCCCGCCCGGAGATCCGTTTTGAGGTGAGGGATACCTCATAGTTTCAACGCTGTGGGAAGTTCCTGATCCACAGTATCATGGCCTCGGGCTGGCTCTGAGCACCCCAAGGTGGCTGATGATCAGTAAGACGTATTTCACTACAAATTGTTTCCTTTGTACGGGTGTTTGCTACATGGCTACATACAGCATCTGGTGGTGGTAGACCAGCCACCTGGGTAAGCAGTCCTCACTTGTATATAAAGCAAATTCTGGTTTCTAGGTCACGGTATTCTGAACTATAGTTATACTGCCCCTCCTTCCAATGCAGGTACACGCTGTCATGTTTGCTACCCTCAAGCTGCTAGAAAAGTCTCGACCTTCGATAAAGCCTGTGAACTGCTACACTTGCTCTTGACGTGATAATTCTATCATGTTGTGGCTACCATGAGGAGACATTAGTGAAGGCCTGTCGAGAAACACTTCAAATGGTGTGAACCCAGATTTGCATATTTCACAACCCGAGAGCCATCCGATATGCCTGGTATGGAATCGAGTTCCTAGCTGATAGATCTTGTGATGTGTACCTAGGTAGCAGCACATTCACTTAATTTTGTGTCAGCTGGTTTACAGTGAATGGTGGTGGTTTGTTTGCTCTCAACTAGTGGATGCCTTGCATGGCTGGCTTCGAGGGCCACGATTTGGCCTACTCGGGAGGAGCTGTCATGCTGGTTTGGCAAGAACCACCCTCTTGTGAACGTTGCTGCTCACAACAAGGACCCAAATTTCACATCCTCCCACTCCCGACTGGCAAGGTCTACCAGAACCACAGTTGACTCCCTTCATATCCACCCAGCATCCAGGCTCGGCCGCGTCTCCAGTTTTGGTATACATATCAAACACACAGCTGAGGCCGGGAGGAGTGAATATGCATGGTTAAACCATTGCCTTTCACTTGGATAAGGCATTTTCATTCATCTTTGATCTCTCCTGGTATCTGCACTCCGCCCATGCTGCTCGGGCGCCTACTCGACGCAACAACTGCATCATTCGCAAACTTTGCATCTTTCATAACCACTTCGCAGCCGAAACAATCAAGTACCAACCTCTAGGAGGCTGTCCAGGCCGAAAGGTATCGCTTCGGAGGGGGCATTAGCACTCACACTTTCCGGAGAATCCTACCTCAATCCAGCACTTGCTTCGGGACTCCATCTCACACTCGCTTCCTCTTTGGCCATCACCACAACCTCGCCCTCTACTTGACCCAAGGCTCAAGGTCATTCTCAGAGGCAGGAGTCGGCAAATTCAAGACCAGAGAGGCTGGCAGCGTTAAGGGTCATTTGAGATTGGGCTTGTCATCCATTCACCCATACATTGCGACTTGGCCTCAACCCCCCTTTCAATGGTGCGAACTCGAGGCCAAACACGTCGAATCGAAGCAAATCGCCCGCTCCATTTCATGATACACGGCCCAACCAGCCTCAAACCAGGCCCAAGCCAAACAAAGCGTAACAAAAAGCTAAAGGCTGAAGACCTAATAATCTGGCCGTTGACCAAGCCGATTCCAACCCGGCCTAAAACCAGAGCAGCGGCCAAGATGGCTAAGCTCGCCACCCATAAGGTCCAAAAGACACCTACCACTGTCCCGAACAAGCCCATCGGAGCCCGCAGAACGGGCAAGGTGACCACCGCCGAGGACGATGACGCGTCTTCCAACAGCAGCAAGACAACTTGCTCAATTGCCAATGACAACCGCGCTGCCGCCAAAATCACCTTCTTTAGCATCCCAAAGGAGCACGTTGAGCAGCACACCCTGCTCGTCAGGCCGCAGCCGGGAGTGAGCATCGAGGTCGTCGAGAAGGCCATCCGCAGCTGTGTCGTCAGCCCCTGCGGCAACGTGCTGCTGGGCCCGGCGCGCACGAGGAAGTCGATGGTGTCGTCGGGCGGCGGGAGCGCGGCGACGATGGAGACGAAGCTGGAGATGGAGGTCATCTACCACGACTGCAGCCGGCGGGGCGGGCCGACGCTGGAGGTTTGCCGGAGGATGCAGATCAGCAACGGGCTCGGGGAGAGACGGCGGCATGAGCCGCTGAGGATGGAGGACGTGTTGCTCATCGTGGGCAGCAGGATGCCCGAGCTCGTGGACTCGTGCGAGGTGGTCATGGACAAGAGCTGGGCTGTGACCGCCAAACCGAGCTTGGGATAGAGTCATCACGCATCTCGATCTGACGGCAGCACTGGCGGGTTATCTGCAGCCAGGGCTGGGACAGCCCTCTTGCTCTGTCTGAGGAGTCGTTCCGCATGAGGAGCGAGGTACACGTGCAAAGCATAGCGACTGGAAAGATGGAGCTTTGGTTTTTTTGGGGACCTCTTTTGTGCAGCGTCAAATATTCCACGTAAAATAGTATCGTGGCGCTTGGAGAACAAGCAATAGACTGATTACCTTCTACTCTATAAGAAGACCTCTGCTTCTCTCACCCGTGATTGATAGGCCACGATGTGACGACGGCAAGTCCATACTGTAAAAGAACAAGGGTGGTAGAGAGGTGTCTCCATACAGTAGGTGAGTTCAGCTGCCGAGCATCTTCTACCCCGCCAATTACTCACCGCTATACTATTCGTCTAGAATAGGCTAAAAATAGGGACTACAAACGCACCATAGTTCTGAAACTCTGCACTCTGATTGGTTGTCCGCCGCCAGCACGCACAGACCAGGCCGAACGCACCATGGTTCCGAAACTCTGCAAGCTGATTGGCTCATCTCGAACCCGAACCCCCATCGAGGGAAGGCGAGGCCGCAGGCCTCGCCGGGGGGGGGTGAGCCGCGCCGAAGGCGCGGCGAGGGGGGGGGGCTGCGCAGCAGGGGCCCCCCCTAGAATAGCAATGCTTCGAAAGCCAGAAGTCCTATAGACGAATAGCTCCCAGGGCCCCGGAGGGGCTTCCCACCTGGTTTAACCCCCCCTGGTGCGCTTATAAGGGAACACAGATCCCCAACGGCGGAAGACGATTCGCCGCACATGCACATGCACTTGGATCCCGCCTGGAGTGGGTGTGTGGGTGTCTCCGTACGTATGGCTGCTTGGTATGTATGTATGTGCTGCCAGCTGCCATGACGAGTGGTCAAGTGATTGCCCGGCCAAAACCAACACTCGCTGAACAGTCGACTCAGTCGCCCACCCATGGGAATTCCTGCAGTAGCGTGAATCAGCTGCCGCCGCAGCACCTCTCCCCTTCTCAGCAGTCGGTTATTATCCTGACGACTGACGACTGACGACAATCCTGTCTTCTCCCCTCCTGCAACTCAAAATTCTGGCCTGAGACAACAGCCGGGACATACCCAGGACCATGTCCGCCTCGATACGACCAATCAGCCCGCCCCGGCCCTCGTCGGCATCGGTGACGGCTACCACCGTATCATCGTCCTCGCCCCCGACCACCACCAGCAGGAGCACGGTCTTTCCGAGCGGGAGCTCTCGCGGCGGCGGAGGAGGCCCGTCCACGACCGGCCCGTCCTCCGCCTCGTCTGCTGCCCATCCGCCTCATCCTCATCCTCATCCTCATCCTCATATCAACAACAACAACAACAATAATAACAACAACAACCACCCCGTCCCGGCGCCACCCGGCGTAGCAGCCGGGACACAGGCCCACGAGGCCCAGCAGACACATCCTCCCGCTCACGCCCACGCCCACCCTCACCACAACCCTCACCAACCACACATCCCCCACCCCGCCCAAGCCCACCCCCACGCCCAGCACAGGCCTCCACCACCCTCCTCCTCATCAGCAGCAGCAGCAGCAGCAGCAGGCCGCGCCCCAGCCTCCCCGACGAACCCCTCGCACCTGCCCACCGAGGCAGAGCAGGAGCAGATCGCCCAGGCGCGCACGGCACTGGTGGCGAGCATCGGCAACACGCTCGACCACGAGCTGCAGACGCGCGCCTCGCTGCTGCACGCGAACCAGGCCGCCATCGAGAAGCAGGAGCGCGACGTCGAGCGCGCCCTGGCCGACCTGCGCCGCGAGGACGACAGGCTGCTCAAGGTCCTCAACAACGGGTCGCGCCAGGTCAAGGAGCTGGGCGACGTCCAGAACTGGGCCGAGCGCCTCGAGAGGGACTTCCTCGTGCTCGAGGAGACCATGAGGCTCGTCCACGAGGGGAGCGGCGGGAGCGGGAGCGAGAGTGGAAGCTGGACGGGGAGCGAGAGCGGGAGCTGGTCTGGGAGTGAGGGGGGCAGCGTTGTTGGGGATGGGGACGAGGATGGGGACGGGGACGTGAGGATGGCGGATGGCGATGGGGACGGGGATCTTGATGTCGAACGTGTCGGCGAGGATGCCGCGGCCAAGGGCAAGGGGAAGGGCAAGCAGCTGGACGAGCCCCCGTCTACGAATGCCATGGACCTCGACCCGACGACCCAGGAATCATCGCGGACTAGGCCAGCCGGCCCTGAGCCGAATATGCTTGTCGACCTCGTCTCGGCCAGCGGACCAACACCAGCACCACAGCAGTCACCGACATCGACAGGCTGGCTGAGGAGATTTTGGTGGCGGAGCTGATTCACACGACTCGGTGTCGAGCAGCATGCAACTTGGACCTGTCATGATTGATGAATTTACCGATACCACGAATAGCCTGGCCGAGCCCCTTTCTATTAATGTTAGACTAGCGTCACTTGCGATTCCATCTGTTCTAGCATAGTATTGCCCGCATTGGCATGGGACAATGACCGAATGAGACTCAGTCACACCTGCCCACCACTCCCAAGCCCTACAAGTGCCAGCACACCTGCGTGTCACCCCGCCTAGGCGAGCCCGGGGAACATGGTGTACCTCTTCTTCTTGTACTTGTCGCCAAAGTGGGCCCTCAGCGCCTTCTCCTTGTCACGCGACCACGGGATCATGTACGAGATGCCGATGGAGATGAACAGGACCACGGACCACTCCCTCGCGACGAGGATGACGCCGATCCACGCGATGATCTCAAACATGTAGTTGGGGGAGGTGACGAGGCTGGACCCGATGCAGCTGGGGATGCCCTTCTCGGTGGTGCCGGGCCGGCGCAGGCCCGCCAGGTGCACGTGCACGACAAAGTTGCACAGCTCGCCGCCGGCGTACAGCGCGAGGCCGACGTAGTCGAGGAGGCCGAACGAGTCGCGGGCGGCGAACGACCTGGGCGAGTAGATCATGTAGCCGCACAGCAGGCCGGCCGAGGCCCAGTAGAAGAAGGAGTTGCGCACGATGTTCCAGGCCGGCATGGTGCTGGCCGAGAAGTTGTGCAGGAAGGCCGTCTCGAGCTCGCGCTTGGCAAAGTGCGCCATGAACATGTAGAAGCACGCCTGCTGCACCACCGTCACCGGCAGCTTGTCCGCGCCCTTGTAGAAGTACGGGTCGACCTTGGCCAGCTGCGGGCGGATCGAGTAGAAGAGGGCGTGGAAGAGGAGCGGCCCCAGGTACTCGACGAGGTAGACGGTTCGCCATCCCATCTGGGGGCCTGGGGTGGGCTGTTAGCGGGGTGACCAGATCACGGGAATGAGCTTGGTGTGGTTGGGCGGTCATCACGTACCCAAGTCCTGGACGAGGAGCTCTCCTGACGATGTGACATCTTCCAGGTTGCGGATCAGGGCCCTGCGGTCCCCGATCCTCTTTCTCGTGGAGGGGTGGAAGAGACCAATGCGGTTGAAATCCTTCACGCCAGCCTGGCGGGCGATGGCCTTCTTGGCATCTTCGACCTCGGCGTCGAGGGACAGCTCGATGGTAGGGGGGAGCTTCCGAAGTGGTTTCTTAGGGGCTGGTGCCAGACATTGTTAGCAAGGCACATGAGACCAATTGCCAAATTGCCAATTGGAGGACACTCACCTCGATTGGAAAGCTTGAGCGAGATTTTGGAAGCCATGGCTGTACTGACAGAGCTCCTGGGCACAGCGAGTCCAGAAAACTATGGCCGTGGATGGATTGGGGAATTTTAGAAAGGTGTACACCCGGCCCTCCAAATTTGTTGAATCCCTCCAAAGTTTGCATCACCCAGACTAGCTGCAGGTGTCCATCAGGATCGAGCCTCGGCTTGCAAGGTGCCAAGCTACGCAAGCTGCAGGCCGTCCCGCTCCACGTGTAACCCTGGACCAGCCAGCCTACTAGGGCACCTGTCAAGCCTGTGGACGTCACACTATCCTCAGCCCTTTTAGGTAATTACCAAGGAACTTCACAAGTAGCAGTCAGCTCTGCAATTGCTCTCTAACAGCTAGTTTGTCAGTATCGCGAGCTTCATGGCCCATCAACCCCCCTGGTACTTCGAAACCGGTCACCATGGCATTGGTGGTGTATATTACCAACACACCCGGCTGAGCCTCCTTTGTAACATCTACCAGATTGGCTTTCCAAGGCCAAGAATGTAACGAAACAACTTGCCCAGGGATTTCACGGCCTTCGCTGTTCGCACGCCCGTACTATGTGAAAACCCTAAAAACACAGGCTTCTATATATTCTGGGCTCGCCCTCACGACCGGCCCACACAGTGTCCCTGGGTGAAGAACCCAGGTCGTGATTCCCTCTTTCAACGTTGATCCTATTTCTGACTCCGGCATGCCGGACACGCCAACAGCAAGTCGCCCCGACGAGGGCGACGGCCTCATCGACCACGTGTGGTTTCGTTTGTAATCTCCATACATATAAATCGTATGTGGCGCCTTCATACAGTGGTAAACGCTCAAGACCAGAATACGGAAGGTCGTGCTTTCTCGCGTGGTGCAGGCCAATTGCTGTGTCTCAAAGCCACGGGAATCTCCTTTTTCGAAGTTTTATCATCGAAGTGCCACCGTATGAAGGCGCCATGTATGTCCTCGGACGTATACGGAATAGAAGCGAAACCGCATATAGTATAAAAGAAAAATACAGTATGGCTGAAGCCCTTAAATATTGTAATCAGACATTCACGCCTGCAAAACCGGAGGGCACAACTCATAGGCGATGAGGAAAGCACTCAACCACTAGGGTAACGGAGATGATGATATTTTTGATGCCTAAAAGTACATATAAATACCTGGGTATTTAGCTGGACATGTATTTAGGTGGTCAAGGATTTTACTCGAGCTTTCTACATGGAGAGTAGCGGGCCTGTACTTCAATCTTGTAATTTGTCCGTAGGGCTGCAGTTTGTGTGTACACTCCCTTTTTGCGGATGTAAATCTCCGATGTCCGAATATTCGGCTTTTAAATGATGATGTGAATAAATGGTTAAGGTACTAAGTATACAGAAGTATTTACAGGTCTCAGAATCTTCTGTTACCGCGGTAAGTCGCGCCCACGCAAGTAGTGCGCAACATGGAATGAAGCAGACCACAGGATGGCTCCTTCCTGCAAATCTTGGACAAAGAACCAAGCTATCCTTCCAAAATCAAACCTCAATTAAGCACCAAACCAACGGTCAATTTGATCTTCGTACCAAGCACAACCCTCGACGACCAGCAATTCCATCAATCCAGTACCCAGACCCAACCAAACTGACCTTCGAGATGCAGTCAGCCACGCTCCTTGTCACCTCGATGGTGATGGCACTTTTCTACGTGCTCACGGATGCTGCGCCTCCTTCGTCCAGCCTCCTTGGCAACCTGCTCGACAACTTCAATTCAACCGACCCCAGAGTCCCCATGGTCTCCGTGGTCAATCTGGGCGACCCGAATGATGTCCATTCTGTACCCGACCTCAACTCTGACATTTGGAAGAACAAGAGAACCTGCTACGATTCGCGGGCGAGTGAGAAATGGCAGGATGTCGGCGGGCAGCATTCACAGTTTGTCAACGACACAGTCCTTAACATGTGCAGGTTCATCACCGCCTACACGATCAGCGCCGGTTGGGACAAGGACGCTCCAGTAAGTAACAATCAATAAGAACCCTTCTAAAACAGGTACCCCCCACCCACACTTGCTCACAACTGGGTGAAGATATCCATTTGTACGAACATCGACGCCGACACCCAGGTTAGCGAGGGCAGCCCGCGCAGCCTTCGGAGTATTGCTATTATGGTCACCTACAGGGGCGCCAGCAACATCCGCGAGGATCTTCTCCCAGGGTTCGGTCCTGTGGACTGCTTTGCGATTTTGTGGCCGCCTCTGGCTTGCAGCGCAGGTGGAGAATTCATCATGTTGTACGACAGCTCTCCGCCACGCTTCTTCGAGGCCAAGGGGGACCCGAATCGAGGCGACTGTACCGAGAACGGATACCGGCTCATACTGAAGCCTGACGGCACTCCGGGCACCGAGATTTGACCGCAATACAACGACAAGCGATCACACCGTATCGAGCAACGCCACAGTTTTAAGAAATCAACAGGTTGAATGGGTCCATGTTTCAGTGCTGGGATCTCGCTCTGCAGTGGTCATGTCCTAGAGCTTCGTCTGATAATTACGTATTTGGACTTCAGAGAGGATATCAAATTACCTTCGGCCCAAATGTCTCGAATTAACAGTGACCAAATGAAATATTGAATGAAGCGCTCCGCGCCGCAGCTTTCGTGATTTCCTAACTGCTTCGCCTACCCTGCCGCCCCCTCCAGCTGCGCCAGCGTATCGAATCATGTCAAATCAGAAGAATTTAGACTTGGCTTTCCTATCCTATGGCCTCCTATTCATGAAGTCCTTACCTGAAGCCAGGTGACAGGTCTACGAGCAATTGTCGTCCAGTCCATGGGTGGGGTTGAACAGCATGTTGCCCATGTATCTGATCCTCCGGCTGCAGGAAGTGTTGGTCCCCGGTTGCACATCGATGTCATTGGGCAGTCTTGCTCGCACTGCATACTTCGTATTAGTGGGTGCGCAACCTTTGGGCCACATGCATGATGCCACAGAAACCCCTGCCAGCATTCCCGGACTCGGCCTTCCCAAGTCCCATAGTGGATCCGCGCAGTTATTTCTAACCACCCACCGCAGGCCGTGTCCCCATGCCGTATGAGCTGCGCAATCTCTTCCCCTCTCCCTCAAAATATTCCCTACCTACCTAGGTAGGTAGCAACAACGTCACCTGAGTATGGAGGACCGTCAATCGCCACTTATTGACGAGATAGCTACTGCTCTCAGGAAACCGCTTGAGGATCCCTACCCTTTCGACACCTCAGGCAAACCCAGAGCCCCAAATAAGTTTGATAAGAAGCTCGATGAAACTTGCAAAAGTGGTGAACGCAACGTATTGCTAGACACGGGCTTTCAGGCCTGGTTTGCCTACATTCAGGCCGAGCCTAGGGCTCAATTGTCCTTTGATCAGCTGCCAGACTCAGAGGCCAGGGGCGTAGCACGCTACCTCTGCACCATCCAACCCCATCCAACCGTGGAATTACTCTTCCAGCATGTCTTATACGAGGCTTTTCGTGCTGTGCAACGCCGCTGTGGGTGTCTACTCTGAACCAGATGTCAAGTTCCGAGGTTCACAGCTGACGGCTAGTAGGTCAACTTCAGGCCTCAAACTACCATAATTTCCCAGCAGCCCGAAATGTGGCTCCGTTAGGGCGTGCCTCCCCAACCAGTGCAGCTTCAGTCCAACCACTGGCACAAGATATCGACGAGCCTCGGTCAATGGACAATGACGCAAGGCGTAACCACGTCGAACAAGAACAGGGCAACTCTCCCATAGTTGAAGCGACTTCAGGTCAACCACAGACCGCTAATGAACCACAACCCGTGGCTGATCACAGACGGCGGAGCAGTGCCGAACAACAAAGTACACTACATACCAAGAGTCACCCCAACAACTCTACCTTGAACACAAGGACACACAACGCTGTTCAACGCCCCAGGCTGGCTCCCTTAACAAACGCTTTCGATCAGGACCTGAGAAGACTACCTCCCCCCCGAGGCCGTGGCCCGGACACGGGAGAGTTGCCTCCAGCTGTCGGGATAACAGCGGCAAATATGGCAAACAACTCGTGGTCGTTTCCTAAGGCAAAGAACATTCTCTCGCTTCTCCCGAATCTGACCTGGTACTCGGTTGTCAAGTCAAATTCGTTGGCAACCATTCGAATGATTTTCGGAGACACACCATCGCAGTGCCACCTGGAGATCGACGTCTATGCTCAAAAGATCCCATACATTGCCAGAGAGCTGTTCGGATTGACGTTTGACGTGGAGAATGGGAGGCTAACTATGAGAGCTACTGAGAGCTGTGCAAATATGACATTCGAGAAGGTCACGCTTACTGGGGCAGACCTCAATGGCAGTGAAAAGATTTTCGGCGAGGTCTTCCGAATCCTCAAGGATGACCCCTTATATGAAGATGAGATTGAGAATGGAATGCCTGTGACCAGCCTCGTCTCTTTGGACATCAGAGGCAAAATTGGAGATCCAAGCTGCCTCAAGATTCGAAGTACTGCACAAACGATGGCAATAATAGCCAAAAAGCTGTGGCCGCAATATCCATTCTTCAGCTAGATCAAACTCCTTCGTAAACTTGAATCCACTTGCTGTATCGATGTTTGTGATCTGTTTCTTGTCACAAAGGTCCTGGTCACGAGGGACCACATGATGGTCATGAGTAGCAAAAAGAAATACAAGCAGCCCAGGGAGACGTTACATCGTCTGACAGAAAAGAGTTATTGACAATGCAGAGTTTCTCATTATTGGTTTCCTTTCCAGTCTTCTGGCTTACTTGCCTCTCCGCTCCTTGATAGACCAAACCGGCCCTTGTGCGTACGACTGCGATACCTCAACCACCCCCAAATTTTGACGTCCTGGTGGGATGTCATGGGCTATTGCTTTCACCGTAGCTATGTGGCTACAGCCGCTGACACCCCCCCACTCGTGCCACGTAAAAGATCTTCAGTGTGAAAGGCCAACGTTGAACTTTGAAAAGTCGGTGTGCTTCTGGAGCCTTGGGAGTGTACAAGATTTTAGGGACCTGTCATTTATCACAGAATAATTGCCAACATTGCTTTGTTTCAAAATGAACAACGCATCGCCCCCCACTTCGCCCACGACTCAAAGCTTCTTACCGGTACTTCCTCTGGCACCAAATTGTTCCTCCAGTCAGATACGCTTGCCATCCTACCTGTAGCGGCAGCTGCCCCGTCGATGGCATCTTCTTCCACTTTTTATCGCTTGGCGTCATGTAATACGCTGAACACTCTTTCCAGAATATCATCTGTCCCTCGCCCTTGTACACCGCGGGGCCGGAATCTGCGACTTTCTGGAAGGCAGTCGGGTTGGGCAGCGTTTCAAAACCCTCCTGCTGGAGCCCCGGGAGGTTGTCATCAATGGTGGCCTCCGAGACGGTGGGATCGATAGTAGCCTATGAGACTTAGCCTTGACAGTGGTCATGGATGGCACGTCAGGTTGCTTACCATGAGGAATTGCAGGGTACTTGGAGCAGTTTTTGTTTCATTCCATGTACAAAATCTCGATTTTACCAGCCTAAAAAAAAAGAAGGTGAACTCTCTGTCCAAAGTTGGCTGAAATATTCCCAGTGGCATTCGGTCATTGGGCAAGTTACGGGCTTGGCGTGGCCAGCCTGGGTGCTCCGGTTTGCGCAATACATGCGCGCATCCCTGGCTACTTGCGTGCAATTGACCCACCTTGCTGCAAGCAGGTGCATCCGCGGCCTCCCCCCCCCCATGAACTCACCGCTGCACTCAGCAGGCACCAACAGCCTGCATAATTAATTGTCTTGGTTTGCTGTACTGTGTAAAAGCAAGTTTTCCATGCAAGTTCCTTGCAATCCTGTCCCAAGAGGATTGAACTCCTGAAAACATGTGTACTGAAGTCTTCAGGTAATAATGACACCGGTTGCGGTGCAAGGTGACTCTAGGAAGGGGGGGAAAAAAAGTAAAAAGAAGAAAGGTAAGAAGAAATTAACAAGAAAACAAAAGTACCTCTTTGCGCACAGGAACCAAACTTTTTTTTCGCACGGTTTTACAGTTTTGCTTAACTGTCTTTAACCTATAGTTCTCAAACAAGGGATTACTTGGGCTCATTAGGCCACAAAAATTACTATAGGAGGTGCTACTAAGGTTACATTAAATGCGAGACACTAATTACTAGTAGCTAAGAAGTCTGCTGAGTAAATCATGCATGGGTGTATAAATATTGACCATCTTATTGAAACTGTGGTTCATTACTGGTGGCCAGTGAGCTTACTTACTTGAATTTTGAGAATATGTTGCTAAAAATCACGGTTGGACCGGGTCATTAATTTATCCAAGATCAGCACAGGTATGCCACTTCCGGGGACATAAGATTCAGTCGAAGCTTAGACCGAGAGCGCTTGTCTGCATCTGGAGACACAAGAGTGCACATGTGGCGGGTTGTTACATGTGATACAGTATCATGTTCAGCGCCTGCTGCATGTCAGGCTTCACGGCTTTTCAGAGACCAACAGCCTGCCTTTTGTAAAATATGATGGCAGCCCTTGAAATTTCACACTTGACAAAAGACGATGGTGTCCAGGTATATTTTCGCAGCAGCAGATGTATGTCTGGTGGCTGGCAGGCATGTGAACCGCGAGCACTTGAGGGGTGACAAACCATCTGATTTGAATGCGAGCAATTGACTAATTGTCCTGTGCGGTGACCTTAGGTGTAGGATTAGCTTTGGGGCCTTAATGAAGCCTCAAGAACATCCGAAGGTGTGAGCAAGAAGAAACAGTTTTTTCTGTTACTCAGTCCAAATGCAGTGATTATGCTGATGAACCACTCCAAGCGTTCCCCGAGTGCCGGAACAACATTCCTGACTCTAACCGCGATGACAAATGGAGGTTCTGTGGGGTGCGGGGCTTGTGGAGCTTGTGCCTATTCGCCTTAGAAGAGAAGTTTATATAAACCACACCTCTAGTCTGGCTTGGCAACCCTGCTCATCATTGGAGAAGATCGGATCCGTGACGACAACATACTCACTCTTATGATCAGATCAGGCCCCAGATTGCAGGCCATACTGAGAAGCCTCAAACCGAACAGTGCACCTCTCCACACATCAGCAGGACTCGCCATGCGCGCCGTAATCTACGATAAGACTGGGGACTCCTCCGTCCTCCACGTTGGCGACATTCCTAAGCCGAAAATCGGACCTAGCGATGCCCTCGTAAAAGTTGACTATGCAGGTCTGCTACACCCCTACTCCCGCTCAAGTGACTTATGCGCAGTGGCAGATGCTTCTTAATGATCGGGAAAGCTAGACTTCAGGATACTAACGTTTCTGCGCAGGCGTTAACTTCATCGACGTTTACTTCAGAACTGGCTTGTATGCAACCGAATTCCCAGCAATCACTGGCCGTGAGGGAGCTGGCGTCATAGAGGAGCTCGGTCCTGATGTCCCCTCGTCCTACAATCTCAAGGTCGGCGACAGAGTCGCGATGTACTCTCAGAACGTCATGGCCGAGTACGCGGCGCCTGCGGCCTCGAAGCTCATGAAGCTGCCCGACGGCGTGTCCAACCGGGATGGCGCAGCGCTCATCCTGCAAGGCCTAACGGCGTGGACGCTGGTGCGCGACGCCCACGAGGTCAAGCCGGGCGACGTCGTGCTGGTGCACGCCGCGGCTGGTGGCACCGGCGGCCTCATCGTCCAGATGGCGAAACACCTCGGTGCCACGGTTATCGGCACGGCGTCCACGCCTGAGAAGATCGAGATCGCGAAGAGGCATGGTGCCGACCACGTCATCAACTACTCCAACCAGAAGGTCCTGGACGAAGTGATGAAGCTGACCGATGGCAAGGGCTGCCACGCCGTGTTCAGCGGGATCGGAAAGGCCACATTCGATGATGACCTCGAGTGTGTTGGCAGGAAGGGCACAATGATCACCTTCGGAAACTCTTCGGGCGCCATCGAGGGTTTCCGCCCCTTGGCGCTTGGCAAGAAGAACGTCAAGCTTCTGAGGCCGAGGCTGGATGTCTACGTGTCGGAGAGGGAGGACTGGGAACAGCGGTCATCAGAGTTGCTGGACCTTGTTGCGAAGGGTGTGGTCAAGCTGGACATTGGCAAGGAGTACAAGATGGAAGAGGTTCCCCAGGCTCACGATGATCTCGCCGGAAGGAAGAGCACAGGAAAGCTGATTGTCAAGATCTCGTGATCAGAGCTCTTGTTAGAAGAAAATAATAGCAACGAGGAGAATGCACACAATTTACAGCCCTCAACATGTTCTTGTGCCGCTCTGATACCTCGAGATCTCTGCTAGCGAGTTAAACAAAACAATGAGCTATCTGGTGGATAACTGCCCAGGGGCCCAGTTGGGCAAAGGCATGGTTTGGCTGCGATGGTTTCATGCACACAAGCCCCGAGGTCTGCAAGACATGCCTGCAAGGCCACGAAGATGCCGAGTCCTAGATGCCTCAGTACAATTCGGAATTCACCAGAAAGTATTAGTAAGTTTGTTCTTATGGCTTGTTCAATTGCCATACCGTGCTTTGATGGGCTAAAGAGAAGATCACAAGGCCTACCTACCAAATCCCAACACCCCTTTCCCATGAAACCGACTTACAATGCGTTCTTAGAAGAGAATATTTTGACTTCCAAGCTGTCAAATGGCTTCTCGGTGCTGTTCTGATAATAATAGATACCCAGAGAAAAAACGGTCGCAGAAAGAAAAAGTGGTTGTAAAGTAAAAGAAGCGGGTAACTTAAAGGGTAGAAGTACCTCGCTACCTCGCTTCCTAAACTCCCAACCTCCTTTAAGTCCAAGTCCTCGACCTTGCTCATTTAACAATTAGATACACCATTAGAACTTTAGAAGCAAAACTAGATCTAGAGATTTACATCTAGAGATTTACATCTAGAGATTTACATCTAGAGATTTACATCTAGAGATTTACATCTAGAGATTTACATCTAGAGATTTACATCTAGAGATTTACATCTAGAGATTTACATCTAGAGATTTACATCTAGAGATTTACATCTAAAATGGGCTTAAGTAGTAGAACTAGACCTGGCAGAAGCTAAAATTTAAAGAAGTTCTAGTAGGGAGGGGAAGATAGGAATTCTCTCTCGGTCAGCCGGCATCCTAAAGCAGAAAACCCCTCTATAGGAAGAGAGAGGCAGTTTCTCATAAGGAGGGTACCTCCTAATCCAGAAAAGAACTTCATACAAGATCTTCTCTACTCCCATAACCTCGTTTTCTCCACAACTCGTTTTCCTTAATATAGCTGGTTTGTATTTACTAGGGAATTATTTCGACTTGTCTCGAAGGAAGACAAGCATTATGACAGTTAAGAAGTTACTAGAAAGGCGTGTGATTCATGGTGACTGTGCCAGTACGTGCTTATAACTACCTACCTAGGTAGGTACCTAGGTACTGAATTCCAAGTCTGGGGAACTTGGAATTGTGGTCTTTTGGCCGGGACAGTTGCGCTGCAGTAGTGCGTAACCCGTCCCAGTGACCTTCTCTAGTGCCCACCGGCAAACTGACGATTGATTGAATCGAGTGAATACAACCGAACTGAGAATGCCACCTACCTTCTCGTTTTTTTCCTTCACCCACCCAGAGATCTCACCGAGTCTTGTATCATCTCACTTTTGCAAAGAATTGACCTATCGGCCACAGCCTTCCTTCAATTTGAATCAAAACGAACCCTAGTCCTGGCACCGTCCACATGCAAAACTCCTGCTTGACGACTTGACAGCTGATCACACCTGCCTTCCAAGGTTGTTTGGGCAACTCCCCGCCTTCACTTTTCCAGTCAGATACTGTCGATTGAGGGCCAAGTCGACGCCGATATCCCGTCGCTCAACAGCATCTCATCTCACAGCAGATCGTCTGGACCGAGGAAAATTTCAACATGGGGGGACTCAACCACGAAACATGGAGGCAACCACCTGCGTCTCTTAACGTGGAATGGCCCACAAGGAGCGCTTTCAAAGATGGCCCGAGCCTCGAAGAACAGAAATGTCGGATGAAGGAGACGCGGGAAAAGGTCCGCAATGTCATCACCTCCTCTGGCTTCATTGCTCCGCAATGGCCCGAGGTCGGACAGCAGGTGAAATGGACCTCTAATACCAACACTTCGCTTGGTGATGGGCGGGCAAAATTGACCTCTCGTTGGGATGGACAGAGCTCGTCGTCTGCCGCAAACAGCATTCCTCTCCGATTCCAGACCTCAATCGCAGACAAGACTAATCAAACCCCAGTTCGATCCATGCCATCTGAAGAGGATCGACCGTCCTTCGACCAGCATGATTCGCCTCTCTTGCAACTCCTCGGTCGACGTCGCGAGAGGTCGCAGCAATCGCAGAGAAACACTGCAGACAACATACCAATCTCGCTAGCATCCGGTGGCATTCAGAACTATAACATTGACCCATCCATCTTCAATCCCCGAATCAACACTGTGGTGCTGCCTGATCATATGTTCCTTCGCACACCGCCGTCCGCGCCGCGCGCCATGCGGGAACAATTGTCATCTGCAGGCCGTTCCCTGCGGGTTGGCCGCCCACGCCGACATACTGATGCGACTCAGACGAGCGTTGACTCTGTCAACACTCGTCGGGCGCGTGGCTACTCTTCATCCACGAATGACACCCATCACACCATCGAGCCCAATTTCTTGGACTGCGGATATGAGGATGAATGCACCAGTGCCTGTAGTAGCTCAGAGGTCACTGTCATTGAAAAGAGCCCCAAGACTCCAACTCGGTCAAGAGCCCAGAGTTCAGCAGCTGCTTTCAAGGCTATACCTCTTCATATCCTTGATACCCCACCGGTCATCCGTCCGCCTCCTGGATTCGAGCCTCACAAGACCGCTGAGCAGGGTACCAGGCCACAGCTAAGCTTCGCTGTTCCCAACTCAAATTACGATCACACTCACGGCAGCTGGAGTCAATCTCGCATCTGGTTCAGTAAAGAAGAGCGCCTGAGGATCAACTTTGCCCGCATGCAAGAGAAAGCACGACATCTCAGTCTAGACAAGTCTCTCTTCCTCCCAGAGACCGTCGGTGAGTACGCCGCTCTGCTGGCCGAGAGGAAAGCTGCAGAAGCTAAGCGAATCCGCAAGAAGATCCAGCAGAACGAGAGAGCAGAACAGATTCAACAGGATGAGGCTTTGGTGAGTCACCACTCCCAGCTCATCAACGCCCCATGCCTATTCTTCAGCGAAGCACTAATTGACGAGTTCGTGCAGACGGCGCCTCCGCCTCCGCTGCAGGTCCAATTGTTTGCGGGCAACAGGAGGGTTGATGGACTGTCACCAGTCCTGGCAATGGAAACCTGCTTCAATGAGATTCCCGCTGACGCTCCCGATTCCAAGAGAGTTGACTGGCCGCCAGACGTGGAGTTTAAAAACTGGAAGAGCTATCGGCCTCGGCCTCCACCGGGCTTTGCGAGACAGAGAGGTAGCTCCCATTGTGGGATGTGGCCCTTGCCTCGCACCAACATCCCTTTTCGACCCCACGAATGCTTCCCGAAGAACAAAATCCCTTATAGCGACAGAAAAATGATACTCGCTCCTCGTTGGGACTGGATGCCGAGGATTTCTAAGGGACTCCCCGACGAGTCTCACGTTTGGGCCGCCGAGCCATTCGTCACTGACATCAGCTTGTTACTGCCGTCAGATCTTCTCTTATGAGCTGCGAAGTTCATCTTGAGGAAAAGTCCCATATCTGCGGTCCTGGAATCTGGTCTTTCCTCCTTCGGCTACCCCTCGTTGTTCATTCATTTCCAATGGTTTTTTCCCTCAATTTGATCTTATCTTGGCAACCATGAGGAGGGTAGGAATGGCTTGATTTTATGGATTCCAAATGATCCTCGTAAGCAGAATCGCGGCACCTGTGGATTTGGACACGTATTAGGAGCAGCGAAAGAAGGAAGGAAGAAAAGGAAGGAAGAAAAAAAAAAGAAAGGAAGAAAGAAAGCAAGGACAAAACTACGAGATTGAGGAGATAATTGTTGGTCTTTAGTCTCTTGACCCATCAGTCTGGGCATACTAAGGTCCATAGAGTGAATGACTGGTTTCGCTTCTATTCCGCACACGTCTGGGGACATAGACGGCGCCTTCATACGGTAGCGTTTAAAAATCATACGATATCTTCAACTACCTAGGTGTAGTTAAGATACGATAGGTGCACATGGCCTCGGCCTCATGACGTACAGACAAGGCTAAAGGGCACCGTCTTGACGGCGGCGTTAATTAGAATCGCGGACACAAGTAGCCCACGGGCTAGTGACCTCTCAAGCAGTCATATGGCGAGACTAGGTCTCTTAAGATGGTGGCTATATGAATCTCACAATCTTACAAAGGGAATCTCAGCCAAAAACTTGGCCCTCCACACACACAATCCTAAGACAACACAGCTTGAGGAAACAAGATCCTTGAATAGAGGCCTTTTTGTTGATAGTCTTCACAAACTTCCCACTTTCCAGCTGTCGATCTAGGGTAAGTGGCTGCAACTTGTACACAGTACCTAGGTAGTCATCTGCCCAGCCTTCAAGTTGTACTCAGGAGTACTGCATTAGCGGGGCTTGGACCCCTTCATTTGCATGCACTGCGGCTCTCCCCGGCTGTGGGGGTGGGTCCAGGACAGGGGCACCGGCCGACGTCAACCCGCTAATAAGCTTCTAGACACCTCGAGTCCATGCTGATCCAACTCCAACCGGGCGTCCCATCTATCCGCCCTCTTGCATCGAGCGATGGTGTGAGCTGCAAACCGCCTACCTGCCAGTGCGGCCTTCAACTCTCCGAACCAAAGATGGCAATGGACGCCCCTCAAGTCAAGCTCTCCGAGCTCCTCCGCATCCCGGACGACCTCGACAAGATCACGGCGATGAAGCAGGAATTCACCCGCAAGAAGGGCGCCGTGGACGGGCAACTGCGGAGCGGCCTCCGCGAACAGCTGGAAACAACACAGTCGGGAATGACGGGGCTGACCGAGGGGCAAAAGGCGGTCCAGCAGATCAAAGAAGAGATGATGAAGATCGACAAGCTGTGCTCGGAGTCGCAGAACATGATCAAGGACTTTGCCACCATCAACCTGGTGTCGCAGGCGCACCGGAACTTTGGCGCGGTCGAGGCGATGCGGAAGAACCTCGAGACATTCAACGACAGGCTGGCGGGCGTCGAGAACATGCTCCGTGCCGACGAGGCGGACCAGGAGAACATGCCGAACCTGCTTCCAATACACTACGAGCTGACGCAGCTGCGAAATATACGAGACGATGCCATCGAGCAAATACAACGGAGCGGAGAACAGGACCTGCAGTCGACGCTAGAGGATTATTTCGAGCGCTTGGATGGGGCAATCGACTGGTTTGACGAACACATCGACCTGATTGCGCAGAGTCTGATCAACCTTGTCACTGCCGAGAACAACGGACTGATCGTGCGATTCGCCGTAATTATGGAGGCAGAGGAAAAGAGCGACCAAAGAGTCCTGGCCTTACAGGAGGCGCTCAAGGACCACAAGGAAATGGCAACCCGATTCCAAAGCATCACCGACGGGGCCAAGACTGTGCGAGGCTACAAGGACAGGTTCATGAAGGCAGTGAGAACGTATGCGGATGCGCAGTTCACGGAGAGCCGCGAGGAGTTCCTCAACGACCCAGAAAAACTAGACAAGATCATGAAGTGGTATTTCAATGATCTCAACGCGGTTCGCATAGGGATGGTTCCTCTGATGCCCAAGAAGTGGAAGATCTTCAAGGCGTACGCAGACATATACCACAGCCTGATGCACGACTTCCTGATTGGCATCGTCGACGACCCCGAGAGTAGTTCTGCCAACACACTCGAGGTTATCAATTGGCCAGAGAAATACTACAAGAGGATGAAGAAACTGGGCTTCAAAGAAGACCAATTAGTTCCCCACGTCATCGATAACAGGGAGGCAGACTTGGTCCGTGACTTCCGTTCGGTGATTATAAAGTTCCTGGACGAGTGGGTGGACCGGATTTTCAAACAAGAGCAGAAGGATTTCAACAACCGCAATGTGGAGGGAGCAAACCTGGACGCGGACGAGTATGGATACTTCCGTACTAAGAACCTTGTGGATATGTGGAGGATGCTCAGAGAACAGCTTGATGGCGCCGCAGGCTCTCAGCGAGCAGACGTGGTTGAGGGCGTGGTGGATGCCATGTTTCTAAGATTGCGACAGAGGCAAGAATCATGGCAGAAGATGCTGGAAGCAGAGGCGATCAGATTTGAATCAGGAAAAGAACCCGAGCTTGACGGATTCCAGACCCTTCACGACTGGCTCGTGGCGACCGCCAACGACCAGATCGCCTGCATCGACGATAACGAGGAGGAGAACCGCTTCGGATACCTGACCAGCTTCAAGCAGAAGTTTGAGCCCCTGGTCACGCCACAATACATGGAACGTGCCGAGAATGAGGTCGCGGCCCTTCGTGACGGCTATGTGGATTTCAGCACATGGTGTATCACCAAATTCGCACGCCTCATCTTCGCCGTGGACTTCAGGTCCGTGATGTCAGACTTCTTTACGCCAAAGTGGTACACCGGCCAGGCGATGAAGCAGATCATCTATACCTTCCAGGACTACGTTGAGGACTACAAGATGGTGCTTCACCACAGCATAGTGGACATATTCATCGAGATCTTCGCAGATGAGCTCCTCGTCAGATACCTGTCGTCGGTCAGGAACAAGGGGGCGAAGTTCCGAAGGTCTGACAACTTCAGCGACAAGCTGTTTGATGACCTGTCTGCGGCATTTGACTTTTTCGACCAGCTGGAGAGGCCGGATGTCGGCGAGGTGATTAAGGGGACCTGGCGAGTAACGGAGAACTTCCTCGAGCTGCTGACACAGCCAAAGGAGGCGATACCGGACGTCTTTGAGAACTTCAAGCGGTCCCACTGGGATCTGCAGCTCGGATGGGTGGAGGCGGTGCTAAGGTCGAGGGACGACTTTGAGAGGAGCATGCTGAACGCTGTTAAGAGCAGGGCGGCGTCCATCGTCGTCGACAGGGGTCCTGAGACGATCATGGGCAAGATTAAGTAGAGTCTGGACCGGGGAATCTCATAAGGCGCCCTGGTCGTACCGAGCAATGTTCTGCTTTTCCACGTCACCGTCGTCGATTCAGGGCGTCCGGCGTTTGCTTTTCCAGCGGTCTGATTGCTTCTTTGGGTGGGCCAAGGGCATCTGCCGTGATTTGGCGTTACGTTGGTTCAACAAGCTGTAGATTCAGGACCCCTTCTTTGGTTGGAAGCGCGAGTAGCTGGTAGTTATTGTACGAACCCGTTACGTCGGACGTTGATAAAGTGTGGCCAACTGAGCACTATACCTAATAATAATTTCTCGAAAAGGAACATCTGACTTCTATCCCGTTCTATCGATTAGAAGACGCTGCTTACATAAGTACGGATACCGGCTACAGGACCCTTGGGGTCTTCCGTCATCGCCTGGAGCTCGGCAGGCACTCCCCAGGCAGGCCAGGCACGTAGATCCATCCATCCATCCCACCGCCTGCCTGGCCTGCATTTATCAGCCCGCCTCTCTGATTGAGGACCGAGGGGCAACACCGAGAATAACTACTCGCCCGACAGCCACCTCTTCGCTCACTGCTGCTGCCACACAGGTCTGCAAAGATGGATCCTAACGAGCAGCCCCCGAGCATGCCTGAAGCTCCCGACAAGGAGAAGATGGAACAGGTACGAGCAACTCGATCGGCCCCCTCGGCCTTGTCAACTGGGGTGGCGGTCGTGCCAAATGCCCATACTGGATGCTAACCGGCCATGCGTCGAGACAGATCCGCCGACGGCGTCTGGAGAAGCTTGGGTCCACCAACGCCCCTCCAGCGAGCAATGAAGACGGCAGCCAAGCATCGCAGTCCGCTGCATCTTCCAACCCACCTGCACCGAGCTCGTCCGCCGAAGCCACAGAGGAGCCGGGTGTCAAGCGGACCAAGATCAACATCACAGCCGCATCGGGGAGCCAATCACCAGCAGCAGCAAACCCCTTCACGCAGCTCGGTGTCGGGTCAAAAGGGGCATCGTCGCCCTCTCCAGGTACAAATCTCAGGACGAAGCGCCCCTCTCCAGATCCAGACGTTAATCGGACTTCAGCATCCTCCATGCCACCCGCCAAGCGAAATGCCCCCGAGTCTATTGAAGACTGGTCCGACAAGATCATCGGCCAGATTTTCCGAGTAACACTCGACGAGAGCCGGCAGACAGACTTACACGGCCGTAGGCTGACATTCTTGCCCGGCTTGACTTCCGAACTGCAGGAGCAGAACCCCAACGGGCCGCTGCGGCTGTTATCAGAGAACGTCGAGCAAGCAATCTTGGAGGCTGCGAGCAGTTACCCACAAGAGAAGCCGCTGATGGACTACATGCTGGCGTGCTGGAAGCGGGTAGTTCAGACCAAGAAGAGCCTGCGTTCGCCGACGGCCGAGAAAGAGGCCGTCATACAAGAGGTCAAACGACTGTGCATGAGTTATGCCATCTTTGCCGTTACCCTCCCAGATTTGTTCAGGTATGCTTCATTAGGAATGACCGAGGTTCAGGACTAACCCTTGTTTGCTAGCCGCGAGTCGAACCCCAAACATGACACACTCGTGCCATATCTTCTACGGGATATCGAGCATGAGAGCGGGATCTGCCTCGAGTTCATACAAGAGGCTGTAGCTCGCATCCCGGACGATGACTCAATAGTGGATCTGTTTGTCAAGGCGATGGTTGATATAAGCACCCAGTTGTCAACCATGTCTATGAATGACGACTACAGGCCACACGTGAATGTAAGCCACTCTTCCTTCTGGCCAGGTCTCGAACGCCACCACGAACCAGAATTTCTGACTTGAATCCAGGCCCTCAAACTGTACTCGAAGTTCCCTCCGTTGCTGGACGCCTTGGCCAACCATCCTACGTTCCTTATGGCGCAGTCTGCTCCCGGGATCGAGAAGCACACGATGCTTGGCCCATTCTTCCGGATATCACCTCTCCAGACTGAGGTTACGAAGGCATACTTTGCTGGCCCTCGAACGCTCGATCGGGGCGCAATTAAGAACTCGCAGAGCGCCCTCCAAGTCACTCTCAATGCACACCAATTTGACCTTAAGGACATTGTCAATGCCTTCGTCCGCGCCAGTCTGGGAACGCGGCACAAGCTCCTGGACTGGTTCGCCTACATCATGAACACTAACCACAAGAGACGAGCCATCCAAGTCAACCCCAAGGAGGTCGCCTCGGACGGGTTCATGATGAACGTAACTGTGATCCTGGACCACCTGTGCGAGCCGTTCATGGACACTACCTTTTCAAAGGTTGACAGGATCGACGTCGGCTACTTCAAGCGGAGTCCACGTATCGACATCAAAGAGGAAACAAAGCTTAATGCCGACCAGTCCCAGTCGGACGAATTCTACTCCGAGAAACTTGGTGGTGAATCGAACTTTATTTCTGAGGTGTTCTTTTTGACCTTGGCCGCGCACCACTACGGCAGCGAGGCTGCGAACACAAAGCTGAAGACCCTTGACAAGGACATTAAATATTACGAGAAGAATCTCAAGCTCATGGAGGCCGAGCGCGTCAAGTTCGTGAACTCGCCCACACAATTGGCCCTCTTCGAGACCAGCTTGCGCCGCCACACGGAGCTTCTGGAGAAGTCCATGTCTCTCAAGTTTGCTATCGAAGGGGTTTTGCTCGATGAGAAGATGCAGGGTAGGTCCCTTCACTTCATGAGGTACGTGGCGGTGTGGCTGCTCCGAGTCGCAAGCCAATCAGATTACAAACCAGACGGGCAACTGAAGCTGCCTCTGCCGAAACAACAGCCAGAGGCCTTCCAGTGCTTGCCAGAGTATGCCCTCCAAGACGTTGTTGACAACTTCAAATTTGTGTTCCGGTACCTTCCAGGAATCATCTTGTCTGCTGTCGGTGATGAGATGATTGCTCTGTGCGTGGCATTCCTCGAGTCATCCGAATATGTCCGGAATCCCTACCTCAAGTCCACACTGGTCACACTCCTCTATTCAGGAACTTGGCCGATGTATCATTCTAAGAAGGGCGTACTTGGCGATACTCTGACGAACTCCAAGTTTGCCAACAATTTCCTACTACACGCAGTAATGAAGTTCTACATCGAGGCCGAGTCAACTGGAGCTCATACCCAGTTCTACGACAAGTTCAACATTCGATACGAGATTTTCCAGATCATTAAGTGCATCTGGACCAACGACTTCTACCGTGACCAATTAGCACGACAGAGCCGCACGGATCGTCAATTTTTCGTCCGATTTGTCAACCTCCTCCTAAACGACGCAACATATGTGATGGACGAGGCGTTGTCGAAGTTCCCGAAAATCCACGAATTGCAGAAGGAGCTGAGGGAGAACCAAGGCTTGTCGCAAGAGGACCGTCAGAAGAAAGAGGAAGAGCTGCACAGTGTTGAGGGCCAAGCAACATCGTACATGCAGCTCGCGAACGAGACGATCGCGATGATGAAACTCTTCACTAATGCCTTGAGCGAGTCATTCACCATGCCCGAGATTGTGGCACGTCTCGCAGGCATGCTTGACTACAACCTGGACACGCTGGTGAGCCCCAAGAGCCAGAATCTGAAGGTCGAAAATCCGGACAAGTACCATTTCAATGCCAAGACGCTTCTCCCTGATCTCGTGGACATCTTCCTGAACCTGGGGAGTGCTCAGACCTTCGTGGAGGCAGTGGCAGCGGATGGCCGGTCATACAAAGCGGCGACTTTCGACAGGGCGTCTGACATCATGGCCAAGAAGGCACTCAAGGCTCCTGAAGAGCTGGCCGCCTGGAGCGACCTGACTGCCCGAATTGCCAAGGCGAAGGAGGAGTTGGATCAGGCCGACCTGGACCTGGGTGAAATCCCGTCCGAGTTCGAAGATCCGCTGATTGGCGACCTGATGAAGGACCCAGTCATTCTACCATCGCAGAACGTTGTCGACAGGTCTACAATTATCCAACATCTTCTCTCAGACGAGAAGGACCCTTTCACTCGGCAGCCAATGACGATTGATGATGTTGTTCCTGCGGATGACCTGCGCCGGCAGATCGAGGCATGGAAGGCGGAGAAGCTGGCTGCTGCGAAGGCTAAGTCTGGCGACCAGATGGACACAAGCGAGGGCTGATCCCGGATTAATACACTACGGGGCAATGCATCGCTAGCTAGGGCTCTTCTTTTCTCTCGAGACAGCGTTCACGCGTATGCAAAGTAGGATGGACGGAAGTAACGGGGCAGTAAAACATGCTGAGCTTTTCTTGGTTGCATAGATGTTGCTGGAGTTGGGGCAAGACGAGATGGCGGGACCGCACGACAGCTTCGAGCAATGATGGTGGGGGGAATGCGCGGGGCCAAAGCGCGTCGCCTATGTTGAGGCTAAGCTGGGCCCAGGACTGGACCCTGATTGGGTTTTAGGTAGAGCTTGCAGAGCCGATTATGAAGAATGAAACATCACGAATGAGGACTATTCGACAATTGGAATCTTGATGTCATGATTGGCGTGGTCCAGGCAAATCGAATGATCACCGCCAAAGGTTAATATAAGGTTCGTGCCGGTGGTGGATGCGCGGTTCAGATAACCGTGCTTGGCACATGGACAATCCCCCGGCGAACGAATATTATTACTATTTATACCTAGAGGGGCTTGCACCCTTACTTAAGTATGCATAACTGATAACCCGTAACCCATATCGTCATTACATATGATTCACATTATTCGCTGCATGCCTAGGCTGCCTCCTGACGACTCATGCAACTTTTTGGTCTCAGTCTCAGAACCGGCAACGCGACATCTGCTCGACTGGTGGTGACCCAGTGCAGGGGCCAGAACCGACCTGCCAGGCCTGCCCGCACAAGCTGATCTACGCGTCAAACCGAGCCTCACAACACGCACATACATACACACTCCCACACAGCCATGTTCAGCCGGACACGCCAAGATGGATGCCGAAGCTTCAACATCTCCGCTTGAGCTCGAGCGCTCCATTTCACAAGCGTCTGTCCACTCGGCCATATCTCACAGATCGGCGACGGTGCGCGCGACCAGCAGGAGGAGGGGCAAGCTGACATCACAGCCTTCCAGCTCCGCCGCCTCGATAGCCGAATCAGACAAGTCCCTTGTCTCCTTCCCGAGCTTCTCGCCCGTCTCCCCGCGCGACGACGACGCACCCAGCACCCCGTCCTCGCCCTCGCCCGCCCCAGCTGCCGTGGACGGCGCAGACGAGGCCACCCCGAGCGCGAGCGCGAGCGCTGCTGTCCCCTTCATCCAACCACCTCCGCCACTGCGGGAGGATACGCCGACGCGCCCCTCGGCCATCGTCGAGACGCTCCTGACCACTGCAGACAAACCCTTGGCCTCTTCGACCCGCCCACGGACCGCCCTCTTCGAGGATGACACGCATGTCTTCCAGCAGAACCTGCCGGGGGCCCTGCATGTGGCAGACGATGCACATCTCAACCGGCTCATAGAGCGGCATGGCGCCCTGGGCCTGGTGCGCTCCATAGCCGAGGACCTCGCCGCGCGTGACGCCCAGATATCGGCCCTGCGGCGGCGCTCTGATGAACGCGAGAGGGCTCTACGGAAGATCATTCTGGAGTGTGGCTTGTCCAACATGGATCTCGAGACCAGGCTGAAGGCCATCGAGCGCGAGGCCAGGAACTCGGGGGCGCGGAAGGGGGGCGTGGAGGAGTTGGTCGAGGACGCCATGTCGGAAGACTTTGCACGTGGCCCGGGCCTATACGCGGGGGAGAACGGGGCCACGATCCGTGTTAGGAACACGTCGAACGCGGCAGACACCGAGAACAAGTCCAAGGGCTGGAAGGAATTCCTCTGGGGGTCCAACAAGGCCACGGGCAGCAGGGCGAGCAGCGTCAACGGCGACACTGGCAAGCAGACTGTCGTCAGGGCGCCGGCGCCTGACCGCAGGCCGACGATACAGGAGGATTTGTTCAACCCGCCGGAGCAGGCCTCGGCCAAGAGCTCGAGCCGCGCCTCGAGTATTCACTCCGTGAACACCAACAGGAAGACTTCCTTGGCAAGTTCCGTGCTGCGCATGGTTGCGGGTGGTGGGGCCTCTGTAGGACGAGACTCCGAGTCTAGGGGGCGAGCCCACAGTACGAACGCTGCCGCTTCGCTACGGACTCCATCCGCCTCGAGCGCAAAGACGAGCACCTCTGCCAGAGCCGTTTCCAATCAGGGAGGCCCTAGGGGGGCGCTGGCGGCCATGCGCCGCACTGCTACCCAGCACAACATACAGACTGTTTCTTCTGCCCGCACCCAGGCGCAGGAACGGTGGGACACGATGGCAACGGATCCCTCGGGTGAACTGGCTGTGCGCCAGGAGTCGTTTGGACCCGTCGAGATGGACAGCATCCTCCCGCCTGAGGAGCAGCCGCCCACCCTCACACGGCTCTACAACAACTACGCCGGCTCAGAGTACCTGACTGACCGATTCGGGTTCATCTACGACCAGCGACGAAAGAAGAGGCAGCGCGATGCTCAGCAGATGGTGAAGCAATTCAAGAGAGGGAGTCGTACAGAAACGCTGTCTAATGGCCGCGTCAACATGTCGCCCGTGTCAGCTGAGGATGTTGGCAGCATGAAGTGGGATGCCGGAAGCGATGAACGGCCAAGCACGCCATCGTCGGCCGAGGACGCCCGCGACGAGAGCCGACCTAAGAGGTGGCAGGACTATCTGAAGATTGCGACATTCAACACCGAGCTGCTGTCACATACCCCGTCGATTAGTGCGCCGACGATCGAGGTAATGGAGGGCGGCGAGATACCGATGCCCAGGTCCCCTGCCTTGATTGCTGTCGAAGATGACCGTGGCTTCATCCCACCCGCCATAACCCCCACGGCCGCGGTGAGCGAGGAGCCCGTTACCGTGGCGGAGGAGCCAGCGTCTGGCACCCTGGTCAAGGAGGATGCCGAGCCCGTCAGAATTCTGCTCCAACAACTTAGTGAGGTGCACGACGGACTGCAGCGGGAGAAGACTGTCCGTTGGAATGACTTCCTGCGCAAGGTCAGGGCCGAGCGGCGGCGCGAAGGCGAAGCTGCCAACGCCTCTGCCGCAGAAGCTGCCGCGGCACGATTCCAAAAGGCCACGGCCATGATGCCGGAGGCGCGGGTGGCTGACGGCGAGCTGATTGGCGTTGCCAACTGGGCCAACAAGGGCAAGGTCGGCCGGGCAAAGTGGAATGAATTCAACCGCCTGGTGCTTGGCGGCATACCTGTCTTGATAAGATCCAAGATCTGGGCCGAATGCTCGGGTGCGCTTAACATGCGCGTCCCAGGCTACTATGACGATCTTGTCAACCGTACCGAGGCGGACGACAACCCAGAAGTGGCTCAGCAGATCCGCGCCGACATCAACCGGACCCTGACTGACAATATCTTCTTCCGCAAGGGACCGGGCGTGCAGAAGCTCAACGAGGTGCTCCTGGCATACTCCCGCCGCAACCCCGAAGTCGGCTACTGCCAAGGCATGAACCTCATCACTGCCAACCTGCTTCTCATCATGCCTTCTGCTGAGGAGGCGTTCTGGATCCTGGTCTGCATCATCGAGAAGATCCTCCCGTCAGGCTACTACGACCATAGCCTCCTGGCCTCCCGGGCGGACCAGCAAGTCCTGCGCAGCTACGTGGCCGAGGTCCTTCCACGACTCTCGGCGCACTTTGACGACCTGGGCATCGCTCTCGAGACCATGACGTTCCAGTGGTTCCTGTCCGTCTTCACCGACTGCCTGTCGGCCGAGGCGCTCTTCCGGGTGTGGGACGTGGTGCTGTGCTTTGGCGACGGCAGCACGTTCCTGTTCCAGGTGGCGCTGGCGCTGCTCAAGCTCAACGAGCAGCAGCTCCTGGGCTGCGACAGCCCCGCGGCCGTGTACACCTACATCAACCACCAGATGACCAACCACGCCATCAGCATCGACGGCCTGATCCAGGCCAGCGAGGGTCTCAGGAGGGTGGTCAGGCGCGAGGACGTCGACGGGAGGAGGGACAAGGCCATCGAGGCGGAGCAGGAGCTGGTGCGGCAGCGGGAGGAAAGGCTGAGGCTTTATAAGGAGAGGAAGGCCGCTACGGCCGCGGCGGCTTCGGCCTCGGCGCCGGCTGCTATCGACACGTTGCCAGAGGAGCCGCCAGCCGCGCTGGACGAGGAGGACACGCCCACGACCACGGCGGCGACGGGCGAGACGGATACTGCTGAGAGCTCGACTGTGGAACTGACCGCGCAGGAGCCAGCGCCGATCGAAGAGGAGAGTGGCTAAGCGAATCCAATTGATTACTTTGTTTTGAATCGTGGGGAGCATGAGCTTGTGTCTGTCTGTCCCTCTCCCTCCCCCCTCCCCCCGTCGTTCCTTGGACACAAGCTCGGAGTATGTTTCTGGGACTGCAGCATATCATCGGAGGGCCCATTTGTTGTTGACTTTTGCTTGTTTTGCTCTTCACCAGACAACAGTCCATCACGCATGATACCCCCAACTTTCCCTTGTCGATAAATTCCATAGCCATCAACACTCATGAAGCAAGATAACACGCACCAACTAGCCATCGTCATTTTGTTACAACATTGAATCCCTTCTGCGTTTCTCGCTTGCAGCGTGCAGCATGCATGCATCATTGCGAAATATTCTCGTTCACGGTCGGTTGTCGGCCGGATTGCTGTCTCAGCTGGGGGCTTCCGACTTCTTATCGATGTTGGCATTTGAGGCGGCGAGCACGCAATCCAATCCCTCGCATCCATGAATGCCCCCTCCCCTCGACTCAAGCAACGAAATGGTCGCTGCCAAGCACTGAAGATTCGAACAGCATTCAAAATCCCCCACCCGGCTTTTCTCCCCTTTTTTTGAAACCAAGCCATACGAACAAGACTGGATCCCATTTGTAGGTGGATAAGGCGCCCATTGGCCCGCCCGTGGTGTTGCGCCATATCGCATCTTGTTGCACAATGCTCTCAATGCCCGGAAGACAAGTCTTCTCGTCTTAGCCCGTCAAAGTCTCCACGTCTTTCCCGTACACAGTACACAACCACCCCCCCCCCCCAACTCAACGCCTCCTCCTGCGTCTAGTTCAGCTGAAAGCTGTTCTTGATGTCTTGGGAAACTCGCCATGCCTGTGGGCTCTTCGTTGCTGCGTCTCAGTGGGCCTGTCGTGTCGGATTCGACCTGTCCACCGGCTGCCGTCTCCAGCAGTCGGATGATCAGCAGCGCATTGCAATGCGGGTACGCTACTTAATTGACGATGCTTTTCCGCCGCGTGTGTTTATGCTGTTCATAGTGGGTCTTTTTGTAATTGATTCCTTGTCCGGCACTGGACATTCCTAGCCATATTGTTATCCCCTGGATCATATGTACTCAGTCTCTCGTACCTGAGTCGAGCCAACATTGTGCCACAAGGTGAGCCGGCATCTCTGTCATTGTGCGGACCGTGAATTATGTCCTGTCGAGGGTGCTGAAGGAAAGAGAAACACACGACCAGGCCGACAGCCGAGAATGAACCTTCTCATGCGGCGAGTGTCGCATTTGATCTGGATGCGACGCAGGCCTGGATCCGTTCTCCCGTTCCTGTGTCCCCCCACACCAAAACTTCTGGGATCATTGCCTTACATGCTACCACTAGCCTAGATCACATCATCCTCACCCACCCGCGCGTGCCCCCTCCCCATATCCCTCGCCACTTCCGACCTGAAGGTCTGCGGAAAGTTTCTGCAAGCCCGGCTGGCCGGGTAGCCAGAGACTGGGGATCCCATCGTCATTATGTGGCATGGGCCTGGGCTTTTCGGTTGATCTGCAAGCGTGCGGACCACTCATGACAAGTTCTTATATATGAATATGCCTCTGCCCAGCCGCGCCCAGAATGCTTGTCGCCGCCCTACCGTCTTGTGCTTCACACCACACTATAGACCCTCTTGCCCTTCAGCCTTATTATCTTGTCTTGCCGTGCGGCGCTTCCTCTAAGCCCAATCTGGGTTGCGAGCCAAGACAAATTCTCAAGCCGCTGCCATGTCCAGGATAACAGCACCGCCTTCCCCCGAAGGCCAGGATGCCAAGGACCTCGAGTTCGCAAAGGATGCTGTCGAGTGCTCGACATCTTCTAAGCCTTCTTCTGTGAGGCTGGGGGAGAGCGAGGGCGGAGTGTGGGCGAGTGGTGGTGGGATCGACAATTACAAGCCGATTCCGGAGTATGAAGGCGCTCACCGTTATGATCCCCATTTCGAATGGAGTGAGAATGAGGAAAAGAGGCTAGTCAGGAGGGTAAGTGATACTAAGAAGACAGAGTCAGAAAAGAAATAATCAGGGCAGCCGTGTACTAATCTGAACTTGTGAACTAGATCGATATGAAGATTTGCGCCTTTGTCTGCCTCATGTTCTTCTGCCTTCAGCTGGACCGTGGGAACATCACACAGGCTTTGTCCGACAACATGTTGAAGGATCTGGGGATGACCACGAACCAATACAACACCGGGCAGACAATTTTCTACCTGAGCTTTCTCTGCGCCGAACTGCCATCCCAGATGCTATCGAAGAAACTCGGCCCAGATGTCTGTATGTGAAATACCAGGACCGATCTTCCTTACTTGGAATTGGTATGTGTACTTACAACAGGCGACAGGGATCCCGATTCAGATGGTCCTGTGGTCGGTCGTATCGATTTGCCAGTGCCGCCTGACGGACTACAAGACATTCTATGCGACTCGCTGCCTCCTGGGTCTCGTCGAGGGGGGATTTATCCCGGACGTCGTGCTCTACCTGAGCTTCTTCTACAAGTCGAAAGAGCTTCCGATCCGCCTTAGCTTCTTCTGGGGCTCGTATATAACGACGCAGATCATATCCGCCCTCCTGGCATATGGTATTTTGCACCTGCGTGCTGTAACCGGATGGGCCGGGGTGAGTTCCAAGATTCTATAGAGCCTGGCGCAACCGTTCTTCAACACGCAAAATGCTGACGCCTGGTGATGTTAGTGGCGGTGGCTGTTCGCCCTCGAGGGCGGTCTAACGACCATAATCGGAATTATCGCGGGCTTTTACCTGCCCCCCTCGCCAACGCAGACCGCTGGGCGGTTCCGAGGCCGCGACGGGTGGTTCAGCGAGAGGGAGGAGAAGATCATGGTCAACCGGGTCCTCCGCGACGACCCGGCAAAGGGCGGGATGCACAACCGGCAGGGCCTCACGCTCACGCTCCTCTGGGAGGCGCTCTGCGACTACGACCTGTGGCCCATCTACCTGCTGGGGCTCACATGGACCATCCCCGCGACGCCCATCACGGCGTACCTGACCCTCAACCTCAAGTCGCTGGGGTTCGACACCTTCAGGACCAACCTGCTCACCATCCCCGCGTACGTGCTCTTCGGGATCCAGCTGCTGTGGTGGACCTGGGTGTCGGAGAGGTGGAACAACCGCTTCGGCATCGTGCTCGTGAGCATGGTCTGGTGCTTCCCGCTCGTGCTCGCGCTGGAGCTCATGCCCGCGGGTGCGAGCCCCTGGGCGTGGTACGCCTGCTCGGCCCTGCTTGTTGGGTACCCATACGTCCACGCTATTATTGGTGAGTATCGTGCTCGGCAAGCTGGGCCATGTATGTATGCTGACGGTAGCTTCTCTAGTGGGAATCACCTCGCGCAACGCAGGGTCCGTTCGCACACGAACTGTTGGGTCAGCCCTCTACAACATGACGGTGCAAGCCGGCAGTATCATCTCGTCCAATGTGAGTAATACCCAACACTGGTCTTGCAATCTTCTTCCTCCCTTACGCCCTTGTACTGACCGAAGTCTTAGATCTACCGCACTGAAGATGCGCCTTATTACCGAACAGGCAACAAGGTGCTCCTGGGAATCATTGCTTGGACGACAGCACTCATAATCTTTATCAAGTTCTACTACAAGTGGCGCAATGCCTCGCGAGATAAGATCTGGAGCTCCATGACGCCCGAGCAGAGGGACGAGTATCTGAAGACTACCAAGGACCAGGGCAACAAGAGGCTCGACTTTAGATTTGCGCACTGAGAAGAGGCTTTCTGTATATAGACAATGTGGTAAAAATAATAGACTGTTGTCAATTTTCGATACTCGGGGAATCTTGCTTTTGTCGAGTGACCGGAGGTGAAGACACGGGCTGGGCTGTTCAGCTAAAGCTGCTGATTTCCTCTGAATTTAGAGTGCCTGGTGCCATCATGTCCACATATGCAACCAGTGTCTTTAACTGACGACTGGCTAGGCTTTGCCTCTACGATTCAAAAAGGTGTTCGCAAAACGGAAACCGGTCTCACAGTTTCAGTTGAATTCAGTGCGTTTGGATTATCAGAACTTATGAGTGGAAGCTGACATGTGGTCCCTGGCTGACTTATGTAAGCCGTCTAGGCTAGAGCGAGCTTATCGATTAAGCTGACGTGCCTCGGTTACCGTAACTGCCGGTTGTCGAGCCCGCTACCACAGTACAAACGGGCGCCGCGCCAACCAGTCCGTCACCACCAAGTAGTGAATCACTGATAGCAGCAAACCTGTGCGCCGCAAACAATTCCAGCATCAACCCGTCGGACGCTAAGATATCTCGTGTGTCCTTGGTTCTTGACGGGTTCCGCGACCAGTTCTCCAAGTCGCCTTGATGGTCTCCTCCCAGCTCGAGCCGGCCGACGATGCCTCCACCAAACACTCCCAATGAGCCCTCGGGCGCGAGCTCGCCCAACTCGACCCGCCCATCTCGAACCCAAGCAGAGCCTTCCCGCATCTCGACGCGCCAGTTCTCATCGTCAGATTTTGTTCGCGACCTCGAGACCATCTTGGCCGGTCCGGCCAGTCCCGCAGGCTCAACCTCGGGATCAGCAACTCCCTCTGCGCATGTCAATCCGCTTTATGAGATGCAGCGACGATTTCCCGACCTGCGCTGGCCACAGCTAGAGACCGAGGCGGAATATGATACTTCCTGGTACTTGACTTCTTCGTACGGAGCTCTTCGACCCGTTGAGAGGACGATCAGGGAGTCCTCCGATGACGAGGCGGATCCAGCGAGCAGTCCCACGGCATACTCGCCTGAGATAGATTGGCAGGGTCTTGAGTACACCAGTCAGGTGGACGACAACCTGTTGTGCGGAATTTGCAAGACCCCGTACTACAAACCTTTGACCACAAAAGCCTGTGGCCACACCTTCTGTGAAGATTGTCTCTCCCGGGCCTTAGAGGAGTCAAGGAGCCGGTCTCGGCCTCGCGCACCTTGCCCTTTGTGCCGGACGGAGCTCAATTCCGGTGGGGAGCGGGGTGCACGCAGGTTCATCCGCGTTGTGGACATGAGCGCCCAACTGGACCGACTGAACGTCAAATGTCCAAACAACTCAGAGTTCTGCAAGTGGACCGGTCCACGGTCGAACGTCGAGGCACACGTCAACAACGACTGCGAGTGGACGCTCTATCCCTGCCCAGACAGCAGCTGCGAAAAGACAATCATCCGCAAGAGCCTCGGCACCGCCTGTCTGCATCACGAGGGACCGTGTGCATACTGCAAGGAGAATGTCGATCTTTCTGCCGAGGTCCAACACCGTATGACTGTTTGCGCCAAATGGAAGGCGACATGTGAGTTCTGTGGCCAAGATGTCGCGAGAGACCTCCTCGAGCGCCACATGGGCGCTTGTGCCGCTGAGGTGGCAACTTGCACATACTCGAAACTTGGTTGCTCGTTCTCATCTCCGCGCAAACATCTCCTCGATCATGAGAAGACTTGCGACCTTGGTAATTTCAGCAAGATTATACAGGGCGTAGAGTCAAAGTTCGAAACCAAGTTGGCCGACATGGAAGCGTCCTTGACAACCCAGTTCGAGGAGAAGGTACAACTCCAGAAACGTCAAATGGACACTATGCTCCAGGGGATGCAGCAGCAACTGAACGAAGAGGTAAAGAAGCGTGAACAGCTCGCCGAGAGACTGTCAATGTTCGAGAGGGTCAACCGGAGGCTTTCGCGATATAGGGACCCAGCAGCCAGTGAGTCAGCGGCTGGCGAGGTCATGGACGAAGCCGGCCGGCCCATGCTGCCTCCCCCGGAGGGCACCGATTTCGAGCAGGCCGAGTACGTCTTCCGCATGTTCGACGACCTAGACACGCGCATCAACAACATCTCCAAGGCGCTGATCGACCAGGACGCCCGGCAGAATCTGAGGATGATGTCCGAGCTCATGCCCGTCAAGGAGCAGCTGGTCGAGGCCCGCAGCCAGGTCGGCGTCATGAGCATGCACGTGCGCTGGCTGATGGACCTGCAGCGGTCGCGCCAGAGGCAGACCACCGAGGTCGTGGGCAGCGTGGCAGGTGGCGGAGGCGGCGGCTCCTCCTCCGGCTCGTCTACCGCCAACGCCAACGCGCAGTCCAGCTCCGGGCGGGAGGCTTCGGGGAGCAATGTCGGCCATGACTTCCCACCACTAACGTCTGGCATGATGCCTGTGGGTCTTATACGCCGCGGAAGTGAGCGTGTAAGCCCCGTGCGCCCGAGCTTGTGAGGTGGTCTGTCATGCCTTTGAGACCTCGACAATATCCTGGTCCATGACGAGCCGTTCGTTACGATGGTGATTTCCCAGATTTGTTTTCCTTTGGTCGAAGACCTGGTCGGAGACCTGGTCGGGTTGGGGTTCTTGGAACTGACATTGCTGAGGGGTTTCTTCAGTGTTTGGGGTGGAAAACTGGCTGTTTGGCGTAAAAAAGGGTCACGGATGCACTAGTTGAAAGGATGATACCCCGTAGCTTGACGAGAAATATAGCTTTTTTATGAAGAACTTGCTTGACGGTGATATGGCGATGGAGCATCGCGAACTTTTTACCCAAAGTTGGTTGTGCTTTCTGTCACCATGAGAGAGTGTTTGGCAAGATTCAAGTCTGCTCGAATCCCGCGGTATAAACAGAACGGGTATGACCTGCTATAAAACACGCTATAGACAATTCCTCAAACAACAGGTAGGCCAATCATCCCCCAATTGCTGGCGAAGTACGAATTCGGAAACACGGGCTCGGGGTATAATAGCCCGCGGCGTGCCCAGCCCAGCCCAGCCCGCACCGCAGCGGTGCAGGTAAGCAAGCCCACTTGGCCATCCCCTCCCAACTCATCCCATCCCTTCGCATCCCCTCCCCACTCACATGCCCTCCAACTCCCCCAGGCGCCGTCTCCAATCTCTGCCTGCCTGCCTTAGACCTTCGAGAAATGCAGACTCTGGGTGTAGCAGTAGCTGAGCAGGCCCTGCTTGCCCATCTCGCCGCCGAGGCCGCTGTCCTTCATGCCCGAGAAGTAGGCGTTCTCGTTGGGCAGCTCGAAGGTGTTGATGTAGACGGAGCCGGCCTCCAGCCTCCGCGCCAGGCTCTCCGCGCGGCTCAGGTCCTTGGAGTAGACGGCGGCGGCGAGGCCTGCGTTGTCCAGGTTCGCGCGGGCGAGGACGTCCTCCTCGTCGCGCCACTTCAGGATGGGGATGACTGGGCCTAGATTTCTCTGGTTAGCTACATGGGGTCCTGGTCTCTCCGGGCACCACGGGGGACAGGGCCCGGCTTAGGGGCTTGCGGATGACGCCGGGTTGGGCGGTGGAGGTGGGTGGGACTTACCAAACTGCTCCTCCTGGACGACCAGCGCGTCCTCGGGGGGGTTCACGACCACCGTCGCGGGGACCCAGAAGCCGCTCGCGGGGACCTTGTCGGCGTCGACGGCCTCGACGCGCAGGTCGCGCGACTTGGCGTCGGCGATGACCCTCGTGACGGTGTCGTACTGCAGCTTGTTGGAGACGGGGCCGAAGATGGTGGGGACGCCGGCGTCCTCGACGATGCGGAACTTGTCGCGGGTCTCGGCGACGAACTTGTCCAGGAAGGCGTCGTAGATGTCCTCGTGGACGTAGATGCGCTTGGTGGCGACGCACATCTGGCCGGCGTTGAAGAAGGCGCCGGTGGAGGTCTTGGTGACGGCCTCGGCGAGGTCGACGTCCGGGCAGACGATGGCGGCGTCGTTGCCGGCGAGCTCGAGGGTGACCTTCTTGAGGGTGGAGGCGCAGCTGGCCATGACCTTCTTGCCGGTGCTGGTCTGGCCCGTGAAGCTGATCTTGGCGATGCCCGGGTGGGTGGTCATGAGGGCGCCCAGGTCGGCGCCGCCGTTGACGGCCTGCAGGACGCCGGCCGGGAGCACGGGGATGCACAGCTCGACCAGGCGCAGCACGGCGTAGGGGGTGAAGGGCGAGGGCTTGACGATGCAGCAGTTGCCGGTGATGAGGGCGGAGGCGATCTTGAGGGTGGACAGGATGACGGGGAAGTTCCAGGGGCAGATGGCGCCGACGACGCCCAGGGGCGGGTGGGTGGCGACGATCTTGACCTTGTCGTCCTCATGCTGCACGTGGTCCTCGAGGGCCTGGTTGATGATGGCCTCGATCTGGCGGCCCGTGTTGCCGATCTCGATCTGGCCCATGAGCGCCGACTTGCCCGTCTCGCGCATGGCGTAGTCGGCCAGCTCGGCCTGGTTGCTGTTGATCACGTCGACCACCTTGCGCAGGGCGTCCTGCCGCTCGGCCACCGTCGTCCGCCCCCACGTCTTAAAGGCCTTGTTGGCGGCCTCGATCGCCTCCTCCAGGTCCTGGGTGCTGGCTATCGGGGCGTCCCACAGCGGCTGGCCCGTCCGCGGGTCTGTGACCTGGTGGGAGCTGGCGGCGGAGCGCTTCTCGCCATTGATTGTGTTGTAGAACTTGGGGCTCTCGAGGCTTCCCATCTTGAAGCTTTGTCCTCACTAGCTCTCTCTTGTTCTGAGTGGTGCTTGAGGGATTTCTTAGGATTTTAGCTTCCTGTGCGATGGAGACAAGCAGGAGAGATGTGAGATGTGAGGTTTGTGATTTGTGATCCTGAGTACGGCCCCACGATGCGATTGTTCGTTATATTGATAGGGAACAACTAGCAAACCAGGCGAGATAGGAGGTGAGGTCTCTTATGAGTTCAAGGCGCGGCCCCCCAAAACATATCGAGCTTCATCGGCCGTCTGGGCAATATGAGACTCATGCACGCCGGCTGCCAGGGTCCACTGGGGTCGTATCCACGGGCTCGGGACCCCCTTGGCTTAGCTTCCCAATCATCCGCCCGCGGCAAAAAACCAGGGCAGCGAGTTCATCTATAGCCTCACGCGGGGTAGTTTGGATCGGGGGGTAAATGTGCCGCCGTTCGTTTCTACTCGCAACAGGTGGGCACTCGAGGCATTAGTTTCAACTCTAATCTGCTAGGCCAGAGCTGTGGGCACCCGCCATCCGTGGAGTCGTCACTCTGGGGAGAAGGTTTGCTGAAACCTGGGGAACCGGCTCCACAGCCCTGTCCGCCCTGCCTGACAGCACGAGGCTTGCGGCCGTGCAGGCGTTTCTCTTACTCCGTAGAGGCCCAGGTGCCCCTGACTGGCGCCCCTGGCTGTGCTGAAGGCATTGTCGGGAACTCTATCGGGCCTCAATTACTCGTTGAGATGGGCCTAGCCTCGTGGTGGGTTTTGGCGCCGGGCTCTTTCGTCGAGCCCAAGACGCGTTAGGCCCAGCCGGGCGGGACATCTTTCATCCCATGAATCTGCCAGCTCTGGGCCGGGAGAGAGCGGGACCACGGGCTATGGAAGACACAGTGAGCTCCTGATCTCTGTGTGCCATGGATGACCTGCCATGGGCGATCAAAGCTGAGCTTAAGTGAAGTGAAGTGATCTCAAGCTCAAGACATGCGAGGGTCAGGGTATGGACGATTGCATAAGCACATCGATGCCACATGCCAGATAGCGCGCGGTGCAGGTCAGCAACTCAGGCGCGCGCTGGAGTCTGGCCAAGTCGAGAGAGTTGAGTTGTGCTGAGCAGAATATGCACAACACAGGTATACGGAGTACCTGGAAAATTCATGCGAATCATCTCCCTCACAGGACCTCATGTTTCTTCTGCTGTTCATTCAGCCTGCATGTGTCTGTCTCCTGGTGATTGTGGCCACGCAGGACCGAGCAGGCTGAGCAGGCTGAGCAGGCTGAGCAGATACCGTGTTGGAGGATTGTCTGGAAAAGGTCGGCCTGCCCAGACTATCGCGTGCTATCTGGTAGGCCATAAGAGACTGTCAGGGTAGGTAGTAGTTCTCTGATCAAGTTGTGAGCGTACGAGAGGACAGTCGTCTTGATAAAGCACCTGGTGGGGAGCCATCTGGGAGCAGCCCGGTGGGTAGAAAGAGACAGAGCGAGCAGGCCCAGTCGGTGGCTTCCGGACCCCAAGTCGGCCGGTCGCCGCCGGACGGGGCTCCCACCGCCGGGGCTGCAGGGGTGGTGATGGGTGGGGAGGGGTGCTCCCGCAACGGGACCTCGGGCTGTTGGCGGTGGATCCTTCGTGGTTGTCGCTGCTCCTAGTGCAATTGATAAGGATAGAAGCCTGGCCGAAATGCTGAGTACATCCTCTCGATGGTTGGTGCTGGGATTTCAAATAACCTGGTGTAACAGTGCCGCCTTGAGAACAACTCTGCATCGACAGTGTTGTTTGATGGTCATTAATGAATGCACCACAGGTGCTGAAGCAGCTCTGCACTGGCAATGCCTGCACCGTATCTCCCGTCCCGAGGCAAGCCGTCGCAGGCCCGGGCAACCATCTGGTCCGTCTCCAAACCGTAGTCTGTCTAGGTCAGCCTTCGACCCCAAGCTGCGGAGGCTTATTACCAAAACGGTCGACTAAGACGGCCGGTCGACGGCCAGATCCCGTTAGCTTTGTTTGATATCAACGTCGCCCCTGTGATTGCTGCTTGTGCATTCTGACGTTGGACCTCGTGCCTATCACTGTCTATCTTCTCTCACCTGCCTGCTACTTTCTTTTTCCTCTCCCTCAACCTATAGCCAACTGTCTTGCCTCATATCCCATTTCCGTTTATCTCGCTTTGCTTTTGCTTCTCAGTCCTTGACCTATCCTCACCGCCTAGGCCGGTTTCACAACGTCTCGCACAGCACAAGATAGCACAACACAAGCCACTCAAGCCTCACAAGCCTATGATCTGAATACCTAACCAACACCATCGCAAAAGGGCGGCAGCCATCATCGAAATGGCTCCCATAGCTCTCTCGCCCGAGCGTGCTGCCTCACACCTGGACTCTCTTGCAATAAACTTTGATGATACTATCCGCTTCTACCTGAACGGCACCCGTGTGGTGCTCGACGAGGTCGATCCCGAGGTTACCCTGCTAGAATACCTTCGGGGCATAGGACTCACCGGCACCAAGCTGTAAGTCTCAATTCGCTTCATGTACAATCAGCAAAATAACTGGATCTGTTCATATCTACAAGCCATTGCCCTTACTACTGTCCTGTGTACTGACTGTCTGTCTCCAGCGGCTGCTCGGAAGGTGGCTGTGGAGCCTGCACTGTGGTGGTGAGCCAGTACAACCCAACCACCAAATCCATCTATCATGCAAGCGTGAACGCTTGCCTCGCTCCATTGGCCAGTCTCGATGGTAAACATGTCATCACAGTTGAGGGCATCGGGAATGTCAAATCTCCTCACCCGGCCCAGGAACGCATCGCCAAGGGCAATGGCTCTCAATGCGGCTTCTGCACGCCTGGCATAGTCATGAGCCTCTATGCTCTTCTGCGCAACAACGATGCCCCCACCGACGAGGATATCGAGGAGGCATTCGACGGAAATCTCTGCCGGTGCACCGGATACCGGCCCATCCTCGACTCGGCAAAGACATTCAGCACCACTGCGGGCTGTGGGAAAGCCAAGGCCAACGGCGGCAGCGGCTGCTGTATGGACAACGCAGACGGGGATGGTGCTGCTGCCGGCTGCTGCAAGAGCAACGGCAACGGCCCCAACGGGGACACTCAGCCCATCAAGAGATTTACCCCTCCAGGCTTCATCGAATATAAGCCCGATACCGAGCTCATCTTCCCTCCGACTCTCAAAAAGCACGAGTTTAAGCCTCTTGCGTTTGGGAACAAGCGCAAAAAGTGGTATCGACCAGTCACCCTGGAGCAGCTCCTCCAGATCAAAAGTGCATACCCTGCCGCGAAAATCATCGGTGGAAGCACAGAGACGCAAATTGAAATCAAATTCAAAGCCATGCAGTACCCGGTCTCGGTATATGTTGGAGACGTTGCTGAGTTGAGACAGTATTCCTTCGAGGATGACTACGTTGAGATTGGAGGCAACATCATCCTCACTGACTTGGAGAACATTTGTCAAGAGGCCATAACCCATTATGGCAAGGACCGGGCTCAGGTTTTTGATGCCATGTACAAACAACTGAAATATTTCGCCGGCCGCCAAATCCGCAACGTCGGCACCCCTGCAGGCAACCTTGCCACTGCTTCCCCCATTTCTGACCTCAACCCCGTCTTCATGGCGTCGGATGCCGTTTTGTTTGCCAAGTCTGCCGAAAAGACCACAGAAATACCCATGTCCGGATTCTTCAAGGGCTACAGGCGGACGGCCCTTGCACCAGAGGACGTTCTCGCGTCAATCCGCATACCGCTTACCGAGCCCGGCCGCGAGTTTTTCAGGGCGTACAAGCAGGCCAAGAGGAAAGACGATGACATTGCCATTGTGACAGGTGCTTTGCGAGTCAAGCTAGACGACAAGGGAATCGTGGAAGAAGCCAACCTTTGCTTCGGCGGTATGGCTGCATGGACGACAGCTGCGAAGCAGGCGAACGAGTACATGGTTGGCAAAAAGTTCGCAGAACTTGAGACTCTGGAGGGAACCATGAACGCGCTTGAGCAAGACTTCAACTTACAGTTCAGCGTGCCGGGCGGAATGGCCTCCTACAGAAAAGCCCTCGCAATGAGCTTCTTCTATCGCTTCTATAACGAAGTGATGCTCGGCCTGGGTGACCACGAACACACTGACGAGCAGGCTGTGGAGGAAATCGAGCGAGACATCTCGACTGGTGAGACAGATGGTACTGCCACTCTAGCCTATCAGCAGACGATTGTAGGGAAGGCCAATCCTCACCTCGCCGCCTTGAAGCAGACCACGGGTGAGGCACAATATACGGACGACATCCCGAAGCTGGCCAATGAGCTCTCTGGCTGCCTCGTTCTGTCCACAAAGGCACACGCGAAAATCAAGTCGGTGGACTATTCCGCTGCCCTGGACATCCCAGGTGTGGTGGATTACATCGATCACAAAGACATGCCAAGTAAGGAAGCGAATCATTGGGGTGCGCCACACTTTGAAGAGGTTTTCCTGGCCGAGGATGAGGTCTTCACCGCCGGACAGCCCATCGCTTTGATCTTAGCAACCTCGCCGCAGAAGGCAGCAGAGGGTGCAAGAGCTGTGAAGGTCGAGTATGAGGAACTGCCAGCCATCTTCACGATGGAGGAGGCAATCGAGAAAGATAGCCTCTTCAACTTCTTCAGAGAGATCAAAAAGGGAGACCTGGAGGAGGGCTTCAAGAACAGCGACTACACCTTTACTGGTATTGCCCGCATGGGTGGACAGGAGCATTTCTATCTCGAGACAAACGCGTGCGTCGCGATCCCCAAGCCAGAGGACGGCGAGATGGAGATCTGGTCAAGCTCGCAGAACTGCAACGAATCCCAAGCATACGCCGCCAGAGTTCTGGAGGTCCAGGCCAACAAGGTTGTCGTCAAAGTGAAGCGTCTTGGTGGCGGCTTTGGTGGCAAGGAAACACGCTGTATCCAGCTAAGCACGATCCTCGCACTCGCGGCCCAGAAAACACGCAGGCCGGTCCGATGTATGCTTACGCGCGAAGAGGACATGGTCACATCCGGTCAGCGCCATCCCTTCCTCGGAAGATGGAAGGTTGGCGTCAACAAAGACGGAAAGATCCAAGCACTCGACCTGGACATCTTCAACAACGGCGGCTGGAGCTGGGACTTGTCAGCGGCTGTGTGTGAGCGCGCTATGTCGCATTCAGATAATTGCTACCTGATCCCAAATATCCACGTGCGTGGGCGAATCTGCAGGACGAACACCATGTCGAACACAGCCTTCCGCGGGTTTGGTGGACCGCAGGGACTTTTTATTGCTGAGTCCTACATGAGCGAGGTTGCTGATCGGCTGGACATACCTGTCGAGAGGCTCCGAGAGATAAACATGTATAAAACCGAGGAGGAGACTCATTTCAACCAGAAACTGACGGACTGGCATGTGCCGCTCATGTACCAGCAGGTGCAGGACGAATTCCAGTATGCTAAGAGAAGGGAAGAAATCTCGAAATTCAATGAGAGCCACAAATGGCGGAAGCGGGGACTGGTAAGTTCTCTTGTCACCTCACAGGCATATTGCAAGCACTGACTGATAATATCAAGGCCATCGTCCCCACCAAATTCGGCATATCCTTCACTGCTCTGTGGTTCAACCAAGCTGGTGCCTTGGTACATATCTACCACGACGGATCTGTCCTGGTGGCACATGGCGGTACTGAGATGGGCCAGGGCCTACACACGAAAATGACCATGATCGCTGCGGAAGCTCTCAAGGTTCCCCTGGATAATGTCTTCATTTCTGAGACAGCGACCAACACAGTAGCCAACGCAAGTGCTACAGCGGCATCCGCATCATCTGACCTCAACGGCTACGCGATATACAACGCGTGCGAACAGCTCAACGAGCGCCTCGCCCCGTACCGGGAGAAGCTCGGCCCAGACGCGACGATGAAGGAGCTCGCCCACGCGGCATACTTTGACCGCGTCAACCTCTCAGCCCAGGGCTTCTACAAGACACCCGAGATCGGGTACACCTGGGGCGAAAACAAGGGCAAGATGTATTTCTACTTCACACAGGGCGTCGCGGCGGCGGAGGTGGAGATAGACACGCTCACGGGGTCGTGGACGTGCCTGCGGGCGGACGTCAAGATGGACGTGGGGCGGTCGATCAACCCGTCCATCGACTACGGGCAGATCCAGGGGGCGTTCGTGCAGGGGATGGGGCTCTTCACGATGGAGGAGTCGCTGTGGCTGCGCAACGGGCCGCAGGCGGGCAACCTCTTCACGAGGGGCCCGGGCGCGTACAAGATCCCCGGGTTCCGCGACGTGCCGCAGGTGTTCAACGTCAGCCTGCTCAAGGACGTCGAGTGGCAGGACCTGAGGACGATCCAGCGCAGCCGCGGCGTGGGCGAGCCGCCGCTGTTCATGGGCAGCGCCGTGTTCTTTGCCATCCGCGACGGGCTGAAGGCCGCGAGGGGGCAGTACGGGGTGCGGGCCAAGACGGTCGCCGAGGGGGACGGCGAGGTTGACGCGAAGGATGACGGGCTGCTCAGGCTGGAGAGCCCGGCGACGACGGAGAGGATCCGGCTGGCGTGTGTGGATCCCATCATGGAGCGGGCGAGGGTGTTACCCAAGGGTGGGGAGAAGAGCTTCTTCATTGCTATCTGATCCATACGGGGGGTGCAATTAATTGCTTTTCATCATGAATACTAGGACACGATTATCTGGGTTGTAGCATAAGTTTGTTGATGTTAGAAGCAATTCTCGGCAATGCCGTTTGGCCGAGGTCCTATTCCGAAGGGCAATCCAAAGACCCCGAAGCAAGAGCACGAGGTGGATTTCCCTGTTTGGATTTCTGGGCGTCTTACGCGTGGAGCAGGCCTCGATGGGCGGTAAAATTGTTGGTCGGGCCTCGGTAATGCATCTCCAACTCAATCTGTTGGTGTGGGCAAAGGGATCTTGGACTGACGTAGCACCCAACTCGGCGGCACATGTCAGTCAGGTCAGGGGTACTCTGGTACAGCGTACTGTAGTTTGAATGTGACTCTGGCGAGGTAACTGAATCCTGAGTCCTGACATGTGTGTCGAAATGGACGGTTGAGGCAGGTTGCAATTGATAAATTGGTGGACCAAGGGCCAGGGCCTTTACCTAATACACTGACCGTTCCCCATGGGCAATTAGTTAATGAGATAGACGCAACGGTCTAGCCCAGCCAGCCCGCCTTAGTCCCGCATGCAGAAAGTAGCGTAGCTGAGTAGCTGAAGGCTGAGAGGCCCTCACTCGTTTTTATTTTTCACGGGCTTACGGCGGCGGCCCAATGTGGGACGCTTGGCAGACCCCCAGGAATTGCAGGCAGAGGCAGGCCTGGAGCAGGGGAGCCCCCCGGCGCCTCCACAGCCAGGGACTGCTTTTGCTGGCAGGCTGGCACGGTGCCGCTGCAATGTACCTCTGGAGGGGCCCAGCGATCGAGGATCGGCTGCGCAGCCAAGCTTGATGGCATCCGAGCCATGCGGTTGCTGCCAGAGTCTCGGGTCCCCTTGTCTGCTTGTCTGCCTGTCATTGTTGCAGTCTCGCTGGGGCGTAGGTACAGTACCAGAAGTACATGTGCTGCGTACTGCTATTAGGGCCAGGATAGCTTTGGCGGGCTGGGTCCCAGCGTCGCGCCGTCTCAGATCCGATCACATCACGTCGCATGGCGCATCTGTTTCTCACATCCGTCGATGGGTATTCCGTATTGTGCAGCTGAAGGGTGAGTGTGTAAGCCGTGCTGATGATGATGACAGAAAGAGTCAGAGTGAGAGTGTACAAACGAGACATGATGGCGAGGGAAAAAAGAAAAGGAAGGGTATGGCAAGGAAAAGCCAAGGTGCCACTGCAGGACCCCAAGTCATCATCTCGTGTCGGTTCCCCCAAGAGCACACCTGCAACGTGGATAATAAACGTTCGTTTTTTCCCTCCCCAGACAAGGTTTGAGCTCTGTCGCCATGACGAGCAGGAGCAGCAGGAGCAGCTGCCAGAAGCAGGAGCAGGCCCCCACCCCAGCACCCCAGGCACCCCCTCCCATGCCGCAGACTCAGTCAGCACTGCTGTCATCGCAACTTCCCCTGCTGGACCCGTCTAGCCCTGAAATAGCCAAGGTCAATCAACGAGGTACCCGGAAGGCAGTAGCAACGTAGGTTGGTACAGACGTAGGTCGGTGGAGGTCTCAGCCCGGCAAGCCCCACCCATCCGAGCCTGGACAGCCCCGGCTTGCCGCTCCCATTAGTAGACGCCTTCCGCTCGCGCGAGCCGGGCGGGCACAGGATCTTCCAGCCTCCTCTGCCTCGCCCTATTCCGCGCCGAATTCCTCTCTTGGACCGTAGGGCCACTTACTATCTCTTGGTCGACCGCCGTGCCCCGGATTACCAGACTCACCACGACATCTGCAGGCCCGCAATTGGCGTCGCACAGCCTGGGCGCGCAGAGTCCCTCGACCAGCCCACCAACCCACCAACCCACCACACACAACAGGCACCACCCCCACCAGCGACCCTACGCCATACGCACGCGACCCCCTTCCGTTACGAGCACATCTGCCGGCCCATCGGCCCCTTGCCTGCGACCTCTGCCCTGCACACACGGACAGCACGGACGGGTTTTCTAAGGGGCGCAATCTTGGTCGCTGTGGACGGGCACGCGAGGTCTCGGGAGGCCTGTCGTCGAATCATTGTGCCTGGGAACCTGCAGAGAGCCGCACTCCCTGCTCAAATGAGCCACGATCTCGACGCCCACTGCGTAACGTGCGGACCCAATGGGACGAGGGCGCACTGAGTAACCCAGGAGCTGGAACTGGGAACTGGAGAGAGAACCAAGGCAGCAGGACGGCGCAAGGACCAGATAAAAAAAAGAGAGGAAGAGAACAAGGGGTGGGACCAAAGACGGGGTACCGCGAAGGAACGCAGGTCGGACAGGCAGGAAGGGACGGCGAGGGCCGGGACCGGATATCCAGCTATGGACAGGAAGAAGAAGAATGGCGCCAACGTCAGCGGTGACCACGACGGCAAGTCCGACAGAGACTCCAGGCCTGTGCCGACGCACACCGTGTCGGGCGACGGAGATAGGGCGCGGGCCAGCACGAGCGCGAGCAGCGACAAGGACAGCAACAAGGCCCATTCGCATGCGCCAGACGACGCCAACAAGCAGGGCCCCCAGAAAAAGAGGCGCAAGGTCACTCACGGTACGGCCGGCCCTCCCTCTGTGCTGCCTGCTTTGCTGCCCAGCCCAGCCCCGATCCCCCCTCTTTTTTTTTACACCTCCCCGGTTGCCTTTTGTATATCGCACACGCTAACTCTCTGTGTCTCCGCGTTCCTACAGCTTGCGTATATTGCCGTCGATCTGTAAGTCTGGAAAACCCCCCGGTGTGGCCGGGCAATTGGCTGCCGTCGGCGTAGACTATTGCCATGGTCGAGGGCTACAGCAGCAAGCTGCCCAGTGGCACGCATGCGGCAGGCCCTTTTTGGAGTGGGCATGATAGCACAAGCGCATATGGCTAATACTGATCCTCTGGACTGCCACAGCATATGACATGCGACCTCGTATGTAAGACCTTTTTTCTTGCCGTGTTGCTTTAAGCCCAACCCCCCTTTCCAGCCCGCCAAAGAGCTGTGATGTCGTGTTGCCGGCTGCCCTGCGCGAGACGGCACGGCACTGCTCTCTGCGCTGCTGCGCTGCCGCGCTGCCGCTGGTGCACTGTATGCATAGGCGACTGGGCTGCGAACAAGATATTGACCGCTGGGTGGCTCTTTGCTTCGAATAGGAGAGACCTTGTACGAGATGTATAAAACGCAACATCGGCCATCTCTGCCACGACGAGCCTCGCGAGCATGACTCCAAGAAGGCACGGGGCAGCACAGCCGCTGGCTCAAATATGGACGAGAACGAGTCCCACGCGGACATGGCGCACAGTGCCTTGGACCAGTCCACAAACGCTGCGGTTGCTGCCGCCTTGGGCGCCCCCTCCTTCGACGGGGGAGCGGCTGCTGCAGCCGCAGCTGCTGGTATCACGGCTGGCGCTGCGGGCTCGCTGGGTCGGAGCAGCTCCATACAGCTTGTGCGACCGTCGCAGCTCTCTGGGATGCAAGCCAGCGGCCTGGGCCGCGGCAACATGAACCAATGTAGGTCTCGTAAAAAAAAAAAAAAAAAAGATTCCACAATGCGTGTCGTTGTTCCTGTATTTTGAGTCCCAAAAAAAAACTGAAACGAGATATCATTCACAGTTGCCGGCTTCTCGGATGCGTGGTTGACTGCCCAGAATCACCTCAACGACGTGCACAACTACCAGTCCAGTTACTTGATGGCCCCTGAGGTCAGCAACGAGTTCAACCTTCTCAACGAGTTCCTCAACAGTAGCTTGCTCGATGACGGCGGCCTCTTGTCGGCCGACCTAGACCAAGGCACCACCAAACCGCAGAACGACATGTTGCCAGGCTATGGCCTCAACCAGAACAGCCTGCTCCCGCCGAGCGCACTGCCCGCAGGCGCCATGCCGCCACCGGCCGACTCAGATCAGGACGCCCCCTCCTCCCGGACGGCATCAACAACAACGGCAACCAACCCAGAGGACAAGAAGCGGCGCGAGGCCGCCGAGTTCTACCTCCAGGTCGCCGACCCCTCAGGGAATGACATGCCCGAGAAGCGGATGGAGAGAGTGCTGCTGTCCAAGTACGAGGCCGGGCTGCTCCGGCCCTTCAACTACATCCAGGGGTACAAGCGGCTGATGGACTACCTCGAGTCGCACATCCACGCGAGCTCCAAGCAGAAGATCCTGGCGCAGATCAACCGCTTCCGGCCAAAGTTCCGCGAGAAGGTGCAGCAGCTGACCGACATCCAGCTGGTGTACGTGGAGATGTGGTTCGAGCGCACGCTGATGGAGTACGACCGCGTCTTCGCCAGCATGGCGGTGCCGGCCTGCTGCTGGAGGAGGACGGGCGAGATCTTCAGGGGGAACAAGGAGATGGCGGAGCTGATTGGGGTCCAGGTCGAGGACCTGAGAGATGTATGTGTCACTTTTGACTGCACCACCACGAAAGGTTTCGAATGGCTAATGTTCTTCCCTCGCAGGGCAAAATTGCGCTACACCAAATCCTCACGGAGGCGTCGGTGGTGCGGTATTGGGAGGAGTTCGGCACGATTGCGTTTGACCCAGCACATGATACCCTTCTCACGGCGTGTGAGCTCAAGTCCCCTGTCGACGATGGCAAGTCCAAGACCAAGTCCAAGGAGATTAAATGCTGCTTCTCATTGAAAATCAGGCGCGACGACGCCAAGATGTAAGCTGCTCCCCAATTGATCCCCGGGTTACAAAGCGAGGGCCTGACAAGCTGACTCTTTCTTCTATGTAGACCGAGTTTGATCGTCGGGAACTTCCTGCCTCATGACCCTTCACACTGAGTTGCCCGCGTTGGGCCTTAGGCGGAGAGAGCAGGCGACCCGAGCGGCTATCATTCGACTGTACATTGATTGGCAATGGAGATAGTATACTGGACGGATTATGAACAGGCCCATACGCACGACGAACATACCTTTAATGCGTTAATCCCACGAGATGCGGCGGGGGCGAAGGTGCGGAACAGAACAGTAGAGGGGAAGGCGCAAGGAGAGGGTTGGGATGGGAGGATGGGGGGGGGGGGACATACAGACCCAACTTGATCGATCGCCTGCGAAGAGCTCTCGAATTCTTGGTTGCTGAAGATGGTTTGGGCATACAAATATGTCTATATCGTATATAACATGTGCGGCAGGTGCCGCCCGGGTGGCGTCCCCAGTACCTTCCCCATTGTGGTGGGAAGCACAGCGGCTCCTACTCTTGCTAGAAGGAAACATGCTCCTCGCCCTCCTCGCCCTTCCCCTTCTGTCTGCACCCCCCACGCCGACTTGACGAAAGCCGCTCCTCTTCTCTACTTGACTGTGCACTCGGATTGACCAGCCCTTTTCCTCGTCGCAGCTCACTCGGCGACACTTCAACTCTTCAACCCCTCGCCCATTCCAGAACACGCCGCTGCCCCCAATTCAAACCGCGGGGCCTCGTCGCGTCCTAGTCTCTACTGAACACCCTCCTTCCAGCCATATTGTGGAGATCGAGTACCATTACTCAAGAAGACTCCTTGCTCCATGCACGCCAGGACGAAAGCGACGAGACTTGGCGCCCAGGTAGAGCCAAGTGCAACGTAACTCAGCTTGGCTCTATGGTTTTCCTTAGCAGAAGAGTCGCCAGCCATGCCAAAAGCTCTAAACACCGCGAAGGGCGGTGGTGTCGCCTCCGGCAAGTTGAAGAGGAAAGAGGAACTCCTGTGTATGATTCGCCTCCAAACGCCTATGACCAGTAGGCCTGTCGCGCTCACATTATCCTACCATAGCATTCGCCTCGGACCTCCGCAAACGTCTTCCTACCGACAAGAACGACTCAGTGGCGTCGCAGGCGTTGCTCAACAGGATCCAACAGCATATCCAGTCCCTCGAAAAGTTCTCAGACAAGCCGCAGCATGATATGCTCCACGACCGGGGGTTCGAGGAGGAAGGAACTGCACTCTGGAATCTATGTACCCGACTGGGCCGAGAGGATCAACCCAACCCACACACAGGAACCAAGCTAGTCCTCTGGAGCAGAGTGCTTGCGTTCTTGATTTTGCATTCATGTCAATGGTCGGCCAAGTGCGCACTCGAAACGGCCTCGCGCCTTCTGGGACTGGCTCTGAGAGTGGCGAAGTTATGCATTGGTCTGCGCGTTCCTCCGCCCTTCCTCCCATGAGAGTTTTCTATTGCATTACTGACCTTGTCTTTGTATATCAGATCAAGATGACGTCCAGAACGCCAGGCTGGCTTTGCAGAAAGCCGCAGACTACCATGGCCGACTACAGAGCAGTACACAAACAATGCAGCCGGAAGATGCCCACCAAACCGTAGAGATGGAGGCCGAATGGACTGCGTTACGGATTGGACTGGTGCGTGTTTGTTCTCACTACTGCCCAACCATGCAGCTGACGAGGTCCCTAGGCCTGGAGAGAAAATCAGCTCGATGTTGCCGAGCACCTTGTCCCCCAAGCGAGCGACTTAATGCACAGGATCAAGCCGAGTTCAGCAAGCAACATCATCGATACTTACTTCCAGATCGGCCAGGAAATGCTCTCCAAGGGGGATCTGCCCATGGCCGAAAAGTGGCTTCAGCGGGCTTGGGACGCTATCAATAGTCAGAGACTACAGGAACTGCCGCGGGACGCAGTAGAGCTCCGCATGGCAATCCTTCAGTCCCTCGTTACCGTTCTTCTTAGCCTCCAGACGATCGACAGTAAAGACAAAGCCCAAGACCTCGTAAGATACGTCGAGTCCGAAATTGGTGATCAGCCGATCGTCTTGCTGCTGAACCTGGAAATTCTCAATAGGTCGCCGGCAGAGGTCTTTGACGCTGAGGCATACGGCAATATACTTCGAAGAATGATTCGGAGTTTTCAGGCTAGCGAATCTAGATTCAAAGTTCTGGCCCACCACATCCGACGGGTCTATGGTAAAAGCCCAGGTCTTGGCTGTGTCCTTCTCGACGAATTTCTGTCTTCCTTAATTAAGACGGGCCAGAGTGTCTGGATTGAGAGGACGGTGGTCACTCGGATATTCATGACGACAAGTCAGCGAGACTTCGCTGGAGGCATCGAAGAAGCCGAGAAGTCCCTGTCGAGGCTTGAGCCCATCGGCCCCGACGCCAGCTTTTCAGCGCAGACCTTGATCTGGAAGAAGGTCGAAGCCAATTACAACAAAGGCCAGTACGCAATGGCCGAGAGGTGGTGTCGATTGGCGCTGAACCCAGTATTTACCAATTCTGGGCCTCTGAATAGCATGAAGATCCAGAGAAAGCTTCTCCTATGCGCCTTGGCGCAGAATGATGTCGATGCTGCCAGATCAGTATTCTGCACAATGACACTGGATGCGCAGAAAGAACCCATGACGCAGTACTTGATGTACAAGACGACAGTGCGAAGTGGTGATCGGGAATCGGCAGCAGAGCATCTCGAAGCGGTCGCAAAGGCGTCACCCACGCATATGCATCTACTATATGCCTGTGTCGCAGAATCTAGACAAGGGGACGACAGACTCGTTGCTGTTGATGCCTTGAAAAAGGTAGCAGAAACGTGTGACTTTCGACATCCAGGGCCAGTCCACTTACCAGCTCTCCTGCGCACTACGATCATGTTGCTTCACGGACTTCTAGAGGGCAATGGCGAGGCGCAGCAACAGTCGACTATCAACGATATTTGTAACGCTTTCAATGCAGGTGCGAGAATCTGTCGCCAATTGACCAGAGTATGTGAACTGACCGAGTCACGGCCATGCAGTGGCCACAGCAGCTCACAAATCACCAGAGGACGCGGGCGGGAAGAAGCTCTTCGATGTCAGAGAGCTGGAGTGGTTCTGCCAGAACTCATACAATCTTGGCTTGAAACATGCAGGTGATTGGAGCCTCCAGAACGTTGTCCAAATCCTGACAGCATGCTTGAGCATAATCCAAGCCTTCCCGAGTGACGTGGGAGCAGAAGTGGCCGCAGACTTGGCCCTCAAGTCCATATTTTGTAATTTTCTGATCTCGTCAGCACTTGTGGCCCTCGCTCGATCACAGGACAATTTAGAGGAGCAACTGCAAAACTATCTCCTCATGCGCAGACATGTCGCGGCGGCTGACACGAGCATCCAGGAGCGAATGGAGAGCCAGACCCTTGATGAGATCGCATCAAGAGACCTTCTCAGTAAGCTTGCACTGCTGCTGGCGTTCGACTTTGAGGCAGCAGTGGCTTTGAAGTGTTGGAAGGACCTGGGAGAAGTTGTGATCAAGGCGAGTGCCTGCCAGAATATCGAGTCCTTCAAGACGATGGCAGGCTGCATTTTACAGGCTAGTGTCCCAACTGAAGGTGAGTGCATTGGAAGTCGAGCTCATTGAACTCTTCTGACTCTGGTCCTCCATTTCTCTAGACCTTTTCAGTGTCCTACGCAATATCATCAATCAGATCTCGGCACTAGAACCAACTGATCCGGCTAAGCTCGCCAAGTACACCACCTGTCTGTTCCAGGTCGTTGCCCCGAGCAATGACGATCTCGCGGGCATGTTGCTCGAAGAGGCGCTCAGTATGGCGAGGGATGCTCACGGGGTGAGTTACGTTTGCAGCATCCAGCAAGAAGAACAAGAGACGAGACCTGGATACTGATCGTGGATGCTTACAGACACCGGCGGCATGGCCCTCGAAAGAACTAGAGTGGATAGTTGCAACGGCTTATAATCATGCCGTTGACTTGTGGGGACGGGATCAGAAGGAGAAATGGTTGTGGTGGGCCCAAAAAGCCATATCGATTGCCCATTTTTGCGACGATGGGGGACATCTGGAAGGGCAGCTGCAGCGCAAATGCGCGAGGCTGCAACTGGACGAGAATGGCGACTAGATCGGTAAGGCTCGAGCTGCGAGACAATCTGTATGCTTTGATTCGGCAAACTCAACCAATGTCTTCGCTCATGCCGTGGTCACTTGAAAGGAGATGCATGCCGTCTCCTTATGTGCATAAACACTTCATTTTGTGCATACCCACCTGCTGTGTCTTAGTTGCCGGTGAGGGTTGAGCTGAGCGTTGAACTGGCTGATTAATAAGTACGCAGAAATGCATGGCGCAATCCTCAGGGTCCCTTGCGCTACCGAGAGCTGCTATCCGATCCCGGAAGGCCGGGGTTGAGCCGACGTCGATGCCGAAGTCGATCGCTGGCAGCGGAGTCAAGCGGCAAGAAGTCTAATAAGTGAGCGGGATTAAACGAGACTCACTCACTGCTTTCACAATTTAAAAGTCTTGCCCCTTGCCTCTCATTTGTCTTCCCACGATTAGAACATATGCGGGCGTTTGTCGGTTTGGTTGGTGGCTCTTTAGGTAGAAGAAGCATTGCGCAGAACCTTGCCAAGACAACTACAGCAACGGCAGCATCACCATCATCACCGCCGCGCAGATTTTACTCGGCGATGGCTTCGGCCCCAAAGATAAAGCCTGCTGCTCGTGTGGCGGGCAGCAGGCAGGATGTGTGGTCAGTACAGCACACAGACTCAAAAAGCATCTCTCATGGTGGGACATTGTACTGACGAGGCCTAGGACCATCATCAACGAGGCGGCAGCTTCATCGCCCAACCAGCCCATCATCAACATGGGCCAGGGCTTCTTCGGGTACAACCCACCAAAGTTCATCCTGGACGCGGCAAAGGAGGCGCTGGACCGGGTGGAGTGCAACCAGTACTCGCCGACCAAGGGCCGCCCGCGGCTCAAGAAGGCCATCGCCGACGCCTACTCGCCGCACTGGGGCCGGCAGCTGAACCCGGACACGGAGGTGACCATCACGACGGGCGCAAACGAGGGCATGCTGAGCGCCTTTATGGCCTTCATCGAGCCCGGCGATGAGGTCATTATCTTTGAGCCCTTCTTCGACCAGTATATCAGTAATATCGAAATGCCCGGCGGCAAGATCGTCTACGTGCCCATGCAGCCGCCCGCGGAGGGCGCCACCAAGACCTCCTCGGCCGCCGAGTGGACCGTCGACTTTGAGCAGCTCGAACGGGCCGTCACGCCCCGCACCAAGATGATGGTCATCAACACGCCGCACAACCCCGTCGGCAAGGTCTTCTCCCGGGACGAGCTGCAGCGCATCGCCGACATCTGCCTGAAGAACAACATCATCATCCTGTCGGATGAGGTCTACGACCGCCTCTACTACGTCCCCTTCACGCGCATCGCCACCCTGTCCCCCGAGGTCGAAAGGATCACCCTGACAGTCGGCTCCGCGGGCAAGAACTTCTACGCCACCGGCTGGCGGGTCGGCTGGCTCATGGGCCCCGCCGAGCTGATCCAGTATGTCTCCGCGGCGCACACGAGGATATGCTACTCGTCCGTGTCGCCGCTGCAGGAGGCCTGTGCGATTGGTGAGTCTTTTATGAGTTTACTCCTTTCCCCTTCCCCCTTCCGGGAGATATGACAGGAGATGAGAGAGAGCAACAACGTGGCTGATGACCATTCCCCCCAACACAGGCTTCGAGAAGGCCGACGGCGAGGGCTTCTGGGACGACTGCGTCAAGGACATGAAGGGGCGCGTGGACCGGTTCACCGAGGTGTTTGAGGAGCTGGGGCTGCCGTACACGGAGCCCGAGGGCGGCTACTTCGTCATGGCCAACCTGTCCAAGGTCAAGCTGCCCGAGGGCTACCCCTTCCCGCCGCACGTGGCCAGCCGGCCGCGCGACTTCAAGCTGGCATGGTTCCTGATCCAGGAGGTTGGCGTCGCCGCCATCCCGCCCACCGAGTTCTACACCGATGCCAACTGCAGCGTTGTCGAGGACTACCTGCGCTTTGCGGTCTGCAAGCCTGATGATGTCCTTGAGACTGCCAAGGAGAGGTTGAGGGGGCTGAAGAAGTATATTCAATAGTAGGGGGGGTCTGCTTTGGTTGGGAGGCTGGATAGAGAAAGAATAAAATATTAGCATGGCTTCGTCAGTTTGGCACCATTTTTGATGACCATGCGATCAACAGGGAAGATCAAGTTGCAAGGAGATTCTGGGGGGGGGGGTGGCAGGAGCTCAATCTCAGAGCTCATTTGTGCAACCTATGCTGGAATTTTGTCGACCTTTTGCACACTCCAGTGGCTGCCCAACGCGGTGATGGCTCACCAAGTGAGTGCACAGTCTCTTCAAAGGGCAACTTCGAAGAAAAGGTACCGATATTAACACCTTGGTGGCAAGTTTGTGCTCAAGGTGGTGCTATACAGCATGCCGGAGATCTCTGAGGACCAGTTTGAGCAATGGTTCACATTGATCACTTCGAACATGGACCAACCCGATGTTTCCCATTGGGTTTTGATTGGCGTTTGTGCAAATTTTGGGGGCACGACCACCAATTAGCCCACTGGCAATAACACCGCGATTTAGATCACGCCTCGAGTTTCGAAGCAAAGCAACCGCTTGTACCTATAAAGCCCTTCTTGACAGCTACGGGGTTCTTTCTAACCTGCTCATCATTTGTCGCTTCACCACTGTATCCCACGCATGCAGTCGCCTGGACCACCATCTACATGCCTGAATTTCTGTTGTCAACATCAAGACCTGGAAGTGTATGCTGAGTGCACAAGGACATAAACGACGTGGAGTGAGGACAACAACACAACCAAAATCATCCCACAGGGCATCTTAGAAGATCCGCCAGTGGTTATGAGCAGTCTCCAAGCTGAGAGGGATGGGTGGCAGCGATCTGCCCAAGGCACAAGCGCAAATGAAGTGCCTCCACAACGTGTCTTTCCGGAGTACATCGACGTCAACGTGGAAGAGTTCAAGAGGGCGGCAGATCCCTTCTGGGAGCCTGATCGGCCGACCACCTCCAAGCTGTACAAGGCACATGTGACGACCCAGGGGCGCATCTTTTGCACAAGGCGCATGCAGAGGTGGCTCCACAGCCTCCCAGACCGGCCAGAAGCTCACTCTGAGCCCGTCTCTCCAGGCACCCCTGGCACACTCGTGCTTCCGGATAACATCAGACCTCGAGCACAGTCTGCTCCAGCTGCCGAGCCACTTGGACCTCCTCCTCCTGCTGCTGCTTCTGCTGGACTGGGCACCCATCTTTCTGTCCCTCGTTTTCGTTTTGGGCATCCCAACCCTCTCTCTCAGCACCCTGTCCACATTGAGAGGCGTCACTCGCACTTTCAAAGACCACCCTCTCGGCTCTTCACTCCTCCACAGCTTGAGGTGGTCCATTCGCAGCTTGAATTTCACACAGAGCTTGAAGAAGCTCCCCAAGCTCCCCCTCCGCTTGTTGAGGACCACTCTCAGCCCCAACAAGTCCCCCTCCATTTTGAAGACTTGTACTTCCAGCCAAGGATTCCACAGAGGAGGTCTTCCTTGTACTTCAGCTCTCAGCCGGCATCTCACGCACAGCAATCCCACCGTCCACCAAGCCAGTTCGAGGACCTCTTCCAAGGGTTTGTACAGCATCAGGCTAGCGAACAGGACACATCCGAGTCAGAGCAGTCTCAAGAACCAGGAGAAGCAAGCGAGGATGAAAGCACTCCTTCTCACCTGAAGTACGAAAACAACATGGGAGTTCTCACTCGCACAGCCACTACCGCTACTAAGCGGCACACCATCCACTTTGGCTCCAAGATGGGTGAGTTGGAGGGTCGCTTGCCCGTTGACAACGGAGAGAAGGACGGAAGAGCCCAGGTGAGTCCACAATCCCTCCGTCACTCAGGTGGAAAACGTTTGAACGAGCTCAGCGAGCCTGACCACATCGAGGGCGAAACACAGAGCGTCGGCCTTGCTGTTGATGAGAAGCCCGAGGAGCCCTCGAGGAGCTTTTTCGGTTCCATTCGAAACCGACGATCAGGCCTGGGCACTCCTGCGGCAGACGTCAACAATGGCAGAAAGAGCTCTGCCTCGGTCATGTTGAGAGACATGCGCAGGTCTTCCAAGGATTTCTTCAGCAGGCTGACCGTGCGGAAGAAAGGTATGGGTTTCCCACACAGACCCCGTTGTATCGCTCCTGGTTCTCATTAGCCAAGCAGAAGAGCACAACCTCCGAGTCGCGTTCATCGGAAACCAGCACTGCGGAAAGGACCTCCTGATTTCGTAAGCAATTATGAACGTTCCTAATTGCTACAAGTTCGCCAGCGAGTGACCCTGCTAACACTGGCAGTCGCTACACTGTGGCCGCAAGCAGCGGTGTATGTCTCGAAACCAACTCGACACCAGAAATGGTGGCTTGTGCTGACATCTTTCCTAGACCGCCACCTACCGGCCCGGCTTCGACCCTTCTCGGATCAAGCTCACTGGCGTCCTGTCAGTCGACAATTACAAGGCTCGCACCGAGGTGTGGGACATACCTCACCGAAACGTGAGAGACGGCCAGGCTCATCCCCTGACATTGGCACCTTTCGACGTGGTCGTCATCTGTGTTGATATCGGAAACGAGCGCAATCTGAAGTCCGTGGCGAAGGTAATGAATACACTTTCCCCCTGAGCAGCCTGCGGTTCGATGTGCTTGCTGACACCCGAGGCAGTGGCAGCGCGTGGCCGAGGCAAACTGCCCCGATGTGCCGACCATCGTGCTCGGCCTCAAGGCCGACCTGCGTCCTGACTTTCCGACCCTGCGCCTGGGTTTCCTGAAGGAGTCGAACGCATTCACCATCGGACAGGTACGCATTTTTCCGACTTTGAACGGGCTCCGAGAACAATAAACAAAACAAAGAAAGAAACTGACATTGAGCATTTGCAGGGCGAGGAGACTGCACGGAAGAACAAAGCGTCGGCCTATTACGAGTGCTCTGCTAAGACCGGCGAGGGTGTCACCGAGTTCTTCGAGTCCCTGGTCCGCTTCGCGGTCCAGGCATCCCGTACCCGGGCGAAGCTGGGGCGCAAGGCGAGCCGCAGGCTGTCCAACTTGTTCCGCAGGAAGTAGTGGCTGCCCATACTCTCAGCTACCGTTGATGACTTGTTCCTGGAGAGGTTTTGGGGTGTTTGGATCCCGACATATGGAATCAGGGATTGGGAGTTGTCGTTGTACGAGGATATGTTCCGTCTTTGGTCTTGGGAACTCGGAATCGGAGGAGAGGAAGCTGCTCGAGGCTTCGAGGCTGTGAGCCAGACTGGATTGTTCTATTTGAGTAGGACTTCATGATTCAATACGATTTTTCAAGTGTAGTCTCAAGGAAAATCATCAAATTCCTGCTTTGCCGCTCGGCCTATGTTGTGTGATGATGGAGAGAAATCGATGTTACTGTACTGCATTAACTGGTGCAAACTTCGACGATTAACTTGGCTGTATTCTTTTTGGGGGGCAAAATCCCTCAATCAATCTGTAGAACATGCCTGTGTACAAATCATGAGTTCTTGGCATAGGCAACAATATTGGAATGCATGGGTTAGCATTTTGACAACACTCATCATGACGGCCGTTGGTTGACGGATCTTGCGTGTCCAGTGTCCTGCCTACAGCACAGCCACAGCCCCAACATGACCAGTCTCTTCCCCCTCCTGCCGAAATATCGTTGGCCAAAACAATCTAGTCTCACACTGTTCAGGCCCTTTCAAAAAAGCATAATACTGTTGTTGTTGCTCTAAGTTGTTTGGGCCTCGGACAAGCACCTCCCAGACTTCAATTTCCTTTCCTTTAATTCCCCTGGGCTCTCCTGACGTCCACAACGTTTCCCTCATCTTCCCTCCTCCTCCACGAAATGGAGCGTCTCCCACAAGAAATAGTGGCTAAAGTAGCCGAATACCTTCCCCGGAAATATAAGGGCAAACTCATCCGGCCAGCCCTAGCTACACTCTCACGCTCCTGGCAGTATGCCATAGAAACTTTGACATTTCGAAACCTTGTCATCACAAGCGATAGGCTCCAAAACTTCTGCGCGTCCATTGCGAGCCATCCAACGCGTCGGCGCTTCGTCCGGCTAATCTTTTTCGCAATCATCTTACCAACATACAGCGATGAAGACTGCGCCAACTATGAAACGGCAGACGATCGAGCAGCGAACAACCTTGCCTTCAGTCGCCACCTCTCTGCGCTATTGCAGGAATTATCGCAGTGGCCCGCTGACAGCGAACTGAAGCTTGAACTCTACACCTACTCGCCAACGGATAACGCAGTGCACGATCCAAAAAAGGTCTATTCTGACCGCAACGAACCTGCCATGGGGAGACGGCTGGATCTTTTTCGAGAGCGATACAGCCAGTCGTATATCTCCTTCACAAGACCGCCCACAGTCGTCGTCCCACGCGTCACGTCATTCTTGATGCGCATGGAACCATGGATGGAACACGATCGAAAATTAGACCCTAGTAGCTGGGTTGCACTGACGGCTGCACTTCCTGGCCTGGAGCGCATCATCTGGATAATCTATGAACCCACTCACTTTCTAGCTTTACGCCGTCACCAGATGCACGAGTTCGCCAGCGCAGTCGCCAGCTTCCAACCCTCGCCCGCGTTAAAGGAGTTGAAAATAGGTGTCAGAGAATCGTGGTACCCACACAATGAGAGGCTTCCCAACCTCAACGTGGATGGTAACTCGATCTGCAGCTCTCTGTGCGCGCTTCTTGGAAGAGGCAACATCCAGCGCTTCTCCTACACGGGCCCCATCGACCCTACGCTGTTCTGGCCCCGAGAAACGGACGAAACTCCTTCCTGGGGGTCTCTGGAGACATTGAAAGTCAAATTCTGCCTCGGTAGCCTCGACGGCCAGTGGTTCTTCAAAGGCTCACAGGAAGACTCACGTTGCTACGAGAGCAGCGACATCCCGCTGCCCCAGGACGCGGAAGGTTTCTTCCCGCCAGGGTACTACGACAGTGATGAGCAAAACGATGAGGCGATAGCGCACGCCAAGTCGATGGAAACATTCCAAGACGAGGAAGGGCACATCATACATGCTTCGATGTTCAGGCGCGCCCCACGAGACGAGGCTATCATCCCGTTGATCAAGGCAGTCGCGCGCCGGCTCGCCCACACACCATCACTCCAGAGTGTGCAGCTCAAGTCGGATCGGATGTTGGGAAGGGAGAAATGGTTCTTCTCATACTACCCGCCGGGCCAGATGATTTACTGGGATGAGCACGTCGACTGCCGCGTGCCGGGATTTGAAAACCCCGTGTCGCACGCACGCTTTTTCCTGCGCGCTGGTGACTCGAAGGCGTATGAGGAGGTGGCGGCTTTGCTGCGCGGGATTGGCAGGGCTCGGAATGGGACGGACGCTGTTGTCACGTTTGTTCCATTCTCGCGTTGAGTTCTAAGTTTCTGCCGTCATGCGCGACGCATGATGGTGATCCTACATAGGATCACAAGAGCTAATCCCACGAGCAGCCGGTGAGTATTGCCCACTTAGTCTACTCCATAGGCAATGAGAAATCAGAATTGCATACAGGTATTCACAAAACTCATGTGTATTTTGTTCGTCAACGAGCTTTGCTCGATGCCCGCTGTACGGCTACGGCATTTGAAGACCAGTCTCGTTGGGCAACTTGCCAAATGCCGACCTCTTGGGGACAGCCTCTAGAGATACTTCCTCCAATAAGAAAAAACCTACAAGATACATTATGTAAGCTAAAATCCGGATCACTACAGTCTAAGCTTCTATAGAACGACAAATCAGAGGTAGGCGAACTGAAAAGATACAGCCTCTAGTTTTAAATTCTACGACTTGAACTTTTAAAGATGAGATTAGAGATTCAAACAGTAACAAACATATAGTACACTCATTATACACCTCTTCCTCTTAACATCCTTGCCCTCTTACCCTTCTTACCGTCCTTACCATCCTTCCCTCCTTCCCTCCTACCCTCCTACCCTCCTACCCTCCTTACCCTCTTTACTCTCCTAAGGTCTTATTCTTATCACTACTTTTACCTTAATAATTTACTACCTAATCTTTATACTTTCTTAATTCTTATTATTATTAAAAATATATTATTAATATTATTTATATAAAATAAAAAAAATTTAAAATATTTAAAATTAAAGATATATTAAATTAATTATTTTTTTAAATTAAAGGTTTAATTTTTTTAAATTTTTAAATTTTTAAATTTTTAAATTTTTAAATTTTTTAAATTTTTAAATTTTTTAAATTTTTAAATTTTTTAAATTTTTTAAATTTTTTAAATTTTTAAATTTTTAAATTTTTTAAATTTTTAAATTTTTAAATTTTTTAAATTTTTAAATTTTTAAATTTTTAAATTTTTAAATTTTTAATTTTTAAATTTTTAAATTTTTAAATTTTTAAATTTTTTAAATTTTTAAATTTTTTAAATTTTTAAATTTTTAAATTTTTAAATTTTTTAAATTTTTAAATGTTTTTAAATGTTTTTAAATATTTTTAAATATTTTAAATTTTATTAAATTTTATTAAATTTTATTAAATTTTATTAAATATTTATTAAATATTTATTAAAGTTTTATTAAAATTATTTATTAATTATTTATAAAATTAATTAATAAATTTATATATTTTATTTATTATATTAATTTAAATAGTTTTATACTTTTATAATATAAAATTATAAGTTAATTACTTTTTTATATTATTATTTAACTAATATTAATTTTAAATTAATTTATTTAATATAATTAATTTAATTATTTTTTATAATAAATTATAAAAGTTATTTATATTTTTATATTTTATATAAATATATTTAAAAAAATATAAGTAGTTTTTATAAACTTATTAAACTTAATTATTATTATATATAATAAAACTATTTAAAGCTACTTTAAGAATTTTCACTAACCTAACTCCTAATAATAGCTATCACACCTTTAAGCACATAAGCTATACCATGACATTTTGAGACCTATGTCCCGCTAACTTGATACTAGGGGTCAAGCACCGTTTAATGCATACTTGTGTACTTGTCTAATCTAATCGCATCTGCCTTACGACTTACATGCACGTCATCCCGCTGATCACTCATTCCCAGTCAACCGGTGCATCAAGCAATCACCTTGTACACCATGTGCCAGAAGATGGTACCACTGATCGCCTTGCCATTATAGCCAAGATGAGTGGAGGCGGCGGCAGCAGTTCGTCCTCCTCGCCCACCAAACCACGCCACAGCCACCATCTACCGCCGCTCAAGACGGCCTCACTCGCACCACACCATGGCGGCCACACGCCGCCCAAGCCCCAGTACACGCCGCCCCTCCTCCTCACCGTCCGCTTCTCGACGTCCATCCCCGACCTCCTCCTGGACATCCCCCACCCGGGCCGCACCACCGTCGCCGCCCTCAAGCACCTGATCCGCTCGCGCCTCGAGCAGCCCAACTCCCAGCGCCGCCTGCGCTTCATCCACAGCGGCAAGATCCTCCCGGACACCGCCGTCCTCGGCTCCGTCCTCAAGGTCCTTCCGCCCCCGCCATCGGCAGCCGCGGCCAAGGAGGAACATGACCCCAAGGGGAAGGGGAAGGCGGTCGAGGGCGGCGCCGGCGCCCAGAGGGTCTACGTGAACTGCAGCATCGGCGACCTCCTCACGGACGCCGAGCTGGACGAGGAGAGGCGGAGGGCAGAGGAGCCCGTGCCCGAGCAGCAGCCGACGGGGCGGTCGTCGCCCTACCCCCCGAGCCGCTCACCGCTGCCCGGCGGCGCGGGGTCCGGCGCAGCGGGCCAGGACCAACAGCAGCGACAGCGGACGCCGCGCGGCTTCGACAGGCTGCTCTCGGCGGGCTTCACCGCGGCCGAGGTCAACCAGCTGCGGCTGCAGTTCCGGTCGATCCAGGAGGCGCGGCACACGGCCGACACCCTGCCGAGCCCCGACACGCTGCGCGGCATGGAGGACGCCTGGATCGACAACAACAACGACGCCGCGCCCGCCGCGATGCCGGCTGACGGCGACGAGGCCGAGGCAGCCGCCGCCGCCGCCGCCGGAGGGGGCGAGGAGTTTGGCGTCGCGGGCGTGCTGGACATACTGCTCAAGGGCATGTTCATCGGGTTCGTGTGGCCGCTCGGGGCGATCGGGTGGCTCGTGCGGGACGAGGAGAAGATCCCCAAGCGGATGAGGGTGTTTGTCTATTTCGGGTTCGTGCTGAGCTTGCTTATTGGCACTATCCGGGCTATTGGTTAGTGATCTGCCTGGCCGTACGTCCCAGGGGCCACCTTGAAGTGGACGGCAGTACTGCACTGTGCGGTTTTTGAATGGTCGATCATCAACACTAGCGAGATGGCTGGTGTGATTTACACCAGAGCGCTTGAGAGGTTACCAGTAGTAACAAATAGGACATACTGAGGGTGTCTGAAAGTTTAGATGAGTTAAACGCACATCAGCGTTCAAGTCAGTCAACGACTGCATTTCGGTTCATTGCTACGTGGATCTCTACACCGCATTACCTACGCCGCTATGATGATAATGGTATTTTCCAGTCCAATAACTCCTGTCCAATGGGCACGAGCCAAAACCCGAGATGGCGGCAGCGCCGAATAAAGATGCTTTGCTCCCGTCTGTGAGCACAATCAAAGGTACAAGCTCTGGGCCGCCACGATGTCCCTCTTGATCTTGTTGAGGGACTCCTCAAACTTCTTGCTCAGCTCCTCGCTGCCCATGACCTTGCCGGCCTGGGCCATCTGTCGCAGCAGCTCCTCCAGACGTCGGAACAGGCGGATAAGTGAGCCTTCGTAGGCGTTCGTCATTTTGCTGCGAGACTGTTAGCATTGAACATATATGCGGAATTGTGCGGTGTTGGTTGTTTCGGTAAGGTAAAATGGGCGGTGTCGGGGTAAGAAGCGCCTCGCAAAATGAACTCACCAAATCTCTGCAAATGGCCTGCCCTGTGCCCAAGCGTATACAGTCTCCATGAGCTGCCACTTGAGACTCTGCACATACTCGTCCTCGTTCACATCGAGCTTGCTCTCCTGGCTGACCTTGGCGATGATCCTGGCCTGGCGCTGGATCTCGCGGTACGGCTTCATCAGCTCCTCCTTCAGCTCTTGTGTCTCCACCTTCTCGTCGAAGATGAAGACGCTGAGCACCGACGCGCACACCTCGGGTGTCAGCTCGTTGAAGAAGCGGTTGAACAGAAGCTCCGAGAGGAGCAGCTCGTGGCCCTCGGTCGACGAGATCTCGCACGCCACGCGGGCCTTCATCTGCACGACCTCGGCGTCGTTGATGAAACCCAGGCGGCGGAGTACACGCTTGCGGGACTTGAGCTCGTCGAGCTGGGCGATGCTGTGTGCCTTGGCGATGGCCTTCTTCTTCTCCTTAATCTTATCAGTCAAGGTCACCTTCTTGGAGTACTGCTCCCATAGCTCGGGAAGAAGAGGTGAGCCGTGCAGAGGGTTTGACAACAGCCGCGACTCGAGAACCTCGATCTTTCGCATGAGCTTCTTGAACGAATCATCAGTGATGCCCATGTTCTCGATAGGATCGAGGATGGGGATGCCATCAGGGAATCGTCGCTTGGCCTCTTCCAGGTTCTTTCCGCAGTGGCCCATCTCCTGCTCCGTCTTGAGGTCGCCCTTGACAAAGAGACGAATCTGCCCGAAAGCCTTAACACAGTTGAGAAGCACCGGCACAACTTCGTACCTGCAGGTCTTGGACCTGCTCTCCACAAATGGGCGAACCCCGGGTGGCATGACACCGCTGGAAGGTTGGATGCGCTTGACATCGTTGCTCTCGCCATCCAGCCGCAGGAGGACATCAATGAAAATGGACTCCTGGGGCCGGTGTGGTGGCTCACCGGCTTTGGGCGATCGACGAGACACGAAGTTGATGATAACACCCCAGTCGAAATCCTCACCGCTCGGCGTCTTGATTTGTACCAATCGTCCAGACTGGAGGAATTCAGTGCAGTAGTTGGGGTGCTGTATTACCGCGACCATGTCTTTGGTGTAGTCCTCGATCTGATTTCGCAGGTTGTAGTATTCCTTGACTGTGTTCTCATCAGGGATCACCATGTTATCCCGCTCCTGCTGCAGGGCGATGAGCTCCTTCTCCAGGCCAGGCACGCTTGCAGCGTTCTGGAACTGGTAGAAGCATCGCTCGAGCATGAACTCGGGCGAGATGGTCTCGATTCGTTGTAGATTGAGCACCATGTTGTAGCCCAGGTAAAATGCCGAATTGAGCTTGTCTTGCTCACCGGCCACAATGCCCTTTGCCGTCTCGGGCTCGAGCTTGTCGTCAATCATCATGATAACAATACCGCGGTCATCTAGACCTCGTCGTCCAGCACGACCGGACATTTGAATGTACTCGCCAGTCGTCAGGGGTCGTTGCCTCACTCCGTCGAACTTCATAACCGACGTAAACACAACTGTCCTTGCCGGCATGTTCAAACCAATGGAGAAAGTCTCGGTAGCGAACAGCGCCTTGATCAAGCCCTCCTGGAACAAAATCTCGATGGTCTCCTTCAAGATGGGCAGGAGACCAGAATGATGGACACCAATGCCCTTTTCCAGAAGGGGGAGAATGTGTGTAATTTGTGGCAGCGCCCGATCTTCCTCGGCCAGCTGGTTGATGGCGCTCTGAAACACTTCTCGAACCAGTTGTTTTTCAGACGCGTTGTTGAACGTCATGTGTGAGATGGCGAGAGCCATTGCCTCACAATCCCGCTTGCTAAAGTTGAAGACGATGACAGGGTGGAATGAGCGCTTCATGATCATCTTAATGATCTTCGAGATATCTGACTGCGAGTCGGACTTGCCGCCCTTATTCGTTTTCTTGTTCTTTCCTCTCCCCTTCATCTGCGCGTTAGGGTCCGCGGGGTCCGCGCCCTTCTTCTGTTCAATAAGGGCCATAGCCTTGTTGAAGTTGTTCTCCTTGAAATTACTCTTCTCGTCAACGACAAGGAATATACCCTCGCCGCCAGCTGGGAAAAAGTAGTTCTGCAGAGGCGTTGGCCGGAAGTCCGTGTAAACGACGTGACACGCTTGACGGTGTATTTTGGCAATCCACTCCGCAAATTGGAAGGCGTTGGGGATTGTCGCGGACAAGAAAACATATCGGACCTTGTCTGGCAGCAATATGATGGTTTCCTCCCACACAACACCACGACTCTTGTCCCGGAGGTAGTGGATCTCGTCAAATACAACCCACGCCACCTCTCTCATGATCTCAGAGCCGCGGTATAACATGGATCGAAGAATTTCGGTTGTCATGACCAAACAACTTGCAGTCGGGTTAATGGTAACATCTCCGGTCATCAGTCCCACGTCGCCAAAGTCTGCCTGAAAATCTCGATATTTCTGGTTGCTAAGCGCCTTGATGGGACTCGTGTAGATCACCCTTTGCTTGTTCTTTAAACATTGTGCGATCGCATACTCGGCAACCACCGTCTTTCCTGCACTGGTATGGGCTGAGACGAGGACCGACTCATCCCTTTGGATCGAAGCCACAGACAAGCTCTGGAACGGGTCCAGCTTGAAGCTGTAGGTCCTCGCGGGCTCTGCGGGTGGCTTGTGACTCGAAAGCGGAACGTATTCGTAATCCAGATCTGGCGGCAGGGCGACCTGATGTTGGATGTTGTGCGCAATAGTGAGGGCCTTATCCGCTTCCTCTCCTTTTGCCGGGGCGAAACCTTCGGCGGCAGCAAGCTCTCTCGACTCGGCGGTGGTGAACGTATCTGCCATCACGGGATCCGCCTCGCTCTCCTTCTTCCGTCGCTTCGGGTCCTGGTTATTGTCTTCGTTCTGCTCCTGATCTGGTTGTTCCTCCTCGCCATCCTCCTCCTCGTTGGAGGCCTCTTCGCCGTCGGCCATTTCGACATCTGCGTCGGGAGACGTGCCGTTCTTCATGTGTCCATCTGCTTTTCGCTTCTTGCTCTTGTCTTTCTTCTTGTCCGTCTTTTCCTTCCTCGATGACTTGGACCTTGCAGACGGGGATGTCACGGCGGCCGCCGGGGAATCTACGGCCTCAGCCGCCTGCTTGGGCGGCTCATCGAAGACATCGAAGAGCTCGTCCATGATGGGCCGGATCGCTGTGGAACAGCAGTCTGCTCAATCCCAAACTGTACTCGTTGGCGACTGGTGGGGTCGGCGCGGCGCAATCGTAATTGCAGGGATTTTCGGCCCGTGGCGATGGCTTCAGCCGGAGGCGCCAAACGGAAGGCGCGTCTCAGGAGTCTGAAGGCCTGATGTAGAGGCGGGTGGAAAGTTTATTAGCTCCGCGACAGGGCCGTCAGAGCGGGTGATGTCCACGGACGGGCGGTAGGTGACAACAAGAAAGCTTCTCGAGGTCGGGGGGGGCGCGAGCTACACAGATTGAATCAACTGCAGGCGTAGCCGCATCATTTAGCAGCGATGGCGCTACCAAATCTCGATTCGAGGTCAACTTTTTTGCGATAGGCAGAATTGATAAGCCAGACCGGGGAGAGCGGTGTCAAAGCGGAACCCTGCAACCCTGGCGTCGGGACTAGGAAGGGTCTGCCTGAACTCTCAGGCGAGAATGCTGCAACCCGGGGGACGGGAGAGCTCTCTCTCGTACGACTTCGACTTCAATTGTGAAAGCGGTACTTCAACGTCACCACCCTGAACTACCCGCCCCCCAGCTACACCCACACAGAAGCACTCCTCAAGGTCAGTCCCTAGCCGAAGGCCCGGATGTAATTGATGCGCAATTGATACTAAATTGGTCCTCTGGCCGCAGATGTTCTCCCGCGCCGCTGTCCGCGCGACCACCCAGGTCGCTGGGCGTCGAGGCTTCCACGCCACCCGCTCCCAGATGTCCTCGCCCTACCACTACCCCGAGGGCCCCTACAGCAACATCCCCTTCAACCCCAAGGCAAAGACCTTCCCTCTCCTGTTCTGGGGCTACTGCGCCACCGGATTCGCCGCCCCCTTCCTGATCGCTGGTGCGTTTACGCTCTTTCACCGGGTGCTGCCGGGTGGGTTCGCGCGTGGGTTTTCTAACATGCAGCAGCTTGGCAAACCTACAAGCCCCGTACATAAGCGGCAGACTCGCACATCTTCCTGCGATTGGTGGCATGTACATCACGGCGATGGCATACGCCTTGGGCCGATGAGACGAGTATATGGAGCGCGGATAGAACCGAAAATAGACAACTTCAGCAATCGAGCTTCCTTGACTTCCGCCTCCGATCCTCACTTGCGAGCTTGCGAGACTCAAATGGAGTGAATTTGACTTGGCGTAGGGGGTTGTCTCGGCCTTCCGGTGTCGGCAGGAACTGGATGAGGCAGTGCGCTTGCACAACGTCAATCCACATCGTATGACCGATTTGTCACGATCTTGCGAGTCTCTGAGTTCCTCTGGACAGCCATCACACGTTCGAGGAAGTGAAGGAGGCCCAGAAACTTCGAATTGTTGAGACGGTCAGAGTTCAGACAGCCCATGCTCCAGCGGATTGTAGAATGGGCCCTTGAAAATCCTGTCCCATGTGTCAGCGGCTGTCATTCAACAAGACAGTAGGGCAACATACCGTGCATCGTCTGGCAGCAGTATTGTCTCCGTGAGTTCCGGGCACATGCAGTAATACAGAAGGTTATATATGATCGACATTTCGTATTTGAGCCCAGAGTTCGGCAAATGCCTGAAAGACTCATTTCCAAGGTAAAATTGCAGTCTCTACTCCGGCAAATGGGTCTCTGCGCAATTATGAACATGTGATATGTGTCTCAACACTACTTATTATCCTGGACATGAGGGATGGACAGAGCCCTGCGCCTGCAGTGTCCTGTGTTGTGCGGATCTCCCCAACGTCGACGTCAAGAACCTGGGCATATTCGGTACAAGGCATCTATGCTATATGGCTTGTAAGGGCAAGGTGGCGTAGAAGACTCTCACCAATCGTGAAATTCTAAGGTGTGTCGCGGACGTGGACGTCCGAATTCTTCGTTTTTACATGTGGTATCATAGATGTTCGTGAAGTTGTATACATGTTTATCGACATTCCAATCAGTCGAAGTTCCAAGCCCCTGTTTTCCCAAACATGCCAGTGTCTTTATAATCCTTGATTTTCTCTCCACCCTCGAATAGATCGACCAGGAATTCCTCAAAATGCTCGACGTCCTCGGGCTCGAAGTCAGCCTCACACCTTGGTTTGAGCTCCTCCCAGACCTCTCTGGCCCGATCGACGCTATCGCATCTGCGGTACGCTCGGAGGATCCATTTCGCCATCCACACGTCCACATACAGGCCATGTGTGTTCTCTGCGAGCGCCTGGGTGAAGGCGTTATACACGCTCTCCAGCCGCTGTGGGCCCCATACTTGCCCCTCGGGCCCGCCATAAAGGCCGAAACCCTTGAACAGCGCGAGGAAGACGGCACCGTGGAGGGGAATCTGAAACCACTTCATGTCATCGAGATAGTGCGCAACTTTATCGAGTGCGGCCATCTTGACCGCGTAGTGGTTCAACATGATGCGGTACGTCTGGATGTCGGGGACGATGGGCGATGCCTTCTGGAATTGGCGCCGGAGCTGGGGGTCTTGTTTTGATATCTTTGCGAACATCATTAAAACCTTGGTGATGGCAGAATCGTTCATGTAGTTCCTGTAGGGCATAGCAGGAGCTCGGTCGTGTGCGGCCTTCATGCGCTCGTAGACGCGCTCGGCAGCATATTCCTCCCCGCAGCGGAGGAGGCCGGCAATGACACAATTGAGCACCACGGTGTCAATCATCTCGCCGTCCTCGACCATTTCCTTGTAGGCGGCACGGATGCCATCGCTGTCCATCTTCAGCCCGAAGAAGTGGATCAAGCTGACATGATGGTACCTGTTGAACTTGAAACCACGCTTCTCCATCTCCTTGTACAGCAACTCCGAGAGGACAAAGTTGCCGGCTTTCGAGGCGACGTCGAACAGGACGTTGAAGGTGACCGGATTGGCACTGATGCCAGCGTCATGTTCCATTTCTTTCCACAAGTTCATGGCCGCTGCTGCCTCAGTCTCTGTCGAGTGGCCCACATAGCGAGCCGCAAAGGACAGGGCAGCATTCCACTCCGGCCGGGTAAGGCGCAGGCCACTGTGCTGAATGTCCGCGACCACGGCAAAATAGCGCAACATGGACTTGGAGTTCTTGTCCTCACGGCCGAGACATTTCATCAAGCCATGGCGGATCTTCGCATGAAGGTATGGCATCCGCGGCTCGGGAAGGCTCTGGTACAGGTCGTAGATGTACTCAATGTTGGTTTTGTATGGGTTCCTCAGCCTCCGCTGCACCGCACGCCACAGTTTGGCCAGAATCTCCTGCTCGTGCTCGCCTCCTCCCCTCGTCTCGTAGAACGATGGAAAGTCCTTGTCATCTCGGCGGTCCGAAACGGCTAGGTCGGGTCCGTCTGCTGGCGCATACCCTCGCATGTATGGGTCTCTAGTAAGTTGCAGATGCTCATCGATTGTTGTATCTTGAGTCTGGTCAACCAAAGACAGCAATTCATCCTTGTTGAAGCCCGGAAAATCCGTGGCCACTTTCCCTTCGGCGCTTGAATGGCTCGACCTCGTGGCCGTCGGGGCGCTCGTGAGCCTGAACGTGCACTCGCCGATTCTTGTCGTGTAGCGAAACGGGTTCAACAGGACTGGTTGCGGGGTCCACGAAGAGAAGAATTGTGCCTCAGCTGAGCGGTTCGTCGAGGCATTGTGACCCTGGCCGCGCTCCTTGCGCAGCTTCGGCCGCAATTGCCATCCATGCGCAGCCCTGGCCCCATACACGAGGCTGATCTGCGGCCACGGGCTCTTTCGGAACGGGAGTATCGTGCCGCATAAGGACCCTTCAATTCGACTGGAGATTTTCATGAGCTGTCCCACATCATGCCTCTGCTACCGCCGTGTCGTCAGCATGGAAGAACGAGCCTGGCGGTGCAAGTATTGGCGGCAAACAGAAGGAAGGGAGGAGGAATGGGAGCTTCATATGGAGTGGAATCGTAAAGTCCGGGGAAGCTTTGGAAATGCAAGCTCTGCAACGGCGCGGAGGGTTGTCGCGGTGGGGATTGATAGCGCCGATAAGCTCCCCTGCACCCGCAGCGCATCAAGCTCGGGCGAGCCGCACCCAAATTTTGGTCACTCAGGATTGCGAAGCACTCAACTTCCCAGCGACCAGGCGACAATTACGAACCCGATTCGAGGCCGCCTCCTGGAATTGACGGTCCGGACCAAACGCTGAACATCCGGACGAGCTTGAACTCCCACCAACGCCCGTCATGGGCCGGTCCTTTCGGCCCCAGCGGGTCTACCAGACGGCCAAGATCAACCTGGCTATCCCGCGCCACAGCGGCGAGCGTCCATCTCCCCCAGTATGGCTCAAGGTCATTGAGAAAATACCACCGGCCGAGATCTTGACCCGTCCCAAACCCATACCGCACCGCGATCCGAACCCACGGCAGCGCCACCCGCGCAACATCTTCAAGCCTCAACGGATCACGTACCCAGAGGACGAGCTGCGACGGAACTTCTTCAAAGACCACCCGTGGGAGTTGGCACGGCCCAGGGTTGTGGTGGAGCTCGACGGAAAGGATGCGAGATATGTAGACTGGAGCAAGGGCCTGCGCCAGCCCGGTGTGCCAGTGACCGGTGAATCGTACGTATACTGGCCCCTAGAACTACCGCGCGATCGGTGACAGGGCTAACAGCGGTGCAGGGTCGTTCAGAGGCAGTTGTGGCTTATGGAGAACGTGGAAGGCATTACAAAAGAGCAGGCTTACGACATAGCGCGCAAGGAGCTCTACGATATACGGCAGCACCAAGACATCACAAGACGTATCGCCCAGGAAGAGGCCCGCATGGTTGGGGCGTACTTCGGCAAGTCGAGGTTGGAGGTCAGCATGGAGCTGGAGGACGCGGTATACGAGAAGTGGAAGGTATGGGCAGAGGGCGAGGTGCAGAAGCTCCAGACTGAGCGCGAGAATGCCTATGCCAACTTCGGCAGCAGCGACGAGAAAGCGCTCGAGGTGGAACAACTGGGCAGCCTGGAATGAGCATGGACCGCTTCTGCGCCTGGGATTGGGCGCGATTGTAGATATAGATTAAAGAACCCGAGTGCGGACACGCATTTGCTTCTTAGCCTCAAAAGAAAACCGCCAGGCACAAATCCATGAATTCAGCTATTCATTTGCTGGGCTTGTGATTCCGTCGGCTCTGAGCCCACCTTAGATTTACGTTGCCAATGTTGGGCTTGCCCACAACCTGGGAAAGCTTCTCAGACTGGACGACAAACACGTCAGGGATGTCAGTCCAGTAGAACAATTTGCCAGTGAGCCCCAAGTTGTGAGTTCTTGCCCATGTCTCGAAGAAGACTACCCTGAGACGATCTTGTGGGGCGAGACAGAGGACCTTGAGAGTGTGTGCCATTAGCCCCACGATGAAGCCCGTTCCTGGCCCGTTTGTGATAATAACATGGGGGTATTGGAACTCCTTGGCGTTGGGGGTGCGAGCTCGTTGGGTGGGTATCGTCGTCAAGGCCACTAGAATGTCGAGCGCGGACCTTAGAGAGGTGTAGATTGACGACGCATAGGACTGGTAGACTTTCCGTGCCCGGGGCACAATGATAGTGTCGTATGTACCGGCAGCTTCACCACCACAGGACTGATCTATCAAGCTCTCGAGGGCCTTCTCCTGATTTTGAGAGTGCTGGTCCCCCTCCGTGATAATGTATCGTCGATGTTGGTTCTTGTTCGACTTGAAGCTCAGCTTGATCAGTGCAGCCATTTCCGTGGTGTGGCCGCCAGAACCGAAGACATATAAGTATGAGACAGCTGGCAAGTGCGACAGGTCTGGAGAGCCTTTTCCGTCCACGGCAACATTGATGGTCTTGCTTCTTTTGGTGACGTAGAAATGCCGAGTCTAGACTGTCAGCTCATGAAGGCAACAATCGATATATATGAAGCCCTGCGCGGGCATGTTCTGTAACCTACCACAATCAACAAGCCAAGTGAAGTCAGTCCACTCAAAGTGGTGGCTAGACCCAGGCAGAGAACACATAGTCCAGTGATCAGTACTATCAAAAATACCGTCGTCGTAATAAAGAGGCCATAGAGGGCCACAGCATCTGAGATTTGGGCCAGGTGCAATTCATCATCAGAGGCTGGTTTGGTCTCATGTTCCGTAGACCTTTCCTGTGGCAATGTAGGCGCCATATCGAAACTGATTTCCCATACACACCCATAAAAGGAATTCCACGCTAAATCAGCCTCCTGATGGAATGGGAGCCCACTCTCTGTTGGATATTAGCTAGGTGCCTGAAAGGGTGTCTTTGTATGACCGATACGGACCTCCAGAAGGGGCTGCCTCCTCAAATGTGTCCCTCGATCATCCACTCCGCGAATATTCAACACAATTGTGAAGTTGAGGCATCGAGTTTGGCCCCTGGATCGTTGGTGACCTGTCTTTGGTGGCTTATTCCTATCGACTAATTCACTTTGTCCTTCGCGTTCGCAGGCACCCACTAGTGGTCAGAGCTGGGGCTCCACAGGTGGTGGTGGCCTGTGCGACCTCCGCCTACGCCGGCTAGCTTGATGCTGCTTGGGCTGACCTCATTGTGCAACCATAAGTTTTGGGCACCCTGACGAAGGCGACTTCGAGTTGGCGCATTCTCCGTTGCAGCCTCGAATTTCTCCCCGCCAACAAAGCACTGGGGAATACAAAACAATCCCTCGGGTCGCTCCACCCAACAACCCACCGGTTCGGCTCGCTCGAGTTTCCTTGAGCTTTACGCTTAATACCATGGTCCGGTCGTCACAATGGCGCCCCAGACCAGAAAGCTCAACAAGCCCTTGACCTGCTTCTACTGCAACCGCAGGTCCACAACCAAATACGATGGTTCGATGCGCCGCTTCGAGTGCAGCAACTGCAATGCGACCAACCATCTTGACACCGTCAGTAGTCCCGAGTCACACACACACACCATGGTGTTCTTGCAATACCGACTAACATGTTGCAATCCAGAAAGGCGACATCACCGACGTTCCCGCTGCAAAGAGCAGTACCGTCCCGCAGCCAGCGCAGTTCGCGATCCGCCGAGATCACTCCTCAACATCCAGCCAAGTCTTTTGCGACAAATGTCTCCAGAACCAGCACCTGTTCATATCCTCTCTAGCGCAGTACTTCCCCGAGGACCCCGAAGATCCCGAGTACGCAGAGCGCGAGAAGAACTATTACAAATTCTACAAGGGTCTCATGAAGCGGTACCCGCAATGTTGTGCCGACTGCGAGCCAAAGGTCCGCGAACAGCTCGCCAAGGCGGCGTATACTGCAAAAACGGACCATCTGCGGCGCATGCTGGACCGGACTGCCAAGATCCGAGTCGTCACCACCAATTCTCCTGTCTACTATTGTCAGTCGGTGGGCAGGTGGCTATGGGTTGCCTCTCTCATCTTCCAGCTGCTGTGGCACCTATGTCTCACTAGCAAGGGCCTCGCTGATTATGGCAGGCGGGCCAGAGACAATTCATGGCCGATGCTGTCGATGAGGATAGTGGCTGGTTTTCTTGGCTTCTTGCCGTCTCCAGGTCAACTTTTGAAATGGAGCTTCTGGACATCGGCTATAAGCATCTGGTGGAATCCTCGATGGGTCGACACGTTCAAGAGCAACACCAAACATTTGGTCGGCATTTCTAATTACTATTGCTACCAAGCTTTGATATTCGCTCTCAAGCTTGCCGCGACCTTACTGGTTTCACCATTGTCCAACATGCAAGGGCCGGCACTGGCGTCCCGAGTAACAGCACACGTGTGGATGGCCGTGTCTATCATGTACCTTTACTACGCTGCGAACAAAATGATTCGCGTCGACCATACTCCTCTGTGGACTACGAAGGCCAGCAGCATCGGAGCCAATCCAGCGGCGCCGCCGCCCATGACGCCGAGCGAGACACGAGAGAATGAGGAGAAGAGCATGGCAACCATCCTCGACGAGATCTTACATGAGCCGACGCAGAACAGCCAGCCTCGGCGGCAGTCACTTATGTCACAGTTCTCCGACACTGAGAGTCCAGATCTCGTGAGGGCTCTGCCGGGGACGAGCGCGTACAATCCCAACCTACGCCCATTGGCTCCGAATCCTTTTGCGAACTCGCCAGTAAAGCGGCCTCAGAGCTCTGGTGTTGGTCTCTCCAGCCTGAGTCTTTCCGACTCACCGCGAGCGGGTACTCAGGGTGCGGTCGAATACTACTCGCCGACTATGGAGTGGACACCAACCCAGTCCAAGTATCGAGCGTTCAATACCTACAAGCCAGGGGAGTCCGAGACCAGAAAGTTCGGTGAGACTCCGGTCAACGACCAACCGGGAGCATTTTGGGCCAAGGTACCTCCAGCACCCAAGGCTCCCGCCCAGCGTTTTCTCAGTCAACAGAACACGCCGGTCCTAAGAAGGAGTCCTCGAATAGCGCAGAGTCCCATCACGTTCCAAGGGACCCAAAAGAGCACGCTAGGCGCCCAGCGAGCAGATGCTCCCCCAGCAACGATTTTCGCGGAGCCTAGACTCCGCCCGGCGCAACCCAGGGATGAGCGCGACGATCTCCTGGACAAGTTCGCTACGAGCTTCACGCTTGCTTCGGATCAGAATGACGAACCCCCAGCGGGAGATAGCCGGGTGGGAAGCAATGTATCAACATCTGGGCAACCCCCGCAGCGCAGCACCAGCATATTCAAACACGCATTTCTGTATCTGGTATGCAGTGCCTTCCTCGCTATACTAGCAGCGCGGGCCTACAAGGACTTTGGCTACCTGGGGAAGCTTGTATCCATCCGAGGGAGATGAGCCGTGCTTGCTCGAGCAGCAACGGAGCAAAAGACGCATTCATGCAGTTGTTGCTTTAAAGAACAGCCAATAATGGCAGCAAGACACTCGGGAAAAGGCGGACAGAGTAGATTGGTCGAAAGAGGCCGGCGGCTTCCCTCCCCGCAGCTCGGGGAACGGCGCGCTTTGCTTACGGGTGGCACGAGACAAATGCAAAAGTCATCAGATGGTCACGAGGCTGGCGTTCTTGGGGTTCTGTTTCATCTGGTTCAAGTAAAAGGGCATTATATGGAAGGCACACGGCACAGCATACTTAGAGAAGAGGCTACATGAGAAATGAGAGATACCCTAGCGTACCAATAGAGAAGAAAATGGCAGACAAAATGGCGGCTGGTGGAACTTGTACATGCCAGAATCCCTCCAAGGCGTGAGATCTGAGGTGGTTTGTCTGCCAATGTCTGGTCATAGTCAAATGGAACCCAATCATATGCTGTACCATGAGAAATAATGAAGACTGATCCAGCTACATCCCGCCAAAGGATCGCCACCATCCCGGGAAAATGGCGCATGTGGTTAAGGCTGCGTTCGTTCGTGCCCGGTCTGTCTTTCAGCATATGTACTCTGCTCCTTCGGGACACCGAGCACGCGCGGTGGTCGGGCTGGATGGCTGGAAGACTACTTAAGTAGTTCCACGCTCGGGAGAAACCGTATAGCCCCCGGTCACACAAAGTAAACCCAGTAGACAGGACTCAACCAAGTCCATCCGCGGCTTCGAATGCCTTGACAACTGGTTTCGGAACGAGCGCGAGAACGAATGAACATAGGGACGAGGCACAAAGTCACACACACACAGAGAAAGAGAGAGCGAGAGAGAGGTGTGTGGATACGTAAAAGTGATCGGCACGGGCCGCGCTGTGGGGTCGCGCTAGACAAAGTATGATTTCGCCAAGAAGGCGAATCTAGTCGCCTGTCAAGATGCGAATGACAGATTTCCAAAGCAAGAAAAAAAAGGGTCCCTGCGGTTGTTGTGTGTGTGCCCATCCATCCAGGCGACGGGGTTGGCTGCCGGTGGTGGAAGGTTTCCGAAGCCTTGCAAATTGAGAGTCAGAGTCAGTCAGTCAGCAGGGCCCCGTTAGGCGATTGGTCGCCCCGGTTTTTTGCTCTATTCCCTTTCCAGGGGGGAGGGGGGAGCCGTCAGCCCCGTTGGTCCCCCTTATTACTGATCTTGGTTGTTGATCGGCCACCTTCTCCAGGCAGATGGGCTGCCCCAGATGGATCGGCTGCGATATTGGGGGGAAGCGAGATTTCACATCTCGCGGGGACGGCGGGAGGGGGCGGGGATGTGCCGTATTGAGAGATTTTGGGTGGCATCATCTCAACATGGGCCCTTGTCTGGCTGGTTGGTTTGTGCTGGGTGCCTGGGCCAGTTGCTGGTTTCTCGTTCAGACGCTCAGACGCTATTGTTGCTACCGAGGGACCAGAGCCGACGGGGGTTTGAGGCGGCCCTGGGGCTTTGTCAGGTTGTCTGCCTTGTCGGCTCGTTGGCACCCCCTGGATGCCGCCGTCCCACGAGAGGGCGCAATGCTACACGGGGAGGTACGGTATAGCTACACTGTCACCGCACGAAGGTTCCCGTCGCCGGTCTTCAGGAGAACCCCACCAACCCGCTTTGCAGACACACAAGCGGCGTAGAGTGTCACTCACAAATGGGGTTCTACACAGTAGGCTCGTGGGACAAACCCCATCGGGATTTCCGACTGCTGGCAGGTGACCTACTGGGTATTGCAGTAGGTGTGTGTGTGTGTGTGTGTGCCGTAGGACGATCCCCCTTCTGGGCGATCTAGGGAATGCTGATGCGGCACTAGATTCTGGGGTGCTGAGAGGTCTCGGTATTCGCGACCAAATACACAGTAGTCCAGCACCAGTGAAACACCGTCCCAGCTACACGTGTGTTGAGGGACTGCCTGGCTGCTGCCTTTCTGGTCGTCCTGACCGTCCTGCCCTGCCAGGAACCCCCCACGCTGAGGCAAGGTGACCTGAAGGTGAGGCTTAGGACATCTCGATGTGTCCCCGCGGGGGATCAAGCACAAGCACAAACAGGCCCGTGAGAAACGGTGACTGGCAGACTGGGAACTGGGATATTGGGTAGGTCGTCAGCGTGCACTGCATTTAGCCCGGTCCCCCCACACCCCGCGCCCATTTAGAGACTTGACTTCCAGAGTCTGAATCATAGTCTAGGCCTCTGGTGTAACCACGTAGCAGGACTCGTGACAAGGGGTGGTTTCTCCAGGAATTCGAGCGGGCTCTCTCATTCAAGGTTTGACCTCCACGTTTCCCTGGGGGAGCGCAGGCCAATGAGCTGCCGCAGACGACGGCGTCACGCGGCCCCGGGTTGCTGTGCTGGGTTCAAAACGAGGATGGCAGGGCGTGGGGTTGCAGTGTGTTGGCCGGCGGAGTTTGGTATATTGGGGACTGGGAAGATGGAATTGGTAGGCTGGCATGTGCTGTTGCTCGTCGTGCTCGTCGTGCTCGTCGTGCTCGTGTACAAGGGCGAAGATCGATCTGCGTGCCGGGCGGGCGTCGAATCTGCGAATGCGAAACAAAACTCAGGTGCAGGGACTCTGCGCAGTAATGCACGCAGTCCCTGTGCCTTGGCAGCTTGGTACCTCAGTACCTCCGTAGCTGGTGGGTTGATGGGGTCTCTCCTCGGGAGTTGAGCGAGCTGGGCTGGCTGGCAAGGCGCTGGGGCTGGCTCTAGCTCTGGGGCCAGTCAGCCGGTGCAAGGAATCTGGAGTACCCCGTACAGTAATGCGAGTGCATTGCTCTGCAGTGCAGCGCTGCGGTAATAATAAACTGCACTACTGTATGGGGTTGCATGACGTCGGCAGGCATGTACCTCCATCACGCGACACACGCCAAGTGCGACAAGCCAGACAAAAAAAAAACGTGGACGCGGCTGGGCTGGAGTGTGGAGATGGCTGGATGAGTGCATTATTAAACCATGACCCGCAGATCCCGCGCCGACAGTCTATCTGCGCACCGGCTGACAGACGGGCAGGATCAGGCCGGCAAAGCCCTGACAGTGAAGGGAGTGAGCGAGCGAACTGGCGAGTCCCGGGCCTGGGACAGCAGAGACCACGGAGCGAGACCGACCCGCACCAGCGCCCCAGCGCCCCAGCGCTGCCGAGAGGGTATGATGGAAAAGTCGGCTGGCGGCGTGTGATCTACGCAGTAGAAGTGTGCTGTCGAACACGCTGACGGACGCTGAGGTGGCCGCGTCGATCAGGTCACAGCTACGGAGTACGTACCTGATAGCAGCCCGAGGCCTGGTCTGGCTGCCACACTAGTACTCCGTACAGCCTGCACAACAGCTTGCACAGCTTGCCACAGCTAGAGAGAGAGAGGTAGGTAGTGATGCACACCACACACCAGCGGCCTAGCCCCCCAAGCACCTAGCCCCCCACCACGAGGGGACCGCGCCTCGGACCACGCGGTAGCAGTGGACAGACCCAGCACGCGGAAGCCGCCGGTGGTAGTAGACAAGGCTTTGGCCTACCGGTACTGCTACCACAGTAATTCCGGCCCCGACCTAAACTGAGCCGGGAGACCGACGCCAGAGAAGCAAAAAAGCTGGTCAGCCCTTTTAGGTTTTGTCGTTAATAATCAGGCTGGCCTGGCTGGCATGGCTGGCTCAAAAAGTGCTCTCTCTCTCTCTCTCTTGTCAGCTGCATCTTATTTGTAAAGGCACTTACGTCGGTTGGTCTGAGAAAGAAGAGCTCCATCATCCATGTGCTGTGAGTACCGCATGGTGCAACGGTTCCAAGATTTCATGTACAAGACCCATTTAGGTAGGTACTTGCACAGGCACTCAGGCACTTGTTGCGAGCAAGGGCCCGCCTGGCGCATGGATGGCCTTCTCATAAGCTTGAGGTCGGACTGTAGCTGACACGCCACTGACGGTTAATAAGTTGTTAGCCTCTGCACCGCTGGGTGCTGGGCCGGCGCGGTACGTCGGTACGTACCTTTGTACCCCCTTCCCTCCTCTGCCATGTTCTGGTGTGTTACCGTACCGACCTGGGGGACGTGCCCACTCTTTCCACTTCCATGCAGCATCCCCCGTCCGCCCACTACCAAACCAAGCGTCCCGCTAGGGTGCCCTCACTGCACTGTGGTCCCTAAATCCGGGCCACGGGCTGCCAGGCTGCCTGGGTCGTCGAATAAATCCCCTGCAGTCACCCTTCCTGTTCCTTCCCTCCCACGCGTGCCTTGCATCAAAGCTGCTTTCCGACGTCAAGCCCACCCAGCGTCACCCAACTCGTCCGTCCGCCCACTCCTCTCCCCCGTACACGCTCACAAAAACACCCACTCTTCAACCTGGGACGCGCTCCATCACGCTCCCCTTTTCAGTCTGCTCTCTCTTCTCTACCCACACACCTCCCAACGTCTCGTTTAAGGCCCGCCCACAAACTTCGAGCGCCTTAGTGGTCACCGGACTCTGTCTCGTCAGCTTTCCGGCAAATCTGTCTGCCAGACACAACTGGCACAAAATCCTCTTCTCCCCCAGCCGCCCGCCATCAACCTAACAAGATGGACAACCAATTCTCTTGCGGTCTCTGCACCATTGCTCTTTGATCGAGCGCCCTGGGCCCTATCGGGACTACACACATAGTCCTGAAAGTTCCCTCCGCCATTACAACACACTCTCCTCTTCCCCTACTGACTCAACCCTCCGCCTCGCTTTGCATCTCTCCGCCCTGTCACAGGCGCGCTATCCAGCCAAAGCCTCACCTCACTGGATCACCCCCACGCTCCATCACAACTCATAACTCCCACCACTCCCACCTTCTCACCAGCCCGTCTTTGCTCCCACCCCCCTAGGAGCCGGCTGTTGAACCCCAAACAATCATCCTGTCTGCAAGGCATGAACTTTGTCCTGATACTCTTCTTGGCAAAGTTGGTCGTGGCTATATCACTAGTGGTTGCACAGAATATCCTGTTTCAGAGTCGGACAGGCAGCTTTTACCAGGACTGGTCTCGGAACTACATCTCTTTGGTCAGCACACGCAAGGATTTCAGAATTATGGACGCAGTAAAAGACACACAACCCGCCCAGAGCGGTAAGGGCTTGAGGGAGCGGAAGTCCTTTCTCGGCATGGCGGAGCAGGAGGGCATGAAGCAAGCAGGCGCCGGCGCGGAGGACCCAGATGTTGAGCCTCAGGCCGTGGAGATGCAACGGTCACAGTCAGGCCAGTTGTCCCTGAAGTCGCTGAGGTCCACACCATCAACCTGTTCTCTGGCCACCGAGAACAGCATATCCAAGGACACACTCGGAGGCCGAAACGTGCTTGGCCAGCCGGCCAACTTCGGAACAGTCGTCCCAGGAATCTACCGCAGCAGCTACCCCAAGGATGCTGATTACGCATTCCTCCAGAAGCTGAAGCTGAAGACCATCATGTAAGTCTTGACAACGCACTGCCCCCCAGGTGAGCCCGGCTGACCATGACTTCCAGCACACTTGTCGACAAGGAGTTACCCGAGACATTTGTCCCGTTCATGAAGGCCAACAACATCCAGCACCGCCACATCACCATGCAGGGCACCAAGAAGGAGACCATACCTATTCAGACAATGGCCGCCATTCTTGATGTCGTGCACGACAAGCGCAACCACCCTCTCCTGATTCACTGTAATCATGGCAGAGTACGTTCATCCCTTCCAGCTTTGGCCCATGCTTGTCAAATGGTTCCAATCAGAAGCTAATATTTTTACAGCATCGAACTGGTTGTGTTGTCGCTCTGGTTCGCAAGATTCAGAACTGGGATTCAGAGCGCGTCCTGGATGAGTACAGGGCATATGCGGCGCCAAAGGTTCGAGACTGTGACGTCGACTACATCAGCAAGTTCCAGACTGCCGATATCCAGCACCTGGCTCTGGCCCCCCTTGCCGAATCATTTCCGGTCCCACCCGTGATGGATTTCCGTCGAATCCGATTCCTTCTCGCTTCATTATTCGCCATCTTTATCTGGTGGAACACATTGCGGTTTTTCCGACGAAGCGGCAGTCAGCGTGATGCGATCACCGGCCTTTGATGCTGACTCCCGTTCCGATATCAATTTTTCGCACTTATGCTACCACAATTCGGCCTCGCTACGCGTCCGCTGGCCCACGGAACAGCCTCCTCGACCGCGGAACTGCTGGGCAGCGACCGTGTAGCAGTCTCGCGGATTGGGCATTTCGATGTCACTGCTTTTATGTGTTGGCCACCTTTTCTCTCTTGACTCGGTTGGGACTCTTCACAGGGGTATAGACAGGTTATTATTGGGGGCTATCAAGAGCTGAGATGTCCTCCTGGCGTTTTAAGGACAAGGGCCGGCTCTGTTGATTATCGAGTCGACGTTTCTTTTGTTTACCGGCTAGTGTACTGTACAGAATAAAAGTTGAGTGCTGTTGTGCTATAAAGTCCTCGGTAGAGGCTCGAGGGCCGAGACGGCATGGAAAGAGTTATACCCGGGCAGCCTCTTGATGAGGTCTGGTTTGGAGTAAATGATACATGGAGCTCCTGCAGTTCCTCGTCCAAGTATTTACATAAAGATGTGACCGAGCATCCCAGTGACAGTGTTGTTGTTTATGCGGAATCTGTGTGACGGACGCCTTGAGCGTGCATTTCTTCTTTGAGCCGTTGCAGCTGCACTGCTGGACAGCCATGCTGCAGCCAGCCCATGGGCGGGAACCAATCCCTCCAGGAACATGCAGACATTCCATTGAGTCTCGACTCCCTCATCTTCCGACACATCACAACAAACACAGGGGTCAGCGTCTCACAGAGAGAAAGGCAACCGCCTTAACCCACCCACCCACCCAGGCCCCTCACTGCTTCTCAATCCCCCACCGGTCCCTCTCCTTCCTCTCGACGCGCTCTGCCTCCCTGTCGCCCACGGCATACGCATACCCCCCACCCACGGCGTTAACCATCCCCAGGCCCATGGCGGCGCCGCGGACGGCACCCCTGGCGGTGAACCTCCCGCGCAGGCCCGCGGCGGGCCGCCTGCGGGCGGCGAGGAGCACATACAGGCCGGACCAGGCGGCGGAGAGCCCCGCGGCGTCGATCTTGAGGCCGGCGACGCTCAGGTAGGAGCTGAGGAGGAGCATCGGGGTGAAGACGAGCATGGGGAGCTTGTGGAAGGGGCGGAAGTGGAGGGAGGTTATCAGGGTTGCTAGGCCCATTGGGGGGAGGGAGGATACTATTTTTTTTTCCTTGTTAGACTACGTGTGTGGTTTTGTTTCCTGGTGAGTGAGGAAGGCGGGCATGTGACAGTTGGGGGGGGGGGGGGTGAGGGTGTGGATGAGAGAGAGAAAGAGAGATGAGAACGTACGGCCCCAGCCGTTGAGGCGGGATGCTAGCGACCTTGTTGGCTCTGGCTGGTCTGGTGTTGCCATGGTTAGGTAGGTTGAGGATGTGAATTTCTAGGGATGAGTTCTCTGGGCTGCGAAGCTCAATGGCTGGCTTGCTGGCTGGGTTGTTCAAGATGTGTCTGTCTGAACTTTTTCTCAGTTAAGGCTGAGAAAAAAACAGTGACGTGATGTGCACCGAATGAAGAGCTTGCAGGGGTCCTAACTGACTGAACGATCGATACTGTGGTAACTAACTGCCCGGCCAGCCTGTCTCTTCTAAGAGAACTCTTTGCTGGGCAGACTATTACTTCTCTTGAGAACCTTGGAAGTTATTGGCTTTTGCTTGGTTCAATAGTGAGATGTGAATGCCATTTTGATCCACAATAAGTGGTTAGGTACTCGGTATAACTCTTCAACATTCCTCTTCAGGGTCTCTCTCGTTGGAGAGCTACGTTGGGGTTGCTTTGGCAGGGGTCTCTGCTCTGCTACGCCAGTACGCCTGGACTAGACCACTCTGCCCAGGCTGACTGCTGACTGCAGGGCGGAGGCCGGTTGGCCGGCAAGGTCGGTCGGGCAGGGGAGAGAGCACGTTCTCCGATTCTAGTAGACTACAGCATGGAATTTTTGGATGCGGCTTCAATCAGAGACATTGGGCGAAGGCTTTTTCCTACCTGCAAGCAGCCGGCATCTCCATTGAATTTGCAGGCCTGGACCCTGGAATATCATTATCGTCATCTTGTGGTCTGGCATTCAGGGCATCCAGTAAGCATCGAAACAGCCTGTCCTTTGCCAAGTGTGCTGAATTGACGCCGCTTGTTTTTTTGGCCAAGGCTACCCCCAAAGAAGAAGCCACCTTCCCGGACGCCTGTCTAGCACAGTAGCAACCCCACGAGCCGTCATCACCAGACAACCGGGCCACTCGCAGCAAAAACAAGCCCGCCAGCCTGGGCTATCGCAACCTCAACACCAACCTGTGGCTGCTCTGCCAACCCCGCAACGCTCTTGGTCCGATTGCTCTTGCTGTTGAGTTGCTCGCAGTCATCAACGTCCCAAGTCCCAACCTTATCCTGTCAGCCGACCAAGCGACCAAGCGAGTGCTCTGCTATCGACCGCTAGCCGCAGCCATATAACCTCGACCATCCCTACCGTCTCCCGGCCGCGACGACAACTCATCAAAACAACTCGCTGCACCCCAGCTACAGCCACAGCAACACCAACCACCACCACTACCACCTGCTGCTGTGTCGGGGCTGAGGCACCCGCCGCCTGACATCATGCCGCCCAGCGCAACCGCCTCCGGGGCGGATGCCTCCAACGGCTCAGCCCGCAACAGAGAACACGCCCAGGGCAACCAGGACCGCAAGTACACAGAGGAGCAGAAGGCGGCAGTACTGCGCATCCGCCGGTGTAAAGGCACAGATTTCTACGACATCCTCGGCATAGAAGCCGTGCGCAAGACCTGCTCCGAGGCCGACATCAAGAAGGCCTACCGCAAGCAGTCCCTGCTGACCCACCCGGACAAGAACGGCCACGAGCACGCCGACGAGGCATTCAAGATGGTATCGAGGGCCTTTAGCGTCCTCGGCGACAAGGAGAAGAGGGAGAGGTACGACAAGTTCGGCGGCGACCCGGACAGCAGGTTCAACCAGGCCCAGGCCCAGAACCCCTTCGCCGGGTTCGCGCAGAGGCAAGCCGCCGGGGGGAGGGGCAACATGGGAGGCGGCATGTGGGAGGACGAGCTGAGCCCGGAGGAGATGTTCCAGCGGTTCTTCGGCGGTGGTGGTGGGTTTGGCGGTGGCGCCGGCGGCCCCTTTGGTGGTGAGTAGACAAGACAGACACCCTCTTGCGCACGCTGCAGGGAAACCCAAAGGCCTCGGCAGAGGAGCGGTGGCACTAACTGACAAGGCTTCGACACAGGTCCCCAGTTCGTCTTCAACTTTGGCGGGCCAGGCGTCAGGGTACATCAGTTCGGCGGCGGGCGGCCGCGCCGGCGACCGCGCGAGAACGAGCAGCAGGCGCCCGAGAACAGCCTGTTCAACACGCTCATGGGCCTCCTCCCGATCATCTTCCTGTTCCTGTTCCCGCTGCTGTCGTCGCTGTTCTCGGGCGGCGGCAGCACCCCCGCGGGCCCCGACATCGTCTTCGACGCGCCCGACGCGCAGCACACCTACGAGCGCATAACGCCCAAGCTCAAGGTCAAGTACTACGTCAACCCGGTGGAGATCAAGGCCTACACCAAGTCCCAGATGACGCGCATGGACAGCAACGCCGAGGTGGTCCTGGTGCGGCACCTCCAGCACGAGTGCGAGAACGAGATGCTGCACAAGCAGAGGTTGTACGATGAGGCCCAGGGCTGGTTCGTGCAGGACCCGGAGAAGATGGGCATCGCCGAGAGGTTCCCCCAGCCGAGCTGCGCGAGGCTCAACAAGATGGGCATCAGGACGACGAGGTGACCTTGACTTTCCCCCCTTTCCCCCTTTTCTTCCCTCACTTTTCTTCTTCCCTAGCCATAAAAAATATTGGAATCATGGGGGAGGGGCTGCGTGTACAGGATATGACGAATAGACAAGGGGTGGATTGTGGTTGCATTTTTTTGGACTACGAGCCCTCCGACTGATAATGATTCCTATTTCTTGTATTCTTGGACTGTTCTGGTCTCGTGCTGGCGTTGGGAGGGAGAGCATCATTCACATAGCGGCTTGCTGGAGGCAGGGCATTGGGTCCGACGTGTTTGCTGCCGTGCGCGCCGGCGGGCTACGTTTTCAATACCAGACATTATCCGACCGCTCTATCCATTCCTACACAAAGCTGTGCCAGACACAGGAACGTACCCTTTGTCCTCGCGCGCGTCAATCCCGGGGAGCGGCAACCTTGCCACTGTCGGCCGGCCACTCGCTTCCAAGGCAAGGTTCACTGGCCTTCATATGCCAGGTCAGCTGGTGACGGTCTACAGCTTGATTCATAATAGAAGTTAGAGCACAGAATGCAGTTTCCGGCATTTCTTACCTAGGTTTTCTGTCGCTGCGAGTTACCAGCGCGAACACATTCGCCAATATAACCTCAAAGAACCTCTCGTGCCGTTGCTATCATCATCATACAGCTCACAGTGGATAAATTATACCTGCACGTGCTACCATTTTCAAGATTCAACATGCAAATCCACAAGTCTTAGTAACGGAACAGAGGCCAGCCAGTACTGCACTCGCTAGAACTGGGATCCGTTGGGAGCGCTTGCTATGTTTGCTTGAGCATTGTGACTAACAGAGGCATCTATCCACTATGAGCCAGGCCGGAGACATGGTCAACGTCCAAAGATGTCACAAGGTTACTTGATTTAATGAAGTTTCGGTCCGGTTTGGGTTTTCCTATACTAACCCCGGGGTTCGAGTGTTAATATTAGGAGCCGAACTGCTGTACAACCTGAAATCTGCATATGCGATACCGCTCGGAGGAGTGAGCCCGCTCAAGCTCATCTGATTCATGTGGAAGCTATAGCGGCTGCCAATACCTTGGACCTGATAGGCCGTGACTTTAATCTACTATGCAGGACGCTGGCAAGCGGCGAGTCACGCGGAATGTAAAATACAGTTCGGTATAAGACAGCTAAATGCAGGACAGGCCTATGTTTGGGTTGTTTCTGTCTCAGACACCCGGATTACGATTGTGCGTCAAGCAGAAGTTTCCAACTGCCCTGGTGCTGATTAAGCTCAAGAACCCCTAGGAGCAAATGTTGGGGCCAGTACTGCAGATGTCATGGCTCGAGTTTACCCGGCACCTATGGCCTAGAGAAATCCATGTACCATCGGTGAATCATTAGTACTGATTAAAAGAAGAGAGTGGAATAGAAGCAAAACCAGGTAAAAGAAGAGAGTACTGGACTGGGTACAAAATCTTGTGATGGGTGACTGAATACTTCCCAGAAACACAGTAGGGAGCAGATAGTCGGATATTCTCCATGTGTTTATAATAAGACAGGAGATCCAGACATTCAAGATAGGAGAGCCAGACAAGTAAACAAATTACATTATTGAATAGTAATAACTCACATCTTTCAAACAATGAATGAGTTATATCTGCAGTATAGATAATTTAAGAACATTAATAACTTATATTTCCTACCTTTATAATTTCCAAACTGCTATAATGTAATTAATTGAAGACTACTATCCTCACTTTTCTTAGGTATCTATCTATCAATGCATACATAAGAAAGATAGAATAAAGTACAAATTATAGACTATTCTTACCTTCTATTCTATTCTTGAAAGACCTCCTCGACTTTCAAGACATTGAGACAAATGAGGACATCATTACTCAACTACTAACCTACCTGCTACTTCCCTCAACACTAATCACCAGGCTATTAGGGCCTAACATTCCCATACCACCCAGCTACAGGGCCAAATCCGACACATCCAGCTGCTTCAATTCTGGATTTAATACTTGGAACAATCCCCGGCATTGTCAACACTTTCGTACCAAGCCCCAGCAAAACACGCAACAATGTCCGGCAACCCCAATTAGCAGCCTCCTACGTCTTATGCAGCCGATAAGTACGGATATAGAGGTGCCACTCGCCAGCCCGACACCTATCCTCAGGGACCGAATTACGCCGAGTCGAAGGGTGAGCCTGACGCCGCCCCCAAGCAGTTTGGCTATCAAGGCAGCTACCGGGACGAGGAGTATGTATCTCCCGGATTCAAGAAGTTTGGAACTTCGGCTGCTCCCGCTGCCAGCAACTACCCCGAGTCTGCCGGAGCCCAGAAGTATGAGTCGGATACTCCACCCCGTACCGGTAAGACTTAAACTTCTCCCGCGGCCGAGAAGTATAGCTATTGAGGCTCCCCCTCCCCCCTCGACTCCAGTGCCGACGACGATGGTTCTACCGACCGGCGGCTTTAATGTGGTCCTTCTTGGAATCGGAACCTTGGAACTAGGATAATGCACATGGGCGGGCAACCGAAGAAGGTAAGTATTAGGAGGCTGAATTCTGGGTGTGAAGCAAAACTGTTTGGCGATCATCAGGACTCTAGGAGCGATGAACGATGAGAGTAGAAAAGCTTAGCACATACAGCCTTAAAGAATGCCTCGCTAATATAACTTTCGGTGAGATCTAATTCTTATTCCAGAATGACACACTGTGATTCAGAAGCCGAGGCCATTGACTTCTTTGGAAACTACCAAGCATGTGAATGATTGAGATGTTCCCAACATTTCGATAAATGCCTTGGCCATCAAGTTCAGCATTTATTCATTTTATGCAGTACCCAACGTCAAATATGAGAAATATAATTTTTGAAGTACGATCAAGATTAATTAGGTTATACTTGCTGTGGTGGCCCTAAACCTGAAGGGTAAGAGCTTCCGAGGCTCCAATCATACATGCATGTAAGTCAAGCGCTGGGTCTTGAGTGCTTACCACCGTATGAAGGCGCCATGTATGCCCTCGGACGTATACGTAATAGAAGCGAAACCACATAAGAAGAAATCGGAACCTTGGTGCTGACATACCAACTTCACTTGAAGTGGCCAACACCATGCATGCCATTGGGACTTGTGCCATGCTACCCAAGGATCTTGGCGGCGTCGTCGACACGAGGTTCAAAGTGCACGGTACGAAGAACGTTAGGGTCGTGGATGCCTCCATTATTCCCATGCAGCTGAGTGCCATACCATGGGTCCCGTATAGGTGGTTGCTGAGCGGGCTGCGGCGCTCATCAAAGCGGATTGGAAGTAACTTCAACATGGGTTAGTTGGACTTTTGGTGTGGAGCTTTGAGGCCCTGCTACCCATTGGATGTTTTCTATGTGTACTGGATTCACTGTCTCATTACCACCATGGGGTTTATAGGCCTCTTTTGGCTTTTCCCCAGACTGTTTGTGTATTGAGGAACTATTCTTACAAACACACAAAATGCTATTGTGAATCAGACGGTCTACCATAGGTAGTACCGGGTGAGTCAGTGTTTCTAGCTGGGATGATTACACACTGGCGAAGATTTTGGGCACTCTTCGGGTAATTGTCTTCTCTTTTGTCAAAAAATTGCACACCTAGGCATGTTGTGACGAATAATTGCCACTGCACTATTCCTACAAAAAGCAACGCCGCCACTTCGCCATAGGCACGTAGTCCTTATCACGACACATGCAGAGTGAGACATAGGAGCGTCGGTGGCTTGGCTGCACATGCCTGTATAGTGTTAGCCTCAAAAGGATAAGCTGAGGATACACCAGTTTTACAACTATTGATTGCTTGTATTAAAGTACAAATGCGGCTGTCGGAATGATAAATCTCGCCGAAGGCCGAGCTTTTGTTTTCTTTTGTTGCTCGCTAACGGTGCGGGCGTAGCGTCCGCACCGCTTATAAATTTTGCTCTGCTTACCAAAGAATGTGTTTCTCAAAGCAGTCTACTTAACTATTAATATATTAATAAAGAATACCATTCATCTCGTCTGTTTGGAGGTCGAGTCTTGTAGCATCGATTAATGTATACAGTTTCAGAGATTAAGGGACTGCGTCTTTCTGTTGTTTAAGTCATTAAAACCGAGTTCTTGTATAAACACTCTAATTCGGTCTGGAGAATAGCTCTGATATTCCGAACTGATCGCTCTCTCATGCAAAGTTCATTCATTTCACACCCCAATCATCATGTCACTTACGCTCGAGAACGGCGCAGCGGCAGCGTCGTCGGAGGCTTCAAACGTTCCTTCCTGGGTCTAATACGACGTCAAATGGTGAAGCCAACGGACCTGCCGAAGGATGTGCACCTCGATGACCAGGTTGCCGTCGTCACAGGAGCCAACGGGGGACTAGGATTTGAAGCGTCACGCCACCTCCTCCGCCTGGGACTTTCGCACCTCATCATGGGCGTGCGGTCCAAAGCGAGGGGCGACGAGGCCGCCGCGAGGCTCCGCAAGGAATTCCCGTCGTCCAAGGTGTCGGTTTGGATAGTCGATATGGAGTCGTACGACTCGTGCCGCAGCTTTGCGGACCAGTGCGCTGGACTGCAGCGCCTCGACATGGTGATACTCAACTCTGGCTCCATGATTACACCGTTCTCGACTGTGTCGGAGACGGGACATGAGGCCACTATGCAGGTTAACTACTACTCCACTGCTCTTCTTTCGATCCTGCTCCTTCCGGTTGTCAAAGCGAAGAAGATCAACGCCGGTGGAAAGACCCGGAAACCCCCTGTTCTCGCCATCGTGACGTCTGATATCATGTGGTCAACCAAGCTCGAGCCCGTGGGGCCGATCTTGAAGCAATTCGACGACCCTAAGGAGTTCGCCCAGCCCCGATGGTACGGAGTTGCAAAAGCGCTGCTGGTACCGTTTGTCTGGAAGCTGTCCGAGGAGGTCAGCCCCGACGATGTGATCGTCCAGCTCGTCAATCCGGGAACGACGGGTGGCACCAGCTTCTTCAGCAGAGAGTCGTTCTTTGTGCGCAAGGCTATCGGTTTAATCCAGTTCCTGCTGGCGCGGAAGCCAGATGTTGCAGCGACAATATATGTCGATGCCGTTACGGCTCGGGGAAAGGAAAGCCACGGGGCGGTTTTGAGCGAGTGGATGGTCAAGCCGTGAGTCCTTCCTTGCCTCTGGCTGTTTGGTGCTTCACCTATACTGACAACAGTGCCTAGGTATTTGAGCCTCTGCTACACGCCAGACGGTCCAGCGTTTAGAGATCGTTTGTGGGAAGAAACGATGGAGGAGCTGAACTCGTATGGAGCATCCAAAATCATCTCGGGCCTTAAAGCCAGTCATTGAGCGGCAACATAGGTGCTGCCTGGAAGTGGTCGGATTCAAGAACCTATAGAGCCAAATTCAGTTGTGCTACAGATGTGATGGTGTGATACCACTTCTTTACGCGGATTTAGAGCATGTCAGCTGTTTTTGGCTTACTTCGTGCGTACAGACGTAATTCCAATTCAGCAGGGACTTGAACTTAATTTATCACTTTTACCTCATCCTTCTAGGCCAGTATTTTGATAACAATTAGAGGAGGAAAAGACGTTGTAGATAGACAAAGCAAAAGATTTTGAATACATAACAAAGAAAGAAATTGGAAAAAATGAACCACATGACTCCCCAAACGCCAAACATGGCACCCACAAGACGCCGCAGTACTCCCACCGTCAAGTAACTAGTTTCACCTCCGAGACTCAACTACACTCTGTCCCGCTCCACCAGTATCCACCTTCATATCCTGCGATGTAAGTAGGTACGCAAAGCCATGAGCCTTAATGCGCCCAAAACACTTGAGCAGCGGCATACGCCCTAGCTCCCCTGTGTCGTGCGCCTCGAGCGTCGCACGAAGTTCCTCGGCGCGCAGCGAGATGGGACTCTCGTAGTGGCAGAAGCGCGTGCCCCGCTTCTCGGATCGCACAACACCGTCGATCTCATTGTCAATCGACTTCAGGATTGCGCCCTCTAGCCGGCTCGCGACGCCCTGGGCCGTCATGAAGTCGACCTGGCCGGACCAGCCAGTCATGTCGGGCATCTGCTCAGACACTCCGACCAGACGGCCTAGCTCGGCCAGGAGCACTGCTTTGGCCTCGTCCCTGGCACTCGACGGAGCAGACCCATTCAGCGAGGGAGGCACAAAGCGGTATATGGTAGACGGGACGCCCATCTCGGCCGCGGCGCGCTCGAAGACGCGCTCGCTGGCCCACTTGGACGCGGCGTAACCGTTTCTAGGTGCTGATATGTGCTGAAGCCATGTTTTGCCGCAAAATAGGTGGGCCGTCTCTGAATTTCACATCTATCTCTTCCGAGTCGTTGTGGTTCTGGCCATGTTGCTGTCCCGTTTTCAGTCCTGACATTCTCGCTGGCTTGACCTTTATTGCGAAAACTTGAGAGATTATCAAGCCTCTGCGGTTTGGTAAACTGTAGCTTGATCCGGTTATCTCGTTGACATCAAAATGTGCACAAATTTCAGGGAAACCAATTGCGGTAAAGTCTGCTGGCGGACAATATGGCAATATGTTAGGGTACCTCTTTCTCAAAACTCTGGGTTTTAGCCATACGTAGTTGCCGTGTTTGCCCAAAGGCTTTTATCAAGGGTAATGTGATTGTCGTTGAAAAATTCTTCTCGCCTGAGACGTTATATTCTTGAGAATCAGTCGGTCAACGCCTGCCAACCCAGCCTTGTTACTGTGTCCAGAGGAAAGAAAACTGCCTAGCCAACAGCACAAGACTGGCCTCGTTCAAAATTTGAGCACAGAGTAGCAAGGTCGATAGCAGTCTATCATTTGTCCCTTGTCTCCTGCCTTTCGACATACTTTACTCAACCTTGTAGTCGCTGGTGGGCCGAATCCCAAGACCGCTCATCTTTTACCTTTGTGTGACGCTGGGGCATCAGAACTCGACTCCTACTCCGTGGAATTCAACATGTACAGCGGGACGGATAGGCGTCTTGAGCGGGCGTGACTAGTGTTGATCACGAGCGAACTCGCCATTTTCTTCTCAGGTTCTCGTATGATACTCTATCAGTGGGTTCTCTGGGCCATGTCGAGACAAGATGTTGTGTTGGCCAGATAGTTAGGTATTTACCCATTATTCTGTATCTTTGACCGTCGAATGCCTTTGCATTCGATTGCAGCGAGTGTCTATCAACAAAAGACTACTTATTCTTTCCACATCATATGACATAGGCTCACATCCGTTCGAATTTGGCCTTTGTGTATTCGACATCGAAATAAACCACAACCTCTTCTCAAAGATGTCAAAATCATCTTTTCTGTCTAAGCAATCCATGACAAACTTGAAGGTACAGAGATTTATGCAACGGTAGCCCTACGATACGGTCACGCCGAAGGATGGAAGCGGTTGTGAGTACTGGTATCCACAATGTTCATCGTTGTATCTATCCATGGATGTTGTCTTTCTTCCAAGTCAGTTCTGGGCAGCGTTGAAAGTGGGTATCTCTGCTGATCAACCTCGGTCGTCCTTAGTGTTCTCGCTTCTGAAAAGCTGTGCATTTCCCATGGCTGGTTGCGTGAGTTCGTATTATCGTAAGTCAGAGGAGGACTATCAACTGCGCCTGGGGGGTGCAAATTATCCAAGCTCATGACTTGTCCATTTTCCACCACTTTCTGATACCTTACAGGTTCCGGGAGGTTGGGAACATCCGATTGAGAAGATTGGTGGCTCCTAGTTGTTGCGAGACGTGCCCAAGAACGAACCGACTGCGCAAATCTGTACACAATGCTTTGCTCGGCGAAGGTCTTTGGAAGTGCCGGTATGCAAAATACCAGCAGTGTATAAGTCGTTTTAGCAAACGTCCACATCAGAGGATTTGACAATGTATCTAGAGGCTGGGGTAGAGTGGCGTTCATGGTAGTAGCTTTCAATTAGGGAGAATTTGAAGGGCACATACAGGTCACGTCACTATAGTAGTCTGCCTGGAGAGTTGTGACAAGGCGGCCAATTGCACATGCTAATGTCAACATGCCCACAGAGAAAATCATGGCAACACCCAATGGCGTGCGTCCTTGCATCTGCATGGTCCAAATGATGGGCTGGGGAAGAACAATGATGGTGAGGTCCAGCAACACATTGAACAAAGCAGTAGCTATTCCAAGAGACCTTCGATCAACACAGTGACCATGGACCCAGGGATGCCAAATTGATTTGTGTCGAATACATGTGATGGCCGAGAGGATGAAGCCTGAGGTGTAGCATAGTAAGTTTGCCATGATCAACACGTTGCTGGACCACCAGAAGATGAGTTTGATCCACCTTGAGGAGAAAATCCACATCCATTCCAGTAATATGGCTGGTTTCAAGGACAGGAGTGCCGTACCATATATTAGTGTGGATCCATAATTAGTTACGTAAGCAGGCCCTATAGGCAGCCAAAACCACACTTCTATAGGCACCCTTTAATAGCTAATTCTTTTAATTAACAACCTAACTACCTATACCTTTAAATATTAAATTCCTTATAAATTCTAATATTCTAATATATAGATATAAAGTAAGATATATAAAAATAATTATTTTTATTAAGAAAACCTTATTTTACCCTTATACTTAATAAAAATAATTATAATTAACCCTAATACTACTAAATATATTTTTAAATAACTATTAATTTAATTACTACTTAATTTAAAATAAATATTTATACTTTAATTATATAAAGCTAAATTACCTTAATAATAATAATAATTATAAAAAAGAACTTTATTTATTAAATTAAATAATAATAATATTTATTTATTAATAATTACTACTTATAAATAAATAATCCTTAAATTAATTAAAAATCTTAATAATAAATATTATATTTTTCTTTTATATTATTATTACTAATATAATTAATTTATAATTAAATTAAAGAATATATTAATAAATATTAATTCTATTATTTTATATTAATTTCTTTACTTTTAATTAATTTTTTTATTTAATATTTTATAATATTTAATAAAGTTAATTTAATAGAAAACTCTCTCCTTAAAGAGTACCTATTAATTATAAACCTAATATTAATAAATTTATAACTAAAAAATACTTTAAAAACTTATTAATTAATATATTAAACTTATAGGCTTTTAATACCTTAAATATTTATCTTTTTAACTTAATAAAACTATAAATAATAACTTAAAGAGATTAAATAAAAATATAATATTAAATTTAAAACTATTAAAATAATTTATATTACTTAAAATAATTATATTAATTAAAAACTTAACTTAATTATTATATACTTTAATAAAATATAGTCCTTTATTATATTAAATAAAATAAATAAAATTATTATTTTAATTAATTTATACCTTTTAATAATAAATTTTTAATAACTTTAAACTCTTAAAGTTAATATAAGAATAATATAATTAACCTTTAATATTAACTATATAACCCTTTATAAAAATCTATTATACTAATAAAAATCTATTTATAAAAAATTTTTTATAATAATTCTATTTAATAAATTTAACCTTCTTAAAGCCTTTTAATATAAAAGGTTTCTTTTTTAAAGAACCTTTAACTTAATATTATAAATATTTTTATTTTTAATAAGCTTAAAAGGATATAAATTTAACTTTATACTTTTATAATTTTTATAAATTATAACTAAATAAAGTCTTTATAGAATTATTAAATAACTTTAATAATCTTACTAAATAAATATTTATTAATAAATTAAGTTAATTTATTTTTATAAAAATAATTATATAAATTTTAAATTAATATAATATTTTTATTTTTAAATTATACTTTTTTAACCCTTTTACTTTATAAAAATAAGTTATATATTAACTTTATTTAATATCTTTAAAATACTTTTTTAAACTTTTACTTTTATAATAATAATTTATAATAATTTATACTATTCTATTTAAAAAGTCTTTATTAATTAATTAAATATTTATATTAAAATTATTAATAAATTACTTTAATTAATAACTATAATAATTATAAAAGAACTTATTAAATATATTAAAATTTATATTAATAAAATAATTAAATAAAAATTTTACTACTTTTAAAATAATAATTTAACTTTATAATATAATTATCCCCTTTTATTATATAAAGGTTAATTAAAGTATTATTAAAAGTTAAAAATTATATAATTTAAACTAATTAATATTATATTAATATAATTAATAATCTTTAATTTATAAACTAATAAATAAACTATTTACCCTATCTTTAAAGACTTAATTTATAATATATAAATAATAAATAATAATCTTTATATTATTATAATTTAAAAAATAATATTTACTTTAACTATAATAAATAAAATTATTAAATAAAGGATTATAAAGTTAAATTTACTTTTTAAGAATATTTATAATTTATTAATTAATTAAAATATTACTTTTAAAAGTTTTTATAATAATAAATAACCTAATTTACCTAATTAATTATATAATATAATTATAAACTAATATAATAAGATAATTAGTTAAGGTTACTTTAAAGTAAATTTCTTAGAAAGGAATATTTAAATTTACTTTATTAAGGATAACTTTAAATAGAAGGAGGAATATTATAATTCTACTTTTATATAAAAGATAATAATAAAGTTAAAAACCTTTTAAAAGAAATCTTTAATAATATTTACTTAAAGGATTAAAGTTATTAAAATACCTTTTATATAAAAATAAATATTAATAATCCTCTACTTTTCTTTTATAATAAACTACTTTATAAAAATATAAAAATACCTTATAACCTCTTTTATATTTAGCTTACTAATAATTATAACTTTTATACTTTTTTAATTATAGTTTTTAAGTTTATTATTACTTTAAATTCCTAATAATAAAGCTTAAACTATACTTTTTATAAATTTTATATAAATAAATAATATTAATAATATTAACTTTTAATTATAAAAATATTTTTATTATTATAAAATTTATTATAACTAATAGATTTTAAGGGATTTTATAATTTCTTATAGAGTAATTTTTAATAATATATTTTTAAATAAACTTATCTTTAAAAGAATAATCTTTTATTAATAAATAATATATTATATATAAAATAAAACTTTTATTTATTTATTTTTTAATTAATTTAAATTAGTACTTTTAGAATATATAAATTAAAGTTTTTAACTATAAAGATTATATTTTAAGTATTAAAACCCTTCTTTCTATTTTTAAAATAGTACCTAAATACTCTTATAGATAACCTTTAAGTTACTACTTATATTAAAAGTATACTTTAAAGTTTTTAATTTATTTAATAAAAGTAATATTATATAAATATTTTATTAAAAACTACTTATTATATTAATATAAATAATTATAAACCCTTTTATTTCCTTTTAAATAATTTAATCTTTTATAAAAATAAATTATATATAATTTTATTAAAGCCTATAAAATATATTTATTTATAAAAATAAAAGTTCTTAATTTTACCCTTTTATTTTATATTTAAAAGTTTATAATTATATATAAAGAAAAACTTAACTTAAATAAACTATTTAATACTTTTATTATAATTATTATTAATTAAATAATTATATTAAAAATATATATATTTTATATTTAATATTATAAATTAAATCTAATATATAATAAGTTATAAATAGTATATTTTATAAACTTAAAAATAACTTTTAATATATTTAATTAAACTTTAAAATTATAAAAAACTATTTTTATTATATTATTTAATTTATATAAATAGTTAATAATATTATTTAACCTTTATAATACTTTAATTATATTTTAAAAGTTTATTAAAAAGTTTTTATAAACTTTATAAATTTATATATAACTTAATAAATAATATTATTATTTAAATAAATATTATAAAATAACTTTATAAATATATATTAATTATATTTATTTAATTAATAATTTATAGCTTTATTTTAAATATATTTAAAATTAATTTATTTATTAAGTAAGAAGTTTTTTTAACTTTTTTATTTTAAAATAATATTATTATTAATTTAATAAAATTATTATTATTTATAATTACTTTATATTAATAATTATAATTAAAGTTTATAACTTTATTAATATTATTAAATACTTTTATAATTTAATAAATAATTATTTTAAATAAATTAATACCTTTATAGATTATATTAATAGCTTTAAAGATTAAGTTATTATACTTTTAAAAAAGTATAAAAGTAATAATATAAAATTAAAGATATTATTATTAACCTTTTAGTTATAAAAACTTTTAATTAATAACTATTTTTATAATTAAGTCTAATATAAATAAATATTATATTAATATTACTTTTTATAATCTTACTTTTATAATTAAAAATTTATTTTATACTTAATCTTATACTTTTAAAAGTTTACTAATATATAAATATAATACTTATTTAAAAATAAGAACTATTTAAAATTTTATTAATTTTATAATATTAGTTCTATTAAATTTAAAGTATTAAAATTATAATTTTAATAGATTATAAATTTTTAAAAATTATTAATATTAAAGTAAATTAACTCCTTTAAATTATATACTTTTAAATATTATAAAGTATTATAGAATCTATATTATATATTATATTAAAAATTAATATTCTTATAAATTATTTATCTTATTTATTTAAAGATATAATTTTTAAAATATTACTTTCTACTTTTAAATAAAAAAAGGATTTATTAAAATAGATTTATAAATTATATTAACTTAATAAAATAAATTTATAAGTAGTCTATAAGTACCTTTATAAAGGAGTTAATTTTTCTAAAACTATTTAACTTAAATAGATAAAAAGTACTTTATCCTTTTAGATAATTATTTATATAAAATCTAGTTTTATTAATATTTTTAAAGGATTTTCTTTATAAAATAAAAGTTATTTTTAATAACTCTTTTTTTAATTTTTAAGTTTAATAACTTATTAATAACTATTAAAACTTTATTTTAATTATAATTATATTATAATTAAAAGTATTTTTATAAAGTATTTAAAGAGTATTAATATTTAAAGATTATTTTATTATATAATAGGTAATTATAGAGTATAAGAATATTAATTAATAAAATTTCTTTATTTAATACTTTTAATTTTAATTTAATTATATTATTAATACCCTTAACTTATTAAGTAATTAATTTTATATTTATAAATAAAGTTTTTATTTTTATAATAATTAAATATATTATTAATTAAATTTAATATAATTTATAAAATTATATTTATATTAATAAAAGAATTATTAATATTTTTAAAACTTTAAAAGAATAAATTTTAAATAATATAAATTACTTTATAAATAAAGTTATTATAAATTAATATTATTATTATAATTTCTATTTATATTTAATTATATTTAATAAATTAAAAGAAAATAATAAAGTTAAAAAGTAAATAATAACTTAAAGAAAGTAATTCTTTATAAATAACTAACTAACCCTAATTATAATATTTAAATTTTAATTTAATAAATAATTATATTATATAATTATATATTAAAGTTCTATAATTATAACCCTTACTTTCTTTTTTAAAATAATATCTTCTTTAATTTATAAACTATATATTATTTATATAAAAGAATTTATAAAATAAAAGGAAAAAGCTTTTATAAAATAGTTAATAATTAATTATAAAGTATTAATTATAAGGAATTATATAATTAAACTTAAAATATTAAAAATTAAATTTATATTTTCTTTTAAAAATAAAACTCTCCTTTATATTTTTACCTTAAGTAATTAAGTATTATAAATATATTAATAAATATATAAGTATAAACCTTTTATAATAGTTTATAAATAATTACTACCTATTATATTAGGAATATTTATATTTTTAAAGCTCTAATAGAATCCTTCTTTAAAATAAATATAATAGTATAAACCTTTTTCTAATATATATTAATAATAAATACTTTATAAAAGATTTATAATATATTAATAAAATAATATTTAAAAAATAAAAGTAAATTATTAAATTAATATAATTAAAAATAAATTAAATAACTATTTTAATTAATAAATCTTACTAACTATTACTAACTATTACTACTTATTTACTAATATTTTATTAATTATATAAAACTCTTTAAATTTAAATAATTTAGTTAAATTTAATAATTAAACTTTAAATTAAAATAAAAGTAATTTAAAAGATAAAAAATTACTTAAATTAAAACTTAAATTTAAAACTTCCTATTATAATAAAGCTAAACCTTTATTAAAGTATAAATACTTTATATCTTCTTCTATTTTAATAATCTTTTAAATTAATTTAAATTAAAACTTAAACTTTAAAATATATTATTATTATATTATTTTAACTTAATTAATAAAAAGTAAATTTAATAAATTATAAAGAAAGAAATAAAATTTTAAGAGTATCTTAACGAATATTACTAAAAATATAATTTATATAAATAAATTAAAGATAATTTATTTAAGGAAGGGGATAATATAAATTTATAATTAATTATATAAATAGGCCCTATAGGTAGTTAAAACTATATTTTTATAAGTACCCTTTAATAGCTAATTCTTCTAATTAACAATCTAACTATTTATACCTTTAGATATTAGATTTCTTATAAATTTTAGTGTTCTAATATGTGGGTATAGGGCAAGATATACATTAATAGGATACTAAATGTGACATCCTAGTAGAGATTAGTATGTAGTTAAAGAATAATAAATAAACTTTTTAATAAAGTATTTTTTAATAAAGTTAACTTTAATAATAAAAAGTATATTAATAATATATAAATTTTATTCTTTTTTAATATAAAGTTAAAAGATTTATAATTATAATTTTATAATTAATTTTTAATTTAATATAATTAATTTTTAAATAAAATATTAAAAACATTAAAAATATTAAAGATATTAAAGATATTAAAGATATTAAAGATATTAAAGATATTAAAGATATTAAAGATATTAAAGATATTAAAGATATTAAAGATATTAAAGATATTAAAGATATTAAAGATATTAAAGATATTAAAGATATTAAAGATATTAAAGATATTAAAGATATTAAAGATATTAAAGATATTAAAGATATTAAAGATATTAAAGATATTAAAGATATTAAAGATATTAAAGATATTAAAGATATTAAAGATATTAAAGATATTAAAGATATTAAAGATATTAAAGATATTAAAGATATTAAAAATATTAAAAATTTAAAATTATTATTTATTACTAAACTTAAAAATATTATATTATAAATTTAAATTTAAAAGTCTTTTTTTATTATATTTTAATTTATTTTTTATAAATATAAAAGGTATAATATTTTATATTAAACTTTATATTAGAAACTAAGAATACCTAGATTCCTGCTATTGGCAGTGGAGACCTCCAAGCGCTAAGAAGCCGAATCCGAGTGGGGCCTCCGCCCCTCCGTTGCGTCACCGATGGAGTGGCTGGGGTTGCCCCCGAGAGGCAGCAGCAGGCTAGCTGTGAAGCCTTGCGTCCGCGACATTTCCGCAGCGTCTACATAGATAGGTCTTGTTCTTGGCCAGGAGAATACGTGTGGGTAGGGGCTGATGAATGCTGCATTGTAGACCGAGCCAAAAGCGCATGTAGACACAGTACCGGAATGTCAATGCCAGTCAATGTGAATACTGTGGTAGAGATGGGACAAGCCGGCTTATCGATAGTCAGAGGCCAGTGGTAAGCACACAGTACCTTTGTCGGCAGGACGAGGTACACGGTGCATTGGCGCGGGATGGCGTGTGACAGGTGTAGTAGCTGCTCAACTGTCTTGTACTCCGTACTTCGCTAGTTGTCCCATCCCCCGAGACGGATCCAAGCTCCCCCAGTCACTGCAAGTGGGCTGCCTGTTTCCTAGCTTGCTTGACTTGACCTAACTTGGCTCGCTCCAGCCCGGGGAATGGCAACGTTCAGTTGCGATACATAGCAGCGTCCTCACAGCCTCCGGCCAGGCTTCATTGTTTCACCGGAACCAAGTGCCTGCATCACTGGCTTGCTGTGTTACCTCTGACGACTCTCAGTCCGATTCTTACCTTACCTTGACAGCACTTGAGGTCTGCTTGACTCCCATGCTCCTACGGTCCCTCTTAACCCCTCACCACCACCTACCAACACACTCCAACCACTGCAATTCCAGCCTCGCTATAAGTTTTGCAAGTTGAGCAGTTCCTTGAGGTCCTCTCCGACCGTCTCCCATCCAGAAGGAAACATTTCCAGACCGCTCAACGTCACGATCCCCACAGATCCGTCGCGCAGAACGGCCGCCCTAGTTCCGAGTGACGTGGTGGCGTCAGCGAGTCGAAGACCCTTTGTCCATGAGCCCCTCGTCGCCCAAGGCTGCCGCTTAAGAGATGGTGACGCGAAAGCCGCTGCCGGACAATGCTGTTGTCCACCCGGGCATTGCGCCGAGCCCAAGCCTCGACGGCACAGACGCTGGCCCCCAGACGCCTGCCAAGTCTCAGGCTGTTTCTGGCCACAGACCTGTCGACGATGCTGCGGACATCTCAGACACCGATAGTTGGGAGCGGGATACCGATAGCGAAGACGAAGACGATGCGCCACCTCATTTACAGCACGACCAACCCAAAGAGAAGGGAATTGAGGTAGCAGAGAATGGTGGCGTGGCAGCAAAGGATAACGGCGGCAGTCCCAGTGTACTGCAGCCGGCTACCACAGGAGACTCGTTCCAACATTCAGCGCCAATGCTCGGCGGAGCAGGAGAAACGAACCCTTTCAGGAGAAAGATGTCACAGTCGAACGGGCAGCGCGGTAACGCGGTGCCGCCAACACCCAGCGAAACGCCCCCAGTACCCCCAGCAGCCGCCTTCGCGAAATTGGATCTCGACGAGACGAGCTCAAATCCCTGGCAACCTGCGCTAGGTGATCAGAAGTCTCTGGCGCCACCAACGATCACGACTACGGCCGAGCAAGACCCGGACCAGCAAGTATGGGCGTCCCAAGTGCCATCCAGAGCAGCGTCGACGGGCCCAGCCTCAAACTCTCCAGCAATACAGTCACCTACTCCTGAGGAGAAGGGCACTTGGGGTGATGATGTTCCAGAGAAGTCCTCTATTGCGGTCCCTCCGTCTTTCAGAACGTCTCTCGAGGACCAGGCGCTGGAGCAAGACAGCCATGCTTGGGATGATGTGGCGACCTTAGATAAAGGCAAGGGACCCGAGAAGCCTGCACTGGCCACCGAGACTGCCTCAGCGGTTTCGCGTGAAGCCGAAAACAGCCTCATCGACATAGGATACGAGCCCAGTCCTGATCCCTCTGGGCAACCATCCCAATCCTCCGCCCAGCCCGAGGAAGCCGCACCTAGCTTACCCCCCAGGCATTCAGAGAAAGCTCCGGCCTTGCTCCCTGCAGCAACCGTCTCCGCGAAAACGGAAACCTACCAGATCAAGAACATCACCTGGCACGATGCCAATGCGGTCAATAACATGCGAAAATCCCCGATCCTCGTGCAGAATGCAAACGGTCCTTGTCCGCTCATGGCACTTGTTAATGCTCTCACTCTGACGACTCCTGCAGACGCAGCGGACGCGGTCCTCGTCAACACATTAAAGACAAGAGAACAGATCAGCCTCGACCTTCTGCTTAACGCCGTTTTTGATGAGCTCATGTCTGAGCGTAGAATCACTTCTGATATGTCCTTGCCTGATATTACCGAGCTCTACGAATTTCTAAAAGGTCTACACACTGGGATGAACGTCAATCCCAGGTTCATACCCACAGAAGAGACAGAGAAGGCCTTCAAACGGACCTCTTTGACCCATCTTCATCCCACTGAGAGAGGTGAGCTGATCCCGGGTACGTTCGAGGACACGAAAGAAATGTCGTTCTACAGAACCTTCCGGATACCACTTATTCATGGGTGGCTGCCGCCACATTCGGAACCTGTGTACGAGGCTTTGAAACGACATGCCGAGTCGTATGAGGATGCTCAAAACATTCTGTTTAGAGAAGAAGAGCTGGAAGACAAGCTCAGCAACACCTCTGGGGCGGGCCTCTCTGAGGAGGAGCAGGGTGTCTACCAGGATATTCTGAGCATCAAGTCTTTCCTCTATTCTGCCGCGACACAGCTGACGCCGTGGGGCCTCGAGGTTATTACCAAGGCAATGCGCCCCGGCTCTGTGGCGATTCTTTTCAGGAACGACCATTTCTCTACTCTATATCGGCACCCACAAACCCTACAAATGTTTGCGCTTGTCACAGACGCTGGCTATGCAGGGCACGACGAGATTGTTTGGGAGTCCTTGGTAGACGTTAACGGCGAGAACTCCGAGTTCTTCTCAGGCGATTTCCTCGTGGTTGGTGGCCCAGCGCAGAGCGAGGAGTATGCAGCATCAGGAAGCGCGTCCGCGTCAAATAAACAACAAGAATGGACGACTGTGCAGAGGAAAGGAGGCAAGAAGCCTGAAGTCGACGCACCGCCGATGTCGCCCAAGGAGCAGGAGGACCGCGATCTGGCACTAGCTTTGCAGCTGCAAGAGGAAGAAGACCAACGCCACCGGTCAGAGCAAGCCCAGCGCCGCAGGGAGACCCAGCTTTCCGAGCAGTTCATCGAACAGCAAGCAGTACGACAAGGTCCTGTAGGCCTCCGGCAAACCAACAGCAACACCACTAGCACCAGCACCAACAACACTGGCAATGGCAGTGGCAATAACAACGTGCCCGTCACCACAGGCCGACGCCCATCGACTGCCAGGGGTGGCGCCGCTGCCAACCCCAGCCGCGGAGGAGCACAAAATTCTTCCCCTCGACCAGCTCAGCAGCAAGTGCGCCCACTCGTGCCTCCCGTCTTGCGCTCGCGAGGGGTTAGCCGCCCTGCTGACGAAGGCAATGATGATGCACCACCTTCGTATGAGGATGCCGCCCGACAAAGTCCATACGTCCCGCCTGCCGGACACCCGAGTCACCACGCCTCCAGCTCAACCCCCTCGGTAGCCAGCCCCGCCACACAGGGCCTGAACAATCCGAGGCTTCCTGGCTCGCGGGCACCGGGGGTTTCAGCTGGGTCAAGCCCGGGAGGACAGCCCGCCGGCGGATACCGGAGAGGGTCAAACACAGCTTTCAGACAAGGAGTTCCCCCTGCTGCGGCCGGAGGTGGTAGCAGGGATAAGGACTGTGTTGTTATGTAGGGACGTAATAGGGGCACACAGAGGAGAGCAAGCCAGGGAGAGGGGCGGAATCTCAGGCTCGGCGTCCACGGAGTGCGCGAGCACTGGAGAGCTATCAGGCGCAAGGGTTCATCCGCTGGCCCTGGGGAGAATTGAGCATCCGCTGGCGAAAGCTATGGGATGCGAATAAGTGCCAGGCACAGTACGGTGCCCACGCCCGTAAGGCAGGCGCCAACAATATCAATGAGGGGGAAAGGGGCATGCACGGCGTTCAAAGGTCTCAGATCGGGGTCCGGGTCGGCTCCATGACTACATAGCAACATTCTTTAATACGGTCACTGGCCGGCGGTATCATATCGTAGCATTACTACTCGAAATCAATTCACGGGCGTATTGGAGTCGTACCTGGGTAGGCTCGGGGGAAGACGGGATTGTGTTACTCTCCCCGTCCACGCAAACCCCCTCTCCTTTGCCGCTCTAGTCGGCTTATAGTCTCCCTAGTCTAGATAGGCAGTAAGTCATCGTTAATGAAAAGATCGACAGACCACGCATGGGCGACACAAGGCGCTGGCTCATAGTGCTACTTCGGCCAGCCCGACAGTCAGTTCTATGTCTAGGTACCATAAGAGATCAGGGCTTCGCGCCCTCCAGAAATGAGCGTACACCCATTAACTGCCTACCATGGTGGAGAAGTAGATGTAGCTAATAAGAGCAAGGGAAGACCACGAATGAATTGAGAATTATAGTACTTCAGTTAATACTAGATTCATTGTCTTGTCGACAAGGTTTTCTTCTGGAATTTTGTCCTATTGATATGTGGTTGCCTTATCCCATCAGGTTCATGTTTATCCTTAGTTTCTGCGTTAGTGAATCTCCAACATCACCTATTACTAGTCCTAATGACCTACTACTGGTATTTTTGGCCACTTAAGAGTCTGGTTATCCCGTTTCACGCGTTTCGCGGCTTGCCAACGAGAGTGAGTGGTCTCTGTTGAACTTGTATGATGTTTCTCAGAAAGGTTTTGGGTACTGCACATAAATGTTGAGAGCCATGTGCAGAAAGTTGGGAGGCAGGTATATATATACCTAAATGGATGGAACCACAATTTTTTGCCTTGTTCAAACGTTATGTCACTCACTCTAATGTGACCTTTACAATAGCCCTTGCTTCATTGTGACTTTGAAGTCCAAAAAAATAGTATGTAGCCTTATTGACACCACTATTGATCTGCCTTTCCCAGTCGCTCACCTGGGCACCTAAAAAGCACATGACATCAAGTGAGCGCTTAGTTCATGTTCCGGCTGTGGCCGTGTTATGGCCGAAGCGGTCGTTGGAACTTAGGGGACTCATCAGTGCACCATTACGTATGGAACATGTATTTAGACCAACCTTGGAAGCCAAAAACTTCACCTGATCATTCTACTCGGTTTGATCAAATCGACGGAAGATAATGACGTGGGCCTGAGACTTGGCAAGGTAGATTTAGGCGAAGCCGGAATTTTTACTAACATGGTGTAGATGAACAAGGATACAATGATATCCTTGAGGCAATTCGGAAAACTAACACCAGGGCCCTAAACAAGAGATCAGATATTCACACACACCAAAACAGAGGGTACACCCATACCAGGGAGCTCAGAGACCAAAGTACTTAATATAACACCAAACCATGAGTAATAATCCCATAGGGTTATCCTATAGAATATTTTCCTATAAAAGCTTATCTTATAATAGCTTATCCTATAGGAGGTCATCTTATAGTAGTTTATTTTATAAGAGGTTATCCCTTAGGGCTTAGGTATACCCTCCATTTTAGTAGGTGCGAATATCTGATCTCCTGAACAATGCCTCTCTTGAGGAACCAATTAGGACCCAGGCATCAGCACTATTTTCAACGACACTCGACCGAAGCCTTCTCGAAGACTTCTAGCTCGACAGCACGGTTATGCGACGTGTCTTCCATCTTGCACCGCCATGAGCACGGCGAGACAAAGCTTCCCCTAGCGCGCACATGGCACCTGTCAAGCCCCGAGGCTAATAGCCCGAAGATCAACGCTAGATCTTCGAAAAGGCCGCCAGAAGGGTCATGGAGGCGGCTGTGCCTCAAGCGGACTGCTGCCGGGCGAGGGCTGCACCGTATTGGGCAACACAGTGTTGTTTGCCCATTGGCTCGTTTGATGATGGCGATGACTTCGAATCCTGACCAGGCCCTTTCGTGCTAGCATTAACGGGAGCCGCAACGACGCCTATGGTCTCCTTTTGCTCACGAGATGCATTCTCGAAGGCGGTTAGAAGGGGGCTAGAAGGTATCGAAGAGGGTCTACCCGAGGTATTTAAGTATGAATGGTGCTGCTGCTGACGGTCGTTTGCTTCGTTGATTTTCTCCCAAAGAATCATTGCAATTTTACAACCCTTTGAAGACTTCTATTTCTACTAAAGGAAAATTTGAGGAAACACATACATCATTTCAGAAGACATAGAGAGTGTGCACTACTAGTTCAAGATGCAATTCAACATCATCGCTGTCGTGGCCAGTCTCTTGGCACCTCACCTTACGACCGCAACACCCGTTGCCTCCCCGAGAGGTGGAGGCGGGTCTGTCGGTGGCGGCCATGCAGGAGGCTTCGGAGGTGGAGGCTTCGGAGGTGGAGGCTTCGGAGGTGGAGGAGGAGGCGCCAAAGGCGGGAGCTTCAGCGGAGGTTCTATCTCGTCCTCGTCCGGGCGCGGCGGCAGCTTCGCGGCCGGGGCTGCTACTGGCTATATCGGTGGTATCTGGTCTGTCACTCCCCCCCCCTTTTCACCATGCTTCTGTGCCCTGACTAAAATCTATACAGGGTCGGCCATGGTCCCTACCATGGCGGAGGAGGTGGTGGCAGTTCAACCGAAGAGCCACCCCCTGCCGACTGCGTCGTGGCCAAGGCCGTGAACAAGGAGCTGAAGCCGAGCGTAGACTGCTTCTACTCCTGGGAGCACTGGCACTATGACAACTTCCTCTTCTACGTGATCCGCATCACGCCCACCGGCCAGATCAGCAAGGGCTGGGCCCAGGGTGTGTGGGACAACATCAAGGGAGAGGTAAATTTGAATAAGTCCCCCCCCCCAGCCGTGAACTTCATCACGCTATCATTTACGTGTGAAACTGATGCGGGAAAAAACAACAACAGTGTGGCTCCAATCATATCGACTTCTCATCACGAGAGAGTCACCGCTTCCACAACGTCAACGAGCAGTTCGGAGAGTCGCGCGAGATCAACGGCACCACCTTCCACGGCCTCGAGATGACCGTCCCCTTGGATAAGTGGACCCCGGAAGAGGATGAGAAGAGCTGTGTCACCGCGGCTATTAAGAAGGCCTCGTGTGGTGTCGACCTGTCCTTCGTCAACGGGTCGTGCTACAGGAAGCCAGGAACTTTGCTTGCACCCATCACCATCAACGGCGAGAAATGAGGGCTGGCTCAGATCAGCTTCGGCCATAGTGTTAGGGTTCGCTATTTTTGGGTTGACTTTTGATCCGCAAAGACCTCGTTGTCTCTTTCAAGTGTCAGGAACTCGGGAGGAAACATCAAATGTTCGTACTCGAACCGATTTGGAAGGATATTGCTGCTTCGTACTGTATAACTACTTAAATTATCTCAATACCCAAACAAATATTTAGGATAGAAATGTACTGATACTCACAACCTATTACTTAAGTACATGATAGATAAACTCGAAATACAAGCAAAGTGAAGAGCCGTCATCCGTTGACTGCCTTGACTATCCCCGGCTGCGGATTCCAAGAATCAAAACCCATCGCCTCCTGACTCACATCGTTCAACCCGTAAGCATACGCCCCGTCATCATGGACCGTCGTCCGCCGCATATCCCTCTTGAACCGCGTCTCAAAGGGACCCCCCGCCGCCCGGTGCAAGACCGCCCGGTTGTCCCAGATGATCATATCCCCAGGCGCCTCCCAGCCCACAGATATGACGTACTTGGGCTGAGTGACGTGGTCATAGAGCCTCTTGATCAACGCGCTCGACTCGGACCTGTCCATCCCCTCGACATAGCACAGGTGCGCCCCGACGTACAGGCTCATCCTCTCCGACGGCTCATGCACCTGCGCCATCCTGTGCCGGGCCATCGGCCCCGCCTCGGGATCCAGATCCTTAAAGTACTCCGGGTCCGCGAGCTTGCGCGAGTGCGAGATAGAATGCGCCCCGATGAGCCCCGTGTCCCCGCCGGCGCCGAGCAGCCTCGCGCGGGTCTCCTGGTCCAGCTCGTCCCACGCCGTCCGGGCGTCCGCGAACTCGGTGTTGCCGCCCTCGCCGGCGGGCGGGATGATCACGGCCCGCAGCAGCGAGTACGAGGAGCGCCGCGGGTTGAAGCTGCTGTCGACGTGGAAGAGGGCGTTGCCCTTGTTGTAGTGGGCGCGTGGGTGGTCCGCGGGCACGATCTCGCCCTCGGCGTCGAGGTTGCCCGCGTCGAAGAGCTCGAGGTGCTCGTAGCGGAGCTTGCGGCCCGGCGTGAGGTACCGCTTGATGTTGTCGAGCTCGCCGAGCCGCCTGCTGAAGGTGACGTGGGAGTCGTCTGTGAGGCCGGTGCCGCGGAAGACCACGAAGCCGTACTATGTCATGGTTAGAAAATGATGTCGGGTAGCGAAGTCCGGTGTGATGTTCCGGTGGTTGTTCTCGAAAGAGCGAAAGGGAGAGGGAGATGTCCTCCGTATTTCGTGATGCCCCGTGTCAACTGGCTCTCTACTCTACCCTCTTCATGCCTCACGGCACTTGGTAGAATCCCGATATCGACGCAAGCTTAGTGAAGAAGAACTAGGCATGAAATCAGATCATTGACTTCGTACCTTGGCCAAAGCAGCCTTTATTTCAGCAAATTGCGCATCGGACAGGTTTTCGAAATCCACCCCTTCGATCTCGGCCCCGAACGTAGGATGAAGCTCTTTCACCGTGAGCCCCTCAGGTGAAGGCTCTTGAGTCTCTTGGACGATGCCTGGCATTTCTCAAGAATGTTATGTTTGTTCCTGTATATGTGTACTAGGAGTGCCCGCAAATCAGTAAGACGCCGTTCAATGGACAGTGCACAATAGTCGGGAGCTTTCCAATGGCCGGTATGAAGATGTTCTATTGCGATGCTGATATATATTTATATATATATATATATATATATCTACCGTCTGCACATGCGGGCCTCTAATTCCGCCATTTGCCGGATGGCAGTGAGGCGGGGTGCGGGGGATCGCCCTGTCTCGATGGTTAGCTGCTCTATGCTGTGAGAGTAGCTACCCGGCCTGGGCGAAGATTGTCGTCTAACACTATGTGAGAGAGGATCCTGTCGGGAGCCCGTTTCAATTGCGCTGGAGAAATGTAATCCCGGCCAAGTCTAAGTCTGTTGCTCCTGTGACCACCTCCAACCCTTTCGGCGGGTGGGATTCGGAGCTCTAGTGCAAGCACGTCTATTTTCCAAGAATGCTTGCCCTCTTTAACATCTTTCCGACTTCTCAATCCTCTGGGAACGTACGGCTCGTATGTCAGCGGTCAAGAAGCAGATCAAGCCTCGATAACCATATAACATCGCTAGCCATTAAAGCAGCGACTCAGCTGGCTCCTTTCCATGACCTGCGCGGCGAGACCTGGCCACGAAGGAGTAAAGCCATTGCTCCTCCGCACGAGGCATCCCGGCTGGAGCTATATTGTAGCGAGACGAGAGAATAGTTGGCGGGGGCGCTTTCACTGCAACCTCCGGGGGACGGGTCATGCAAGGGCTGGCCCATTGATTCGCCGTCTCAAGATATTGTGGGTGAAATCAGCCCTTGTCCAGCCCCCGTGCCTTGATGAAGCGCACGATCTGCTCACGCGTGAGCTTATCATTGTACTGTTCCTGGCAATCATAGAATGAGATGAGCTCCTGGGTACAGTCGACCATGCCCTCGATGTCCATACTACTTTCGGCGAGCCACAGGCCAAAACGCTGCACTTTCGAGTACCGCTCGCCCTTCTCCTTAGTCAGGGCTGCCGACTGTGCAGCGGTTGCAGCATCCACCGGTGTCTGTCCCGGGGGCGCACCCGGCGTGGGAGTCTGTCGCGCCTGAGCTTGTGCAAGGGCCGCGGTCACTGCATTGATTCCAGCCATGTTGGGCTGGCCCATGGCACTGCCAGACCCTTGAGCCGTGCCAGCCTGACCGCTGTTTGGCGACGGCCGGAACAGGATGGCGAGCAGTATCGCGGTGAGGGCAATTGTGTGTGGTGGGTATAGGAGCGGAAGGTCGGTCATGTAATGGTCGTTAACAATGGACCACGCCAGTGTAACCTCGTCCTGGGTCAGGTTAAGACTGGATTGGAGGCTGGTCAGGGTGCGATAGGGCTGGTGTACGATGAGGTGCGAGTTCATTTCGGATATGAGCCAGAACTCGCACTCTCCGATCTTGGATGGGTCGTTGTAAAGCTGCATGTCTGCGGTGTTCGGGCCTCTTGTCAGCATCCTCGCGCTAGGACGGGGGTTTTGTCTCGTCGTGTTTCGGCTGGAGGCGTCGTACCTGTCCACAAACTCCTCGCCTCCTGGTTCACCAGCCTGATGTGTTGGGGGCACTCCTCCATCTTGCAAGCCAAGTATAGCGCGGTAGTGATGACGAGGAATGGATTTGTTTTCCTGATCTCGACCTTGATGTAGAATCGCTTGATGTAGACCTGGGCGGTGGCCATGGCCTGCTGTCTGACCCCGAGCCGCTTCCCGAGCCGGTTGATCTCTGCAGTCGACGGCAAGGACTTGTCAGTAGGTCGGAAGTGACAGAAGGCTGCACTAGGGGCGCTCACGTTGGTTGAAGAAGATGTTCAGGTGCCTCCATTGTGGCAAGCCGAAGCTCTGGACGAGACCCGGGTCCTCATCCTCGAGTCTCTGGCGCATCGACGCCAGCTGCTCCTTGGTGAACTGCCAATGTTTTCTCTGAGTTGACTCCCAGTAGTTGGCAGCCATGCTGGAAGAGGAATCAAGACAGGCCCACGGCACTGTGGCCGTAGCTTGGTTGGTAACTGATGAGAAGTCCGGACGTGGGACCCGGATGATCTAGTCCGCAGTACGGACAATAGGCTGGGCTGGGCGCTCCTGGCGCTGCAGCATCTCTTGCGTGTACGGAAACCAGAGTTCGGCGTGTCGGCTCCATGTCGGCCACCGGAAGGTCCGCCGGGCTGGTCCAGGGTCATCCAAGCGGGGCTGTGTTACTATGAGAAGATCCTGGTTGGCCCCAGGGGAAGGTTCAAGACAAGCCCAGGAGGTGCTGGGAGGCAGCTCGTCCAGTAGTAAGATCGCCTCGGCCCGAGAAAGGAGAGACAGGTCAGATCCCTGATCAAGGGGACGAGGCCCAAAGGTGGGGGCACGACCCGAGAGTGAGTGACTTGAAAAGTGGGTTTTTTTTCATTGTCAGCAAACCTTGGGAAAAGGAGGACCTCCCATTGGGGGGCCCTGGCCAGGCCAGACGGCGCAGGACCTGGAGGTGACAGCTCGCCCGCCCTCCGCCGCTAACCACAACCATAACCACCCGCCAAAACCACTTAAACCAGCGACAGCTCCTCGGATGACCGCATAGTCTGGATCGACCAGCAACACCACCCCGCGTGCCCACGCAAGTCACTGACCTTGTGCGCCGAGAACAGCCGGGTGACACGAACGTCGACTGAATCACGCATGCCCCTTGTCGACGCTTATCTCGTCGATACCGGATCGCACAAGACAACGGGGAGCCGAATCATGATATAGGAACATATTCGACCTTGCGCGACACCCCCGACCATCTGCTCGGGTCTGGACGATATACGACGGTATATTTGCGCCCGTGGCGTCACCAAAGACAGTAATCCAACAGTTGCCCTGCCGACGACCCGCCTTGCGATGATATCATAGTAGCCACATGAAGATCACCCAAGTGGTCGAGGACTTCGAGATGGGGATGGAGGAATCACAGAACCAGCGCGACAGCCGCGTCGAGGAGCTGTGGAGGAAGCTGGACCCGCAGGGCACGGGGGAGCTGGACCTCAAGAAGCTCCAGAAGGGCCTGCGGAGGATAGACCATCGTCAGCTTGGACCAGAACCGCCGTGTTGTGCACTAGACGGGTGGCTAACGCGCTAGGACAGCTATGAAGAACGCCGACGACCTGCTGGGGGAGATTATCAGGGTGGTTGACACCAACCGGGACGGCAAGATACAGTACGAAGGTAGGGCCCATCTGCCAGAGACTCTCGGGTTGAGCAGGCGCTGATACTGGCTGGCTGCTGCTGTGCAGAGTTTCGTGTGTTTGTGGAGGCTGCCGAGCGCCAGCTGCTCCGTCTCTTCAAGTCCATCGATCATAATCACGATGGCAAGGTTGGTCGCGAGGAGCTGAGCGTTGCCTTCCAGAAGGCTGGGCTGGCCGTGCCCAAGAGGCGGCTTACTGGGTTCTTTGAAGAGGTCGACACGAACCGCGATGGATTCATCAGTTTTGACGAGTGGCGGTAAGCGACCCCTTCCGACTTTCTTGCCCTGGATCATCCTGCCCTTGTCGTGTCCCTCTTGTGTGTTGTCCCATGGCCATGCGTTCTGGGTTGCGATGTCTCGTCCGTCTGCAGGCTGAGAGACGGGGACAAGGATTCCTGCCTCGACCGACCATGTCAATCACTCAGCGGCATTGATCCACTGCTCTTCGAGGGAACTCCAGGCAAGGGCGGCGCCTTCGATCTGATTCACCTCTAGTCAAGCACACCAATGGCGGCTAAGGTGGTGTGTGTCAACCGGACGGGTGACTAGTGGGGGACGGTTTTGAGGTGGCCCTTTTCGCCCAGAACTTCACCTTCTATCCCATGCAATTTTTTGGTTCAAGACAGAACGAAGCTAATGGTTGGCCATGCACAAAGTGACTTTTTGCTGTTTATGCCCACAAACCCAAGCGGCTCACCTCTCGAGGCTGCATTATCATATTATTCTTCTATTGTTACTATTAATGCTGAAGGCGATTCTATGGTCACGGATGAGACACTCGAGGGCATAGGTACGACCGGCTTCCTTCTTCACGCATTTTTTGGCTCCATCCTCAGGCTTGCACAACCTGCCCCCTCTGATCCGCCTCCCAAAATCAACCAACCTGGACTCCCGACTGCGGCCTCCCCGGCGTCCACCCCCTCGTCAGAGTCGACCTTGTCTTCAAGAAAACCCCCTCTCTCGTCACAACTCAAACCACCACTCGACGGTGGATCTTCGACCCCACCAGACAACAGCCACATGGCACCTGTCTATGCCAAACGTCCTCCTCAGCCTGCTGCGGGCAGCGTCCAAGGCACGATCCAGCAGGCCACTGGAGGCGCCGTCAGATCCCTCCAGGCCATGAGCGCAGGCACTTCGTTCGGCGGCGGCGATAGCAGCGATTGCGACGACGACTTTTTGGACATCCACAACCACCACCCCCAGCTGCTATGGCGCGAGATTGATGGCGAGTGCGAGGATGAGGATGAGCTTACAAAATCGAGACTGACCCAATACCTGCCTGAACCAGGTTACTTCCTTGCCGGTGCTCTCGCAGGCGGGATCTCACGTACCGCGACAGCTCCCCTCGATCGCCTCAAGGTCTACCTGCTCGTCAACACAACGACAAAGGCTGGCGTCGCTGCTGATATTGCCAAACAAGGTCAACCTCTAGCCGCTGTCCGCACCGCTGGCAAGCCAATTGGCGATGCTATCCATGCCCTGTGGAAGGCCGGTGGTTTCCGAACCTTCTTCGCAGGTAAGCATGATCAAAGTCCCTTACTCCCCAAAGGTAAAATCATGTCGTCGTTGGTGCAGAGCTGACAATACCCACAGGGAATGGCCTGAACGTGATCAAAATCATGCCTGAAACCGCGATCAAGGTGTGTTGCCCTGCAGAACCTCTAACCAAGGAGCAACTTCAACTGACCATCTGCAGTTCGGCTCGTACGAAGCAGCGAAGCGCACCCTGGCCACTCTTGAAGGTCACGACGACCCGACCAGAATCAACCCGTACTCAAAGTTCGCTGCTGGCGGCGTGGCAGGAATGACTGCACAGTAAGTACACTGCACTACAACCAGTAGATCAAGAAAGAGGCATTGACGGTGTTGAACAGGTTCTGTGTATACCCACTGGACACCCTCAAGTTCCGTCTGCAGTGCGAAACTGTTGAAGGCGGTCTGACTGGCAACGCGCTCCTCGTGCAGACCGCCAAGAAAATGGTGGCTGAGGGAGGCTTCCGGAGCGCGTACCGAGGCATCACTATGGGACTGGTTGGCATGTTTCCTTACAGCGCCATCGACATGGGCACGTTCGAGTTTCTGAAGAAGACCTTCACGCGATACAAGGCACGCTACACTGGACTCCACGAGGAGGATGCGGCGCCCGGCAACGTCATGACTGGTATTATCGGCGCGACTTCGGGTGCCTTTGGCGCCACGGTGGTCTACCCTCTCAATGTCCTTCGCACACGACTGCAGACGCAGGGCACGGTGATGCACCCACCGACATATACCGGGATATGGGACGTGGCGCGGAAGACGTACAGGAACGAAGGCCTCCGAGGCATGTACAAGGGACTGACGCCGAACCTGCTCAAGGTCGCCCCGGCCCTGAGCATCACGTGGGTCGTCTACGAGAACTCGAAAGCTTTCCTCGGCCTCCACTGAAACGACGAAGGCGCTGCCGTGGAATCCCTCGACAAAGAAGGAGGAATACCGGCAGGGACCATTGTCGTAGTGGCGAAACCCAATCTCGAGAGGGATGGGAGCCAACCCAGGCACCGTATGTCTGACAAGAGAATACCAAGTCCTGGTGAGACGAGGACCAAGGGGCGGAGGCGAATAGCGGCTGCGGAGCAACATGCACGGGGGCATTTTCTAAGGCGTTTGAGAGAGGCGGGACATGAATTCAGCACTGATTTGAATCAGGCATATGAGTCGATCTATGCCGTCGGCGTCGAGAAACAAGGAAAGCAAAGTAGATTACAGGTGATACCAGGAGAGGCATTTGTGGTGGATCAACAGTCGTCTGACGATATACTCGACAGAGTAGGCGGCATGAATGGGTTGCATACCGTCCCAACAGCGTCAAATCAAGTTCAACATTTCAAAATGTACCACACTAGCAGCCTGCTTATGTCGTTGATTGACTGCGTTGTATCGTCGAGTGGGCACCCAAAAGAAGGAAGCGAACCCTTGGAGCCAAGGCTAGACAGGAAAATCGAGGTTGTGAGAGACGGCGTCAGGCACGAGTCGGTCACACAAGGTGGAGGCGTGTACGGTGGGTGAAGGTATTCGTAAGTGTGCCCCCGGGAAATCCTTGCCGCGACAACGGATTGGCCAATGAGGGCATTCCCACAGCCTGAACCCCTCTCTGCTGCAAGCTTATTTGCAGCGCGGTTAGTCTGGATGGGGACTAAGTCGTCGAGGCTACGGCTCAGAGCCCACGCGTCCAGCGTCATTTTGCCTTTCGGAAGGATATTGTCCCTTGCTTATGGGCAGCTATCTGACAGCCCTGAGGGGCAGAGGGTCTTATCGAGCTTCCTCTTTTGTCACTTGTGACCATGCCAAATTACCGACTACGGAGTTCGGCACTCCCACTGCAGCTACCAAGGCGTCCTGTTGTTGGCGGAGAGAGGCCCCAGAGGAATTGTTCTGGAATTATGTCACCCACACTCCCCAGCGCCGCCCATGTGCATCTGTACGTTCCACTCTGCCCAGCCTTCCAAGATCTGCCAGGCTGACGAGGCGCCTTGTGGGCTCTCGTCTTAGCGCAACGCTTATATGTCGACGTCGACCGAGGCCCCCGTCCCCCGGCTAACTCTATTTGTGAATGGCGAGCTTGTCGCGGATCCTGCATGTTAGGCGAGTCGGTTTAAGGTTAGGTACATGTAATCGAGACGTCCCTGCCGGGCTCAATTGTCCCGTCTCCCGCGCTTTCTCTCTTATCCTTTCTTACATCCAGCCTGCCAGCGTGTGGATCTCCTCCAGGACAGACTGACGACGACCTCAACCTGGGTCGTAATCGTTGGAATTGGTCCCTCGCCCGGCATTGTTGTTGCCTGTGGTTTCCAAAATTATCTCTCCACCCGGCCGAGTAAGCAAGCATTGCCAAGCGGATCAACGTCTTTGCGCACCCAAGCTTCCAGACTTGGCTGCCTTCGATAGTTTCAAAGCGCTCCGCCAAGACGTTTCGGCACCATGCCGCCCTACCCTTATTCAGACAACATGTACTCGGGCCTCGACGACTCAGACGTCGAAGATGGCCCGCGGGTGGACGGAGGCGGAAACAGAAACACGCATGGGTACGGCCACGCAGCTCAGGTCGCTCAGGGTACCGGTTCAGGACCCTTCTCTGGTGGTTCTGGTGTCGGCGCTGGTGCCACTGGTACTCATGGTGGGGTTGATGCACACGTCGCAGACAACCACCACGACGAGGATCAAGTCCTGTCGCCCACGGACGGATATTTTGGCCGCTCTGGCGACTCCCCTTCGTCAGACCGCAGCATTGCTTACCCGGCCATCAACACCAATACAGGCAATCATCTGCACTCGCCGTCACATCACAGCCCGTCGGTAGATGCTGCCACCTCATCGTCGCATTACTCTGCAGCGGCATCATCCCAAGTCCCGCACGTGCCAGACGTCTGGGTCGACGACCCCAGCCTGGAGCAAGGAAGCACCGCCGAGAGCAAGGCAAGGGAAGCTCAAGAGGAGCGCGACCAGAACAGACGCCGAGCTGGCCGGCCACACCCATCGGACTTTGCCTCCCTTCCACATGGTGAAGACGGCGGGCCCTCCACCTTCCCGTCCCTGAACCAACAAACCCCATCATCGACGACTTTCGGGCCTGGACAGCAGTCGAGATACGCCTTCGGACCCGGCCTGTCATCCGCGCCGCCCCACCAGAGGTACACGCCGTACGCGTCCTCCTCCTCCTCCGCCGCGGCACAGTCACGCTCCCACCGCAGCGGGACGATATATTCCGAGCGCTCATCGCTCTTCAGCGAGGCTCCGCCAGCTTACACCCCCTCTCCCACCTCGCCGTCCACCTCCTACTCCAACAACTACCAGACCATCCGCCCATCCAGCAACATGGGTCGCATCTCAGAGTCAGAGTCCCGTGGCCTGCTGGCTGGTGGTGAATACCAGTCCGTCCCGCAGGACATGGGAGGCCAGCCCGACGATGACTACGCCACCTACACAAGACCCCAGAACTGGAGGGACCGCGTGAGGAGCCGCGTGGCCGGTCTCGACCGGAGGACCTGCAAGCTTGTTGCGCTTGGTGTCGTCCTGCTTCTCATTACGGTCGGGTTCCTCGTCAGCTCTTTTGCCGGCATCAAGGACGAGGTAAGCGCATACTTTCCTCTTTGTCTTGCCACCCTATCAGTCACTCTCAAATAAATGAGCTCGGTGACACGACAGCTCCTATGAGCAACAGAGGAGTGATAGCCCTGAAGAAAGTCTTATATGAGTTTCACCAAAGCGACTTATCAGTTGTCGTACACCTTTCGTCATCTATAACTTCAAAACGTGTGAAAATGATCATTATGCTCAGACAAGCTAACTCTGAACAGAGGAGGATCTCCGTGCCTGGTGGCTCTGGAGGCTCACCCATCAGCAAACTGCCAGCCCAGGACGACGATGGCACGAGGCTGGCATATCCACCCTTCGACGGAGAAATGCCCTGGGCAGACTCCGACATGTGCGCCAAGAAGGAAATCACGTACCCGGTCCAGACCTTCAAGGTCGAATTCGCCGAGACACGCAACCTCTCGTTCTTCCAGGACGTGAAGAAGGAAAACCAGGGCGGCCGTGACATCCGCGTCAGTGGTGAGGTCGTCATCCGCCGGTCCGGAAACGGCACGCCAGGCCCGGGCATCACCCTCGAGAGCGTCTCCAACGACGACCAGATCTCGCTCGACCTGGACTGGGACGAAGCCGAGCAGCGCCTCTACGTCCTCTCGCCCTTGTCCATCCCGTGGCCCTCCAACAGCCCCGAGTCGCCCTGCCTGCAGATCCGCTCGACCATCTGGGTCCCGCCCGGAAGCATCCTGGACAGCCTCAACGTCGAGAGCGTGCACCTCGGCGTCAAGCTCCTGGACAACCTCTCGATCCAGCTCAACAACTTCGCCCGCCTGGCCAGCACCATCGGGACTGTCGTGTCAGCCACCGACGGCGAGAAGGACCCGAGGCAGGTCATGCTCGAGGGGCCGCCCAAGTCGTTCGTACTCGACTCGCGCTACATCGAGGTCAAGACCCTGTCCAACGCCATCGCGGGCTCGTGGCCACTGTACGACTACCTCGGCCTCGAGACCATCGCGGGCTCCATCCGCGCCGGCGTCGTGCCCAAGGAAGCCCTCAAGGACAAGCCGCGCCCCGCGATCCTCTACGTGCACTCGACCTCGGGCCCGGTCGAGCTCCACGAGCCCGTCGAGGCCGCCGCGGCGGCCCTGGCCATGACCTCGCAGGGCACCGCGGTCGGCGCCGCGGCGCAGGACATCATCCCGCCGCGGCAGTACGGCGTAGACCTGTATACCATGTCCGGCACGATCAAGGGCTCCGTCGCCTTCAGCCACTCGTGCAAGGTCCACACCACCTCGGGCAACATCGATCTGACCCTGCTCCCCGTCTACGACAAGTCGCTGATCCAGGGCGGCGCCCCGAGCTCTTCGAACCTGCAGACCTCGACCACCAGCGGCACGACGGTGGTCAACGTCATGGATGCCCTGTGGAAGGACGTCCAGACGGGCTCGTACGTCGCCCTGCCCGCCCCGCCCCCGCCCCCTCCCGCTCCCGCGGCCGCCGCGCCTGGCGGTGTCGACGTCACCCCCATCGGCGCGGAGGACCCCTACAGCTACCTGGGCGACATGGAGGCCCCTGCCCCACCACCAGCCCCCGAGGAGGACGAGGTTGCGCCCGAGCAGCCCGCCGCCGTAGCACCGCCCGCCATCCGCGTCCTCACCGCAAAGCACACCACGACCAGCGCCGCCATCCGCGTCAACTACCCCGCGACGTGGGAGGGCCGCATCGACGCCGACAGCCTGACGGGCAAGATCGCCGTGACGGGCAAGGGCGTGCAGGTCATCCGGCGCGACGACGACTTCCCCGGGTACAAGGAGCGCGTCGTCGCGCAGAAGGGCCAGGACGGCCTCGGCGGCAACATCCACTGCCACACCACCTCGGGCAAGATCAGCGTCGCGTTCCCCTCCTGAGGGGGCCGGGGCGCCCTGGACTATCAGCAGCACGGAGGATGGGTGGGCCCCACCAGAACTCGTAAGAGGGTCGGTAGGGGGGAAGGAAACAGGGCAGCGAGCGCCCAAAGTAATGGGATTCCTCAGCGGTGAGAGACGCTTGGAGGAGGAGATGGCGGCAGACATGGCATCGCACTTACACAGGATTAGCGCGCGGGGTCCGCGGCGTCTGATGAGATTTTTTCATGATTACTACTAGTATTCAGACCGGGTCGTCGGGCCCGATGGAGTTGGAGGATATCTTGTTCTTTGGATCCGTGCTTATTTGGACTAGCCGGTTGATACACATCAATGCGAATTATGTTCTCCTCGAACCTTCTCTTTTGCTGTGTGACGGACGGACGGAGTGGGAATAAGCATGCGCCTGAACAGACATGTTTCTCGGGCATCGACGCGGTCCTCGCGACAACTGATGTTGAGGCGTTGCTGCTGGCAGTAGAACGCTACCACAAACTGTATGAAGTTGCATAAAAGAACATGTGATTCAGTCAAAATGGCACCCACGCGCGCGCGAGATGAGGAGGCTGGACCAAAGGCGATCAAGAGATGCTATTAAGTGGAATGAACGATCCCAGGGTCTCGACGACCATCGTCCGACAACTCGCCTCCCTAGGACCACATCACTACCTGCTAGTTCAATCTATTGCCTTTATTCGATGACAACGGACCGTCGTACGTCAACCTCAACGCCGACGCACACTCTGAGCCGACCTGTCACACCCGGACCCAAGAACAAACCATGCGCCGAAAGGAAATCTTTACCGACCTCCATGATGCCCTCAAGCAGTGCCATTCACAGACAACTGTTCCCAAGTCCTGCCCAGGTGGCCGAGGTCAGCGGATAACATCGCCCTCCTTCTCGATCCCCTCTAGATCCTCAAGGATGTCACTCCCGCCAAGCAGGCCGACGCCGCCAATGGTGGCCTTCTTGCCTCCCGACCAAACCTCGTGGAACTTGATGCTTTCGTCGCTGCCCGCAACAACAATACAACCCTCCATAAATGTTCGGTTCCTCTTCTTCTCCCTGTCTCTCCAACCACTCGACCGGCCCGTGGCATATTTGGCCGCCTTCCGGTCTGGCGGGCCCCGAGGATATGGGACGGCGTAGAGCGCCCGATGCTCGCCTTCCCATGGTATCGCTGCGACCTGCCGGCATTCAGGCCACGAGAACACCGCGATTCGGTACGGGTGCTCTGGCTGTGCGTAACCGAAAGTGGCGGCGATTTCTCTCCGCGTGGTAGACCAGATCAGACTGGTGACCTGCGAATGCACAGCAATGGTAGCGAGCGCAACTCCTGACGTCGTGTGGAAAAAGTGGATGCACTTGTCGTGGGAGCCGCCGCCAGTGGCGACCAGGCCCTCGCGCCAGGGACAGAATGCAATGGCCTTCACGGCCGCATTGTGTTCCCAGCGATGCTTTGCATGGCGCTCTTCGATGTGGCGTGGATCCCCTGAAGTGTCAGAGACTGGGTTGCGGAAATGTTCAGAAGCTGTAGGAACATTTAATGGCAGGGAGGGCGGATAGCGCGGTTGGACACGCTCGGCGACAAGACGATCCAGGTCCCAGAAACGCGTGGTCGTATCGGGGCGGAAGAAAGTCGCGAAGGGCGAGGGCCCGGTTGTGCTCGTAATGCGGTCATCAATCGAATCCATCGCGGTCAAGCGGCTGCCAGCACTGCTGGTTGATGAGTCCGATATCTGGCGCTGGCTCCATGTTGTATTGCGAACATTTGGGATCGACGATGACCTGGACGAACCTGTCCCAGACCCCATACTCTCCAGGAATCTTTTGAGGTTGAACCCCCGAGGCGGGATAGGCTCTCGGAACGCAGCAAAGACATTGCTCATATCCTGCTCGGGGTCGCTCTCTTCCTGGTAGTAACTTGTCACCTTCTCCGCCTCGAAAAGAAAGCACACGTTGTCGTTGCCCCCGCTCGCAAATAATTCACCGTTGAGAGACCAGGAAAGCCCGCATATTTGCTGCCTGTGAGCTGATATATAGGCAAGACATTGGACACTCCCTCGCCAATTGTGACGGTAGGTTTCATATGTTAGGGGCCACTCTACAGCATAATAGAAAATGTTGCCGTGTTCGTCACCGACGAGCAGGTCCTCATTCTCAGCCGGATGCCCAGGGTTGTGAGGACTCACAGACGGACGAATTGCAACCGTCGGCCTCTAGCTCACACAGGCGACGGGCGCCTGTTCCACGTGTGGAGAGAATCGGAACCGGGGATATTGGCGATCGTATAGTGTCGGTGCATCCCATAAAGACATGAGATTCAACAGTCCGTTCGATCGACCGTAGGCAAGAATACACTTTCTCCCTTGCTTCGAAGAAAAGTCGACTGTGCTTATCCACGATGAATCGTTTGGCCCATTATCCTCCAGCAGTTGCACTCCCGTGTCCTCAGACCAGCTATAGAGCCTCGTGCCAAGACCCACAGCTAAAGTCTGACAGATTGGCGAGAAAGCCAAGATCGAACAATAGTAATCGTCCCGTAGGCTTGGTGCATCGAGTACCTTGAATGGGGCCGTCGGCAGGGTTCGCATCTCGTGCTTGGATTTGGATACCGTACTATCTTGTTGGTCGTTCTTGACCAGCTGAGAGCCTTCCCAGTGTGTTCTGTTGTTCAAGACTGGGTCGGACCTCCTTTGCTGTCTCTTCGATCGAGCCGATGAGATGCCGCAGTCGAAGATTCTCGAGGACCAGTCGATGTCGAAAGCAGACGCAAGACGAGCCTCGTGCTTCTCGACGTCTTCTTGGGCCTTGGGTTTCAGCGCCGGAAACAGGGTGTTGAACAAAGGGGCGTTGGTGCCACTTTGTACGAGACCACCACGCCCATCATTAATGGCTCCATGACTAGGAGCCCTTCCTCCAACAGACCAAATACTGTTGCTTACCTGTGGTGACATTTCGTCAGCTGTTATTCTCTTGAAGGAAATGGAAGATGAAGCCGATTCTGTGCAGAGGTGTTCAACAGCTCACCCTCCTCTCCGGTGGATGATGGAGTCCGGGATCAAGTGTCGTGCTACTCTGGCCGGACCTTGCGGTTTTTCGGGACTCGGTTGGAGACGGTGGCAAAGGCCGTCGCCTGAAGCAGAAAGGATCAGGTGCATCTTTGTTGTGACGGACGAGACGCTCGGAAGAGGTCAATTCTTCCAAGGGCCTAGTAGTGCGCAACTTCTCAGATCCCGGTGTCTTGTGATCTCTCAGTGGCACGAAGCGATCGAGTGCCCTCAGGGAGCTGGCCCTGGACCCACTGATAGCGGTGTCAGATCCATGGCGAGGATGCTGAACCGGGCGCTTTGAGACCACTCGATACGAGTCCGTCCGTGACATTTTCCTGCGCGATGTTCGCGGCAGAGTTGCTGACCTCTGTCGGCCCGTACACGGGGACGGCGTAATGAAATGCTCGGAGTCATTGTCCGAATCCTGGATATCTGATATCTCGGAGCCAGTCCCGTCGAAAGACCGCCAGCTTCCGTCCTCACGCCTTGAAACCAGCGACAAAGAAGCGCGATTTGACTGCCTCTCCACGCATGTTTTTAGAGGGGATGATTCAAAAGATGCGTAACCGGAATCTGCAGAGCGATTTGTCCTAGTCAGGCCATCATGATGGAGTTGTCGCATCCGGGAGGATATGGGTGTGACAGGATCACCCATCTTGGATCGGGGACGGCGGGTCTCACTGGACGCTGGCTTCTCAGACACCTCAGTCTGGAGACAGCGCGGAGCGGATAAGAGTGATTGAAATAATGCAAGGTCTAACAGGGATATTCGGCGTTCAGAGTATTGTTGAGACAGATCGGGAGCACTGAACCCCCAGGCAGAGCGAGCGGATGAGTGAGAGCGGGCATCCGAGCTGACCAGCCAGGCGGCGCGGCGTGGAGCTTGCCGACAATAAAAGCGTGAGCACGACCCAACTGGAGGAAAACTCACTCCGAGATGATATTCCGTTGGCAAGGGCACGACTGAATGTTTGTGGTCGACTGGGACTCCCACGACAATGTTGCGGACAACAAGTCTGGAGATCGTAGGGAGAAGTCATCGTAGGGGGGCGGGCATAAGTAGGTTCCAGTGAATAATACAGGTGGAAGGAAATATGGAATGATACACCAGTCAGTGAAGCAGTCACACTCCAGAAGGGGGAAGGCGATTGAACGGAGTTAGGAAAACACAAGCACGTTCCAAGGTTTTTTGAGGGTATGGGTGAGACGCAGTCCCTACTGATCAACACTGTGATTTGAGCTGGACCTTCTCATATGCCTACCTAGGTATCCAGGTAGTAAAAAGCGCCTTCCCGACACGAAAGAAGCCAGGCTGACGTACGAGTTATCTACTAGTCAACTCTTGCCCAGGGAAGTTGTACACGTCATCATCACCTAAACATGTGGCACGAGTTGGTATAGTACTCAAATCGCGGAGTACCCTTTCCTACTAGTAGATTCTAAGGTATTATCATACAAGTGGGGGTCCACATGTCTTGGATAAGTAGGTGGACTACTGAAAGTTTCGTGTTGAGAGGGGCATGTGAAGGTCACCGACACCCATTACTATTGATCTGGGTTCTTTTCAGAGACACGCATTGCAATGTCTTGTACTGCCTGGATCAATCAGCGACTGGGCCCTGCCCTGCGGCTGCCGTTATATCCCTGTTCGAGGTTTCCATCGGCTTTCCAGGCTCCGAGAAAAACATATGCCATTTCTTGTCGTCTCGGGGAATGAGCTACACCTTGACGTGTTCTTTGGGCAGACGGAAGGCAGCATTGGCTCCCCTATATCCTAAGGTTCCCCAGCCATTGGCACCCACCCACTTGATATCGAAGCGTGAGAGGATGACGCTGGTGAAGGCCATAATCTCAGTGGAGGCGAAGTGGCGGCCGGGGCAGAGTGTAGCTCCGCCACCAAATGCTCGTGAATCGACCGGGTTGTGCTTCCTTGGTTTCACAAATCGCTTGTAGTAGAACACATTGACATTATCACCCCAGGCAGGAGACTCGGATGAGTTGTGCTGTACAATCCTTGGGACGAGGACCGTGTTTCCCCTGTGTCCGTTCCGTCAGTTCTCATGCACTGCATGTAATTGATGTAATGGCCAGCCAGCTAGAGGGGCAACTAAAGGGTGACCCCAGCCCGAAACGTACGTGACCAAGGCCTTGCCTGGCCTGCGGTTCCGCAACAGTGGCAAGGAGCTGGTGGTGAAAGGCAAAGCCGTCGACACGATTCGAGCTGTAGGGGCCGAGATGCTGGTGAGGAAGGAATACGCACCTGGAACAGAGAAATTCTCCCAGACCCTTGCCGGATGGGAGAGTCTTGCTATCGACAATTTGCTCGCCCAGGGCTCGAACACAAAATGGACATCTGCAGACCCTCGAGGCACCGTATCCGATGCTTTCTTGGAGACCTTCGTTGCTCTCAATACCGCCCTCTATGGTATTGAACCCGAGAACAAGTTGTACATGCCCATGGGAGGTGTATTATGGTACTAGCAACATGGGAGAGGTGCGCTCATGAGGAGGGAGCGCCAGTACTTGAGGACGTTGAGTATTGCATGATGTTGAGCCAAAGAGACACCGGTGACGGAAGCTATCAATGGTATGTCAGGCAATTGGAAAAAGCCGTCTACGGTAGGAAGCTTTTCGTCACCGACGGAGGGTATTTGGGGCTTGGAGAACCATCTGTGCAGGCAGGGGATGAGATTGTTTTCCTTGCTGGTTCTATATATCCTTTCACTATTCGAGATCTCGAGAGAGACACGTCTACATTCTTGGGGGATTGTTACGTCTATGGGTTTGATGTTCTGAAGCCACCTAGGTATTTGATGATGCGGACAAGCCTAGAATACATTTTCCAATAATTATTATAAAACTATTTACAGTTAAAAAGAACTGAGTAAATGTTTTGCTTATTATTCTTTGAATGTCGTTTTAGGATAATTCTCGAAAAGATTGATCTATATAACGACACGTACCACTGTAGGAAGGCGCCATGTACGTCTTCGGACGTACGCGGAATAGAAGCGAAACCAGGCAGACAAAGCATTGCGGACAAAGGCCTTGTCGGACGACCAGCATCCTGAACAAAGTATTGGAATGGACCCATTCTTGTACTAAGGGACTAATACATTGGGCAGTCAAATAAAGCACCTGCCACTATAGAAGTCTACATTTGGCTGTCTTCAACCACGCTCAATTTTCTATTCCATCAACCCACGCTCTATTACCAATAAGATTGGAAGTCACCCATATCACAGTTGGACGAGGCACCTGTTTGCTTCTCTTTGCCACAAGCGTTTTCAAATGTCTCCAATCCTCTACACAGCCCAGGAGCCAGTTGACTCACTAGTATGGGAGAATCCTGCCATACAGGTTCTTGTCGTCCTCATTATCGTCTCATTGCTAATTGGGATTTGTTACGCTGCCAAAGCTGCGTGGGGTAGACCACGTCAGTCAGGGGCCAGTGAGGACGATATTGAACTTCAGGAGCCAGCAAGGCAAGAGCACGGAATGTTCTACCTGAACCAAGACCAAGCGATAGTTCAGCCTCCACCTCCTGCTTACAGTCTATCCGCCATTAGACAGTCTATCAGCAAGTGTAAGTGGGTCAGAAAGCCAAGGTAATGCTGAAGAAGTGCCTGCACCTGGGAGATTAGAACACTCGAGCAGTCCGAGTCTTGCATAAAAGTAGCTGAGCACTTGTTCAGTACCCAGGTAAGTATTCGAATGTGGGGTTTAAGTGAGAAGACTGCCATAGTAGATCGCTGAATATCAATTTCAAAATTTCCTCGTCATAATCTCCTGCCTTATGGCAAGTTGATTACTTGTGCATCCCACTCCAAAGATCTTACGCTAGGGATTGTTGTTCCAGAGGATTGCTTGTTCTGTCTTGCCATCAGACCATTGACAATTCATAATTGCCCTCCTCCTCATGCAAGACCGGAAAATATGGCCCATTTGACCCAGGTGAGACTGACTGTAAACTTTAGCATGAGTAATCTGATTTACAAGACGACTTAAGTAAAGCAAAAAACAGGCTGGTAATTATGTGCTACAGGACCACAGTCCCCAGACCCAGTGCCTTTGAGCGCTCCAGGACAATGTTGAAAAAACATCAGTCCAGGGGAAAAATCTTAACTAAATGCTAACAGTAAAATGTAGCCTCGGACTCTAACCCTGTGATGCTGCCCGGCTGCTGTCCACTTGAGTGCGGTTGAGGCCAATGCAGGAAGGACAGCGGGGTTAACCTGATTGGACGGCCCCACCCCAAGGTTAGGGAACCACTACCTGGTACCGAGCTACCTCGTGCAAGCTAGCGTACTGCATACACAGTGTTGGCATCTATCGGACCACTACCGCTGACTGCCGCAAACGTCACCTCTCAAGCAACCTCCAAGCCAGCGGTCGAAGACCCTCGGTGTTACTTGGCCTTTCTCTTTGAGAGGGTCCGAAATGGCCAGTGTACGAGCACCTCTCACCGACAGAAACCCGAGCACAATCACGAGAAGTTGACTGATGGGAAGGCAACCAGCATGGCGTAGCCCGAACCAACCGGTCCCGCACTGAAGAGCAGAAGCAACAAGAACTCGACAAGATAGCAAAGTACCGCGACCTCGAAGGCCAGGTCCGATCACTGGTCGCCGATGCCAGCTTCACGCCCGACCTCCTGAAGCTGACGGCCAAGCTGCTCCGCCTCAACCCGGAGTACTACACAATATGGAACGTCCGCCGCAGATGTTTGCTAACCTGTGGGTTATCATCCAAACCGTCGCCTGGGTCGTCGCCCTCGAAGGCGTCGCAGAGTTCTTCTCAGAACGCCACTACCACCACATATTCCGCCGCATCCTCCTCCTCCTCCTCGACCGCGACCACGACCCCGCCAAACCCCGCGTCCCAGACAACTGGGAAGAGTGGTATTACGGCTGACGACGACGATGCCCCGGCCGTCCTCGGCGATGGCAGCGGAACGGATGAAGATCCAGGGCGCACGGAAGCTAGAGAGAAGGATCTCGACTCGCTCAGGTCCGAGCTGGGCTTTACGGTCCCGCTGCTGATGGAGTTCCCCAAGTGTTACTGGATCTGGAATTACAGGTCGTGGCTATTGCAGCAGGCCATAGAACGGCTGCACCCTCAGGCTGCGAGGCGCATATGGGAGGAAGAGCTGGGCCTCGATACCAAGATGCTGAGCAAGGACCGGCGGAACTTCCACGCATGGGGCTATCGGCGGAACGTCGTCAGCCACTTGGAGAGCGCTGCGCTCAACGGCAAGAGTATGGTCGAGTCAGAGTTCGAGTTTACTACCAAGATGATCCGGGTTGACTTGTCGAATTTCTCCGCATGGCACAATCGCAGCAAACTCATCCCGAGGCTGTTGGATGAGCGACAGGCCGACGAGGGAGCGAGGAAGAAGTTTTTTGACGATGGTACGGTGACTTGACATTCCTTCAGCCTTGCAGTGCGGCTAACCCACCCTCAGAGCTGGCTTTGATCAAAGAGGGCTTGAACGTAGGGCCTGAAGACCAGTCACTCTGGTACTACCACCAATTTTTGATGCTGGATTTGATCGAACATGACACACGACCGACCATCACAGCCAGTTTCACCGTTGATGAGAGGTTGGAATACATCACAACAGATATAGTGGATATCAAGGACCTACTCGAGGACTATGATGACTGTAAACTAATATACGAAGCGCTCATCGAGTGCACACTGGCATTGTCGACAATGGAGAAACGAAAGCCGTCGGGCGAGGAGATGGCGGACCTGGAGACCTGGCTCTCCAAGCTACAAGAGCTGGACCCCATGAGGAGAGGTTGCTGGGATGATATGGGGAGGCAGCTAGGTCTCACTATCCAATAACGAAGCGAGGCGTACCGATTGCGGAATTCATCCAAGACATGTGGTCTGTCGGAACACGCCCGTTTCACCGATCCCTGGCCAATATTCGAGCACATGCCTGGGTGTACTCGAGCCAAACGGAATGAATTGTAATGAGTCCGGATGCGGATGTGATGGGAGGATTGAGTCGCGTGGCTCGGTGACCACTTTGGCCAGCTTTGTTTCTATGACGGCATTCCTGCATCGAGTCACAAACCTTGCCTGTGAATCCCTCTCACGATCAGTAAGACTTCAGACGGCATCACCAATCATTTCCACGGTCACAACCCGATGCGGAACAGTCTTCTCACTTTCGAACCACCCCGAGGGCAGGGTTGCCGTTCACTACACTCAGTGTAACAGTGTAGTGTAGAGGGAGGAGGAGGAGGAGGAGGGGGAGGGAGGAGAAGTTTGGGTGATAAATGACGCAACCCTCTCGTGGTACGGGTGCAACCTGTGTCGTTTTCTTGCGCCAGCCATCACCGACGCCACGGAGCGCGGCCTCCTGAATGCGTAGCTTTCCGGGCATGTTGCGCAACTGGCTGACAACGGCTGATGTCATGCTGGGCTGTCGAGAGTGATGATTGAAAGTTCTGGGACAAAGGGTTGTCTCAAAGTCACATTTGTCACAAAGGATCAGAATGGGCCATTGTTCAGTGTCGCTATTCAACCATTGTCGTCTTCAACAAAGTCCCATTATGAAGCTCGCAACACCACGATTCACCAACCACGGAAGCTCCAAGGTTACATATGTACAGCCCAGCAAGAAAGTCGCACCTTGTGTGGTTACTGTCACGTTCTTCCCAAACTTCTGACCTAGAGGTCAAATAAATCTTCACTTACTGAGCACATTTTCTCTCAACGAGTACTCACCAAGCTGACAACAGCCCGACTTCACATTCAAGCAACTTGAATCCAGCAAATCCCCTTAAAAATGTGTGTATTCGTCTACACAATGACCCGCTGCGAGCACAAGCAGTTCCAGAACGTGAGCGAGTGCTCCGTTGCCCGAGGGGCCCACGAACAAGAACCCACCAACCGCGGCGACCTGACCGCCGAAAAGCCCGTCTTCCTGTTCGACACGAGCAAGAGCATGACCTCGACGCCAGAGTACTACAAGGCCGCCTTCCCCTGCCGGAAAGTCAAGGCCATCAGGCCGATCCCGACGCTCTGCGACCAGTGTGCCAAGCGGGCCGAGCTGGCCGAGCGGCTGGGGCCGGTCGGCGCGCCCGGGAGCAGCAGCGGCAGCAGCAACAACAACAGCAACAGCACGGCGGGCTCCCCTATGGGCCTGGCTGCTGGGAGGAGCGGTTCGCTCTCTGATCTCACCAACGACTCAGGTATGTCGGCGTCTGGGGGGACGTTTACCGTCCTATCGGTCAGGCGGGTGGAGAAAGACATGTAGTGACTCTTGCTGACTGGCTCTTGGTTCTGACTACAGGCGCATCCACCCCGAGGTCGTTTTGGAAACTCGCACATCCGATCGAGCTCATATGAGCCTAGAAAAGACTGGTTATGTGGACCTGGCCATGACCGGGTCCGAGAAGCTTGGCCGGGGTATGTCAGACCACAGCGAGGTGGGCTTTTAAGAACAGTGCAGAAATTTGGACGCGTCCATGGTGGACGCAACTTGATTATTGTGTGTCAGTCAGGTGCGGTTGTCAAAAAGGAAAGCGATGGCGTTGAGGTTGTCTGTAGAGCCCAGGGCTTGCATCCCAGGCGATTGTCTGAACTTGATTTAAGGTAAATTAAACTTGAAATACCACTAGATTTCTAATGTATTGTGCATCACCAAGGTTTGATATCGACTGCTCGGTGGCTGTAGTACCTAGCATAGTTCAAACCCATGACGAGTGAGCAGCGCCTGTTGAACCCAGACAGGGTTTGGCAGATCATACGGCCCGTCCGATGGCACGCTGCTTTGCATGGCTTGGGTGCTTTGGTGCAACTCTATAAGTCGAACCCTGATCCAGTCTTGCCATGCCTCTACCCCAGTGGCTCGAGGGTTGTGGGGAGAGAGTCCAAGCTCCAATGCTTGAATCAGCTGCCTGAGGTCGTTGCATTTACCCACAGAGCATAATAAGCATCTTCATAAACCCCAGTCAAGAAGCTGACATATTTGAAGTCCCTGGGGGAAGGGGGCAGGGGGGTGCCTCCACGCAAGAGGAAGTAACAGGGCCTACTGTACGATTACGTACAATGGCCCTAGGGGTCCAATTGACTCTTCAGGGAGCTGGGCAATCCCTGAGGGGGTTTGCTTCCCCCCAGGCCGGTGTAGCGGGGTACGGGCGATCCAGCCATCGTCCTGCCCGTTGGCTGAATCCTGCCACGGGCTTGGGCCTGGTCGTCGTCTGAGCTGCTGGCCCCTGGCCCCCGAAAACAAAACCTGCCACCTGCGTGCGCCCCTGCCATTCCTGGAGGGCCATGTAATGCCATGTCTCGCCTTTGGAGGGTTGGGATGTTCTAGAACAGCATCGCATGAGGTGTCAGTGGTGCGCCCGGCTTCCGGAATTGCGTCGGTGATTCTGCTTGTCCCCCAAGCGCTCCAGCCCACCGGTAACGTGCTATCTCGCAGGGGTCCTCAAGCAGGCTGGCCGAGGCCTTGGTTGGCTGGTTGGTTGGTCCTGTAAGACATGGGTACTTACTTGAGTAATTACCCAGGCATGCAACCAGAAGATAATGGGTAGTCAACCCCGACAACAGAGAGACACTGCAGCCAGACAGATGCAGGTTCACCCCAGAGACCCAGAGCCCCATCTGCGGTGCAGCTTCCCCACGCGACAGACTAGTGCAGTGGGAACTTGGAAGGTGGGAGTGGGAGGGGTGAGGGTGGAGTGGAGCAAGTGACGCTGCGGGTCAAGTGCTGCTACGGTGGGCAGGGTGGTGCTGTAGCCTGTCGAGCACACTACCAGACTACACAGTCCAGCCAAATGATGCGAGATCCACCCCATCAACCAGCCATTCCGAGCGATGGATCCCTATACTGCCAAACTGCCAGTGTGGTAGCCCATGGGGATCTTCATCCTTCTTCGCTTGCATGTCCTACCGTAATACTCTCATCACTCGCTGCTTCACTGTCTCTTGTCTCTGTCTCTCTTTCGTGATCGCTGCAATTGCCAAGCCTGCTGTTGACCACGTCCAAAAGGGGGCCAGCTTCAAGGCCAAATCCACTCGCAGGCAGGCACAACTCTTGACCTTGGTGTGCTGTTCTTGTGTGTGTGCGGCGCTGCGCCATTACCCTCCAGCCCGCCGATATCTCCGGATATACACAAGCCCCTTCTTGCAGCAACTTACCCACATGTCCACCACACCCACATCTATTCCGTGATGGCCAAGAAGGCACGTCAAAGAATCAGCTACGGTATGTGTTCCCCTTGCGCCCGCCAGGCGGCCCTGGACCCCGCACGTGGCAGCTGTTGCGCAGCAGTGGTTGCATGCGAGCAATATCCATGGGGCATGCCACCGTTTCACCGTCCCGGAGTGCTGTCTCTGACTTCATGCGCCCGCTTCCCAGTTCTCGAACGCGCCGACAAACAGGCCGGAGGCCACAAGCTCGGTGTCAATGGCCTCGCTGTCAACCGCGACCAGTCAATCCTGTGAGCCCCCGATCCTCGCGCGCAATGCACTCGCCAATCCCAACCGAACACCCCTGAACCCGCGCATGCCCCGAGTCTTGCTGACCACATTCGTTCCTGCCCTGCAGCTACTCCGGAGGTCGCGACGGTACCGTGTGCGCATGGGACCTGAACCTCGATCTGAATGGCAAGGGCCTCTCCTCCACGACCGACTCGACGTCCAACGACGCCTCAAAGTCCAACAACACCACCAAGTTCCGAGCCCAGACACTCGCACATACCAATTGGATCTGCGATATCGCTCTGGCCCAGAATAACGCCGCCGTCATCACTGCCTCCCAGGACCAGATCGTCAAGCTGTGGAGGCCACACGCAAACCAGAACGACGAACCTCACAAGATCGGAGAACATGCCGACTATGTCAAGTGTGTCGCATCGCCGGGGCAGCAGTCCTCCTGGGTTGCCACCGGCGGTTTTGATCGGAAGGTGTATTTGTGGGACCTGAATGGCGGCGGCAAGACCCTCGAGATCGACACCAAAGGCGAGGAGGTTCCAGAGAAGGGCTCGGTCTACTCGCTCAGCACCACCGAGAACATGCTGGCCTACGGCGGGCCCGAGTCCATCTTGCATCTCTGGGATCCCAGGGCTGGGAAACGAATCACCAAGTTCCGCGGCCACACGTCTAACATCCGCTCTATATTGCTTAGCGCCGCCGGCGATATGGTCATGACAGGCAGCGCGGATCAGACAGTCAAGGTCTGGAGCATCACTGCGGGTCGCTGTATGCACACCCTCACCATGCACAACGACAGTGTCTGGTCGCTCTACTCAGAGGACCCCGAGCTCTCCGTCTTCTACAGCACCGACCGCTCTGGCTTGATCGCAAAGACTGACGTGCGGGGGACCATGGGTGAGATGGACGAGGGCCTCTCCCTCGCCGTCGCTCAAGAGCATGATACGGTATTCAGAGTAGTGGCAGCGGGCGACTACATGTGGACGGCCACACAGAGGTCATCCATCAACCGCTGGCATAGCATCGACACAGGGGCCGATATCCCTCTGCCGGAACCTTTCAAACAACAACGAGCCTCGATCGCAGCCAATCTGCCGCCCTCGAAATCATCCCTGGTTGCTAATGGCAAACCCAAGGAAATCCCAGCAAGGTCCATCCTCAGGATATCCAACACAGCGAGACTCCCCGCGCCGGAGCTTTCCCCGGGTGCAGATGCTGACACACAAACGATCGAGTCTGTTGTCAATGTTTTGGAGCCCATACAGCACGTACCAGAGGAGACAATTGAGGGTCTCTTTGGCCTGGTCAAGCATCGCTTACTGGCTGACAAGCGGCGGGTACTTACTCTGGACACGGCGGGAGACGTTCTGCTGTGGGATCTAATACAGGTCAGTAACGTCCTTTCGATGGTATAACCCATGATGCTGACCAGCACTTGGTGTAGTGTAAACCAGTCCAGAGCTTTGGAAAGAAGCACCTTGAGGATGTGGAGCCCCTGGTTAATAGCCTCGAGAACGTGTCACCCTGGTGTTCGGTCGACACCAGCTCTGGAAATCTCACCGTCGTCTTGGAACCCTTCAACTGCTTTGACGCAGAGCTTTATGCCGATGAGCTGGTCTTGGATGAGCCTGTCGATTTCAGGGAAGATCAAAGAAGTAAGCCGATTGCCTTGTTAATTCTGTGCAGGTAGCCGAAATTGCTGACACCAGTTGAAAGTCAACCATGGGAAGTGGATCCTGAGGTATCTCTTCTCAAAACTCATCGATGAAGAGATCAGGCGCGACGAGGCCCATCGCGCCAAGTTGAACGAGACGGTCGAGAAGAATATCGCAGCAGCGAAGACGAGACCTCCGATCAGCGTCGTAATTCCTACCTTCCCAAACTTTGACCAGGCGGTTGAGTCCCCCATGACTCCTAGAGCTAATGGCTCGCAATACCCACCGATGACACCAGGCATGGGCATCGGGATGGCTACTCCGGGTCTCCCTGGGGTCAAGGAGGAAGGTGTGGACAAGAGGACATCTTCAGCCAGTCGACCGTCCCAGGAAAGGGAAGACTATTTCACCAATGCGATAGTGTCAGCGGACGCCAACCAGGCTGCCAAACCTGCGACGACCCCAGCTGAACAGCCGGCCGAAAATGGCAAAGACAATGACAAGGAGAAGGAGAAAGAGAAGGAAAAGGAAAAAGACAAGGGCGACGCCAAGCAGCCCAGCACGCCTTTCACCAAGAAGTTCCGTATGAACATGACATTCGGCACCAAAAAGCTTGGACGATCGGCCTCATCAACAGCAACAGATAAGCCAGCAATCACAGAGGAGAAAACAGCGGAATCAGAATCATCATCGAATCATGAACCGGAGAAGGAGTACGACGACAACTTCCTCGGCGTGGTCGAAAAGATCCAGGATGAGTATGCGAAGCAATTGATCGATAGTCCAGAAAAAGTCATCGAGACAAGAGTGACGCCGAGCCTCACCAATGAAACACCGGTGCTCAAGCTACCAGCAGGGACAAAGGTGATCATCCAAGAGGAGACTTCGGGGGGCAGTGCGGAACTATACCGCGGGACGATCGAGACGGTCGGCATCGACGCCGATATCATTGAGAAGTGTGCGCCGCAGTGGCTCGGCGAGGTACTACTGCTCAACACTGTTCCACAGAAGGAGCCTGTGAAGGTGTCGTTCGTTTTGAACCCGTGGCCAGATTCGGGATTACCCAGCCTTACGTCTGCGGATGGAAACAATCGCCTGAACGCCAACAAGATGCTTCGCGTGAAGAAGATCTTGGCGTACGTGGCGGAGAGGATCGATCCCACCTTTGAGCAGCCGGAAAACGACGCAGAACCCAACCCCGATGTGATGAAGGCCGAGGAGTACCTCGAGCTCTACTGTAACGAGCAGGTGAGTCGCCCAGTTTGGCGTCCAAGAATAACGGACCCCTTGTTACTGACACGGTCTGCAGCTCCTGCCAATCAACATGACCCTTGCAACCCTGCGTGCTTACATATGGAAGGGCGGTAACGACGTTGTTCTGTACTACAAGGCCAATGGAAAGAAGGAGATCCCGTTGCCACCGCCTGAGCAGCCAGCAGCTCCGGAGGAAGAGAATCCGGCACCTGCTCCTCTTGCCAGTGAAGGTTTGGCTGGGCAAGCTACCGCAGCCGCAGAAGCTTAGATGCATGATCTGTTGCACGGCTCGGCGATGGGATTTAACTGGCATGAGCGCATCCTGGGTGGAGGTGACTCTATTCTTCGGCCTGTCTATAGGGGTATCTTCTTCGATAGACCATTTGGGTCTTGGTACATAATGTACATAGTGGCGGAGCGATTTTCTTTGAGAAGATCTCGGGGTTTAATGTTGATGCCCCTGGCGCTTTCGACTGCTCAACCCAAATGCGCGCACGCGCATGTTCCGAGGTGCGAGCGAGCATCTCGCCCTGGGACATGGCCCAGCTGTCCTGTGCACTGCCGCCCTCTCCTGGGACCCTTGGATGGCGGATGCTCGTTTGTGGCCTCTGCCCAGGCCCACCGTAGCAGACATGTTTCCATCTTACAGTCTCCAATATCCTCAAGGTGAAGTGGACTCGGCTCTTCTTACCGTGCCACGCTCGAGGGAGTTGATGACCCACTGGTAACTACCCAGGAACACGGCACCGCCAATGCTGATCCACATGACCCTCGGGCCGATGCCCGCAAAGAAGGGCCGCACACCGTGCTGCCGCAGGATACCCGTGACGATGTCCCAGACCCTCTGGCGCTCGGTGCTCAACATGACCCTGGTCTTGAGCACGTCGAGCGGCGTGGTGACCGCGGCGGCCACACCGCCAGACACACTGCCGTACAGCGCGGACTCGGCGGCGCTGACGTCTGCCGTGCTTGTTGTCCCCGCCGCACCGCCACCACCAGCGCCGCCCTGGCTCTTCCTGGCGCGCGAGTACGACTTCATGGCCTCCCACAGCGGGAACTGGATCACGGTGAAGGGCACCTCGCGCAGGATGGTGATGCCCCACCCGCGGTAGAGCTCGCGCCACACGCCGGGCAGCCCGACCTCTGCGCGCCGCGCCAGGATGGCCCGCAGGCTCGACAGCGAGGAGCCGCCGTGCTGGCCCGCCTGGGCGCGCTGCTTGACGACCTCGGTGGGCACGCGGACGGCGCAGGCGGCGACCTCGCCCAGGGACGCGGCGAGCATGTGGTCCACCGCCCCACCACCACCACCACCACCACCGCCAGCCCGCCGCGCCTCGGCCAGCGCCGACTTGGTCGCCTCGTACGTGCAGAAGAAGAAGGCGGCGCCGGGCGCGGACCCGAGGGCCGCGGACCCAACGCCCCGGTAGATGCCCCTGAACCCGCCCGAGGCGAAGAAGCCCTCCGAGGACTGCAGGCGCGTCTTGAGCGTGTCGAGGGGGAAGAGGGCCAGGTCGACCGTCGTGCCGGCGGCGCCGCCTGCGAGCAGGGCGTGGGTGAAGGGCGGGTTGGCCGGGGAGGAGGACATTTTGGGTGAGCGGCTGCTTCGCCTTTTTTTCTTTTCTTCTTCTTCTACTTCTTTGGGGGCAGTTTCTCGGGGGGGGGGGGGGTCAATTGGCAGGTTCGCAGGTCGGAGACGAGTTCGAGGAGAGACGGGCGGGAGGGATCTGGGAGTTCGTGGTTATATCATATGGTGGGCGGCATTTTGTGGTTTTGGTAGAATTGGCTGGCTTGCTTGGGTCACCATCTCGAATTTCATCGGCTCCGAGTCGGCGCTGGCGGTCTGCGACCCTGGGGCGCCTGGACCCTGCAGGCTGTGAGGTCATGCCTGCCCCCCGAGCTTCGGAAGCTCCAGCAGCTCCTCCAAGGCCCGCAGGTGGTGTACATTTACCTACGAAGGACACATTCAATTCGTAAATTCTCGAAGGCTCATTTGCAACAGATACCCCAATGTCTTGAAGATGCCATGATCAGCCATGTACCATTATATGCCCGGGAGACATGAGCTCCATACCACAGGTGCTCCACCGCACTGCTAAACCGGTCAGCGTCGCCGAGTTTGTCGATGCCGTCCGGGCGATATGCCTCCCCAGGTTCCCCGGCTCCCGTGGCCGTCAGGCCCGTCCTGTTGGTATGATAGTTCTAGTCCTTCCCTGTTCTGGTCGACTGACATGTCACGCAGGTCTGGCCATCAGCGGGGGGGTCGACTCCATGGCCCTGGCATATCTCTGCTCGCAACTGCACAAGGACCGTCATGTCATAAAGGTTGCTGACAACCCCGTCGGCGCCTACCATTGCATGATAGTAGATCACCGCACGCGCGAGGGGAGCGACTTGGAGGCCGAGGCCGTCCACGCCAGCCTGGCCAGCCTCGGCCTCAAGACCCACGTGATGAGCATCGGCTGGAAAGACTTCTTGCAAGGCTCGGGGTATTCTCACCCCAAGGAGCTACCCAACTTTGAGACTGTCGCACGCCGCCTCCGTTACCGCAAGATGGCCGTCATGTGCGCCAAGGCAAGAATGGCGTCGCTCTTCTTTGCGCACCACGAGGACGACCAGTACGAGACGGTGCTCATGAGGTTGGTATCCGGCCACGGCGCCGCTGGTCTGCTGGGCATGCGTCCCGCCGCCGACATCCCCGAGAGCTACGATATCCACGGGGCATACCAGAGCGGCCTGATAGACGACCAGTCGTCCAGGTTCCCCATGATCAACTACCGTCCTATGAAAGGGGACCTGAGATCCATCAGGCATGACATAATGGCTGATATAGATCCCGAGGTCCTGGCGAGGGAGCGGTTAGAGGGCACCCCTTTTAGTGCCTATCTCGAGGACGAGCTCGACTCATACGTGCCGAGGATGCAGATGATGCTTCCTGTAGCACCTCCAAAAATAGAGGACGGTGGTGTCTTTGTCTACCGGCCCTTGCTCGAGTTCAGCAAGGACAGGCTGATTGCAACCTGCGAGGCCAACAGGGTGCCGTGGTTTGAGGATGCCACGAACCAGGACGCGACTCTGACGATGAGAAACGCCGTGAGACATGTGCACAGACATCACACCCTGCCAGCACCGTTGCAAAAGCCGGCCATTCTGGATATGTCCCGCCGCCTGCGGGGACGGGCAGAGCTTGAAGAGGCCGAGGTGGACCGACTCTTGGCCCGGACCATGGTCCGTGATTTCGAGTCTATAGCAGGCACCGTCGTTGTGCAGCTCCCATCGTTCCGGATCCCTCGCAGCCGTCGCGGGCTCAACCCTCGGGCACGGCGCACAAGACGCTTGGAACGCTATCGCTACATTGCCGGCCTGCTCCTCAAGCGTCTCATTGCCATGGTGACACCCGAGCAGCCAGGTACGTTTGCGACCAGCCTCCAGAACCAAGTGGTACGCCTATTTCCGTCCCTCAACGATGACCCATCCACCTACCCGGAGCACCCCAAGGCCTTCAATGTCTCCAGCGTACACTTCCTTCCCGTGCGGACCTCATCTGACCCCGGCGCACCAATGAGCTGGTACCTCACCCGCGAGCCCTACGTGTCCGGACGGCCGCCCCCCGTCTGTTCGTTCGGGAGGTTAAGCATCCGCGAACGCTGGCGCCGGCGGCCGGAGGTGTGGCGTTGGCCGTTGTGGAAGCCCTGGCAGCTATGGGACGGGCGGTTCTGGGTGCGAGTCCGCAACCGGTCCAGCGTGCACGCGGCGGTTGCCCCCTTCGAGGCCAGATACGCCAAGGCCTTCCGCGACTCCCTGCCCGACGACCGGGCGCGCGCAAAGCTGGCGGCACTGCTGAAGCACCACGCCCCGGGCAAGGTCAGGTACACGCTGCCTGCCATCTACACGGGCGGCGACCACGAAAGAGCCGTCCAAGAGGTCCGGCGGCGCCGCGAGGCTGAGAAGGAGGGGTCATCGGAGGAGCCCAGGGCCAAGCAGGCGTGGAGGGAGCTGGGGTACGAAGCCCAACGTGACGAGTATCTCAAGATGAGGGAGTGGGAGAAAGAGCAGGGCATCTGGGACATCAATTATGCCGGCGCGGGTCCGCAGGCTGCGAAGAAGGTGCTGGTCGCGCTGCCGACACTGGGTATATCGAAACCAGGGCTGAACAGCTGGATTAGGTACGAGATCAGGTACCGGAGGGTGGACAGCGGCATGCTGGAGAACACGGCGAGGGATGAGCGGCAGCTGGCGTGGTTCCGGCACAAGAGGTCGAGGACCCGCACGAAGGGCTGCGCGGGACAGACCAGGAATTCCCGGGTCAGGACCATAGGTCCAAGGTCGCCGCAAAAATAAAACTTGTTTTATAAGCCATATTATAAACATAAAGTACCCCAGAAGCTATAATATCAGGCCGGAGTTTGGAAGATTTAGGCTGGGCACTAGGGGTGTTCATCCCAAGATTTGCAGTCTAAATCCATGCATTAGACCAGACCAGACCACTCAGCGAGTTCGGTGCAGCACGTGGACCCCTGTACCCATGCACCAGTGTGCCGCGGGGACAGCGGGCCATCCCCTCGCCACTAAAACGCAGCAATCTCAACTGATGCTGTGCATCCGATATCCGCCCCGCGCCCAACTACCTGCTCAAGTACCTGCCCACCTGGGTGAATATCCTCGCCGTCTTACTAGTGCAACCTGCGCACCTGTTGGCACTGGCAGTCGAGCAGCGCACGTGGGACCGGGCCGGCCGTCTGTCCCGGCATACAAGAATGGATGGATTTCCTCAAGCTGCTGTCGCGGCCGTCCAGGACGACGAAGCTGCTCGTCCTCGCCCTCAGCACCGTGCTGCTGGTGTATCTGCTCAGCGGCACTGACGTCGTCCCACCTCGACTGTCCGGGGACAAATCGCCGGTTGTCTCGACCACCACCACCGAACTGCCCAAGGGGGATTCTTCATCGCCCACCATGGCAGCGGTTGATCTGAGCTGGCACCCGCCGGCCCAGACTCTGATCAACAACCTCACACATGTCGTGAGCAACAGCACCACGGGCGTGTATGGCTTCATCTACGACTCGTCACACACGCCAGATGAGGCTTACGGCACCTACAACTGGTGCAACATGCCCCATGTCAGGGCCACCGAGTACAAGGTGCCGCCTGACGAGTATGAGCTTGTCTATGTCGAACTGATCCACCGCCACCACAAGCGCACCCCATATGCGGCAAACTCATTCCCAGTCGAGTCCTACACCTGGGACTGTGACGACCAAGGCCTGTACTTCTTCGCCCGGCCCTTTTCAGACCCGTCATCGCCGGACCCCAACGCCGGCAGGAACGCCTCGGCGCTGGCCTACTGGGCCGGCTCCAGCGGCTTCAACCCCTTCGGCGCCGCCGCCCAGGGGTTCAAGGGCTCGTGCCAGTTCCCGCAGATCACGGCGCAGGGGCTCGACGACTCGTGGCAGCACGGCGCCGACCTGTACGGGGCGTACCACGACCTCCTGGGCTTCCTCCCGTCGCGGGACGACCCGGCCTGGCGGCGGAGGGTCAAGTACAGGGTGACCAACAACGTCATCACGAGCGAGGTCGCCGGCATGGTCATCAACGGCATGTGGCGCACGGCGGGCTCGGTGCCGCTGCACATCCAGCCCGCCGGCGTCGACTCCCTCGAGCCCTCGTACGCGTGCGCCTCGGCCGCCGCGCGGTTCGCCGCCCTCGCGTCGCCCGCCACCAACGCCGACTGGGCCGCGCACTTTGACGCCGCGGGGGGCCTGTACGCCGCGCTCGACGGCATCTCGGGCGTCGAGCCTTCCGACTCCGGGTTCCACAAGAGTTTTGATCATTACTACGACAACCTGTCGGCGCGGCAGTGCCACGGGCGGCCGCTGCCGTGCAGGGTCGGCAGCGGCAACGACACGGGGCCGGGGCAGTGTGTCACGCAGGCCCTGGCGGACGAGGTGTACCGCCTCGGCCACTGGGAGTACAGCCACACGTACCGCGGCGCCGGGCCCGACGCGCTCGCCGCCAGCGCGAGCTCCCTCGGGGTGTGGGTCGCCGAGCTGGCGGCGCACCTGCGGGATGCTGCTGCTGGCGGCGGCGGCGGCGGCGGCCCGGACGGCACGCTGTGGTTCCACAATGTCGCGCACGACGGGTCCGTCAGCCGGCTTCTCGGTGTCCTGCAGGCGGACGTGATGGTCTGGCCCGGCATGGGGAGCGAGGTCGTCTTTGAGCTGTGGGCCAAGGGGGGCGAGCACTTTGTCCGTGTGCTCTTCGGCGGGGTCGTGCTGGAGTCTTCGAATCCCAGCTTGGGGGTGCTGGATATGATCCCTGTTGGGACTTTGTTGGCGTGAGTATTTCCCCCATCCTGCCTTCTCTTTTTTTGCGTGGGTATATGCTAACTTTCCCATGATTAGGTATTTTGATGGGCTTGTTGGTGTCAAGGCGGATTTGGTTGTCGACAAGTGCAAGGACTCGTCATAGATCAGCTTATTTACGGAAAACCATGACATAGATGTTGACGAATATAACCAATTCATATGTAAGGAACATTGTTACGCGAAAGTTTGGTGCATGCTGGCGGCAGTGTGAGCCCTATTGGCATCTCGGTATGTGCATTCCTCTGAAACCTGTTGCCCATGCGTATTGTTCACCGGGCACCTTCTCCCCTGAACACTAAGGGAAAACACATGGGATGGTGGTGTCATGGGTCTGCATTAACGCGTGAAAACTCTAGCCTGCCCATATGTCTAGGAGATTGGAAACTCGACACAAGCCCCTGGCCTCATACACGCGCACGGCTCCTCGTCGCTTTTCCCGCCACACGGACAACCCCAGCAGCTCCGATTGTCTCCCTTAGAAGCCAAGGGCGGAGTTGAAGGCATCAGCAGTACTCGCGTCCTTGGTGCCCAGCCCCTGGACCGTTGCCTGGGCGTCCTCGCACTGGGAGACGGCGGCGTCGTTGGCGCCGCAGACGTTGGTCAGCTGGTCGCAGATGAAATTGGTTATGATGTTGGGGTTCCTAGGCATGTGGGCGTTAGTCCTTTGCTGTGGGATACTACTAAACTGCTGCAGAAGGAAGGACATCTGGGGTGATGCTTACAGGGCGTCGCTCTGGCCGCTGTTGCCGACCAGGGTCGCGTCGGTGGGGAAGAAGGTGCCCTCGTCGGCCTTGCGGTTGAACTCGGCGCGGCCGGTCTGGAAGTCCATCGTGGGTGTGCACGAGCCGAAGTCGGCGCCCCCGGCAGCCGCGCCGCCCGCAGCCGTGCCGTTGTTCTGCCTGGGTAGGCGGACCAGGGCTGCCTCAGTGGCGGCGGCGAGGAGGGCGATGATGAGGGTCTGGGTCTTCATTTTGGTGGTGGTAAAAAGGTTGAATGAAATATCGAGCCGGCTCGCAAAGAACGTGTTTGGTTATTATTCGAAGGGAATGACCGGAAGGAGTTCGCAGAACTTGGAAAGAATGGAAAGAGTCGAGTTGATACTGTTGAGTGTGATGGTGAGAGTGGACATCAAACAGAGAGTCTTTCCAGAGAGAGGAGGTATTGTCTTATAGTCGAGCCCCCCCGGCGAGAACACTCGACCGATAGTGACTCCCGATCAGACGACAGCCGCCATGGATGTGAGGCAAAGGCCAAGGGGATGCATGCCATCCGGTCGCTGATCGGCAGGAGAAGGGCAAGGAAGATGGGCGATGATGGAACAAAGATGGGACGAAAGGCGGCAGCCAGGGAGGGGAGACAAAGGCTGGTTCCGCCGCGACCTGAGACAGGCCCGGTCCTCTTCGCGCTCGGGTGGGTTGGGTCGGACAGATTTGTGGCCGCCCGTCTCTCTCGGCAAGCAAGCCATGACGGCGATGGCCATGGGGCCTGATAACCTTACCGCGCTGCCGCCCAACCTTAGCCACTCGCTACCTAGTTGTGTGGGTTACATTGCCGATCTGTAGCAGTTATCCTGGTGCTGCTACGCACCGCACTGCCGGGCCGCCAGGCCCTGCAACAGAGTTGAGGCTCTGCGGAAGTGGCTGCGGGCCGCCCGCGCGGGCTGGTTTGCCTGGCGTGTCACATGTGGGCCGGTACTCTGACACAGGTATGTGGTGGCATGGTACTTGATGTCTATTCATATCCCCCTTTAGCTGTTACATCCCTCTATTTCTCGATTCTTCTATCTATGCCTATGCCTATTTTTTTTTTCTCTTGGGGGGGGGGGAGGGTGGGGCGTTATTGAGCAACCACCATTGACGACGACGACGACAACGATGACGATGATCGCCAATTTGCAACAAGAACCATCTCCAGCAGCCATGGCCAGCCAAGCATGATCTACGAACCTAATCAACAAAGGACGAGAGGTCGGGGTCGTTTTCATGCCCAGCCCACCACTCTGGACTCTCTTGCAGATCATCGCCTTCGCTTGCCCAAACCGTGAGCTGCAGGGGTCGGTCGGCGCTCGTCAGGGCTGCTTGACAGGGGCCCACGACTGGGGGACCACAAGGCCTTGCCAAGACGTCGGTCGAGTGGCCCACCAAGCACGCGGCAAACCCATCCGACACTCTGATCGTCGGACCATGCACGACCCGATCTGCACCCTCGGAGAATTCATGAAGTCAACCATGAGACGAAAAATGCAACTCGCTTAGGACATCCCCCCTCCTCCCCAGCGCCTATCGCTCCAGCCGCTCCACGATCCCGGAAACCAACCCATTGGCCTGCACACCTACCTGCACAAGACCGCAGTGCCGGGCTGCCAGTGCTTCATGCCGCAGTGACGCCGTGGCATGGAGCCGCATGGGGGTCACACCAAACGCCGCGCCCTGGGTCGATTTCTCCGTCCCCACGGGCTGTCACAGAGCAGCCACCGGCCTGTTCCCACCGTCGCCTAAGTATCGCACTTATTCGTCGGCGGTGTTCCCATCCAGGACAGGCCGGGCCACGGGCGGGATTCCAACCGGCCGGAGTGTTTGGGCCAGCCCGTGCATGCATGATGTATTATTCCACGACGAGTCTAGTGCCCGTTTTCCGCGCCTTTCAGAATTGTTTCCCGCATGGTGTGGCCTCGGTCCGCGTATATTTAGTAGTATTCTAGCCAAGTTCCGTTCTCAGATCTGCCAGTGCCTTGTACTATCATTGCTGAAGCCAGCCACCGTCCTTCCGGGATAAATGCGAGTCATAGAGAGAACCATTCCCCATTTCTTTCTGCGTGGGAATTGTGGGGAGACCTCGATGGTGCGTCTTCGAGTGCTAGAATGGTTCTCAAGTCACGTTTGAAAGACTCCAATGACAAAATGGTCTGATCATCCTAACCCTGGGAAGGGATCAAATGATATGAGGGCTTGACGGGTGTCAATTAGAGCCAACGTTAGAAGGGAGATGGAACAGAAAAGCATGAATGCCAATGATGGCTTCATCTGTGAGATTGGCGATTCACAGCCACAAAAACGGACGTATCCATGTGCCCCCATACTAGGCAACTTGGAGATCAAAATACATACCTAGGTAAGCTAGCACCGGCCCACCTTGAGTGTTTATTATTTCAACGCTCCATTGACCGTTTACCGCCAGTCGGAGGCGTTTCATGGAAATACAATATGTCTGGTTCAAGCATCTTCGCTCCTTCCATCTCCTGTTGTTGCAGACACAAAGGACATTGGGCTCAAGTATGTATGTATTAGGGACTGAGTCATCTCACTCGTTTGCTTTTGGGCCCCAAAGCAGTTCCCCGTACGAAGATGGCGAATATGTAGAATACATTAGGAGGACCGGCATCATACTAAGTACCACCCCGAAACTGAGACTGATTCAAGCAATCAATTGATATTGCTTGTTCTCCAGCGGTCTGAGCCGTCAATGGTCTGAACCACAGGGTTCTATCGGTTTCCCGCTCTCTTGTATCCCAGAGCTAAGTGTAGTAGTGTTCGCATGGTTCCAACTACGATCTTCGTCGCTTACTTCCGCTGATACCACGGTAGCTCCGATTGTAAACCCAGAGCAGCATTGTGGCTTGCCGCAAACGTATCACCCTGTCTAGACCTAAATTCATTGAACCGTAGGCGTTCCCACTCTAGGTCTCGCACTCATAGGCCTTGGGGAAGGAGTAAAATTGTTCACAGTCCACATTCGGGTGCGGGTAAGCACCTGTTGATGGACATTGCCAACAGTGCCTTGTCAATCTTCTCTGGGCTGGTTGGTCCACGTGTATGCCTTTCATACAGAACTGGCCCGCCTGAGCTTTGCACAACATGCAAGAGACCCAACGAGAATTTCTCTGCCCACGGATACATGCATGTGTCACATTCGTATCGAGCTCTGGCAGTGAAACCGGGCGCAGCCCAACCTTCGAATCAAAGCCACTTTCCCTGATGTTGGAGCTTTCAGGATGGCACAGAGTGACTCGGTCGTTTGATCTTGCTCACGCATTGCTCCTTTGCTTTTCGCATACGCATCGGTAAAACTCCGTTCACAAGTTTCACTGCCATGAGCCAGGAATAATCTAGGATGGCTTCGGAGGCCAGTAATAACAGCCTGGCCACGAAGCGAAGGCCCTGCTGTCCTGGCACTCGTCATTATCGACATCTGCTTGGCACGGGGATGGTATGGTGGGAGAGGGCCAGAGTTTCGTCTTCCAGTACCATGAACGGAGACGGATAGGGCAAGCATTGCTGACCAAGTAAGGTGTTTGCATTATGTTCAACTCCGATGGCAAAAATATTGGAAGGGCAGCGGACTAATGCACGCACCCATCTGGGCACCTTTTGAACTTCCTGAATGTTTCCACCGCTCGATTCCCAGTCTCGGCTGGATCTTGTCTCACTGTTGGCACGGAAAAGAGAATGACCGCTTCCGCCAACAAACGCTCGCTGACCTGCGCTATATAGCCCCTCATCTTGACGGATGAATTCCTCACTGGAGACTCAGCACCGTTGAGAACCAATCTCAACATCGCCCGAACGATATCACAATTCGTTCGCATGGACCAACTTTCGCGGCACAAATGGTCCGCATAGGGCCTCGAGTACGTAAGATACAGGGTAGCCCTTTTACAGCTCATCTGCTAATCGGCCGAGTATGTAGACACCGACAAGTCCATCAAAGCAGAACGGGCCGTGCCCCGCGTTCGAACATGGCTCACATTGCCAGAATGAATACATCTAGTGCTTTACTAGCCATACCGTTGGAAATCCGCCAGCAGATCTACAGATTCTGTATTCCACAGAAGCTTCTCTTCGAGTGCCTTGGCAATATCTACGACCAACATCGCTCACAGGCATGGTCAGAACCGCCCTGGCACTGGGACAGCACTGCGGAAGGGCTTGGCGGGACTTACTTTTCCTCCAAAATCAAAGAATGCTCTTTCTGTGACCCGGAGACTACCCAGATTTCTGTGACAGACATCCCAATTGTGGAAGTTGACGAACAATACGGAGAGGGCCAATATGGGCATTCTGGGCCGGGCAACGACGACGACGACGACGACGATGTTGAATACGAGTGGTCTGATCGAAGCTCTACGGAAGACAAATACTTGTCCTCTCGATCCGACGACTATTGCTTTATGTGCAAGCGATATCGCCCGGGAGTTCCTGTGTCCCGTCGAAGCGCCTTACCTGGAATCCTTCTTGTTTGCCAACAGATCACTGAAGAGGTGGAGACAATGCTATACGGAGGCAATACTTTCAGAATCAATGTTCACGGCAACGGCGAATGGAACCTCATGACATTCAGTCCCAAGAGAAGGGAGAAAATGCGGAAGGTGATTTTGGTCTTACGGCCGATGGGAGTGTCCTATCGCCCCGATTTCCGCATGGACCCGAAAATCTGGGACAGCGCTCTCGGCAGCCTTGTGGCTCTAGGAGTTGTTGCCGAGCAGCCAGACCCTCCCTCTCCTTACTCATGGCCCCAGAGAAGCCAGGATGATGTCTTTGAGGAATGGGGGGCGTGGTTAACACCAATCTTGGAGTACCTAAGACGGGTTCTCCCCACCACAACTCAAATTGTGGTGGATGCGAACGAGGAGGAACACACAACTCAGATTGTCACCAGAGTGATGCAAGATCGCTCTAGTTTCCAGCAACTACGCATGGCTGATTTCATATTCAGAAGAGGGGAATACTCCATGGAATCAGGATACTGGGATGATGACGGCCCGACCAGCTGCCGGGACATCATCAACGATTGCGACTACGACGATTATTATTCTGACTGAAATTGGCATGCCAAAATTCTGAGGTGGCGGGCTGGCCAAACAGAATTAGCTAGGAGGTCCTTTCGAAAGGGTGTAGATTAGAATGGGCTCGAGACTACCAAGGTACCGGGCCCTATTAATCTCATCATCACCTCGTCTCGCACACTTTCTCTCATCTATTGCTGTACTAGTGACAAGGGAATATCCATGCAGCGTCCTAGTGAAGACATTTTTCAGTCAATATCCACAAATAACACAAGCCTAACTCCCGAAATGCCCACCATGGGCATTCCTAGCAAATCTACCCAGCCAGATACTAGGTGGGGGCCGATTTTTAAGGCGGGCCACTTGATCACATCCCTCACCCATGATTGTTCTTCGCCCAGCACGCTTGTTCCACAATCGTCCTTTTCGCTGGGCAAAACTTCTCTGCATGGTTGTCCAGCGCCAGGACCAAGCGAACCGAGCACAGAATGAACATGTGGCCGCGGTCCGTCTTTGTTACCTCCAAGATGAAGCTCTCTCGGCATCATTGATACCCTCCAAATGATACACACCAATATGTAAGTATGGAAACCGTTGCCATAGGTATCTGAAACTTATAGATTGATCTCCAGTGACCATCTCTGTTCCTTCACTTTATTCATTTGCATGGAAACATGACAGGTCAACTGAAACAGAAGAAATTGCACCATGGGAAGGGATTAAAGGCAAGTTGTGCAAGGCTTAGAGTACGTCTTAGTCAACGCTTCTCTGCAACCTGATCGATTCACATATATGGTGGTCGTCTGTCAGCCTCAACAATGGTATTTATATCCATATTCATCATATGATTGCTGCTATTGGAAACAAAGCTGTTACTTACCATGTGAATCAATAACCTGGATCCTAGCAGCAAGAAAGAGGCCATGCGAAAATACCACTCCCAACGGAAAATAACACAAGGTACCTAGGTACAACTTGAATGTCCTAGATGCTGGGTTGTCAGCCCCGGAGGCTAGGTTTAAGGTTTCAACAGTTGTTAGAGGAAACTAAAATCCCTACCGTCTACCAGTAGTCACCAATAATATTTTGCATTCTACTTAGGTAGCCTGGGAAGTGATGTAATAACGTAAGTTGTAGTTGTTACCAGCCCTGTAACGCCTTAAGTGTTTCCTCTTTGGTTCAAAAGTGTCTAAAGTATTCAGATTGCAGATGAAGGGGCCAAGTGTTTGGCCCGATCCTACCAATGGGACACAGTACAATCGTTCCCAAGGGTTATTGTCTTGTATATAACAAGCCACAGTCGACAGGCCTCACGCCTTAGTGTTCAACTTGACCCCGTACCTCCAAATACGAAGGATTGTCAAGGTAGCACCAGAAGCAAGCAGCATGACACCGCCAAAGATCCATGTGGAGGTCCAGTCTTGATCCGCGCCAAGGATCGCCCCACCGCCTGGACCACCGATGATAATACCCAGACCAAGTAGCGAGAAACCCATTCCGATTCTCGTCCCGATTCTCGACTTGTCCTCCGTAAGGATGATGTAGACGACGGTCGGGAGCGCAATGAAAGCACCGGAAAAGAAGCCAAAAAAGATGGCAATCAAGACATAACCCTGAAAAGCACACATGTCAGCTAGCGCACTACGACTCGCCAGGAGTCTCAGAAACAGGATTAAAAGGCACTTACTGCCAGAGTGTGCACTGCCTGCATACAGAGGACTAGCAAACCACAGATCAAAGCACATGGAATGAGGACGTTGAGCGGGCCCGTCTTGTCGGAAAGCCAATTGGGCAGAGTCCGTCCAAACATGGACATGGCGTTAAAAATGGGCACAATGTAGAAAGCCATAGACGAATCAACGGTGCCCGTCGCCAGCCCGTAGTACGAAAGGTAGAAAAGCATGACATAGAGGCCGACGAACCCCAGCAGGCAGCCGAAGGTAAACAGGAGCCATCCGCCGTCAGAGAAGGCAGTGGTGTCGAACATGGCACGAACTCGTGGAGGCTTCACCCGCTGGCGCAAGAATACCATCGGCGGTATGAGAGTGGCCAGGCATATGAAGCCGATGACGCGCACGCTCCAGGGGAATCCGATCTCGCCTACCAGCCGGTACAGCACGATGGGGTAGATGATGCCGCCGAACGAGCTGCCGGCGGCGGCAATGCCAGAGGCCAGACCTATCTTGGTGCTGAAGTAGGACTGCAAGACGGTGACGGAGGGCGTGAACATGAGGCCAGCGCCCAGGCCGATGCAGAAGCCTTGGGCGAGGACCACCTGCCAGAACTGCGTTGCCAGGCTCAGCATCATGTGCCCGAACACGACAAGGAACGCGCCGACGGCGATGAGGACGCGCAGGAAGCCCCTGTCATAGAGCGGCCCACTGATGAGCCCGCCCGTGAGCACGAGGAAGGCCTGGATCGAGCCGACCCAGGAGATGTTGGACGAGGACTCGACGAAGAGCTCGCCGGTTTCGTAGTACGTCTGGAAGACACCAAACGTGTTGAGCAGCCCCCATGTGTTGAAGAAGACGCCAAAAGCACCAAATACCTGTGACATCGCCAATTTAGCTTAATTCTTGCTTAATTAGGTAGGGAGATTCCAAGAGACAGAGTCCATACCTGCAGCCATGCCCGCGTGCCGCCGTTCGGCGGGGGCGTTCCGCCGGGTGGACCAGGCGGTGGTGCATGCTTCTCAACCGTTTCCTTGTCATCTCTGTCCGGAGACTCTGATGCCTCTGGTGGCGAAGTCATTGCAAGTGGTCGTCTCGATGGTTTGCCCAGATGACGCAATTGAAAGCTGAACTGTAGGTCGAAGAGATGAAATAGCGACGGTCTTCAGTAATCCGAGTCGGCCTGACTCATAATGAGTAGAATAAAATCAAAACCCAACACGCAGTCACACAGAACATAGATGACAAATGCTTTTGCGCTTCCGTACCAAAGGCAATGCGATGATGTTTGTGATGGAGCATTTCGAAACACGCCGGGTGCAGTCATGCTGTGCTATGTATGTCTTCGGCACTACCCTAGCCCAGGGCAGCTGGTAGCCTGCTGTGCGCAAATTGGGGCTTGAGTTTTCCTGTTCGGGCTAGATCATCGACAGTGCTTACTCCGTAAACACCGCGATCAGACCGAATCCCTCAATCCACTAGTACGGCTTTTCGAGGCGCGGGGCCAGCCATCGATGAGTTGGTTGGGTGTTGGTCGGATTGTGGTTGGCTCAAAGGTGGTCTTCGGAGCTTTATAACCTAAATAGTCAACTTTATAAATCCGTTAGGAGTTAAAAATAAAGGAGTAGGATGTCAGCATCGCAGATGACTAACCCACTGTAAAGTAACTCGCAACCAGGAGCTTTTAGTCTGGAACTCGGGTTTACCTGGTTCTCGCTTCTAGTATTCCGTCTATGTCCGAAGACATACACGGTGCCTTCAGACAGTGGGAAACGCTCAAGCCCAATTCGGGGTTAATCGGTGATTCGGTGCCGACTTCAAACGCGAGCATATGTAGCAGCTTCGCGTCGGAGCTTACTAAGAGGCTGACGGGCTGCATGATCTTGCTCGGACCTCGTTTCTGTGGTTTCGCTTCCATTCCGTATACGTCCGAGGACATACATGGCGCCTTCATTCAGCTGAGATCTGAATATATATCTAGATGAAAGGCTACGAATAATTACCTAGGCGCCGACGCTGTTCTGAACTTGAGTCCTGGCAGTCCACGATTTTGCCAATGCTCAAGGCGCCGAGAATAACCACACCATTTTCATGATTGTTACACATTCGAAGCTACAGTCTTGCAGTGATTTCTGTTTTGCTTTCTCTTGGTCGATAAACACCCATACTCGGCTCCAGAAAGCCCTATAAGCCACGCACATACCCACTCCCGTCTACCCAGTTCCCCGTGAGAACCCTTGGGAAGCCTTGTCACAACTTACTTCCACCATATAGTGGCTGGCCGGCCTCACCGTCACACATGCCTCTGTCAAGACCGCGTCGCTCTACTGCGTCCTGCTAATTGTGAGATCTCCTTAGCCTGATGAATTGGCGGCTTCAATGGTCTCTTGATCAGCAGTATCCTGTCGCTTCTGGCGCCGAATCAAGAACTTGCTATCGATATACCGAACGATCGCCAAGCAGAAAGATGTGGCGAGAATTGCGATCCCAATGTTAAAGCCGCGGCGATAGAGAGGGTTATCCTCCTCACGGAAAATCTGTGCACCGTAAATGCCGGCAATGTTACCAGCCATAACCATGCTGCACCAGCAATACTCAGCAAATGACAAATAAAGTAAGAAGTGATATAGTCAAGAGACGGTACTTATGGAAGAGCGAAAGACTCACATGGCCATAGCTAAAGCCCGAACCTCTGAATCGTGACAAGTGACTGACACCCAGGCCACATTCAGTGGCTGAGGGAAAGTCCCATACATTTGCGTCCAGATGACGCCAAAGTACTTGACACCCCTCATGTTCGCCGGCATCTCGGTGAATATTCTGTTCATGACATAGCCGAGGAGATGGCATCCCACGCCAGCAATCACAGTCGGACCTCGTTTGTTGCTGCTCGGTAGAAGAGAGGGCCTCGAGTCAGCCGGTTATTTCATTCTTGGCCCCGACCCTGCGCCTGAGAGAGGGACTTCGAGCAGCTTCTGGGGAGATATGTCGAACTCACAAGTGATCTGAGACGTAGCTGAAGGAGAACGAGACGGGTATCTGAAGAAATAGGCCGACAGACGCCAAGGCGTTACTCGTTAGGCCCTCAAAGCCAAAGCTCCTGATGATAGATGGCGAGTACGTGTCAAACCCTCGCTGGGGACCATTGTTCAGAATTGTGATTGCCACATGCACAATTATTCTCCAATCGGTGAAAGCTTTCTTGAACGCCGCTCGGTCAATGTGCTTCTTTTTGTGACCTTTCAATGGGTCGTCCAGGATCACACGGGTGTTCAGGATGTATAGCTCCCGGTCGGTGAAGACTTGGCGGCCAGGGGCAAACGGGCAGTATGGCTTTTTGAACGAATCGGGAAAGACAAAGCCGAACAGACAGCCGACGAGGATCGTGAAAATGCCCATCAGGGCAAAGAGCCAGAACCATCCAGGTTTCCCGCCAACACCACGCATATAAAGGATGCCGTATGCTAGTAGCTTAGAGGAGGCTGCTCCGAATTGATTTCCTGCGAACAGTTCTAGTCATGTGTTTTGTTTCAAAGTGATCCTCTCGGGATAATGATGGGAGCACTCAGGAAAAGGCTTCGTAACACAAAAGGAAGAGAGTACTGACCGATATAGAACAGCATGACCCTTTTAGCTGTTTCATCACGTGTGTACCATGTTGACATTGTCCACAGTCCACCTGGAATAAAGCCAGATTCCGTAGCCCCAAGAAGGAAACGGGTTATCAGGAACGCAGGATAGCCCTTTTGGAATGCCTGAAAAAGACTGACTATACCGAACAGGAATAGCTGCAAGGTCAGCCACTTGCCCGGCCCAACGCGATATAGAATCATGTTGGATGGGATTTCGAAGAGCACAATGCCCAGTGAGAGTAGCTGCTGGCCGACATTGAACTGGTTCTGGTCGATGCCGACGTCTTCCATGAAGTTGTCCGTGATAGCGTTGGCAATGTTCCCCCTATCGAGCTCTTTTGAAGGGAGTCAGCATACAACAAGTAGTGGAGACATTCCATGCTCAACCTAGGAGTGATCTGGGCGCTTACGGAGGCAGAAGAAACCAAGGGTCAGGACGGAGACGACGTGCAAGTCGAGCCTATAGAATGCGCCGTAGGTTAGTGGAAGAGGTTTTTATCGATGGTCTATGATAATGACTTACTTCCGCTTTGCCTTTGCCTCTTCTTGTGGAGTCCAGTCCGGCTGAGCTTCGTACGCCAGGACCTTCTCATCAGGCGGGCTCACTGACCCCGGTGTCATTTGTTCTTTGGAAGCTTCTAACATGGTCGCTGCTCAACGAATATCCCTGATGTTCTGATCTTTTGGGAAGATTTTTAAGAGCTAACTATGGCTTTGTAGGAGCACATACATGGAATCAAGTTGGGATCGACTTCGGGAAGAGATGTGATCGGCTACATTTAAGTATGTTTCCCCGAGGGTCATTTATTTGAACTTGGTTGGTTTCTAAATACCACAGACCTCCTGGGTTAGGTTGAGCAGGTCATCTGCCGTACGCCCGACCCTTTCCCGTATCGATGAGGCCCATATCCAGATGAGTCTCATGCGGTTGCAACCAGGCTTGGCTTACTGTGCATTAATAAGTATGACTGAAATCGGCTGTGACTTCTACATCCTTGGTTTTCTTTGTTGTGCAAATGATATTAGGTCTCCTCGTCGATCTTCTATATTAAGAACATTCACCGTCTCGAAGATGCACTCCAGCATCACGATAGTTGCGTTGTATTCCCCGACGATCTGGGCGAATGGTGACGTTGCCGTTCTGTGGATCAAAGCTCGCCGGAGATCGTCTCGGCTCACAGCCACACATTTATCAGATCCATGACTTATATACCTAAGCATTATGCCGTCGTGGCTATTGCTACCGTGATCCATTTTGCCACGATCTAGGCACAGATGGTGATGTCTCCCATGTATGGACTCGCAAGCACGCAATCGACCCTGAAGGCCTTCGAATTGGGGGGAAGGGGTCGGTCTATGTTCGGAATGCAAGGCTAGAAGTCTTGGGTCTTGTCTTGGGGCCATTCACTATTCTGCTTCCAAGAGGCTTGTGCTTTTAAACTTCTAGCTGCCGCTGTTGTTTGCAATACGACCTCGGCGATCAACCGCCCAGTTGTCCTCATGCGGCCGTGCCGGCCCCGGGACCAACCGAGACGGAAGTTTTGCATGGAACGCCAATGAGATTCATTACGGCGGGTTTTCCAAGGCTAGGCATAGACTAGGCATTTACAAATTACTGGTTATCATCGACAGTTGGTTGCATGATTCTTCATTTCCAAGACACTCCAAAGGGTGGGCGACAGCACGGAAGTTTGGTTCCCATCAACTTAGTTCTTGAGCTACAAGTCGTGCACATCGTTCAACTGCAACAATCGTCATTGAATATCTTCATCATGAGCCCTAAGAGCTTGACCAGCTCCTCCCTATTTCATGTAGAATGTCCGAATCGCCGAGAGTGGGTAGACTTTCGATCCATCCAAGCTGAAGGTGTCTGAGACGGACCGATTGCCTTCCCATAGAACGTGAAGCCCTTATTCCCCTACGAGGAATCTATGAATTTCCTAAGATTAGGAACAGAGATACATGCAGGCCTCCGGCGTTGCAGCGCAATTGTATTACACGCCGGTCACCTGATTAGGTATTTCACCGCGCTTTGTTTGGGGCCCGGATTGGTTAGCATGAGTTCTTGAGAATGCTTGAGGACTGCAACTGGCGATCCAGAGTCTTCAATCAGTGCTTCAAACTTCCATGCTCTCAAGCTCTCGCAGGTCCGGAAGAGCCCACTTGGTCATCCAATCGCAGCTCATAAGGCTGGCAGCAGTCGGTCTCTCCTCCGGGATAAAAGCCAACATGGCCCTCAACATGTCCAGCAAAGCGACCCTCTCCTGCTCTCCGACCGTCTCCAAGCCGACAGCCCGTCTAGGGGCCTGGATAGAGTGCTCAAATCGACCTTCCAGTGTCATGCGACTGCTTGTGGGGTCAAGCGGTTCGCCTTGGTCATTAAAGTAGTCACCTCGTGCCGCCCATGTCTCCCACCACGTCGGGGGAAGGATCCCGAGAGCATCTACCTGCTCTTTCGTGACGTAATCGTCGGTCGGGCTAAAGATTTCAAAAAGTGATCGCTGGCCGAGGACAGTCCAAATAGAACATGCCAGAGTCCATATGTCGGCAGGGTACGAGAGAGGCTCTCCGGGGAGGAATCTGGTTTCTGGCGGTCTCAATACACGCGGGGTGCTGGAGTGATATTTTGGTTCAGAGGAGGGCATGAACGATTCCCCGAAATCGGTCACAAGGATAGAGGCTTCAATGAGTGTGACGTCCTCGCTTCTGACCCCGAACCAGCCTGGAACAACAATATACGTTGGAACACCCTCAGGAAGCGGCCGGTCTCCTTCATTTCCAAGTATCCGAACTGGTTCTAGTTCAGGCTTACCATACTTCTCATATAGCTTGTCCAATGGGAGACTTTTCGAATTCTCGGCGAGTTTGAAGAGAACGTTTCCTAGGTGTAGATCTGAGTGCTTTTAGTTTAAGAACAGAGAGTGGACGTCATTCGACTCTTACCGGCATGGACAAGCCCTTTCTTATGCATAAAAGCCACACCTCGTATGAGCTGCGCAGCGATGGCGCGGGCCACACGGGGTTGGAAGAGACGGGTATACGAAGCGTCTTGCGCTTCAGCCACGGTCATTCTTGCAGGAGTCGTTACGATACAGCTGTGTGCACCATTGGGGCCGTATATGGTAAATCCATCCCAGATTGAAGGCATGGCCGTGTTATCAACACCTTCCAACGTGCCTTTCCCGTGGGCATCAAGGGAGATCTTTTTGGTTAGATGACGTAGAATTTTTGCTTCTTGAGAAGCTGCACTGCTGTCGGCCGTCATGATCTTGATAGCGACATATTTGTCACCCTGAGAAATGTCCTTTGCGAGCCATGTTGTGGAGTAGGAGCCAAAACCGAGTTTATGCACAATATGGTATCGATCACGCAGTACATCGCCAACGTCAAGCGGATGGTATCCTCCGAGGCAATATCGATCAGGAGGCTCCGCATCTTCGATGTATGCAAAGCGAATCTGATCCCGGTGCCGATTGGGAGCATTGTCGTGCGTGCTCATGGTGTGTCGTGGCGGCGTGGCGGCTGCGAGGTCTGGGCGTGGAAGCTTGTACAACAGTGACCTCAATGGCGGCGTGCGGCACGATGCAATGAATACCACACCTGCATAGCCAAGGAACTGTAATTCCAAGCTCCTTCAAATTGTGCCAGTGAGCTCCTTCCGAAAGTGCCATGTATGCGCGAGAAACAGGTCATTGATCTCTTGGGGTTGGTGTTGGTTGGTAGGGAGCTGTGCCGCAGATGTGGACCTTGGGAGAAATTTAGGTGGTAGGTAGGGTTGAGGTCATAGAACGGCGTGAGGCACCCCACCTCCCCCCCAAAAAAAGGAGGGTTTGCAAGTATCCTGATTGAGAAGGAACATTGAAATTACCGAAACCCTTCACTGCTTCAAAATTGATGCCTAGGTAAGCGAAAGACTTATCTTCCAACAGGAGCATTTCATCAGGACCTGGAGTATGATGTTCAGACACCAACCGCCATTGTCTCCACTCAATCTAGGACAAGCTCTTCGGGGCAGACTCGGGTTCTACATTATATCGAAGAGAATTCAGGACGGCGTGTGGCTTGCAAGGTGTGTAGACACACAGCCCGCGACTATGACCTGAGAAGTTGCCGCTAAGCATGACAATATCAGAGACAAGAGCAATAAGCTTGTAATTGTGAAGAGCGTCAGCGGCCATCCCCGTGTCGAGAACGAACGGGATGTCCTCCAACGCTTCCAGGATCGAAGCACCCATATTCGACCTCTGATTGATGAGATACAAGATCCAGCCGAGCCAACAATCATCGTCCTCAGGCATTTGGACCAGGATCTTTTGGATGCATCGATTCGAAAAGCGCTCAATCGGAAAGAGATCAAGTACGTGTCGAGAGGCATACTCGAGGCGTTGAGTGTCCTCCATGAAGACGGACATGTCCACGCCGATGTCAAGCCTAGCAACATATTCGTCAACCACAGAAGCGATGTTACCCACGACAACGATATTGGCTTTTCAGATGTTCAACTAGGCGACTTTGGTGGTAGCTACCACCAGGATAGTGAATGGGCCAAATCCGCCACGCCCATCGGGGCGCCGATGTGGAGCAGCCCAGAGGTCCTCTTGGAGATCCCATGGAACACAGCAACCGATATCTGGTCATTTGGCACGTTGGTCATAAGCCTGATTTTCGGCGGCGACTTTAATATCTTCCGCCCGAAGAAGGCTCGTTACGGTGACGAGGACTACAACGTCGAAGTGTTGGAGTCACAATTCCGTTACTTCGGGCCATTTCCATTCAAGATCAGGGAGATAGTGAACGATGAGACGTTCCAGACGGTGCTTTATCTGATGCAACTGAATCCCCCTGAGAGCATGACACATTTCAGCAGGGTGACGGAACGAGAGGTTGTGAAGGAGGATAAGGACTTTATCTTGAAGATCATGAGGATGGACTGGCGCGATCGACCGACGGCTAAAGAGTTGCTTGAAGACGAATGGTTTCGAGGACAGTAAGGGTTCATGATTTACCTTTGGTGTTTTATGACTCTTTCCCACCGCGTCTTTGTAGGCAACTCGGGCCCGGCCATTCCTTCATTACTTTGGTACTGTAGCAGCGCCATGGGTGGTTTCGTTTTTAATCCCTATATATATAAAATATGTGTGGTGCCTTCATACAGTGGTAAACGCTTAAGACCCAGCGTTTAAAGAAATATAATACTAATAAGGCTTTAGCTATATTATATTTTTCCTTTATATTATATAACTACTTATTTCTTTCTTAATAATTTAAAGTTTATATATAAAGTTTTTAATAGTTTTATATATATTTTTATAATCTTTTTAAAAAGGAATTTTTTTTTCTTTTTTTTATTATACTTTTTTATATTATTAAAAAGTTAATAGTTATTAATAATAAAAGTATAGACTTAAAGGAGAATAAACTTATTATACCTTTTTTATTTTTTATAAATTACTTTTAAAACTCTTTTTAAAAGTTTTAATATTTTATTATAAAAGTTTTAAAGATAATATATTATAAATTATTTCTTTATTTTAAATTTTTAAAATTAATAATTATATATTTAAATAAAAGTTATAATATTAACTTTATAAGTTTATTTAATAAGAGTTTTATTAGTATATAGATATATATATATATATATATTTAAAAGAATAATTTTTAATTAGATTTTCTTTAATATAATTTATTTATATAATAATTATTTTTAAATTTAATTTTATTATATAACTTTTTATAGTATTTTAATTAATATTATTATTAAAATAATACCTTTTAATTTTATTTATATATTATAAAGTTAAGATTATAAGTACTTATTATATTATAATTATTATTATTAATATTATATTCTTTTTAAGTATTAAATCTTAAGTACTTATTATTATATAAAGGTGTTATATATATCCTTAAATATATATAGAATAGAAGTGAAACTATATAATGTTAATAATAGTGGAAAGAGAATACATTATGTGGGTAGGTATGTGGCTTAGCCTCGTACCGCACTTAGTAGCGCCATACTTTCAAACATGACAATGAGTGGATTCTTTCTCATTCCGCATACACCCCGAAGGCGTACGGCCCCTTCAAATAGTGGTCAAGTCTGAAAGACCCGGCTTTCAAAAGACAATGAAGATGACAGTGTAAAAAGACGCAATTAGTGGTGATGTGGCTTCAGCCTCATGCCGCACCCAATCCATAATTCGGGCAGAGTTAGAGGATAAATTGCCGCAGCCAGGCTTCTAGAAAGTGCTATGTGTGAAGAAGCTACCGGCTACGAGTAATGCACTGCTGTGGTCTTCTTCAGAATCGATTTCACCTGGCCGGAGGTCCAACGCAGAACGGCACACCGACATGAGTTCTTTATCACCAAATGACAGCACACGCTGATGCATGTACGCATAGATATGAAGAACTGTAAGATTTTACAACGAAATGATGTTTATTTGCATCCATTCAAAAGTTTTCACCGAATTTTGCTTCCCCACTTGCGGACCTCGGAAACAAACATATCTGGTACCTCCCATGCCGCAAAATGGCCGCCTCTATCCGTCTCGTTCCAATATACAATATTCTTGTAGTATCGTTCGCACCATTCCTTTGGCCCATAAGAATTATCGCCGCCAAACCAACTCACACCAACCGGTATGTCTATCGGCCATGCGGTTGAGTCGGGCTTGCACTCCCAATAGTAACGAGCAGATGACGTGCCGGAATTTGATAGCCAGTACAGCATGATCGTGTCGAGCATTTCGTCTTTGCTAAAGACCGTCTCCACGTTGCCATCGTGATGAGACCAGTCTCTGAACTTCTCATAAATCCACGCCGCCTGTGCAGCCGGTGAGTCTGCAAGCCCGTAGCCGATAGTTTGCGGTCTTGTTGACTGCTGTAGGGAGTACCCGCGGTGTCCAGCATCGCGAAGGCTGTCCAGATACATGGCTCGTTCCTCGCCCTTTTTATCGCGTATTGAGACTTGGACTTCTTTCTGAAAACATGATTAGCATGTATACTACAGATGCTCCTGCGAACAGAAATTTACCTTGGGGTCGAAGAAGATGGAATTGAGATGAACGCTCTTCAGTCCTTTCGGTGCTTGACGGCCCAAATTTACGGCCACATGGGCTCCCCAATCGCCGCCTTGAGCGACCCAGCCGCTGTCTGCATAGCCCAAACGCTGCATAAGCTCTGCCCAAGCACGCGCGGTACGGTGGTAATCCCATCCAGTCTCGGTAGGCTTGCCGGAAAACGCGTAGCCTGGAAGTGCCGGGATGACAAGGTGAAAGGCGCTCTCAGGAGAACCGCTGTGAGATTCGGGGTCGACGAACTTATCGATCACGTGTCTGAATTCCAGGACTGAGCCAGGCCAACCGTGTGTAAGCAGGAGAGGCAGAGCATTTTCGTGCTTTGACCTGATATGCAAGAAGTAAAATTCCACTCCATCGATAGTCGTCGTGAATTGGGGATATGAATTAAGCAGCGCTTCGCATCGTCGCCAATCGTATTCTTTCTGCCAGTACTCGCAAAGCTCCTGAATGGCTGCGAGTGGGACACCTTGAGACCAATCGTTGACTGTCTCTTTGTCTGGCCAGCGTGTCAAGCGGAGACGCGTTTGTAAGTCATCGAGGGTGGACTCAGCGATGGAGAGTTTGAAAGGGTGGATAGAATGGGATGTCGGCAGTGCCATTGTTTGTTTGGGTATTAATACCTTCACTCTAGATGCGTAGTAAGGCCCTCCAAAACATGAGCACTACGGAGTCAAATATGAGACGAAATCCAAAGTACTGTGATGATATGTAAGTGAATCTCACTTTCTGAGGCAGGCTTGGGGTGTTATAGCGTGTAGCGCTGGCTACCTAGGTAGATGCTCTGCTGATCGTCCCGATTCAAGGTTCTGTCAAATGTTATGCCTTCGACGTCATTTCCGTGGACGATTTATAATCACCCCTTGCACGACTAGGCATCCCGCGCCCTTCGTGACTAGTGCAAGAGTTGTCTACAAACCTTCTTGCTCCTAATCCAGTTTGTATATGACACGAAACTAGAGAGGTCTCCATGATTCATAGCGAAAGACTTTTGAGAGGCTGATTGTCCAGGCTATCCGCGGCGGCGTGTCCGCAATGCCAGTAGAGGCTAGAGTCTCATTTTGACCCTACTATACCGTGTATTAGTAGGTACTAGAGATAGTTACTATAACGTTTATTTACCTATTTAACTATTATCCCTTTAAAACTAACTTTAAATATACTTAATATAAATAGTAGCTTTATAGTATAGGTAATTATTTAGCTTTTTAGTGATTTTTTTATAGTTAAATAGACTTATAAAAGAGAGGGTTATTAAGAGAAGAAGTAATTATAGAGAGAAGAAGTAGTTATAGAGAGAAGAAATAGTTATAGAGAAGCCTTTATACCTTCCCTTATATAAAGAGTAGAGGAGTACTTCTTCCCCTTCCTTTTTTCCTTCCTTTTTTTAATTAAATCCTCTACTTTCCTCCTTTAACTTTAAAAGTTAGTTAAAATCCTATATTTAGAGATTTACTATTAAAAGTAAAGCTATTAAAAGAGAAATATTAATAGAGTTAATAAAATTAAAAAGTTAAAAAGGATTTAATAGAAAGAGGAAGGAAGGGATTCTCTTTTAACTAATTAATATATTTAAATAGAAGACTAACTATAAAGGAATAAAGAGAGAGTTATTTAAAAGAAAGGAGTCTCCTTAATAAGTTTATTTTTACTCTTATAACCTTTTTTTAAGACTATTTTTAACCTTTAAAATAATTTTATAATTTTTAAATAATTATTTAAACTTAATAATATAAATTATTATAATTATTAAATTAAAATAAATATTATAGTAATAATCTTAAAGGGAGAAAAGTAGTATAGTAATTAAGAGGTTATTAGAAAGGTATAGGTATTTATAGTAACTATCTTTAGTACCTATTAATATACGGTAAGGTAGAACCTTCCTGTCTGAAAGTATTTGGACTACGACTGTATTAACTTGTAGATGGGATAATATTCTTGACCTTAGGGATAAGGATGTAGCCCTATTTTTTACCTGCGTTGCAGGGCTTTGCAGAAAGAAAAGTACGGTTTAATCTATAATAATGCCCTGGGCACTGCGGGCTGGTGGCAATTATGCTACAGACGGAGTTCTCCCGTCGTTTTCGAGCTATTCTGTATCACGGCAATGTCAATGAGTTGCCTCCGCGATACTGAATTGCAAAAATACGTAGATATCTACAGTGTCTCTTTCAAACTAATCATCCTTAGAAGTCGAGCTTTTCAGCTGCTCCGAAGCAAAACTACCTACCTAGGTACCTAGGTAGGTAGAACTGTCCAGACCTTTAGTTCTGAGGACCTTGTGTTACATATTGGAAAAGGTGTGTGCCCATACGGGCCAACCTTACCTGGGGTACCTAGGTATACCTGTTCTAAAAGAAGAGTGGCCAGCCACCCTCAAACTGCACACCAGCCTGAAAACGTGTCACAACCTTTAGCCACGTACTTCGAAATGACTCTGAATGGCTAGGGTAGCACCTCATCCATTGAAGCCTTGAAATGTTCTTGGATGCCTTACCAACAGAGTGTGTTATCCGAATGGCTTGTGGCCTCCAAGCCAAATCCTATAAATAGTATAGATTGAATGTTCTTTATTAGCTGATCCAATCACGCGGTTGGGTACACGACCGTTGTTGGACGAAATGGTGATATGAGCCGCAGGTATAACGGATGTACTAGAAAATTGTTGGCATGCTCGGGGCCATCCGATTTAATGCTTAATATTTTATATTACCTAATTATCTATATAGTTTTACTTTTATTCTATATATATTTAAAAATATATATAATACCTTTATATAATAATAAGTATTTAAAATTTAATATTTAAAAAGAATATAATATTAATAATAATAATTATAATATAATAAATATTTATAATTTTAACTTTATAATATATTTATAAAATTAAAAAATATTATTTTAATAATAGTATTAATTATAAATAAAATTAGTTTATAATTTAATTATTATAAAAAGAAATATAATAAAATTAAATTTAAAAATAATTATTATATAAATAAATTACATTAAAAAGTTTAATTAAAATTATTCTTTTAAATATATATATATATATAAACTATTTATATTTTTAATTCTATTATTAAGCTAAAAGTAAATAATTAAGGTTTTAAAAATAAAATATAATATATCTTTTAAAGATTAATTTAATTAAGTTTATTATATAAAACTTTTATAATAACTTTATAATTATTTATAATACTATTTATTATTAGAAGATATCTTTTTATATTAGTGTATTAAGTTATACCTATTTAGGTTAGCACTATTAGCCTATTAAAAGTTAAAGCTATTGTAAATTATAGGTTAGTTTTAACGCCGTTAAGTATTATATATAATATTATTATATAACTTAAGTGAATATAAGTTAGTTAAAATAAGTAAAGATAAAGCTATTATTCCTTTAAGGGTTTTAGCTTTATTTAAGTAAATATCTATTTATTAACTTTACTATATTATAAGTAAAACTATTTAAAAGTAGTTATTTAATTAATTTATTAAATTAAGAGATAACTTTTAAGTAAGGTAATTATACTTTATTATTATATATAATATTTAAGTTTATAGTTTTAATAACTTTTTATAAATAAAAAAGAAATAATTATTAATAATTAAATCTATAATTATATAAAAATAAACCTTTATTTTAAAAAGAAATTATTAATATTTAAAATAATTATTATATTTTTAAAAAGTTAAAGGATTATAAATTTAATTTAAAGTATATTAAAATTTATAAAAGTTTTAAATTTAAGATTAAAGAATATAAAACTTTAATTTTTTAAAGATATTAAAATTAAAAATTTAAAAAAGTTTAAATAAAGTTAAAAATTAAATAAAATTATAATAATATAATATAATTAAATAAAAATTAATTATAAAATTATAATTATAAATCTTTTAATTTTATATTTAAAAGAAATATATATATATATATATATATTAATAAAACTTTTATTAAATAAATTTATAAAATTAATATTATAATTTTTATTTAAATATATAATTATTAATTTTAAAAGAATTTAAAATAAAAATAATTTATAATAAAATATTAAAACTTTTAAAAATAATTTTAAAAGTAATTTATAAAAAAATAAAAAAAAGATATAATAAGTTTATTTTCTTTTAAGTTTATATTTTTATTATTAATAACTATTAACTCTTTAATAGTATAGAAAAATATAATAAAAATAAAAAAAAAGTAAATTTAAAGTTTCTTTTTAAAAAGATTATAAGGATATATATAAAGTTATTAAAGACTTTATATATAAGCTTTAGATTATTAGGAAAGAAATAAGTAGTTATATAGTATAAAGGAAAAATATAGTGTGGCTGAAGCCTTATCTATGTGTCTCCTCTAACTTGGGTGTGATGATTTTCAGGCGACCCTGGAAGTGTGGCAGCACAAAGCATGTATATGTTCCGGCAGGGTAAGACACCTTGCGATCTAGAATCATGAACACGAAAATTTGGAGAAGTGCTCTATATTATTGAGAAACAAAACCGCGCTCTGATTCGACTATCCTGTACGTGCGTGTAACACGATCTTGGTGGGTTCAGCTCGCCGTTCAGTCACTTCATGGGGGGATGTTGACGGTTTTCCGGAGCCTTACTTGGTTTCAATGCTCGTACCTATATAAATTGTAGGCTTCGAGGGCATATCACCTCTGGTGTTCCGGGCCTTTCTGTGTCTGACCTACTGGGGACCATCTCATCCAATCTGCAATCCGTGCTCGACAAACCAATCTTCAGCAAAACCATGTCTGACGGCGTGAACATTACCGGCCTTCCTCTATGGGAGCACATGAACTTTTCCAAGAGCTGTGATGCCTGGGGTGAATGGTATACCACCTTCTTATTGCCCAGTCCATGGAACTCCTCTCATTACCTTGATGGTGATGCAATGACCATTTTCAATCTTTTCATTTCAAGTGTCCCAGATGGGTGGCAGAAGCCAGATGATTGGACAGAGGGCATGTACCACGGATACGTGCTGGATTGGTATGGATTCAATTACAAGTAAGTGAATTATTCCTCATGTGCCAAGGCTCCGTGAGCCAATGTGCACCATGTTGCCATCACGTCGGGGTCAGATCTAACATGTAAACTCCAGCTCCTATCCCAACGGGACTCTCAACTTTACCGATAAGTTCCTTTATAACTTGATATTGGACCCAAGCGAAGTTTGCAAAACACAGTAAGTCGCCCTTAGAAACATAGCCTTTTCACCAGGGAAAGTACCCTGCGGTAGCGGAAGTTCACAACTGAAAGTCGAGCAGGAGATGTATAGCACTTGGATGGACTGGGGATGTGGACCTTATAGGAATCGGTGTACGGCTTACTATGAGTTGATTCTTCTCTTCATCCAGAGACTGTTGCTCACGCCCAGGCAGGTTTTCACATCCTACTTTGTGGAGGCCATCATAATCACCATCCTCTTGCTCACCTACTCGTTTTGGCGCTTCCGGCTGCCGTACCCTTCGTGCAAGAACCCCGAGCCGAATGGGAGACCTTCAGGAGTGCTGCACCGCTTTGTCGTCGGCCTACAAGAGTCGCTTCAGAATTTTCTCGACGCTTCAGAGTTTTTCAGCATCGCCATGCTCGTCGCCGCCCTATATTTGTCTAGCACCGGGTTGAGGGAACGAAAAGAACCTGGTTCTAACAACCAGGTTCCACAAAAGACTGCTCTATACGACATGCTGCTCTCTATGCTCGCATCGACGTTCTCTGTATTTCCGGTCATTATTGCTTACAGTATCAAGCGGCGACATCCCCCGGATTCCGAGAAATACAATCTCCGCCCGGCTTTGCTTAGCATGGCAATCTTGTCGCTCATATGGATCTTATCCGTGGTAGAAGCCTTCATATCCCTATACGGTAACCTTGACTACGACTATGGTGAGGCTGATGCCGTTTATGCAAAGGAATACAACTGCGACTGGAGAGCCTCAATTAACTACTGGGTCGGTATGAGGGCCGCGCAAGCTCTCCTCCTCTTTTGTCCCCTCTTCTTTGTTATTATGACGGGATTCTTGATCACCGGCTTTGGAATATCCGGGGTCGTGCATAAGCCACTAGTCGCACGCTGCCGACGTCTGTGGCGACTTGTTATTGCTTGGGTCAATCTCCTGGCCATGTGGGGTGTCCTGGGATTTTTCACGTGGGTAAGACACAAGATTGATCTTACAGTTGGACATCTTAACGAATCGAATGAGTGAGTCTCGTTTCCCGTCTCCCTTCCCGCATCACTTCCCTTCTCGGTGACCTTGCCACCGTGCAAGAGATCCTTTAGACTTCAATCTAGTGTGATTTTCACTTCTGACAGCAGACAAGGTGGCGCTTCGGCCAGTGGCTAGCTTTATTTGCCTGGATTCCTTTCGTCTTACACGTTCTCCATAAGTGGATAAGTAAGTGCGCCGTCCAGTGGTACTAAATGCTGTACTATCAGTTCTTGTTGCTTACGTCTTACGGCTAGGTGGTACGGACTTGGGATATGAGCGACCCAAGACCACAGGCGAGTCGCAAGAGAGGTCTGATAGAGCCAGTATATACAGGCAGACTCCAAATACGCCACTTATGAATCTCGAGGGTTACTCGGCGGTCCCGGATCAGAGCAAGGTTATGCGCATGGAAAACGTCTCGACTGACACGACCCTACCATTAAACACCGAGTACGTAAGCCCTCTGGTGGGGAATGCGAACAGCATGCCGGATCCAGTTGAAGAGTGGCAGAAAACCGGATGGTAAGAAGGCGAGTTGACCATGGTCGCGGTACGAGGCTCAGCCACGTGCCCACGTACTGTATTCTCTTTCCACTATTATTGGCACTGTATTTCTTCAAATGCTGGGTCTTGAGCGTTTACCACTGTATGAAGGCGCCACGTACATTTTACATGTATGGGGATTAAAAACGAAACCACTTGACCATGGTCATGCGGGATGGGTGAGACAACCATGGGAAATTACGAGGTTGAACTTGTTTTGCTAGATTTCTTACATCTCTTCGAACTAATACCTACATTGAGATGTGCATCGGAAGAACCCTGAATGGACATGGAGGACACGTAGTCACGGTATGATTGGATGTCTGAACTTTGGAGGACTCGACAATGCCAGTGAATCCTAGACTACGGGTAGAAAGCGCTGGCGTCGAAGCCTGTTGCGCGCAGCAAGAAAACTGCGATATGCCTCTCGGCTTACTAGACTTCTTTGCTTTCTGTTACTTCCTAATTGAACCCTGTGTCAACCAACATATCTCTCACGGTGGTCTACTGATTGGTTACTTATGTACTAGGAAGCTTTATACCTTGGTAGTTGGAATGATGCAATTGGATACCGCGCAGACCCGGCCACTGACCCTTTCAAATTTCCATACAATTGATGAGCATTAATCCATCAATCTGACATATTCACCTAGGTATTTCTCAAGGAGCGTCCTTCGCAGCCTTGGAATGGCGGCGAGCACGATATCTGGAGTCCCGAGTGCAGTGATTTAAAGTAGATTTCCCACGCTCCGCCTAAAGAGCTGGTGCTGGAATTCTGCCTATGCCAGTGTTCTCTCGACACATGTGGTGAGGAAAGTTGTGGCTGCTCGAGTGCCCAGTTGGCCGACGACTGGATATGTGGTTTCGCTTCTATTCCATATATATCTAAGAATATATATAGTACCTTTATATAGTAGTAAGTACTTAAGACTTAATATTTAGAAAGAATATAATATTAATAATAATAATAATTATAATATAATAAATATTTATAACTTTAACTTTATAATATATAAGTAAAGTTAAAAGGTATTATTTTAATAATAATATTAATTAAAATATTATAAAAAGTTATATAATAAAATTAAATTTAAAAATAATTATTATATAAATAAATTATATTAAAGGAAAACTTAATTAAAATTATCTTTTAAATATATATATATATATATATATATATATACTTTATAATAAAACTTTTATTAAATAAAAATTATAATTATTATTTAAATATATAATTAATTTTAAAAACTTAAAATAAAGAAATAATTTATAATATATTATTTTTAAAACTTTTATAATTAAATATTAAAGTTTTTTTAAAAAAAATTAAAAGTAATTTATAAAAAAATATAATAAAAATAAAGAAAAAATAAATTTAAAGTTCCTCTATAAAAAGATTATAAGGATATATATAAAGCTATTAAAAACTTTATATATAAGCTTTAGACTATTAGGGAAGAAATGAATAGCTAAACTAAAAGATAGTTATATAGTATAAAGGAAAAATATAGTATGGCCGAAGCCGACGACTGGATATACTGCAAGGATCAGGCGGCTCGGGGAGATAGATGTAATTTTGAAACCGGCTGTCAAGTCCTGACTAGGAAAGCTTCAATCTGGGGCTGGAGTGGAACAGCTCGTTGGTGTTCGGGCCTGCATTGGCCATGGGGTGGCTGGCTCTTGTGGGATGCGAAATGAGACAATGAGACAGAATCTCGTAAGGTCAGCAGCCATCAATGATCGCGCACTGCCACTGCAAGCTCATAGGCCTTACGCAACACCGACTTTGTTGGTGCGACCGACGACTCACTCAATTACGAGGCACCACTTGTAGGGGGAGGGTGGTCTAGCTATTCTCAACATTTGAAGTGCTACGATGGAAGGCCGACGCTCTTCTTAGCCTGTTCGGACTGGACCCACTTTCAGGGAGTTGGATACGATCTGGTGGAGGACCCCATATCCCCTTCTCATCTGATCATCGGCGCTCGCATTGGACCCACAGTCTTTAGGGGTCCAGATCGACTGCCAATCGCTTAGGACCCCCTTTCCCTGAAGAGTTGAAACAAATGAGGACGGTTGCCGCTGGCTCAAGCTCGTTTTCGGTAGATCCGACAGGGTCGCTTGGAGTGCATTAGTAGTGAGAAACGCAGCCAGGACCCTGAATATAGATCGCCCGCCGCAAATCTGGGGTTCCACCAATGTGTGACTTGTTACAACCAAACTGGCAGAGAGTCAAGAGTCAGGAGAATTGAAACCAGCTACTCGCCGATCACCCTGCCTTAAAGAACAATCCGGGCAGCACATTCCCGTCTGAACCACCTATCCAGCCTGTCAACCACCAGCTCTCGTCAAATTTCAGACCACAATACCCACCACACAAAATCACACACATACACACATACACAATGAAGCTATCATCAATCACATCTGGCCTCCTGGGCCTGCTCTCAACCCAGGAGCCAAGCAGCGCCGGAACACAGCACAGACAAGGCAGCTCCCCCTCCGTCTACATACTCCAGACCACACCACAAGCCACGAGGGCCTCGGCACAAGCCCTCCGCGCCCTGGGCTACAGGAAAGCGTGCACCACAGGGTCCGAGGCGCAGTGCAGCCAGGCCGGGCCCACCTACACGGAACTCAGCACGGGCGAGGACGCCCTCGACGCCTTCAGGCCCGACGGCGACTCCAAGTTCATCATCCCGTGGGACCTCCGGGCGCAGCGCGAGGGCCAGGTCCACGGCCACCACATGCACCACAAGAGGAGCTCTTCCTCCTCCTCATCATCAGGCCGCGTGCACACGTCTGCCAACGACACCGCCTCGGGCATAGAGTCGGTGCAGGCCTTCTACACCAGGGCCAAGGACTCGGACCGGCTGCTGGAGCTGGACGTGTACGCGTCCGGTCAGGGGGTGGAGCAGGATAAGTGGATAGACCTGTGTTCGTTCCTGGGGCTGGGGTACAGCATGGTCGAGAGGCAGAAGCTGTGGTATTTTCCGAAATAGGCTTTTCTTCTTTTGCATAGTTAGCGGCGCTTTGGATGTCTTTGGCTTTTTGTTTGCACCTAGCGATGCTTGATTTTTTTTTGAATTCGGTTGCTTATAATCCCATCGTTGTGGAATCGTTGTGGATCAATTGCCTCTCGGCCCACATGCACTGCATGATAACGTTAGAATACCACAGCTCGTCAGGCTTGTCCGGTGGCTACTATTATTGTACAGTGATGCATTCCCTCGTTGCAACGTGTAAAGCTTCTTGGCTATCTTTAAAATCCCATACCCCAAGATGGGTCTGGTCGTATATAAGCCTCATTTTCGAATAGTCACTGTTCATTGCCAATGCTTCAGCAGATAAGAGTGGATTGCTACAGGTGTGTTGAAATGCCGCATATAATATTGCGGAGTCTGGTAAAAGAAGATGACAGCCAAGTGATCGCACTGAGACCAATCCAGAATCACCGTTTGTAAGTCTGATTCCCGTCACACTACACGTCCTCTGCCTACAATTACTACACATGCTTGTCGGACTTGGCGAGGCCCCCTACGAATATAAGTAGTGATTAGTTTCAAAGGTTTACCACTATATGAAGGAGCCACACATGTTTTATATGTATGGATGCGGATTAGAATCGAAACCACACGCATAACAGAGCAATACGATGCCTTCTAAAATCATGAAGGCTTCCCAATGGGGAACAACATTCTACCATGTGCCCAGAGAAACGCCCTCTCACGCCACAGAAAACTGCAATCTAGTATTAGGGGTCCCGACGGTGACCCCCCACCGCCCCATCCACTCCTTTCTCGACCTCACAGACACATTGACTGGCACCGTCGGCTGCGACACGGCCGAGTAGTTGAACATCTCCCCGAACTCCGGCCACGCCTGGTCCGCAGCCCCCTCGCCGCCGGCCGGCGAGATGTCGAGCTTGAGGATCATCAGGGCGACGAGGACCAGCACGCCCGTGCTGGCGTAGAAGCGCGCGGGGCAGACATGGGGGGCCACGCCCCAGACGGGGAAGGCCATGGACGGGAGCTGGTTGGGGGTCAGGACGGAGCCGCTCGGGTCGTCCTTCTTGATGAACCTGCGGGGGTCGAAATTGTCTGCGTTCTCACCCCTGGTTCCAGATTTACTGTTAGAATTGTGTTTTTTTTTTCTTTTCCCGCGGCGAGACTGGAGGGAGCACGGATCAGGGGAAGGAAGGACCTCACCATAACTCCTTGCTGAGCAGGACAGGCGGGCCATGAAGCTGTACATAGTTCCCCTTCTTGAGCATATAATCCCTGCCTGCCGCGCTGATCTTCGTGTCACTGATCACCTCACGGATGTTGGCGTGCCACATCTTCAGGCGCTGTGTCTCCTGTAGCACCGAGACCAGGAGCGGACACGAGGTGCGCAGGACCGACAGGTCGAGAGTGAAATCCGCGTCTCCATCCCCGCCTCTGATAATCGCAGTTTCTGCCTCTTTTCTCGCGGCCGCGAGCAGTTCGGGCCGGGAAATGACGTTCCAGACGGTCCAGAAGGCGATGCCGGTGTAATTGCTGAGGAGCGCGACGTCGAAGCCGGTGTTGATGGCGACCGCTTCCATCGGGGGTGCGCCGCTGTCGATGAGGATGCGGGTCCTCTCCTTGACGAAGTCTGACGCGTGTTCGACACCGCCGGCGCGGTAGTAGGCCCCATATCGTGCGCAGTTGTCCTTGCGGGCCTTGTGGGCCTTGGGCGCGAAGAGCCAGGCCAGGTTAGCAGTGATCAGTGCAATCTTGTCGTTGAATGTCCTACGTGGAGGGTTAGCACGTGATTGCATGTACTGATGTGGTTGCGAAGCATACCAGAAATCCTTCTTGTGCTGCGGGTCCTTGTACGGGTTCTGGGGTCCGTAGAAGCCAGTCGTGGCTGACATGGTGATGACCTCCTGGACCCAGCCGTACAGCTCAACGGCCACCGGGTTCTCTGAAGACTCCAGGACGAGCTCGTCGACCAATCTGAGCTTCTCCTGAGAACTGACCCGGTTGATGCGGTCCAGCGAGGGTCCGTTCGCAAGAGTCGACGCTTCGGCATGGTGGAACAGACGGGCCAAGGTGCGAGTATCCTCGTCCTCGGACAAGGTGTCGGCTGCTCTGGCAGTCTTGTCCGAGACACCACTCAGGATCTTTGTGACTTGTCTGGCAAATGGTGTGAAGGATACGGTCTTGGCATTCCGCTGGACAGCTGAGAAGATCTGCCGGTCTGCGACGATGTACAATTTGAATGAGAAGATTGGCAGTGAGAAGATGGCCAGGTGGGGGAATTTGGCCCTGGGAGACGTCAGTCAAGCTCGGATGGCATGCGGCTGGGGCCTCATACTCTACATGACTGAAGTAAGGCGTTCCATTCTTTAGATAGTTAAGAAAGTGGCCGATCAGTGGTACACTTGGTTGGATATAAGCCGGCTCCTGAGGGTCGCGTTGGGAGAAGATGAAGCCCTGGAGCAAGTAGCTGCCGGCCACAAGTGCCAGCACAGTCCCAAGTATCACTGACCACCCCATCTCAACGACTGCGAGTGGGGGATGACAGCAGGTGCAGGCCTCTGGGTGTTCGAGAGAGAGGGACGGTTGATGCGAAGAGTTTCAGGCGTCGACGGTCATTTACTAGCGGTAAGCACTTGATCTGAAATCAAGCTCAAGCTGCGCGTCTACGGCCTGGCTGGGAAGGCACGGGCAAAGGCAGAGGCAGGATGATGAATGCATTGGCTGAGCCATGTTGACCGAGCCTACGCCTAGCTCCCGTGTCGACCAGCTCCTGTGGGATCGATCATCTCCACGGTGGGCTGCCAGAAGCTTTGGCACATGCCTCCGGTAAGCCGACCAGGAAAGAAGCCGACAGGGTGTAGATAAATCTGCGAAACCTAATATAGGGCAGAAGGCATGTTCGCTGAATGGTAGGATTTTGGATAGTGGAGTAGGTCTACTCGCCCATCGCTGTCAATGGTTGGTTACACAAGATATTGTAGACCTGCAGTGTGCATAAACTGACAGAACATGCCTGCCCTATGGCTATTTTGGTGCTCCAGTCCCCAGGTCCCTAGATCGTTTGGGTTTCACTGCACCCCGTGGTATAGCATCATGAGAGAATCTAGCCAGGACGTCATAAAGCCAATGGGATCATGGACAAACTTTATAATGCAAATCAGACGAGGTTGTTCTTTGCTTCTCGGGGCCGTTGAATGGCCCGGCTTGTCAGCGGGGCCATTTTACGAGACCACCCATGTCTCAGCCGGTTGTATTTGCACACAGTCCTGGTAGTCCTGCGTAGGCGGCAAGGCGGGCAGCGGGGGATGCTCTGAGATTGAGTGAGCCCCAGTACCCACTCCCCCGGGTCTGTCAGTGCATGACGACTCTCCTCCCACTCCAAAACATTCGTTCCAGCCGTTGTGTCTCAATCGTTCTCGAACCTCAAGCCCCCATCGGCCAGCTGGGACTCGCCTTGTGTCCCTTTCCTTTTCTTCCGAAGCTATTGATCCGTTTTTACCACAGAGCGCCACCCGTTTTGACAGCACCGGCAGACCGACAAGTCCTCCCCCTCGTCGCAAACATGTCGAACCCGAACGCCCTGTTCCTGCTCGCCGACCACATCAAGCTCTCGCTGCTCGAGCGGAAACGGGCCCAGGCCCTGAACCTGCAGAGCGACTCCCAGGACGGCCACCTCTCGCGGTCGCTGGACCAGTTCCGCGATGGGCTGGAGGCCTTGCAGACCGAGCAGCAGCGCCTGCACGAGGCCGGAGATGATGCGTACGCAGGCACCCAACCAAGCCACCCACGCCTCCAAGACCGAGACCAATGCTCACTGACGAACTTATATAGCAAGGCCGCCACCATCGCAGACTCCCTCCCGGGCCTCCAGAAGCAATTCGACGACCTGACCTCCCAGTTCCACGGCTTCTCCGCCCCGAGCAGCAACTCGACCCTCACACAGCCAAACGACCCGGCCCTCGCCGCAGACTTCGCCCACGCGAGCAACACCTCCACCAGCCCGCCCCTGGCCTCCTCGTCGAGCCGCCAGGCCCCAGCAAAGAAGTCCCTGCGCAGCAGCAGCGGCACCTCGACGCCGACGGGAGGCAGCAGCAAGACGGTGCGCTTCCAAGACAACAGCAACAGCAACGCCTCCGCCTCCGCCTCCAACTCGGCAGACGACGACGCCGCCGCCGCCCGCCTCTTCAACCAGCCGTACCGCGACGACCCGGACGGGCCCGAGGGCTACCGCGACACGGCCGAGGGCCTCGCCGACAACGTCCAGGTGCACGCGTACCACAGCCGCATCCTGCGCGAGCAGGACGACCAGCTCGACCGGCTGGGCGAGTCCATCAGCCGCCAGCGCGAGCTGAGCATGCAGATCGGCGACGAGCTCGACGACCAGGTCGCCATGCTCGAGGACCAGGAGGCCCTCGTCGACCGCCACGCCTCGCGCCTCGACCGCGCCCGCAGGCAGGTCGGCAGGATCGCCCGCTCCGCCGGCGAGAGCAAGCAGATGATCGCCATCATCGTGCTGATTGTCATCCTGGTGCTGCTTATTGCTGTGCTGAAGTGAGAGGGCCGGTGTGGGTGGGGGATAAGGTGGAGGGGGGGCTGAAGTGGTTGCCCCGTTCTGGTTGAGCACTGGTGATGGGATCAGGGAGTCTCGGTAGAAGGGCATACCGTAGATCTCGGTACGGACTCAAGATTCTAGGGGCTGGACGGAAGGTGTGCCATTACATCTCGTCCGCTCGCAAGTCTTTCTCTAGCGTTTGCTGCATTGTGTTGGTGTTGGGGAGTTTGGGAGCACCAGATCATTGGTGCTCGGATATAAGGGCAGGAACATTTGTTATCTTTTACTGGTTTCCATATTTATTGACCTCCAAAACATCTAAGGTACTCTCGAGGAACGCGTCCTTTCAGGCCCCTGCATTGGGCCGGATGACCCAAGTAGCCAGGCCGAATACTTATTTCAAAATACGAAGATGCCTCTTTGCTGCTGAATGATTTTGGGTGCTCAACGCCTCGAAATGATCCCACCAGGACGCCTACCAGGTATAAATCCCCAGCCCTGTCACAGCCGGGAGTCCACTCAGAAACCTCCAAACAAAACATGGTGCTTAGAGCACACACACTCTCGACACCATCAACTATGCGCGGTGCTTCCTGAACCCATTACCCTTCTGCTGCGGCTGGCTCCCGTACGGCCGCCGGCCCTGCACCTTCTTGTCCTTGGGCATGCTGGCCCCGAGCCGGATGTCGACACGCGGGGGGGTCGCGAACCCGAAGCTCTTGGCCACCTTGACCAGGTCCAGCTTGTTGACGTCGAAGACGCTGCGCAGCGAGTGGCTGGCGTAGGCGTGCAGGTAGCTGCGGTACCCGTCCTTTGCGCTCTGGTTCAGGTAGTAGTTCTTGCCGATGAGTTTCTCGAGCTGCGACTGGATGTTGCTGATCTTGCTGGACGGGAACTCGAACTCGACCACGGGGACACGCGCCGCCTTGAGGTGTGACAGGAACCCGACCTCGCTGGGCTGCAGGAACATGAGCGACCGGCCCTTGGTGTTGGTCCCTCGCGCCGTCCGGCCCACGCGGTGGATGTAGTCGCGGGGGTCATCTGGGGGGTCGAACTGCACAATCCAGTCCACTGCGGGGATCTATGAGGGTCATCATTAGCGGATGTATCTAGGGTTCTTGGAGGGAAGTCGGACACGTACATCGAGACCACGAGCAGCAACGTCCGTGCAGATCAGTGTTCCCTGTGTGGCATTGCAGAATTCGAAGAAAGTGTTGGTCCGGGCTTGCTGCTTCATCTTGCCGTGCAGGTGGAGGACGGGGAGGTCGATGAAGTTCAGGAGCTCGGCGAAGTATTTGACGGAGTTGCAGCTGGAGAAGAAGACAATGATCTTCTTCTTGGACATCTTCTTCAGGAAACTGAACAGGAGCAGGAATCGCTTGTCGGCGTCCACGATGCAGTAGCCCTGCTCCACGCCCTCGACGGTCGAATATTGCTTCTCCTCGTCCACGTTGATATACAGAGGTCCCGGCCGCAAGGATATCCTCGCCAGGTCCTCAACCTTTGTGGTTTGCGTCGCAGAGAACAGCATCGTCTGCCTGTCCTCCTTGGGCAGGATCTTGATGATCTGCCTCATCTCGTCCTCGAAACCAATCTCCAGGATCCGGTCCGCCTCGTCGATGATCAGCGACCGCAGGTTCTTGAACACAAACGGGGTATTTTGCAAGTGATCCAACAGCCGCCCGGGGGTCGCGATGATGAGGTTGACTCCCTTGCCCAGCTTGTCGGCCTCAGCCCGCCTGTTCGCGCCGCCGATGACGATACCGTAGGTCTGGCTGTGGTGCTTCAACAGGTCCCGCGCAACCGAGAAGATCTGCAGCGCCAGCTCCCTGGTCGGGGACACGACAATGACGCCGGTGCCGTTACGCGGCTTGAACTTGAGCGAACTCAGCATCTCAATGGCCGGGATCAGGAAGGCGAGCGTCTTGCCACTGCCCGTCTTGGCCGCGCCGAGGACGTCCTTGCCCGCCAGCAGCGGTGGCACCGCTCGCTTCTGGATCTCCGTCATCTTTGTGAACCCCATCTCGTTTATGGCCTTGATCGTCTTCTCGGAGAGATTCAGCTGCTGGAACTCCTGGAATTCGGTACCCGCCTCCTGGGGCAGTGATAGGTGACTTTGCGACGGCAGCTCGGCGCTCGCAGCTTGCTCCTCCTGGGGCTCTTCGGTCTCTGGTGACTCGTCGGCTTCGCTCTCGCTGGCGACTTCATCCTGTTCAGCCTCGTTGGAGGATGATTGCTCCTCCTCCACCTCCTCGACCTCGGGTTCCGGCTCCACCACCTTGCTCTTCTTGGACTTCTTGGACTTCCGCTCGTCGGATGCAGCCTTGGGCGCGCTGCTGTCCTTCAGCTTTCTCTTTTTTGAGGTTTCTGACGCCATTTTAGGATATCAGAGTTCCGTAGGTGCGGCTGATGCTTTGTCGAAGAACGGCTGTAATCAGGAAGGGCAGGCGCTTCGTGGAAAAGTGAGAGGGATGAGGATCGGGGTTATGGCTGCATGCGACTTTCGAAGGCTGGAACTTTTTTTCTGCCGTCGTTCCCACTTCGATAAGGAAGCGATAGAGATTTTATGGGGCAAGCTGCTTTATTAGTGGTCAGGGTTTGCGGACCGCCCCAACCCTTGCCGCGAAGGGGGGGGGGTTAGACCAAGCGCAAACCCTCCGTGTAGTACGGAAGTAAGAGATGTAAAAGTCACTTGTGTAATGCTTGCAATCATCAATCGACTCACGAAGCATCAGTCAAATCAATAGTCAGAGGACTCATATGTAGTGCAGGATATTTTTTCCAGCGTTCCATGTCAAATCAAGCTCATAGCCCTATTGTGCAACAAAACATTGCCATTGTCAAGTGAAGCCTTTTGTTAGATAGATACACCCAACTTGCGGCACACTGTCATTGGAAGCATGCGTAAGTAGGTACGTAGGTAAGTATGTATGAAGCTGTCATTGCTCCTGTTCATCCTGGTCGCTGATCGTGTCCAGCGCCATTCCACTATATGTATGAGGCCAATAGCCATATCCTATGTCAAGCAAGTTCTATGAAAAGCCCCCGCGCCTATCCATTTTGGTAATGATATGTTTACTTCCAGCCGGCCGGCGTAACGAGACTCCTTTCCCACAAGTTGATGATGCAAAGAAAGATGCAAAGCCCAATGACCTCGAATTTCAATCAACGAACGAAAACGGGCATGCCCTGTGTATCGGTTTCAATGCATGGCGGAAGGAACCGGCTCCTCGTGCTTGGCCGTGCTACCCTTTCCTCTCCATGTGCTGACTGCAGCGATCTTCGCGTCCCACCTCTGCTCATCCGTCCCATACGCGCGGGGCGTGAGCTTAATGAGCGTGTGCAGCGGCACGTGCATCCACGGGCTCTTCTCCTGGTCCCTCTTCATAAAATAGGCGTATATGCAGCGGAGCACTGCCTGGTGCGTGACAATCAGGATGTCCTCGGACCGCTCTAGCTCCATGATGATGGGCTCCAGCCGGATGACCACGTCCCGATATGACTCGCCGCCACGGTAGCGGTAGTTGTACTTGTCCTCGTCGCGGGCCTCAAAGTCCTCGGGGTACTGGTCCTTGATCTCCTGGTACGTCATTCCGTCGCATACACCCGCGTCCAGCTCGTCCAGGGCCTTCCATTGGAGCTGGTTGTAGTGCTTAGGCAGATGGCGCGCTGTTGCGATGGTCCGCCTCAGGGTCGATGTCCAGACTGTGAGTGGGCGGTCGTCCTGGTGAAGGGGGTCAGCACAACATAGGGAGGCGGTGCGGGATTGGTCTTGACTTACACCCACTGACGCGCGGACCAGCTCGGGAAGCTTGCGCGCATATTGTTCCCCGCGTGGGGAGAGTAGTGCGTCTCCTCCAATCCTGCCGTCAAGATTGTACTCGGATTCGCCATGCTACAACAGTGTCAGCCATGCCAAGACGACAGCCCCTCAGCTGGGCGCCCAGTGGACGGACATACTCGTGATAGCCAGACGGACCTCGGCCGAATGTGGAGGTTCATCAGGTAGTAGACGACGCGACTCTGCAGGTAGTCCTGGATCCGGTTGATAATGACCTGCTTGCCAACGTCCAGGATTTTCAAATATGTGAGGTGGTCCTCGTCCTCATCCTCGTTGATTGATTTATAGACCTTCTCGTAGTTCCGAATGCGACTCCTGAAATCGATGGCCGCTTGCTCTGGGTCTTGGCCCTTGTAGTCGGGGCTGGTTGTCTTGACGTCTCTTATGTTTGCCATGATCAACTCCTCGTCGTCGCACTTGGACTCGACGTATATGACCTCGATTCCGGCGTTGGTACAGATCTCCAGGATCCACTTGCGGCGCTCCTTGGTGGAATTGGTGGCGTCCAAAATGGCGACCGTTCCTTTTGTCTCGCGGAACCACTTCAGCATGTCCGCGACCGCAGCCTCAGCAGCAGCTTTTCTCTGGCGCTCGCCCTCGGAGTTCCCTATGTCGAAGAAGTCGGCAGTGGGTTGTGCGGCAGCCTTGCGGCGGTAGTTGCCGACGTTGAAAGTCTGCGACGGTACTGACAGCCATTGGAGGTACCTCTGGGCTGCACATGCAACTGGCGTTAGATTACTCTCATAATACTCTGAAGGGGCGTTCGGGGAGGTGGGAGGTGGTGCACCTAAAGTTGATAAAAACCATAAAGCGTCAATGACCGAGATTGTAGTGGTGGACGGTGTAGGGGTTTGGGGAGGCAGAGGTTCAGGACGGGGGCAAGCAAACAATGTATGTACCCTTTTGTGCGATGTAGCTCTTGCCGCGGGCCGGCAAGCCAACCATTACCACGCAGATGCGTGTGTCCTCCACCTGAACGCCTCTCCCGTTAGCTTTGGCTGGAGCCATGATCGGCCGTATGATTGAGCAGCAAGTTGTGAGGTTGTCTGCCGTAAGAGCATGGAGTTCTGCCAGAAAGTCGAAGGAGGATCAATTGAGGATTTGAGCCGGGAAGCAGTCGGGATTCTTAGGAAGGAAGTGATCGCGTGAGGTAGAGACGTCGGCTAGGCTAAGAGCACGAGTTGGAGTAATGCAAGACCCCAGGCCGGAAGATGATGCAGGCGGCCAGAAAGGTGTGGTGGGGGGGGGGGGGGGAGGGAAGCCTCTTGGCCTCGAGATGTCGACTGCAGGGGTGGAGTGATGATTTGGTAACTCTGGGGTAAACTTTGACAGGTCGCACGAGCGTTGCTTGATTCGAGGGCGGTTGAAGGGAATGTGCGCAGTGGAGAGGAGGGATGGATTGCTTTGGGTTCCGGTAGGAACAGACGTGGTGACGAAATGCAATGTCAAAAAGAAGTAGGGGGGGCTAGGACGAGAGGGTATATAGCATGCAAGTGGAGTGGAGGAAGCAAACAAAGAAGAAGCTTGTGATCTGGGAGCGAGGCTTGTGATTGCGCGTGTGCTGTGTAAGTAATGAACAAGCGTGTCTCTGTCTCTTCCCCCTGAATCTCCTAGTCTGATGCTGCCGCGGTCCATAGAGAAGGCAGGACGCAGCCCAACATGGAGCTTGCCATCGCCATGTACCTTGGAAGTAGACGGGCGGGCGGTCCCACCTTGACGCAAGGTGAGGCCGATGCATCTTCTTCCGGAGGGCCAAGTGGGTTGCAATCGGGATTCTCAGGGCCAGAAGGGCCAGGCGGGCCAGCTGTGGCCTGGCAGGGCCAGCTATGGCCGAGGATGCAGCAAACTGGGCCGCCTGGGCCCTGGGCCTGCACCCGTGCTGTGCGCAGGTGTAGGAGACGACCCCTGATCCCATCCTCCACAAGCCGGTTCACCCCGCAAAAAAGGCACTTGCTATCCGCGCCCAGGATGGAGAACTTCCGCCCAGCCGCTGTTCCTTGGCCCCTTCTGGAATTTCTTTGAGCCCGCCGCCCGCCCACTCGAGCTGCCCCTCCGAGGCCCGACTGACTCTTGCCGGCAGGGGTTGCCATGCCTGATCATGCCCGTCTATTCCTCGCTCATTCTTCTCCCGACAGCTCGGACACTCCGACCCAGCAGCCAGGACGGAAGCTCTGCTGTCAAGCTAAACTCTCTTTGCGTCATCGAGAAGAGACAACAGGCAGACAGGGAGAGTGAGATAGAAAAAAAAAAAAAAAAAAAAGAGACAAAAAAGAGAAAAGGCGACTATAGGGACGAATATAGCAGCGCCCTTGGTGGCACAGGGGCAGGGACAAGGCCGACCCGACCCGACCGAAACTGCAGCCAGGTGTGCCAGGCCCCGTACCTGCGCGGTACAAGGCATCATGCAGGCTGAGGCGTCGATGATCGATCCCTCAGTGATCAAGCCTGTCAAGGCCGTTCCCACACATGGCCAGAGCCGGCGTTGTCGTGTCGCGTATAACACGTCAGGCACGAGTCCCCCCGGTTTTGACTCCGGAGCCCCATGCCACTCCACGCCAGCGACTGATCAGCAGCCCTTATAATCGTATGTTTCTCCTCATTCCTCACTCGAGCCCTTTCCTCTTTTCTCCCTCGATGCTCGCGCCCTCGCTCTTCCCCAGACTGAGGCGCCCGCCCGACTAATGCCCCCCGCGTCACGGTGGCCTGAGGTTCCCCATCCCCCGCCAAGAGGGTTTGCCGACGGGCGGGCATTTCCCCTTCCGTGCCCCATGCTGTGCTGTCCCCGTACTTTCGGCTTGCTGACTTTGTTTTACAGGCCACTGGGCTCCTTTCCAGCAGCAAGTGTCACGACGGACAGGCTCACCCCGAGCCAAACGGCCGCCCCGGACGGAGGATCACGCGCACAGATCAGGCTATGACGCTTGCTCATCCAAGGCTGTTGTTGCAGGGACCAATGCCTTTTTTTTCCGTGTCTGCAATAGCCACTATGGCCGTCGTCCGCTGCCTGTCGAGGGGACGATAGGAATGATCAAGGGCCCTCTGTCTCGGCAACACCCGGCGATGCTGTCTGTGTCTGTCTGCTCATGGGCGTGCAGGCTGCCGACGTTGTGCCGACAGGGCAGAGCATGCAGCTTCGCCCTGGCTGATGGCATTCTGTGCATCGTATTGTATCATCTGGGTGTCAAGGTATGGGTGACTGCCGCCCGTGTCTGACCCCAGGGGAGGCAATACGAAGAAGTCATCCTGCCCATAATCTGAGATCTACCCACTGGGTCCCGGACCCCTGAACGCGGCTACTCACCGCTGGGTGGACTCCCGACTTGCCACCCCTATGCAATGACGACACGGGGATAAAACTCGGAAAACAACGGGGCGCAAATGCCGAGCGACTTTGCAGCAGCCACGAGGCATCGTTCCCCGTTCCCCTTGGAAACCCTCTTCGGAACAGCTGCGACCGCCTGGGCCTGCGATGCCCGAGATGCCCAAAGTTGTGCAGCGCGGTGCAGCACAGTGCAGGGCAATGAAAAGAAAAAGTGGCACAGAAGTGAGAGGAAGAAAGTTCTTTCACACACCTTGCCAAAAGACCAGGTATTGGCTCTGGCACGACCCGCCGGTGGCGTTGGCGGACCTGGCGAGATGTGCCTCATCGTGAGCGCTTCGTTACGTTGGTCGGGGGGAGGATCGGTCGCTGGCCAGTGTCAGCAGAATGCGCTTGCTTAGTGAGAAGGGCTGGCCGCTGGCGGGGCTCTGTCCCTGCTCCCAGCTCCACAGAGCAGGCTGTCGGGCTGTCGAACCAAAACTGACCTTCGATATGGGCGGACGATATGCTACTAGCCCAATGCTTGAAAAGAAAATAGGAAGGAGTCGGGTTCGGCACGCGAAACAAAATTGCTCACAACAGAGGTCCGAAACAGCAGGCAAGCAAGGGGTCCAAGGGTGGGCGGCCCAGGCGGTGTCGGCGGAGTCCTGATTGCGCGAGGAAGGTTGCGTGGAATCAAAAGATTTCCAAGGGTTGCAATGCCGAGTGGCGACGGGCTGGAAACTGGCCCTGTCGGGCCCTGCCCTACCACGCCTCGGGCCCTGGGTTGCAGCCCAGCACCTAATAATAAAAGCCACCTCGAGAGATCTGATCTCATCCCGGCTGATTCAGATGAAGGCCGGTCTCTGGCCGCTCGCTTCCCGCGACAGTGCGACTCCAAAAACTTGGGCGCTAGCGATAAGTCGCGATAAGTCGCGATAAGCTCACCGGCGATAAGCACTGCATTAAATTTCTAGGTCGATCTGCGTGTTGACATCACATACATGCGCATACGCACGAAAGAGGCGATCAAAGTACAACTATAGTGGAACGCATACAGACTGTGTCTGAGCAGGCTGGCCTGTCCGTACAATGTGAAACTGTGGCACAGAACCGGCGAATGACTCGATCAAATGCGCTCTGTGCCTTCTCGTAAGCTCGAGCTCTCGAGCTGTCTCTCGTCACCCAACGGACACTCAGCTCCCCAACTTCAGAAATGACTAAGTACGTACATACGTCAGCGGCTTGCATACAAGATGTCCCACAATGGTGTTACATGAGTGAGATACGAACGTGCCACTTGAGGATCGTGGCAGTGGGCAACCTCCCGCATATGCAGCTTGCCAGCTGCAGCACACGGTTTCTCAACGACGCCCAGGTTGTTTTAGAGGCCTGGGTTCCATATGCGCATTACCTAATGCACAGGGGGTACACTCGATCAGAGATCATGTAGTCCATACCGTCTATATCTCTTCTGATCCACCAAGAGACCTTGCAGTCATCGCAGATCCGACAGTGAAACAAAAGCATTGACGTTACAGACCATAGGAGTTCGTCCAAAACGATTCATGATCTCTCAAAACTGGTAAGTGGCAGCAATTGAGGACCTAGAGCTAGAGTCAGGTATAAGAGGAGTTCAAAATTATTATCCTCCCTAAACACAGCATTCAGGGAGAACTTCAATACCAGAGACCTATGGCGAAGTACATCCTCTGTTTTGCGCCACTGTGATACAAGACACGAGCAACGAGATCGTCCCCATTCCTCTTCCGAACCGGGGAATGACGGCATTAACTGAGAACCACCAGTGAGTAAGAGGTCACGACGTCTACTTGAAAGTTCGGGTCGCATTTGGCCCTAACGCCCAATTTAATTCTAAAAACCCCAAGGTGACACCCATAGAATCAGAGGCTACACCTATCAAGGCTAACTATCTACCTAGGTAAATAGTAAGTTAAGATAGGATACCTTAGAAATTTTAGTAAATGCTTTATTACTAAAAATAAATGATGGGTATCTTATAAGAGGTTATCCTGTAGGAAGTTATCCTGTAGGAACTTGTTCTGTCCGAGGTTGTCCTGTAGGTGACTGTCTTATAGGAGGTTGTCCTCTAGGAGGTTGGATGCGGTACAATTTCGACTCACAGTGTCATTTTGAATCGCCCCGATCAGTGACGGGATCTGACCTTTGCCTAACGCCCCGAAATTGAGATGAATTTGTTGGGTTCGTATTGGCTTTGCCTTCTGCCCAATACTGGCATTAGCCGGCCATGGCGGCTGATTCAGCTGCTCTCTTCAGGGTCATTCAAATGACATTATCTGGGCCCTCATTTGCTATTAGTACTCTTTCAAGTATGGGGAGTACTAGTAAGAATTTGAAGTCGAAAGTTCAAGTTGATCTCGTCAATGACTGCGACCATCAAGTTCATTTTTCTCCCCCTGGAGTTCCTGGACTAAGTATATCCGTCTAGTGGTGACTGATATGCAAGCAGGTCTATCCCCAAACCTGATCTCTCATATATTTTCAAGCTGGCGGGCCTTGGGGTTACATATCCTTTAACAGACGGTGCAAGCCACAAATTGGCAAGATGAGCATTGGAAGGTCGATCACGAATCTCGAGAGATTCAACCCCTAGGGGATACCGAATACAAAATAAACCAAAGACTCTAGGAGGCGCTACTCCAAGAGGAAGAGAAGAAGACCTCCAGGCTGTTCAGATTTTGGAAGGGAGAGACGTGTTCTGTCTACGGCCAAGGGAGATATTGTGCTCAGCCTTAAGCGTAAGGTAACCGGCCCACATCCAGACCACCCCCCTATTCAGACCACCCCACACCCACACCCACAACTACTCCACACCCATATATAAAATATATTAACTTTGTAGGGATTTTTTTCCTCTCTTTAAACTTTATAATTATTATAACTATCTATTAATAAAGATATATATAAAAAAAATATATAGGTAGCTTTTAAAATAATTATTAATAATATTAAAATTTAAAAAGTATATTAATATTAAGGTATCTTAAAGACTACCCTCCTTTAATAATTAAGAAGTAATTAAAATTATTTGAATATAATAAATTTATAAATAAAATTATTAACTATTAAAAAATTAATTTAATAAAGTTTATATTTAATTAATCTACTTTAAAAATATTATTAACTTATTTTAAGATATAAGTATTTACTACTTAATTAATTAACTTTTAATTATAATTATTACTTTTAATAAAAGTAATTTAAAAGTTTTTAATAAGAAATTTAAATATTTTAAATTATAAAAGTTATTAAATATATTATATAAAAGTTAATAAAGTTAAAATAAAGATAATTAAACTTTAATTTAATCTTTTTTAATTTCTATTATATTTAATATTAAATTAAAAATTATTATAATATTAATAAAAAATATTATTAAAAATATTAAATTTAATAATATTATTTTAAAGTTTAAAATAAAAAGTTTATAATATAAAAGTAATAAAAAAGGTATAAACCTCCTTTATAAAGTATATTTTTATTATAAGTAAAGTTTATTTTTATTAATAATATTTAAAAATAAGAATATATAATAATGATAGTTTAAAATATTTAAAGGTATAAAGATTAAAAATTTATAATTATAAATAATAGTTAGATTAATAATATTATAATATTTAAATAACTTTAAAAGATTTTTATTTTATAAATTAAATTAATTAATAAAAAATAATAATTATTAATTATTAATAAATATAAAAGTTATTATATATTTAAGTTTATATAAAAGTATTTTTAAATAAAGTATATATACTTTATTTATAATTATATATTTTTATATATTATAATTATTTAATTTAAATATATTTATATTATTTAAAATAATATATAAATTTAAAGTTAATTTTTAATTTTTATATTAATAATATAATAAATAATAAATAAATCTTTTATTATTATTATATAAAGTATATAAAGATTTTTAAAAGTTAAATATTATTAATAAATAATAAATAAATAAATTATAATTAATAAATATAATTAAATTACTCCTTAATATTTAACTTTTTAAAAGTTAAAAAAATAAAAAATTAAATTTAACTCTTTTATAAAAAAGAAAAACTAAATTCATTATTTTAATATTAATTATTATAAAAGTAATATTATTAATATTTAAATATTTATAAAAGTATAATCTTTATATAACTTTTTTACTTTAATATATAATTAATTATAACTTAATAATTACTCTTTTAAAGGTTAAAAATATATAATAAAAACTAATAGTTAAATATAATATTATAAAAAGTTAAGTTATTTAAAATAAAATTAATAAAATTAATATCTATTAAAAAATAAAAAGTTAAAATAAATTCTAATTTAAAGTTTATATAAATTAAAGATATATAAAAGATATAAATTATAGTTAAAATAATTAAAGTTAAATTAATAAATAAAGTAAGTTTAAAAGTATTAAAAATAATAAATAGTTATATTATAATAGATAAATTAAGTATATTAGAGAAGGATAAAGAGGGTAGGTAGTTAGTATGGGAGGGCGAATTTGGGTGGTCCGAATGGGGGGGTGGTCCGGATGTGGGCCGATCACCTTATCGCCGTGCCTCTCTTCGGTGCCGTCACATAATATGGCGCGCAGCTCCTCGCCTAATACACAGAGCATGGCGGAGAGCTACTCTTGTGGATCGCAAGAAGAGCGAGGAACACGCATACCTTCCCGGGCATGTTGGATAGCACGGTTGGCGGTAGTCTAGAGACAGGTGGAAACCCCTTTGACTGCATCGTCCGAAAGGCAAGTGAAGACGCTTCTTTTGAGCACAATTTCACTATTGACAGGGCTAATGCTGTGGGCTCCATCAATTAGCTCGGCCTTATGGATAAACGCACCAAGGGAGGAAAGGGGCTTCTACCTAGGTATGTCCCGAAGCCCAATTCTTGTACGAGTTGAACTTATCCCAAGCCCTGAAGACGGAGAACATCCAAGGTTGAAGTCAACATCTGTTTTGATATCGATACACGAGCTGAAGGGCGCAGAGATGCGAGTTCATGCCCGCTCATAGTTCATTCGTCATGGCATTTTGGCCTTCGAAAATGAGCCTGACTGGATAACCATTGTGTCTCGCCTTCACCGGAGTCACGAGCTCGCAAGTGAGTAGGTATTTGATGACACATATGTAGGTAATTGAGTTTTACAAATGAACATATTTGATTAAGGGGTACGTAATGTATACGAGCTCTGTTTGGGAGTCCGCTATACGGCCATGGTAGGTATTTCACCCCCCAGTGCCACTCTTCTATAGAGGTTGCCAGGTGATCACATGGGAGACTGAGGAAGTAATTCAGCTACATTGGCTCCACTATGTTATACAAATTTTCTCAAAGGTGGTAGTAAACATGAAATAAAGCCCGTTGAGGACTTGGACATGCATGAAGTACCTAAGTATATGAGCATCTACAAGCAGGTCAATATGTTGCATACTTGCATATACATCCCACGTGCTCTGTCACCCAGCTGTTCCAAAAGCACACCCAACTCGGCGTTATGGCAGGGCCCGTCCCAAAGAACTTATTATCCCGGCCGAAAGAAACACACATTTCTGTAGGGGTGGAGCCCCCTGAATGAGCGGATGTTAGGGTAGCATGGCAGGAATGGCGCCCTACTCTGGGGTCGGTTCGGAGGCAAGGATAAGGGGCCAATGGGAAGCTATCACCCGCCAGCTCTACCGGGACAAACGCCAAAGTCGCAACCATCCCGTGGTTTTAAGAGCAAGCGAGAACCCGTAGGAGATAGTGGTCCGAGTAGTTGCTGGGCGCCCGGGAATCCGGCAGCTATCTTGGAATGTGATTATCTACAAAAAGGTCGGCCATGCTAGTCGCTGCTCGACGTTAGTCAACAACCTTGGAAGGCCGGCGGATAGGTTGCAAGTGCTTACACCTGCATGAAAAATACTTCACTATACGCTCCACTCTTGGCGGCTTCATGCCCCTTTGAGGCCTGACTATAGATGCGAAGTTACACGGAGTCTCCCAAGCCTCGGTGCTTACTTCTGCCCCATGGCGAACTCCACCTCGCGGAGGTCTTTCAGGTTCTAGGCACTCGAAGCAGGATAAATAACAATTCAGAGATCGATCCGACATGCAATTTTGTCGTCGACAGTTGCTGCGTGGTCGGTCCTCAATAGCACAATGTTCTCTCGCTTCCTGACGCCGTTGGCGTTTGCGGCGTGCACGGCGGTCTCTGTGCTCCCGGTCGTGTCGTGCGGGCCTGTCTCCATCGACTTGGTGCCCAGGACGTATGCGGACAGTATTGATATCGAGGCGCTCGAAAAGTGCCTCAGCGATGGTGCTGAGGTCTATGTCCCTAGCGACGAGCCATTCGCCGCCCTCACGGTTCGCTGGTCTAATCTAGAGCCTCCGAGCCCTAACGTTGTCGTTGTTGCCGCGATCGAGGAGGATGTCTCACAGGCCGTGAGTTCCTGAACGCCCCTATATACCCATGTCAAGAAAGCTAACCAATACTGTTGGAACCAGGTCGCCTTTGCGTACAAGAATGACATCCCCATTCTTGCCTACAACGGGCACCACGGCACCCTGATCTCGCTAGGAAAGATGGACTACGGCATCCAGATCTACCTCGGCCACCTCGACTCCCTGGAGATAGCCGGGGACGGGAGCACCGTGACCGTGGGCGGCGGCATCAACTCGCACAACTTGACCGAGACCCTCTGGGCGGCGGGCAAGCAGGCCGTCACGGGCACCTGCGAGTGCGTCAGCTACCTGGGCCCGGCCCTCGGCGGCGGCCACGGCTGGCTGCAGGGCCACCACGGCCTCATATCGGACCAGTTCGAGTCGCTCAACGTCGTCCTCGCCAACGGCGACCTGAAGACCATCGACAGCACGTCGGATCTGTGGTGGGGGATGCTCGGTGCGGGCCAGAACTTCGGGATCGTCACCTCGGCGACGTCCAAGATCTACGATATTGTCTCCCCGAACTGGGCGATCGAGACTATTGTCTTTGGAGGCGACAAGCTCGAGGCCGTCTACGAGGCCGCCAGCGGGGCCCTCGTCAAGGACGGCACCCAGACCGACGATGTCCAGAATTACTCGTACTGGCAGAACGACGGAACGCTCGATCCCGACAACGTAGGTCTCGCACGCCGTTTTCTTTCAGAATCCGCACTGATGTGTCAACTTTCTAGCCCGTGATCATAATGTACATTATGCAAGAGGGCGTGGACGCCGTGGAGCCAGCATACACGAAGCCATTCCACGACCTGGCCCCCCTCAGGATCACGCCCCAGTCAGGCGACTACCGCGACCTGGCCGCCTGGACGGGGATCGCGCTGGACTCCCCGCCCTGCCAGGACTTCGGCTTCAACAACCCGCGCTTCCCCATCTACCTGCCGTCCTACAACGCGACGGCCATGCGGCTCGCGTACGACGTCTACGCGGCGGCCGTCGGCGGCGCCGACAGCCCCTGGACCAACTCCATATTCCTGTTCGAGGACTACGCCAGCTCGGGCGTGCGCGCGCGCGGCGAGGGCTCCACCGCGTTTGCGTTCCGCGAGGACCTGCTGCTCGCCGCGCCGCTCATCATCTACAACTCGACCGGCGCGGCCGAGGACGCGGAGGTCAAGGCCTTGGGGAACCGGCTGAGGGAGATCATCAGGGAGGGCACCGGCAGGGAGGAGCTGCATGCGTATGTCAACTATGCGTATGGGGACGAGGGCTTGAAGGCGTGGTTTGGTGCTGAGGAGTGGAGGGGAGACCGGTTGAGGGCGCTGAAGGAGAAGTATGACCCTACGGGCGTGTTCAGCTTCTATGCGCCGATCGCGTAGAGTTGAGGTGGATGCTGGACTCTTTCACGATGGAATGCAATAATGCGAAACTCAAAAGTTGAACCATACATATGTATACTTTCGAAAACGACCGAGTCGAGATCCTGTCTTCGCGCAGCAGACAGGACCGACTTCTCTTGCTATGATCGTCTCGCAAACCACATTAGAATACTTAGTGATAGCGAACATCATTCTGGCAAAGAGGCTCTGATTCCCTCAGGCCTACTCAACCACAGGACCCGCAGTACATGTCATGATCCCAAGGCGGGAGGATGGCTTGCAGGTTGCCCTCAGCTGTGAGCACGGCGATACCGCGTGCATCATAAGCGACGCTTACATGCGCAAGCAAGCGGGAAGGAGGTTGCGGTGAGGCTCGCGAACCCGCCCGTGAATGGTGCATCCAGCAGCTGAACAGCTTCCCGGAGCCTGGAACTCGTCCATCTCTTGCATCGCGGAACGTAGGCCGCCCTGTCTTGTCAGCTCGTCGGCCCTCCGCGGTGTGACACGGGTGGCGGGCGTTGGAGGGCTCCTGCTTTGCATACGACGGCGGCTTCGATGCTGACGGGACAAGTACAACGCTTGCAGGTTAAACCCGGAAGACATCCTCGGGGTTGAGAAGGCCACCAGCAGCAGCAGCAGCAGCAGCAGCAGCGCCCTTGAAGAAGTTTGGTCCGGGTGGGTTAAGAAGCCGCCTGGTATGCGCATCACGCCCACGCCCCGGGAGGGTGTGTGACAGCCCCCCCGCGGCACCATGAGATTTGCTGCCGGATGTGTCGTGGTGGCCTGCAAGACATTGAAATCTCCAGTTACACAAGGCCGCGCATGACCTTGGTATGAACATGACGAGTAGCGTGCCCCTCTGTTGGTCCTGGCCTCAGCCGCACCAACTTGCGTGCTCTCCCAGACTGTCGGGACGGCGATCGACCGGAGCAGGGGTGGGAGGTCGTGCGTGGTGTGGCATCACGCGCACCCAGCTCGCAGCCCGAACACGCCCGACGGACATGACAGGTCTTTTTTCCTCCCTTCCCGCCTTCCCGGCATCCTGGGACAGCACGGCTGGCTGGGCGGTGTCGCTGCAGACATGATCAAGGTGGCGCTGTCGTTTTGTTGCGTGTGGGTGTGCCCAACCGCTACACGTAGGAGGCTGCGATGCACGACCACGCTGGCTGAGACACAGCTCCGTAGCCTTGGGGGGAAGACACACGAAGCTGTCAGACTTGCAGATTAGTGGTGGTGTGTGCGCGTGTGCGTGTGCGTGTGCGTGTGCGTGTGTGTGTGTGTGCTGTTACCCACGCGGCGGGTAAAACGAGGCGCGAGGGCGCACACAGATCGGCCCGTAGGGACAGAGGGGACTTGTTGTCGCACAACATGCTTAGCTCGAGGTATTTGTAGCCACGCCGTCTGCCGTGCACTTCGAGGTGCGTTTTGTTGGGTCTGAGAGGAGGTGGCGAACATCAGTATCGGATTGATGAGCCCATGGCAATCTGGTATTTGCCTGTGTTCGTCACCCAGCCAGCCAGCCAGCCGTGGAGGATGATGCGACCGCGCAGTAGCGATGCCTCGGTCCGCAAGGCTTCTTCTCGTGACTGGCTGTGGGGTTGGAGTGCCGACATGCATTGGCCTGAAACTTTCGAGAAGAACATGTAAGCTTTTAGCACCGCAGTCATCAGTCGCCGCAAACTGGTGATCGCGGCAGAGCCGACCCTCGAGACTTTGAGACGCCCCTGTGCCGTGGATGAATTATGCTTTCATATGTCGAAACGCAAATTAGGATCGAGCATCATAGCGTTTGCCGAGGCATGTACGGCATGGAGACGCGCGGTTGAGGAGGAAGGAGCTCTTCGTGGGGTCACGGGGCCGCGGTCCGGAGGGGCGTGTCAAACCGCCGGCTCTGCAGGTTTGGCCGCCGCCCCGGTGCGCCGCATCTTATCAAGATTGAAGCCCATAGAGCTTCTCTGTCGACTTCTCGATTGTCTGACAGGGTTCCCCACATCTTTCTGGCGCAAGCCTGCGCCACGCACACATCACCGCTCCGTGCTCACCAGGCATCAACTTGATTAAGATTACGAAGGAACACACGAGAGTGCCAGAGTGGCAAGGGCCAAGACTATCCCTACCAGCGTGCCGAGGTCAAGCCTCTACGGAGTCTACAGCAACGTATCAGGAAACATTTCTCTCCTCCCACCTGTTCCCCCGGCGCGCTGCTGCTGTAAGCTCCCTAGCCCCTCTACACCATGGCAGCCACGGCGCCAGAATCAGCGCCAGCCTCGACGGCGCAGGGAGGCATCCCCGGCTTCACAAAGATATCCAGCGTGGTGTACCTCCACCGCCCAGAAGCCCGAAAGTCATCGGCCTCCTCCTCGTCCCCCGCCAGATCGCCGAGCCTCATCGTCCTCGCCGGCTGGATGGGCGCCCGCGAGCCACACCTCGCAAAATACACCACCAGGCTGCAGGCGCTGTACCCGCGCTCGCCCATCGTGGTCCTGCGCTCCTTTGTGCATCACTTCACCACCAGCATCTCGTCCCACCCGGCCGAGGTCGCAGCCGCCGTGCCCGTCATCAGATCCGTCCTGGCCGAGCACCGGGGGCAAGAAGGTGACGGCGAGGAACAAGGCAAGGAGCCAACCATGCTCGTCCACCTCTTCTCCAACGGCGGCTGTGCCTCCCTCAGGCACCTGCGCGAGCAGTACGCCGCCTCCTCGCCGGGCGGGTTGCCGCCGCACGTGACGATATACGACTCTGCGCCGGGCAAGTTCCACTGGCGGCGCAGCGTGACCGCCTTCATGGCCTCCGCGGCACGGATGAGCATCCTCGTCAGGCTGGCGCTGCGGGTCTTTTTAAACTGCCTGTTTGCTCTGTACTGGGTCACACACGTGCCCTGGGGCAGGAAGGGCTACGTCGACCACACCTGGCTCGCGCAGAATGACACCAAGGCCAACGCGGCCGAGGTGCGGCGAGCGTACATCTACAGCGAGGAGGATGCGCTCGTGGACTACCGCGACATAGAGGAGCACGCGGCCGCTGCCGTGCAGAACGGCTTCACCGTGGCGGCGTTGGAGAAGTTCAAGGGCAGCGCGCACGTTGCCCATGTGCGGGTCGACGAGGCGAGGTACTGGGGCGTTGTCAAGGACACCTGGGAGAACCGAGCACGGCGTTAGGAAGACCCCGAGGGGGGGGGGACTTTCTTGGTGACTTTTTGTGTGCCAAAAACTTCGTTTCCTGCTCATTATGAGGATCTAATTTATCTCAAACCCTGCGAGCCTTCCTGATTGCGCCGCCAAATCTACACAGAAGGAGATGCATCTAGGAAAGAACTCCCCAATATCCATGTAAATGCGAGAAGAAGCAAGGTTGTCATATAGTCGTTCACGTCATTAAACGCCCCGCGTCCTCGCTGCCCCACCGACCGGTTCCCACCCAATGTGAAAAAGGATTTCGGTCATCACCGGACCTTCCTCCGCTTGCTGCTATCGTGGTGCCTAGAGTGGTGGTGGTGGTGGTGGGAGCCTTTGCTGCTCGACGAAGAGCTGCTGCCTGAGCTAGCGGTGCCGCTGCCGGCGGTGGTGCAGGCTGGGATCAACATGTCGTCGTTGTAAGGCTGCTGGTCGTCGGCGAGGCTCATGGCGTAGCTGCACGAGGCGCACTCCAGGGCCGGGTCGTGCTGGTCCATGTTGACTCCTCTCCTGCAGTCGCCAAAGCCGCCGTTGTTCTTGGCCTCGAGACACGACACGCTCTGCTCCAGCTCGGGGAGTGTGTAGTACTGGCCGCAGCGGATGCAATTGCCCGAGAATATGACCATGCGGCACATGGTCACTTGGAGTTGATCTGGCGTTGTGTATGGTGACGGGATGGGTTGCAGGGCCGGCTCTGTTGGGGTGAGGCCTGTCTCCTCTCTTCCTTGGGTGGACGTTTCTTCAATGGTCCTTGCCAGTCAGAGTGTCTTGTCTCCTGGGGGATTGTGTTAGCCTCTTATGTCTTTCAAACTTTTTCGGACAAGGCGACAGTCGACGTGTGTCAGCTTACAGGATGAAATTAATTTTTGTCCGTGGGGGACAAGCTTGTGCTGTGCCGCGGTGCCCTTGTTGTTTGGGGGGGTTACCGACGGTTTGGGTCGATGGGTAATGTGCCGAGATGGAGGTGGGGCGTGGTACCAGACGGCTGGGACGATTGAGTTGGGATGGAAGTAAGGTTTTCCTGGGAACCACCACAAGGCTGGTCGGGAAGAGAGGGGTGGAGCGGGCCTTTTTGAATTCTCGCGTAATGTGACATCTGGTGTGAGACGGTGTGGATGTTGTACAAGACGCAGAAGACGCAGCGAGGTAAAGGTCAAGGTAGAGCAAGCCAGCAAGCCAGCAAGCGAGCGCATGTGACGGGGGAGACGAACAAAGAAAGACAGAGGGGGGTGAGAGATTGAGAGGAGGCAGGAAATGGCCCAGGATGCAGACGTGAACCGGGCCCGTTCTGGCGACCGGCTTCCTTGGGCCTTCTAGCCCGGGGCTAGCAACTCTCGGAGTCGAACCATGTTGTGTGTGCCCAGGTTGATGCTCCGGACCTGGTGTGCCCTCGATTGACACGACAGCCTCCTTGCGCGTACCAGGCAAGGGGACACTGGGGACTTGGGGACTTGGGGACAGGCGGCCGGTGCTAAAGTGCCGTGGTGCCGTGTCAGGCTGGCTAGTTCCTGGGCCGCTGCGCTGGTCTGGAGACTGGGATGGCCGTTTTGGCATGGGAGTATGGTTGTCCAATTCCCACGATGGCATTGAGTTTGCCCATCTGGTTCTCGTGATTAGCGCCGTTGCTTGTAACACGGCGCAGCCATTCGTCAGCCAGAAAAAGAACAAGGCATATGCGGAGCAGCAGAGGGAGCACCCAACAAGGTACTGCGAAGAGGTACTTTTTGGCACCATCAGAATCTGCCATCCTGTCTCAGCCGGGCCCAGTCCTCTGGGTAGCCCATGCCAAGGCTGGCGCCACCCGCCCTGGTACAGCCCCAGGGACAGGGGCCCCAGAGCTGAGGGGGAGGGGGGCAGCTTTGGGGGGCCAGGGGGCCGGGGGGTGCAGGGGGGCCAGCTGGGGGGGGGGGCAGCAAACATGCAGTGTACCTCGAAACCATGCTGCTTGTTGCTCCTCAGGCTTCTTTGCTGGTGGCTGCTTCTGCGCGCGGCCGTGTCGGTGACCAAGCTGCCAGGCTTTCGAGGTTTGGGGTCCAGCATGATAACCAGCACAACCAGCATAACCAGCATTTCCAAGCCGTGCTGGCTGGCTGTTGGGGTGCGGAACTACCGCGAGTGGTCGGCCCACCAGCCCACTTGCATGCCATGCCATGCCGCAGCCACGCGCAGTCCTGCAAGTGTGTTGTGCGGTGCGGTGCGGTGCTGTGCCGTGATGTGATGTGCTTTATTTATTCGCATTCCCACAGCTGTGTTGCGTAGTACTTGGGGGTTATGCTGTGCCATACTGCTGTGTGTGCGTGTTGCGTGTGTGTGTCTGTCTGTGCCATGCGAGTGGCTCGGTTCCGGCGTGCGGGTGTGGAGGTGTGCTGGCGGGGGTGGTCTGTCTGTCAGTCAGTCTATCTGCCAGTCTGGTTGGCTGGTGTCTGGCTTGTGGACAGGCGGACAGACAGACGTACTGCGTTTGGCCGTTGGCTCCTAATCTTGGACCCCAACCTTCAGCTGCCTCTAAGCGAAGACGGGAATATGCAGGCCAGGATCCCGCCAGGATCCCGGAAAACCACTTAGACGTCCTGGCCGATGTCCTGGCCGCGTGCAGCGCTGCATAACGAGTTCCCCGACGTTTGATTGCCATGATCATCATGTCGTGGAGCGTGTCTAAGCAGGATAAAATCACGTCGTTCAGCATGTGTCTTGCTGTCTGCAGCAGGCGTTTATCTGTGCCGCTTCCTTCAGAAGCAACAGAGCGGCGCTGCAGTAGGGACTTACTACGTACCTAATGTAGGTACTTACCCGCTTGGGCACTTGGGTAGGAACAAGGCACGAGGAAGGAGATGCCTAGGTTAGGTACCTGCCCAAAGTACCCATTAAGCTGGGAAGCTTCAACCACGAATCGTCTCTCCTTCACCGGCTGTCGACTCCTTCCTCCTCTTCATCCCACCGACCGTATGTTTCTCTCCGGCTGCGCCCCCTCTCTCCTTCTCTCCCACTCTCCCACCGCATCGGTGCCAGCAATGTCTTGCATGCTTGCTAAGCGCACTAAGGGAGCGTGGGCGCACAGGAGGCAACGTCACTATCAAATCAACCCGGATCAACCCCTCCCCCTCACCCCTCGATACCAGACCAATCAGGTGGCATTCCTCGCCGTCTCCCGGCAATCTGGGAAGGATTCACTAGACTCTGGCTAATTTTTCCCAGTTAGCTGCATTCGAAGCTAGGTACCCAGGCAACAGGTGCCTAGGTGCCAAGGTACCTAGGTACCAAGTGAGCTAGCCCTGGATGGTTCCTCTGCCTCGGGTCTCATCCCACCGTCTCCCATTCGTTGGCCCATGCCACTCGGCCGCCGCATGCTCACCTCCCCAGGCTCCGACGTAGCTTCGATTTACCTTCGAGAATTACAAGCCCGATGCCACTGTATTGAGGCTAGTCGACTCGGAGCCGTAGCATCCAAACAAACTCCGAGCCTCTACCTGACTCTGCGCTGCGACACCAATATCAATCACCGCCATTTCGACATCTAAGCCGCTCTCCTGGCTGCGTCATCGTCTTGTTCTGGGCTGCTGGATTGGGACTGGCTGGGAAACCCGGAAAACCAAGAAGCCCCTCCCCCCACTTCGGCCTGACTCCTGCTGCTGTACATCATGTACGGAGTACATTAACGATGCAGCACGTCTCTGGCGACGTGCTCCGTACTCCCAGCCATCTGCAGGCGCCTATTGGAGCCCTCGAGCCCGCACGCGTCTTGCGTTATTTCCGCCGGCGCACAGCCGACATTGTCGCGAGATCCTTACACTGACGAGGCGAAGACATGGCCTGTGACACAACGATGATCCTTGCATCTGCTTCATCAGGGTGTGCATTAAGAGAAGCAAGTATGGTCCTTTGGCACACACAAGCCTCTGCATGATTTCCACCCAAAACTAGTAACGAATTTCACTTATCCGTCCATCAGCGACTCTTGGGTCGCGACCCCCAGGGGTTGAAGCAGGGCACCGGGCAAGATGGCCGCCAGGAGCCCGACCATTCGCCGTCCACCTCAACGCTCTCCGACGTGTCGAGTACCAGGAAACCGTGCCGCTGGGCCACCGAACTTCACAGAGGCATGTTCATTCTTCCGTGGCCCCGCCCATTCGAGTGTCAGCACCACAGCCGACATCAGCACGGCTGGAGCCTAGTGACGATGGCTTGCCCGTCTGCGGAATAACCAGACACACATGTATACATTAAGATTATAAACCAGCCACACAAGCTTCACCCTGTGATCAAATCACCAAGACGCCGAACCACCCGAAAACACCCCTTGTCAAATCCCGGAGTCTGCCCTTACTCGCAGTCCAGACAGACCATAGGCTCATGTCGGACTCGGGGCCCGCCTTAGCTTGCGCCCTGGCTCGGTTTTCGTCGACGTGGTTTCTCGATCTTGAGTTTGACGCGAGCCAGCTTGTGGCTGGCTTAGAGCAAGTCCATCGACCCGACTCTCTGGGAACGGCGTCTTCGGGCGTGAGCGCCTCCCGGGGCCGCTGGGGCTTGGAGGGGGTCACAAGCAGCAAGCAATCTGTTAGTGCCGGATCTAACTCTCGAAACGCCTCGAGCTGCAGGGTACCGTTGTACATGGCGTCTTGCGATTTGTCCCCCACGGCGGTCTGGAGCAATAGTCTAATGCGAGCATGGGCTTGCTTGGCACTGTAAACTTCTCACTCACCTCACTCGACCTGCTTTTCCCCCAAGACACTCCCAAGACAGGCGGTGGGTGTTGAGCTATATTCCGAGGCCCGCTATGGACAAGGCCCACACCTTCTCCCTTTAATCATATTTTTGCCCTGTTGTCGGCGACGCAGGGGATGACGGCTACAACACCATCACGCATACGCGACCTTGAATACCCAACCAAATTCCTCCCGTGATAGGGCTTCAGCTGGGACCTTGATGCCCAGATACCCCTCTGGCGACGTCGTCCACGATAGGTCATCCACTCCCGTGGCGTTCACACCAACCATCGAGATTGTGTCTCCCTCCAAAACCGGCACCGTGGCGTTTACCCAGACGTGCCCGTCCTCCGCGACATCCGGATGTTCAAGAAAGAGGATGTAGAACGCATCATCTGTCTGTGTGAAGCGGACTTCCTGGGGGCCGGCAATCTGCGTCTGTACAAACCAGTACGTGGTGTTGAAGATAGCTTCGGCGTGAGCATGTATCCACTTTCCAGCCTGGCGCAGGTTAGCCACCTCTGCCTCGACAATCGTGCCGTCTGCTCGCGGGCCGATGTCAAGGAGGAGGTTCCCATTTTTGGCAACCATATCCACAAGCGTGTAGACGATGGTGGAAGCGTTCATGTAACTCTCAGCTGGCGTTTGTGCATTGTACCCGTAACTGTACGGATCCATACCCTGGTTCGACTCCCACTTGTGCCTCTGAGCCGACGAGTAGGTGCTGTACTCGGGGGTCTCAAAGTCTGAGGCCTGGGCTACGCCGCAGCGAGAATTCATGACGACCTGCCTGTCCTGGTCCCGAGCCCAGTTCCACCACGCCGAGGCGAATTCGGCTGTCTTGTTCGCTGTGCCGACGTCGCACCACACTTTGGGATAGGAAGTCAGCAATTGCCTCTTCCAGACTACTCTATCACAGGATTATTGTCCCCGCCGGTGGAGGGCTGTGCCTCATGCATCCATCCAGGACCACGTAGCCCGGCGGGGTTTACTTGGACACAGAGCAGGGGTGGCTTAGGAAAGGTAAGGGGGATCTCATCCCTGCCGGGACAACTTACTTATGTCTGAACCATACTTGTACGCGAGGGTCTCCATCTGCGGGTACATGAGGTCGTCGACGAAGTCGCCGATGGGTAAATGACCGGTGTATGGCTCAGTCAGGTTTGTGAAGGGGTTAGTTGCAGGGATTCCCACCCAGCTTGTCGAGCCAACAGTGTCGTGTTGGACAAAACCATAGGGGCCAAAGTCAGGATTGTACCACTCCGGGAGTGAGAAATAGGTCCCACGCTTCAGTGTTGGCTGGTACGTGGCTGCAGCATCGAACAGCTCCTGGACGATGTCCCTTCTGGGGCCGTAGTTGATCGACGACCGGTTTGTCGTCTCACCTGCATCGAACAGCGCAAAGCCGTCGTGGTGCTTGGTCGTCAACACGAAGTAAGTGGCGCCCGCCTCGGCGAACAGATCAACCCACTCCTTGGGGTCCCAGGCGGACGCGGTGAAGCTGGGGAACCCGTCGTCGTAGTTCCAGCCCGGGCCAAATGTGTCGAGGCGATACCCGTAGCTGTCTGACTTGTCCGCCTGGTTGAAGTGGTTGTTCGAGTACCACCAGAACCACTCTGCATACGTCTCGTTCGGGGCGACTCCCCCATACCCCGGCACCGCGTAAGGACCCCAGTGGATGAATATGCCGTACTTTGCGTTGTCAAACCACTCTGGGGACTCGTGACTGGAAAGGCTGTCCAGGTCCGCTGAGAAGGTCTCAAAGCCAATGTCAACTCCGGCGAAGGTAGCTGTCTGGTTGGAGCTGGCCCCAGACAGGGTGACGGTCACGGTGGTGCTGTTCGCAGACCCACTGACACCGACGTTCACGCGCTTCTGGTCGCCAGGGCAGAGCCTCTTTACGGAGCCCGTCTCAGCCGTGCTGACCCCGAGGCCCTCCAAGGACACCACCAGGCCCGAGCCAGAGACGCACTCGCTCCCGGGATTGTTGACGGTGATTTCAACGATCTGGTTCCCCGCCTCTGTCCACTTCTGTGTGGGACGCACGCTCTGGACCTCGACCGCCGCGCCGTCATCAGCAGCGCCGGGCGAATCACCTACGACCAGGGACATGGAGAACACATGGATCCTGCCAACCGTGGAGTTATCGGCGACAGGCAGCCTCACGGCTGTGAGAGCCTTCGTCGGTTCCAGGTATCCCGTGAACTCAAAGATCTGGCTCACGTTCCAGTCTCTCCCCTTGGGCGTCCAGGTGTAAGGGGTGATGAGCTCGCCGCGCATGAGCGTCAGGAAGCTGAAGAAGGGCAGGGCGCGCAGCTCCGTCTCCGCCTCGGTCCCGTCCGCGTATAGATACGTCAGGTTGTAGGAGAGAATTGTGTCGCGCGCGTCGTTGGCTATGAGCATGCTCAGTGAGAAGGCCTTGCTGCTGCTGTCATTGGCGCTGCCACTGAGCGGAATGGTCTGGCCCGAGCAGATGAGGTTGTCCGGCTGTCCCGGGCCCGTGTAGCTCGGGAAGTCGAACTGCACCCCTGTGCTCTTGGAAGTGTAGATACCATCCTGGGTGAGGTGGTTGAGAGGTGGGTAGGACCGGTTGAGGGTACTCTCGAACGCAGTCTCGTTCGGGTATGTCCCGAAGGCTTTGTTGTTGAAGTATGCAGCCAGGTCAATTGGTACGGAATGGGCGGCGAGGGCTCGGCTGGACAGCCAAAGAAGGCCTACTAATGCCTCGGAGGACTGTCTCGCGATGTGTTTCCTCATCCTGGCCGTCTGTCAGGTCTCAGTCCCGTGCAAGCTCGCTCAGCGATAGTCAAGGCCAAGCGGGCGGTGAGGAGAGACATGGCGTCGCATTCATATTGCCGTCTCGTGGGCATTGCTACCGAAGCATAAAATGCCTATCACGGCAAGCTTTCCGGGAGTGGGTATTGCTTGCCCGTTGCCGTTCCCGTGGGCTGCGGTGCCAGATACGCAGCAATACCCAAGCCGAGCTCGGGACGCGTGATAAGCTGCCTGTACAGGGTCTTCCCTTAATTCTTGTCGCGCAGGCACTTCTGACCTCCTCTAATACAACCCTCTTCCCACCAACCAATTATCCTCCTTACACGTTTTAAACGGTTCCCTACGTTTTCTAAATACAACGCTACAAAACAGCTACCTGAATTCTAAGTCAAATTTGCTGTGTCTAGTGGTATTTCTCTGTGAAGGCGCACAGACTTCAAATCTACTCTAGGGATCCTTTCCCAACCTCTCAGAAGTCGCTCTACGACAGGAATTAAGGGAAGACCCTGTACTCCGTAGGTCACGGTGCCGAGCGTGTTCCGATGCCAACGACAGGGGCCGGCCCGGCTCGTGGGATGCTTGCTCCGCGCTCCCCCTGCGGATTGTCAGGGGCCGTAAACTGTACTACTGCGGATCCTGGCAGTTGGATCCTGTGCCGCCTAATAGTGCGGAGGAGATAGGGGTGGCTGTTCGGAGCAACGTTACTTGGTCGTTCCTCAAGTTGTTCTCGGCCCATCGAAAGAACTGACAAGGGGAGAAGGGTTGCATTGGGAAAATTGTCCGTGCTTCATTACATATCTAGTGACACTTCAACCTTGACCCATCGTGGACGGCGATGTCCCTTCGTTGCAAACACTCGCAATATGGATAATAATTCAAGGGGCGAGTCGTTTACGTGGCGCGTTCCATGTAAGCCACAATCTAAATCTTTCTCGTGATGGATCATTGGCCTCAACTTGCCAATCTCACGCTGGCTGGTCACTGCACACTTCTCACTCACTAGGGATACTGGGATTTCCCGAGACTGTCTGGAACTCTTTTCTATTTTTTATTAAGTTTGTAAGATTCGCTGGAGATGACCTAGATGTACAAGGGGAAAAAAGAACGTGTGGCTCATCAAGAATGCTTAACTTGCTCTGCACGCTCGCAACTGGTTTGCATCATCGCCAGGTCCGACGGAGGCCTGGTAGGCAACGGCGACTGCAGGTCACTTGGCGATGGGACCGGTACCAGCTCCACCCGGCTTTCCTCGTGCTCTGGGACGTTGTGCGATCTCACTATCCACTCTGTCTGAACCTTGATGTGCTTCCCGGACGAGTTCAGCCTCGCGAAGGACCACTGCTTGGACCCGCCCGAGACACCTGTGTAATTGGACTTCTGCTGGGTGGTACCAAACACCTTCGGGAAGATTGTGGCGATGAGCGAGCGGATGGCGGGCATGCAAGCGCAGACTACCCCGACTGGCACCTCGATCGTTGACCAGTAGCCGACCTCGACGTAGTCCTCTGTATCTTGTCAGTGGGGTCATTCTTTCCCGAGGGCAGGGCAGGCTTACGCGTGACGTTGGATGTGTTTGCATATTTCGCCAATGACTGTAGCCTGAGAGCACTGACAATTGTTACACTGTGGTATGGTCAGTCGATAATCTCTTGGCCTGGGTTTCTACAGCCAAGATCCCTGCGACGAGGACTGAGGGGAGGATGAAGGTACTCACAAGAACCCGACGCAGAACATAGACAAGATCTGGATCTTTTTGCGCAATGACATGGAGAGACTGGCAAGCTCAGGCAACGGCAATATAATGGTCCCCAGATCAAGGACAAGATTCAGGGCAGCGGACATCCATCCTTGCATGTTGATATCGTTGCACGTGGCCTCAAATGTTCCGTCCCATGCAAGCCATGCACCCTGGATTGGCCTGCACTGCCAGATAGAGACAATCTCAAAGGTGACGAGGTAGGCTAGGTTGAAGCCAATCAGGACCCAGACTGCGATTTTGAATTCGCGTTTCGGAAAGATCTTGAGATAAAACAAAAGGATGGAGATTTTGGTGACGGGAAGGACAGCCAGATAGACGAGCTCGTCCCAGAAGTATAACTGTTTTTCATGGTCAGCCTTGATTCATTGCAACAGTATTGGAAATCACATGCCCTCCAAGGAAGAGATGTGAAGGTTTACTGACGTAGAGAATGTTTGTGATGTCGTCCGGCTCAACCATCCACATGTCCTTCCCCAAACCATAGTGTGCAACTGTGCGTACGAGGTCAGCCCATTGGTCAACATAAAGAGTTGTGATGCTTGAATACGTACGAGGGACGGATAGAGCTGCAAGAATTATCATCAACACCTGTGGGTGTCAGCTTCCGGGCTGCGCAGACCGTTGCATAAAGTTGTGCACCTACGACTGCAATGGTCATGACCCAATCGTCAGGACCCCAGCTCTTGTGTGATCCCACAAATACACGGGCCGTCACCCTGAGGCCGAAGGCTATCAGGCCCAGTATGCCGAAAACGATTCCAACAATCCATATCAGGGCCGTCCTGTCCTGACTTTCAACGCCGCACGTTACTTTTGAGTATTTCTGAGTAGCTGCGAAGATCTCTTAGTACCTAGTTATCTGCCCTAAAGGAACCTCACGGAGAGCCTTGTTGCCGTGGTGTTGAAACATAGTGGTCGACCGAGGGGATGGTATAGGGAACATACCCAATTGATCTCTCACACTGCAACTCTCTGCGATGCAAGCAGCGGCAGCCAGATTGAGTTCCTTATTAAGGCAGATACAGGCCACATCTGTAAGAGAACAGTTTGAGTGCTCTGCTGTGGCGGTAACGATGCACTTTAGCTGTTGTAGACATGGATCTTTTTAGTATCATGTCAAGGATTCGTATCATGTGTGGAGAGAGCACTTACGCCGCAAGCCGGTGCAGTGACTGTGCTGTCTGCTGCAATTACTGATGTGACCTGGAGTGCTGCTAGGAGCAGCATCCCGATGGAGAAAACCTTCATGCTGTGCGTGTTGGGAGCAAGTCTCTAGCACAACCGCGTGAAACCCCTCCCAGTCGAAGATGTAATATTGACAAAAGAAGTCAATCACTGCATTTTCATAACCATCGACAAAGGAAGGTGAGAAGTGAAAGGCGGAATGCAGAGTTCCGGTGTTTCTGTAGCGACGCGGTCATAAGAACCCTTGGGAATGTAAAGGATTGCCAATTCGTCCGTTGTTGTGCACTCTCCATTTTGGGAGCTGGGCGAAGAAGATCGTCTGCAGAATGACCCCGGCTGCGCCATATCGAGCCTTGGACTTGTGTGTGATGAATCGATGACATCTCAATGTCAGGGATCTGGGCACATGGCTGGAAGGGACCCTTGGTAACTTTAAGCTCCGCAGTGGATATAACGATCACCAAGACCCGCAGGCGTACGTGCAATGCGTGGAGTAAGTCTCTGTCGGCATACAGTACACTACAGTACGAGAAGTCTGGCCCAACCAACTCAATTTGCTTTCATCCTTTGGCACACTAGGATGGATCTTGAACCCTGGAGGTGCTCCGGTGCAGCGGCACCCACGTCCCGGGCTGCAAGTGCCCATGGACTCCTTTCCTACTCGGCGCTGGCCGTCGTCGATCTCAATTGTTTGGCGAATGCTCACATCCGGATCTCCCGGTGGTTGCAAGCGGCGGTATGGCGATTCTCGCCTTCAGCGAAACCATTCCGAGACTGGTTCCCTAGTGCCGGCAGATACCTAGGTAGGGGATCTCTTTAGTAACAAGGCGAAGGCGGCAACTTCCATTATGAATGCTGAGAGAGAACGTATGGCTAGGTCGTTTCCTGAAGTCACTATAGACAGTCGTAACTTGAGTTGCGGTAATGGCGGGGAGCCTCGATATGCAATTATTCGCGACAACAACGTACTCCACTGCTTTCTTTCGAACAGAGCAACATTCCCCTCTGCTTGCTCAGTACTTTCGAGCCCGTATTGACGCTCGAGGAAATAGCACGAGTCTACTTATTGCGACCTCAAGACGCAGCAAATTCGTCACCTACTTCTTCATCGTGCTTGGCGCTGGATTTTCAACCCTCTTTGTGCGTGGCGCAGGCACCACCCACATCCCAACGGTGCCACCGCCGTGGTTTACCCGTGGGGGCCATGAGAACTCCCAGCGGGGTCCGCAGGTTTGCACGACACCATCCATCGGAGGTAACTAACTATTGGAGACCGGGCCGGTTATCGACCGTTACCCACATGCAGCAGGCAGTGTTCTATCACGAGCTTGGCTCTGCGGTCATTTCACTGATCTAGCCTGGGTAGGTAGCACTCGAGTTCAGAGCCGGAAAATGAGAGTTTGAAGGTGTCTGCTAAAAATGTCACGGCTCGCGTGCAGCAGATTGCTGGCAGCGGACATGGACTTCTAGAATGGTTCTTTCGCCGGTTTCATTGCGCAAGATCCCAGCTCCCTGTTCCCCACACACGTGGTCACGCGAATCATTGGAACTTTTGACTCGGCAGCGTGCTCAATCAGTGAGCTGTTCTCTTGTTCGAACCTAAGAAGGTTGGAGCGTTGTCACTCTCACAAGCCACATAATTCCGTAATAAGTCCTGCACCCTGGTGGAATAGGAGACTGCCAGAGTCTGTTAAGCGAGCAGCGAGGGAGCACACCGTATATGCCGTGTAACACCTAGTCCAGACAGTGAGTGGGGGGAGGGCAATCCGAGCTGGCCCACATGCAGCTTGGCTTAGCACTTGAGGTCTTGCGACATGGCCCCGTCCTCCTCGGGCCGTGATTCTTACTACACCGGACCATTTTCCGCCTAATTTCTAGTGGCGTCTGCCCGTTGTGATCTCACGTAGTATTCCGAGAACTGTGAGGCTGCGCCTACCTCAGGCGAGTGATCGCCGTCGCCTGGAGCTGTACTCACCATAATCATCAAACTCGCATGTTTATTATTCACGATGATACGGAGCATTTATAGTGATCCCATCGACATTGATGGGACATAGAACCCGCGACCGTGGTAATGTGTAGTCGTTGATGCTAGGGTCTCGGAACGCTTCTAAAGATCCTGGTAGGCTGTTGCTTATTATGCTTTGCAAACTACCCACCCAGGTACCTAAGTGGTTCGGACAGCATGAGACGGGCACTCATCTCTACCCGGCTCAGCTCTTCCTACTTACCTAGGTATTCGGAAAGTTGGCCTGTCTCTTTCGGGAACGCCTCCCCACCATGCGATCTTTTCTGGGTGTGTTTGAGTTCCACGTCGTAAAGTTCAAGACCTGCAATCTCAGACACCCGGTCTGACTTGCAATGAGGCTCCCGAGGTCACGATGGCAAATAGGCGAGCACGTATCTCAGCGCCTGCGCGGGGAGCCGAGTGTACACGGAATATTACGATCGGCGCAACCGTCCCAGGGACTTGGGAACCCTTGCTTGTGGATTACTGTGTATGGCAAATGCCGGAGTGGAGATCTCGTGGCAACCTGAGATGCGTTGCAAGTTGCAACAGCAGAGGGCCCAACGGGACCAACGGGGAAAGTCCCTAGTTCCAAATTGCGTGGGCCTCTGAAATTCTCAATCTGAATCCTTATCGTGCATCCCGCAAAACAGCCTGGATCTTGTCGGACTCGACCCAATTCGGCGCAAGAGACTGATCGCTCAGATATGTTTCCCTTAGCTGTTGATCTTGTTCGATAGGTGATTGGAACCAAATCTAGGTCGTCCAGGAGACATGCCTCTGGTGTCTCCGACCGAAGGCCACTATGTTTCTCCACTGGGGCGGGGAAGGGAATTCTCCGAGATATATCTGGCTTGGTGCTGGCACGGAGCAACCGCAGACTTCATGTCCATTTCTGTCCACCTCTTCGCTAAATTGCCTCACATGCCCAGGTGTCCACACACATACTATTCGGGTTGAGAAATTTTGTAGCCTTCAGGAAGTTTTGTAGTATGTCTTAGCCCATTGCTTTTCAACTTGCTCGATTTACTGGTACACATGTAGTGCCTTTGCCAGCACGGTCTTTTCATTGCGGCTGCACATGTGGCCCCGTCGCACTACATCTTCCAATTCTCGCGCAGCTGCCCAGCCAGGCTATGATGGCACAGTAAGCGGCGTCTGTAGTAATCTGCCATCGAGCTCATGTATGTGTCCAACCGAAGTAAACATTGTAGAAGATGATGTTGTACACCCCCATTCCTAGTTAGAGCGACTCATTGCTTACCCTTTTTGGTCGCACTAGCCTACGAGTCAGCCACAGCCCAAGACAAAATTGGAGCGGATGGGGCATCTGGGTTCTCCATTATTCATAACTTTACTGTCGTCTTCCGCACTGTCCATTTTGTATGGCTATACACCTTGACCCCTATAGTCTACGTCAACCAGCTTTGCCGGGAGTCGACCGCATTCCAAGGTGACTAGGGGTCTCACGCCGCGCTTGACCTGATCGCCCTAGCCGATCGACAGGAAGACTCCAGGCGGAGAGCTGAAGGGCGATTAAAGTCCCAGGGGACATCGTGATCTTCAATGAGGCGAATACACCCACATCGAGGGCGGAGTCCCAACATTGCAGTCAGGGGTTCGCAGGAGGAGTCCGACATGAGGAAGCCTTCGTCGCGGATGATCTTTGCCGTCGCTTGTCCCCACGATCGCCCGGATTCAGATGTGCCTTAAGCCAGCACCTTGGCACTTCTATATTTTGCACTGGCGATCTGATTCCTATTTGTACTGTCGAGAGGATGCCAAGTTGATCACATAGTTGGAACCGCCTTGCCACCGGCACTCACACTCTTTTACATGCTTTGACATTCATTTCTTGGCCGACCCATTGTCTCTCTTTATACTAAACTCGCTCTTTCGATCGGCTATAATGCGTCTGTCAGTGACTTTGACTCTGGCGGGGCTTCTTGCCGATTCTGCCTTGTACGTACCTAAACCTCCTGGCCGACAGGTCTTCCGCCGGTTTGCTAACGTGTGGTGCAGAGCCGCTCCTTGGTCAGCAAAGAAGCCTCAGCGTACACACAATCCCTATCTCGGCCGCCGTGATGGGAACACCACGGGTGATGACTACGACTACGTTGTTGTGGGCTCAGGCCCCGGCGGCGGCCCTGTCGCGGCAAATCTGGCTATAGCAGGCTACAAGGTCTTGCTTGTCGATGCAGGCGGTGACTCGGGAGACGATCTGATGGAAAGCATTCCAGCCTTGCATCTCTTCTCAACCGAGTTCGAGGACACGAGGTGGAACTACTTCGTCAACCACTACTCGGACCTGGATCGTCAAGCAAGAGATTCCAAGATGACGTACGAACTGCCCGACGGAAGCTTCTATGTTGGTCTTGACCCGCCCGAGGATGCGACTCCGCTGGGAGTGTGGTATCCCCGTGCTGGCACCCTGGGAGGATGTTCTCGCCACAACGCTCTCATCAGCATCAATGCCCACGACAGTGACTGGACTTACATCTCCGACCTCACAGGAGATTCTTCCTGGGGACCTGACAACATGCGGTCGTACTTCCAGAAGATTGAGAAGAATGAATACCTGCCCAGTACCATTGTCGGCCATGGATTCAAGGGATGGCTCACCACGTCTCTGACTTCCCTCTCGCTTGTGGTTGAGGATCGGAAGCTGCTTTCACTCATCCTTTCCGCTGCCACTGCTGCCGGTCGAAATGTCCTCGAATCCCTGCTCACCACTGTCACCGGCTTGGCACACGTTCTCTTGGAGGATCTCAATGCGCCTGGTGAGACGAGCAAGACCGGACTGTACCAGGTGCCTCTCGCCATGAAGGACTCTGTCCGGGGTGGTCCACGGGACTTCATTATGGAAACGGCAGAGGCCGTGAACTCTGATGGGTCTCGCAAGTATCACTTGGATATCAAGCTGAACACGCTCGTAAGAAGGCGTAACCCCTTACAGAATGAAAGTACGATTCGCTAACGACGGAGTAGGTCACCAAGGTCCGCTTCGACACAACTGGAACCACACCCCGCGCGGTTGGTGTTGACTATATGGAAGGCTCGTCATTGTACCGTGCCGACCCACGTTCAGGAACTGCCTCCGAGACTGGATCGGGCAGCGTTGACGCTAAGCGTGAGGTTATCCTGGCGGCAGGTGCATTCAACACCCCTCAGCTGCTGAAGCTCAGCGGCGTCGGACCCAGGTCAGAATTGGAGTCATTCGATATCCCCGTCGTTGTCGATCTGCCTGGTGTCGGAACCAACATGCAAGATCGTTACGAGGCCACTGTGATCGGCAAGACAGACAGCGACTTCGCCATCACTTCCAAGTGTACCTTCTTGCAGAGCACACCTGACGCCTGCCTTGAAGACTACCAGGCCGGGTTTGAGCCGATCACCAAGGGTGTCTACGGTACCAACGGAATCGCCATAGCTGTCACGATGAAGTCATCCGTCGCCGAGGACGAGCCGGATGTGCTTGTCTCTGGAGCTCCAGCCAAGTTCAAGGGCTACTTCCCAGGCTACGCGGCTGACTCCCTCGCCGACGCCCAGCACTGGGCCTGGATCATCCTCAAGGCCCACAGCAGGAACAACGCCGGAACAGTCACCCTTAAAAGCACCGACCCCCGCGACATGCCCCTGATCAACTTCAACTACTACGACACGGGCGTCAACGCCGGAGGCGCCGCCGACAAGGACCTGCAGGCCACATACGAGGGATTCCAGTTCGCACGCAAGGCCTTCGACTCCCTGATCCCCCTGGATGGCAGTTTCCCTGAGGTCTGGCCCGGCACGAACGTCTCCAGCGAGGCCGACGTGAAGGAATTTTTGAAGGACGAGACATGGGGCCACCACGCCTCATGCACCTGCCCCATCGGATCCGACGATGACCCCATGGCTGTCCTGGACAGCAAGTTCCGGGTGCGCGGCACGGAAGGCTTGCGTGTCGTCGATGCCAGCGTGTTCCCCAAGATCCCTGGATTCTACATTGCGTTGCCTCTGTACATTGTTTCCGAGAAGGCTAGTGATGTTATTATCCAAGACGCAAGGCTGTCTTAGATTCCTTCGATGCATTGTGCGGAAACAACCAGGGAAGCTCAACACACACAAGCTTTACATGCGTTCAGACAAGAATAGGATAAGACAAATCTCTAGCATACCATCCAGACACATTTTTTTGGGACTCGGCCCTTTATTGAATGGGGCATTTACAAGCTCCGGTCAGAGTTGGCTGCCGAACGGCAAGGCAGTCTCCCTGGAATGCTGGCCTTCAGCACTTCAAGTTTGACCTCGTTCCTCAAGCATGTGGTGGTTTCATTTCTAATCCCCATACATATGAACTGTATGTGGCGCCTTTATAAAGTGGTAAATGCTTAATACCTAGTGTTTAAAAATATATAACTTAATTAACTACTAAACTCTAGTACTATGGGATGGGGTTTTTGGGGATGGGGGATCGGACTGTAGGTCAGCAATGGCCTACTACTACCTACCTAGGTAGGTAGTTTCAATCATTGGTCTACTACCTAGGTATTTTTAATTAGCTGTCATGATTAAGAGTCAGTGATTTTATGGTTGGTAGAGCAAAGACGCTCCATACAGCACTTAATTAAGGCACTGTTATGATCAAGTAATATTTTTGCTCAGCGCTGCCGCTTGTGGCTCAATATGTGAAATGAAGTGTTCAATGGACAATACCCTGCACAGCAACTGGCTCTGAGGATGTTACGACTGTGATCACTGATGATTATAAATCAAACCAGTGTCGGTGTGTGTGTGGACCCGAAAGGGGTTAACTGGTTTCGCTTCTATTCCGCAGACGTCCGAGTACATACGTGGCGTCGTCGATTAAAACTTGCAGCACTGGCCGTACGCTTTGACGTGGAGGACGACAACCACCTCTGCCCGACCCTTCAAGCCAGCCCACCGGTGGTAATGGCATGGATGATTACAAATTCATGTACTCGGTGAAAATTATCGTTGAAGTTCTTGGCGCTCTGCTCAAGTGGTGAGAATCTTACTGCCGCTTATAAATAATCGGCTGGAGGGGAACATTTCAGCAGCACGCAATCCATATTCATCATCTGGGTATCCACATTGAGTAACCATAACCCGCGGCCACATTTATTAAGAAGAGTCATAGATTTTCTTTTAAAATAGCTAAACCACTCAAAATTGAGATTGGTATCAGATATCTGGTGTTTCTTCTCCCTCATCGGCACTGACTTCGGGAACCTTGGAACAGACCCGGGCACCTCTTCAGTAACGCGATGTCTGAGGAAACTTCGCAAGCGTATCGCATCCACCTTCACGAGCGAGGGCCAGCCTCAGCTGATATAATCAAATGCAACCTCAAGTTGGAAGAGGTGCCGAAGCAACACCCCCGAGCAGGTCAGATCCTGGTACGGATGAGAGCTGCTGCACTGAACTGTGAGAAAAACCTGGACGAGAGCCACATCTCACCCTCGACAGCCCTCCAAGCCCGCACAATGAGCCCTCGGCAGGACACTAACTCACTGTACTACCAGACCGGGACCTTCTCGTCGCCACAGACGATGAGCGCTACAAGAGCCGCACAGCCGCACCCTTGGTCCCACTGTGCGACGGTGCAGGCACAGTCGAGAGGGTGGGCGCGACGGCACCGGGGTCTCCGTCGAGATGGAAGCCTGGTGATCGTGTCATATTTGCGGCGGGGACCTCGTGGAAGTCCGCCGAGCCGGGGACGGATGCCGAGATGGACATCACGAGCTTGCTTGGGGCCGGGGACATCGACGGCCTCCTGCAGCAGTATGTCGTCGCCGAAGGGGACGCCCTCGTACCCGCACCAGAGGGCCTCAGCTTCGAGGAGGCTGCTGCGCTCGGTGTTGCTCATGGTACTGCCTGGAATGCCTTGTTTGGGTGGTACAGGCCGCTGAAGGAGGGGGATGTCGTTGTTACCCAGGGCACTGGGGGTGTGAGTACTGCGGTCTTGCAGGTCAGTAAAATCCTAATCTACCATGTACATCATGAACTTCTTGGGTCCCTGGGTAATCTAACAATGCGTACTGGTACGTAGATTGCCGTGGCTGCGGGGGCCAAAGTGATCGCGCTGTCTTCTTCGCCAGAGAAGCTTGAGGTTGCGAAGCAGCTCGGCGCCGCCCACGCCCTCGACTCCAATGATCCGGAGTGGGACACCAAGATCCTTGAGCTTACCGGTGGCCGCGGTGCGGATCACGTCGTGGATGTGGTGGGTGCGCCGACGATCCACCGCTCCCTCCGAGCAACCCGGAAGGGCGGGCTCGTGTCCGCCGTCGGGTTCTTGGGTGGCTCGGAGAATCATGGTGATCTGATACCAGAAATCGTTTTCAGTGCTAAGACGGGTAAGTGTCCTCGGGTTATTACTTGCATCACTTGGTGTGTGCGACATGCCTGCTTACACATGGGACCTAGTCCGAGGCATTGTCTATGCGAGCATTCCTATGCTCGAAGACTTGAGTGCCTTCGTTCAGAAGCATGGCATTAAGCCGATAATAGGGCATGTTTTTGAGTGGAACGAGGCCAGTGAAGCATATGCGGCTCTTCTGAATCTCAACACCTCGGGCAAAATCGTCATCAGAATTCCCTGAGAATCGTTGACGAGACGGTCCACTCACAATCTACTTTGGCAGCCTTCTACGATTCGGGCAGAGTCAGATTGCCAGTATGTTGGTGCCCAGGTGCCTTGTTGGAAGTACGCAGTCGTGAAGTTGATTTGAATCATTGGGCAACCATAATATGCACACCTCGACTTGGGGGAGGGGTTGTAAATGCGATTGGTTTTCTTGCGATATCTTCCCTTGGCATCTCCCCAACAAGGCCCCCAAAACATCGCCTTGGGCATCGTGACCATGTCTGACTGGATGTTGGTGTGACACACTCAAGGCAGCATTCTCAAATAAATCCAGTTGAAATCAGCTACAAAACAGTACCCCAGAAAACGACGTCACCTGGTATGGCATGCTGAAAACGTTTACCTGTCATCTCCGATCAGCTATCGTCGATCAAGGATCATGAAGTTCTTTGGCTGTAGCTTTCCATCCACTATCATCGTCGATCTACCAGTTGACACCACTGAATCTTGGTACGAAGAATATGAACTTATCCTCACTGCGCTTTCTCGAAATTATTTAAGGGCAGACATGTCAAGACTCTTTCCTCCCCAGAGTCTGTCACCATCACCAGCATTCCCAAACACCACCTCTCAAAAACTCAGCCACACAACCCCATTTTGTTTCCACCAAGCACCAAGATGCAATTCTCTATCAAAACCGCTCTAGTTATCGCCATTGGCATGGCCGCCTTCGCTTCTGCCGCCCCTGCCGAGGCTGTTGAGGTCGCCGCGGATGGCTATCGCTGCTGTGCCTTTGACTCCTGCACCGTTTGTGCTGATAACGGCGGGCCGGTTTATAACTGTGCCTTCTGTGACCAGGTAAAGCTACATATCTTCGCAGGTTGTGATGTCAATCAAGTCCACTGAAACTGACATGGCGTCTTTCAAACAGGCACCCTATGGATACTGCTGCCGTGCTTGAGCACTCGTCAGGGTTGGGGAAGGAGGATTAGAGATAGGAGGTTGGGACTAAGGAGACCGAGGCTTGTCAAGATCATTGTTGATACACAACATGACAGCAACAAGGCAAAGGAGACTCCATGAAACATATGATAATTGTTTACTCTCCTCATCGTGTGTGTAACATTTGAATAAACTCTGGATAGTATGAGATAGTATGAGTGATGATGTTGCCTTTCAGCACCTTATGAAAGGGGATTTGGTACATTTGAGAGGCAAAGACTAGGTGACCACGCACCTGCATCTTGTTCAAGTGTTAAGACAACTTTAACCCCTCAGCTAGGGAGGTCGATCTGAATTCATGTAACCAGCAGTGTGTGTCTTCACATGCGACAATACCACATATATTGTTCATGAAAATGAATACTATCTCAATATGAATGTTGGCCGGATCTGGGCACCAAACGCCATCCCCCTTCTTTTGCAACAACTTGCGTATGTTGGTGTAATTTCCTCCAAATCACTATCGTTTGCAACCGTTTGTCATGTCACCTGTTTCTCGCAATACTGACTCACCTCGTCCATTCACTGACTTCTAGAGCGCAGGCTTCTGTTGTCTCATTCACTGGCATTGGGCGTTCTCAAAAAAATATTTAAACTCTCAACTTCGAGGCCTGCTCCTTTCTTCCCCCTTCCCTTCCTCCATCAGTCCATCAGTCCATTCCACAAGACTCGTACTCAAGCAACTCAACACCACTACAAAACCTCAACCAACCTTGGACTGATATCATCAATTGATACCAGCCCAACAACAAAATGCAGTTCTCCATCAAGACTGTCCTCGCTGTTGCCGTCGGCATGGCTACCTTCGCCTCTGCTGCGCCCCAGGCCACTGTCGATGGGGTTGCCAGCGCCTCTACTCCCCCTACCGAGGTCGTAGAAATCGTACCCGTCCCTGTCTCTGTCGAAAACCAAGAGGCAGGCCGCCTCTGCTGCGCCTTCGAGGGATGCAAGGTCTGTGCCGACTTTGGCAGCAACGACTGCGGCCCCTGCGGAGGAGTAAGTTACATCCCCCAACATGTTTGACCAACAATCAGGGCTGCGAGACTCGTACTGATCGATCATAATTTAATCAAGGAGTACCCCTTTTGCTGCTAGGCACCCGACAAGATCGTCACACCCACCTTCTTGGGTCATGCGTCCATTGGTTCTCAGAGAAATGAGACGTGAAGCTTTTTGGAGTCAAGCCGGAAGGAACCCAGACAACTCAAGATATCCCCTGCACTATCACCCGAGGTATACTAGGGAGGAAGACGGGAAGAGGACACGACTGAGATTTTAGAGAATGAACACCAAAGTTCTCTGCTTGTGTGAACTTGCGTTGCGTGACCAAAGTGATGTCTAAGCCCCAATCGTGTCCAACTCTTGGACCTCGGTCTGTGCCCTAACTACTGGTAGGGTACTCGAGTTATCATTCATGGTTGGGACAGGACCCAATTTCCTTCGAGTAAGGAAATGCAATCGAGGTAAGGGAACTTTAGAACGGCACTACCACTGTCCTAATATGAAAACTCTAGAGGAAAAGTGGCAAGACGGAGTGCCGCGCTATATGACTGTTTGCATTTGCAGCCATGTCACAGCCGCCTGAATTGCTACAATCATGGCCCTAAGCCAGCCTAGTCATGTGTGAGAGAATACATGTGTAGTGCGTCTGGAACAGGAACTCGCAGTCATGGCTTGACCACGAGCCAAACAGTACCTAGGTAGCGATGACCAGGTTTTGTAAATACAAATACCAGTGGCTTGAACCAGAGACTCAGTTGCGGTACAGCAGACCGGAGACGATGCAAGGTGTGAGGCACTTGCATGGTGTTTTAGCTCGCAGTAAAGACACCAGTCAAACTTGCCTAGGTACCTAGGTACTTAGGCAGTTCAGTATGCCCAGCCTCAGGAGACTATAGCATCCAATCTCCCGGAATGGGAAGTTGTCGTATGTATATGAGCTGCACTGTCACAACGAGTGCTACGCCCTGCATTGGATTCTAAAATACGTTGGGCTTGTATCAATGCAGGATCCAGGTTGGGACCCGTCTCACCTTGGCCTTATGTAAGCGGCTGTCACGGGCTGTGCCACAGCGGGAGGCTTCAAGGTCACATTGCAGGCATGGGATGATGAAGCGATGAACTAAACGACTGTGGACTTTCTGCTTGTGATTTGTTGGCAATGTCCAAGTCTCGTATTTGGCTCAGCAGACCTGCTCTTGCTCTGCACGAGGGCCTTCCCTATCGCTTCGGGGCCATGACTGCAAATGCTGCAAATATAGATACATTGAACGGTATCGTGCAAAAGTCAAAAAGACATTCTTACAATTCAGATGAACGGTATACCGCAGATCATCCAACGCAGCGGTAGAATGCGCATCTGGCGGCTCCAATAGGTCGGGCCACGACGTACTTGGGGCGGATCCATTGGGCGTCGGCCTGCCACATTGGTGTTGATTTTCGTGCATGTACATCACTGTGTACGAGTGCTCGAAGCAGTCTGGCAGGACCCGAGGGCCCTCTGCATGTCTGGGGCTCTGGGCTGCTGGTTTCAGACCAGCAATTGTCTCAATTTGTCGCAGGGGATAAATGCGTGTGAGGCTCCATCCAGCATGCTGCACGAGCCAGTAGACGGCCATGGGCAAACCCTCCAGAAGATGCTACTAGTGCCGTGCCGTGGGAACCCCACTGCCCTGTGACGCAACAAGGGCCCCCCTAGCACCCAAGAACTGGGCGCAGCATTGCTGGTTGGCAGCCGCGACCAACCTTGCCAGACAGGGTCAGGACCAGACAACAGACCGGGGCAGCTTTTCCCCCGACTCGTCATCCCAATCTTTTCCGACGACCTCATGTTGATTGATTCTCGTCGCACAGCACTAGAGAGAGAGAGCCTTTACGCAGACGGCCTCTCCCAGCTAACACCAGCTAGCTACTCAAGCACACAGGACTCTGGGCAGGCCGATAGGCAGCAGATATGCCGATAGGATAGAATATCTTGGAACGCCACCCTCCTCGCACACCTCCTCACAGGCCTCCTCCCAACCACACAGCACTCGTGCCCGAAGCAATGGTCTTGCAATCTCGAGAAACCCAAACCCCTTTACAACAAGGCTGTCGCATCTCCACCTCACCTTGACAGCTCGCTGCTGGCCCTCACCCGGGCCCCCAGGGCTTAGGCCAAGCCATTCCTGCTTCCTCGATCCTCCCATCTCGACGCCCAACCCACACACCGAGGCAGTGACCTCGAGTCGCCGACATGCTGTCCCATTTTAGGATCCATCGACGCGGCCCCTCCAACCCCTCGTCGCCTCTGCCCGACCAATTGAGCCCTCTCGATCATGCCGAGCATGCCCACCCGGCCCACGACCTCTCGGGCCGTCCAGACCTGTTGAGCAGGCCCACAAATGCCGCCAGCACTCCTCCCCTTCATCCGGCCGGCCCTCGAGTAGACCCCGACCCTGCGCCTGACAGGAAGACCTCTGAGCAGTCCTTGAAGGATTCCTCCTCGTCTCCCTCTATCAAATCCCCGCAAAGTACCGCCGACTCCGGCTTCATGGGTGGCCTTGCCCTCGAAAATTACCGCCGTGCCTTCGCCTCGAAGCGCGAAGACTCGTCTGCAGCTGTCCGTCAGGCACCAGCTGCCCAGCAATCCCAACGGTCCAAGCCGCTCCCGCCGCCCATAAACACCAACTTGTCCTCCGCCCGCCCGTCTCCCGTCCCCGTCAAGGAGCTGAGGTCCCGCTCGTCTTTCGTTGCCCCCACCGAACTGCAGAACAATGCCGGCGCTACGGGCAAGAGGCCCTCCGGCACCCGGCTCACATCCGAGCCCGCCGCTGTCGCCTCGTCACAGTCTGTCGTGGAGTCGCAAAAGGGCAAGAAGGGTCTTCCCTTTCTCAAGAACCCCATGTCCGGCCTTTTGATGCGCCGCAAAGCTTCACAGAACGCCCCCGACCTTCGACCGCTGCCGCTGCCCCAGAAACCTGCCGAGGCTACTTACGACCCTCGCATCAGGGGTACCAGAGTCCACGACTTCAGTGCTCCTAGACAGCGCGTCGTTCCTACCAGGAAAACCACAGTGCCGGGCGCTGAGGTCTGGAGCGGACCCCAGGGCTCGTCGTCCACGTGTCCCGTCTACGACCATGTGTCACGCAGCGAGACTGGGAGGAGTAGCAGCGCCGTGTCAGAAAAGACCCAGCCTGGGATATCAGACACGGAATCGCAGAGACCGCATGACCTTTCGAAAGAGTCATCCATGAAGTCGGCGGCAGAACTGAAACGTGTCTCGTTGGACGACAAACCGCTCCCAGCGGAGCCTGAGCCCTCGGCGCCGGCTGTCGGGGCCCAGCGCTCTGCTTCTCAAAGCTCAGGGCCCAGTGCCACAGCAAACACCGAGTCGATGGCCAAGGCGAATCCGTCGACCAGGACGAACAAATCGCGACACATTTCACTATCCGAAGGCTCTGTAAAGGATGGAGTTGCGCTTGCTTTACCAAAGCACATGAAGAGCACATCATCGCGATTCAGTTTCGACATGATGGGTGCGGCGCGGGCGGAAAAGGCACTGGAAGAGCGCCACAGGCAGAAGGAGCTGGAGAGGAAAGCAAATAACCCGACCAACAGGGATTCGAGATTCGACGACTTTGACGAGGACTCGTTCGACTATGATGCAGCTATGGCAGAGGATGGGTACGAGGAGGATATCCCCATGGTTGGCGACGATGACTTCCTTGAAGACGACGCCTTTTTCGAGGAGGACGTTCCGGTCGTAGGTGACGATTTGATTGAAGACGCGGAGGACGACCCCGACAACGACCAAGAAAATTTTGCCGGCTTCGTGTTCCAAAGGTCAAATCCACAGTCGTCACTAGCAAGCCCTGCGACGGGGCCACTGCTTGCCACTCCACGAGATGCGACAGGCAAGGCTATTGGATATGCCATGACGAAGGATACAACACCAGAGATACAATCTGCAACCTCGCCACTTGCAAATAGTGAGATCCCCATAAATCCGGAGGAGTCACCCAACGCTGTCGATCTCGGCACTCAAGGGTCGGAGCCTCCGCGGAAGACTGCATATGATCCCACTGTCTTCCGGGAAAGAAGACATCAGCCCGTTGACGATGCAGGCCTCGGGGTAACGGCAGACAAAGAGCTGTATTTTGACGAAGGGCTGCTGGAAGAGCTGAGGTTGGAGGCGGACGAGATACAAGCATCTACCTTTGATGAGTCTCTTTTTGACATCGACGACACAGACCAATATGGCCGCCCTATACCAGGCGCCTTCGCTCAAGCTCAAGCTCAGGCCACAAGAGCGGTCCAAGACCAGGAAGGGAGGAAACGCGAGTCCGATCTGGCTTCAGCATCTGGTTTGTCTGGCTCGACAGCCCATACTTCGGTGAGCCTGGGCCTGCAGCCTATGCCGTCGATGACGGAGAAGGGGAAAGAGTTGTCCTCTCATAACGATGCTCCTACTGTCACTTCTCCATCCCAGAATCCCACCGAAGGCAAGGTTGCCGCTTACCAGGCTGCTCTGGCCGAAGCTGCTCACAAAGCAGCCGCGTCCGGTTGGAAGTTCAAGTGGGAGGATCAGCCAGCGGCGCCTCCGTCCCCATCCCCGTCTCCACCTCTGCCGCAGCCTTCGCCACCGGCTGATTCTGCCGACCTGGATGTCACGATTACATCGCCTACAACGGGTTCACAGCCAAACAGCGGTGGGCAGGTGATTGACAATAGTACCCTTGGCGGGTACGATGAATATGCTGATTATGATGATGGCTTCGGGGGAGGGTTCGACGACAACTTTGACGACGACTTTTTCGACGACGACTTCATTGCCGAAGCGAACGCAGAAGCGCTGGCCTACGACTCAGATGGGTTTTATGGGCAAGAGTTCGGTTTCTACTCTGCACCCGTCCCGCAAGGCCCTGGGGGCTCAAAAGCCGGCGGCTCGTCACTAACCGCCGACAATGTCTACGGTGGTTACTTCGGCCCGTCTGGGGTCGGCCGTACCAAGAGCGGCCGTGTGGTCAGTCGCGAGCCGAACCTGACTCCCATTACAGAGCGATCCGAGTATTCCAATCGCAACTCTATTATGAGTCTCGGCCTCCCAATGGGAACCTCGGAAGGACGAAATTCCCTCCAGAGCCCCGGACTGGCACAGCTGGCCATGATGACCGATGATGGCAAGATGACCTTGGCCGAGCTCCTGCGCTTGCGTAGCAGGGCGTGGGGAGGCAGCCAGGTCAGCCTGAGCTCGTCGAGGGAAGGAAGCCCACGATCAGAGCGAGCACCTCCTGGTGAGCGGTTTGAGGGCACGTCCAGCCCAGCACCGTGGGAAACCGGGAGGCCGCATTCCCACATAGGCCTGCCTGGCGGCGCGCACGCCAGGCAAAACTCGGGGTTCTCATTATGGAGCAATTCGGATGCTGCGAGCGGTGCGGGAAGCCCAACAGTGGCCATGGGGTTGTCAATGCCAAACAGCTCCGTACCACCCCAGCCGCTCTTCTCGCCCCCGCCCCCGCCTATGCCACAGCCGTCTTCTGGGCTGCAATGCCCGCCCGTAATCGAAGACGAAGAGGAGGTTTCCAGCCCGAGTCTTTCAGCCAAAAGCCCAACGGTAGACCTCGCCCGCGAGGGCGAGGACGCATACGGGGCGAATGCCACACTTGAAAGCGTTGTCAACCCCCCTGATGCCGCGACAGCCCCGCCTCCGGCACCTCTTGGGTCACCTCCGGCTCCGCCGCCAAGCACGACCATCTCGCCGCCCTCGAAGCGTCCCGGCCACCGCCACAAGAACTCCGCCGAAAGCATCTCGTACTCGATTGACGAGGACAAGGAGAGCGGGGAGACGCGGTGGGTCATGGAGAGGCGTCGCACGGCGGAGAGCGGCGAGATCGAGGTGCTGAGGCGGGAGGTTGTGAGTGCTGGGAGCATCTAGTTAGGCGCTGCCCCCCACCCCCAGCCTCTTGACAGGTCTGTGGCTGGGCTAGCACGGTGTGTTGAAGGGCCCTTACGGTGCTCACGATAATGAAAGCATTATTATGCTTATTTTTCCCATCATAGAGAGAATTACGCTACGGCTATACAAAAGGGGGTGTTCTTTTATTTTCTTATCTTCACTATTAGGGCTAGGCATAACCATAGGCGCTCTTGGGATCGGAGGGGCAGCGATCTGCTGTAGTGTGCAGGTAGATATATGGTAAATTGAATATCCTGTGGGATCAAAATACATTCCTCATTCTTGATGTGGTTTGTCGTGATGGCTGGCAGGTTACTGCTTGTTGTGGACTGCCAATGATGACAGTGCCATCCAGCGGCCAGTGACATACCTGACTCTGCTCCCACGGCCGTATTGAGAAACACCTGCCTGGCACGAGTCTAGTAGGTTGAATGTAGTACTGAGGTAGGGAACTTCTCAGAGCAGCGGACGATGTTGTTGAGTCCACTTGTCGTTAGATTTGAAGATGTTCCTGAAGTCGTCTCCATGCGAGCAGGAACAATATCTCCCTGGACTAGAATCCATATCCCTCGGATTGACCGAGCGGCACTCGTTCACGACTGGTCTAAGTGAATAAGATATTGTATGAGAGGATTCATGCGAATAGCACTTGAGCCAAAGTTAACTATAGATCGCCGGCGAAACGTTGTGTCCGTCTTGTCAATGTGGGAGATGAAACTTCGATCGAGACTATGCATGCAGAACCGTCGAGAAGGAACTGTAGAAGCTTCTGTTGCTCCCCGAGAGCCCCTAGTACGTGGCGATGGATGGCAATATTTGAGCGCACACATTGCCTGCAACCCTGCAGCCCACAATTACTTTGACTTTGAATTTATCAGGCCTATTCCCTCGTGTCTCAGCTGGATGGGTCTATCTGAATGACTTAAATTCTGACCTAGACTTGATAGCTTTGCCTCTCTTGCCTAAGTCCATGAGCGCTCATGACTTTGTGGAGGACTGCACATAGCTCTATGAACATGGTGCTAAGGGCTTGCAGACTGCCGGGAATTCAAGTCGCTCATCCTGGAACCTTGGTAATCTGTCGGCCAGGGTGTCTGCTTCACTGACAGTCAGCAGGTTCATTACATTAAAAGCATAAGCGCCAACTAGTCGGTTAACAATGAAGCTGCCTCAATATCCGATTAATCAACATCTTGGCCCGGCCGTTCAGCCGTTGGCAGAACTCAGGCCAGGGGAAGAAGACTGCCAGTGGCACTCATTTCTGAAATCCCCATTTACTGGATCTCATTGTATGCTCTTGTAGATTTGGGGTTCAGAATAGAAATAGCAACAACGGAGGTGATCACAATTGCCAGGGTGGGGGGGGGGGGCAAAGAAAGAAACCAGACAAAGGCCCTTTGTCAACCAACGCACAACCCTATTGTTGACATGCAAGGCGCAGATGAAACACAATCAGAGATGCGGATTTGTTTCCAAGTATAAGATCACCTGGATGCCATATACTACCAAAAGTAGGCTTGAAGATTGATATTTACTCACCACTGGGAATCTCTACTATTAGCTACTCAATCATCACATCACAAAAATGTGCGTCATCACTGTGGACGTTGCTATTGTAAGTATACCCAGGCTCTTCAGGATATTGCTACTTTAACCCCTTGCCATGAATGGACTTGTCACAAGGAACGTGGGATTTGAACTTTTGAAGCACTTGCTAACAAACCCCATCACCAGTGCGATTCAACTTATCCCAACATAGAACTCCCCGATGGCTGTTTGAAAGTCTACCCATACACATATTCCGAATCTGTCTGTGAACAAGCAGAAAATTCTCTAGGGTCCTGCGGCAAGGTCGAGATGCAGAAGCGTCAGGACAAAGAGGGTTCCCAGATCGAGAAGCGGATCTGCGAGGCTGTAAGTCTACAATTGTATTCCCAACATAACCATATTTTGCACAGTCTTCCCCCGGGAGAAAACTACGGGAGCGGGCTGCGTATGCTCGTGTTTACAAAGATGCTAATTCCAAACTTTCACAGTGCGCCGCATGGGCTGCTCTAATGAGAGGCAGGGACGGCCGGATGACTCGACGCTCGCTCCGGAGGGCGGACTCGCTGCGGAGCGATTCGGGCTCCGAGTACTCGGTGGCAATTATGACCCCTTCCGACTCTGACGAGTTGTCAGAGTCGGAGGTGGATGCCAGGAGCACTGCCAGTGGTGATTTCACAGAGGCTTGATTATAGGTTTTAAGTTGCAGGCGCGTCCGGCCGGAAGCAGGTTTATTTGTTCAAGTCTGTTCAGGGTTTGCTTTACATAGGATACTGAAGTATAATTGAAGCTCGAAAAGTTGCACTTATTTCTCAAAGTCTTTGAACCTCATTGAATGTGATGTCTAGATGCCCACAAACCCCGTCCACGGGAACAGACTTCCATCGTCCACAAACCATTCATGCAAGGCGCGCAAGACGACAACAGACCGCTTGCGCCGATCAAATCGAGATCTCATTCTCACGAGAATTTCTCCTGGCTAGTGGTTTTGTTTCTAACTCCTAGCTAGCCTAACACTCTCACATCTACCGCCGGAGGGACTTCGGAGGCTCCACGGCAGAAATTAATCATGGCGCTCGCTGCCAATGAAAAGAACTATTATTCCGCATGATTATACACCTTGGGCACATGTCCAAGCGCCGGGACCCACAATTACGCTTGAAATGGCCTACGAGGCTTGAGACACCGCAGAGAGAGGGGTGGAAAGAAACGGCGTGCACGTCTGGTGTTTGGAATTTTTCTGTCTTTAATTACAATACAGCCCTACGGGCCCGACGCCCTTACGTCACCCGCCGAAGAACATCCCATCTCTTTCCCGACCCGGCGACCTCCTAGCCCCGGGATCTCCCCCGAGCGTGCAATACACGTGAAACCAGGATTGCTTCTCCGGCGGGAACAAGGGGGTCTGGAGTTCTTGCTTTTGCTTGCGACGACGGTCGACGAGTGGTCGCGGCCTGCCTTCAAGGCCAGCCGGATATATATTGACTGTGAGCTGCGCGGGGAAGTTCTGGCGAGTGGCGGCTCTGGATCTAGAATGCCGTTCGAACAAACTTGAATCATATACCTGGGTATGTCAGCAAGTCACAACTTCACAAAAGATACAAACAACCGCCGGAGCCGACGGAGAACAGAAGGACGCCGCCACGACCGTCTCACGCCTAGCACAGCTTGCTTGTCATGCCACATTTCCAATGTGGCGGATCACACGGCAACCAATATTCCCATGGGTTCCGGAAGTTGCTTCTCGCCCGGGCAGTCGGTACTCCTGACTGCATCAGCGAGGTGGAGGTAATCTAATCTAGCACGTATTTAGCACAGAAGAGGCGTATTAGTTCGGCGTTGAGACTTGGTCCGCCTTCTAAACCCATCACAAGATTAGCGCAGCCGAGTCCGGGATGATTCAAATTGCATCAGCCGTCGTCGGTACCTGGGCTTGCGAACAAAGGGCATGGCGGATGACGAAGCGAAGGGCCAAAAACGAGCTAATGGGTAAATTACGGCGGTCATGTGCACTAGACCATTGCGTTCGGTCTGAAATCCGGTGTGGAGCATCAAGCCGAGAGGTCCACAGCTAGGGCGCTGAAACCCACGTGTCTACTGGCTTATTAGTGGCATGCTAGTTTACTCCCCTTTGGCAGTCTTCATCTCTCGCATCCTGTCTTGAATAACTTTAATAAGTGGCCTTGGGAGTCGTCATGGCGCCGTGGCACGCTCGTGGAAGCCCCCCGGCCTTCGCCGAGGCGCGCATTAAGGATGGAGAATAGAAGAGCACGGGCGATGCTGTAGAATGGAAAGCCAGCCAGTCGCCAGACCGAACTGCCAGTCTGCAAGCCGGGCTTGGTTTCCAGCGGTGTGGATCGAGATAGGTCGAGCTCGAACCCGATCTTGAGGTAGACAGCAAGGTGGATGGCGACTCGGCCTCGAGAAGCTCCTGTTGCCAACACAGTGTCATGTAGATGCGGGCTGATCCATATTGGCCGATATTGGGCGACGAAAACAGTATGACGTGCGTGGCCGCGATACGCCTTGGCCGGCGGTTACACGGCTTTCACCGCGGCCGAAAAGCGTGTTACAGGACTGATGCTTGGGCGGCGACTGGTGAGTGTTTGATATTTCCGACGCGTTGATCGCCCACAGAACCGGTCGATCGCGGCCCCCAAGGGCTGTCACAAGAAAGCATCAAGGTCTGTCCTGGGAGGAGCCCGCAGGCCAAATTCTCCGCCGTTGGTCTGGACCACGGAGAGCAGGATTGAAGCTCGTGATGATCCCGAGGATGACTCAGGGTGGTGGCATCTGGAGCAACTCCTCAGTCGGTGAGCTTTAGCGGCAAACTCAGTGGACGAGGTGTCCTGGGTTAGCAAACACCTGACGTAGACAGTTGGTGAGTCGCTGACTCGCGGCCGGGACCAAACCTGGAGAGTACAGGCGTCAATGACGGCAGTGGTCGCGAAGGCCGGCGAAGCGGGTAGCCGAAAATAGTCGCACACTATCCCGGGCTTTGTGGGGCCAAGCCGGGGCGTGGGGACAGGCGGTCAAAGCCGAAGTTAGAGGGCAGAATCCGGGCTGGCGAGCGGTCGACGGTCGAGGGCCGACGGTGGAAGACTGATATGTGGGAGGTGGAACCTGCAAGTGGATGGAGGGATGCGGTGATGGCAGCCCATGACCAGTTAGTTACACTGCAGTCAGGCTCGATCTGCAAGACAAGATGAGCCGGCGCAAGCTGTCGTGCCTGTTTGAAAGGGGCCAAGAGTGGTGGGTGCCGTGGGGGTTCAGGTAGCGCCGGACCAGGCCTCGACGAAGCGGCGATCGCGGGTTCGCCTGGTGAGGGTATTTACTGCCCTGTCCTGTAATTTGAGGGTATTCCAAGCAGCCGGCCAGCCAGCGCCAATGGAGTGCACAGTACGTGGGGCATAGGACGTGCGACGTGGGGTAAGGCCCGCGATAGCCAGAAGGGCCGGAGCTGAGAGAGAGGGTCGATGAGGTGAGCAGCAGCAGAAGCTCTGCATGGAAGATGGAAGAGTGTTGAGCCGCATTGCTTGGTGAGACTGACCAATCGAGGTGGAGGAGATGGCTGGATGGATGAGCTTGCAGTGCGCCGGAGCCGAGGTCGGCCAATTGGAAAACACAGTGACCGCTGGTGGGTGCATCGCGATGGAAGGTCGGCGCTCGAGATCTGGGGCAGACGACGATCATGATGGCGGGTTTGGGATCTTGGAGTGGGTAATAATAAGCCGGCAACCCTGCAGGTGGTCTGGTCGTGTCATGGCGGCATGGCAGCATGGCAGCATGGCAGCAATGGCGTGGGCTAAGGTCCCGTTCCGCTAGCGTCCAGCTGCGAGGAAGCAATACAGTCAATACGGATATGGAGATTGATGGAGGGTCCTGAGGGTCTGGAGGGTCTGGATGCTACGGTGGGATGGTACTGATGGTACTTAGCGAACATGTAGGCCTGGGGGGCATGATGGAGTCCGAAGTTCCTGGCCACTCAGGCGAGGCAGGGCTGGCCGCCTCACTCTGTCGAGAGGCTGGCAGCCAATCAGCCAGTCCTCGACGCAGCCAAGCGCATCCTGGACAAGCCGGGGGGTAGGGTTTGTGGCTTGGCCGTGCCTTTTTGGACGAACGCTGGGACATTGTACGGCAGGTTGCAGGCTTGAGACGGATTGTCGAGTTGTCGGTGTCTTTGGTGACCGCTTCAACCAACAGTCGGGCGGCGGCTGTGACGTCTGCGGGAGGCGAGCAGTATTGCCCGAGAAAAGCATCGGGGCTGTGGGCACTGACTGATTGTCCATGTCGAGACTCGGCCAAGAAAAGGATAGACTCATCAGGTATCAGTCAAGACTCAAGACTCAGGTTGACGAACTAGAGCTGTAAGGTTGGCAGGGTTGGGCGCTGTTGGGCAATGCACACTGGCAGAATGGCAGTTGTGTATGTGTGTTATGTAATCAGGATTGCTCGGGGTACGGAGGTACGTACTTGTGAGCCACGGCGGGCGTGGGAACAGGCTGCATGCATCTTCCTTAACTGCCTGCCATTAATTGATCCAACGTCCTAGGCACTGGGCATGTATGTACATGTACTATGCATGCATGCAGTGAGTGTATCGCAGTGCATCGCAGCGCAGACACACCCGCAATGCCTGACTGCCTGTTGTGGCATCGCATCACCTCAAATCGCACCTTACACTCTGCTTGTTTTATTCTTAGGCCTTGTTGTCGTAGTCGTCCTCCATGTCTTGGGCACCGCATTGTATGATGTATCTCATGTGTACGTACATGGCAATCGTCAGCCAGTCCGGTTCATAATGGCTCATCAGGTGCTGTCCAGGTGATCCTGTGCTCATCCCATCAACACGGCGCTTGCCAACGCATCCGCAGCCCACCTGGGCACATTGCTCATTTGCAAATTGGCAGTGGCCACCCAGAACACCATCCCCGTCCCGCCTGCCACCCTACCAGCCTACCCCAAAAAGCCAAAAGCCAAAACTGCAGGACTGGCTCTCGCTACCAGAAGCAGTCAAGCAGCACAACGAGTACGGAGTACTGCACATGCCTGCCCACTCCGCTCCACTCCACCCCACTCCACCCTTTTTGGCCTGCCTGTCCAAATTCTCCGATGCCATGGCTTGCCCGACGGGGAAACGCTGCCCATCTCGAATCACCTAGCCCCTCTGCCACCAGTCCAACATGTCCAAGATGAGATGAGATGGTTTCATTGCCGTCAGGCACATCCCCCGACTTGGCCACAATATGCTTTGGCTCTAACCCTGCCAATCCCACCTCAAGAAACGGCCTCTCAACCCGGTCCATCTCGACACCGCACTAGACCGCGATATGCAATCCAGCATCCAGCTCGGCTGCCTCGGGGCAGTTATGCGCAATTTACACCTCAGTCAGTAGCTTGCCCGAGACGCCGAGGAACACTGGGTGCCATGTACGGAGTACCAGCTGGCCGTCGTCAGTCACAGTGGTGGCTGTGGAAGGATTGCGGCCGAACGAACAATCGAGATGGATGGCCATGGGACAGTCAGTCAGTCAGTCAGGATGGGATGCGCTGCTGCACGCACTTCTTCTAGCAGTCACCCTGCAGCGCCGTGTCCAACCGTCAGCTCTGTCAGACCATGCACCCGTTTCGACAAATCGGAGCCCCACGCGGTCCATCCAAAGGGTGCTGGGACTCTGACCTGCATTCCCTAGGCCTGCTGGGCCTGCTGGGCTGCTGGGTCCGCACCTCTGCCTGTTCGTCGGTGTGTGGTTGTGTGGGTTGTGTGCCACAGCAGGCGAAACCGTCGTCAAGCTCGAGCCAGTCGTTTTGTTAGCAGCAGCCACCAGACACACAAGACTGCCCACCCCGGCAAGCCTTCTGGCCGTCTGACCGATCGCTTCGCTTGTCGCTTGCGACTACGACCCAGACCGAAAAAGACGCCCGGCCAGATAAGGTGCTATTGCCAATGATAGTGCCCCGTAACATGCGGCAGGCTTGTATGTACTATGCAGCAGACAGATACCACGCAGTTGGCTTGAGGGGCGCGGCGTTGGGCTTGCTCTGGCAGCCTGGCAGCCTGGCTTGGTCTCGTGCGCGCGGCTCTCAGGCTCTCAGGCTCTCGCGCATGAAGGCAATCTGCTGCGGGCTTCTGAGACGGGTGGACGAGCACGCATCATCGCCATACAGGCCAGCAACAGTTCAAACAATCGTTGAAAAACGTCATGCGGCACAAAGCTGCCCCTCGGAAGTAACCGACGGGAGGTGACGTGTCTCGGAGACTGTCGAGGATCTCACAACGGCCTTTTTCCACTACACGGGACCCAGCTTTGCCCGGATAGCTACGAGACGGCCACGCAAGGAACGCACTTGTGCGCCGGTCCTGACTGGGAAGAGCAGCCCAGCACCAGGGCCCAGCACCAGGGCCCAGCACCAGGGCCCAGCAACATTGCCATGGCCTCTTGCGTCCTGCATCTTACGTCTTGTCGTATTCGTGCCCTTGGGGCCGATGACTGACTTTCAATAGACTAGCCATCCGTCTATATGTAGTAGTCTGGTACGGTACGTACACACACACACACACATATTGAGATGGATGGTCTGGTGGCCTTCTCTTGGGATTGCACGGAAACACGCATCTTACTGCATCCAGAACCCCAGTCCTGGTCGTATAATGCAAAGTTATATTGGCTGGCCGCCAGCCTCTCAGAGCTTCCCGGCTTCCTTGGGCTTGCTTGGACTTGCAACCACTAGCCGCTGCCCCGGGCTGTGCGGGATGGAGCTCTGTCTGTCTGTCTAGCATATTGCGTACTACGCTGCAGCGTAGGAGCCAGCCAGCATTGACAACGACAACTGGCTCCCCACCGCTGCCACCCACTCCCACCACTCCCACCACGCCCACCACATCGGCATGATCCCTGACCCCGATTCTCCCACACCTCCTCCAACACCATCAGAGGCCCCACCCTTTGGCCAATCGTCATTTACCCACACACCCCCCGGGATGCATGGCCTGGCGGGTTACAAAACCCAGCCCGCAATCTGGTCATGTACGACGTACTGTTGTACCTCCTTCAAGCCTCAGCCTGCGCAAGTGGCTTTCTTTTCATAAACAAATCACTCCCCGGCCGTTCTAAAGCCTCGAAAGGAACCGTTCTTCTGTTTGCTTCGACCTGAACTCTGCCACCCCGCCGATCTCTCGTTTTTCCCAGTGAGGCCTTATTATAGTGAGCTTCCAAGACAGACAGCCTTCATCCCAGCTCCCCGAGAATTGTAAGGCTGCCGCCACGGCTCGGGCCCTTTCGCTCCTCCGCCCTGCCTCGTCGTCGCTCACAACTCGCCCGCACCCTGCTCCAGCTTAAACAACACGCGCCGCTGTCTGAGCAGTCGGCGCCGCCATCCTCACTACGATGACCCAGACTGCTTTTGACTTTCCAGAGGACCTTGCAGCCTTGGAACGTGAGGCGGAAGCGAAAGAGCGCGAGGCCAGACTGCTCAGGGAAAGGGTTGCTGCTGCCCAACACCAAAAGTCGATCGCATCCGGCGCCCACAACCAGGACTTCCTGCCCACCTCACAGGGCACTTTTCAGTTCTCGCCACTGCCAGCCACGGCTCGCCATGCGGACCTCACCGTCCACACTGGGCCTCAGCCCTCGGTAAGAGCGGCCCACAGGCCTGCCCAGTTCGGCCACTTCCTAACATGGCAAGCAGGTCCAATATCACCAGAACCCGGCACATCCCATGAAGCGCACAAAGACCACTCACACCCAGCCCCAGCAGTCAATGATAAGCCCAAGCGCAGGCATGGTGCGCTCAAAATCCAGCTCTGCAGCACAGAACCCCTTCGCCGGTGCTGGCCGCGTCAAGCCCATCTCACCCCTGCAGGCTCAGCATGGCTCCAAGATGGACATGATGGACAACTTCCTGAACGAGTCAGAGCAGCAGCAGCCTGCAAATAACTACGTCCTTGCCCACTCCATGGGCAACCCCATGGTGTCCCAACCGCGCAAGACGGAACTCCCGACGGTCATGGAGGCTAGCGGCATGTTGGAGGACCCGGCCAGCTGGCTCTCAAGACACCAAGGCGATCTGGAGTCAGCACAACCGATCGTCCCCACCGACATGCAATTCTCGCCTTATGGGCAGCCATTTCCAACCCCGATCTACACGCAGTTCCAGCCACAAGGCTTCCCCACGTCTCAGTGTGGGTCCCTGACATCCGGTCCAACCATCGAAACTGCCATGACAAGATCCAACAGCACCGCCAACCAGTCGGTCTCGGGCCAGATACAGATGATGAGGTTGAACTCTCAATCATCCATGAATGACGGGGTGCCAAGTCCCGAATACGGGAGCTTCAGTGGCACTGGATATCATCAACCCACTTCGAATAAGCGGCGTGCCCCCGACGATGAGCTACTAGTTGGCGTTGGAAATCATGGCGAGATCTCCTCTGCACTGCCAAATTACCCTGAAGACATGGGCCGGTCTATTTCCGTCGACAGCAGAATCTCAAATCCTCCCTCCAACGTCTTGGCCATGCCAATGCAGCGGTCCAAGACCACTGATGCATTCTCACTCCCGTCAGGACCGCATTCGAAGAGCACCCCAGCACTCGGGCAGCAGGTCGACCTAGCCGAGCATGCTGAGCCGATGATGCGGTCTATCTCCGCGAGCAGCGCCAAGTCTACCCTTTCACAGCGCGGGCGAGCCAAGGACTCTTTACATCGGCAGATTGCAGCCGCGAATGTCCTTCTGGCTCCCAAGCCCGCGTCCGATCCGAACGAGCCAGACTCGGATTCACAACCGGGCTCCAAAGCTGGCAAGGACGGAAAAGTGGCCGTGACCAAAGCAAAGTACGAACGACCCAAGCACCCCAAAGTCAAGTGCCGGCAGTGCGATGAATATCCAGATGGGTTCCGCGGCGAGCACGAACTTCGTCGCCACACCGAAGCCAAGCACGGAAACGTCGTCAAGAAGTACGTCTGTGTTGATCCGTCCACCAAAGGCATCTCGAGCGACTACCAGCCAGTGACCCCACTTGAAAAGTGCAAGCACTGCAGGGGCGGAAAGCAATACGGGGCCTACTATAACGCTGCTGCTCACCTCAGGCGTGCCCATTTCTGCAAAAAGCCCCCTAGGGCCAAGGGGGCTGCCAAGAATGGAAACGACGCCGAGGCGGCTGAAAGACGAGGTGGCAAAGGCGGCGGTGACTGGCCGCCCATGAAAGACCTCAAGGCATGGATGGAGGAGACGAGCGTGTCGGTAGACGACCAGGACGCCCTAGACATCAACACGATGCAGGACGAGGACGAGCTGCAGAACCAGGAGATTGACTACATCGACGGCCCGCTCCCAGCCGCCTATGGTAATATGCAGCCTGCTCAGATGGACAACACTTCCTTCTACGGCATGGGCGACAATCTACCGCTCGACAATAATGACGTCTACCACCAGAACATGCATGACCTCTATGCCGTGTCTCCGGTGCAGCAGCTCGACACGATGATGATGCCGTCTGTGGGATCTGCTAATTTTGGCTTTACGTCCAACATCTCGCCATCCTTCAACCAAATGGGAGTGGCCATGGACCACAACGCTTACCACAGCCCGAACGTCTCTTCGTCCTCAGCGACCCTGACAGCAATTAACAACTTCGCATCTTCCCAGCAGATCCATCTGCCGATCAGCCAGCCATCGCATGACCTTGGCGACTTGGATTTCTCTCTGGTCTTCACTGGCGGTGCTGTGGAAGGCTGCTGAAACCCGGCGGCTCGCGTGGTCGGCTGTTGCCAACGGCATCCTGTACCACCGTCTCGCCCTCTTTTTTACGAAAATGCATGATTACGAGTTATGTTAGGTTTACGGTTGATTTCATCGTTGTAATGTCTCGGGCGTCTATCTCTTGTATGTTCTTTTCTTGTTTGATTTTCTTTACTGTCGCTCGCTTTGCTTGGCCCCTTCTTGAGGCATACGTTCGACGAGGCGCGTGGACGCCAATGTTGTTCGACTATGGGCGCGCTTTGGATCCTGTACTAGACACTCAACACACGTTGCGAGCAGACAGGGTAGAGGAATACGGGTTTCGCATTGTATTCGGCGTTCTTGTTTCGGGGGGCCAACGGGGCTGAAAAGCACAAAAGACGGGTCGGACTCACATCACCTTGTCGCTTTCTGGGTTCTGAAAACACCCTCTTGCCATGGTTCACCGGTCCATGGACTCATTTTCGCTGGGCGCTCTTTGATATAAGGCACATGTTGGTGAAGAATGGCATTGGGCTTGATGTTGGCGCTCGAGCGACAGGAGCGGAATGCATGTTTGAATATGGGATTGGGATCATGATACCTCTGCTACTTGATAGGGCTTCGCTGAGAAGACTTGGATACCCTCAAATGCATTCTAGCGAGACAGACAGGTCTGTCTGGGCCTCGGGAAACACACCTTGCTAGCCACTCATCTTTCGTGCATCTCGCCAACTGCGTAGCCAGTCCCCTACTAGTTGTAGAATGTTTTCGCCTTTGCAAGACCACTGGGTCAAGTCAAGGTTCACGCATGGACGGCTTCGCACTTCAAAGACAGCCAAGTGCATCAAGTCATGTTCCATTGCTCGTGCTCATCCAAGCAACCCACCCTCGACAAGTCAACACAACCAAACGCCTGAACGCCCGCGAGACCAAACAAGTCCCATATCCACCCACCTAAGCGACGACCAGCTCAATAACAGCCGAGTCGGACGTCCCGTGCCGGGAGAAGGAGGACAGCTTGAGCCCGGCCTGGGCGGCCAGCTCGCCGTAGTGGCGCTCGCTGCGGCGCTTCCCGCCAAAGTTCATGAAGAAGAGGTCCACGGCGCCCATCATCTGCGAGGGGGACTCGGTGATGATCTGCTCCGAGATGAGGACGCGCGAGTCTGGCGCCGCGGCGGCGCTGATCTGGCTCAGGATGTTGACGACGTCCTTGTCGGGCCAGTCGTTTAGGACGCGGCGGATGTGGTAGACCAGGGCGCCTGGGAGGTGATTGATTAGTGTCAGCATGCGTGTATTATTCTGTAAAGTGTGCCGACTTACCCTTGACAGGCTCCTCCCCGTGGAAGCTAGCACCAAACTTCTGCACCTTCGCCAGCGCCTCATCCGCCTCCTTCTCAACCTCCTCGATGGTCTCGGGCCGGTCCTGGAGCGCGCAGCGCTCGGCGGGGATACCGGGGTTCTCGGCCAGGATGGCCTTGAGGGCCTGCCCCATGCCACCGCCGACGTCGACGAGCAGCGTGCGGTCGCTCTTGTCAGAGGCAGCGGCGGCATACTTGGCGATCCAGCCAAAGTCGTACATGCCCGTGATGGGCATGTCAGCCACGCCGACCTTCATGGACGCGTTGAACGGCAGGGCCTTCTCCGGGAACAGGGCAAACACCTCGTAGTTGGTCTTGTCCGGGTGGCCCCACGACAGGCCCCAGGGGGTGATGTTGGCCTTCTTGGGCTCCGCGAGGCCGTGCGTGCCAAAGTACTCTGGCCAGTGCGCCACCGGCAGCAGGCAGTTCTCGAACAGGTGGCTGAACATGAGGCTGACGCCCTCGTCGAGGAAGAAGCGCGAGGTCCGGCCGTGCGCGTAGGAGCGCTCGCCGCCAGTGCTGGTGGCCGAGAGCACGTCGCCCGCCGCCAGGAAGTTGGCGAGCCGCTCCAGCATGTTGTACTCGGCGCCCGTCTTGGCTGCCAGGTCGGCCAGGGTGGTGGCGGAGCCGTCCGCGGGCAGGGCGGCGAACACCTTGTGCTCGATGAAGAGCTTCACCGCGCCCATCTCGGTGAAGGAGTACATGTAGCCGTAGACCTTGGCCTCCACCGCGCGCTTCACGGCCTCCGGCACGGCGGCGGCCTTGCCCTGGGTGGGCGCGGTCGGGGGGTCGGCGGCCACGGATCCCATTTTCTTTTTCTTTTTGGATGTGGTGTGTGCTGGGCTTCTGGGTGTATCCGGATGGGTTTTATTATGAGGTCGGCTGGTTCTGATATCTCATCTCGGTGCTGATCAAGTGGAAGTTGCGAAAGGCTCTCACTTATGAATTAGTTCATCATCTCAACCACCTCGCCTTCTGGTCACAACATCGCCATCGCCAAGAGTTTAAGAATCCCGACTACTCGGATTTTATTTGATGACAAAAAGAGGCGAAATGCGTTTATGATGGCCCGCAATGCTGTGCTGCGGGCCTGTGGCTCTGGCGTGCAAGGTGGTTTGAGAATCCTAGTCGGAGCATGGCGGTTTACTGCGTTGCGTTGCTACCGGTATCGTGGAATTTGCTGACAGTTTGGGTGGGTGGGCTGACAGTCATGCCCACCCGGCTGTCATGCAGCCTTGAAGCAGGCTGACGATGCCAAGGGACGTGGGCGTACTAGGCCCGACAACAAGCACGAAACAGAGATTAGCAATTGATCTATGTCTATGGCATCGAAGTCAGCTTGGTCATGCATGCTGGCTTATATGAGGAATATTGTGTGCACTTGGGAGCTCGAAGTAGATCTGTGAATGGCCGGCCGGTGACCAGAGGGAGGTCAGTAGCTTTGCTGCAGCAGTTCAATTACGCTGAACTCTCGACCAACAGAAGTCATGCGTCCAATTTCTTGTTCTATGGAGCTTTCTCGTTCGCTCTTTGACTATGTGCTTGTGTCCGGTATCCTCAGCCGCCCAAGTACACGGCCACAGGATCTGCACCCCAGACCGAGCTTCTTTTTCCAAGGTTCTCTTCTTTGCTTCTCATACATTGTACCTTTCGGCCCTGCCATTTCCCCCACTGATCTGATTAATTTTGTTCTTATCCAATATCCTAAAAAGGGCATTGGCTCATACCTCACAGAACAGGCTCTGTCCTCGTTGAAGGCTACCCCAGACTGCGCAGACTGCCCAGGTGGTGCTTCCCATATTTACTGTTATGTGAAGGCAAGATTGGCGTTCGAAGACCCCAATTACTTAAATGTGTTCAATGTAATCATGGTGTGTACAGTGACCCACCTAGTTATCCTAGTAATGTGCGCTATCATCTTCAATATCGTGAACTAGCCCAGTGCGTTCTTGGTCACCCACGCCTGTTACTATTGGCCGTGTACACTTCACAACTCAGCCAAGGGCTTGAGATGTTGGATTCCTGTGTAACTCACTGGGTTCAAGGTATGAGTGAATGCGTTATTGAGGCCGTACCGAGACAAAAGACAAGTCACTAGCCCGGTCCAAAATTAGTATAAATATGTGGGAAGTCTTGCCTCAAGCAAGCTTCTCTCACCAACACTGCCAGGCAAAACAACAACTTGAAACTCAAATCAAACCAACGCAACAGTTCAAAAAGGATAGCCAAAAACCGACCTGACCAGAACCTCAAACAAACTCGAAGTTGACACAAGTACGTCGTCAAAAACGCAAGAACTTTTCGAGCACACAAGACAAACGTGAACAAGCCGCTCCAACCCCCACAACGCCAAAATACTTCGTTCGAGAACCCCCAACCCAGACGATAAAATGCCAGAGTGTGAGCAGCACGGGACCTACACTGGTAGCTACTGCAAGAAGTGCGATGGGTCCTACATTTAGTCGCCAGTCAGTCGACAATGAACTCTTCGGCGGTGGGAGAAAATGAGACAGAGGCTCCGCCAGATGGACTTGCTAGCAGATACAGCTAGGGAACAATCGAACATGGATTGATTGCTCGAGTGCTCCCGGTGTTTCCAAGTTGCTCTTCATCTACCTCAGCGTGATATGTTCCTGCCGCTGGTTGTGTGTGTGTGTGTGTGTGTGTTTGGAGGGCTAAGCTCTTGGCTGGGATTCCCTTTGTGGGATTGTAACATCTATATAGCGACCACCTTGAGAGACCTGGTCTCACCGTACAACTCCTTTTGCGACGATCTAGTTAACGCCACCGTCAAGGCGGTATCCTTTAGCCTTGTTATGCGTCGTAAGGCTGAGGCCATAAGCACCTATCGTATTTTAAATACTGTATTGATATTTTTAGTTTTTGCAAGCGCTGGTTCTTGAGCGTTTACCTACGTATGAAGGCGCAATGTATGTCCTCGGACGTATGCGGAATAGAAGAGATATCAGTCCCTGCCACTCTTACATAATAGCCAGGGCAGACTCGGACCTCTGGCACTTTGCCAGTTAGGAACTTCTTATTTCAGTTACCTCTGTGTGCACGACTGTGTGGGGTTCAAATACACTGTCATGATCTCAAACTAAACAGCACCAGACTGTCCATTAACGGGGTAAGATAACAGCACGACAAACATGGCCTTTCTTAATGAGGTCAAGAAAACAGGCCAGGCCTGGGCACACAGCAGCGTCGAAGTAGCACGGAGGCATTCAATTATGTCGATAGAAGGCTTTGGCTGCTCATACGTGAACCCGATGCCAAAATGTCATGCCCAAAGCATCATCATTTCATTTCCAGTGTCGAAAGTCCTTGCACCATTGGAGAGCAATAATAGCTAAGCAGGTCATGTCGTTGGAGGGTTCTTCAATACTCACCAAACTGGCGGTTCCTGTTTGGGTGATTCGAGGATCATGTCAGTTGACACACGAGGCTCGAGAATCTTGGCTACTACAAACAAGAAGTCCCAAACCGATCTATCCAGGCCGTGGGAAAATGCGAAGGGCTCGGCTGCATCAAGCATGCTGGGCACGAATCTTGTTCTGAAGATATGATGGATGTGGGGTGATATGGGTAAATGACAGAGCGATCAATTGATGCGTTCAGATGAAGTCACTTCGGAGACCACTTGATGTACGGGAATGCCTGAAGCGACAACGATAAGCTTAAATTGAACCACACTGCCAGCATCTTCCCCCAAATGTCTCTCCACTTGAAACAGCACTGAGGCTCTACTTAAGCTCAGCGCACTGGCGGCCGCAGCTGCAGAAGGTCCAAAGCTTCCCCAGCGGGCGTTTCAGGCCCGAGTCCTGACGAACACCATCTAGCTGTTTGCCTTGAAACAAACCTTGTCTGCCAGTTGTACTGGACAATGAGCTCCACCAAGAACATGATCATGTCGAATTGGCGTACTGTCGACACGCGAACTCATCTGTTTCAAAAGTTGCTCCGAGAAAGGCTTCTCGTAGAATGAGGACGAATTATTTGTCCATTTATGTAAACGCAATAGCACTAGTAGTATTAGTGGACAGAGGGTAAATGTCTCTTCTCCAGCACCTAAATTACTGCTGAGAACAGAGATAACGGTATCTACACTATTCCTCTTCACTTTCTCACATTCCCCAGAATTGCTTCTAATCTTAAGTTTTCACCTGGTTTCGGAAATCTCCCATGTGCCGTAAGATCCAGAATTTCCTGGCTGTTGGCTTGTCTCGCACGGGCGCGTGGGGAAATATTAGATTGCCGATGATATCAGTCCTTTAAATTCTTCTCACAACTTTGACTGCACCCCTCTGCGGATACAGTGCTTCATGAACAGTCCTTTCCATATACACCTGGGCAGGGTTTGCCCTAATTCCTGTCGCGGAGCGACTTCTGAGAGGTCAGGAAAGGATCCCTTGAGTGGATTTGAGGCCCGTATCTGTGGAGGGTTGACAGACAAATACTAGTAGACAGGGTAGAGTTGTTTTGTAGCATTCTATCTAGAAAGCATAGGCAAGGATATGTCGGAAGCGTTGTGTTTCTAATTGGGTTTCCTCTGTTTGCCAAGAGGCGCTTAGGCCGCGTGTAGATCAATCAGTCACTGGCAATCGCTTGCAGTGTGCCGAGTGTCAGTGCGCTCACTCTGAACCGAATCATACAGCGTTACAGTACATTCCCTGATGAGCTCGACCTGCCGTCACACGTGGATGTCACGCATGCTCGCCACTGCGGCTCAAGTAACCTCGAGTGCTCTGTAGCGCAACTCAAACGCGGCATGGGGGGTCGGTGCGTGCCGGTGCATATTCATTGTATCCAGAAGTCGTCTCACGTTGGTCGACGAAGCTTTCAAATGTTACTGATCAAGCGTATCTGGTTGCACTTAGCAGTATACTTTCCTCACCGTGGCACACTACTGTGAAAAACCGGGCCACGCGAGGACATGTCTTCACCATCCAATCTCCCCGTGTTCTCTTGGCTCGTCTTCGCACGATGGTGCACGGTGGTATGCTTGTCTGTTCCGCCAAGATCTCGGAAGCACGGCCACCAATTCGAGGAAGACGGCAGCGATGTCGAGATAGGAACCTAGGTAGAGTGTGTGACCAACTGCTGCCAGCCTGGCACACGACAGGATCACATAGTTTGTTCCGTCGCCGCCCGCCCCCCACAAGAAAATGTAGCCTTTGATTTTGCCAATGTACGGATGTGCCCTCTGCCTTTAAGCTGAGGTCATTCCACGCCCGCAAAACCCAGAATTTCATCCCGACGGGGCATATTTGAGAGTCCGCACCACGAAGCGCACGTACTCCGGTCAGCCCCCGAGACTGCCGTGCCGATCAACAGTCTTCACAAGCTTGACTCAGTTAGCTCTCCTTGATTAGCTCGTTACCTTCCCACCGGAGTCTCTTGGCTAGCCGCAAGGACGATATATTTTCTTTGTCCCCTTTCTTGTTATCGGCGAGTTTGATGCCTTTGCGTATCGGTCTCGCTGGAAGACAGGCCTTGCCGCGGCTCAGCAGCAGCGATCGGTACACAACTTTTCGTTCTTCAATGTCTTGCAATGGCGTCGACGGTCTAACATTGAATTCGGCTCAGCAGCCAGCCGGTCCTTAGCGTTTGCCCCCTAGGAGCGATATATGGAAGCATTGACGCCCTGAAGCGTGGTTGATTCCCACTACCCGTCATCCCATCGCTGTGCCATTCGTCACGCTCAACAATGGGCAATTTCGATAATGATTTTGACGTGACCTTGAGGTCGCAAAGCTGGTCTTTGTATAGCGTTGGAATCGTCGTGATCATCTTCAGATTGTAAGTCCTGCCTGTCTCGTACCCTTGCTTGGCCAACTTCGAGAACTAATGCGTCAGACCGTCAGCATTGCAAGAGCACGAAGGTTAGGAGCCGCAAATTTCCAGGCCGATGACTACCTCATGCTTCTTGTGGTGGTGAGTAATGCCTCCAGGAAACATGAACAAGAAAGCATTTTACTAATCTTCCGTCACTCAAAGGTACTCTATACTGCTCTCATAGTCTGCCTGAATATGATCTCAGACGGCGGAGGATCTAATCTATATCCGCCGGGGCTAGAGAAGAGCTTCACAGCCAAAGACATCCAGGACCGCATCTATGGCTCCAAAGTCGTCGTGGTTTCGGAGCAGGTGATGCTGAATTTGATATACACCATCAAAGCCTGCATGCTTGTTATGTATACGCGCTTAACCCTGGGGCTCCGCGACCAACTCATTGTTCGATGTCTCGCGATATATGTATTCATCGGATGGCTCGCAACCGAGATCGCCTTCTTCACAGCTTGTCAGCCATTCGAAGGCTACTGGGCAATACCGCCACCAGATCCGCAGTGCACTACTTTGCAGAAATATGCAATCGTGCAAGGGTCTTTCAATATCACTAGTGATTTGGTTATGATATGCATACCTATGCGTGAGTGAGCTTATTTTTTTCTATGTTCTCTGTTATCCAGCATGTATGCATGAATATACGGATTATTTTTGCCGTGTCGCATAAGCATTTAAGGTCTGTCACATGTCGCTAATGTCTACCAGCACTCATCCTGCGCATGGCTCTGCCGTGGCGACAAAAGATTGTCATCGCGTTCATTTTCTCCTTGGGCATCTTCGTCATCTTAGCCGCCCTTCTCACCAAAATCTTCAACCTCACAGACGTATACGATGACAACTACATGCTCTGGTATGTACGGGAGGCTAGCGTAGCAGTCTACACGAGTAACCTACCGATGATATGGCCACTGCTCCGCGACTGGTTCCCCTGCCTCCGTGACCTGACACCTGGCGCCGATAGGACGGACGAGAGGCAGCCCGCAAGAGCGGGATTGACGTCGGCATACGCATCTCGCAGATCTACCCGCAGGACGACGACTAACTTCAGCGGTAAAGCAAGCGGCGGTACGACGCTACGCTCGTCCTCGCTGGAGCCTGCCGCGGGCGTCCACCGAAAGGGACCGGCGTATGATGTCGAGATGGCGATCCGTGCGATCGAGTTGGACGATGAGTCGAAGCGCGAGATTTATAGGAGGAGAGAGCTCGAGGATCAAATTGGAGTCGGTGGATGGCACGACAGGTCGTCCATCGACCAGGCGATGTGCCTCCAGTCCCCGCCGAGGAGCGTCTCGCGTGCGACCACGGTGGAAAGCGATTTAAGGTATCTTCAGATGGAGCAAGAGGCTCGCGATATGATAATGATGGGTGGAATTCAGGTGAAAACGTCCTTCACGGTGCAAGAAGAGGTCGCGACGCCGCCACAGTCAAGCCACGGAGGACCGTCCCCGGAGCCCTGGGCGCCAGTTAAGCCCGGGTGGTGAGAATTATCCGGAGACAGGGAATATGACAGGAAAACCAATGCATGTTCAATAACTGGACGGCGGAGTTTCGAGAGTCTTTCTGGTATATACGTGTAAATACTTGATACCTAGGTAGCTATCTGTCAGTCTCGGCCGACTTGAAGGCTATTTCATGAGCTCAAATTCCATCAAGGATCATTACGCCGGTTTTTATTGCGCAGGTTACATTCTGATTATTTTTCAAGTGGTTTTGTGCTTGATACGTTCCTACAACAAAGTATATTCGGCCCCTTGAGACCCCTCAAAGACCAAAACGACATCCCATGGGATAATACCGAAGATTGCAGAGACGCAGTTCGAATTGTCTATGGCACAACGCCCGAGATTGTACTGACACATCTGATACCGTCTGAAACTCATCGGATGATGGTTGCAGGCTTCACACACATTATTAATATTTCACTACCACATCTTTGAAGAGTAATATGGAGTCAAACCACAGCCTCTGTGGGTTCCCTTACTCTTGTGTATTGACGGCTATCATTGAGACTATGTATTTAGATCTGTTCCTACGGAAGCAGGGAATTTATCAGATAGAAATTTGGGGATTCTTTTTCCTGTAAGATGTCATCACATAGGAGCCCTGGAGGTTGGAGGGGTGGTTGGAAAATGCTCTGGCCATGTAGCGAAAACACGGGCAGTACTCCTGATCTCACAGTCCAACTTGTACGTGACAGCTTCAAACCCAAGTTCATAGTGGGGAAAGACAGACCTGCGGCAATAAGAAAGGATACGAATGCTTGAATGGTTATTGATCTATTTGTCAGGCCATGTTACATGCAGTATCACCAACAGAGCCTCACTCTGGCTGCATGTGACCTTTTCAGCATACGAGATGACCGCGCGAATGCAGCACGCCAAGTTCTTTCCGCTCTAGAGCTAAGGAACTGCCCAATTGCAGGTGCACACGACGTTGACCGACCTGCAGAAATGCCCTTTTGGCTGCGCTTGATCTTCTCCGGGTGCCTGCTAGCTGACTTGTACCCCCTAGAGCTGCAGTCGGATCTGACATCCCTCGGAGGTTTAGGCTGTGGCGCAAATATTATCCACTTAACACAGCCGATTACAAACGAAACAAGCTTGAGGCTGATTCTCGGGCTGAATGCCCTCCGCATTTCACCTCTGTATTTGGGTACTCCGAGTCTTTGCCAACCCCATCGACTCAGACTAGGATGTTGTAGTTTCAGTCAGACGCCAAAGTTTGAATCGACAACGCTGATTACAGATGAAAGCCCCAGCTGTATGAAACGACACGCCCAAAGCAAGCCCAAACCTGAAGAAATACACACTTCGTCCCTGCAGCTATGGACCCACTGTCGGGAGCAGGCTTAGCAGGGACGGTGGTGCAATTTGTTCAGTTCGCAGCAAACCTCTTCAACATCGCCAAAGAAATCCATCGCTCGTCTACAGGGATATCAGAGGAAATAGCATCTTTGGAGGGCATATACAACAGGTTGGCGGCTCTAAGCCAGAACCTGCAGCAGTATGCCGATGCGAGCCACGGCAGCGATGGCGCCCAGCCGGACAATGCGGGCGATACCGCGATGGTGGCCCTGGCCAAGGAATGCAGGATCGACTGCAATAGACTTCTCACTGTGCTGGAAAGAATCAATCATGGGCAGGGAAACTTGCCCAAATGGTGGAAGAGCTTCAGGTCAGCTCTGAAGGAGATATGGCATAAAGACGAAATCGAGGCACTGGAGGGTCGTATCTCGAAGCATCAGACTCAACTTATCATGCATATGTGCATGGATTCAAGGTCAGAGTGCTTCCGAAAGACGATTCAATGATCTGAATGGCTTACTGTGTGTTGGTTTTTCAGTGAACGGCTGCGTCATATCAGAGCACAAATGAAACACGATGATGTTAAACGCCACGAGAGCTTCTGGAACAGAGTCAAGACAATGGAAAGCAACATTGAGGGGATCAAAAGCGCGCTTACTGCAGACACTGCAAAGCGCCAGCAGTCGAACCCGTCTCAAGAGCCCAGCCATTCTTCTGGTAGTGACTCGGAGTCTCTCTGCCAAAAGACATCGAAGCTATCGCTGGATGATATGGACAAGCTCCAAGTCATTAAGAGGGTGTTTGCGGATAGGTCCGAGCTTCGAAAACTAATATTACTGAGCGACACATTCACCACGGGCGCGGCTGACGCTATTTTGCAAACCATCGACTATGAAGAACGAACTGCCCGGCACGAAAGTATACCGGACGCATACACAGCCACCTTCCAATGGGTATTCGACAAGAAAGCCCAACAAGGCACTCAGCTTCTTGAGTGGCTGGAGAAAGGAGGCAAAGTATTCTGGATAACTGGGAAGCCTGGTGCAGGCAAGTCCACGTTCATCAAATTTGTGGCAGACAGTCCACGTACGAAGACTGCTCTGCGGAAATGGGCTGGCAAAAGCAAGCCCATCATCGGTTGCCACTACTTCTGGAGCTCAGGGTCATCGATACAGAAGTCCCGTGACGGTCTTCTTCGGTCACTTTTGCATGACATATTCTCCGAGGCCCCTGAACTTCTCCAGAAGACATGCCCGAGGCGATGGAAGAGAGCCTTATCTACGAACTCCGCAGTGGGCCCTGCTTGGTCTTCTTCAGAGCTGAGCAGGACCATCTTCGAAGTCGTTAAGAAGGCCGAAGCAGATTTTAATTTCTGCTTCTTCATCGACGGCTTGGATGAAGCTTGCCTGGAAGTGAACGACAAGGATCTGTGTGACACCATAGTCGACTTGTCAACCTCTCCTAACGTGAAGCTTTGCATCTCAAGTCGGCCCTGGAACAGGTTCACCGAGTATTTTGGAAGCCGACCAACATTGAGCATACAAGAGCTGACTCGTGATGATATCCGAAATTATACCCAACAAGAGCTCAGCAGACACCCTAGGTGGGGAAGCCTTGACAACGAGCGTGGCACGAGAGACAGTATGGTCACCGAAATAGTACAAAGAGCCCAGGGCGTCTTCTTGTGGGTTGTACTAGTTGTCCGACAGCTTCGAGAGGGTCTGACGAATTATGATACCTCGGCAGACTTATGGAAAAGATTGGACAGGATCCCGGACAAACTGACAAAGTTTTTCCAGCTCATCATTCAAAGCGTAGAGCCGATCTACATGCAAAAAATGGCAGAAACGTTGTTGATTGCCGCCGCTGGTCAAGGCCCCCTTCATTCCGCAATCTACACCTTCCACGACCGGTGTGATTCCAACCCAAATTATGCCGTCGAGGAGCAGCTCATTCCTTGGAATGACGAACAGCTTGAAAGCGAGATCAGGCCATTGTCGATCAGGTTGAACTCGCGTTGCAAGGGACTACTTGAGGTGGATGCCTTCGACAGGGTCAACTTTCTCCACCGCACATTGAAAGACTTTCTACAAATGGAGGGAATGTACGGCGAACTTAAGAAGCAGGCCACCTCAGGATTTGACGCGGAGCTGAGCATCTTTCAAGCGTACATATGCTGGATCAAGCATGCGGCCTTCGTGTCCATGGGAGGAATCGCATACTATGGGCCCTCTAAGAGTCCTTTGGTTGATACTCTGGAAACGGCACTTGGATATGCTGCAAGATCAGACAGCCCTTGCGTTCTTGGCCTGATCGATGACCTGGACTGGGCGGTCCACAGGATGTTCAAAACTGGGCAGGCGACGTTCGCTGGCACCGAGACGATTCAGCAAACACAACATCTGTTTCGAACCTGCATCTTGAGGACTGGGCTCGACAGGTATCCCGCCGAAACCTTTTATCAAGCGCCCGGACACTCGAAGGAGGTACTTCCACTGGTCTCCGTCCTGAAGCTTGACGCACAAGTCGGGAACGATTACGACGTAAGGTGGTCAGCACGCAGGGTCAATCTGCTTCAGACCCTCTTGGATCATGGGAATAACCCAAACGAGGCATATATCGACCCAGAATCTGGCCTTGAGACCACCCCGTGGTCCGAGTTCGCGAAGCGATTGATGCCATGCCCGCAACTGGAGCTGGATAGCCTGCCAGCTGACTACCCGCAGGGGCCGTTGATGGAGGCAGTGAGCAGCGTCGTGTTATCAATGCTTCTGGACAATGGAGCCGACCCAAATGCCTTGGTCGAAGGCGAAGAGTCGCCTGAGCCCCTCCCAGTGTGGGCCAAGTTCTTCCTGGCCTGCTTCTTGACCCCAAGCCTCATTCTGCACAGCGATCGATACCTCGAGGACCTGGATAAGATGGTGCACAAGGCAAACCTCGAAGTCAACACAGGTTTTCTCCAGCCACTGGGTCAGTGGTCAGTAGGAGAGCCGATTGAAGTTGTTTGCCGAAGCCTTGGTGTCCCGGTACCGTTTCGAAGTGCTCTGTGGAACATCCTGGGCTGCTTCCTGAAGAAAGACCCTGCCTTAACACCGACACGCACGCCCAAGAGTTACAGGGAGCTCCAATTGTATGCCAAGGTGACGAAGACATTTCTGCGGCATGACGATCTCTCAAAATTACCACTTCTTGACATCCAGGAGGCAGTGACGCAAAGCATGCCTATGAGCCTCGTGCCAGACATATTGGAGGGTATCAATGCGTTCCTTGGGTCTTATCCGCAAATCAGGCCAGCGGCCAAGAGAAGGAGGAGGGCACTAGACGAAGAGGGTGACGAAGACATGGCCTGCGGTCAGGGAAACAAGGCTCCTAGGCTCAGCTTCATCTGCAACTCTGCCAGCGCGACGCCGGGCAGGCATGTTGGAAGGACGTTTGGAGAGACAGTAAGGGCTTGAGCGGCGGATGACAGACAGCACATGGTGGTGTGCAGAAATTGTAGCAGTAAATTTGGATAATTGAGCAGTCTGACCAGAGATAAAAGGCACTCGAGGGCAAGATGTGAGTGAAGGTTTGTACCACATAATATGGTGGCCCGTGCTGCCCCAGGCCGGCACTCAAATGCAGCAGCAGATCTGCCAGTGGATGAACGGTGTGGGCAGTGACAAACGCAAACGCAATCGTAAACGCAAACGCAAACGCACATACCACTGCACACAGAGGCAAACAACAAGCCACTTCGTTCCAGCCTAATAAACCGCCACAAACTCCGGCGAAACAGTGATCTGGCGGTTACCTGGATACCTTGGACGCCTCTGACTTTTATTGGACACAGAATTCATTCCACCTGTTGTCTTCTGACAGCAAAACAAGAGACTTGAAGGCAGAAAGGCTAGAGCAAAGTGGACCTGGTCCACCGTCGAGCAGGGTTACACAGTAATAATTACAGGCACACATCTCCATAGGGTAGAGTGAAGGGTGAAGGGGCAAGGGGCACGCACGCACGGCTGCACGGCTGCACGGGACTGCCCAGGCTTGCCAGGGCACACACACAAGTCCATCACAGAGGGGGGGCCAGAAGTCCAGACCCAGACCGAGACCGAATTGCTGGGTAGCTTGGTTTGGTCTAGTGGGGCCGGCGCATAGCCTCCGTCCCTGGCTCTTGCATTTCTTTTTGCGACACCCTTTTTGGAGCTTCACCCTTCCCATCCTCCTCGCAACCGTCCTGCCCAGCCAACGACCTCCTCCCTGCACCTGCTGCACCCTGTCTTTGTCCATCAGGTCGGGGCCGCTCAATCCATCCTCCACAAGTGACTGGCTTGCCAGACCCTTTGTTACTGTGCCCCAGCTGATGCTGCGACTCGACAAACCCTGGGAGACTCAAACTTGAGCCGAGTCTCGCTCTGTCACTGAGCACACGCACGCTACTCATCTACCAGCCCCGTTTCTCCTTGGCCCTCGGCCACCGCGACGGAAAACTCTGAGGCAGCCTCCCACCCAGATCGCCATCATCTATTACGAACCGTCAACTACACGATTCTGGTCTCGCAAACACTGACCTGTTCCAACCCCCAAGATGGCGGGTGCGACACCAGACATCCAGCAGATCCTGGAGCAGTTGCGTGGTAAGCATTCCCCATCCACACCGTCATCCCGTCCTCCCTCATCTCTCCCACCCCCCGGGTTCGATTGCCCTCAACTGACACCCTCCTCCAGCTACCCAACAAAGACCTGCGACAACAACCCCAACCCAAGGCCAGCCTGGTCTTCCCGGCCCCGCCTACCCTCCTGCCCAGGGCTATGCCATGCCACCAGGTGCCCCTCCCGCGCAGCAGAACAACTACCCACCTCCAGGTGCCTATGGCTATCCCCAGCCCTCCTCAAGTGGAACAGTGGACCTCAGCACAATCAAGCCTGTGACTTCGGGTACTGTGAGCATCCAAGATGCCATAGCAAAGGCAAAGGCCGTCGCTGCCGCCAATAACCTTGCGCCGTACGAGCGGCCTCCAGTCTATGCTGGCAACGACGGCCGTCGCCGCTCGCGTTCCAGGTCTCCTCCCCGTCGCGAGGCTTTCCACGACAACTACAACCCCTACAGAGATGAGCGTCGCGCTGATCGTGGTGGGCGCGACCACGGACGCGAGCGGTCGTACTCTCCTCAGCGTGGTCGCCAGGGCGCCTTCTCCCCTCGCGGATCCAATCCTGCGCGCCAACGCTCTCCCCTCCGCGGAGAGGATGACAGCTCGTCAGAAACCATGCAGATCGAGGCAAGCCTTGTCGGCCTCATCATCGGCAGGCAAGGAGAGAACCTGCGCCGAGTCGAGGGAGAGACCAAGTGCCGCGTGCAGTTTCTGGCCCCACATAGCAATGACGACAAATTCAGGCAGTGCAAGATCACTGGCCCTCGTGCGAGGAGAGCGGAAGCAAAGGCTGCCATCAATCGGATCATCGATGATAGCGGCATGGGTGCGATCGCCAGGGCTGGTTTGGATAGAGGCCAACCCCGTCAGCCCCCGACTGTCGACCCCACTAGTGGCCAGATCAACCTAAAGGACGGGGAAGAATGCCTGCAGATTATGGTCCCTGACCGCACTGTGGGTCTCATCATCGGACGTGGCGGCGAGACTATTCGTGATCTTCAGGAGCGAAGCGGCTGCCATGTGAACATCGTTGGGGAGTCCAAGAGTGTCAACGGACTTCGCCCAGTCAACCTCATTGGCCCTTATGCTGCTGCAGCCCAGGCCAAGGACCTCATCATGGAGATCGTGGACAGCGACAGCCGGAATGGAAACTCGGGCGGCGGCGGCGGCGGCGGTGGCGGCGGTGGCGGCAACCAACACCAAGGCCGACCCAACCAGCGAGATAACGGCCACGACAAAACCAATGATGCGATCTTTGTTCCGAACGAGGCCGTTGGAATGATTATTGGCAAGGGTGGCGAGACTATCCGTGAAATGCAGAACCAGACTGGTTGCAAGATCAATGTCTCACAGCAACCCGCGCCTGGTGAGGCTGAGAGAGAGATTGAGCTTGTCGGTAGCCGAGACGCAATCGAGCGGGCCAAGCGGGCCATCGAGGACAAAGTCGAAGCAGTTGTAAGTGTCCTGGCTCGTGAGATGGTACCGTTTGTCGCATACTCTAACACCCGGATCCAGAGACAGAAGAGCAACGGCGGTGGCGGCGGAGGCGGAGGAGGACGCGGTCGTGGCCAGCACCGCGACTACGACAATCCAAACTATGGGCAGCCAGCTTCTAACAACCAGCAGTCACGGGCACCTGCGGCTCAGGCAGGCGCCGACAGCCAAGCCGACCCCTACGCAGCCTGTGAGTATCAGCCAACCCCTTGGCCCGTGATCCAGGCCATATTGTGACCGCGCGAGCAATGACTGACAACACGGCAGATGGCGGCTACCAGAACTACCTGGCCCTATGGTACCAGTCCCTCGCTGCACAGCAAACTGCTGCAGGCCAGGGCGACGCTTCCAAGCCACCCGGCACATCGTAACCGGCCATGCGCAAGAGACGCGGCCAACTGCGTGACGTCTTCTGCGGAGAGATTGACCCGACTGAACCACTGCATCGCTGTTGACTGACATGGCGGCTGTCCGTCTAACCGCATCCTGATGAAGCTGCCCCATGCCAGAGATGCACACCTTTCTTGAGATTCGCCCAGCTCCATCTCCATACCCCGACTTTTCTTCAGCCTTTCATTGTTTGAGAACATCGTTCGTTTCCTTGGCATCACGGTCTCCGCCGAGGAACCTGCCTTACAGAACGGGGCTCCCTCCCTGGGGCCGATCTGACATACCCGTGGACTCCTGACAAAGGCCCGTGAGGCAAGTGGTGTCGCACCTAGCGGCTTCGATTGATTTGACACTTCTTCATGAGATGCCACTTGATCGTAGTCCTGACAGCGACTTGACTGCCTTTTGGGCCATGGTTCGCAAACTGCACGGACGAAAACCTATTGAGCTTGTTGCGCTTAATGTGCCTGGTCTGACGTCGTCTGGACACTCCATAAAAGTTCAGCTTCGTCACCAAACTTTGATACCACCCACGGCCTGGCTGCTCCTCATCCCGGGGCCCTCTCGAGGGCAGCTGCAGCGACCACCCCAAACGCAATTTCCTTCTGACTGCAGGCGTTTGTTCATTCAACATTTGTCGTTCATGCTCCGCAACTTGAGACTCAAGTAAGCTTGCTTGCATCTGACATTTACGGTTGGTGACGGTAGTGCGTCGTGACACGGCGTCTTGTGGTCCCTGAAGCGCGTCCATGAAGACCGGCCATCTGGCTTCTACTTGCTGCACATGCGTCTCATCACACGTGGTTACAGTCTTCTGAAAATTGGTCGTGACCAGTCTCTTTTCAGCACTACTCTCCATAGCGCCGTCTTCTTCGTGAGTATAATGAGGGGAATACCGGGTCAGGATATGCCACCGCTGGCCGACGAAGGGCTGTGGTAGGGCAGAGGAGACGCAGCCGAGGGACACGGCAAAGCATTGCCAATGTGTAAAATATAATATGATGACATTCTGAAATAGCAAGGACTCGATGCAGTGGTCGTGACTTATTCTGTTTATTGTATCCTTAGCAGAGCCCTGCCGATTTGCAACTCGTGCTGTGCGTTCACAAGGAGTGTGCACTTGAGCAAATCGAGGCTCCATCATTAAGGCGCCTGCACTTGGGCCCCTAAACACTTCCGCACCCATACCTATGGACTCACATCACAGCTTCGCCCTCGGCGCCCCCGACACCGCCTCCTCCCTCACGAGCTTCTCAACAGCCTCGACCGCCGCCCTGGCGACGACCTCGTCCTGGGCGGGGGTGCCGGTGCTGCAGCCCACAGCACCGAGGATCTCGCCACCGGGCCCGATGACGGGGACGCCGCCGCCGATGACGTTGAACCTGCCCCCGTTGGTGCCGTTGATGCCGTAGGCCGGGCCGCCCGGCCAGACGGCCTCCTTGTAGGACGAGGTGGGGACCCTGTGGCCGGCGGCCGTGAAGGCCTTGTCGATGGCGATGGCGACGGAGGTGAGCTTGGCGCCGTCCATGCGGGTGAAGGCGAGGAGGTGGGTCCCGGCGTCGACGACGGCGATGTTCATGGGCACGCCTATGCTGGCGGCCTTGGCCTCGGCCGCGGCTGTTGCTGCTTTGGCGGCCGAAATTGTTAGGGTGCGGGTTGTGGTTGTTGCCGGCATTGTGTTGGTTTACGGAGATGAGATGAGATGAGATCAGATTAGAATTAGTAGTTGGTTGGGTTAATTCTCGTGCTTTGTCCCGTGTCTAAACGGTGCGTATTCAATTATGTGGAAAAGGGGGGTCGTCTCCAGACTGCTGGGACATCAGGTGAGATGGACGTTAATGGAGTGACGTCGTCGTTTTAATATCAGTCTCAGGGCTTGGAGACCTTCGAAGATGGTTCGGCATTCGGGATCGATAGGGCATGCGATATCGGGGTATATGGATTACAGCTTGCCGGTTTGTAAAGCAAAGACTTAAGGAGCAGCGAAGACGAAGAGAAATAAATATCGAGTTGTAGCTTTAGGGGACAGATAGGGAGGGATCAACTCAGCGTGCTCGCTGTGAGGGACGAGGTAATACATTTCGGGACGGGGTGTGGTCTGCATGTAAGTTGGATATCACGTTCCCCAGTCCTAACCCTGAACTCGTCTCTAGTGTCGAACACACCTTCACCCAAGTACCGATGTCGACAAGGATGTAGCTGTTATTTCAGTTCGAGACCGAGTCTTGGTATATTTTTTAAATGACAATCCTTCCCCAATACATGGTTACATATAACGGCGCAGGAGCTGAGCCAGGGAGCCGGGCAAGGTTGGCAACACAACGTCGCAAGGATTGCGTGGGCCCGCACGACCTATCAGAAGCGCTAGAGCATAGCACGAGGGCAGCACGTGGGCGAACCATGGTGTTGCTATCACTACCTACCTAGAGGTAGGTACCTACATACACAGCAATGACGGCGCAATTCTTCTTTGGCTACTCAGATGCTCACTGTCTTACCGCAGTAATCCACTGGGCTGCCCCATGCCCCACTAACGACCATGTCCCTGGGCGGCCTCTTGTGCTGTGGGTCGCGAGGCACAACACGCACCCGGCAGCCTGGCCAACCTTGGCTGCATCATGGCGCATATACAATTTTTGGTACGCAGATAAGCCCACAGCTAGGTTGCTCACGCCTGATCTCGCGTGAAGGAGCAGCTCCTTGCTGGGGGTCATGCGACACCATCTCTATCCTTAAAGCCTCTCACGCGCCGCGCCCAGCCTGTGGGCGTACCTCCCGCGCTTGACGTCAAATGTTCACGTCAGAGCTGTGGCTCCTGCCCTCAACAAATCGCCAAACGACTTCTTCTAAATTCACCTGTCCTGAGGCCCACCCTAATTCGCCTTTTCCCACAAAAGCTGTCTGGCGAGGAGTCCATCGCTCCTCTAACGCACCGAGAATCCGTGGTGTCACCAGACAAGCAGCACAGACATGACAGCCCACGTCGATGACAGCCCCAAGTTGGAGGCCGGCGGCGACGAGAAGCTCAAGCTACCCGAAGAAGGCGTGCTGACCGACGCCGGCCCTGCGGATGGCAGCTCCCTGAAGGGCGGCGAGGACATTCTGGCACTGCAGGACCTCGACCCGGCGCTCAACGCCAAGATGCACCTGGTCAACAACGCCATAGACGAGATCGGCTGGACAAACTACCACTGGAAGCTCTTTGGGCTCAACGGCTTCGGCTACGCCGTCGACTCGCTCGTCCTGCTGCTGCAGTCCATCATCGCCACCCAGGCCTTCAGGGAGTTTGGCGAGGTCGGCTACCCCCGCGCCCTCACCATCGCCGTGTACGTCGGCATGCTCACCGGCGCCATCTTCTGGGGGTCCTCGGCCGACGTCGTGGGCCGCCGGCACGCTTTCAACATCTCGCTCTTCGTGTGTGCCGTGAGCACCCTGCTCTGCGGTGCCATGACGAACTGGGGCTCGCTGGGCTTCTTCATCGCCCTCGTGGGCTTCGGGGCCGGCGGGAACCTGATCCTGGACACGACTGTGTTTCTCGAGTACCTGCCCTCCCAGAAGCAGTGGGTGTTGACGTTCCTCGCCGCCTGGTGGGGGCTTGGGCAGGCGATCACTGGGTTCATTGCTTGGGGCTTCATGGGTGAGTTGCACCTGGCAGCGTGACCTCACAGCCGCTGGGGATGTGTGAACGTCATGGCGAGTTGCTATTGCTGACCTTGGTCCCATCTCGGTAGTGCCTGAGAGGTGGAATTGTACCGATGCGAGATACTGCTACAAGGAAACTAACATGGGCTGGAGATGTGAGTAATGACCTCTGGTGATGACCTCGGCTCAGATGGCCTAACAAGGGCATAGATACAATGCTCACATCGGGGGCGCTGGTCTTCGTCATGTCGGTCCTACGCGTAACAGTGGTGCGACTCAAGGAGACTCCAAAGTACCTGCTGGGCCTCGGGGACGACGCTCAAGTCGTCGAGACGCTCCAATTTCTGGCCAACAAGTACAACCGCCCGATCTCGCTCACATTGGAGAAGCTCGAGGCTTGTGGTCAAGTCAGAGGGGCCCACAGCAAGAACCGCTTCTCAGTCAACGAGTTCATGATCCATATCAGGGGTCTGTTTGCGACAAGGAAAATAGGTGTCTCTACCATCCTGATATGGATCTCCTGGACGCTCATTGGCCTCGTCTACCCACTCTTCTACGTCTTCCTCCCGTACGTTTCCTTCTAGGACCGCGAGAGTTCACGACGGATATCCACTGACACCATACAGCACCTATCTCGAAACCCGTGGGGCAGATTTCGAAGAGACCCCCGTAAGCAACTTTCTTCTTTGCTCGTATCTCACCAGACCCCACAGATAGGATCCAGCCTAACCTCAAGCTGCCACAGTACGAGACGTGGCGCAACTACGCCCTCGTAAACGTCAGCTCCATCTTCGGCCCGATGCTCGCAGGGTGGATGTGCGACCTGCCCCTCCTCGGGCGGCGCTACACGATGGTGATCGGCGCCCTCATGACCATGTGCTTCTTCTTCGCCTACACGGCCGTCCGCTCCGCCGCCCAGAACGTCGGCTTCTCGTGCGCCATCGGGTTCTGCCTGAACATCTACTACGGCACGCTGTACGCGTACACGCCCGAGGTGCTCCCCAGCGCCCACCGCGCCACGGGCAACGGCGTCGCCGTCGCGTGCGCCCGGGTCATGGGGATCCTGTCCGCGGTGATTGCGACTTTTGCTGATACCAGCACGCCCGTGCCCATCTACCTGTGTGCCGCCCTGTTTGTGGCCCTGGCGGTTGTCAGTGTGTTCTTCCCGTTTGAGCCATATGGGAAGAGGAGCTCGTAGGCCGGGGCTAGCTTGCAACGGCTTGCGGGATTGTTTGATGATGTATGAGGTAGAAGCAAAGATATAATATGTAAATAATGACTTTGGGAATACTAAGACCGCTGCTGTCGGCTGAGGCACGTTTGGCAGCCACATCAGGTGCGAATCTTGAGCACTCACTTATTTATTCTTCGCGTCGGCTGAACTCAAGTCTTTGAAACCCTGACGCTGTTATGAGCCACATTCTGCCGTCTGGCATGTAACGATGTGCCGTACGACTGAAAGTTGCCATGATCAGCTTAGATGAACCGACTGGCTTGAATCCAAGATTGCCTTTGGGCATTTTCCCTCTGTGTAAAGCGACCGCTTACACCATCATGATTTGTATAACAATACAATCTCTCGATCCAATATTCTGGTTGTCAGTAGCTAGCACGTGGGACCTATATTGTCCTTTCATCGCGATATTTAGAGGTTTCAAAGTTTATTAAGCCACGTAAAATGAAACTAAAGGTCGGGCTATCTAGCCACCCCGTAAAACCGGCCCATTACTTTGGTCCAAAATTCCTCGGCGTGTTTCTAAATCTCGTCAGACAGAGCAAGCAGCCCGGTAAACACGGGCGTCCCCAGGCCCGTCGCCGGGTCCCACCCGGAGACGGCGTCAAACCCAGCCCCAGAGATCTTACTGCCACAGCCAATGATCCCCCCCTTCGTGACGTCGGTCAGGGCCGGGGACGAGCTCGCGTTCGCGTACAGCCAGGGGTTCAGGAACCCCAGCGCAGGCTTCCCCTTGGCGATGCGGTCGCTGTTGACGAGCTGGATGATGGCCGCAAAGGTCGGCGCGGAGGCGCTCGTGCCGGAGACCAGGTCCACGATGCCGTTGTTGACGATGGCGAACCCTTGCGCCTGTGCCGCGACGTCGGGGTACGCGCGGCCCGAGGCGTTGAAGTAGGGCCTCATGGCGTCCGCCGTGCCGGAGGCGAGCCAGGACTCGACGGCCTTGTCCTGGTAGCTTGGGCGCGGGAACAGGTTGGAAAAGCCGCCTCCGCCCGATGTCCATGCGAATTCGGGGTTGGTGAACGTTGTGCCGCCAACGGTGGTCACCCACTGCAGTTTCATGGCGCCGTTAGTTATCGATATCATATCTGTTGGGTGGGATATGGGGTCTTTAACTCACAGGACAGGACGCGGGGAAGAGGGTTGAGAACTGGTTGTGGCCATCTTTGGTGGTACAATCCTTGGTGGTTCCAACACCCCAATCACCGCTCGCGACGAGGACCGAGACGCCGCGGGCGCCGAGCTGGCTGAAGAGGTCGCAGACGTGTCTGGCGTACGAGTCTGGCATGGTCGAGTCGACGTCGCCGTAGGAGATGGACAGCGTGTTGGGCAAGGGGTCAGCCTCCGCGAGAAGGTAGTCGAGGAACTCGACAAAGGGCTCGTTGGTGTTGACGCCGTCGCCGACCCACTTCCCCCGCCCGGCCGTGCTGTAGTAGGTGATGGGGATGGACCCGGCGATGGCGCGGGCATACTGCACGTCCAAGCTGGCCTCGCTGCCTGCCTTTTCGGGGCCCGTCGGGCAAGAGCCGCCGTTGACGCCGACGCAGGTGAAGTTTTGAGAGGTGTCGCTTCCTGGCACACTGTATTTAGACAGGAACCTTTGGAGGTCAAAGGGCGCGGCGTATTCCTCGAGGAAGCCGGCAATGCCTAGGAGGCCCGTGGTGTAGTTCCCTGCTGACTTGAAGTCGTAAAGGCTGGCCAGGCAAGGCGGAGTCATGAAGCCGGTGCAGCCATCGACCGAGCCTGCCGATTGTTCCATGGCATCGCTGGCCTCCTGGCTCAGAACGCGGAGACGTGAGATGCTGGACCTGAAGGCGCGGAAACCGAAGAATGTCGTGGGCTGGACCATCTCGATATGGCCCGTGAGAGTACCGGGAAGACTGAACTGGAGGGTTCTTAAGACAACCTCGTTTGTTTCTGTGTTGCGGTATGCGTTGTACTCGGCGTCCAGCAGCCTCTCGGCCCGGGCGATGCTGGTCGAGACGATGATCGAGTCGCCACGGGCCGAGTACGTTGCATTTCCACCATGGCCGGCGCTCTCGAGCCAGTCCATGACCAAGTTTCGAGTTTCGTCTCTTGGGACGATAAGGTCGTCGATAGCCTTCTGGGGCATGTGGGCGCCATACTGGTGGTTGCCTGGTGTCGCGACCTGGATTCAAGCTATGTTTAGCCCTGCACACACGTCTAGAGGTAGAGAGAAGCTTATGAACCTACCCTCAATGCGATTTCGTGGAATTTGTCCATGTTCTGGTGGGAAAGATGTATACGGAGTCGGATCGGGATGACCTCCTTGTCAAACTGTTTGGTCTCGTCCTTCACCCATCCCAGTGGTGGGGACACGAGGCTCTCAACGACAACAGAATCGTTTTGAACATTGTCGTCGTTCCAAGTTGGGAATGACACCGCCGTGGATGCGAGTGCCAGGAAAAAGGTGGCGATGTGCAGAAGACCCATGGTGTTAGCAGCCCCTGCAGTGTGTTTCTTCCAGGGTAGAGAAGGAAGGTGTTCTGCCTCGTCAGGTTAGGTCCACGGGTGTTAGGAAGACGATGGGGATTCCGCAGGCCCAGCAGAGAGAGCACGCAGGTTGGTTGCTTACTTGGAAATCCACAGCCGACTCTTGTGGCGATTTGATGTCGATGAATGTGAGCTTCAGACTTTCTGGCAAATGCAGGGAAGCGAGTGGGTGGCTTTTGTACCAACCTCTTGTGCGCGCCATTCTCTGACCGGTTTCCCTAGACACAAGCTGTTGTAAACTAGGAGAGGTTCATGCCACACTAACCTTGACCCCGTCTACATCAACCTGCCGCTTCAAACTGTGGGCAACCTGGCATGGAGGGATGGTCTACTGGCAGGTTTTCATGGACACAAATCTGCAATACACCTTGGCACGGGATGGGCGGTTCATCGCTAGCTAGCGTTGGCTTCCTGACAAGTCTTGTTTTCTTTGCCCCCACAACCTGCTTGCAAACACAGCTGCAGAACAGGAGCCGCAAATGCTTTCATCTTCTATCTCTCCTCTGGAAATCTGTTCTCCAATATTCAGTAGTCTAGTCCTAAGGTTAATCATCGTAGCCCATCTCCATCACCACCAAGACTAGAGTAGTACCTCATCTACCGGAGACGGCCCAGTTAGTTTGCTTTTACATATGTAGGCTCCAAGAGCTCGACACTGCTACCTATCTGGATAAAACCTTATTTCTACTATTCCAGGCGGATAGCATGCCCAATTAGTTGTCAGTGACTTCTTGGGATTTGATCTAGTTGAATGAAGTCAGACCCAGCTGTTCAGACCAGATTTAAAGTCTACAGCACCGGCAACGCATTCAAAAGCCTTCATCAACAGTTGGATTGGAATAGTGCTATTTCATCAGGGGACCTATTTACACTTGGAGTTGATTCCATGACAGCTGATATTTTCTTGTGGTGTGAAGCGAAAATGCGCCTCGCGAGTCGGGACCACCACATCTCGACCACAGGTTAGATAGTCTAGTGCCTTGCAAGAACTCTACATGGAAAGGAGCCTTAGAAAGCTGGCTTGGCGTTCTTGACCAGCATCTCGAAGCTAGGCACGGTGTCAGCTTACTGGAACAAGACCCTCTGATTTTAAATATGCCAGTCCTTCGGTATGGGATCCAGTACGAAGGGCGGGCATTGGGGGCACTCAAGAGGTAGATGAGGGGGACTTACTAGGCCTGGTTCCATGTTCCAGCCTCGGGAGAAGGCTTGAAGGCTATTGTGGCTGCGTCAGTGATCCAGGTTCCCACACCCAGGATTAGTTTTGGCGGGCGACTCACCATCTGAATGTCCGCAGAAGCTGTCGTACCGGGTCGCACTCGTGTCGCTGGTGCCATCCGACTCACCGCCGGGCTTGACCCAGACAAATGCGTCGGCAAGCTCATCACCAGTGCTGCTCGAGGGACGCACGCCGAACCCGGCGCCGTTGACATTGCACCAGTCACCCCCTGGAAACGATCAGCAAAGCGTTTGCCACAGAGAGATCCAAAACTCAAAATCTAGGGATACTTACACTCAGCACGAAGGCCAGTGACGGCGTTGCGGCCAGTGTCGACGATGGCGTGGTTGGGCATACCATTCTGCTTCAGAAGAGGCGCGAAGGTGCTGCGAGGGTTTTATTTCGGTCAGTGAATTGATCGATCCATCCACACATGCACTGGCGGCCACCGCCAAGCTGACAACTCGGAAACATGGGAGCGGGAGTGTGTGAGAGATAACGTACTCGACATAGATCTTCTCATTCTGGCACTTGTTGTACTGAGCATCAGGGGAGCTGGAGAACTCGCCGGGGGACTGGTCCCAGGCGTTCCACCCAGCCACGTTGGTGGCGAACCCACGGAACTGCTTGGGGCTGCCGCCGGCCTTGTAGGCGTTTGCGAGCTCCTTGGCCCCGGGCTGGAGGTTGTCGTTCCAGCCGAGCCAGCCGCCGTGGCCGGCGTCGATGTACATGACCACGTTTGGCAGGTTGAGCTGCTTGATGGCGTACGCGACGCCGTCGCGGTAGCCCTGGGCCGACTGCTGGCATGTCGACAGGTCCGAGTTGGTGACGAGGTTGGGCAGCGAGTCGGGCTCGATGACCAGCGCGAACGCCGTGTTGGGGTGCGCCTTGAGGATCTTGACGATCGGGTCGATGTACTCGGTCTTGTACCGGTTGAGCTCGCCCACCTTGAGCTCGCCGTTGGACGCCTTGGCCGCGCAGTCGCGGCCCGGGAGGTCGTAGATGACCAGACCCAGGATGTTGCTGCAGGGGACGTCGGCGATCGCGGGCTCGACCTTTGCGATGTTCGCGATGGAGTCGCTGCAGGTGGGTATGGATGTCAGTGGTGTGCGAGCCAGGGTGAGGGAGTGAGGACCAAGCTGCTGGTTTCACTCACATCCACAGGAAGGTGCCTACATCAGCAACCTTCTTGGCGGCAGCTTTCAGGCTGGCGTCGCTGATGGCCGCGGCGGCTTTGTTAACCTCATCACGGTAGAAGTTGTTGGCGTGAAGCTTGTATTTGGAGAAGACGTTGGTCGAGGCGTCGAGGTTGACGGCGGAAGAGCAGCCCGACTGGCGCTTCTCCTGTGGTGCCGCAAGTGCGGTGGTGGCAAAGGCCACAACGGCTGTTTTCGAGAACTTCATGGTGCTCTGCTTCTACTGTAAGGTGCTGAAAAATAGTCGGATGTCCTGCAATACTGATATCGTGGAGCTCCTTGAGGCGTCCCCAGCATCTTTATATACCAAGACTGAAATTCGCCACATAGTATGCCCACCATTGCGACAGGCTAGTCGAAATTGATCACACATCTCGGGTCTCCGAGATGGGCCTGCAGGGAGAGATCTACAATCAGGAACGCAGGTCCGAACTTAGCGATGACTTCGGCCACAATACTCCGAGTCTGCCACCGACGACGGGGGCAGCAATCCAGCAGAGGTGTTCCGCGTGACTGGGTTCAATGGGTGGCCAAAAATATGTCCCATGGCACATTGGTGTCACAAAAGCAGTTCCAGGGAGGATCCCCACCCGTGTGGCATGCTGTTGTGAGAGGAGCTTGCCTGATTGGTGTTTGGACCACACGAGACGCAGGGAACACTTTATGGGCAATATCCGGGGGAACGAACTCGGAGCTCGTCAATATCAACGGCGATCCATACTCATCCATCGCCCTTTAGCCACTGGCTGAAGCACGCGAAAGTTTCACAAATTGAAATCTTGGCAACATGGCCTGCTGCTAGAGTGTGACCCCTAGCAATTTAGATTGGGCTTGCCTATCGCCTGGTATTTGGGAAGGCTCACGAAGGAGTCATGTAGCACAGAGTACAAAGAAGACGAGAACACGCTTCTTGAACCGGCGATGCCTGACACAGGGCGAGCGTACAGTGAGGATGTGGAGTTGAGGTATGTCTGTAGAGTGTTCCCAAAATATGTGCTCTTTTGGGCTCGAACGAATTTGATGACACACAGGTCTAGATCGTTTTTGTCATACTCAAGTATCACTGAGAGTGGTGAGCGAGTGTTCGAGACCCCAATGCTAAGACTGCTACCGCCGTAAGAACACACATGCCCAGGAATTCAGCCTTCTGAGAGGATCAAACGGTGAGTCCGTGAGTGAATTTTGAAAGTGATCATTCCGTGTATTCTTCCGGAGCTGGGCGGTCAGCTGTTGAGATTTCACAGGTTGCAATTTGCCTCCCCTCATGGGGAGCGACCAACCAGGCCCGGAGCGCCGTGCCAATGCAGGAACTAGCAATAGGTTGCCGTTGAAGCTGCTTGGGTGCCAAACATGGAGTCTGACGGCCATCATTGGATTTCATAGGGCAAGGGGTATCTCATATTTGTAGAACTGCAATAAGGGCGTATGCAAACACGCAGCCGTGTCCTCTTACCTCAAGACCCAGGTCACTTAACAGCTTGCAAGGCATGAAGACTGGTACAATCTTGGGGTTTGAGAACAGGTACCAGCTGAAAAAAAAAAGAATAAAAAGACGCATCTCCTTGTCGAAGGTACGATATGCTGCTTAGTGGCGAGATCTACTATGCCGTAGGGTACAAACCCGGGCATACCTAAAGAACATACTCCAGCCCGTTATCGAAGGTACATGCATTCAGCGGAAGACATTGCGGGGTCTAGATCAACTGTTCTGACAGGGTTTCAATGTAAGCTTAATTATGCGATTGCTTGTTCCAAAAGGCCAGAACTGCCGGCTCCGGTTAAAGTCGGAGCATACATATATTACCACACAGGTCGCAGCAACGTCTTGGCACATAGTCAGACGCTCCGGGCCCCTTTGCGCTGCTTGCGATGGATTCGTGCAAGTACATAAGGATCGGCAAAATCGACTGGATGGGATTGTTCCAAAGTGTCAAGCCTTTTAAATGAAACGGAGATGAGCCTTGAGGCTCCAGGATTCGTGGAATGAATGGGAAAGCTTAGTTGGTCCACAGGCAAAGGGAACACCATGTTGTCGTGGCCGTCTCGGGAAAACCAGCGGCCTCTCATGGTGATTCCTGTCTAACCTCAGAATCAGAATGTGGGTTGCTCTCATATCTTCTTGAGATAGATGAAACACATTGGAGTTGCTTGCATACCCTCATAGATATTGATGTATCCAACTTCTCGTATTAGGAGAGTAGATACAAATCACAAAGCTCAAAGTCCTCAAAGGAAACAGGTGGCAGCCACTTGTGTGATTCCGCTGGTGTGGTTGCATTTTTGTTCAGATCAATAAATTTTCCACGGGTTGCTTACCATAACCGGTGCATATTTGTATTCAATAACAAGATCCATAGACTATTTGTACTTTTGAAATTCCTACAACAATAAGTGCCCTGAAAGGACAAGAGACAAGATCCACCACGAAATACCCAGGTGCTGTCACTTCAACAAATCACACTGAATGATTAATTTGACAGGGCCTTTACAAGTATAATTCTTAGCTCCAGTTTATCCTTATTTTGTACAGTGCGTAACAGGACACAAGGCATGATCATGGCTCAGATGCTGTTGCAATAGGCTTACAAAGACTCGAAGACAGGATACAGTCAGCCGGCGGCGGCTCAGTAGCAGGCGAAAAAGATCCATCCTGCCTATGCGATCCATGCACGTGCCCATCATAAAATACCGTGCCCTGCAATGCCACAGTATCTCAGACGACCTCTCACGAACGAGACCTACTGAAGAAATTCTTGGCCGTTAAAAGTCAAGACCGGTAGATCGAGGCAGAACTGTGAGCCGGTGATACCTGCGACTGCACGGACCAGCCTTCTCAATATGTCGAAGCATATCATAAATATGGGCATATGTTCTTGGACGTGGAAGAGGGGACCCGGTATCTTTTTGTCCGGTATCTCGGCGGTGGTGCACAAGGTGCCGGCGAACTCGTCTTGCACATCGAGTCGGGCGAGTTAGTCGTCAGGAAGTCATCACTCAGTAACACCCAGTCAGGAGTTAGAACGGGAAACAGGGAAGCGCCGAAGTTACGGGCCATCAGAGACAAGGCCGAGGAACTTGACCATGATACACATATTGTTCACATGTACTACGGTCAAGAAATAGCAGCGGCGGATGGGACAAGCTCTCAATTACCTAGGTAAGCTACCTCGGGTGGTATCGCGATCTATCATTTCATTCATTCCTCGATAAATGCGTCGCTCGTAGAGTTACCGTCCCAAGCTCGATACTCGTGCGTTGAATGCGAGAGATCTCCCAGGCAATCTATTCTATGTTCTCACGGGCACCTGACTCTGAAAGCGGATTCGGAGGAGTCGCTGATCTTATGTACGACGATCTGAGCGCGGGGACTGGACCTGCGTGTTACCTAAGTATCGAAAAATGTGTTGCTGAGCGCTCCTTCGGTGTACGGTCCATGGCCCTGGGCCAAGGTGGATATGGGTGACGGGTCACGGCCGGAAGTGGTTGAGATTAGTGGTGAGGTTTACGGTAACCCCCGACGGGCTCTGAACATACCAGGACACATGATTTGCAAGCGTCAACCGAATTTTTTATCTTATATTTGGGCTTCTTAATAATAACGAGCCCGTCATATCCTGTTCAAATTGTGGCCAATGATCCAGTACTATGTAGGCATGTGGAGGTCACTGCGTTGGCTGATTGTAAACATGTGAACCGTGCCTTGTTTTCATTGCTCTTGATGCATATTCTCACTGTACATTGGCACGCTTTCATTGTAGAACAAATATGTCCACAGGACAGGATATTATAGGAGGTTGTCCGGTAGGAAATAATTCTACGGCAGATTGGATGGTGCATATCGATGGGCGGATGGAAGCCATCAAAGTCACCATTGTCAACTCCATCACAGCAGCGTCGACCAAGGCCACATTTCCAGGCGCACATCTAAATGACGACCAGCGATAGAAGTACATGCGGCAGGACCACCCAAAAGGCTAGAAGGGGGTGCCAGCGTGTCGGCACTGGACAAGGCCAAGCATGGAGGATTGGATGTGTGCGGCAGTGCGGCCAGCTACCATACCAGCCCGGGGAACGTTACATGGACGGAACTGCGAGGGCTGGAGGGCCACAAGAGCTACCCTAATAAGCACTTGTTGGCCTGCCCTCGTGCACGGCACTCGCCCGCCACTCTTGCTCCGGGATATCAAAGCCAAGGGTCTTGTCGTTGGGGGTGGTGTGCCAAATCCTTGGAGGGATTGAGGGATTGCAGCAGATGACCACGGGGTGGGCCGCCCAATCAGCTCACCCGTGGGGCACGCTGAGCCCAGGATGGGCTGCGACGGGTGCGCCAAGGAGCCAATGGGACGTTTTTCTTTTTCTTTCGCATTCGGGCCGGGGCACGCTGCTTATCTGAAGGATGACGGATACGTGCTTTTGTCCTGCGGGGGTGTCTGTCGTATCATTATCATTATTTGTGATTGACAAGATTGAAGATGGTTGGACGAGCGGCAGGGATAGCTGATGATGTCCCAGCGAGGGGGAGTATTATTTGATGGTAATAGTGTCTTCGTCCGAAAGTGCCAGGAGTGCCAGAGTGCTGAGCCCGACCAGGTGGTAGCCAGGTTGGATTTACCCCGGATTCGACAATGAGCGTGTGTGCATGTGGGGAATAAAATGGAACGGGCGCAACGGACGAACTAGTCTACTGTACGGAGTAGGTGGAAGGCAGGGATCTGGGGTCCCGAGCAACTGTACTACAGTAGCAACTGATGGGCCGAGTGCAACACAACCAGACAGCCTGAAGGTTCTCGACTCGAAAAGCAGCCAGGCGTATCCTGTCCCTGATACGAAGTGCTAGAGGCGGCTATCCGTCTCGACAGGCTGAGATTTGCTGTGGCGCCACAGGGGCCCCTCCTAACTACCTAGGCAAGTACGTAGGTACCTAGGTACCCAGGTAGCTAGGTAGCTTATCACCTTCGCAAGGCCTGGCTGCCCTGGCATTCCTCATGTGGGAAGGCGCTTGCTTACTGCCCAGATGGGAGCGGGAGTGAGGGTGATGGAGTGGAGCTGTGAGAAGTGGCACGCTTCTTATTTTACACGTACACTAGTAGGGGCAGCATCTGAAAAGCTGTGGCTGCTACGTAGCTTGTGTGCCCTCGCCCTCTTCGTCGACAAACAAAGGGTCTCGTTTAGTTCAGCCTCTCTGATGCTACCCTTCGTCCTGTCACAAGACATCGATCCTCCGTCCCAACGTCCAACAGCTTGTCTGCGTCCTGCCCGCCTGCCCTGCTGCCCGCCTGCCCTGCAGCCAACTTGAGACATTCGTCCTGAACGGGCTCACGAGCTCTCTCATTTGGTCGCCCGGTGAGACGCCACTCGACGAGCCTTCCCGCTGGTAACCATTGCGCTAGGTCAGTCTCCTTCCTTCGGCCTTGTCTTGTCGTGGTCGCAACCTACCAGTCGTCTGCAACGCGTCGCATTGATAACCAGTTGCCTGGGCATGGATTGTTATCTTGCATTTTCCCATTTCGCTGCCACGCCATGACCACCAGCCCAACATCATATTCCTTGATTGTCCCAGTTCGACTGATCGACTTCCTGTCGGAACTCAGCACTCGATTGTTTTGAATTATTTTGTTTTCATCCTGTCTGTTGAGAGACAGTCTCAATCACTCACCGTCCTGGCTGACCAACTCGCGCGATAGAGCTCACAAGTACAAGCACTACCACTACCCCGCCCTCGGGTTGCCAGGCAGCTTGTCAACAATAAAGGGTGGCAAAAACTCCACATCTCAGTTGAGGACTGCAAAATTGCCTTCTGCTCTCACGATAGTCAGTCAGCATGGCCGACAACAAGGAGACGGCGGCCGATGTGCCTGCCAGCCACTCTCCCGCCACCCCGACTGAGAAGGACACCGCCATCAACACCCCCCCAGAGACACATGCCCATCACGGCGACGGCCCCGTCACTCGCCCCGCCGGCTGGATGTACAAGGGCTTCAAGCTTGGCAAAAAGGAGATCTGGTATGCCTCCCCCAAGATGCAGCTGTTCATGGTCTCCATGGTCTGCTTCCTGTGCCCGGGCATGTACAACTCCCTCACCGGCCTCGGTGGCGGTGGCCAGCAGGACCCCCTCGTCCAGGACCACGCCAACACCGCCCTGTACTCGACCTTTGCCGTCGTGGGCTTCTTCTCCGGCACCTTTGCCAACCGCCTCGGCATCAAGCTGACCCTCGCCTTCGGCGGCCTGGGCTACTGCGTCTACGCTGCCAGCTTCCTCTGCTACACCCACACCCGCAACGACGGCTTCGTCATCTTCGCCGGCGCCCTGCTTGGTGTCTGTGCCGGTCTCCTGTGGACTGGCCAGGGCGCAATCATGATGGCGTACCCCCCCGAGTCGTCAAAGGGTCGCTACATCTCGTGGTTCTGGATCATCTTCAACCTCGGTGCTGTCATAGGATCCCTCATCCCTCTTGGCCAGAATGTCAACAACTCAGGCGGCACAGTCACCGACGGCACCTATGCTGCCTTTATTGTGCTGATGTTTGTGGGCGCCATCCTGGCCTTGTTCCTGTGCAACGCCGACAAGGTCCAGCGTGAGGACGGCTCCCACGTCATTCTCATGAAGAACCCCAGCTGGTCTTCGGAGCTCAAGGGCCTCTGGGAGACCCTCTACCTCGACCCCTGGATCATCCTGCTCTTTCCCATGTTCTTCGCCAGCAACGTCTTCTATACCTACCAGACCAACGACATGAACGGGGCGCACTTCAACACCCGCACCAGGTCTCTCAACAATCTGCTCTACTGGCTCGCGCAGATCTTTGGCGCCGTCGTCATGGGGTACGCCCTGGACTTCCACAAGGTCCGCCGCAGCCTCCGCGCCAAGGCGAGCTTCATCAACTTGTTCGTGCTCACTTTCGTCATCTGGGGAGGTGGATACGCCTGGCAGGAAAAGCAGGTCACCCGTGAGGTCATCGAGGCAGTCGACGCGAACGGTGATCCGACGTATCAGGGCCGGGTAGACTGGACCGACGGTGGCGAGAAGTACATCGGACCCATGTTCCTGTACATCTTCTACGGCTTCTTCGACGCCGTCTGGCAGACAAGCATCTACTGGTAAGTACTCGTCTTTTTACCGCCCCCCCCCCGGCGTGCCGAGAGCTGACCACGACCCCACTATCCAGGTACATGGGCGCCCTGTCCAACTCATCGCGCAAGGCCGCCAACCTCGCAGGCTTCTACAAGGGCATCCAGTCTGCTGGCGCGGCCATCTTCTGGCGGCTCGACGGCCTCAAGAAGCCCTACGACACGCTCTTCGGCGCGACGTGGGGCCTCCTGGGCGCCGCGCTCGTGTTCGCCGCGCCCATCATCTGGACGCGCATCAAGGACACGGTGCCGCTCGAGGAGGATCTCAAGTTCTCCGATGAGACGGTCGCGGACGTTGCGCCGACGGATGCGCTCGGCAAGAACGAGAAGACGGTCGATGTTTAGCCTTGGCCCTGGGTTTGATATCGCGCATGGGGCGGGAGTCAGGCTGTCGATCCCCATAGGTGAGCCTTTTCCAGGGAATGGGAGCTGCTTGCACGTGTGTGCGCGCGTGCGGCATGGTGGCCTTCCACGCCGGCGAGCGTGAGGGCAGTCAATGATACCACAGCATGAGTTCTCGACTGTAGATGATTAATGAGACCGACTACTCTTCTGAAAGTCGTCAGTCAAATATGGAATATGTGAATGTGAAGCTAGTCCGTGATACAGAAATAAGTCTTGCGCCGTGGCGCTAGTGCGGCACATAGTATCCTGTTCAAATGCTAGGAATCAGGCATTCTCAGTGCGGTTCGGCACTCGCGGCGATTCCGAGGCACGAAGGCGCGAGGCGCAAAATCGAGGTCCAAGGAACGGCAAATCTGTCTCGCAATCATCAGCAATTGATACATTTTACCTCTTGTGTCATTTAGGCCGGCCAATGAATCGTACACGAATTTCCAGAAACATCGAACCAACCCAAGGACTGCCAATTTTGGGAAACCCCTGACGCCTTAACCGAGGACATCACCACGCCCGGACGGACGGACGAACGGGAGCCACGACCGGCACAGGCCGAGCTAGCGCCGCCGGCCACGCTGGCTTGACTGGCAGGCGGCTCTGCAGGTGTGGGCCGCCCCCAAAGCTCTGGGCCTGGCTTGGGGTGTTAGTGCTGTGGGCGACAGTGCACATACAGCTCGGTCTGCTCTCTCGGGTGCGCCTCCTTGGGCTCGCATACGCACCAAGAGGCATTGACAAATAAATGGGGAATTTCCCCACAAAATGCCTCGATACTGTACCAACCAGAGGCCAAGCCCCAGGTTTTTGGGGCATCCCACGGGGTAGGACGTGGAATGGCGAGAGGATCGAGGATCGAAGAGCTCGGTTCTGTTGCAATGGGCGGACAGCTACGTCATGCTAACAGATTGTGACACACAAGACCGCAAGCTCGTGTTAGTGTCAGTTGGTACCCACCACTCTGGGCCGAATCCCGCTGCAAAGCTTCCTGGGGCGCATCGTCACCCTTGCTGCATGGAATGATCAGACCACAGCAACGGGCGTTGCCTGCGACCCATTTATCTTATATATCCCCACGAGGGGGAACCCAGCTGCCAGCCCATCTTACTTCAAGATGGGCCCTTTCTCTACTCCTCTCTCTCTTCGGACCGGCGGCGTTGTGTTACTCTCCACTCCTTCTCTGCTGCTGCTTGTCGTAACGACGGCGACTCTCCTCTCCTCCTCGAATTAGAAGTCCGAGAGGCGCATCCCGTACCGCACCACCTGGCAACGTGCGCCATACCGGTCATCCACGACAGCGACCATGGCGTCTCCTGTGGCCTCGGCGGCCTTGAAGGCGCGTATCCGCCGCCCTTCAATGCTGAACAAGCTCTGCAATCCCGAGCAGCTACTTCCACACTTCCCCACCGGCTCATACATTGGCTGGTCCGGTTTCACAGGGGTTGGATACCCAAAGTAAGTGCTCCACTCGTGTCCGGGAGCGCGCTGGGCCAATTGACTAACGAGACTCGCCCTCAAACAGGAAGATGCCCACTTATCTGGCCGACCACGTCGAGAAGAACAACCTCCAGGGCAAGCTGCGGTACAGCCTGTTCGTGGGCGCCTCGTCCGGCGCCGAGACAGAGAACAGGTGGGCTGGCCTGGATATGATCGAGAGGAGGAGTCCACACCAGGTCGGAAAGGCCATTGCCAAGGGCATCAACAACGGCAGCATCAACTTCTTCGACAAGCACTTGTCCATGTTCCCTGTAGATCTGGTATATGTACGTTGTGAAGCCCGGATCTGAAGCCATTGGCACACGGGAAGCCTTGGCCATAAAGAACAGGTTGCTAATATCGCCGGCAGGGTTTCTACACAAAAGACAAGCCCAACAAGAAGCTTGACGTTGTGGTGGTGGAGGCAACCGACATTCTGGAGGATGGCAGTATCGTTCCCGGCGCGTCCGTCGGGGCGACACCTGAGCTGGTGCAGATGGCCGATAAGATCATCATTGAGGTCAACACATCCATCCCAAGTTTCGAGGGCCTGCACGACATCACCATGACGGACCTGCCTCCCAAGCGAAAGCCATACCTGATCATGGGCGTCGAGGACCGCATTGGCACAACCTCGATCCCCATCGACCCCGAGAAGGTGGTCGGTGTGCTTCACTCCGACTACCGAGACCAGACGGCCCCCAACACGCCCGCGGATGAGGGTTCGCAGAAGATCGCCGACCACATCATCGAGTTCTGGACGCACGAGGTCAAGCACGGCCGCCTGCCCGAGTCTCTGCTCCCGATCCAGTCGGGCATCGGCAACATCGCGAACGCTGTCGTCGGAGGGCTGAACGACTCAAACTTCAAGAACCTGAAGGTGTGGACCGAGGTCATCCAGGACACCTTCCTCGACCTCTTCGACTCGGGCAAGCTGGACTTTGCGACCGCCACCTCGGTGCGCTTCTCGCCCGACGGCTTCAAGCGCTTCTACGACAACTGGGAGGCGTACCACAACAAGCTGCTGCTCCGGTCGCAGCAGGTCTCCAACTCGCCCGAGATCATCCGGCGGCTGGGCGTCATCGGCATGAACACGCCGGTGGAGGTGGACATCTACGCGCACGCCAACTCTACGTGCGTGCTGGGCTCGCGCATGCTCAACGGCCTGGGCGGGTCGGCCGACTTCCTGCGCTCGTCAAAGTACTCCATCATGCACACGCCCTCGACGCGGCCCTCCAAGACGGACCCGCACGGCGTGAGCTGCATCGTGCCCATGTGCACGCACGTCGACCAGACCGAGCACGACCTCGACGTGGTCGTCACCGAGGCCGGTCTCGCGGACGTGCGCGGCCTGAGCCCGCGCGAGCGCGCCCGCGTCATCATCGACAAGTGCGCGCACGAGATCTACCGCCCCATCCTCAAGGAGTACTTCGAGAAGGCCGAGTGGGAGTGCCTGCGCAAGGGCATGGGTCACGAGCCACACCTGCTGTGGAACAGCTTCGACATGCACAAGGCCCTCGTCGAGGAGGGCAGCATGGCCAAGGTCCAGTGGAAATAGAGGCCTTGGTGTGAGGGGGCTTCGGGGAGCACGGGTGGTGGCGGCCGGAGAGGCGCTTAGCGGCGGCATGACTTAAGCTTAATATAAACCGTCGATTTCTTCTGCACATGTTATTCGTTTTAGATGCCCCATCGTGGTGAACGCTAACGTAGCCGGACAGGTCTGACAGCTACAGCTTGGAGCTTTCCACGTGCTAGCTGGCTTCCATTGGCATTGAGTACCTTGCCACCTCAACAGCCCACGAGATATTATTTAAGGGTTTCAGAACAAAGGAATGTCAATTGTATTGAACTGACGAGAGGACAACAGAAAGAACAGACCCGGGCACTTTGAACTCTCCTGCACGTTATTCCCACATGGCATTACCACGGGCTTGGTGCGTGGGCTTCTAAACTTGGAAGGTTTGATAATTGACGAACGGTCTTCCCACGAGTCAGATTCGTTTTCGATCCGTCTTCCGCCGCGTTGACATCAACAGTCTGGCTGACTTGGGCCTCTCATCCTGGACCTCTCCAATGAGGCTCGTCCACCTGAGATGATGAGCGACGACGTGCCGATACCGAGGCCGAGCCCACAGTCCCGAGCCCCAACTAGCCCTTGGTAGCAGCCAGAGCTATGTCTCTGACGACAATGTCGAGCTCGATGATTAATGGATTACTGTATTGGCATACTTGGTGTACCTTGCCCTTCTTAGAGAGATGCAATGGGTCGAGCGGTCTATCCTTCCTCTGCGTGCTTCCCCTCTTGCACTTCCAGTCTCCATCGTGGTGAAGCTAAGTCTTGATATCAGGCATGATGGAAACACCCGAGAACAAGACATACGGACACAATTCATCACCCAAGATGGACCACACATACGGAAAGCGACAGTCTCGCTGTGGATGTTGCAAAGCGCTCGCCCTCGGCGGGCTGATGTGCCTTGTGGTGCTACTGGTCGTCGGCATCGTCATCGAGAACCCTTGGAGGCGCGTCTACGAATCCGAGGGTGAAACGGGCAACATATGGGATACCCCTCGCCCTGCCCACCCCGAATCTCCCGTTCCTGAGGGTCAGCTGTCCATGGCGAGCGAGGACGTCCCGGAGGGCCTGGTCGTCCAGGAACAGGAAGGGCGGCTCCATGCCCGCAGGAACATCGACGAGGAGCCGATGGTCGAGCCTGACGCGGCCGTCGAGGAGGAACAGCGGCCTCCTCCGTTCAAGCTGCCCATCATCCCCATCCTCCCCCTCCCGACGGACATCATCGACCTCCCCATCAAGATCCCGACGCACATCTCAGACATCCTCGGCGACCTGCCGCTGCCCACCCTCCCCAAGGACCCAAACGACATCATCGACGTCCTGCCCACCGAGCCAGGCGACATAATCAGCGGCATCCCCATCCCCACGGTCCCTCCCATTCCTGTTCCCACGCTGCCAATTCCCACACTGCCCATCCCCGTGCTACCAGTCCCAACCAAAGCCCCAACGCAGCCCCCAGGCAACAGACCACCATCAACCCGCACGGAGGACGACAACCCGTTCCCGCTGCCCACGGTCGTCCTCCCCCCCAGCAAGCCCAGGGACCCGGGCGACGGCTTCGGCCTCCCGGAGATCATCGCGATCCCCCACAAGATCCTGGGCCTGCTGCACCAGGCCGTCAGCCAGCTCAGCAACGACCCGAACCTGCCGCGGCCGGTCCGCGACATGCTGCGGCTGATCCAGCGCATCATCGAGCGCGTGGCGGGCGGGCCCGCCGTCCCCAGGCCGCCCAAGAAGCCCAAGCCCACCGTCTCGCTGCCGCTGCCGCTGCCGCTGCCGACCGGGACCGAGATCCCCATCCCCATCCCCACGCTGCCCACCGACCTGACCACCCTGCTGCCGCCGCCGCCCGAGGCCACCCGCTCCCGGCGCTCGCCGCTACTGCCTCCCCCGCGGCCGACGCTGACCCTGCCCCCGCGGGCGAGGAGGGCTGCGGCGGCGCGCGGCGCCGGCGCCGGCGGCCCCGAGGGGCGGCTGAGCGACGGGGAGCGCAGGCAGCTCAAGGGTGCCGTGAGCGACGAGATCTGGTCCTCGGTGAACTGGAGCAACCCGATCCTCGCGCCTCTGACTGCGGCTGCGGCTCTGCTTGCGTTCGACTCGGTGTACCGGGTTGCGGAGGCGTTCAAGGAGGCGGGGGATGAGGGTGGAAGGGAGGAGTTGTTGGGGTTGCTGGTGGTTGTTGATGACGATGAGGTTGGTGATGAGGAGGCCATGACTTGATTTGGTGCCGGGGACCTATAGGGCTGGTGAGGTAGTAGTACTGACTGTGTTGTGTCCTGGTCCTCGATTGTGTACGAGGGACTAGCTTCCGAGGTAGCCCCTGTTTGGCCCAGTCTCTTTCTTTACCCTCCTTGATATGATCCCAATCTGGAGACCAATCATGTCCTTTTTAAACTTTCTCTCTACGATGTCAACATCTTATGGGGTCTTTCGAATAGCTGACCTGCTGGCAAAAGAACCAGCTGGGATGGGCGAGATGTTTGCAATGGGTTTTAATATCTTCATCCTGTCATTAATAATGCTCAGCCATCTAATCTGGTATCTTCCATACATTTTTATAAAGAAACAGGATGCTATTGCGTCCTGGACAGTGTTATAGGTGTCCACATTGGGTGTATCCTGTGAGATGCGATGTGGGGCAAGACTGCAGCGGAATGCTCTTCGGGAAGAGGGGCCTGGGCGAGCCTTCAAGCAGATTTGCACAGGCAGACAAGTCTCCCCTCCCTCCCTCTTCGTCGGCGTCTCTCGACTCCCGTCTCACTGTCGTCCGTGCCAAGATCTCGGTCTCGGCCTCCTCTGCTCAGCCGCCCCCCCCCCTACCGGTGCCCAGGACCCAAGCTCTGCTTCAGGCCCAGAGTCTGCGTGGCAGGCGTCTTACGCTGCAGCACAAGCTGGGTGTCGTAGACCTTGCGATCCAGCACCTTGAAGTCAAAGCCACACGGCGCGAGCTCATCGCGCACCTTGAGCAGGGCGTCACGCGCGGCCTTGATCTTCTCCGGGGCGCCGTCGTCACGCACGTGGTACTTGACCCAGAGGGTCCACTTGCCGGCCGGGTCGACCCTCTCGAGGGACTCAAAGGCCGGCAGGGGGTCCGAGGGCTTGGCGGAGGAGGAGGCGGGCGGGGTGTGGTGGCGGACCAGGCTGAACTCGAGCAGGGGGTCGTCGCGGTGGTAGACGTCGTGCGACTCCTCGACGAGCTGGGAGCGGTAGCGGAAGTCGTTGTCGGCCAGGACGACGGGCAGGTTGAGCTGGTCCCAGATCTCGATCTTCTTGCGCTGCATGACGAGGGACTGGCCGCCGGCGACGCTGGCCGGGTCCGGGATCTCGGACCAGAAGAGGGCGCCGGGCGTGGCGGGCAGGGGCTTTGGCTGTTGCTGCTGTGGCGCGCCGGGCCCGGCAAGGTCGGCGGCCCTGGAGACGTGGTAGCGGGCGGTGACGATGTAGGACTGCTTCTTGACGATGTCGCTGAAGTCCTTCCAGGCCGGGTCGACGTAGGGGGCGCCGGTCTGGGCGGGGGCCACGGGCAGGTCTGGGCCGGGCAGGCCGAACATGAAGGGGTCTGGGGCGGGGCGGATGCCGTTGATGTTGTTCCTCTTGGCCAGGGGCTTTGGCTGTGGCGGGCCGGTGAAGTGGAGGACGCGCCACAGGCGGGGGTTTGGGTCGCTCCAGCAGTACGAGCTCAGGATGGACCTCGCGTTGTCGAAGTCGACGTCGTTGACGAACGCCGTCAGGAAGAGCTCGTACATCCTGGCGGTTGCGGGGTGGTCAAGATGGCCAAGGCCTAAGAGCAGGTGTTTGGTGACCTTTCCCTCTCCAGGCCTTGAGAAGGCCAGGGGTTGGTGGCTGGCTGGCTGTTCGTGAGCAGCGTTCCTAATGTCAGTTCGTTGTGAGGAAGGACGGACCTGAGGTTGTTGATGCTGGGCGGGACAGGTGACAGGGGTCTCTTCAGGCTTGGCAGCGCCAGATTTGGCGGGGCAGCTCGCTGCGACTGCCTCCCCTGCCTCCCCCACCTGTAGGGCTGAATGCAGCAGGCAAGGCACGTTGGAGCATGTTTAAGCATGTTTAAGCACGTTTATTAAGCACGTTTAAGCACAACAAGACCCAAATGATTGGAAGTGATTGAGATTTGGTATTTTACAAACGGCATCAATTGACCACCTCATCCCTCCTGTCTCCTGCCAGCTCTGAGCGCCTTATTAATACCAAGAAGCACATCTTCCATAACTTTGCTCGCTACGGAGCACACCAATCCTGCCATTGACTCTCCATCTGCCATGAGTGTTGAGACAGCCGTGCACGATCCTAGGAGTCCAACGTGATTTGAGAACTCCTCGACAAGTTCTGCATCGGACATTGCGCCGCCCGCGCAGCCTTTCTCAGGGGCCAGCTCCTTCGCAACGTCAGAGGTGGACGTAAGGGTGTATATCGTGCTTTGAGCCATCGACAGAGGCAGGGACCTGAGTTGTTCAAATCAATCGAGTCCATGCAGAATCTCAACAAGTCCATCCAGAGTCGTAAGTCCATCCAGAATTTCATCCAGAATCGTATCTCTATATGGAATCACACCGAGTTCATCCACAAGTGTTTCGAGTGTATGGAATCTATCCGGAATTATATCGGCTCCTTGAAGAGTCACCTGACGTCTTTCACGCCCCATCGGTAGTTCTTCGTAAACCTCAATAAACTCCTGGAAAAGCTCAACAAGTTCCGCGATAGCAATCGCGCATTCTTCGGCGGGAGCCATCAAAAGTCGAGCTCTGTCAAGCCTTGTCCGGGTTGTATGTGCGTTTGTCTTCTGGTCCACTTTTCAGCCACAACACGGTGTGCAGCAGGGCTTGTTGGGGCGCTTGTGCGAGGGCGGGAGGGCGGGAGTGCGTTGGAAGGGATGCTGGTGTCGGTTGTTTCTGCGGCTAGACTGTCATTTATAGGGTGTTACATCCGCACTATGTTTCGTCTTGTTGTTTCTATGCTTGCTTGAGTACTTACGCTAGGTTTTGTGTGAGCTACTTGTTCTGTTGGCGGCCTATGATACGGCGCCGCTTGAAGGTGGTTCCAACTAGTCTCATGATGAAGCTGTCACAAGGCCACCTAGATATTTTGGACCAACCACCAGAATTATCAATTTCACTTGTTGTTGTCATCCTTATATTTACCGGTCCAGGTCTGGGTCTTCCGGAATTTACTACTGCCACGCACTATCACAGGGTTAGTATGCGTAGCAACACATGGGCTCCTGGCTAAGCCGGACCGCGTCCGCCTCGCTCCCGAGGTCCCCATTATCTGTAACAATCCGCACGCGGAGCAGTGTGCGGCACGTACATAGAAACATGGTTGAGCTAAGTCTTGATCGGAGCGGCCTACTGTGCCTCAAAGCATCACAGATATTGCTACCAAAACGCCGCCACACCTTCAAAATGAGATTACCTAGGTACGTCACAGCAGAGTCTCTGGCTGGACCACGGGGGAATCCAAGAGGAAATGAAAAACGTCTCGTCAAAATTGTAAAGCATCGCTCAATTATGCTCTCATGTACGCCAAATACAGCGCAACGGTCTAAGACCAAAGTTCCAATGGATGCCCCCAGAAGTCTTTTACTTCAGACGAGGGTCAATGGGCAGCGCAGGGCCCTGCTCAGGGAGGGCAACACCAGCCCGCATGTTGGCCAGGACCATGCGCAGGTCACCAAAGCCCAGAACACCCTCCTCGTCCAGCCGCTTGATGATACGCTCCAGCTTGTCGCCAAAGGTCTCGGCGTGGGTCTCGGCTTTGAGCTAGGGGGGTGGGGGGAAACAAGACGGTCAGCCAGCCAGTCGGTTAAGATCAATGCACATGAATAAGAGAAACTTACCAGGTCTCCAAACTCGGCCGCCGTGGCCAGCCTCACGGCGCCCCAGAGCGCACCGACCAGCGTGGTGCGCGAGATGGTGCGCGAGACCTCGGCCGACAGCACGGTGCCGCCCATGTTGACCGCACAGCTCTCGAAGATCCAGAGGATCGCAAACGCCGTGTCCTCCAGGCTCCTAGTAAACACGTCACGGCGGCCCTGCTCGCCGCAGTCGGCCGCCGCGGCCTGGAACTGCTTAAGGATGGTGGTGGCCGTGCGGTTGATGAGCGCGGTGACGCCCGGGGCCCTCTTCAGCTGCTCCTCGGGTTCCTCGCCGGGCTGCGCGTGGAATATCGCGTCCTCGATGGAGCGCAACATCTCATCCAGCGGCGTGGGCACCGCCTTGGGTTCCTGTCCTTGCTTGGCTCCTCCTTCCTCGCCTGGCTGGGCCTGACCCTCCACCTGCTGGGGTTGAACCACTACCTGCTGAGGCTGCTCCTCCACCTGCTGTGGCTGCTGCTCCACCTGCTGGGGCTGCTCTTGCTTAACTTGCACTCCCCCGGTCTGGGTCGCGGCAGCATTCGAGTAGGCGGCCTGAGCGAAAGGCGGCATGCCGATAGGGCCTGCGCCTGCGCTCGAGGGCCTGGAGAACGGGTTGTTCGGGGTGCCCGGGGACGCCGAGGCCTTGCTGCCCGCTGACACCTTGCGCTTCTTGGCCTTCGGGGCACTGGCAGGCTGAGACAAAGCGGGCTGAGAGAAGGCGGGCTGCTGGCCGCGATAGGGGATCAGCAGGTCACCGCGGGGCACGGTGTAAGCGTAGACCTGAGCACCTGGGGCCAAGGCCTGATGGAGGCCGGAGAAGATGCCCGACTCGTTAGCCTTCTCGACGAGCTTCAGATACCCGGCCTCCACCTCAGGGCTGAAGATCTGTTTGCGGATGGCGTCGTTGGGTGCGCTGCACAGGACGTTTCCGACTTTTAGATGGCATTAGTTAGCAGGGGCTTCTCATATCGTAGGCATTTTGAGGTCCGGAATGTTGACTTACCAGCACGGCTCAACGCATCGTACTCAAACATGGCCACGCCCCGCTGGGAAGTGAGGAGGGGGATGGCGACGATGAGCTGACCGATCTGGAGCAGGGAGGACAGGGCATTGACCTTGGTGGCGTTGTGTCTGGAGTATGTGCCGTAGACGCCAATGTTGTCAATTGACGGGCAGAGGTAGCTCTTGACGTGCGCATCGAAGTTGTCGAGGTCCTCGGGTTGGAAGGCCACAACGTTGTTCCAGGTGGCAAACAACGCCTCCATGTGCGCAGTCATGTTCTCAAACGAAGTCACAACCTCGGTGTCGTGCTCGACCTGCTGCCCGTATATGGCCCGGATGTTCTGGGTCCACTGGTCGTGTGGGAAGCACAGGGTGCGGTCGTAGACGGCGTTCTTGATCTGACGGTCATCGAGCTGCATCATCACCTCGCGACACTGCTGCGGGGTGAGGGAGCTGACACACAGGCGCGTGTCAACAAGCTGCTCGATGGGCAGCTGGCGGTAGGGGCCATCGGCCCTCTGGGCCAGCTCGCGGTAAGGTTGGTTTGGCATCGTGACGGGCGCTCCTGCAGACAAGTCGTCAAACACGGGGGTTTGCGACGAGGGGTTTGGCTGGGACGAGGTTGAAGAACCAGTCTCGGGGGTGGCTTTGGGCGCGACGGCTCGGGCTCGGGCTCGAGGTTGCTTTTTCGGGGTGGAAGTCCCTGCCATGATTTGAAAGAAAGGTTTAGGGAGAGGAATTGATGAGTTGAAGAGAGTTTAAATGTGTTTCTGGCAGCTTGCCCGCCCAGACGATGGCCAAGTGGTGTCCAAAGTCTGCCAGAAATTTATGGAAAGTTGTCAACTCAAAACTGCATCTTTACACAGCAGTGTTTAAGTTCACAAAGTCATCGGGGTTCAGCCCAAAATCCAGGTCATAACATGGCTGGCTGCAAGTCACTGGCGCGTGTTTGGAGTGCACATGTGTTTCCGTCTGAACTTTCCTTGGAATGCAGACTTGGTTCAACCATCTTGGGTCTGGATTTGGAGTGCTCCATGTCACGTGTTCACAGAATGGAACTCAAGAGCCGTCTGCCAAACTAATGTGATTGACAATTAACATGTAGTCAAATGTCTTCTCAAGGCAGATCGGTGGCAGGCGGTGCAGCTCGGGTCTCGGCCTAGCTAGTGCCAAGAACCCTTGGAGCCCAATCGGGCAAGTCTCAGCCTTGTTCTCTTTGTACATACTTACCCAAGTGGCCTCGGGCAATGGGCTGCGATGTGGAAGGAACTTTTTTATTTTGATGTGATTCAGTCACGGAATTGCCAATCACAAATTTGAAGCAACACACAGCAGCTGCATCATGGTAAGAACCTTGGTGGCTGCTTAGTCAACTAGCTCACGTGTAGTGGCTAAGTGCAGCAAGTGATCCCAAATCTGTGTTTTCAAAGCATGTTTGTTGGCATTCTGTCTACTGACTGCTTGCGACTTTTCAATCCAGGTAAGCCCACAGGTGCCCATCAGCCACTTCTGATTGTGGAAGGTCCACTAGTAGCGATCAAAGCCCATGATCAGCAACCTTGGAATGAAAGGGTCCTTCATGCTGCTTATCCAAGTGCTGGATGGCGATTTCAAAAGTTCGCCTCGCGAATGAATGTGGCAAGCTTCAGCGAGTGGGGAGGCTGCTCAGGGGGTTCTATGTGCTGTTGCAATCAAACACTTGTCAGCTTGGGCTTAGAACTTGAAAGGTGGTGAAAACTCACCACGCCTTGAATGCCTTCCAAATGCTTAACGGCAGATCATCTACCACCAGTTTGCTTTCTCTGGCGCCCAGTTCGCCTCCGACGGGCTGGACCCGCCCCGTTCCCCCTGGATCCCGCTTGAGCCAGAATGGTTGCCTCTGGAGAGCCAGCCATCCGCTCCTGGCGATCCTGGGTCGGTCGATTGGCGTCGCTCGTACCGTTCTGTTTGTTGACTGCGCCAGCATCTTTGCCCATGTCTCGCACCTTCTGTCGGCCAAGCACGAAGTCACAGTTGCCGGACCTCAACTGGTGCTCGCGCTTGGGATCGTCATTGGGCTCCCAGTTGTCGAGAGCTATCTTGCAGTAGGGGCAGATGACGTTGTCGGGGTTGTAGTCAGACGCGGTGGAGGAGAAGAATCCTGCCCGGGCGAGATCCTCAGGCGATGGCTTGTCACCGTTGATTTCCCAGTCGATTTTCCAGTCGATAAAAGAGGCCAGCCGATTGTGGTACTGGAAGTACTGGTCCAGATTGATCTTTGGCATAGTCATGATGGAGGCTGCTTGAATCAAATGGGGAAGACGGTGGAGGGGTGGAAGGGGGGTCCGTGCGTGCCTGAAATCAGACGAAAGTAGTTGTTGTGAAGGCAGGCAGGCCCAAGGCAAACGGGGGTGGAAGGTGGAAGGAACGCAGGCAACAGGCAGGGGGGTGGGCCAACAGATTTGGATTTGCTGCTACCAGCCCAAAGGGCGCGGATGCATGTCTTGTGAATTGGTGTTTTCCCGGTCAACCCTGTCAATCAGACCACAGAACACTCTCCTTCACTTCATGTTGTCCTCCCCAGTCTACCTGATGCGGGCTTGTGGTCTATGAGAACATTCACACTTGGATAATAAGGCAAACAATCTATTGACAGGTGAAAATATTCGTGGAACCGGAGCTAGTAGATCAGCAAGTCCATCTTCTCAGCTAATCACGAGCCTTGCTCGGGTGTCTGCCTCTCAGCCACAGTGTGTCTCCCCCAATCTTTATAGAGCGACCAGCTGTGGGACATTGTGGATCCTTAGTATGGGATAACCTCCAGAAATCCTGCAGGATAACCTCCTACAAATATGATCATTTAATCTTAGGTACGGGAAACCTACCAGGGTGTATTCATGTTCTTATGTGGTTTCGTGTGGTTTTGTGTAGTTTCGCTTCTATTCCGTATACATCTGAGGACATATATAGCGCCTTCATACGGTGGTAAGCACTCAAGAACTTACCGTTATTATATTCTTTCTTTACTGTTATTGCTATTCTATCTTTCAAACAGCCGGGTCTTGATCGTTTACCAGTGCATAAAGGCGTCATATACGTTTTATATGTATGATGATTAGAAACAAAAGCACCCTCAGCTGGTTTTCATAGTGTTAGTGCAATGAATTGATTCTCTCAAAAGCAAATTTAAGTCACCATTTGGGCACTCAATGACACTTGGAATCCCCATGTGTTCCTTGGCTCATTGGTGCCATGGCCAGTCACTAAACAGAGGAACACTGAGAAAGGACAAACGAGAGATGAGAAATCCTCAATTTTATTGAAGATGAACGACGAAGTCCGGATACAAGCCTGATTCAGGCACAAACACAAAACTAGAGTGCCCCCAATCTACCTGCTGGTGACGACTTGACTTGTTATGTCAAATGTCAAGTCTGGCACTGGTGACCACAGCCGCCCGCGGACCTGCCGAACTAGGGCTTCTCACGATCCCACAGAACAAAACAAATCGTCCGGGCCCCCAGCCTCCTTGATGGCCAGTGATATGCACTCCGAATCCTTCAAGTCTTGGTTCTCCCCCGGCAATACCCAGAGGTCCAAGTCAGCCAACCCTGCAGAGTTTGGGTACTGCCACACCCAGTCGTGCAACTCGAGACAGTCAGACGCGTGATCCCTTATGGCTTTGCCTTGATCTCCCATAGCCCAGTCACCACGTATGTCGGTGATGTTGAACAAGTGGTACATAGGATCAGGGCTACATTTCATCATGACTCGGGTTAGCAAATGTAGTTGATGGCTTTTTTTGATGGACTTGAGGGGCTTGGGGAATTTACTTACTATTGCCTACAGTTTGCGGAAGTGTCTGGTGGTGCCGTAGTCGGTGTTGAAGCTGAGGATGAGCTGGTCGAGGATGAGCTGGCTGTTGACTGAGAGGTACTAGAAGTAGACGGTTCTGACGATGTGGAAGGGTCCAATGTGAGTGTCCAAGACACAGTAGACAAGGACTTTGATGTTGTTGTAGAGCTGGATGGGCTCGAGCTGGAGATGCTGGAGCTGGAGAGGGTAGTGCCTGAGCCTGGCATGGTAGAGGTCACGAACGTCGAAGAGTCCCAGGAAGTCTGCGTGGCATGATCAGAGGTGGAGATGATACTGCCCGTCGCAGTTGAGAAGCCGGTCCAATCACTAGGCATGTAGGTCGGGTTGCCGGTGTAGAAGATGCTCCCGGTCGTCTCGCCGTCTGCGCCACCGCTGCCAGGAATAGGACACGAATCCGCATCGCGCTTGAGGTTCGGGAAGCCCTCAACATTCTTACACTTCTGGTGGCCGTATGCCATGTTGTATGCAACGTTGACTCTGGCAGGCACCTCATATGGAAACTCATCCTTTCCATCCCGCTCTTTGATCTCTGTCAGGGCCTGGGCTATCAGCTTGTCTCGGGGTAGGCGTTGGTAGGCATAGGTGTCGGCGAGCATGGTCTTCATGCGTCTGCCGACAGACACATCACCGCCCACAGCAAAAGGATTCTGTCCCTCGGGCCATGGATAAGAGAGCATATAAGCAGCAAGGCCAGCCTGGACAGTGCAGCATAGTTAGCAACCTGTTTGGATACACAAGCTCCTACATGGAACAAGAGGAAGGGTAGTGTAGCAGGTGCAGGGATGGTAATTACAGGGTGAGGGCAGTGGTGGAAACTTACTACTTGTGGTGCTGCGTGGCTCGTGCCAGTCCGATACTCCATTGGAGCATCCGTTGGAGCATCACTACTCATTCGAGCGCAGGTGTAGACATCCACTCCTTGGGCCCAAATGGAGATTGATGGATCGTCCGGATTGGACCCGGGTCCACGAGTGCCCGGTGGGGTGGTGAACTCCGCCATTGAACCGTCGTGATAGGTAGCCCCGACATTCATGTAAGGGCTATCGTCTGTGACCAGGTTCACTGGTGTGCGCTCTGATAGGTAATAATCAGGCTTGCCTGTGTCCAGGTTGTACCCCCGATTCCCAGCTGCGATGATCACCACCGCGTCCGCTGTTTCCATGTTTTCGAAAAAAGTCTCGAAGACCCCAAAGAAATACTCGAACTCTTCCAGTTTCCATTCTAGGCCCGGGGTTGTCAGTCTATGAGTGAAGGGTAAGGCTCTTATAGGAAGATCACATACCAGCGCTGATAGAGATCACAGCTCGACCCCAGGGAATGTCGTTTGAGAACACAACCTCTGTGATTTTGTCGATGGCTTTAGTTATCCCAGCATTAGTCGTGTCGACTCCTTCAACCCTCCCAGTCTTGGTGTTCCTCAAATAACCCATGTATTTGATCAGGTACAAATTGGCACGGGAGGCCACCCCGACGTCTTCAAGACCACCAGCCATACAAGCAACTGAAAATAGAACGTATCAGCATCCTATCACAACAAAAACATCCTTCCCAAGTATGATTCAAGTCTACCCCATGGGTATTTATGAGATTTGCTAGAAGGGAACTGGAAGGCTGCAAGTTATGACTGACCTGATGTCCCGTGACCCCGACCTCTTAAATCTGGGTTGTCATCATCAATGATGTCAGGTGCAGGTTCCCATCCCTCTTCGATGTGTGCTGGACTCAGTTTGGGAACGCTGAATTCGTTGGGAACTATGTATGTTTCAACTTTCCTGTAGTCAGTAGCGGCCAGAAACTATCACTAAAAGTCAGCACTGCTCACTGAGTAGAGTAATGTGGCAGTGGCTACTGCACTGATACTTACTGGGTGGTTCGTGTCAAATCCGGTGTCGAGGATAAAAATCCATGAGCCTTCACCCCTATGCATAGGTGTAGTAATCGAAGGATCCGGGTTCTTGTCCCTTTTGCTGTGAGAGCAACTTGAATTGGTTCTTTAATGGCTTGGTGATCCGCAGCGAGCCGGTAGGCTCTGGCCAGTTGTCTGGTGCAAAGTCCTGGGCCAAGTTCTCTGACTTTGCTGGACCACTCTTGTTTCTGGAAGAATTTCCTGAAGTAAATTGTCCAATATCTCGTGATCTCAGGTCGAATTCCGTCTGGAAACTAGACGCTGTGGATTTAGAACCAGATCCCGGGCCGCGCCAGACAAATCGCAGTGTCTTATCCACAAAAGGCATAGTTCCGGGCAGCAAGGCTTGCATGATGTTGAGGTCCACAACATAAGCCTTCGTGGCATGGCCGTCATAAATCGCCTCCCAGCCTGGGTTTTCCAAGATGCGCTCCATAGCGCGGATAGATGCCACACTGGCGTCAGGCTTTGTGAGTATTTCGTAACGTGGGAGCCAGTCGTCTTCATCATCCTCATCAGGTTTCTCTTCTGGGTTCTCAAGGCTCCTAGTATCCCACTTGGTGGTGCAAAGGCGCCATGCTTGTGTCCAACCTTGAATGATGTGCCCTGAGCTTGTGATATAGGCGGCATACTGATCGTGGAGATCCTTCATCAGATTAGTGAAAACAAGCTTGACGACGAGGATTATCAGGTTCTGGTTGATGATGTCGTTCATGGAGTTGAGGGCGTTGAGGCCTGCGTGAAGGCTTGAGTGCTTCTCCATGGCACGCCAGACGCGGCTGCCATCATCATCGACGTAGCACATAAGCTCCTGAAATGCTTCGTCGTTTTCGTCGATCCACACATGGACTGGCGACGTGACCTTCTTGTTTAGGCCAAACAGGGTTGTCAAAATGGTCTTGATCATCTCGATCTTTCCCTCGATCACGCTCCATTCCTCCTGTGCCACTGCATAAGAGATCAGTAAAACATGACACGAGAAAACCCAGATTCTGAAGTACAAAATTTCAACTTACTTCCAAAATAATAAGCAGCTGTCTGCTGGAAAGCCTGCTGGGCGGCACAGCCCACCATGGCCAGCCCCTGTTCTGCAGTTGAGCCTGCAGCATCAGCAGCATTACGAAGCCCAGCAAGTTTGTCTGCAATCTTCGTGATGTTTGAGCAGGCCTCATTATCCGAGCATGGTCCCCGTGACCGCAGCCTCGACGACTTCACGTTGTCACATGTAACAGTGTCGCTTCCTGGGTCGATCTCCCACTCAAAGCGTCTCCTGAAGCAAAACGACAGACCACCGCACATGGTCGTGCTTTGACAGTCTCCAGACTGTATCTCTGTAGGGAAAGGGAAGAAATCACCAGATTCGCAGGTAATTCCAAGGCAAGTGAGGGTAAAGGTGTGCAGCTCCCGGTGATCCTCATCTCCAGTTGTGAACCAAAGGACCTGTTCCGGGTCAGAGCACAAGGGTAAAAAGTACTCTGCTTCCCCCTCGCCAACCTTAAATTTATAATGTGGAACTACCACGAGCGCTGTGATATTGGCCGTTGGAGTTGGCGTGAATGGAACGGAGCTGAAAGTTGAGGTCGTGCTCAGTGAGGCCGAGAAAGTGGAAGTAAGTGATGGATCAGACTCGGAACTCGATTCATCAGCCGGCCGGCTAGGAGTGGGATCGACCGTTGGAGGCAGCGGAAGATCCGTTGCGTTATCTGTGGTCGTAGTCATACCCGGGGGTGGGGACGTTTCTGTCATGCTGAAGCTTGGGACCAGAGAAGTTGAAGGACTACTCGTGCTTGAAACTGTAGTCGAGCCAACACTTGTAGATGACGGCAGAGTTGACAGACTCGGAGTAGAGACAGTATCTGATGAGCTGGACTGGGTAAGGCTGACTGACGGCGAGGAAGACACAGTGACCGAGGAGCCAGAAGTTGTGGTGCTTGTGGCTGGGGGGCTGCTTGTGGGCAAAGGAAATGAAGTCGATACCGAGGTACTGCTCGAAGCAGACAGAGAAGCCGAAGTAGACAAAGTCGCTTCCGTGGATGACCAAGTACTCGAAGCTTGGCTTGAAGTGGTTCCCGAAAGGTCAGAGCTTGAGCTCTGTCCAGGCGGGACGGCAGCGGTGGATGATGATCCTGAGGTCGGGCTTGGGGAAGTTTGAGAGCTGCTGCTGAAACTGCTTGCCGTGCTCGAGGTTATTGAGCTTCCAGATTGGGTGGGTGTCTGGCTTGATACCGTTGTCGACACGCTGGAGCTTGAGTCTTGCCCAGGCGGAACGACGATAGTCGTGGACGAAGAATCAGACGTGGATGTCTGGCTTGACAGCGTTGTAGACAGGCTGGAGCTTGAGTCTTGCCCAGGCGGAACGACGATAGTTGTGGACGAAGAATCAGACGTAGATGTCTGGCTTGACAGCGTTGTAGACAGGCTGGAGCTTGAGTCGTGTCCTGGTGGAACGATGATAGTTGTGGACGAAGACTCAGATGCGGATGTCTGGTTTGAAACACTACCGGTTGTCGACGCGCTGGAGCTTGAGCCTTGCCCAGGTGGGATGACTATGGGCATGGATGAAGTCTCCGTGGGTGTCACCGTGGAAGGCAGAGAGCTGTTGCTGGATCCGCTTGTGGTGGTGAAGCCCGTTGAGTTCCCAAATTGTGTAGAAGCGGGCGCAGAGGGTGTCGGTATGCTATGTGGGGGGATTTCAACCGAGTAGCTAGTGATGGAAGGGGAATCAATGTCTGAGGTTGAAGTAGTAGAGCTGCTCTGGGTTGGTGCTGTGTAGCTACTCGGGAGGATGGTCGTAACATAGCTTGAGAGACCAGGGGTGGTGTAGCTACCCGGGAGGCTGGCAGTAGTGTAGCTACTCAGGCTGGCTGTAGTGTAGCTACTCAGGCTGGCTGTAGTGTAGCTACTCAGACTGGCTGTAGTGTAGCTACTCAGACTGGCTGTAGTGTGGCTACTCAGGCTGGCCATCGTATTGCTTGAGGTACCGGGTGTATCATAAGTACTCATGGAGGTCGCTGGCGGAGATGTGGAGCCCAGAGAAGGAGTATAGCTTGGGAAACTAACGCCCGAAGTTGTGTAACTGCTGATGGGAGGGGTTGACTCAGCCGACGAGAAAGCAGTTGTCGTTGCCCCCGAGGTAGGAGACTCAGCCGACGAGAAAGCAGTTGTCGTTGCTCCTGAAGTAAGAGTCGAGCTACTGGTGCTCGACTCATCGTACGTGCTGGGGCTGTATGGAGGAGTGGTGTTGTATGGTGGGGGGGATTCTGTAGTGGAGGACTGAATGCCCGAGATGATGCTTGACTCAGTGAATGAAGTAAGGGAGACCTCAGGACCGGAACTCGATGTCGCATACGTCGAGGTGCTCTGGTCTGATGAAGTCGAGGTCAAAGTGTAAGAGTTGATGCTACTGGTCATCCCTGTCTCGGAAGCTCTCGACCAAAAGACGGTCTCGAAGAGCGTGGAGGTTGAGTCCCCGCACCGAACAACGGTTTCAACACGCCAGGCCGTAACGGTGCGAATCAATTCTGCCCCAACTGGTGATGGGGAGGGTGGAGAGGCGGTCACGGACTCCAGTTTGGCTGCAAGCTCTTTGCCGCTGTGCGTTATAGTGGCCACAGTGGACGTCTCGATGATAGTGCTTGGAGGAAGAGTCAAAGTGACAGTCGCTGGAAGAAGGGTCACGGTGGTGGAATCGGTGATGGCAAAGGTATAGCAGCTGGTGTCATGCTCTGAGGCATCAGGGAGGGATTAGCAGGGAATCGGGACAGATGGGAACATGTTCACTTACCAGTGCTCGCAATACCAATGCCAATGGCAGGGCCCAAGGCCAGGAGAAACCACAAGAGTAGCAGCATCGTGCTGGTGGGTTTTGGGGTTCGCTGTTTGGTCAGTCGAGGTACGCCGATGCGAAGATGCCGATGCGAAAAGAAGTTGAGGGGGGAATAAAATGACTGCGCCCTGCAAGTTTGATGCAGAAGAACAGTTGGAGGGGGAAAGGAGTGCAATGCAACTCGACTGCGGTGATCAGCTGCAAAGATGGAAAGGTTGTGGTAGAGGGCAAGTTGAGTGGGATTGATGGAATTGAGCAAGGTTGGATGATGGTGGGAGGAAAGCCAACCCAACAGGGGCATTGAATTGGGCCTTGGGGCAGGCACATCAAAGTGGCATGCCAAACGAGTGTCGTTGTCACTATCGACATTTATGGCTTACCTTGACTGCAGACTCTCAAAGTCACTTTGCAGAGACTGTGAGTTGTTCTGGGAAGAGTACCTTGCAAGATGCAGTATGGACGCCTTCGACAGCCTGAGAGAGGACCTAATAGGGTTGGTAGGACAGTCAAGAGAAAGAGCAGCTTGCTGCCCGAGACAAGGCTGGACAGAGTTCAGAGGTCAGGTGCTGCTTTCAGTGAATGGGTTGCAGGCATAAGGAGTAACCTGGCATACATGGCAATCTCCCCATGGAAAGCGAGATGTGGGATGATGTTGGTACAAACGAGTCCGAGCAGGGTAAGCTGGTAAAATGGATAGAAAGGGCCATTTGCAATGTGTCCCATCAGTCTGATGAATTCAGTAAGGTCTGCCCCTCCCTTTAACAGTCATAGCATTCAACACATATGAATCTTCAAGACACGAAGAGCACCCCGCTCCCCCTCAACCTGTCATATTTGGCTGAGAACAAGACGAACACCAATTTGTGGACCATGCAGTTTTGACCATGACTTGGCATTGCTTCAAAATCAAGGGAACGGAATGAGGCCCTTAAGTAGACCATGACTGCTGTTCCAAGGCCATTCTCAGATACCAATTTAGCAGTCTCACAGCCATGTTTCCTTTAACAACCTTGGAATATGAGGAAACATTATTATGGAGCCTTGTGTCTTCTGTTCTGACCTCTTTTCCTTCTCAATCCCAAAGAAGATGTCCAAAGTGATGATCTTACACTACCAGAGGCCTTCCAAAGACAAGCCATTCAATACCTGGAAGGTTTTACTGTAGGAGGTCCAGCACATGTGTCGAGGGCTGCCCAGGCCATGTGCTGCACAAATGCCGTGGCCAAGTAGCAGACACCGCAGCAAGGCTTGTTTGTTGTTGAAGCCAGGCCCCTGAAGTCCTTGATGGTCGCTATTGGGTGGTCAACAGCTTTTGATACTTGTGATTCAATGCCTGTGAATGACAGGGAAAATTATAAACACGAAAAATACTCAAATGAAGATTATGTCTAGTTATCTACCAAGAAGCCTTCCTTACGGTGTCTATACCGAGTCTAGGGGTGCTCTTGGGATCATGGGCAGCAGCTCTGAGGAACTACAGTCTCAAAAAAGACATTCATTGCCCATGCCAGAATGTGATGGCATTTTTGGCTGTAGGTTTGCCTAAACCAGAGTCATCATCAGTGAGCATCCATGCCTGTTGGTCGGCCACAATGGTCTGGGGTTTTATGTAATCCAGTCTCTGGATGGGATTGGGCCCGGGCAAACTGGAGTATGGGGTATGGAGCACTAGTGTGCTGCTGGAGACGCCTAGGCTATTGATTTGCTGCGGTCTTGTGGTGACACAAGAGGTGGGAGAAGCGCGCTAAGGGGGAGACGATTGGCTGAGCAGGCGCCAGCTGTGATGAGAGCTTGATCATCCTCAGCTGGGTGATACCTGGTTTCAGGATTGCGGCGTAGCATTTGTCTGGCCTAAGGTCGTCTCTGGTTGGCCGTGGCAGAGGAGGTAGGCTGACAGGCAGGGCGTACTGCAGTCTCTGCATCGGAGAACGCGTGGATCTGAGTGGTGCCAATACATGAGGGCGAGAGCGTACGAGGTCAAGAGGTCTGCTGACTACCAAGCAAGTGTGCTATTTAGAGAATGGGCTCGGCACATGTTTGCAGGCCGTGTGTGGAGGCAGAACCATGTGTGGGGAAAACAGAAAGACGAAGGATAGTATGTCTTGACGATGAGGATGGCTGGGTGGGACTCCGTAATGTGATACGGAGTATACAATTCCTTACCTAGAGGCAGGTCACCGAGGGGGGCAGGGCTGCAGGGGGGGCCTGAGCAACCTAGAACCGAACTTGGCAAGGGCGCAACGGCCCACCAGCCCGTACCTGCCATGCTGCCATGCTGCCCATGGCTCTCCCCCCACCCCTGGTCGTCCCCAGCTGCTGATCCCTCTCTCTTCCTCCCTCTTTCTCCTGCCAGTCTGCGCTTCCCCGAGCGAGAGCCATGGGCCACTGTAGTGTAGTTGGCACGCCAAACCAGCCCGTTGGTTCCTAGTCTAGTTCCTCCTCCCGTCTCCTCTCCCAACTCCGATTCCGATCAGCTGGGTCGCCCGACCTTTTGGAACTGGAACCTTGAATCCGTCAGCCGTCTGTCACATCGTCTCGACTCGTCTGGTCCCCGTCTGACCTGATGATTCTCCCACCAGCAACATTCTCACCGTCGACACATTCAGCTTCGCAATAAGCCGAGTCCACGCCCAACTTCCACGTTCATGTCGACGCACACGCCCCGACCCCCGAACCATCAATGAAGCCGTCTCGCCTGTCCGGTCCTTTTCCACAATGCTGGGGATGTGCACCCTGCGACGGCATGACCTTCTCGTAGCGGGTCTCGTTTTAATTTCCTCATCTGCTGCGAAAACCACCGATGGCATTACCTTCCTCTACCCCGTCGGTGGCGAATCCTTTTACAACCTCGATACCGTCAAGGTCACATACGAGTCCACTCTTCTCGCCCCTGTTCTCTACACCTTCTGCAGCATCAACGGCGTCACCACGCAGAGTACGTCCGCGAGCCCTCGGCTCCTCTCCCCGCGGCCCCCGTCACAACAACTGACTTTGCTCTAGTGCAGGTGCAAGACGCCGAACCCGACAACGCATCCACGCTCGTCCATCTGAACGTAACTACCAACGTCCCCTGCTGGTTCGACCTGAGGGCAGGCCAGTCTGCACGCGAAGGGGCCACCACTGAGAAGTGGACTGCCCTAGCGAGATCACGACAGGAGACCACCTGGAGCGGCACCGCCCTTCCCACATCGACGCCCACGACATCCGGCAAGCCGTACCCTCTCGGCCCCCCTCCCGATCCATCCGGCCTGACCTCGGGCGCCAAGGTCGGCGTTGCCATCGCCGTCGCGCTTGGCACCATCGCAATCTTCACGATGGGCTTGTGGTTATGGTGGCGGAGGCGGCAGAAGCGGAAGGTCGCCAAGGATATGGTCAATTTTGTCGACGGTGATATTGTCAATCTGGTCGATGGAGGACGATTCGAAAAGCGAACCGTGCCCCCCGATGCCTACTACGACCCCTATCTCGCCGCCTCCAGCCAGTCGACTATTTCTCACTCCACCCACACGCCTAATTCCGCCTATCACCCATCTCCTGTTCACGAGCACCAACAGCCCGTGCAACAACAATACTATGCTGAGGCATCAGCGTCACACGAGCGGACATCCGCACCGATATTACCCCAAGAAACCATCCCTCCCGCACCGGCTGTGACGCACGAGAACGCTGCTTGGCCGAACGCGGCGCGTCATCCTTGGTCGCCCCCTGACTATGACGCCCATTCACCAGCGTCCGAGTGGAGTGTTCAGGGCGAGTCCGAATTCTACGCAGTCCCGCAAAGAGGCCATCCAGTGGGGAGAGATTACAAATCCGCACAGCCGGTCGAAGCTTTACCTGCCATCCTGCCCGAATCGAAGCCACAGGCCGAACTACCCGACAATCAAGGCTACCGTGCTCGCGGGGATGAGCAAGAACTACCAGCCCCTCACCAAGCACCACCATCGAGAAATGCTCCTCCCAACGGCTTAGAAATCGAAGAACAAAAGTTCCTCTTGGCGGACATGTTGGAGTTGAGGGAGGCCAAGTCAAAGGCAGCTGAGCGCCGGTCAGCAGGATGAAGTGAAAGCGGAAGACTGGCTTTTTTTTAACAACTGAAGGGATCAGATTGATCACTGGCTCGAGAGCCAAAGAACCCACCTTGGTTGGCTACGTGGCAGGGACTGGAATGTCCAGCATGAACGCGGCCAGCCAAGGAAGGAGATAGGCACGACCAGGATACAGGAGTGACCTACCAATCCAGCACGGACAACCTCTGGGATGCAAGATATATCTGCACCAGCACGCTTTTGCCTTGCAGTGCGTGGTTCTAGGGGTAGGAAGCCGCGAGGGAGGGCGGGCTAGCAAGGCGTCAGACCGCTGCGCTGGCCCACGGGTATCCAAGAGAAGGGCCGTCTGATATCGGCGAGAGTAGGAGACGACAGCCCGTCGAATGAAGGCGAGGCTTCTAGAAAGTCATTTATTGACGCTGGATCTCGGAGGGTATAATATGTCCGCAACGGCGGCCAAACTAAAGACAAATGAAAGATAATTTGCACAAGCCACACATGATCGGGTGCTTTTCAGGCATCAAACCACGCCCCTCAGCATCGGATGAACCTCGACGTCTCCAACGCCCAGCTGGCCGCGGACATTCCGAGAAGAGCGCAGCGGGCTCGTTACAGCTCATCGGTGCCAGATATGCGCCCCTGTCTCTTCTTCACCATCTTGGACATCCACAAGGCCAGGTGCCACCACTTCTTAGGCGCCGAACCCGGATCCATCAACGACTTCTCCAAGTCCGGAAACCGCCTCGACATGTTCTCCTGGATCTTGGGGATGAGCGCGTCGTAGTGGTCCGCGGTGGTGCCATAGAGCTGGCTGTGCCGGCGGTTCAGTATGTTGACGAGGCTCGCGAAGCCCTCGATGCCCTCGAAGTCAGAGTCGCCGATCCGGTCGAGCCAGCCAAAGTCCGTCATGGAGCTCGGCACCGTGCGCTTGAGGACGGCCGCCGTGTGGAAGAGGAAGTAGGGCGACTCGATCTCGGGCGGCAGGCCCTGCGGCTGGTGGACCCCGCCGGCGGGCGCCGAGGGGGCCGAGATGCACTTCTGGTTCTGCAGGTACATGATGTCGTCCAGGATGTCGTCGTCCATGGCCCGCTTCAGGAGCACCACGGCCCGCAGCCGCCGCCCTTCCCGGCCCGGGTCCGTCCCCGCGAACAGGCTCTCGTCCGGCTGCGAGATGAAGTCGGACAGGCCCCAGTACTTGAAGGCGCTCCTCACCGTGTCGAACCACACGAACCCGACTTTTGCATACGTCAGGACCGGCAGGTCTGGGATCGGCGGCGTCGGTGCCGTGGCCGGGGGTGCAGCGGCAGCCAGGGAGTGATGGCGGACGAGCGCCACCTGGGTGGCGAGCCTGGTCTCGAGGTCGCGGCTGCGCCGCTCAGCCCTGTCGCGCTGCCGCCGCGTGACCTCAAGGTCGCCCTCCAGCTCGACGAGCTGCGCCTCCATGGCCTGCCGCTCCTGGTCGTGCTGTTCGTGGTGCGCCGCCAGCTGGTCCGAGAGGATGTCCAGCTCCTCCTCGGCCAGAGACGCCGCCGTCAGGTCCGACTCAGCGATGCTCGCCCTCCGCCGCACGAACGAGCGGGCGCTGGCCGTCACCACAGATGAGCTCGCGGAGTGATACGTGTTCCGCTCCGGGCCCCCGCCGCCTTGGTCTTCGCCATGCCCGCTGTACAGCGAGCCCGGAGTATCATAGCCCGTGACGATGTGTCTCCCCACCTCACTTCCCCTGTGGCTAGACGGCGGAGGCGCCCCCGAGCGCAGCGAGGCCGCATACCCGCCTCTCTCCTCGTGGTTGCCGACCTCGCGCTCGCTGGCCGCCGCCGCCGCCACCTCCTGCTCCAGCTCCGCGACGCGGCCCAGCAGGCTCCACTTCTCCTCCTTGAGCGTGGCGGCCTCGGCGCGCAGCTTGTCCGCCGCCCGCGCGTGCTCGTCGTCCCTGGCGCGGAGCTGGCCGCGGAGGTCGTCGATGGTTGTGACCTGCGCCATCTTGGCGGCCCGCAGGTCGTCGTTCTCGGCCTTGAGCGTCTGGATCTGTTTCTGGAGCTTGCGCAGCTGTGGGAGAACCGGCGCCGTCGGGGCGTGCGCGGCTGTTGTTGGTAGCCTGCTGCTGCCGCTGCTGCCGCTGCTGCCGCCGCCAGCAGAGGTCAAGGCCGAAAGGTACACGTGGGCTGGCCCGAGATCTGGGTGTTTTGCCCTTGCGGGCATGGAGTTCTCCTTATTCGTCTGGGCTATCCTTGAGTTGCGAAATGATGCATTACCCCCGTCTTTGACCGCAGCGAGAGGCGTCCTGCTCGGCTGGCCTTGGATGCTATCCTGACTCTGCCTGTTCTGACCGCTGCCCACAGTCCGGTTGGCGCTTGTGTCCTTGGAGATGCCAACGATGGTCCCCGCGCCGGATGACGAGGTGATCAAGGAGCTGTATGTGGCGCGGGAGAGGGTGCTGGTGCTCGAGCAGTGCCGCAGGTCGCGGCTTACCTTCCGATCCAACTCGAGCGTTCGTCTGCCGCCGCCGCTTGACCCAGCCCTTTCGCCATCTCGGGACCTGCCGCCCGTGGACCTGGGGCTCGACCCCAAGGCTTGCGACGAGCTCGTTTTCCTGAGTTGCGATCCCCTGCCTACTGGTGATGAGAGCGGCAGTGGCTTGTTCCTGGGAGTCACTGGAGACTCCGACATTTTGGCTTGACTACCTTAGGTAAGGGATGGCTGAAACGGTTCCTGGATGGTTCAGTGATGGTGATGATCGATGCCCGCAACTGCCGTGAGAGCCGTGAGGACCTCAGGAGGAAGATGAGAGGCTGTCTTGATGTCCCCGTTGTTTACTTGTTTACCCATTTTCCCTTGGTGTTGAAGGTCAGCAAAACATAATCTGCCTGGCGGCGCCACAAGAGGGCGCCACCGGATCACGACGGGGCTGATGTGCTAGAGCACCCAGGACCGGAAGACACTGGAATGGAAATGTGGGATTGTCGGAAGGTGTACTGGAGCTGAAGCTCCTGGCAGCTCATCAAATCCCATTTCTGAGAGTTGGAAACCCCATCTAATCGCCTGTTGCTTCAATTACAACTGTCTCAACGCAAGGTTGTCAAAGCGGAAATTACGTTATGGCGAAGGGTGACACAAAATGGGGGGCCAACCCACCCACTCACCCACGCCGTTACCAGCGCAACCCAGAGTATCCAAGGATGTTGGGAATTTCTATGAAATCATTTGCAAATAAACGGCGATTGTTCTCATCGTTTTTTGTTGGTTTTTTCTGTGCCAATTATTCTCTGTCACGGAAGTCGTGCGTTGCCGGTCAAGAGCAGATGCTTCCTGAAGACCTGCAACTTTCGTGGCAAGGCGGCTGGTTGAATTTAGACCAGAGGATCTCCGAGCAACGCAATATTGTCTCACTCCATGTACTACAGTCAAGTGTCCACACGGGGGCCCAATTATGAATACAATTTCTTGGAAACCAAGCAGGTTGAGAACGGCTTCAGGTGATGTATTTCAGAATAACCGAGTAGTCTGTATGTGCAGGTGTAGATGTAGATATAGATATGTGCAGAGAAAGAAGACAATGACAGCCACGGCCCCACCAACAAGACCACCTCGCCCCATGCGTAAAATTCTACCGCCTTCCGTCTACAGACACTGGGAGTAATACTCGTTCGACTTGGTGCAAGTGCTTCCCGAGGCACAGACGGTGCAGCCGGTCCAGTTGGTGCCTCCGCACTGGGCCCACTTCGCAGCGGAGCAGCCACCAGGCGCCGTGGCCGTCGCGGACGCGGATGAAGTCGTGCTGGTGGCCGGCGCCTTGGAGGTGGTCGAAGCGGCCGAGGTCGTAGCGGTGCTGGACGGAGCGGCCGAGGATGAGGAGGAGGAGCCACCTCCCGATGAGCCTGTGGGTTGATTCTCAGCTTCAAGTTCCCGGGACAGATAACTTGATTACGGCGGGTCACTCACCTCCGGATCCGATCGTGGTCGTCAGGCTGCCGGACTCGACGTACACGCCGGAGAAGTAAAAGTCCTCGTTGCTGTCCGAGTACCCGCTCCTGGGGAGCTCGAGGACGCCCAGGTGCCAGTCGGCGCCGTTGCTGCTCGTGCTGGCGCTGACGGGGGACACGGTCAGCTTCAGGGGGTCGGAGCCGGTCGAGTGCCAGAAGCCGACCGTGTTGGCGCTGAAGTCGATCTCGTAGGCCACTAGATAGATACACGTCAGAAAACCTCTCCTCCACTCCACATACCGAGGACCCCTCGACATTGACTGACCATTGTGCCAGACGCCAGCGGTAAAGTTTGTGGACCACTTGCTCACGCCGCCGACCATCCACTGGAGGTTTGGGTTGCTCGTGGCGGCCTCGCCTGAGATCCAGCCCGACTTCATCTCGGTGAAGTGGCTCTCGAAGAAGTTGATCTGGTGCTCGCGGTAGACGGACGGGTAGTTGGTGCCGCTGGTCATCATGGAGAAGTGGTACCAGACCTTGCCCTGGTTGATGCCCGCCGTCGTCTGCGGGATGAGCTCCGTGCGGCGCATGTTCTGGCCGTTCCAGTACGCCGTGTTGGTCAGCGTGATCTTGGCCCCCTGCTTGGACGCCGCGTCGGCCGGGTTCTTGTACGACGGCGACAGGTTGACGTATTCCGTGACGGGGCCCGAGCCGTGGATGTAGTACTGGTACGGCCCGGCCTGGTTCGACCAGGACCAGTTGTTCAGGTCTGTGGCCGACGAGAGGTCGTTGAAGCGCCCATCCCAGATGACGGTGCCCGCGCTGGCGCTGGCCAGCAAGGCTGCGACGGCGGCGAGGCTGAAGGTCCTCATTGTGGTGATCGGCAGGGGAGCAGGGTGGGGGCTAATGGGGTCGCAGGGAGTACTAGTAGGTAGAGTCCAGTCGAGGTGAAGATCTCGGGCATTTCCAGCGTCCCTTGGACATCCTGGGTGCGGCGACCACTTATACCAGATTGATGACATATTGGCTTCCCAAGAATAGCCGGAAGACAAGTTAGCTTCCGTCCTCATGGCGAAGCTTAAATTGCTCCGGCGGCTCGCGGGTGACTTCTGTTGTGGTCATGGGTGCTTTCCCAGGGGTAAGGAGCCTCTCCCGGGTCTGGCCCAATGCGACGACGAGTAGACAAGGGCGTGATTTAAATGAAGCAGAACGCATGTGCGGCCCGCCAGGTCCAGGCTCTGCTGGAAAATTGCGGTAGTACGTCGTGGCCCGTTGTGCCATCACGGAGGCGGTGCCGAGATTTCCTTTTCAGGTAAGCGTGATCCATTTATGGGGGACGACACACATTGCCACGGGCGTGGTCTCTTCTTTTGTCAGAACAGGTGAGACATGGATTTGATAGTGGGATTCTTCTGATTCTTTCAACCCATCAAATAACATGATTTAGGTAGCCTTTGAGAAACATGCCGCGTTGCTATCTTGGTGACACCGACGCCTTCCTGCCATTCATATAAGCACCGAGCTGGGCCAGTGTCAACGGTATGCGCAGAGACCAATTGCGAATACGATGATCTTCCACAGTCCTCCATAATTCTGCCCAGAACCGTAGAAAATAATAGTATAGCTTAGGCATACGATTGACGACCCCTGCTTCACTAGCTGGCGCTCAATGGTGGCCAAAACATTGTGAGTTGAGACTTGGACAAGATATGCACCATGTCGCCGATTTTGCTCGCCTGTCAGAAGGAAAGACTGTTTCGTGCGCCACTCGAAATCTTCCTTGACCAGGGATGTTTTGTCATTGGGGCCAGGGATGTCGGCCTGGAAGAACCAAAGGTGCTTGTCGTCAGGGCTTTGCCATGCTTTGACGTCTGTGACCTGGGGCGCAGTTACTAATTGGTGGTCGGAGACTTTGACGGCAATTTCATGATTGTGGACATGTGCCTTCAAGAACGGCTCAGTCCATGTTGCGTACCACCTGCCGCCCAGGCAAAGACTAAGTCCTCGGAACTTGGTGCGTAGGTGGGAACCTTCTCGGTAACCCACCAACATGGGTATGTTGCTACAGGTCTCCAAGATGTGTATGCGCTGATCATGCGGAGAGTGGATCATTCGCCTGCGCAGAATGAGTTGGTGCGGCAGACTAAGGTGTGGTCAGTTTTCAGACTCTGGAAGTGGTCCAGTCTAGCTGGTAATACGGTGGACCCGACATACCTCAAGGGGAGTAATGCTGTGCGAGCAGCCAACCGATCTAGCCTCTCAGATTCTTTTTGATCGCCCGACTGAGCCTCGGAAAGAGTGTGTTTGCGGAGTTTCTTCTTGCTCGGGGTGAACAGCCTCGACATCAAACAAGTCAAGGACATGCGCAGCGACGACCTCCACCCAGATTTAGACTTTGACTGCCTCAGATCCGCCTCAACGGGGGGATTTGGCGCACGGTCATGCAATTGTGATTCGAGTGTAGGGGCAGGATCAGGCGTCAGGACTGTGACCGTTCCCCGTGCAACAGCGTCGGATACTTGTTCTTCTTGTGCCGTATGCGGAGGTGACTTGGATTGGTCATCACTATCCGAACACGTCGAGCTGTTGCTGGTCGATAGGATACTCTGCTCCGACTTTGCAGGGCCGACTGATACATGGGGAGGAGACGATTCGTCCGAATACTGAAACTCGAACTTGGTACGATCTCGAGAACTGCTTGCGCCATCGTTGGATTTTGGGGCAGCAATTGATCTCTGGCGGCCGGTAGCTGCGGGCTTGGACATGCTACCTGCCCGAAGGGAAACGCTGTACGGTTGTGGCATTTGTAAGGATCAATAGGGCGATGTGTGTGATCTTGGAGGCGAGGGGATCAGCTCGACGACTGTTAGGCTGCTCGCGAGTCATTGGAGATACTGCTGTCTGATATTTGCAAGCGTACCTAGGTATGTAGGGCGCTGAATTGGAAGAGGTGCCGGGGAGGGATTGACCTGTCCCTCTCTACCAGGCGCATTAAAAATCGATAGTAAGTGCAGAAGGAACGACGAGCCGTGGGCAGTCCTTGCCGTTGGCGACGGTAAAAGGTGACTCCCGGCCACCTTCTTAACAAGGCCACAATGAAACGAAGAAGCAGGAATGCTGGAGGGGAGGGTGGAGTTAGTCCAGACGCCTGGTCATTTGAAGCACAACAAACTCGTCCTCGAGGCCTTCGCTTCTTTCCTGAACGACTCCTTGTCTTCCTCCTCCAGCTCCTTTAGTGCGGAGGCAAGTCTCTTCAGCCCTAGTTTGAAGATGAAGTCGTCCGTTCCGTAGTTCAAGCGGAAACTCCCCGGCACCTTGGCTGAGAAGGCGCTGCCCGGCTCCAGGAAGACGCCGCGGGCCATCAGGTACTCGAGCAGGCTGATCTCGCGCTCCTTGTCGTTGTCGCCATTGACATTTGACAGCCAACTAGAGAGGTCGACGAAAGCGAAGAAGGCGGCGTCGGGGGTGGTGTACCGGATCAGGTTTGCGTTTAGAAAGTCCTCGAGTTGCTTCCTCCTCTTGTTCAGGATCTTGTGGTACATGGGCAGGTACCTCCTTCGGACGTATTTGGGGTTTGACAAGACCGTCGTGGCCGCCATCCCACCAAAAGCCGAGATCCAGGTGAACATGCTGGGACAGGTTGATGTTAAGTCATGCGTGTGCTTTGGAAACAAAAGAAAAGGCTCGCTGGAAACAACGAGGCATGCTTACCTCACAGTCCGCATTGACTGGTACAGGCGCTCGTTATACGTAGCAAGGAAGCCTACACGACACCCGCCCATGCCAAAGTCCTTGCTCAACCCCCAAAGCACATGCACATTCCCGGCAGCATCGCGCAGGTCCAGGCTCAACACACTTGTGAAGTTGGCACCACCGCTGAGCGCATAGATCTCGTCCACGACAAAATGCATCGACTCGCGCTGGCAGAAGTCGACCATGTACCGCAGCAATTCGGGCGTGTAGCACCGGGCGTGCGGGTTGTCCGGGTTCGCGATAAGCAGGGCTGCAACTCGCCTCCCCAGACGGCGCTGCTCGACGGCGGCAGCCTCAAATCGGTTGATTAGTTCGGGCTGGGGCCTACCGGGACGGATATGCTGGTGGAAGCGCGCCTCGGTGATGTCGTCGCAGGGGACACCGACGAGGTGGATTCCGTTTCTCGTGGACACATCGTGGTGGAACATGCCGTAGCTCGGGGTCGGGAACAGCACGACCTCGCCCTCGTCGGCGATGTTGAAGAAGAGCGTGTCCAGCAGGGCGGTGACGCCATTTCCGGCGAGAATGTTGGACGAGGTGAGGAGGATCCTGGGGCTGAAGAAATGGTTCATAAACTCGGCGGCCGAGGCTGGGAGCGCGGGAGCGCACTGCGTGTCGGTGTACTTGAGATCTAGGAGGCGAGGTACAACTGATCAGCCCCTGGCCCACGGCTGGGTGGCCTTTGTGGCCTTTGTGGCCTTTGTGGCCTTTGTGGCCTTTGCCCAGCAGGAGTGTGAGGCCTTACAGTCGGCCTTGTCCTTCCCGTCGTCGTGTCTCGTCAGCCAGGTCTGCAGCTCGTCGATCATCAACTCGTTCTTGGCGGAGCCCAGGTCGACTATGCCGCTCGGGTTGTACTTCTTGTTGTAGGTGTTCTGGGCGAGCCTCCTGCTGAGGTCAATCATCTGGTCGGGGCGGACATTGTCCTGGCCACGCCGCGAGGGTGGTAGAGGAGGCATCGTGGATGATCCGCGGACGATACCAAGGCATATGCCTGGTCAGGAGAAGTGCTGCGAGCACATCACCGTGACCTAGGAGATGATCGTGGGTCCCAAGATTGCGAGGACGCATCGTCTGTCCGAGATGACCGGATGACTAAGCCCTGCTGGGCCCAAGATTTTTGTGGAGGTGGAGGAGATGTGGCAGGACCCAGGAGCAATACGATAACGCACGATGCGACGCTCCATGCCTGTCGCTGCGCAACTTTTCTCGTATCGGCATGCAGAAGGATCCGGGTTGCCAGCCACCTCAGCAGCACGCGCTCTCCCTACTGGACAAACACTCAGCAAGCTAGCAAGCCAGCAAAGCTTGACGACGCCCAACAAGTCCTACCGAATGTCGATGAGGTCCTACTGAAAATCAGCCTGCCTGCGAAACCCACAGACCCAATGCCGACGGTTTGTTGATCTTCAGTCATGCTTGGCAATAAAAGGGAAAAAAAATAAAGCCACACGGGCCCATTCAATCGGTAAGCCAAATATAGAACGATCAACACCGAGTGACGAAGTTGCAGTGGACCTGCACCACAGAAATGACGCGGCAGTTGGTTCGGCGAGCCGGGATGGGGTGCCGAGTCGCCGCACGGCGGACCCGACGACAGGACCGGCGCCGAGGCTGGCAGGCTGGCAGGCTGGCAAGGCATCCCGTTCGGCAGCCTGGGACGATGGAACGGCGACGGACGCAGCACAGCGGCTGAACGGTCCACGATGCGACGCTCCGAGAGTGGGCGTCCCTGTCACTGTCACCGGGTGCAACCACGTGAACCTTCACAGTCGTTTTACTGTGGTGACTGGCATACGCGGCATTCGGGCTGATTGGGCACCCAAGAGGCAGCAAAATGAACCGGTTCGCTCGTCGCTCGCTTCAAGGCTCGGCGTTGCTCGGTGGTTCGGCAGGGGCATAAAAGATTCGGCCAGACCGAGGTCCCCAAGAATGCGCCTGTGCGCCTAGGCACCAATGCTGCAGATCGTTGATGCTTGCAAACTGACGTGCCTGCCAGCCTTGCCTGCCAGCCTGCGTGCTTATCTTATCCGATTCCCCACTTATAATTGTGGCGGACCGGGGCCCCACCACGGACACGGACACCACCCGGCAGGAACAAGCAACAATTCGGCAGGACGAGCCAACGGGAGAACAAGTCGTGCGGCCGCGGTGAGGGTCAATCAGCGGCGCCGTCATCGTACAGCAGCAAAAAAAAAAAAAAAAAACATTGGTCCTCAAACAAGCAAGGCCCTTCCCCAAGACCACCTTGCATACCAGCGCTGCCAGGCTTCACTGTTTCCAAGGCACGGCCTCAGCCCTCAGACTCGGCGGAGCACCACTCGGCCAGCGCTCATTGGAGAGCCTCGTCGGCTGGTCGGGTTTGTGTGAATCACATGCCTTGGCACTGCATCCACCCTGCGCCGTCCTACACATGTGACTAATCCTTCGGCTCAGGGCTAATGAGCGTCGAGTATTGGCCGGCTGGGGCCTTGGGGATGGGCCGGGAATATCTGGGAGCGGCCGGGCTCCCGGGGCAGGGTCGATCAAGGGCGGCGACGGCTGTGCCGCGTAGCCGGGTTGAGCCTCCTGGGTGCCGCGGTGCGCAGGGATCCAGCGATATCCCTCCTTGGCGGATGACGCCCGTGGGATGATTGTAGGACTATCCTTTGGCAAGCATCCCGTCCACGAGACTGGCTGGATGTCAGATCACAAAAACATAAAAGAAGCGCTCCGCCCCCGTTGAAACAAACTGTTGTGTTCCATACGGTTTATCCCAATTGATCAAGTTTAACCTGCAAGGAAAAAGGAAATCAAAACAAAACAAATCCAAGCTCCAAGCAAACAAAATCAAATCAAACCAAACACACACACAAGAACATTAAATTCTTCTGTGACCGACCACAGTAGTCACCACTCATAAACCAACCCCACCACCAAAAAAAAAACAAATACCTACTCAAAATCTAGGCTCGATCTTCTAAAGAAGACCAGAGCCCATCCGACACAAACCCTTGCCGATGAAGAGCTTCGAGACCCAACGCACCTACACCAGCCTGACCAGCTGCTCGGCCTCGTCCGCAGACTCCAATACCAACCCCAGCGCCCGCGTCAACCCCTGGACAGGCCGCCCCCTGCGCAACACCTCCTTCGGGGGCCGCCACAGCAACGACTGGCTGTTTGGCAGTGTCGCCGTCAAGAAGTCCATCAAGAAGGGCGTCAAGCGGGTTCTGTCGCACAACCACGCCGCCGAGTGAGGGATCTGGACGCTGGGTTTATTTACTACTATCACTCACTCTCTGTCTGAACTGAGAGTGTGCGAGAGCGAGAGAGACGAGAGATTTGTACGTGCCAATGATGATCAGGATGATGATGACCCCGGCCGAGGAGATGCTTGGCGACGAGGAGGGCGAGCCGCCCCACGGGAATCGGCTGGCAGTCAGCAGACACGTCAGCCCAGAGACGCCATGTGAGCAGCAGATATCGGCACAGGTGGGAGGAACATCACAGCAGCATCACCATAGCAACATTGGCCATCTGGCCCAAGTAGACAGTATCGTCTATTCAATACATTCATTAACACATGCTCGTTCCAAATCCGGTTGATTCGTGGTTTATGTGACCGCCGCCGCCGCCGCCGCCCCCCGACTTCCTTACCGCTCCTGTGTTCCCAAAAAAACAAACTTCGTACATATACAATGCGTGTGGGGGCGGAGAACACCCGACCACCCTCCTGAAACAAGTACATGCCACATTGCCAATGTAGCTTGCCAGTGTGGCCAGCCAGCCAGCCAGTCCCATCCGCGCCGCCTCACATGATAAATTTCAGTTCGACATCTGTCATGTGCCCCGTCAGTGACATGTTCGTGCAACAAAGACAAATGTCCTGTAGAAGAAGAAACAAGCGTATCAGTCTCACCTAGGGGATGGCTGCAGCTAAGCTGCGGCTTCTGTGTGTACTTGGTCTCCAGGATGTCACGGATGTTGTTCAGCAGCTCGAGGTACGTCTGGTCGCGGTTCTGCCTGAGGGCCGAGATGAAGGCGTACGACATGGCGCCCGTGGCCTTGGACGCGATGGTTGCGTCGGCGCTGGTCTGGTCGTCCTTGCTGCCGCTCAGCGAGATCACGTCCGCCGGGCTCGTCTTGGTCCGCATCGTCTTCTCGTGCGCGCTGTCGCCCGAGATGGCCGACTTGGCAAAATTCATGAAGGAACTTGCCACGCCGCCTATGTCACCCCGCGCGTAGGACGTGATGGCCGAGAGCAGCCCCTGGCCGGCCTCCTTGGCCAAGTTCGGCTCCTTCAGGACGCCCTTGGTGGAGTAGATGTACGGCAGATCCATCATAGAGCCCGAGTGGCACGAGTCGAAGATGGCCGTCAGGCGGACGCCCGCCTTGAGGGGTTTGACGACAATCTCGTGGACTTCGTCATCGACGATATGGCCTCGTTGTTGAAAATCGACTGGGTAGATGACCTCGTCGAACCCGTCCCCCTCGTCGCCGTCCAGATCCTTCGTCTGGCCTCCGTGTCCTGTGGAAGCACCGTCAGCAAATGGCGTGGCGCACCCGGGCCTCTTGCGCGCAAGGTGTTAACATCAACCTACCAGAATAATGCAAGAACAACGAATCGTTGGGCTGTGCGTTGTTGACCAGCCAGTTCATCGCGCGCAGGATGTTCTGCTTGGTGGGCTGCAGTACGGGGTTGGCCTGGTCGTCGGTCAGGATCACCATGTCCTCGCGCTTGTACCCATAGTGCTCCATCAGGAAGCTCGAGACATTCCGGGTGTCATTGATACAGCCCTTGAGCTCTGCCTTGGTGCCGAAATAGTTGATTCCAATGATCAATGCCTTGCGCTTCCCGGTACAGGCACTGTACTGAAATGTGTAGCCCTGCGGAGCGCCGTGGCCAAACTGCTGTGCCCCTTGCGGCGGGGGAGCTCCGTGCCCTCTAGGTGCGTAGCCGCCGCCCTGGTGCTGATATTGTGGAGGCTGCTGGTATTGCTGAGGCTGCTGGTATTGCTGAGGCTGCTGGTATTGGTTGTACTGTTGGGGAGGTTGCCCGTAGCCCTGCTGGGGAGGATAGTGATGCTGTGGTGGGGGTCCTTGATTGTACTGGTTGTACTGGTTGTAGCCATAGCCCTGCTGCGGAGGAGGCCCTTGGTTGTGCCAGCCGCCGCCGCCGCCCGGACCGTACCCTTGGCCTGGGAAAGACATGTGTGTTGTCGGTGGTTTGGAGATGGGAAGGGCTCGAGGGGCCTGAGTATCGATGCTCGGCAGTAGGCTAACCGGAGATGGCGAGGTCGATCTTTCTCTTGGTGTAGGGGCTGGCTGATTCGGCTGTGATGGAAGGAGGACGTTTGCGAAGCTTTAGGGAAGTCAATGGTCACGGAGGGTGGGTGGTAAAGTAAGCTCGCACATAAGGTTGGCTGGTTGGTTTGGATCGGTATTACGGCACGTCTGAAAGAAGAGCTGACGTTTCGGCACCGCGGGCGGAGTGTGCAGGTGCAGGTGCTGGTGCTGGTGCTGAGCCCATACGCGCTAGGCTGCTTCCAGGTGCTCCCCGTCAGCTGTCAGCTCAGGATGTGAGGCGCGATGAGGGGGAGGGGCTGGACGCTGGAGGGGCTGGAGGGGCTGGCTGGAGGGGCCCGAGGGGCAGCGGTCGTCGCAGTCGCGGGTGGTCTGCCCGTCTGGCTGTCCTGGATTCGTTGGAGCTCGCTTGTGATTCAGGGTCTCCCCCGCCTGGCCCACTAGCACCCCCTGGGGGGGCCCTGGGGGGCCATCAAGCCAGCCCGTCCTGCCGTCTTGGGAGAATGCCGATCCATCCCGCAGAAGACGTCTGGATATTGCAGTAGGAAATGGCACTATAGGTGTTCGTTGCCCGAACCCGCCCAGACCAAGCTAGCATGTTGGGGCTCTACAACTGGCTGGATTTAGATGCAGACAGACAGACAGACAGAAAGACAGACCTCATGTCTTGCATCGTCAGCGTCAGGAATGCTGACCCGAGACCGCCATGGTGGCCTTTCTCCAGCAACGGCACGGCAACCTCATCATCAACGCCGGCAGGGAGGCCAAAGGATCACAGCTCACAAGGGCCTGGGTCTCGCCAGTGCTCAGGACTCCATTTCTGGACTGAACTACCTCGGTAGCTGCCAGGATTGTTTCGTGGCCCGACTTCCCTCTCTGTTCTCGTCGATATTCAACTTCGTTCTGTCGCCGACTTCCACTGACTCCCCAATCATTGTTGATTCCCCTCAGTTCACCGTGTGCCGCAGCAACGATACATGCACGCGTGAAGCGCGTAGCAGCATCTGCAGCAACAATCCGGCTTCGGCCTGTATGCTTGGTCAGTCTCCTTTTGCAGTGGCTTAGTTCGCCAAGTGCGATCGACCACCTACAGTCCCGAGGCATGTGTCTTTTGTGGCCGACGTTGGGGTGGACGTACGGTCATCTGCACAAAGCCATTAGTCTTTTGGCCCAGTGCCCATACGTGTGGTCTCGCTGGTCTCGCACCGCTGGAAGCCCTGCCGGCCCATGACGCTGTGGGCGAGGCTGCTCTTGCGCGCGCCCTCCGGCCTATGAAGGGGCATCACGGCTAGTGCTCATCTGAGCCGTCGGTGTGTATGGTATTTGACATTCTTGCTCCACGTCCTGCTCCAGGGCCGTGTAGACTGGTGGGGGAGATTGCATCTTGCGGGCTCTGTTGGAAGTCCTCAGCATTTCATTTAATTCATTTCCAGTTCAAGACCAGGAGGTGGGACCCCACATCTCATCGGGACTATCGAAAAAGTCCTCGAGGAAAATGTATTCGTCCGCCATGGCGCGGCATATGCGACGGTGTGCCAAGCGACAAGTGCGTGGTGCGCAGACCGGGGCTTGGTTGTGGTGGAAGCTGTATGTCTCGGGGAGGGCAGTATCGTCTGTTGTTTTCACGTAGGGTCAAAGCAAGCTATGCTGATGTTGGTAATGATTTTTTTTATTGCTGTCTTGCAGTGCAAGACTTGTGCGACTGGTTGATGGGTTTCTGGCTTTCTAGGAGTGCAGGAATTCCGAATGGATCAACGTGGTGGGTGGTGAGGTCGTCGTGTCGAGAGATGGCGATATATTCCTTTCCACTTTCAGCGTCTGCCATTTCCGTCTTGGGAGCTTCCGCGTATGACAGTACGTGAGTGCATCGACTGCACTATGCGTGTGTAATACAGCAGCTGCGATCCAAGGCCGCCCGTCCCGTCGTTATTTCCCGTTTGAGGCTGTGTACGGGAGTAGCGCAGATATGCTGTCCTCTTTGCTGTCCCTGGAAGTCCGTGGATTGGGATCAACACTGTGCTTGTCCTGTCTTTGCCTCTCTTCACTTTGCCCCTTGGGACGACGGTGCTTGCATGGCGCAGGGCTCGGAAGGGCAGGAAGGAGATGCGAGTGAGGGCCACTTTGGCCCTTGGAAGCGCCTCAGGTTGTCGCAAACTGCGGCCTGTGCATTGTGCTGTGCTGCCCCTGCATGTTTCTGATTCTGAATCTCTGGGGCAGAGCCAACATGGGCTGGTTGTTGGGTGCTTTGGGTGCTTGGGTGCTTTATCGGCGTGCTGTGACTCGGTTGTGGCATTGTGGCAGTGCTCAGCGCAGCATGCAGGTCACCACCACTGAATGCGCAATTGCTTCGCATCTGACTGCAGGCAGGCGCCTCAGCCAGCTTCCCGAGAGCTGCACCATCCCACACCTGCCGTCAACGGCGTCAGGCGTCAGGCGTCAACGGGGGGCGTTGCAAACGGTGGACAGCGCCCAGCTCCCAGTGTACAGTAGATTCCAGGGCGTTTCTGGTCATTTCTAACGCCCACAGTGCCTCTTGGCACATGCACAAACAGCTCACCACACACCCACCGCCCCATCCAGTCTCGAGATTGCCATCTAGCCCCACTCTGTATTTCCCTCACCTCGGGGAACGGGGCATGCCATGACCGTCGCCTTGGTACGGAGCACGTCAGGGACCAGACGGACGATAGTGTACTTGGGTACGGAGTACAGTACGGCTCCGAGGTAGCAAGCAGGGCAGTCACCACCAGTAAGTGACACGCTCGTGCCCTCATGCCCGTCCGTGACTGTCCTTGAGATGCCCAGCTTGACACATGAGGCCTCCCCAACCGCTGCTCGTGGTCAATGCACGATTGTGTCTAATACGCACCAGCCTATCACCGCGAGGCCGTCGAGCTTTAAAAGCATCCGTCGTCCCAGTCGGACAGGAAGCTCTCGCTGTTTGCCGTACTGACCACGTTTCGTCTTACACACAGCTCAGACTCAAGCTCTCTTTACCTTCCTTACCTTCCTCACCTTCCTTCCCTCTGCTCTCAACCCCCACCATCACCTCCACCCAAGGACCCCGCCATCCCAGCATAATACCAACACCACTCCCACCACAACAAACCTCATGTCGTTCTTCAAGAAACTTGCCTCTGATTTCGAGGGCCTGACTACCAAGGACAACAAGGATCGTGCTATGGACCCGAACCAGCAGTACCCCGGACAGGGTGAGTACAAGCTTCCCTTCCCGCTCTCCCCGCCATTAACAGGCCAGTTATACGCCGCCCTCCATGAGTCGAGAGGCTGACCACAAATCTTTGCAGGGTACCCTCCTCCTGGCCAGCAGTATGGCGGCCAGTACCCTCCCCCTTCGCAGAGCCCCTATGGCGGCCAGCCCTACGGCCAGCCGCCACCACAGCAACCCTACGGATACGGACAGCCACCCCAGCAGGGCTACGGACAGCAGCCTCCTTACCAGCAGCCACCTCAGCAGTATGGCAGCCCTGCGCCATACGGCGAGCGTCCCCCGGCGCCCCCCTCCACCAGCAGCTATGGGGCCAGCGGCGCTCCCCAGCCTCCCCAGTGGGTTCCAGTCTGGTCTGAGCAGCAGCAGCGCTGGTTCTATGCCGAGACGAACGGAAGGTCCCAGTGGGACGCCCCCTTCCACATTCCACCCCAGCCTGCCTACGGCGACCACTCAAGTAGCCGCGCTGTAGACTCTGGCTACGGCGGTGCCGCCCCATACGGTGCTGCTGCCGGTGCTGGTGTCGGTGCCGCCGCGGCGTACAGCTCGCCTCCTCCCGACCATGGATACGCCTCTCCTCCTCCCCAGGGCTACGGCGCTCCCCCTGGTGCCCCCTACGGCCAGGACTACCGCGGCCAGGAGGAGAAGAAGGACAACAGCACTCGTAACGTGATGCTCGGTGCTGCAGGTGGTCTGGCAGTTGGAGCCATCGGTGGCGCCCTTATTGCCGATGCTCTTAGTATGTGACCCACTTTCATCCACTCAGAGGACCCCTGGAGCTAACAAATGAATAATAGACGACAGCGACGACGAAGAGCACCGCTCAGCTCCTCCCCCCCAGCAGAGCTACGACCACAGTAGCTACAATGACCAGAGCTACAACGACGGCCCCCCTGCCGTCCTGCCTCCAACTGACAACGATGGAGACAGTGTCTCCTCGAGTGACCGCGAGGACGTCCAGGAAGCTCGCGCCGAGTACGAGGACAAGCTTGCCGAGGCGCATGAGAGCGGTGACCACAGCGACTGGGAGGAGGCAGAGGAGGCCCGGCAGGAGTATGAGGAGGAGTACGAGGAGGTCTACGAGGACTAAGCTCTTCGTTTTCATTCAAATGGGCACTTTCTTGGTTTCCACCAGGCGTGATCCCTCGCTTGCCTATGAAAGAATGCCCATGTTGACATCATCCCTTTGCTGATGGTTTGAGCGGAATGGCGGATGTGGGACCCAGGGGATCCAGAGCATCCTAGCAGGTGCCGCCAGGACACGTGTGTCTTGAAGCAGATAAGGTTAGACAGGACTTTGTGCTCAGCCACAAACCATAAAAAGGAATCAAACCATCGTTTCCGGGCAATCAGATGAGTTGTCCTTTGAAATACATGTTCAAATATACATTTGCCTTGTGCCTGTGACTTGTACCCATCCATGATCTCTTCCCCACTTCTACTTTTAGCAAGCAGATTCCAGTACGATGTGTGCGCTTCAACACAGAGCAATGTGCCACAACTTATCATCATCACTTGCACGTGCGTCTTTTAAGGTAGGCATCTGTATGAGAAGCTTTATTGGACTACTGGTCAGGCCATCAATTGAACTATTCTGAGTTCTTGTGATTTCCATATGCGCTTTTAACCAACTTGGCTGCAGGTATTCAGTCCCATATAGAATAACAACATTCCAAACGAACACTTCTCTCTGTCGTCCAGTGACATTGTGCATTAATCACAGTCCTGCATGATCATCTCTCGTCACACACAGTGATCTAAAAGACACCCCTTTTCGTCTTTTCAAGTGCCTGGTTCATATCCACAACAATTTTCTTTTCTCCTGCCAAATTCAACAGCCAAATCAGCCTTCCAGCTACCTCCTACGGCCCCAGCGACGCTCCGACTCGATCGTGTCGACGAGGGACTCCGGACTGCGGTCAAACAGCTGGTACCCCAGGACGTTGGGGAACCCGCACAGCCATGCCTTGGGGCTCTGGAATTTCAGGTACCGGCGCGGGGCGGAGATCGGCTCGGCCATCTCGACGCGCACGACACGGCCGCCGTCCTCCTCGTCGCGGACCGGGTGGAGCACAGTGCCGACCTGGTCCCAGACAAAGCAGATACGCCTGAGGGTGGGGATCGCCTCGAAAAAGACCCTGGCAGCCTCCTCGCGGGGCACGTTGGCCGGATGCTCGCGGATCAGGCGGCTGTGGGCGAGGGCCCAGTCCACCGCGTCGCTGCAGTTCGTGGCCCGCCGGGCGTCCATGATCTGCTGCTCGCTGATGGCCTGCTGGTCCGTGATGTCGAGCTGCTCGAGGGAGCGCATGGGTGCGAGGCGCTCGGCGAGGTCTGTGACGGGGCCGTTGAGGAGGCCGACCAGGGCGAGGTGCTTGAGCTGCGGGAGGGTGCGGGCCAGCGCGGCGAGCCTGGACCCCTGGTCGGGGCGCTCGTTCCAGCCGTAGAAGCCGGCGAGGTCCGACGCGTCGCCGAGGAAGCGGGCGGGGAACGACCGGATCATCAGGTACTCGAGGTTCGTGAGGCGGTTGAGCTTCAGGGTGGCTGGCTCGAGGAGGTCGCAGTTGTAGTCGAGCCACATGCGCTCGATGTTGACGTAAGGCCCCGCGAGGAACTGGAAGTCCCAGTTGTGGCCGAATGGCGCCGAGATCTCGAGCTGCTTGGTGGCGTAGATACGGTGCGGGAATCCGCTCTGCGCCCACCTGCGCCAGACGTTCTCCACCAGGCAGAGCAGCTGCCACTGGGTGCTCTCCTTCTCGATGACGAAGCGCTGGACCTTGGGTCGGACCAGGTCCAGGGCCAGGATCAGGTCCTCCTCGACGTATGCGTGGTTCGGCTGGGGGGTTCGGGTCAGAGACACGGTGAACTTCTCGATCTTGGGCAGCCACTGGAGCATGCGAGGGCTGGTGATGATGGCCTGAATGCTTTCCTTGAGAAGATCTTTCAGTGTGGCCTCAGTGTTGTCCTTGATGCAAATGCTTTTCATGAGGTACGGTGCAGTGAGATGACGGAAGTAGTGATTGACCAGGGTCAGGTCTCGAACGGCGCCGCCGATATACTTCTTGCCCCTGTTTGCCTTGTGGTTGTCGCCGTAGCTGTTGAGCAGGAAGCAGATCTCGACAATGGTGAGGTGCAATTCGGTCGGTAGGTCCATGATGGTCAGCTTGGGCTCGCCGTCGAGGCTACCAGAGACGACAGAGATGTCGTCATTGCCGCAGTCAGCTCGGTCGCCGCCAGCTGAAGAACCCACAGAGCTGTTTGGTGAAGAATAGTAGGAACTGCCACTGCAGGCCAGTGTTCCAAATCGGGTGGGGATATCCACGGGACTGGACTCAGGCTGGGACTCGGCCTCAGACTCCATCTCTGACCGATTCATGTAATCCTGGCGACCAGGTCTACCACACACAGCCCGAGTGCTGCTCATCGACGAAGTTATCTTTCGGGGACTCATCGTGAGGTTTGATGTTAGGCAGGTAGAGTGGTTGAAAGATCGGTAGAATTCTGTGGGTCGAGCTTGGATGGGCTGGTGTCTGCTTGGATCGAAGTGGTCTTGCTATCAGGTGCAGTAAAATTGGTTGGCGGGGTTGAGACAACAAACTGAGACCTGGGAAAGAACGGCAAGGTTTTAATCATCACTATGGCAGCTCTGGTAGCTGGCAGTTGTGGTGTAATGATCCTACTCAGAGCTCTACCATCCCTTCCGATTGGCTCCTCGTTATTGACACAAGGGTAGTTGCAAGCTAATGTGGCTTCCGTCCTATTTTAATCACTTTGTGACATACCAATTGTCGCATCTTAGTGGTGGATAGGTCTTGCTTAGCAGGCAGTCTTGGTCGCTAATAGCTTGCACTTCCATTTTGCCCATTGTCCTCGTTCAGCTGGGCAGTCTTTGGTCAAGCGCAGATAGACTGAGGAATTTGAATTGCATGTTACTGAATTCTTAGGAACCTGGCCTGCAGGCTTTTTTTCCTTTGGAGAGTTTCCAAAGACAGTCGCCCAAACTTTGAACAACTTTAGGTATGATGGCATTGCGGTCACCCACGCGTGCTGAAAACAGTGGCCACGGTTGACACCCCATCAATTGATCTATCTCAGAGCTCATACCTAATGTCTTCAAATTGAGAATGATAATTGTATATAGTGCAAGAGTTATACTTCCATAAGAGTTAGATAATTTAGGTAAAAAAGTCACATGGAGACCTTTTTGAGACAGAAGTACATACATAGTTGCAAAAAGGGAGTCACAGTGAGGCAGTCATAAAGAGGTAGTCACACAGCTAGACGCAATCACAGAGATCAAGCCAACAAAGATAAGAGAAAACAAGGAACTCACTTTCTCAGTTCAAGCAAACTCAGAAAAAGGGAACAGACCTTGGAATTACTTTAGAAGAAGATTCCTTCTTGGCCAATCTTCACACCTAAACAAACAGAGAAACTTTCAGATCACTATAATCTTACATAACTTTTACACTAAAAACAGGCTAGCTCTTACAGAAGTCCTGAGTCTTGCAGAAGGCCGTAATACTTGTTTCCCATATTTCCTAGGTGAAAACATTTTTAGTAGCCAAGGTTGAGTTTGAAATTGGCTTAGGTACTTTGCTCTATGAAAATCATCTGTAGCACTTGAGGTTCCAAGTTACCTCGTTCTTCAATACCTAGGCATAATCGAAGCTTTATTCCATCCATCTCTCTGTCCTGCTCAAAAAGAGGTGTTGTTCCAGCCGTCGAAATTTCAAAGCTTGAGAGCTCCAGTTGAGAGTAGTGGGACGCCTCGACACGATGAGATCAATACTCCCTTGTTACTAGCACACTAGGTGAGTATCTTAAGTCTCTAAGCTTAAGAGCAAGAATTCATTTTCAACAAGACAATCTTGTCTGCACAAAACTCCGCTTCTAGTCTGATAAAGAGTATAAGTAAGAGATATAAGTTGGCTCTGATTCCCTTTTCCTGTTTGACAGATTCTACTTTATAATGCCCTAGAAAGGTGGCCCCTCCATCAAGGGCGTTTGGTTTAGTGGTATAATGTTCGCTTCGCACTTACACACATGCATGCGAAAGGTCGCCGGTTCGATTCCGGCATCGTCCACTTGATTCTCTTTTGCTTTTTTGTCCAAAACAAAACGACTGAGCTATTTATTTCCCTTGATTTTTGATTTTGGAGGACGGAAGCACGGCATGTCCTTCAGCCATCCGGATTTTCCAGCAAACAAGTGGCGGGACACTCGGAGACGTACGGGCACCTCCTTCAAGAGACAGTACACGAGCAAGCTATGTGGTTTCGCTTCTATTCCGTACACGTTCGAGGACATACATGGCGCCTTCATACGGTGTGTCTAGCCCTTTATAGCTCAATTAACTCCCTAACTCTACTACTACTTGACTACACCCTAGAGTGACTCCTGTATTCAATGTTACCTTTACGAGACAGGTTCAAGATTTGTTCGCTAGCATCTGAATCGTCTCTACTACACCCGAGATGCCAGACTATAGATTAAGAGAAAATCCAAAATCTACAGTCTCCATACAGAAACATCCGAGTCACGAAGAAAAGCACAGAACGAGTCTGGGGCGGGCATGTCGCATCTATGCTCGGTTTGATATCGGTGACTGCTTTGTCCGAGATATGGCCACATGCTCATAAGCCTGCCAGATCTGTGGCGAACGTCGAAGTCACGGATGCCGATGAAGCGAGGGTATATCGTGCTTGTTGTCTCTCCTCTCGATCAATGATGTGACGCATTCCATGGTCAGAAAGCACGCGCCGTGAAGGTTCCAAAGGGTCTCAGGGTAGCTGTCTCCTCTTCGGTGGTATGTTCGAAGAACCCCCAAGACCACGGCCGTCCGTGTGCAGTAGTCCATACAGGTACTTACAGATCCTAGCACAACGGATGTCTCTGATGCTATTACTGCAAACAATGGAGAAGCCAACGGGGTGTTGCTAAGCTGCAGACGGGACTTCCTTGTTTCCAGGCATTCGCCAGATGGAAAGACACTGCGTTGGAACGATGCCACCGATCGCGTAGTCCGTATCGCGGAGACTACCTAAGTTCTTAGAGTATTCATTTAGAGCTTTGCCTGACGCGCGGAGCATCCATGTTGGGAGGGGACAGGGTTTTGTCACGAGGATCAGTTAGACATCGACCAAACTGATATTAGTGGTGGAGTAGACGTTACGTCGTTCCCTTTTGGAGAACTCCGGACAAAGGCACTGCCTTGTTCTAATCCATATAAGCCGGTGTAGGATAGGAACAGGAGGGGCATCATATCCCAGATGCTGGTAGAGTTTGAGCATCCAAGGACCATCGGGCGCTATAAAAGACACTGCCTCCTCTTTCGAGGTCACCTACAATTTGTATGCAATATAGAATGATCTTGGGGTTGGACACCTGAAGCGCACAAGGCAGGTGTACCTTATCCATCCACTCGTGAAAGCCCCAACGGGAGCGTTTTGTTCATATGGCATTCCGGTCATGTACATTCTGAACTTGACGAGTACATAAACCCCATGAAGCCGCCATTAGACAATATTAAAACATCTGGTGCCAAGCAAATCAGCCGCGTGCCAGCTAGCCAGTTCCGGTTCATGAATGATTCCCCACCCCCCTTCCCAACGCCAGACATTCCGCGTCCGTCCGTCCCGTGGGAGATGATGATGATGATGATGACAAAGGAAAAATACAAAAGTTTTAGAAGTAATGGTGGGTATCCTGCTGCAAAGACTTTTCTCGACCGATACCCATGCCCTCCCTGATGTCATAAACCCCAACGCCGCCGTCGGTGTTCCCGATGAATAGCTTGCTGCCGTCGCCGGAGAACGCCAGCTCCGTGACCCTGCCCAGGTCCCCGCCGAGCTTCTCCAGCCCGCCGGCCGCCGCAGGCGCCTCGCCCGCCTCCGACGAGCGCCCGCTCTTCTGCGAGCTGCGCCCGCTCCGCCTGCTCGACACGGACCGCCCGTCCCACGCCGTGCCGCCTCCGCCGCTGCTCTTCCCGTTGCTGCTGCTGCTGATAGTGGTGCCGTTACCGTTGCCGTTGGCGCTAGAACTGCCCAGCCGCCAAAGCTCGCGCCCGCTCATCGCGTCCAGGATTGCCAGCGCGCCTTGTCTCTGCGCCGTTCCCGGGTCGCAGTACGCCACGAAGCGGCAGTCCGGGCTGACGCAGTTGAGGGCGTCCGGGATCTTGTAAGTGGTCGTCTTGTCGGTCGAGAAGTCCCACACCAGCACCACCCTATGCGTGACTGCCGTGGGCTCAACCTGCCACATCCCCGGGCGGCCGATGGTCCTGAACTTGGCCGGCGACCACACCGACACCGCCACGCTCCCGTACGTGACCAGGCTCAACGCCAGCGAGTTCTCCAGCTCCGGGTGCTTCTTGCGGTCGGGCATGATGAACTTGTAGGGCCTGTGGACGGGGCCCGCGCCGCCGTCGAAGCCGCCATCGTCGAGCCGCCATGCCATCAGGAGGGCGGCATGCTCGGGCGGCGGGCAGTTGGGACGAGGTGGACGCGGACCCGCGGCTGCGACCAAGAGAGGTCCCGTCGCAGAGTAGGCCAGCTCTGGCAGCTTGGGCAGGAACGGCAGTCCCGCCTTGCGAAGCTCGATAGAGCGCGGCTTGCCGAAGGGCTTCTTGGAAGCCGGCGGCGACGACGGGAACAGATCGATCGTGTCCTTCTCCTCGCGGTACGCAGCAAGCGGGTAGCATTCGTACTGCGCCTGTCTCGCATATGCCCACCTGTAGGCGTCGCTGATGCTCTGTACCCTCTTGCGCTTCGCCCAGTTGTGGATCTCGAGCGTGTGCCCGAAGCCGGAGGTGATGACGACCAGGTTGAGCGTCTCTGAGAGGATGGCATGGGAGCGGATGAAATTCTCCCGTGATCGTGGCTGCGCCTGGACGTTGGAGGATACCTTGATGGTGGTGATCAACTCGTAGCCTGAGGTGATATCCCACAGGTTAACATGGGTTTTGCCGTGTCTGCTGGCCAGCACTGTTGATGTGGGTGAGGTGTCGATGGAGTAAACCACATGAGCGCTCTCCTTGTCAGTGGGCTCCAAAATCGTCGAAGGGACGATCTCGAACCCCGTTTCTTCGGAAAGGGTGGAAACCGTGGGCTTCGGGCTGGCTAGTGGCGGCTCATACGCGTGGGAACTCGTCCTCACGGGTGGTTTGTTGACCGAGGAGGCTGTTGAGTAACGGTTCGAAGCTGCTTCGCTAAGTGATGAGAACTTGGAGTCGCGGTTCAGATCGAAGGTTGTCTCCGACGCAGCTCTCGACCTTGACCTGACGGGAATACTGGGCACCTGGGTTGACGAGGCTGAGACTTTGCGCCTGTAGGGTGACTTGGGTGGTGGAATGGGCGGCAGGCTCTTGGTGGGTGGGGGAGATGGAAATAGGCTGTAGCCCTGTGAAGGACGGGCATCGGAGGCCGAAAAGCTCTTCACGGTGAGTTGGAGAGGCGATGGTTTCAGCCTGCGTGAGCCCTGACTTAATCCATCTGAAAGACTGTCGTCGTGAATGTCCGCGGGCTGTGAGTGAGCGGAATTCTCGGATATGGAGTGAAGCTCGGAGCTCGTTGACGAGTATGGTCTCATGTCTGCCCGGTCGATGGAGTCGGAGGACCTCCTCCTGAACGAGGTCATCATGGTGTGGACTGATGGTGTTGGAGGGAGCTGGGCCCCAGCACCAGGGCTGTCTGGCGTGGCAATTGATGAGCTTTCCTGGACCTTGGTAACATAATTCTCAACCTCATCGAGACAGTGCGCAAGCAGTGCGTCCAGACGAGCAACCCGCAGCCCGCTTGGTGTCAGATGCTTTCGCACATATTCAACATCGGCCATGGTCTCGTCTGTGACGTTCCTGTTGTGGGTTAGCAAATGGGCAGCTCACTGGATCGGACAGCAATTGACAGTGGAGTTGTGGTGGGGGGTGGGCGGGCTTACCTCGCAATGGCCTCGAATGCAAACTGGATGGTCTGGCGGCAGAAGGCCAGTGCCCTGGTGAGTCTCCGAACGTCTACCGAGGCATCGGTCAGGGCCCAGCGGCCAGTTCGGAGTGGGCCATCCCCACAGCCGGCGAGGGCAGAGTCGATGCGGGCGCAGATGTCAGTGCAGCCTCGTGTGACGCCGATGAGGGGGTTGCAAAGGGGGTGTGGGGGTGCGGAGTGCTGGAGGCGCTCAAAGAAGCCGCGCAGGTCAAACAACTCGACGAGGACGGACTCGAGCTCGGCATGGGCGGGTGGCACGTCCCTCAGGAAGTCGGTGACGATGTAGGCGGTCTGGGTAGCAGCTGCGAGGGCAGCGGTGGTCGCTGCAATAACGGGGCCATCCATCCGGTGGGTTGTTTGCACAGTATCGACATGCATTTAATTGCTGAGTGGTACAGTGGGATTTTGTGTGACCCCTTGTGTTTTGCTGGGGCGATTCAAGGTTGCTGGAGAAGGACGAGGCGATGTGGATGGAACAGTCTCAGTCGGTTGCGGGTGGAAAGGAAGGTTGCGCAGGTGGGTTGGGGTCAGCTGGGTTGAGACGTTAATCGGGGTAGAGATGAGATTGACTTCAGATCAGAGTTTGTCTAGTCTGGCTGGGTTGTTGTGCGTGGGTGCTGGCTGGATGTGAATTGTGGATGTCGTGCAGAAGAAATGTCGACCAGATGCAGCATGCAGTGAGTGTGACATCAAATCGGGGAGTACCGATGGTGAGACAACGTCAGTCGTGTTGGGGCTCTTTGGGGGTCGCACACGGCGAGAGAGTGGATATTTGGATCGCCGCGGGTCATCTCAGGGCTGGGGAGGTTGTGAGAGCATGCAAGAGTGTGCTCATTCAGCCTCGAAGAAGAAAAGAAGGTGTGCAACACAAAAAAGCTGCTTGTGCTGCTTGGGTTGGCCGGGTTGCTTTTGTTGCAGCCGCTCCCGCAGCAGAGTGAGACACTTGATGATGGGCGGGCAGGCTGGCGGCACACGGGCAGGGCAGCCTATGAGGATGCGTGGTCGGCAGGGTTGCTCTAGGCAGGTAGCCTGGGTAGGTGGTGGTGCATGGCAGCTAGGGCAGCTAGCCTCGACCCGTGTCTTTGATCCGGTGGTCCTTGACGAGGGCTGCGAGGCCTGCGAGGCAGGCCTGTGAGGCAGGATTGCCCCTGCATCAAAAGTCCAGGACAATCGGGCACAAGCGTGGGCAAGCGTGGGCGTTGGTATTTTGTTTTTCCAGAAGGAGGCCTGCATTAGCGCTGTCTGGGGAAATTTGGGGTTCTATTGGGCTCGGATGGGGCCTGGATGCCGCCTGGTGGGCAGTCCTCATGTCCTTCTGTGTCAAGGTTTTCCGGGGTAAAATGATGCCAATTGATAGATATGATAGCATGATGGGGACCGGTGGCACTGCTAACCCATAACGTCCTATCGTCATCAAATGTCCCGATGGTGCCGAGCTGCTTGGGAGCACGCATTGGTGGACTGGGCAGAGGCTGGGTGGGCTGTCCTCAGAGGGCCTGGGGGATGGGCCCCTCTATTGCGGGGACTGTTGGAGCTTCTTTCTACCCCAAGTCCACACAGACCAAGTACCTAGGTACCTAGATACCCTACCCGGGTTCCTAGGTACCTCCGTACTTGCACAGCACTGCCAACAACACCGTCATTCATTCATCAGTGCCCCGGCACAACCCGTCCTTCGGGTTCTTGCTCAAATGACGGTCGCACCGTATCTCACCCTGTTGTGTGCCGTCTAACTCTACTCTTTCGCCCGGCCCGTAGCAGTTGGTGGTCATTTACAAACACGAACAACAAGACAAGAAAGAAGGTTTAGGCTTGGGGAGAAGGAATCACCCCCTTGGCATCAACCCCCCAACACCACCACCAACAATGACCAGACCCTCCTCGCTCTCTTATTATTAGCGGCTTGGGACTGACTTCCTGCTCTCCCCGGCCGGCAAAACAAAACACGTCCCCTGCCTGCCTGCTCAGCTGCTTCCTTCAGACGAAGCGAGCCCTTCATCAGACTACTGCTAATGAACCCTTCAGACTAATAACGTTGAGAAGCAGGCTGGCGGCGACAAGTGACGGGCACACTCACCAACCGCAGGATCAACCGATGCTTTGGACTAGGACCATGACCGGGGGAGCACTAGGCCAGTCCACGCGGCTCGACGAATGGCATCAGCCACCGGCCCACCGGCCCATCACAGGGGTGCCCATCATACCCCTTCCTTGCCTGGATCATCGTCCACTGTCAGCCAGTCGTGGTGGTTGACAATTATCCGGGCCGCCCACCACGCTGCCACGCCGTCGCCACGCCTTCACCACGCTCTTCTTTATTAGCCGCCCAAGGCACCGTCCAGCCTGCCAGCCTGCCTGCCTGTGCGCTCCTTTGCCACACGCCCTCGACCAGGAAACAGAGACAGAGGGCCCGTCCGCTTCTGGAAAGCTGGCACATGCTCGACCCGGGCTGCTGGTAAACCGTCGCTGGGACTTGGGCTTAGCCGGCCAGCCGGCCCTGTTCATCTCGGCACACTGGCTGTCAAAAATGCCACCGTCGCTGCCGCTGCCACGCACGCACAGCACAGACTGGCCGAATCGAGCCCGCGTAGATCCGCACCAGAACCACGCACCCAGGGCTGCCAGGCTGCCAGGACCCTTCCAGAGCTGCATCGGTGCTACGTACGGATACTCTCATGGTCTCACTCCCGGGCAGGCCGTAAGCCAGTTGGCCAGAAGCCCCGGCATTGACCACCCCGGCCCCGGCCTCAGACTCACCACGGTGTAGACTTCCCCAAAGAGCAGGTGACCGCCCGCCACTGCAGTTCCCCCCCAATCCATTTGCATCCGTCTGTCCGCTGCCGTGGCCTGTCACATGCAGATCACATATGACCAACACCCAATTAGACTCATTATACAATACTTGACACATTCCCCCACGTCGCAGCGGCTACTGCTGGACCCCGAGCTTTCTGCTGCCCAGACAGCCAGCCAGAGCAGTGGCCTGCGTACCAAAGACCCAAGTGCTTACTCAAGTGTCTCACACGGCGGAACGGATCGAACAGATCGGTTCCTGATTGAATAGCGCCAACAACGGAAATATAATATTGCACAACTAGGCCTACAGTCGTAGTTACAGTGTGCATTTGATGGGCATCATCACGGATGCGCTCCAACCAGCCCTGCCAGCTCTCTAGCGCCCCAGTAAGAAAACACCACAAACAAGATCAACATTGATCATCGCAACCGCACCCGCACCCGAACCCCTCAGATGATGATGGCCGGCTTCTTCTCGTCCTCCACCTCGAAACCGGCCGTGTTGAGCCTGCTTCCCGGCCGGATGACAGGGGAGTTGTCTGCAGAGTCCGTCTCCCTCATATCGACCTCATCGTCCAGCGCCTCGTCGTACAGCATCTTCGGGTTGAATGCAACCGCACCCTTGGGCACAAAGGTGCTGGCAAGCACAAGCACGCAGATCAGGGTGAACTGTACTCCGGCCGTGTAAACAAGACCGCTGGAGATGCTACCCCCGTCCGAGCCCCCGCTTGCGTTGTACACCCCATCCAGGTACCTTCCGAGGAATGTGCCTAGGATGGCGTAGGTCACAATATAAAACGAGTAGAGGAACGCCATGACCGCCCCGAGAGCAGACACGTTCTTGTTCTTGGACTCGAGCCTGGCAAGACTCGCCTGGATGTATGCCGCGAGTGAGACATCGCCGGCCGCCCACCCAAACGAGATGGGCATGAACGTCGCGGCCACGAGCCACGCCTGGCCCACCTGGTTGCGAGGCGGGCGCCATGACGGGATGTACCAGACGATCAACAGGAGCAGCGCGTCGAGACGCAGCCAGGGCATCGGCGTCTGCACGTAGTTGTTGGACAGGAACACCACCAGCGCGCCGAGCAGCTCGCCCATGTTGGACCCGCCCACCATGAGCTGCGACCACCCGGACTGGCCCAGGTACCGCCTGGCCACCTGGGGCGCGATGCCGTTCTCCAGGTACCGGTGCCCGTACAGCGCGATGGCGTAGCCCGGGACGAGCCAGATGAACTTGCGCGACGTGAAGAGGATCTTGGCCCCCACGCCGATGGACTCGAAGAAGAGCCAGAACCCGCCCAGCGTCGCCCTGATGTAGCCCGGCTGCTTGGCTAGGACCTGGGCCTTGTTGCTGTTCTTCTCGTGGCCCAGGTCCGAGATGAAGAACCATGAGACGGCGCAGAAGAGGAACGATATGGGGGTGACTATGAAGGCGCGGTTGTTGCCCAGCTGGGGGATTAGGACCAGGGCTGTCACGAAGGCGCCGGTCGTGCCTGTGATTTCGTAGAAGATGTGGACCTGTGGTGTTGTGTGAGCACACGCCTGCCTCCACCGGGTGTTGTCGGGAGCCGCATCATGAACGTACCACCGAGTCCATTCTCCTCAGCTTCTGGACGTTGCCTCCCACGATGTCCCTGGGGATGATGCGCCGGATCAACTCAACCATGCCGTACGCCACACCGCACACCGCATAGATGGGAATCATGCCGTCGGTGTTGAACTTTCCGTAGTATTCAAACCTTTTCCATGCACAGTCAGTCCAGATTCATCTTAATCTGAAGTCTTACTTGGGAGGTACGTACTGGTCATCAGGATGGTTGAGCCCCTTGTACTCCTCTGGTATCCACGTGCCCCCAGAAGCAGCATCGACGATCAACAGGATGGCGGTGAAGATGCCAAAGACGATGATGGCCCCGGACAGCACATTCTTCGTCGGGTACTGCTTGATGAGCGGCGCGATGATGATTGATCCTACACACTGCATGGCCTGGTTCAGCCCCGTGAGCAGACCCACCCTCTCAAACGTCTTTGAACTCGACCCGCTCAGGAACGCGTCGTAGTCGTATCTGTTGGTGGCCAGGGCGACTATCGATCCGTTGAAAGCCTCCAGGCCGAACTTGTAGATCATGATGCCGATGATGTACAAGATGATGTTGCGCCTTTCGCTCGGCTTGAACTCCTTGAGGCCATCAAAGGCCTCTTTGAATATGTTCTTCACCATGTTTCCTAGTACCTCACTCCAGATCCTATCAGGTTGCGAAGGTGTGGATGTCGTCCAGAACTCGCTGGCCGAGCACAGCGCCCCAGCAGGTATAAAAAGCGAGGCCACAGTAATTTGTCTAATAAGAAGTAGTCGTCAGCCGCCGTCTGATCGCGGATCCACCGTCCGAGCAAAAGCAGGGCGGAATAACCTTGATATAAAATCCTAATAGGCTGGGGGCCAGTAGTCTGCGTTTCCTAGATTACGACCAAAGAGCGACGAACATAAATGACACGCCAAGATCCCCCATGGGGCCCAAGAAACACCAAACTTCTCCAGGTGGCCAGGGATGGCCTCGCGGCGTCGCAGCCAAATCAAATCGACGTCTGGCTCACGGATCAAACATTAGAGTTCAAATCCCAAGGGCTCTGCCTACTTGGTATTCATTTCTATTTCTGCCTCACGCACGTGTGCATAAAATGCAGTCAAGAACAGAGCCACGCCCTCCCCAGCATCAGCGTGTCAGAGGTCTGCTGTCTACCTTGGTAGCCCAGCACGCACTTGTCGCGCCCAGCTGTGGTTGGGGGGAGGGAGTGATTTTCAAGCACCTTCTCAGACACTGCCAATCATTCCTCGCGGATCCGCCCCGTGGCAGACTATTCGAGGTGCGATGATGCTCAGCTGGCAGGGGGACCGTACGGCTTGGAGGATCCCAAGATCTCTTGGAAGGACGCCACTGCCGTTAAATCAAAGCATCAAAGGCTACACTTTTAACAGGGCATGATGGCGCAGGTTGACTTTTTCGGGGTTGCCCTGACTTGGCGAACTTGGCGGGACGACTTGGCCGACGAGCTTCCCTCGGCGGCGCTCGAGCTGCCAAACTTGAGACGGGGGGGTCAACGGTGGTAACATTGGGGCGATCGATTATGGGGTGAGGATGGGAGGGAGGGATGGGACGATGCCCGCTGGCAGGAAAGCATAGCTCCCCCGGGGATGGTCGACCTAGATATATACCTTGGCGGGGTGGCCCAAGAGCTTCCAAATGCCCGGAACGGCTGACCGAGGGGCTCTTGTCCTCTCCCCCCAAGACGTGACTTACACGTATGCTTTTCCCTTGGGGCCTTGGGCCCCTCGACGACACACGCGGCCCACTTGTTTCGACACGTTTTCTGCCAAGTGGATCACTGCTCGATATGTTTCACTGCTCTTTGCTATGAAATGGGGCAGTGTTTGGTTCGATGCCAAGCCGGAAAGTATCTCTGAGTTTCGGGCCTATTAATGTTGGCGGCGGCATAGCCAAGCGCTAGGAGGAAGTTTCCGATACGGAACCTTGGAATGTGCCGTTGATATTCACATAAGACTTGGGACGCCCTTACCGCCGGCTACTTCCAAAAAAAGAAAGGAAGAGAAAGACGTTCATGTGCCGGTACTAGTAGTGTTCCCGTTGAGTGTCGAGTAAGTAGCGTGAGACCATATCGACACTTGATGTAAAGCCATATAATACAATGTCATTGTATGAAGGCGCCATGTATGTCCACGGACGTATGCGGAATTGAAGTGAAACCAGTTAAATGAGCAGTGAGAGGAGCGGGCATTGTAGTGTGGCAAGACTGAAGACAATATCGCGGGAGTGGCGTGCGAGGAGTGCCGGATCGGGTTCCTTAGGGCGAACATGGCAAGAACTGGGGCTGGTGTGTGCAAAAATGCGCCGTTTGAGGTAGAGATAGCTGCAAGATGGAGGGAGAATAAAGTGAACGATGCATGAACAACTGAAGTGTCAGGGTGGGGCTGGTGGTCAGTGGCACAGTCGCTGCAGGAGTGTGGCACCAACTTGGTTAATTGGGCAGAAGCCCGTAACACCGTGAGAAACAGCTTCTTGGTCTGTCTTCTCCGTAGTCTCCGCCTATTACTTCAAATTTGGTAAAACACTTGGTTCTTGGTTTGAACAGCCTGAAAAGAACTTCGGCATCACTACCAGTTGATTGCATTAGAAACATCGTCCACATGTCGCTGAGCGGAAAGTCTATTAGTACCACAGATAAGCAGCCTCTGAATGCAACATTACATCGAAAGACCAGTAGAATGTGAGCTTGAGCACGCTCGAGAGGCACAATTGTATGAATTGATACCAGGTGGTTTGACGGGAAACATTAAGTCGCGCAGTCTGGCGGGATAGAGGTAGTCTAGATGATCGATGGTGTGGCGAAGAAACATATGTACATCAAGTTGAGCTTCTGCCGATACAGGTGTTCGCACCAATATTTCGTGTTGAGAACAAACAAGTGCTTGGCGAAGGGGGCACAGCCCCAACAACGTGCCGTTGAAAGAACAACTTTCTTACTCTCGATCACTACTTCATCATGCAATGTTCTTCAGAATTGCTACCCTGACATTCAATTCTTTATCATTCAAAACCACCAGTCGGACTCGGGAAACATGGCACGGGATCAAATGGTCTCGTATTACTTGATTGCGCGGTCAACCTTGGACAACGTATCCATGTTGAGCCGGAATGACGCCAACCTTGGAACCCCTCGGCGACGATTTTGGTATCCAAGTACGTTAGATACCTAAATTGAGCTCTATTCACCAAGTCTCGTTGTATGGCAGGGTATTCCCGATTCAATAACACCTTCTATCTAACCAGTCGACCCACACCGTGGAAGTGGGCTAAAAACTTGAGGGCGGAGGGAGTAGTTAGGTCGACGGCCGACGGAGTCGACTTCGTCTTGTAACCAAATCATCTCGTGATGCGAAATCTACTAGATGTAAAAAGGAATGAATTCTAAGAGGTCTAATACTAATAGAATAGATAGGGAAGTACTCTTTTTAAGCATAGTAGAGCCCCACACACTAAAACTAGACCGAAAATTAACCTAAAATTAGCCTAATTCGATTTCAGTATACATTAAATACCCACCTAACATATAAAAGCTACTATTTTTAGTAATATAATAATTAAAATCTTCCTAACTAAATTAAAAGTTATTAATTCAACCCTAAATATTACTATATCTTTTTTTTATTTATTATTATAATTAGCCTTAAAACCTTTACTATAATAATCATTCTCCACCCTATTATCTTCTACCCTTTTATTATTAATCCTATTAAACCCCACTTTATAATAGGCCCTATTCTTATCTAACTAATAAAAGATATAAAATTTATTAACCTTTAAGAGTTTTAATACTACTTTAAATTCTATTTAATCCTTTAATTAATTAAAGAAGGGTTATAAACCTATATAAATAAAGTTAAAGTTAAAATATATTAAATCTAGTAAGTCCTTTTAATTAAATTATTTATTAAATAATATAGCAGGGTGTAGGGAAAAGGGGGTCACGTGGAATTTTTAGTGAAGGGCCTATAAGAGAGGTCTTCTTCTTATTACTTTAGTCTTTTTCTTAGAGGAATCAACTCCACTCTCTTTCTCTTATTGTTAAGAATTCTCTCTATTAGGTGATTTTATCCTCTCTTCCTCTCTCTAAGACTTTCTTTCCTTAAGACCTACCTATAAGCTAGTCCTCCTATGGAGGTCAGGTAGAGTGTTCCTCTAGAGCTATTTATATACTTTAGTGGCCCGTTTTTAATAATAAAAAATAAACCTTTTTAAATATTCTCTTTTTTTAAAGGTTATTACTACTTTAATTATATAATAAAACTTTATAAAAAAAAGTTTTATTAAAGAATAATTAAAAAAGTAGATTAGGCTTTAATTTAAAGCTTTTAGTAATAAAAAGGTATTAAATAAAGTAGGTTTTTATAACTTTAAAAATATTAATTATTTAAATATTATAAAACCTTAATAAGTAAGGTTTATAAATATAAAAAAATATATATTATAAGTTTATTATAGTTTTTAAAAGAATAATAATAATTTTAATAATTTACTTTCTTTTAATAAAAGATATTTTAATATTTATAAAAAAGAAAGACTAATTACTTTAAAGTATAAAGGGTATTAACCTTTATTTAATTTTAGTAAATATATTATAAATATCTTAATATACTTAATTTTAAAGAATAACTTACTTTTTAAGTTATAAATAAATATATTTTAAAAAACCTATTAAAAAGTAAATATTATTATTATATTATAACTATTATTTAATATAAAATCTACTAAATATAAAAAAGAATAAATTTTAAAAGGTTTAATATTAGTAGAATAGGTAGGGAAGTGCTCTTTTTAAGTATAATAGAGCTCTATATATTAAAACTAGGCTGAAAATTAACCTAAAGTTAGCTCGGTTCAATTTTAGTATGCATTATCTTATCTATTGCACCTATATGAAGTTTATACTACGAGATAACTTTTTTAGCACGGATTAAAATAATTTATTAATAAATAGGGTTAAATAGATTCTTATAGTTTCTAAGAACTACTATACCGTACATTAATAAGTATTAAAAATAGTCACTATAATTAACCTTTAAATAGAAAATCCCTTTTTTATAAAATTACTTTAAATATATTTAAAGAAAAGAAAATATTAACTTTTAAATAATTAAATAATATTTTAATATACTTCTAATAATAAAAAGCTTAAAGAGAAAAGATAGTTATAAAAAGAAGAAGTAGCTATAAAAAAAAGAAATAAACTTATAAAAGGACTTATAAAAGGGAAAAAGGTTATAAAGGTGCCTTCCTCTATATAAAGAAAAAAGGAGTACTTCCCCTTCCCCTTCCCCTTCCCCTTCCTTCCTTCCTTCCTTCCTTCCTTTAACTTTAACACTAAGTCCTCTACTTTCCTCCTTTAAGTTAATTAGAATCCTATATCTAAAGATTTAAAAGTAAAGTAATTAGAAGAAAAGTAAAGTTAATAAAATTAAAAAGCTAAAAAAACTTAATAGGAAGAAGAAAATAAAATTTCTTTTAATTAATTAATATATTTAAATAAAAACCTACCTTTAATAAATAAAAAAAGAAATATTTAAAAGGAGGGAACCTTTTTAATAAGTCTATTTTTACTCCTATAACTCTTTTTTCTTTATAATTATTTTAAGCTCTTTATAATTATTTTAAACCTTTAAAATAATTTTAAAATTTAAAAAGAATTATTTAAATTTAATAATATATATTATTATAATTATTAAATTAAAATAAATATTATAATAATAACCTTAAAAAAAGAAAAGTAATATAGTAATTAAGAAGTAGTAAGAGGTATATAGATAGTTATAATAACTATTTTTAGTACCCACTAATACATAATATAGTACGAGCGTCTCTAGGTACTTACTCTAGGTAGGCTATTATAACATGAAAGCCATGGCGCTATTCTAACTGGAACAGAAATAATTAAATTTTAGTAGTTCAACTAAGTTCAGTTAGCTATTAAATCTGGAAGGATACCTATGCATATAGTACACTGTCTAGGCATTAAATCGCTTGTACATAAAATGCGGATAACCCTCCTTCTGGTGGTCGACTATGTAGATCTTGGCTAAAATGAGGATACATCACTATGGAGAGCTTAGTTGGTATGTTATGGCAAGAGAACTTCAACTCAAGTCTCGCCTGACTTCATGATCATTCAAGTGTAAAATTATAAGCCTGGATAGGCAATGAAACGACCGGATGTTGTTGTTGACGGCGGCAGGGTTAGGGCTTGTGTCGTGACAAATCCAGTGTGTGCTTGATGGTATGGCGTCTCCACCAGCCATCAATCATTTCCGAAGTCGAGAGTCCACGAGGGCCAGACCTCAAGGCTACCGCCCGAGGGCCCGAGTAAGAAATGATGCCGCAATACCGTCTATCTCAGGCTCATCAGCCTCTGCGGATTGCCTCAATCGTACGGTCTAGAGCCTGCCTATCGCCGAGCTTTTCCCTCGCTCACCAGACCACTCGACACCCTGGCGTCCTACCTCGGCGACGATGGAAGTCGACTAAATCTAATAATCCACGATTCCCCATCAAAGACTACAAGCCACATGTGGTAAAGCCAAAGGTTCAAGAGCCACCAGATGTATCCAAGCAACCCCCAGCTCCGGGCCCAAGGCGAGGTGGGCTCCCGATCCCATACTACTTGGCCCTTCCAGCCACCTTCATAGCGGTAGCTGTCGCCATCATCTACTTCAGAGGCTCTGGAGATGACGCCCTCTCATCTCCATATGCTACCCGCGAGGTGATGCTGCAGGCCGCCAGCGAGATCGCAGGCCTGATCGGCGTTGATAACGTGACCTACGACGAGGACGTGCTCGATCACCACGGGCACTCCGAGTGGAGTACATCCAACACCCCTGTGCGGGCTGTTGCGGTCGTCTATCCGCGGTCAACCGACGACGTCGTCGCCATTGCCAAGACATGTAGCTCCCGGCGCGTGCCGATGGTACCGTATGGAGCCGGATCGTCTGTCGAGGGCAACTTCTCGCAGCCATATTCCGGTATTTGCATAGACTTTGCGCACATGGACCAGGTTGTTGCGTTCAGGCCGGACGACATGGATGTTACCGTGCAGCCAGGCGTCAACTGGATGGATTTGAACAACAAGATTGCAGAGTCGGGTCTGTTCTTTCCCATGGATCCATCGCCGACGGCAACTTTCGGTGGTATGGTGTCGACCAACTGCAGCGGGACGAATGCTATGCGGTACGGAACGATGAAGGACTGGGTGGTAAACCTAACTGTCGTTTTGCCGGATGGGAGCGTAGTCAAGACGAGGCGGCGCCCTCGCAAGACGTCCGCAGGCTACAATCTCACCTCGCTGTTTGTTGGTGCAGAGGGGACGCTAGGGATAGTGACTGAGATTACGCTGAAGCTCGCCCCAATCCCAGCCGACACTTCTGTGGCGGTGGTTTCTTTCCCTACCATTACCGATGCAGCGAGGGCAGCAACCTCGCTGATCCGATCTGGAATCCCGCTCGCCGCCCTCGAGGTTATGGATGATGTTCAGATGCAGATTCTCAACAACCAGGGCAGCGAGACCGTCCGGAAGAGGAAATGGGAGGAGAAGCCGACGCTGTTCATCAAGTACTCGGGGACGACAGACGGGATCAAGAGCGACGTCAAGCGCTCGACCGAGATCATCAAGAGTGTGGCCGGCAACGTCCCGTTCCACTTTGCAAAGACGAAGCAGGATGAGCATGATCTCTGGTCGGCACGCAAGGAGGCATTGTTCACGATGGTCAGCAACCGGCCCGAGGGGACAGAAGTATGGTCCACTGACGTGGCAGTCCCGCTGTCACGGCTGGCTGAGATTATCGAGATATCGAAGAAAGAATGCGGGTCGCTCGGAATATTCGCCAGTGTGATAGGCCACATAGGCGATGGTAACTTCCACGTGGCCATGATGTATGACCCCAAGGATGAGAACATGACGAAGAGAGTTAGTCATGTGGTCCATGACATGATGAGCCGCGCATTGGAAATGGAGGGAACAGTCTCGGGGGAGCATGCGATCGGTATCGGAAAGAAGCAGTGTCTGTTGGATGAGTTGGGAGACGGTACTATCGGGCTGATGCAAACGCTCAAGAGGTCTGTTGATCCAATGTGGATAATGAACCCAGGCAAGGTCTTTGACATGCCCAAAAACCAGAAGGAAGTTTGAGCACACAGCATGCTTACATATAGTTCGGATGGGATGGGGTCACAAACATGCCTAGGCGGGATAAGGACGATGGGCAATGCCACTTTGTCAAGAATCTTGGAGGGTGAATATTATGAGTGGTTGCAATTGGCAACAGGCCAAAAGCTCATGTGTCAAAGAGTTAAACAACTAATGACAGTGAATTGAATGGGCAAACAATACCTACAGCCCTGCTCCCGTCCAGCCCTGAGGTCAGAAAATTCTGCCTGGAGTTACTGTTTGCCCACCTTCTGCAGTCGCCTGGGCAGTAACAAGTGTGACGCCACTCTTATCTGTAGGAGCCCCTCTGAAATAAAAGCAGACGAATCTGCCAGCTCAGTTCAACTTGTTCCCCGGCAACAAGCTTTTGCCTCTTCTATTGACGGCAACATCACACACATCTTGGCATCAGTGGCCCTTCTTACTCCCACTGCTTATCTATACCGTCGTCTTTTTGCCTACAGCCAACCCTTTACCGCGATTTTCAGTCATCCACAAACGCAACATGGATCTCAACCTAGGTCAGCGGGAGGTGATCTCGGCCATGCGGGCAGCTCATCCCGAGATGGGGCTGAAGAGGCTGACAACAGAGGTACGCAGTTCAGGCGGATCGTCGAAAATATGCAAAGAACCACATAACTCTATATCACATTCATAACGCTGACAAGCTCCTCGTAACAGGTCAACAAAGTCCTGCCGTCGAAGATGGAGGTGGAGAAGTCCAAGCTACGCGACTTTCTCCGATCCCGCGATGAGCCCGCCAACGCTCCCGTGGCCGACACCAAGCCTCGTGACGACGATTTCATAACTCATATGGCGTGCCCGATTTTCCACCACCTTCGCGAGGCCGAGCGAGAATACCTGCTCAATCTGGACAACGCTTCCATCATCGCAACCAGCCCTCCCCACAGCGACTCGGGGGGAAGATGTCACCCTGTTGCTCATCTCCGCCACCACCTGGTGGTCCTCCTGGTCCTCCTGGGATTCCGCCCGTGCGCCCTGTTTCTGAGCACCAAAGTTGAGGGAATCGCCACGATGAGCGAGATGGTCCTGCGCTGCCTCGTTCCACTGATGGAGAAGTTTGATTTGGAGTCGTACGGATTCAAGCTGCTGTGTAAGTGCCAGTGCTGTCCCACCTAGTCCCCCCACGGTATTATAGCCCCTCCAAAGCCGTGAAGAGCACGACCGAACTTCAAAAAGACAAACAAGTCATCCACTGGTGGAATAGACCACCTCGAGAGTTCAAAGGATAAAGACCAGAAATGCTGACTCGTCTGACATGACAGACGTCGCGACCAACCCCAGGACCCACAATCAGCGCTTTCGCGGCTTCAGGGGCACCTGGGTCCTAGCCGACACCCGGCACCCAGGCTGGATCGTCGTGCGCGAGATGTTCGTCGCGCCGCCCAGGGCGCCCATCCCCCCCAGGATGATGTGCATCGCCCTCGGGTACCCCACGCACGACCGGCCCGAGGACGGGGACGACGAGTTCTACAACAAGGTGGAGATCCTGGACGCCACCGAGCACGCGCTCCTGAAGGACTCCTTCAGCCAGGGGGTGTGCAGGGTCTGCGTGCTCAAGATCTTCTGCGGCCAGGGCAGCGAGACGGACTGGGAGAGGATCGTCCGGTATTTTGGCGCGTGTGGGGAGCTGGCGGAGAAGCACGTCGGGACCAAGCTGAGCCTCGACCTGAGCGAGCACGAGCGCATGCGCGTGTGGTGTTACATGACTGGAAGGCTGGAGCAGTCGCAGACCGTGATTGGAGAGTAGTATTGGACGCTTCCAGGCCTTCTTTCTTTTGTTGATGAGGATGGTGCGAATCGGGGGAACAGTTTATATAGTTGCTCTCACAGCTCATCTTAAAGAAAGGCACCTCCCATACTGTGCCTAGTGTACCACGTCTTGAGACTTTATTTCTTGAGGCCTTCACCTGGGCAATGTTTTGGCTCTGCTCCGGTGCTCCCTATGCGTATCACAGCACAAAGTATTGCCATATTGAGCAATGTACAAAGCCTTTTGGCGTAGTTCAGCGCTGAAGATGCATGATAGTTTCTTGTCTAGAGACAAAAGCAGTGTATGGACGCTATCAAATTCGATACACTCAGTAGGCACCCTCCCGCTCTTCCCAGGCAGGCATCGGGCTGAGCCCAGGATCACTCATTCCGGACTGAATCACGGCGTCCGCAACGAGCTCCAGCCCGCCCAGCTTAACACCAGACTCCTCCTGTGACCAAAGCGTGACCGACACATAGTTTGTCCCGCTGTAGTTGAGGATTCCCTGGGGAACGGGGAAGCTGGTCTGAGGTCCAAGGTTGTTGACTAGAAGGAAGGTGAGGTCAGTCGGTGCTCATGTAATAATCATCAGCGAACAGGCATGTGGGCACTCACTGTACTTCCCGAACTGATATCCATTGACGAACAACTGGACCCTAAAGTCCGCCGGACCACCTTCCGCAGAAGTAGTGTTGGCAAACACGAAGGCCATCGGCACGTCCCAACCAGCAGGGATGTCCAGGTCGAAGCTCGTGGCGAAGAACCCAACGCCCGCACCCTCAACACCGTCTTCGACCGGGCTCCGGGCCTCCCACTCCCCGCTCGGGGCCTCGGGGAGGTGGTAGCCCTGACGCTCGGCAAAGAGCGCGCCCTCGTTGAGGGGGCCGCGCGCAAGGTCCAGGTACTGCTCGCCGCCCAGGTTGCCCGTGATCTTCCACTCCACAGCGGACTGCGGGTGTCCGTCGAGGGTGTAGTTGAGGATCCCGCGGGGTGTCTTCATCATGTCGAGCCCAGGCGTCCAGTTCGTCTCCTCACCCATGTGGTCGATCAGCACGGTGATGACATACTCTCCTCCGCGCTTGAGGCCCGCGGACGAGAGACTCAGCGTCTGGTTGTAACCGCCCGGGGTGCCGGCGCCGTTGAACGAGCCTAGGTAGGTCGAGTTCACCCAGACCGAGTGGCCGAAGCCTGAACCGCCCTGGGTGGTCAGGTGTAGCGAGGACTCGTTGCCACTCGCTGTGAAGTAGCCGCGGTATATGAGCGAGCCCGTATGGTAGCCGTAGTCGCCTGAGATCAGAGAGGTGGGCGTCTTCAGGGTAAGTACGTTGCCTTCGTCATCACGGAAGGTGTTGCTGGTGTTGACTTGGTCGGCTTTTGTCCACAGCGTGTCATCATAAGATTCCTGGATCTCTGGAAGCGAGTCGAGGTATTTCCATTCTAGGGCCGAGAGGTCCGGGACGTTTATATTGGGCGGTGAATATGTCAGCGTTGCTGACAGCCGGCCATTCGCAGACTTCACGCCGGGGACCTTGGCGCCGTTGAAGTATATGTTGTTCGATCCGGGAAGACCAGCAATAATCTCGAGCGTACTGGTTGCGTTGAGGTCGCCGGTGAGATACAACGAAGTCCCTTCCTTGGTAGCCGTACGAAGGAGATAACCTCCCTTCGCAATGACAGACTCCTTGTTCTGGGCCGTGTAGTTGCTGACCGGAGAGGCAGCCTCGAGTTCCAGAACCCAGTAGTTGAAGGCCTCATTTCTCCACAAAAGGTACACATCCAGGTTGCTGCCATAGTGCAATACCTTGCGCTCCTGAGTGACCTCCCACTGCACAGCATTGGCAGAGCCAACGGTCTCGATCTTCACGGTGCTGCTGTCACCCTCGATGGTGGGCTTTCCGAGCTTTGCAGGGAAGGCGAACTCGTGGGTCTCACCAGCGGCGGCGTAGAGGATCAACACGCGCTTTCCGCCTGTGGCGCCGTGGGTGTAGATGTCCGCGGACGAGTAGATGAGGTTGTGGCCGCCTACATCATAGTCCGTGACGTGGAACTTGGAGTCCCTGCCGTTTAGTGTCAAGGTGCCGCCAAGCTGGGGGATCGTGACGTTGCCGACGCTGGTTGTGACGGTGAACGTGTAATCTGTCGAGTCGCGAGAGGTATACTCGGAGTGACGAATGACATAGAAGTTGGTGGTATTGCTAAGGATGGGCGTTGTTGAAATCGCGGTTGTGCTCGTATAGGTTGTGTTGGTGAGATTGCCAGGCGTGGCCTCAAGATAGGCCGGAGATGCCTTGATGAACTGTCCCAGAAGCTTGGCTTCTACATACTTCTCACGGACTATCGTCCTATCCTCCTTGATCACGGCCCCATAGTCATAAGACGTGTATGCGCCCGGCTGGCCCAGGTTGCCCCAGTTGGTTCCACCATATGTCATGTACAAGTTAAAGATGGTGGAGCCAAAAGAAAGGCTGTTCTTGTAAAACATGCGCAGCTCCTCGGGCCCGATGTAGGTCGCACAGTCTTCCAGGTCCCACGAGCCGCCCCAGTAGGCAATAGCACCGCCTTGGAATTCTGGAATGGCGTAGGGCGTGTTCGGGCTTTGCTCGAGATGCACCTCGCGGAAGTAGGTCGGAAGGCCATCGACCGTCCAGTTGCCCGGTTGACTGCAAGTCCAGCCAACGGGATAATTGTCATGCCCATAGATGTCTGGCCCACCAGGCTCTCCCGGGACGAACAGACCGACTGCCGCGGCCTCGTTGTTGATGAAAGGGACCACGATGCCAGCGTCACGGAAGAGCTGGTTGGTGGTTTCGATGAACTCGACGTCCGGCCACTTGACCCAGTCTGCACCGAAAGTGTACTCGTTCTCTGCCTGGAACGCGATGACTGGGCCGCCATTGGTAATCTGAGCATCCGCCATGATCTTGCCAATCTTGCTGATGTAGTTCTTGGTAGCATCGACGAAGCTGCCGTTGGTTCGCAGCATCTCGGGCTCTCTCTGTAACCAACCAGGAAAGCCGCCACCTGCCACCTCGGCATTGATGTACGGGCCAGGGCGTGCCAGCAGATACAATCCCACTTCAGAGGCAGCCTCAAACAATGGCTCCCAGGCGAACACACCCTCGGCGCTGAACTTGCCAGGGTTGCTCTCGTGCAGCCTCCAGTCGACGTAGAAGGAGACGCCGGTGTAGCCCAGTGCCTTGATCTTGTGGAGGATATCTCGCCAGAGACCAGGAACAGGCAGTCTGAAAGGGTGGAACTCGCCCGAATAGAAGACGATGCGTTCACCTCTGACGAAGAGAGAGTGAGCGTCCCATGTTACCTGTACATAGTCAGAACGCATGTCTTGGTGGTCAACAACATGACATGACACCCCTCACCAGGTCTTGGAGGGCCTCGCGCTTCCCCGGGTCGACGACGGTGAGCCGATTACCTTGGACACCCGTGGCCAACCCTTCAACGCAGCAATACGCGGAAGCCAGCAGGGCCGCAAGCCGATTGAGTGATACCATCTTGACCGTGGTCGCCTCGGGCTTGAGGGTTGGGCGAGGACAGAAGGGTGGCGATCACCTCACGATGGCTCCAGAGTGGTGCACGCATCTGGCCGCCTTATATTCCCGTCGGTGGATTCAATAGTTTGATGCCAATGCCAGGCCCAGGCCGAGCCAGCGGGGAAAGGACATATCCGGCTGTTCCTCTTTGGAGGACCCTGGAGGACATTTCCCCAGATTTTACCATTTTGACATAGTCAGGCACGGCTTGACGCTCCGAGCAGCCGCTGTCAAGCGCTGCTAAGGCAGGTTCCGTGGCAGCTGGGTGGTGGAATTATGGCCGGCCGTCAACCGAAGCTTCTCCGCTCGTTCGTCCCTGTATCCGTACCGCGCCCCTGCCACATCGAAAGGTGCACCCCTTGTCTTCCAAGGTTGCACAGTTCAATCGCCTGGCAGACTGACATGAAATTCACCAAATCCTCATTCCAGGCCACCATCTCCAATTTAAGCATTCTAGCCGTTGTGACAGGGTTCTGGAATAGTGCCCGTAGGTCACGGAAAACGAGTGGATGACTGGATGACTGGGAGGGGAAATGAGGCGAGACCCATGACTTCGCCCAGTGTGCTGGGATCTGTTGTACAAGGGCGCCCTGCATTTCAAGGCCCACGTTGCATGAGATGCACCCTCTCCACGCTGGTGACTCCACCGTGTTCATGGGTGCCAGCTCAGCTTGCCCATAATAAATATTCATATTTTAGTTCTGTCGGTCCGGATCACAGCGAAGCTTTCCCGAGCGTCACACTTCGCAGTTAGTCACAAGAAAGGCTTAAGTGCTCAGGTGCTATTTGCATGGTGTGGCTATCTTGTAGTGTACATAATGCAAGATTGTGAGCACACGTGCTTTTCAGGTTCTAGCAGACCTTTAGCAACTCTCGACTTCCGTCCTTGAGGTCATAGACCAGGCGGAGAGATATGATGATCAGGAGAATAGGGCTGTTCGATGAAGGTGGTCAGCCGCTAGAAAGGTTGTTGATTGCAGGAAAAGGAACACGCCTAGCTTGGAAGACTTCAATTGCACGGAGTATGATATCCGAGTGTCGTCAGCAAGCATCTGCCAGATCAATAGCTCCCAGGAGGTTGCGAAGCCTCGTTTTGGGACACGCAAACGCCTGACATCATATTTGCTCCCATATTCGGAAATATATAGGTTTGAAGAGTCTCGATAGATGATGAGCCAGCCCTCACTGCCATTTGATGCACATAATGAGCGGAGTCTCCTCGCTTGTACTCAAATGCTATTACAGTAGCACAGCCACAGTCAGACATGATCCCAACCGTGTCTGTGGATTTGCACAACCCTGGTCTGTGATAGTATAGTCTTTCAGTAGATCTTCCAACTAAAGATCATCCCAAAGAGGCTGTCCCCTGGGAGCTTATGCCTTGCAATGGTAGGAGCTTGCTCTTTAGGAGGTCGTCTCATGTGGATTATCCTCCATGCAAGTTCTGAAGTTGGGGAAATAGATGCCGTGATCGCAAACCGGACGCCCGAGCAGAGCTCGTCAGTAAGCATGCACATCGATTGAAAACATTGGACTGAAGACGGAGATGTGAGCACCAGCGTTTGTTGTCACGCACACCGAGGTGTACCTAGGTAACGGTGTTTGGGGCTGAAACTTTCCTGAGCCAAGAGTGTCTTGGTCTTGAGTACCGGAGTATCCGGCCATCGCCGATGCCATTCAAGCACGTTCATCAAGGCAACAAGAAGGGAACCGTGCGGCTTCGGGATGTATAGTCACGGATTACTTAAGTAGGAACGAAGCCACTGATCAAGGGAACAAAGTGCACTCGCAATCAACAAAACGCCAGGCCGAACAACCACCATGGCACCTAACTTTACCATAATCAAGCCCTCACTACCAGTCTCCTCCATTCCTGAGGCTTTGGAGTACTATACCAGCCGCCTTGGCTTCCGCTTGGCGGGCCGCGACGGCGACAACCACTGCTGGGTACAGCTTGTGGGTGACGACAGCATTTCGAGGTCGGATGCTGCCGTGAACATATATCTGCGACGTGAGTAAATTCGACGATTTATATCAGTTGCTTGACCGCTCTAGACTAGTCTTTACTGACCACTTTCTTTCTGAGGCAAAGGCCGGGGCTTCCCGGATGTTGTGAATGATGTCCAATTCGGCAAGGTCTACATTCGCTTGGAGGGGGATGATGACGAGCTGGAGAAGCTAAGGGATACCCTCAAGGAGAACAAGGCCCGGATCAAGGGTGATATCGAGACCAAGCCCTGGGGTCTGAGGGACTTGACGGTTGTTGACCCTGATGGTGTGAGTTCCGCCTTTGCGCTGCGAATTTATTGGTTGAGGACGCCATTGGGCTAACCATGTCCCAGAATATCATCATTTTCAACCAGATGGTCAAGAACTTCCAAATGCCTGCGAACCCAAATTCTGCGGCCTCTTCAAAAGGACAGGATCAAAACTAAGTCAAGTTCTTTTGTCTTCTTGGACACGTTTGGATCCAAAGAGTGTCGTTGGATCAGGGGAAAAATGGAGTGGCCACAAACATGTATCGCTTGGAGACTGATGGGTGGCAGGTCCTCAATCATATAGTTACTAGGACTATATCACTTGAGATGGTGCGTACGATTTATAGAGAATGAATATGCAAGGTTCAGATGTCTACAAAGATTGTTGGCGCATCGATGCCCTCAGTGCATCGCATACCGCCTCACGGAATTTTAAAACCTCCAAGCCCCACAACATGACAGCAAGACTCCCGGTCGGGGAGGACTGGAGCTAGCCGAGAGCAAAGTCGGGTGGGTGCGCAGTGTCGCCCCGGAGGAGCTCCTCTCGGCAACGGCGTGTTTCGGCGAGGATTGCTGTTCTCAGGCAGGCCGAGATCGCAACCCTTGGGCACTTTTACCCCGAGCTCTCGGGGGCGCTCCCCCAATTGACCCCCACTTCGACCCCGCGCTCGTGCCGGTCCACTTTGGTCCACAGCAGCTCTCATCATCATGTCCTTCAAGTTGCGCTGGTGCCCCTCCTTGCATTTACGGTGTAGCAGACAACTTTTTGTGCGTGACGATTTCTGACCTCTCGGTATTTATTTTGCTGATACACACACCACTTCCACCTTGTTCTCTGTACAAACTTCACAGCCTCCACAACCTCTACGACAGCCATTCCGTCCAGTCACCAGCCAGTATTTCTCTCCACCGTCAACCAGATATCACCATCATCGTCGTCGACCTCCTCGCTCTAAGGCAAAGATGAAGCTCCTCGTGCCCAAGCCCGAGTCGACCAACAACTCGCTCGTGCTCGACATCAAGGCCATCGAGGGCTTCCCCGTCGAGATCCACCCCTACAATGTCAAGGAGCCCATCCCCGAGGAGCTGATCGACGCAGAGTTCCTGATCGTCTGGACCAACTCGGCCGCCAACCTGCAGGACGCCGCCAAGCGCATGAAGAACCTGAAATGGATCCAGTCCTGCGCCGCCGGGCCCAACGACGTCTTCGCCGCCGGCTTTGACCCCTCCATCACCCTGTGCACCGGCTCCGGCCTGCACGACCACACCGTCGCCGAGCACACCCTGGGCCTGCTGCTCAACGCCGCCCGCCGCTTCTACGAGATGCGCGACTACCAGACAAAGAGCCAGTGGCCCCAGCACCTGGGCGGGCCCCAGCCCGACCGCCCCAAGGACCGCTTCACCTCCCTGCGCGACGCCAACGTCACCATCTGGGGCTTCGGCAACATCGCCAAGAAGCTGGCCCCCTGGCTCGTCTCCCTCGGCGCAAACGTCAAGGGCGTCGCCCGCAGCGCTGGCATCCGCGACGCCTTCGAGGTCGTCAGCGAGGACCAGATCGCCGACACCTTCAAGACCACAGACGCCCTGGTCATGATCCTGCCCGGCGACGACTCCACCAAGAACGCCCTCAGCAAGGAGAGGTTAGCCCTGCTGCCCAAGCACGCCTGGGTCGTCAACGTCGGCCGCGGCACCTGCATCGACGAGGACGCCCTGTACAACGCCCTGGTCAACAACGAGATCGGCGGCGCCGCCCTCGACGTCTTCGTCACAGAGCCCCTGCCCAAGGAGTCCAAGCTGTGGCAGGTCGAGAACGTCGTCGTCAGCCCCCACGCTGCCGGCGGGCGGCCCCAGGGCGCCGAGGCGCTCATCGTCGACAACCTGAGGAAGTTCCTGGCTGGCCAGAAGCTGACGAACGAGATCGCAATCCCAAAAAAAGCCTGAATGTGGCAGCTGGGGCCGGGGAGCAGCGCCGTGGCCGCGCGCGTCTTTGATATCCGATATAGTAGCATCAGCAGCGTGGGAAATGGCTCAGGCTGCCTTTAGATTCGGTAGTAGGGTTTAATTTGGAAGTTATCATATAAGTGTGTCGCTGTCTCTACACGTGACATGACATGCAACCGTTGTGCCTAGCCCATCCCTCCCACTTGGCTGCCACGCCCGAACTGGCTACATGATTGCGTATTTGCCTAAGTAAGTGGGAATTATTATGTGCGAGCACCAAGTATATGAGCGACCTGATCATCCAAATTCATATCCACAATTTCAAACTCCCGGGATTCAATACTATGAGGAATGGAGTGGGCGGGTTCTGTCAAACAGGATACTCGCTAATGTGATCCACCACAGAAAATGCTTGATCAATATCGAGCAGTGAGAACAAGAGACTTCAATGAATTATGTTAGAAAAGGAGGTGCCAGAAGTGTAGCCCTCTTGGGTCGGAACATTTGAAGTGAACGTGGTATCACTTGTGTATGCTATTTTCGACTCGTAGAGCTCAAATGAATCGCTACCTCCGTAGTGATAGAGTCGCTCAAACTTAGCCTCACACACATGACATGGTATGAAATCTTGGGGATGTGTAGTACTGTTCAGAGTCAAATTCAGACTCAATTTCGAATTGCCTCATACTAGGAAAGAATGACTGGTGCTTGCCAATGGCTTCACAAAAGTCGGTTTTGATAGACAACTCTTTTTCTTTTTGCTGTCAAAATGAGTTGGAGACCACAAAAATACAAGTAGTACCAGCTCAAAAGGATTAATTGCATACAATAAGGTAGCGATTAACAGTGAACAATAGGCCTTATCTACACATTGAGTTCTAGGACGGCATTGTCCCCAGGTTTCTTTGTTCCAGTATGACTTGGTACTTGCCAGCACTTTTGAGACTACCTTTGTTCAACCTACCCGGGATACACAGCGCAGCCCATATTCATATTTTCCAGACAATGTGCTTTACATGGTGCAGTACCAACTATACTAAAGAGCATGGTAGAAGAACAATGTGATTGTTGATGTCTACTCCAAGATGGAGAGCAATACTCTTGTTCACAAACATCCAACATACAGAAACCTGCCAGAGCCCCTGCTTATAAATTGTGGGAGTCATTCTCTTGGTCTAGGCAGTTAATCCATCATCTGCACCAGCCCTTGGGAAGAGAACTTTAGAGTCACACAGCCCTAGTACCATCGAAGACAGCTAGCAAAAATGGCGACAGCTAGCAGCCCGTCGAGGATCGTTTCCAAGGAGGATCTGGATGCCGAGATCAAATCGCGGAGCTCGGCCCTCGAGTTTTCGAAGCGAGGTCCGAATTGTAGAGGCTGCTTCGAAATTTTCTTGAAGACTGTGTGCGGACATGTCTACACCGTTCGCGAACGCTGTCAGCCGAAGGGCTTGGTATGCGCAGGTTCTGAATTATTGATTGTTCACTGGGACGATCTCACCTTGGATTTGGGCAAAGGCAAGTGTCAAACCTGCCTTAGAATTCACAAGTACCAGGCAAACCACTCAGAATCTCTCAGTAAGCAATACGCTAGCCGGTTCAGGTTCAAACCGACGAAGATAGCTGCGAAGAAGAGAATGGAGGCTGTCAAGGAGCAGTGGCTGAGAGAGTGCGTCGAACAGAACATCCCCGTCTCCGGCCTCACCCGTGCACAGGCTGACGCTCTTGCAGCTGAGAAGGACAAGGTAAAAGCAGAGGTTTCACCCTCAAGCTCTAAGGAAGACTCAAAGCCTTCTCAGTTGGTCATCCCTGACTTTTCCGACTTTGTAGGCGACCACCCCGGAATGCTGCACGACCCAAACTTAGAGACCGAGTGGACGAAGCGAAGCAAGTGTCTTGTGGAAAAGGTAGGGGGTGTCTCTCGCGCAGAGACCAATCCTGATGTCCCGCAAATTCCTATTGATGACCCCAGCCCCGCGTTTATTTTCCGCTCCCCCTTTCTCTCGAAGTCTCCTACTAACCAGGCCCACGTGGAAACTGAGGATCAGACCTCCTCTGAGACAAAATGTTCGTAGTCGCCCTTTTTTGGTAATTATTAACAGGAGTCAATCTGGGTGATCGATGCAAAAGGGTTCGGATTATAACAAACGGAGTTTCTGAATTAGATCATAGAATTCAACTACAAAAAAATACGGGAATTTCCGAAACACTTTCAGACCAACATAACTTAGCCTGTGAAATCCCCATATGTGAGTGGGCATCCCGTAGTGACTCCATGCCGTGACCCCAAATAGCCTTGCTCTGAAATTCGTCAGAAATTCTGCCATGGAATCACCATGTTATTAACTAGCTAAAAGGCTGACTCACTTATGGTTGGTTGTTGCGCTGTCTACTAGCAGCAACCCGCAGGGCAGCTTCCAAGGGCAACACCCAAGCAGTCGCAAACCGGGTTACCGGAGCAAGGCTTGGGCTCGCGACTCTGAAGGTCGGCTCCCCGGACCTCAGCGGCGCCGCGCACGGCGGGAGCGAGGCTGGCCGAGACGCAGACTGTAGCGACAAGGGTGACCAGCATTGTTCATAATCCTTGGGAAAGCGATATTGCTTGTTCCTCTTGAGATGGGCATGTTAGTCATGACGCTGCTGATCTTCACCTGCTTGATTTCAATTTCCCACATTTTATGGCTTCGAGTCGCTTCCTCATACTGATCTATGTCGTGGCGGTGTAAGTGCCGGCACATTGGATCATGTTCCGCCCGAGTTACCTAGGTATATAGGAGCCAGGGAAGGCATTGCACTCACGACGGCGTTATCACCATGTAGTGTGACAACCACAAGAAGGAATGTAATCACGCCCGGTACTTAAATACATAGGTAGTTTCTAGCCACAGCAAATCAGAAGTACTGACGAACAGGCTTTATTGGCTCCGCCACAACATAATGGCAATGGCTTGAACTTGTTACTGACATGTCTATCTCTAGATTGAAAGTTATTGTGTAATCCCTAGCCTTAATCTACTTTCCAGTTCCTTGCTCTTTGGCGGCGTCGATGACTCTTTGCGCGACTCGAAAGCCCTCGAGTCCCGCAGGCATCCCACAGTAAATAGCCGCTTGAAGAAGCACTTCCCTGATCTCATCCTGAGGAGAAATAATGGTAAGCCGATGATGTCTTTCCGAATTGCTGGCTTATGAATGCATCCTGCTACGGTATGAAATATCAAACATGGTTCTGGAAAACTGTAATCAGTCGCTTACCTCAGTGGCCCCGTTGGTCAGGGCACCTTTGACATGAGTTGCCAGTTCAGTCGATCTGTTCAGGGCCACCAGCATGGCGACATTTATCAACGAACGCCACTTTTTCTCCAAGCCAGGGCGAGTCCAAACGGAACCCCAGCAAGCCTCAGTGACGAGCTCTTGCATAGGCCTGGCGAACTCGGAGCCATTCTGTAAGGCCTTCTGGACGTACTCGGCACCATTAACCTGTGTGCGGAGCTTGATGCCTTCGTCAAAGATCGTCTTGTGGGCTGCGGCGACTTTGTCGTCGGCTGGAGTGTTAGAGGAACTCATTTTGGCAGGTATTGGTTTACGGGACGGCTGTCACTTGAGCAATATGTTTGGAAGATATTCGTTATAGACAATTCAAGAAGCGGCCTGGACTGCGAATGAGAAAAGAATGTCAACAATGAAACTTTCCGGCGAGGCGGTCATTAGGCACCTTCCTGGCACCCGGATCACTGATTTGACCTCCGTAGTAGCCGTACCCCCTCAAAACCTACAGCTTCGACCGTGATTCCCCGCATGCACAAGCAGCTCCCGAGGTTGTGGAATATAATGCTGCCGGGAGATCAAGAATGCATCGGCAACATGACACCGATTTGGCGAAGAACTAAAAGCACGCACTAGTCAAATGACCTCGGAGGTGTTTGGCGGGCTCCCACTATGCTAGTGCTCCGTACACAGCACTTGGGACTGGATCACGAGTCGTTGTACCTAAGCATGGAATACGGATCTATAGGATTAGATGCCCTTGAATTCAGGTAACATCAATCGAAAATGGAATCAAAGATGCTTTAGGAGAGCGGATGCCCCGTGTCCTGTGATTCAAACCTGTCTACCTGTGTAGTAAATGTAGTCTTGCCTCTTACATGTATGCTCCAGTCGCCGCTACCTAGGATTATGTCCATACAAGTACTCCAGGTCTCCTAGTTCTCTTTCTTCTCCCACTCTTCGTTGCCGCCCAGAAATCTATACACTACCCTCGAATCCAAGTCTCGGCAGCGCGGGTCCGCACTTGCCTCGGTGTATGCTTTCAGCCCTGCCTCAGCCAACAACAGCTTCGCGCCCACATTCTCCGCAACCTGACATGCCAGACCAAAATCTTTCCTCATCAACTGGATCTTGAAGCCCCCCTCGTACCCGTGGCTCGAGGGTGCATCAGGGCAGACTCCCGGGACAGGGTTGAATCGGTCGCACATGGTGCTCTGGGCGGTGCTCTTGGAGAAGATCTTCTGTATCAGGCGTGGGTCCATACCGGCTCGCATCCCCATGTTCATGGCCTCCGCCGTGGCGAGTGAGATAAGGGCGGAGCAGTAATTGTTGGTCAGCTTTGCGGTGACTCCGAGTGACGGTGCCCCGCAGGCGATGATGTTCGTGCCCATGTGGCTCAGTATGCCTTCCACGAATGACCATTTCGGGTCATCTTCAGCACAGCCCACCATGAAAGTCAGGGTTGCCCTCTCTGCGCCGATTTGCCCACCTGATACCGGAGCATCGAAGAAAGTCGCTTGCGGATGCCGCTTCTTTACTTCTTCCAACACAGCTAGAGTTGTTTCGCGGTCAATGGTAGAACAGTCCATCAGAGTCCTCGGGGCCGCGTCTGCTGCGAGTATTCCAGTCGACTCATCGAGAAATGCAGACCTGACATGAGAGCCTTCTGGTACCATAGTGAAGACTGTTGTCTGTGTTTAAACTTGTTCTCAGCAAACTTCCTATCAAAGACTCGGACTGCGAATAGAACTCACGGACTTCTGGGTCACCTCCTTAGCAGACCCTGCAGCCACAGCCGAGTCCGGGTGCTGAGCCACAAATTTGTTCACCGCATCTGTTGAGATATCATATACGAAGAGCTTTGAACCTCCGGGAAGCTTGTTCACAAGGTTTTCTGCCATCGCAAAACCCATGGTCCCCAGGCCGATGAAACCAACCTTCAGCGGTTCTCCAGACATCTTGAAAGTTGGCCTGGGCTGTGAGACTCGTAGTGTATGTCCGTTGAAGGCAGCTTTGTGTCTGTAATTGCACTCGTAACCGAAGACCAAAAGTTTCAGTACTTTAATCAGGTGTCAGGAACCTGCTCAACCGGCCTTAACGGAACAAGTCTGACAAGACTACCGGCGACCAGTTTCAGTGCCGAGATGCGCATGTGATGACATGGTAGCAAGCCGCTGTAATGCATTTCCCCGCCCGTCAAATGCGGTTACGGGACATCAGTCTCCCCGCAGCATTGTACCCGCGGCGGCTTAGAGTTTCGAATGTTTCACCACTTAGACGGGCATAGTACTGCGTGCGGAGATTGCGGGCAGGAAAAGTCGCAGTGATGATATTGTGGGTGCGCGCATGCGTAGAAGAAGGCGAGTTGCCTTGAAATTTAGAGGTGAAATATTCAAAACCTGGATTTGGGAAACATGACATCAGGATGTAGTCTGACTCCCATCGTCCAGAGGCAAAGCACAGTAGCGTAGAAAATGGTACGTGTGTATATGTTCTAAGAACAACGCGTCGATCGCTTATACGGTGCCCGGCAAGAAGGCCTCGGGATGTGCCCTCGCCCAGTCCATGCCATGAGCCAGGATGACATCGAGCTCGAATCCACTTTGCTCCGCCGCAGCCTGTAGATCGCGAATCCGCGCCAGTGTAGCTTCTGCGGCCTTCTTGTCCGCGTGAATGCAGCAGAACCGTCCCTCAGAGTCCTTCCACTCCGCAATCTCCCTCTCACCCGTGAGGAGGCGGCGGTCGTGGCAGGCATCCCCGACGAGATATATCCACCGCTTCGGCGCGAGCCTTGCAAGGAGGTTGACATGACCAGGAAGGTGACCAGGTGCGTCAACGACCCAAACCGAGCCGTCGCCTTTGAAGTCGTGCACCCAGAAATTGCCCAACTTCTCCCACCCGTCTCCTTGCTCACCGTCGAGCGGGGGCTTGGGGAATTCTTTGACGTTTAGCCCAGAAAAGAGTTCGCTCTCGAAATGGGAGTGGGACATGTGTGATCCCAGCCCGTCCTTCAGGACATTGAGCGCGCCGCTTCCAACCCAGAACTGCGCCTGAGGGTAGTCCGCCGGAGTTCCGGTATGGTCCCAGTGGACGTGGCTGATTATGATATGCGCAATGTCCGAGGGGCTCACTCCTCCATCCACCAAGCTCTGTCTCACATCAGGCAGGGTGTTCATAGGCTGCCTGAACTGAATATGCTTCCTGACCGGAGCAATGTAATCTTCGACATTGCGGCGGAGCCCCAGATCGAATAGTATGTTTGTTCGCTGGCCATGATCGTCATTGTGTACAATGAGGAACGATAACGTTGGCACAAGACTCTGGTCTGTTTCCAAAGCTCCACTGATGAAGACGTTCAGGGGCAGAGTGAACGTGCCGCCGTTGAGGGCCGACGCCTTGACGGTATTAGTGGCTCTTGTCTCGAGGGCCTCGAGCACGGAGTGTGCAGCTGAACTCATATCTTTTTACTGAAATTGAATTAATACAATTCTCTGGTGACTTGGCCTCAGTGATGGGTCTTGAAACGCGGGAATTTGATGTTTTAGATGTCTGTAGTAGGCTGCTGAGGACTGGTCAGACTCATAGTGTACCTATCATGGGTGGGGGAAAACATGGAGGAGGAGGTCCTGCCTATGACATTATTGCGCGCGGTTAAATACCCCACATGAACCACACTGCCCGAATGCCAAATTAGGCGTTTTGTACGCCAGGCATTCAATCAGGGACCAAAATACGAGTTGCCTCGCCGACTCTGAATGCTGTGTTGAGGACCCCTGAATCTCTTAAGCACAAAGAGAACTGTTGTATGAGGTTTGATATTAAACTACCAGCGTATTTACCCACGTTGCAACTCACGAGATGTGCCTTAAGAAGAGCAAAGGACTCGGAGACAAGATTATTTTTCGAAAAGTTGATACCACGTTGTTCTCTGCAAGATCATTGTGTATAACCTGGCAAACCGTTCAATCAATTTTTAGGTACGTTCTCGACTAGGATCGGCTTTTGGTGCACATGTGTGGGGTGTAGAAAAGCAGAGCCTGATGTAAGCTATCTTGAAATTGCGTGCACATGTCGTTGTTACTGGTTTCGCTTCTATTCCGCATTTGCCCGGGGACAAACATGGCGCTTTCATACGATGGTAAACGCTAAAGACCCAATGTTTAAAAAAAAATATACAGTGTCTATAACAGTGGTATATGACTCCAACAATAAGCAATTCTGGACATAGTCGATCAATTCGTGTCAATTATACCAATTCATACCTACTAAATATTACCTTCAACAACGCGGTTGATTCCGGGCATTCATGAAAGTACTGCATGAGACCGTGAATGAGGGTCAAATTGGATTTCTAATGGGTTTCAGTTTGTGCATTGATGGCAGTCACCAAAATGACTAAGTTCCTACATCATCAAGCTTCAAGCCCCTTGTATCAAATTTTAAGTGCCCAGGTGCTGAGAAATGTGCATACATGGCAATAGTAGTTATGCTTTAGAATTAGTGTGATGCTTGCCTCCTTGCACATATCACCGCTGATTGCTAAAAGACCAGGACAAAGCAGATTAATAATTCATGAGATTATTCTATAATATAAGGAGCGACTTGTTTGCAGATGCAAAAGATGAGAGAAGAAAATTGGTCATCTGCCATCCGCCGTCTAAGCATGCCCATAGCAGACACTCCAACACCAGTCTATTATATCCCACCCGGGACCCACCATAACATTTAGTAGCCCTTGACAGTGTTGTCGACACAGAACGGGATGCCGTTGAGGTAGCCGCAGTGGGTCTTGTCGGGGCAAGCACCGTTGAAGACCAGCTGGTTCTGGGCGTTGCAGACGTTGATGCCCTTCTTGTCGTCCGTGCAGGTGTAGGCGCCGGGGTTGGAGCAGGTGCCCGGGGCCGGGCCGCCGGCACGCTTCACCTTGGGGACGTTCTGGCAGTAAGGGATGCTTCCGATGTTGGAGCACTTGCTGCCGCTAGGGCAGGGCCCGATGAGCTGGAGTGTTGTTAGTTAACGCTTTCCCTGACTAGACTAGACTGATTTGTGTCTGGATGGCCACTGACCACAAGCTTGTTAGAGATATCGCACTGCAGGATGGACAGGCCGTCTGCCGAGCACTGGTACTGGCCGAAGGTGCAGGGCGGGGAGTGAGCTGGGACAGCCATGGCCGCAGTGGCGAAGGCGAGGATGGTGGTGAAGAACTGCATGTTGATGTGTGGGGGTTTGAGAGGAATTGGTAATTGAGTTTGGATTGGGTATTAGTGAAGATAGTAAGACTGTTGGATGCTGATGATGATGTCGAGTGAATGCTCAATTTGATGGTCATGAGTTCCCATTTATATATATGCCCATCCGTTGCGTATGATCATGATCACATATAGCAGACCACAGGCATGACGGCCTTAGCATTCGAAAATAGACACAACTCGGCAGAGCTAGCGAGGCTGAGGAAGAAGCAAGGCCGAGGAAGCTAGGTGGCTCCGGGTTACGGCCGCCAGCTCAGCAGGGCAAAGAAAACAGACATATTCCATCTGGCGAATCGAAGAAGGCTGGTCACGAAGAGATCGTATACCTGGCCCGAGAAAGCAGCCCACCACATGCTACGTAGCATCTCACCGGCCTTGTTTGTGGCTTAGCAGCACTCGACTGACAGACGCCCCAGCTGCCCGGAAGTCGGTCCACTAAGCCCTGCCAGCAGATACCCGACGACGCTCAAGCGTTATTAGACTAAGCTTATATCTGACGGACGGCCTTGGCTTTTGTAGAACCGCAGAGTTACGACGCCTCAGGTCTAGTTCTCGATACCGGGCCCCGGTCTCAACCAGAACTATCGAATGCTAATGACAGTCGCAGTGTAAACCGTTCGACGCGTTTAGCGGTCATCATCGTGTTTGTCACGAACTTGATGAACTCCTAAACCTTCTGACAAAGAAATACACGAACGGCTGCTCGTAAACCGTCTGCATAGCGTCTGGAGAGGATACGAGACTAAGACACAGCAGCTGATCTGGAGCTGAGCCAGGCGAAAGGGTAACATCCCGGGCTGAGGCGTGAGCCACACCGCTGGTACTACTAGTAGCGCTTATCCGCCAGATCTAATATCTGGGGTAAAGGGCTCCAAAAACCGACCGTCCCGTGTAGTCGTACACACATGACCTGATGAAAAGACATCGTGCATTTTTCAAGCCCCAGCGGGAAAAGCAACAACGGGCGGGCGGCTGTCGCTTACTAGGCCCGCGGCCCATTACGTACAGAGGACAAGGCAGGTTGGCCGCTGGTGCCTCATGGATGCCGGGCACAGTCAGCCGGCCGACTTCTGGTTCGACGTGCCCGTCAGCTACCGGGCAACCTGATACGAGCTGAGCATATCTGAGTTAGTGGCGCTGAGAAAGCTGGGAGGCAACCGGGCTTGGTTTTCATTGTCAGAACTCATGGTAGGCCAGCATTCATATTACTGAGCCCTCTCAAAGTCGTCACATGACGAGAAGTGCAGCTCGAGGACGCCGAAAGCATGCGAGAGTCGCCACACGGTAAGGTGATTGAGATTAAGAGTAACGTGAGGTCAAGTATGGATGACACTGTGCTGTACCTCTAACATTCTGATGCTGTACGAGCCAGGTTGCGAATTTCCATGCCTAGGTGTGTATGACGGAACATCTATAGCGCGTAGGTCATGAGCCTGTCCCAGTCGTTGCTACCAGGCTCGCCCGTGAATTCCTCTACACCGTTCTTGGTCTCCACGCAGAGCTTGTCTCCTTTGAAGTATGTCAGCGCACCTCCCTTTCCATCTCCTCGGGCGGTGATCCGGTACAGAGGCCCTTCGGTGTGCACTTTTCTCCGCTCTGGCATGAATTGAAGGTCGTTTTCTTGGCACCAATCCTCCACAATATGGCGGAAGGACCGCTCCAATTCCTTCTTGGTCGGTTCGAACGGGCTGGCATGTTGCTTTTTCTCCCTCTGTGGCTCTCGCTTATGGTGAGGATGCCCATTGGCTTTGGCGGCTTTTTGCCGTGCGGTGGCGTGCCCATGTTCCGGTGGAGGCAGCGCTATTGAGGCGTCCTGATTCAAGTCGAACAGCTCTAATGCGTGCTCGATCGTGTGGAGACCCTTTTCGAACTCTGACGCTATTGAGGGGATGTCGTCGATTCCCGCCAAAGCCTCATCATGCCACCACTCGCACCACTGCGCCACATCTTCATAATTGACCGTCTCCATGACCAGCCATTGGTAGAGAATCTCATGCCACTTCGGGAAGACCTCCGCGGCGATGACCTCGGCAATCATGGTGGGCGAAACGGGATCTAGCCAATCCAGAACGGCGGTTAGAATGTCAGTCTGCTGGTCCGAAGGATTGACCTCGAAGTTCTTGCGAATGTAACGCGCCATATTTGGCAGGATGTGGTTCAATACGAGCGGTGTCCACTGGTCGGTGCGGTCGGTGCGCAGGATATCGCGCCATTCCCGCAGGCCCGGGATGACCCCACGATTGAACTCCCACACATCAATGAGCTGCCGGAACTTCCTCTTTACGTCTGCAACAAGCCCTGTTGAGGCCTTGGGATCAAGGTGGTGCTCCGGGAGGTACTGGAACCAGGGGAACAGCCAAAGGTGCGGCAGGTTGTGTTGCTTCTTCCTCTTTGGCTCCCATTTGGCGATTGCCTCGTCCAGTCTCCTGATGATGTCTTGTTCCAGCAATTGCGTTTTGAGGAATCCAGGGAGCACGCTGTGCCAGGCCTCAAACACGGCGATTAGTGGTTCGGCATCCCGCACATTCCACTCCCGCACCGCACGTGAGACACGAGGCAGCCAAAGCTTGTACATCATGCTCTCATAAGGTGTTGCTGAAGATCTCATCTGAGGCAGTGGTGCGGATTTGTTGAAGCCAAGCAGCCCCTTGATAGAGCCCAGGTCACGAGCATATTGGGCTCGCGCATTATCCAAGGGGTTCCAGTTCTCAACCATGTCCTTCATAATGGGCTGGATGGCCGCGACTGCAATAGAAGCCATCTCATCTCTGACCTCACGGATCGTGAGATCAGAGATCGATTGGTCTGCCTTGCGCAACAACGATATGACTCGGTCCCATCCCTGCCTCGTGTGGTCCACCCCACTGATCATCACCTCGTCCTCATCTTCGATGTGCGTTAACTCTTCGAAAATAGCCGCGGTGGCTCGTTGGCTCGCGACTGCTTTCTCCAGTTCTTCGAGCTCCTGCTTCTCCTGGTGTAGTTGCAATTCGGCGAAAGCTTTCCGCTCCTGTAGGCCCTGCCATTCCTCGAGTATGGCCATGAAATCGTTTTGAGCTCGTAGCACCAACTTCTTCGAATTAGCATCGCCGTCTTCTTCTGTCGTTCCAGCAGTAGGCGTCATCAGACCAGAAGACGAGGTCAGCATCTTCTTGCCTGGCCCAGTGAGATCCAAGATGGGCGTGAATGCAGCTGGTATATTGAGCCCAGGGGCTGCTTTCTTGATCTCCTCGATCGTTGCATACTTTGGTTTCTGGCGTCTTGGGGTACTTGCTGCACTTCCACTGCCGCTCTTCAAGCCTCCTGCTCGGGATTTCCTTGAGCGCTCTGCCTTCTTTTTCTTTTCCTCCTCGTCTGAGTCTACCACAACTTCTCCTCGGAGTCTTGCCTGTCGCTTCTCTTCTTGCCTTTCGGATGCTGTCTTTTCTTTCACGGCGCCGAGACCAACCTTCTGGGGGCGCAAATTTGCTTCGATAACAACGTTTCGACCCTGTCCCTCCTTTCCCAGACCTTTGCCTTCTACAAAGCCCATCTTTGCCATCATGCGTGCACCGAATGAGTTCGGGTTAGTTTTTGTCTTGCCACCTTTCGAGGAAAAGGCGCTGGGCATCGCCTTTTTAGGTCGGCTAGGTGCGTCGTCGTTGACCTTGAGGACAGGCTCGTTTGTAGAAGAGGGCGTGAAACCCATCCCAAGAGGCTGAGCCGTGCCCCCAAAGTTGAAGGACCTTTTTGGTGGTTGATATTGTTGTTGATGCGATGGCGGGTCTCGTCCGCGACCCAACCCAGCTGATGTGCCGTAACCCAGTCCGATTCCCGGTGTCGTTTCTTCTTCCTCCGCCTCTTCGTCGTCCACATCGTCGCCACCATTCATTCGCAAGAAACTGGCTCTTTCCGGCTCCTCTTGGTCGTCCTCATCCCCTGCCGCGGTGTCGTTTTCGCTGTCCTTGTTTGCATCGTTGGCCGACACAAAGCTCATGCCTTTGTTCCGGAGGGTCTTCCTCTTCCATCGCTGGCCTGGCCTGTCGTCTTCGCTCTCGGAGCCGAATATACCAAGCGCTGCACTCTCCTTTGCGTCGCGACCGGTTCTTCTCCGCTTTCGGGGGTTGTAATCGGCAAATTCGTCGGCGTTGGGATTTGTTGACGGCATTAGGAAGTCGTCATCGTCGTCTTCTGACTCGGACGAGGAATATTCCGCCGCGGCGGCCTTCATCTTCGAAGGATCAAACGCGCGTGTTGGGTCCATGGCGACAGGACGCGTGAAGAGGCCGGGAAAGTGCAAGGCGGCGCAGTGGGTGTCGCCAGAAGAGGTGCGATCAAGTAAGTTGTCGCGAGCTCGCCTCTTCAAGCTGCCGTGGCTGCCTTCCCAGAAAATCCTTATCTTATCCGACTCACTCTGAGTCAGCGGGTGGGCCTAGGCCGCCTACAGGCCGCCTAAAACCGTACTGTGGTACACCGTCGCAGTGGTATTAGCAGCGACGGACAGCGCCGTACAGTACCTAAACCTAAGTACCTAGGTACCTAGGTACTTAAGTACTCTGCCTGTTCTCCAGACGGGCCACGCTTATTGCTGCTCTTGATGCTCTTCATGAGCCGTATCATACCCTGTCTCTAGCATGAAAATTATGTTTGTAATAGATAGTATCATACCTTGCTCACTGGGAGGCAAATTGTTTGACACCTCATTTTTCATGGACCAAAGAGGCGCATCAGAGTCTACCTCCCCGGGGTCTCCTTCGCGCACTGTTCACCGTCGAATTTGTGGCAAGACTTCCTTCCGCCCAAGCCTGCTGTATACTTGGTGGTTTCGTTTTTTAATCCCCATACATGTAAAATGTACGTGGCGCCTTCATACAGTGGTAAACGCTTAAGACCCAGCGTCTGAAGAAATACAGTGCCAATAACAGTGGAAAGAGAATACAGTACGTGGGCACGTGGCTGAGCCTCGTACCGCACAGACAAGGCTGGAAGGCATCGCTCCCGACGGCGCCGCACTAGAATCGTCGACATAAGTAGCCCAAGGGCTAATCTGCCACGATACTAGAGTCAAAGCCGGCAAAGCAGTCTGCTGTGTACTTAAGTACTTAAGTAAGTACGCTAGGTTCCACGCATGGCTCATACCACAAAAAGAACCATTGGCGGCTGCTGCAACATGATCCATGAATTGCTTGATCTCGCTGTGGAAAACTTTTCCGATGCATCTTGCAAAAAAAAACTCTTCATAAAGATAGTTCTTCTAGATTTCACGCCGTTAAAGAAACCCGCTCCATAGCAGGAGCAAGTATCCAGGCCGTCAATCCACAGCAGTAAATTGAAAGTCCCACCAGGACGGAAAAGAGGGAGGTAATGTGGTATCATTCCTGATCCGTAATACCCCCGATGGCGTACGGTCCCTTCATACAGAGGTAAACACGGGAGGTAATGTATGTGTTGAAAGGTTGTTACAACTCTAAGGCCGCAATGCCAATGGGTTCTCTCTATCTTTCTTAATTAACTTCATGGCCCTATCCAACCCACCAGAATGCTTATTTATCATGAGTCCTCTTACAGCAACGAAAATAGTCAAACACCATGGTGGTCTGCAGATGCGCTTGAGGGCTTGAGAGACTAATTGGAAACAGAGCACAAAGTTGCATACATTTTTGTACGGGAAATGCTATAGAATGCACATATATGAAAAGGATAGAGTGTTCAGACAAGATTTGTCCATTAGAGGTCTCTAGGTAGCTTAGCTGTCCTGTTCCTCTTGTCAGTAGTAGGGGAACCTCGGCCAAGGCTGTAGTGCTTCTTCCAAACTGCACGAACGGTCTTTGAAATTGCATTGAGGGGAGCGAATCAGAAGCCGGCAGATAAGTGACAACAGAATTAAGGTGTCCCCAATTATTCCAACTCTATGAATCCAATAAACACACATTTAGGGGTCAGTCGGTTACGAGGCCCGAGAAAAAAATGTGGTGCTCTTATCTACGTGTACTGTTGGTCCGAACGAGGTTGCCGGGCTCTCAAGTGCGGTGCAACGCACCCCAGCACCGGACGTTGAGGCCATGTTACCCTGTGTCAGTGCCGTATGACTGCGTCCCGTTGGACTGTTGCCAGGGTGCTAGATACTGAAGTACTTTACTGAATCCAAGAAATAACGGGCTAATCTGGCTCGCATCATCCTGTTGGCGTCAAATTGCATGTCCTGTACCAACCGGACCTTCTGTTGGGGGGGGGGTTCGCCCAATTCCACGCTCATAAATACCAATCCACATCCACAAACCTGGATCATTTTGGTACTCTGGTGCGGAATCCATCATTCATTTTCGACTGGCATATTCTATTTCCCACTGGATTGGTTCCTTTAAGCACGTAGATGATTGGCCTCGGCAAGTACCACAATCCGTGAGTCTGCATCCTGCGGTACCGGTACAACATTCTACGTTGCTTCATTTGAGAAAGACACCTAAATCACTTACAAACCGACCCCATTCCTTTCCTCATTGGACTCGAAGCCATAGGCGAGGTCGCTTATCCGTGTAGACAAGCCTCTTACCTGTGGTCTTTTGGGATAGCGGTCAGAAAATGTCTAATTTCGACCTCCTCTACACGTGGGCGACGTACATCGTGCTGCTCGTTCTGTCATGCGTTTGTCCTCACTTGCCGCCACGGCGGTCCCGTCATCGGGAGAACTTGCTGTGCTGACTTCCCAAACAGCTTCCCCTTCTTTCGGTCTACCGGAGCTTCTTGCATCCATTACGCCGGTATCCGGGGCCATGGCTGGCCAAAATTACGGACGGGTACGGTGGCTACAACGCCACCCGGATGCGTCTTCACCTAGCTGTGAAGAGAGACCTCGACAAATACGGTAGGCCCGTATAACTTCAAATGTATATGTGGCCATCTACAAGTTCTGACAGTCAAACTTCTAGGACCTGTCTATCGGCAGGGCCCGAACCGACTTGTATTCAATACTGCTACAGCCCTTAAAGGTTTGTCAAATAGAGCGATCCAAGTTGTGACCGGGCTGGCACTGATAGCCACAGATATATACAATAGCGAACGAATCGGCAAGTCATTCGTTTACACGACCCTCCTCAAAGCGAAGACCTCTCCAAATGTCTTCAATGTCCTTGACAAGCAGCTTCACCGCAGCAAGCGCAAGGTCATCGGCCAGGCCGTGACCGAGCGCGCGATGCGCCTCTTCGAGTCCACCTTGCAACAACAGGTCGACATCTTCATCGAGCAACTCAAGTCAAGCAAAGGCCCCACGGATATTAGCCCGCGATGTAGATACGTGGGACTCGACACGATAGGTCTGCTTGCTTTCGGGTACGATCTCAATACACAGCAGAACCTTGAACACCGGTTCGTACTGGATGGCCTGTTCGCGGGCAACTTAAAAAGCAACATCATCTTTCAAATCCCACTGCTCGAAGCCCTCGGTATCAATGCTGTTTTATCTAGACTTAGTGGGAGCAGTCGGGTTCGGTTCTGGGGTCTCCTGGACAAGATGACGACGAGCCGTTTGAGTATGGGGAAGAATGCCCGTAGCGATCTCGTGTCCTTCGTTGCCGAGGGGCCGCAGGGGGCGGCCATGGATGATGCCCAGCTGCGGGAGCTTCTTTTCTCTGAGGGTTATTTCTTCGTCGCTGCGGGAGGTGACACAACTGCCGCATCCCTAGGTGCTCTGCTCTTCTATCTCAGCCGGGAGGTCAACTCAGAGGCGTACAGAAAGCTCGCGGACGAGATACGGACGACTTTCCCCAGCGCTGAGGAGATCCGCAGTGGGCCAAAGTTGTCTGGCTGCCATTACCTCCGTGCCTGCATCGATGAGGCCTTGTGAGTGATGATCTTCGGCTCACCGTTTTCTTTCTTTGTAATTACCACATCCATCACAGAATAACTGACAATACCACCAGGCGCATGTCACCCCCAATCCCCGGAATCGCCTGGCGCCAGCAGGCTGCAGAGGACCCCCAAAAGGGGCAGCCCCTTATCATCGACGGCCACGTCATTCCGCCTGGGACACAGCTAGGAGTGAGTGCGTACGCGCTGCACCACAACGAGGAGTACTTCCCATCGCCCTTCTCGTTCCAGCCTGAGCGCTGGCTTAATGCCGAGAAGGACGCAGCGCAGGCCGCGAAGATGAGATCCGCCTTCATGCCGTTTTCCGTGGGGTCGCGCTCGTGCGCCGGCAAGGCGATGGCGTATCTCGAGGCGAGCCTGGTCATCGCCAAGACGCTGTGGCATTTCGACTTTGCGGCCGCGCCGGGAGAGCTGGGCCGTTTGGGCGGCGGCGGACCTGGCAAGGGGTTCGGCAGGGAGAGGCCGGATGAGTACCAGCTTTACGACATCTTTGCCTCATCTCACGATGGGCCGTGCCTTGTGTTCACACCGAGGGATCAGAAGAAATGATGCCTTGTGAGCATGGAAATTTGATGTGGCGCTGCCGCCCAGGTGATGGTCAATGTGATAACTTGGAACCCATGCGCACATTTTTGAGAATATTACAAAATGGATGAGTTGCTTTTTTTGCCCTAATGGCTCCGCTCAGGTCAAAGTAAAGTGCACTGCAATCCCGGTTGTCCTCTTTGGTGTCTCCTGCCAACCTTGGAACCTGCTCGGGCTCCTAAGCAGGATATCGAGAAGAACATTATGGGCCAACAGGCAAGTGTCGAACGGACATGTGGCCCAACTTCCAGCGTGCCGAAGTTCAACCTCAACCTTGGGGTCCATTTGCCATCTCCAACCAAAGAGGCCTTCAAATCATCTCCCAACAGTATCAAATATTGTCCATGGTGTGATGAAACCACCTGGGCAAGCTTCAGCCTTGGCAAATTTCTGAGCAGGTCAAGAAAAGGTCTCAGCCATCAGACCAAACACAAAGGGATGCCCAGTCCAAAGGCCTTCCAGTTCAAACGACCCGAGTCCGACGTGTATAAACCACAGACTTTCACCGCTGCAAGAATTACTCCCAGCTCTTCGCAGCCTGGTCAAACCTCTCCCCAAAGGACTCATACCACCTATCCACCAACTGCTGCCCCGGCCCAGCAGAGAACGTCTCCTCCCCGCGCTCCAGCCTCCGCGCGACCTCCTCCATGAACTCGTCCACATCCATCGAGGTAGGGCTCTTGTGCTTCTTGTTGTCGTCCGGGTCCTCCCTCTCCCGGTGCAGGTCCGTGCCGACCTGCGGCGGCGCGATCTCCACGACCCTCACGCCGGTGCCCCTGAGCTGCACGCGCAGCGCCATGCTCCAGAAGTGCAGCCACGCCTTGGTGCCGTTGTACACCGGGTTCAGGATGCTAAAGGGCACAAAGCCCAGCACGCTCGAGACGTTGATGATCACCGCGGCCGGCTTGGACCTGAGGTGGGCCAGCAGCCCGACGGCGAGGTGCATCGGCCCGCGGACGTTGACGTCGATCTCGTTGTCGGCCCTTCCGAGGAAGTCCTCCGGGTCGTCCTTGAGGACCTGCAGGGGCCGCTGCACGCCCGCGTTGTTGACGAGGCAGTCGAGGTCCGGGTGCTCGGCTGTGATCGCCTCGATGAACCCGGGGATCTTGGACACATCGCCCGTGTCTACCACGTAGCAGCCCGCGCACTTGATCTCCGCCTGGGTCATCTTGAGGTTGGCCTCGGTGCGCCCGCAGATGATGACCTTTTTGCCCTTGGACATAAAATACTCTGCCATGGCGCGGCCGATCCCGCCGCCGCCTCCGGTGATGAGGGCGCATTTGAAGTTAAGCCCAGACATTTCGGCGTTATTAAGTTGCTGTTTGGAGATGAAGAACAGATTGAATGTAGGGTTCAGATTAGGAGAACTTGGGGAGGCGGAATGTAGTGTATCAGTTATTGTTCCAAGCGGTGGTCATCTCAAGTGAGCCAGGGATTAGAGTTTTGTGGAATGAAGAAGTGGTCGAATAAGGGCTGCATAGTGACGATGTATGTAGTCTTGTTGGAATAGTGCCCAATCCAAGACGTCATCTCAGGTCTGATGCAACGGCGAGGCTGCACTTAAAATCAAGCCGGACTGGAATGCTGAATCTTAGTACCATTTTTGCAGCACATGGAGAATAAGAATTGGGCGAACATTCGCCCCCCAGTCCATCTTATCTCCGATGCCACATCGGCGGGCACGAGTTCGTGAATATGGTCAAATGGCCGACTCGACACTGCGTATTGTCGTCATTCCGAAGAAGAGGTAGAGTGTGAAGCGAAACCTTGTTGTTTGCAGCAGTGAGGAAACGGTGCCTAGTCCAATCTCAGTGACCAAATTGCCCGCATGTCGTTCTGGTTACTTACCGTTCGTTCTCTGTCCATCCACCATCTCCCTTATAGCAAGCACAAGACCACCACCGTCACGAGTTCGTTGACCGCACGTCGAGTGCTCGTGAACAAATGCAATTCTCAGTGCCACGTTCGAGGCCATGTAGAAAATGATTATCCATCGATATTGGCAAAAGTCAAGTACAATGAGCGGAATTGAGAACCGCAAGTGGTATCTAAGTTTTTACCAAAACCATTCCCACGCGCACGCATCAAACAAAAGTCCATCCCAGACATAGGTGTGAGACAAAGACGCCGGGGGGTGGTGCAAATGCAGACTGTACCTTTCCCCTAGCCCCGCAAAGGACTGCACGCACGACGCCTTGTAAATGCTAGACCTCCTTCCACAAATCTCACTCCCCTTGAGAGAAGAATCCTGCTTACAACGAACGAGCCTCTAAACAAAAAATCCTTCACAGCTCCCAGAATGATCGTGGATCGCCTGGTGGCCCGTAGATGCCCGCACACGACTGAGGTCTCACACGCATGCTCCCATGATGACGACGGCTCGGGCTCAATTTGTGCAGAACCTACTGCTTGGCAAGCCCTTGCTTGGCCTAGATGAGGACAAGATGTTAGTACTGGACACTTAAATTCTCCTACACGGTAGTTATCAGACATACCTTCATCTGTTCAATCCTTGCCTTCAATTGGCTGGTCACCTCGGCAGCCCTCTTCCAGCTTTCAGCGCCGTTGCCGTTGCTACCAGCGGCGGCACCACCGGCAGCAGAAGAATGCTCGCCCGAGTAGACGTCTCTCCTGTAGCTCCTAGCGGGAGATGCTCGTCCACTGCTAGCTGAGCTGGCTCCGTTGCCGTTGCCGTATCTCCCCAGCTCGGGGCTCAGAGCCTTGTGCCGTGCGTACGGCGGAGGAGCGTCAGGACCAAATCCGTTCTCCTTCTCCTCAGACAGGTTGCTCGCATATGAGGTGCGATTCCTAGACGCCGTGCTTGCTGCCCTATGCAAACCACCGCCAAAGCTGCCCTCCCTGTCCCGGAAACCGCCGCCCATCTCTTCGTGTACCGGGCTGGCACTGCTGAGGGTGGGACTCAACATGTCGTCACGCTGCATACCGAGCTGCTCAGACTTACTGAGAGCTCGCTTCAGTCGGTCGAGTTCCCTTCGCAGACGCTCATTTGTGCTCTCTGCCGCTTCCGCGTCGCTACGGGCGCGCACGAGCTGCGTCTCCTTTGCCTTGATGCTCAGAACATCCCGAGTGTGGTCTTCAATGAGCTGGGCATTTTGATTCTTGAGTTCTTGGATCTCGGACATCATCTTGGACCGCTCATGGCGGGCATCGTCAGCCTGGCGCAACAGGCTCTCGTTAGCGGCCCTAAGCTCTTCCAATTCCGCACGTTCCATTGCAGTGAGACCAGAGACGGCCGGGGCAGGTTCGGCGGCGGGGGCCATGGCTGCCGGTGCTGCTGGCTTGGCCAGAGAGCGGCCAGCAAGACCGCCACGTCCCAGCCCAAGACGTTGCCGGGGAGGAGAGGCGACTGGCGCTGGCTCCTCTTCATACTCGTCCTCTTCTGGCGGTGGGGGCGGCGCAGCCATGGGTTTTCGGGGTGATGCCAGTGTTCTCTTCTGAGGTGCCTTCAGACCTCCAATGCCAGAGGGTTTCGGTACACCAAGCTTGTTGCCCACTGGTTTCGCCGTCGGTGGTGGTGCCATTGGCGGAGACTCGGCTCGCGGCGGCGCCGCTGCAGGTGCAGCTTTCTTTGCGCCGGCGGGGACCTTCCTGACAACCTTCTTGGCAGGACCTGGTGGAGGTTTAGCTGCTGGCGGTGGCGCTTTTGGCTTCTCTTTTGCCTTCACTTCTGCCGTCTCAAAGTACTCCTTGATTTTGGTTTTCCGAATTTCATCGAGACCCTCCATATGGGGGTTCATTGCCCGCTCGCCAATGATCTTCATGATGGTGCCCAGTATCTCGGCGCCACCATCACGGAGTGCAGGGCTAGATTCTGCCAGGAGCTTCTTTGCAGCCTCGACCATCGCGCCAATTTCTTGTTTGTTTGGCACGTCTCTTGTCGTCCGCAGGCATCGGACGAGGAATTTCATGGTGCCTTCCTTGACCTGGGGATTCTTGTTGACCAGGTAGGCGAGAATGTCCTCAAAGCATTCCGTCAGGCTCGTCGCCATAAAGACCTGGTCTAGTGCTGCACCAAGGGCATCCTGGACGGTGGGCTTCTTCTCCTTGAGGCGGTCCATGATGGGCTGCATGACGACGGATCGGTACTTCCCGTAGCCCTTCCGCAGTCCCTTGGCTAGGAGCTCAATACACTGCGCTGCCTGTGTGACAACAGCGATGTTTGCGTCCTTCATACATTTCGCCAGTGATCGGTTGACCTCGTTGAAATCTCCGTCCTTGATCCTTGGGACGTTTACAAGTGCATATAACGCCTCGACGGCCTCCTTGCGGTCTTTCCATTTCGATGAGCCCAGCAAGTCGTAGAAGTTTCCGGGTATGCCCTTGAGGACGTCCTGGGGCTCTGCTAGGTCAAAAGCGTCGATCTCCTCGGGTTCCTCGCCCTCGTCTTCCTCGCCGCCTTCGTCCGCTTCCCCGGCGGCCGGAGCCTTTTCTTTTGCAGCTTGTTGGGTCCGTAACAACCGCTCCTGCTTCGGAGCCCCTTCGGCCTTGATCTTTTCAAACTGTGCCTCCAAGTCTGTCTGCTGGGTCGGTTTCAGGTCGCCCCAGAACATGGGCTTCATAGCCTCTCGCAGCCACCTGTAGAATTCCACTGCCAAGTTGGTCGCTTCAGCTCGCACATTCTTGTCTGCGGCACCGAAAGCCTTTGGTAAAACTTTCAGGACAGGCTTAGGGTCGGCAAGCTTGCAGCCGTAGTTGTGGAAGATGGCGGTCAAGGCATTCAGTGCGGCGGCAACAGTCTTCGGTTGCTTGGCGGACAGGACGGGCAGGACGTCCTCGATGACGGGGTTTGGCACGTCGACCTCGCAAAGAAGGAGCAGTGCCTCGATGGATGACGCCTTTGTTGCCGCTCGTGTGGATGGGAGACCCTTTTCGCAGATGGGTGTGACTGTGACGCCTCTTGATCTCGTGCCATGTTCCTTGCCACCGAACTTCAGGAATGCACAGTAGGCTGCCATGCCATCTTGCTGTGCTGCCACGTTGCTGTCGGCCACGGCGCCTTTCCATAAGGAGGGGTCCCGCAGGAATGGTTGGAAGGCGGCATCGTATTCGTCGGCGCTGACCTCGAACTGCTTGAGGGCTTCTTCGTATGCTCCTTTTCGGACTTTCCAGATCTACAAGCAGACAGGGTGTCGGTTAGCATACAGTCCTCTTGTGGGCCGCTGGCAGCCTCGCAAAGGTCGTTTCCTCCCCCTGCCTCGTCTTCACCGCACTCGTGTGGACGAGACGGGAAAGGGCCGCGTGTGTCACGTACCTTATGGACCCAGCGATCTGTAATTGGCAATGAGCTGTAATCCTCCTCTCCGTCAGCCATGATGGGTGACACCGGATGTACTGGAGTGTTTCCAGGATTCGGGTTAAGAGATGTTGGCGAGCCAGGGGTATTTGCTAAGTAGGATTCGGGGCCGTCGCGATCAAGGAGGCCGGTGAAAGCTCGGACTGCACGACCTGTTAGCCTGTGGACGGACGAGCGTATTCTTCGGCGCATGATGCTGGCGATGGGTCAAGCGACGCATGATAGCTGGCGTCCCGTGACGTCCAGCGTGGCACTCCTGGGCTGGGGTAATGGCGGGGGGTTCGTACCAGACGATCGCAAACAGCAAGCAGCGCCTCGGTGCTTGAAAGATCAGGCAGGTGGACTTGGTGGAACGACGCGTGCGCAGGCAGGGGAGCGCGCTTTGTTCTCGTGTCTCGGGAGTGGTATGAAGTTGTCGTGGGTGTTCTGTGTGGGCAGCGTATGGCCGTCTCTGGCGTGGGTTTGTTTTGTCGCGAGTGAGTGACTGTCGTCAAAAAGCTTGGACGGCAGGGCAGCAGGGCAAGTCCAATGGTGCCGTTTCCCTTGCTTGGCCTTGGATCTGATGGAGAGAGGACCGGGGGGTGCCACGCCCAGGTCAGGGGGGCATAATAAAGGAAGGATGCGGCTGTGAGTGGCCGTCGGCAAGTGCCACGCTTCCGGGGCTGCCAGGGCAACAATCGAGCCGCTGTTCAGATGTTTTTTTCAGGGCAGGCAGGGTTGTAGCTTTTGCCGGTAGGGCAGCAGGGGGAGAGCACAGCTGACAAGAAGTGGGACGATCTCTGAGCTGAGCGTGTTGGGCAGCAAAGTCGGTGGGTGTGACTTGTTGGTTGATATGAGGTTCTCTTGATCTGTGTGCATATTCTGACTGATGAATGAGCCAAAATTCAAACAATGCACTCTTCCAGTCCCCCGAAATGACAAGCCTCTGGGCTGCATGGTAGAGCGTACGGTGCAACCCCCCGCGGAAAGTAGCAGGTACATGCTGGACTGTCTCAACAACAAAGAAAGAGGGGCCTCAAAACATGCCGCATCGATGTCACCTGTACCCAGTGCTCCCCAAGGTGCCAATCCATCCCACCACCTTGTCACAGCAACGCTTTATTCTTATTACGGAGTAGCGTGACGTGTTCGCGCCTGGCCAGAAAAGACCATCGACGGTTGAGTTGACCTGGGCTGCTGGGCTGCCCTGGCCGCCTGGTTGACTCAGGCCATGGCCCCAATCTCATTTCTCTGCGCTGCACTGCCGCCGAGATCCAATGTCGCTGCCCAATGAGGACCCCTTCGCATTACCGGGGGAACGGTGACGTAGATGCCGCCCGACTGCCCGACGTCAACGCCCACCACATCAATTCCCATCACTTGTGGGAGTGCCTCAAGAGACAGGTGCCAAAAAAAATGGGTGTGTCAGACAAGGTACCAAAGATCATCTTGTTGATCGAATGGTCTTCCCCTAGCTCTCCGCAATTCGATTAGTTTGGTTAATTTTGCGTAGCCTTGCGTTGCAGAAGCCTGGATCCGATTTGGACCACAAGCGCATTGTATGGCAGCCTGGTAAAGAAAACCAGGGAACGAGCAAACAAATGAGCACAACAGATACCGAGGTGGGGAAAGCCCTGCCAGTGTAGAGAAATACAAATAGTCCAGGAAGCGAACAGACATATTGCATTGTCCAAGAATGAAAGCGGCATGATTCCCCTGACGAGTCTTCTATATCTCTTGTACTTCGGGATCTTCCAAAGTGAGTGCGAGATGAATTTCAGGAAACGTGTCTGCGAAAAGACATCAGTCTCTCTGGCTGCTTCCAACCCTTGGAACTCACGGGTCCTGCAGATGTGTCCTGTGCTTCTCCGAAGTCCGCTAATAACAATGGTGGTCGAGCCGACGGTTCTGACTGAGCAGGGCCAGAGCGACCAGCCATTATTACATTAACCTTGCTGTGCAAACCAGTCGGTAAGGCGGTCGCTATTGGCTTTTCGAAACCCCAACATCTGGATCACGCTGCCGAGTACGCTTCGTACTGCATATTCATCGTATGTAATGCCGGTTAAAGGTTTGGGAAGTGCCCACCGATATAGGAGTGGCGAGATGACATATGTGATCAGGCAAAAAAGGCCCAGTGCTCTGTAGACTTGCTGAGATACGATGTTATTTTCTCTGAATTCTACACGATGACTTGTTTCTGAACTGTAAGAATTCATGAAATAATCATTTGAAGAAGGCTTTGGGTATTGATGAGCGCATGCATACTATCCAGGACGGCTACAAATTGGTCAGTAATATGGGGTCGTGAGAGCGCAGAAGGACACAACCGGGCTAAGCTAATTCCCCCTGGAGCTGGCTTTCACTCAGCACTTTGCATTGTTGCAGTCTCCAGTGCGTCGTCGAGAGACCCTGAATTGCAATGTGGCATAACCGAGGTGCGGGCCTACTGCTTGGAGTATGAGGTTTCTCAAAGCTCGAAGCAAAGGCCGTGCAGGATCCTCAGCTTTGGAGCTCAAGAGCGATGTCAATGGGAAAGCTGTTTCCAAAACTTGGTGATCAAGTGGTGAGCTCCACCAGAGAAGTACAACAGCATCCGAATACTGATTTGCCACAACTACAGGGCGTCGACTACTTGGTTTGAAATATCATTACCAGGGACGAACATTGTAAATTAGATCTGTCCAAACATGAGGCCTTGCTCTATACATGTACAAATACATTGGTGGACTCGGCTGTCCGTTCATACCGTAAGAGCCCGCATGAAACCCTGACTCTCGCTACCCTCCACGACCTTGGCGATGGGTGTCAGGTGAGCCTCCTCATCGTCATCGCCCTGTAGCTTCCGCACATATGCCTGGGCCACCTTCAGCCACGCCGCCTTCTCCGCCTTGCTGGCCCCGGCGCCCTGCCAGACCCAGATGGTCTTCCCCGCGTCGTCGAGGATGAAGACGTCGTTGCCGTCCAGGTCAGACTGCGAGATAGAAGGGCCCTCCTTGACCTGGCCGAAGCTTAGCTGCCCGGACTCGTCGCTGAGCTTGAATAGCTTCTTCTGCCTGCGTCCCTCTGTGGGCCTGCCGAAGGGCCGCGGGCGGTGGTACTCCTCGGTGGCGGGGGCGGCATCCTTGTCGCCGCCGAGCATGTCGACGACAAGTCGGGACCGCGACTCGGTCTGGGAGAGGACTTCGACGTCGACGTGCTTGGCGATGGTCATGTCGTGGACGACCTGTGCAGCCTTGGCCTTTTCCATGGGGCTGCAGTTCTTGCCCTGCCACACCCAGATCTTGTCGCCCTTGTCGAGGACAAAGACGTCGTCCTCGTCCAAGCTCTCCCAGGTCGGCGCCACCTCGTGCACGACGACGGAGTCGCGCTTAGCACCGGGGATTTTGAACACGCGCAGCAGCGTGGTGACCTCCTCCTTGGGCTGCTCCTCGACGTGTGTGAAGCCGGAGCGCACGCCGCCCGAGCGGATCTGCAGCCGCGGGAACAGCTCCATGAAGGCGTCCGAGGGTGCGGCCTGCACCTCGCGGTGCTGGGTCGCCTTGCCGTGCAGGAACTCGTCGAGCTCGACCGTCTTGTAGGCGGCGGTGCCGGCCTCGTCCTGCGACGTGTGGGCGCCCAGCCAGAAGAAGATGTCATGGCCCAGGTGCTCGTTCTCGCCTTCGCCGACCTTGTAAGTGTACAGGACGATAAAACTGTCACCGTCGAGAAACTGGCCGTACTTGTCCTTTGGCCACGGGACGACCTCAAACTCCTCAATGCGCCAGATGTACAGCCCGGGGTTGATGCCTACGTTGCCATCGTTCCAGGCCGGCTCGGTGGTGGCGCTCTTGTACTTGACCTGGTGGTCTATCTCGCTGCCGATGAGCTCGACATTGCTGTCCTTGATGTCGTATTCCTTGGGGTGGACGAGGCCTTCGTGTGGAGCCATCTTGGTTGGATGTGGAATGCTGGTAATTACTTAAGTATGTTGAGAACTTGAGACAAGCGACCACTCTGAATTGAGGTGGGAGGTATGGTTTATCAGGGTGTGGTTGGTACCTAGGCAAGAATAAGCTTCCCAAGACGAAGCTGTCCGTCTATCTATAAGCACCTGCATGCGAGCTGAGGTTGAAACAGGCCTCCAGCTCCCTGGCCACAAAGGACGTCATGTCCCAGGGGACTCAGGGTCCTCCTGTGGGGAATGCGGGGGCCGTCGGTGAGCTTCCAGACGCCTTATTGGGCAGCCCACCGAGGCTCAGTGCCAAGATGCTGAGCCTAGGTACCGCCCTGACAGCGGTGATCAGATGGATTGCGCATGGGTGGATCTATTTCCAGCAGACCTTGGACAAGCTCGTTCGTTGCACAGACACCTGTTCTTTGGGGTCCGAAAGAGTCCGAGCAACAGACTAACTCGGCACGGTACCACCAATAGCCTGCCCAACACAGTCAAGCCCAACCTATCTCGCGATCAGGGGCTCTGTGCTCCCTGCAGAATGCCAGAGCGAGGCAATCATAACAGTCCCAGCAGAAGAAAGCGAAAACACATCAGTTCACGTTGGCTGCAGACCCATACAAGTACTAGATACGGATACTTCCACTAAATGTTACTATAGAAATGAATAGAATGCGGAACAGTCAGTCACTTTCAGGGGCAAGATAGCCTGTACAACGAAGCATCCTCATATCAATGATGGCTGTCGGCTGTGGTTTGAATTAAAGAGAAAAGCAACCCCGTCAGCCACGTGGTCTTCGATGTGCATACATGATGGTCAGACCGGGGACCAAATCGGATAATACCCCACAAGTCATCCCCATCCCCTACAGACCTTTCTTTCTAGTCACATAAATCTGAGGGGGCGGCATTTGTCTTTCATCTATCGCGTGAGAGGTCTTTGAACGTTGACCATTGTCTGATATGAAGGCACCGTATATGGCTTCGGACGTAGACGGAATAGAAGCGAAACCACCTGGGCAGACAGGTATTGTGTGGGACGGATCTTATCGACCTGATTTCCAGCTTTGTGCTCGTATGCAAATGTCCTTTGCGATAAACACAAAGAAAGAAAACTGTCAGGCAGAGGGTTTCGTGGCTAAAACAAAGGGCATTGCTATTTGATCCAAACTCAGTCACAATTTTACCGTTTCTTTATTCCGAACAATCCAATTGTATCCTCTGCCCAGTCTTGACACGGTATGCCCCAACGGCCAAGAGTAATAGGGAGGGCATTCCGCCTATAGCAAGAAAGCTTGCAGATTTGTGTACTCACAACTACACGACTTGCATCTAACCTCGTGCCTCTCCTGGCTCTAAGTTCTAATCAGCTTATGATCCGAACAATTCTGATCTTGAATGATTGCGTGAGTAGATAAAGCATAAGCATATCTCAAATGTTCACTTGAGCGTATCACACTAATGAAAGAGTACTATGGCACATTGTTGCGTGAACAAAGGCCTGAAGAGCCTCAGAACGACCGTCAGTCAGCAGAAACGCTATAAAACAGCTAAATGTTGCACATGGTATCTGAGACATGATCAACCAACAGGACACTGCGTCGGTCGATACTCACAACATTCACAATGTGTGTCCTACTTGATTTAATCCTCAGACCGCAGAGTCCAAGCTCCATCAGCTTGATCGAGGTGCTCAGCTCTCAACCACCCGATGTGCAAAGACTTGCGTTGGACACACTTGACAGAGCTCTTGACTATGACCCGGGAGTCGTAGAGATGGCCAGGGATGATCCAATTAGTTTTACCCGAACCGTCAGGGAAACGATGGAGCGAGTGGCGGCTGCTGCGTCACCGCCACGAAGCGACCAACAAGCCCCCAGTCAAGATATCCTAGACTTAATTGACAACTTCAGAAGACTTTTGGACAGTCCTCCAGAGGGGAACTCGTCCGCAAGTCAACGAGTACAGAACATCTACCAGACTAATTCCCAGTCAAGAGTTGTTCGTGAACCTCCTTACGATTCTGCATCTCTCACTCGAGATGAGTCAGGGCGTCATTTGACAAGAAGTAATTCTTTGGCCGGCCAGAGCTTCTTACAGGAAACAAGGCGCTGGACTGTCAGCACACCCCAGAGAAGGACCACTGAGTCCCGCTCGAGCTTGTATGGAACCCCGATGGGCATCGACCCTGACGTCTTCCGGAGTCTACCGGACCACTTACAAGCTGAACTGCGTTTTCTCCTGCCCTTAGAGGAGGATCCATTGCCACAACCACCGCAGAGAGCCCCAGCAACTGATGGCCAACCTGCACCCCAGGCCACCCGTCCGACTACCGAGACAACGAACCCGTCAAGACAGGACCCTGCTGACAACCGAGTTGACGAGTGTTCGTGGCCGCGTATCAACGAGTTTCTGCAGTCCAGAACTGGCCCAGTCCCACGTGTCTCATGTGTGTGGTGCCAGGAGGAGGTTATAATCGAAGACGGTGATCTTCAACCCGACAATGGGGAGCGTGAGCCCTCTTTTCAACTACCATGTAGTCACATCGTTGGGCAACGCTGCCTTCACAACTCACTGAATGTGCACCGTGTCAGAGTGACTCGATGCCCATACTGTCGTGCAGAAATCGGGAACGTGTACGACTGATCAATGACCGGACAAAGTCTAGTGCAAACATGTAGAAAAGGTGAGTGATTTGTCCGAATTGACCCCACCTATAAGTAGGCGTACGGTGTTGGGACAGGAGGGTAGCTAGAATTGAAATCATTTCAACTTAATCTTGGTCATATTATCGAGTACTCGTGTGATATACTGTGACAACCGCGGCACAAATGAAAGTGAGATATGAGCTTACCTGTTGGCAAATCTCCTGCCCTTGGTCTGGCATCTCTATGATAAATTCAGGTCATCTATACAATCTGCAGCGTGACAGGTGACATTCCCTGTCTCTTCCTGTTGAGGACTCTGTATTCACTGTATGCAAGGGATACCCCTGCAATGATACCTGACTGGGCGTTAGATGCAAACGAGGTCTGGCCCGGTGAATACCACAGCACTTCGGCGGGCCACGCATGCTGTCATGCTGGCGTGGGCCTGAGCTCTTGGTGTGAATTGCCGCGGGTGAAAGCTGGCCTGTCCTGGGACACGGTTGGCGGACGAAAATGGCCTACTTTCTTCCACCAAGGCTGTCGCTGGAAGGCCCGGGCGAATGGGTAACTGCTTTGTGCAACAGTGGCGAGACTGACGTTTCTTCTCCATTTTTTCCAGAGCAGTGACCAAATTCGCCCTGCCAATTGGTACCTTCGCACATAAAATGCTCCCGTTACCGGAGTTTACTAGCAAGTGATGTGAGATTTGCTTGCTGTTGATCTCGAAGTAAATTGCTTTTCCTTGATATGTCGAAGCAGCAAGTACGGGAGATTAATGGCAGTGAAAATTCGTGAACTCGGGGAGAGAGATATTAATGTCTTGAATATTCCTCCGCCCCCTCAGGATTCTTTGCCAGGGTTGACTCATGTCGAGCGGGTGATCAGCAGGCCCAGGACGTTTCATGCCAGGATTAGGGGTGTCGTTTATATGGCAAACCTGCCAATCAACTAGGCGTTCGTCCAAACAAATTAGCCGCGGCTGAGCCGCCACCCGACAGCATCGGGATCTAATCGAATCTCGAACCCTATCGCCTGCATGGTTATGCAGGAGATAGATACTTGGGTATTAATTAGAGATTAAAGGGGATGTATGTAGGTTACACACAACACAACCGGCCTGGCCAAGGTCTTCGGCACTCAGGAGAGCCAAGACCAAATCTGGACCCACAGAAGCATCATTGACATATAGACTTGAATTTAAACAATCTTTCCGATCTTTAACTATCACCGCTGCATCGGTATCTGGCAGACCGTTCTGACCGCTTCGATTCACTCCTTTTCGCAGCGTCCAGAGGACCTTTTGACTTTCGCTTCTATTAACTCACTTCAGTCGATCATTTCACACCAGAATTGCAGGCCCAATATGCAGTCTTTCATGAAAATTGCCCTTGTTGGGCTTCTTGTGACAGCCACCGATGCCCGCCGATGCAAGCATCGCCACTCTCACCACAGATTCCCGACTGCATTGCCGACAGACGCGTCGTTGACGGCGGTCAGTCCCGAGAGTCCCACCGTCGGCTTACCTTCTTCATCTGCCGATGCAGTTACACCTTCGGCGCCCGTGATCACCACCACCGTCGTCGAGTCGCCTGCTCCCAGTGAGCCAGTTGCTGAGGAACCGACGCCTGTTCCTGAGCCCACTTCTGTACAGGAGTCTACGTCTGTTCAGGAGACCACCTCTGTCCAGCAGACCACCTCTGTCCAAGAGACCACGCCTATTCAGGAACCCGCTCCCACTTCATCGACGGCTGTCGCTGAGCCGTCCTCCACCTCCTCCGCCGCGGTCGAGCCCACTTCTGCCTCGGCGGTGGAGCCGGCCTCCACCCCCGTCATCAACGCTCCTGCATCGGCAGACATGTGTGGCGAGAACCAGAAGACTTTACTCGACGAATGGGGACTTCTGGTCTCCAACGGCCGCGTCGTCGAGTCGGCCGTGGAGGGCACAGTGTGCACAACCTACAACGACGTAGTGACGCTGGCCGATGGACAGATCGGTGTCAAGTTCACGGCCGATGCTAACCTTGTTTTCGACGAAGCCACGATGAACGACAATAAGTTCTACTCCAACGTCGCCGTGACCAAAAATGTCGACGAGAAGCTTGGCGACATTGCGTCGATCCCATCTTCGTACACCTGGTCAAGGACTAACACATCCGATTTCAGAGGTAAGTCATGGATGGCACAATACGACTAGATATCAAGCATCTCAGGCTAACAAACGTACAGGCAATGTCTGTCTCGACCTGGTCTTGGCCCCTGAGGCCCATGACTGGACATCAGCCGCAACCAAGGAGTTCCAGATGTGGTTACACTGGCAGGGCAACCAGCAGCCTCTCGCGTGGTATAATGGCACCAAGGCGACCTTCAACCTGTGGGGCCAAAGCTGGGACATGTACCAGGGTGTCAACTACAACCTCGCTGGGGGTGAGGGTGTTGAGTTGACCACCATCCTTCCGACAGCCGGGGATCTAGGCGCAGCGGGCACCTGGTCTGGCGACCTCAAGGACTGGCTCGTGGAGATGGTGAACCAGGGCATTGTCACAAACGACTACTACGTCAACGTGGCCAATGCCGGCACCGAGCAGTTCTATGGTGACTCCATTCTCGAGTCTACGGTTTCCATGGAAATCAACCTCAATTAGAGACGGCTTCATGGAGTGGACTGCAGGTGTGATCAAGGATGAAAATGCACAAACGCGTGCAAGATACCATTTTCTTTGCACATATTTAGCCAAGGTTTACAAAAGCCCTGTGTGGCCATCACAATTCTGCAACCCCATTTCGCTGGCTCTGATCCGTGCTTCCCGAGGTCGTGAAATGTATAAAGGCTCGCTGTGATTCAATGTAGAATGCTAGAGGTGGCTATGAATCGTACCTGTTAGTTGGCTTGAACTCAGGTGAGCAGTTCGGCGGTTCCGTGGCAAGATGGTTGGAAACAAACTAATCAATGCATTCGGTTGGGTGCTTGCGAAAGTCTTGAATCAGAGCATTGTTAAGAGCTCATCAACGTGATTACGGCCCTCCCATACGCTCCTGTTCTAACTCTATGTGGTTTCGCTTCTATTCCGCATACGTCCGAGAACATACATGGCGCCTTCATTTGGTTTCATTTTTAATCCCCATACATATAAAATGTATTTGGCGCCTTCACATAGTGGTAAACGCTCAAGACCCAGCGCTTAAAAAGCATATGATATCGATAAAAGTGGTTAAAATATGATATAACTCTATGTAAATCAGTACATAAACAGATGCAAATGAAGAGAACGGATATTCGCACCCGCCAAAACGGCTGGTACACCCAAAGATGTACCCCCAGTGCGCCAACGTTAATCTGCACCACCAATTCGCCATACATAACAGAAAGTTACACTCATTAACTACACACTTCCTCATAAATCCTTAATTCCTCACCCTCCCATCGTGGCTTCTGGTCTGGTGGTTTGCTACTTCTTGCCTTATCGTCGCCTAGGGCGCTCTGGCGAGTCCCCGAGCACCTGAATCTCCTCCTGGGTCTCCTTCTCGTTGCCTACGTTAAGGTTGTAGGTGGGAGGGTGTTTGGTGGGAGGGTGTTTGGTGGGAGGGTGTTTGGTGGGCGGGTGGTTGAGGCTACAAAAAGCACTCTGGGTGGGTGGTTAAAGTAACGTTGAATGGAGCCCTCTGATTGGTTGCAGCCCCTATGGGGCCCCTTGTGGCCAACTTGTACGGGTGTACCAGCCGTTTTGGCGGGTGCGAATATCCGTTCTCCAAATGAATGGCTCAAGGCACGGTGGCCAAGTTTTGGACAAGCTCCATGATAGATATGAATGCGAAAGACAATATCAATGGAATGTAAGAGGGCACATCAGCAACGTCTAAGCCCGGCGAAAGAACTCTAAAGACCACCCAGGCCGGCCCACTGGCTAGGCACCTTTCTTTTTCCCCTCCTCGTCGAAGCCCTAGAGTACTCCTTCACGAGTTCCTGATACCCTTTCTACAAAAACTCATGTGGGAACGGCCCGGAGAGTTCCACAATCTCTGCCAGGTGCTGCCGGACCTCATAGTTGCCATCGGGTGGGACTCACCCCAAACACATCTGCACGTTGCGGTATACTTCTACTAGGACCAAAACGCCGAGGTTCCACAGGTAGGCCTCAACATGCCAGGGCGCCCCGATCAGGACGTCTGGGGTGACACAGCGCTCCTCTTTCTTTTCTCTCATTGGTGAATATCACGTGAATTTTACGAGCCATGCTTCTAGCTATTTATTGTGTTCCAGTGTCCACCATCATTCTGCAAGGCTTGAATTGTGGCCCTAGGGACTTGTGCTCTGAAAAGGGTACAGTCTAGATGTTGCATTATGGCTCCGTCACCGGTTACAGAAGATTATTACGCGATCCTCGAAGTGGAACAGACTGCCAGGCCCGAGCTGATCACCAAATCCTACAAACGATTAGCGCTGAAGCTCCATCCAGACCGGAACCCCAAACGCAATGCTACCGAAGCTTTCCAAATGGTGTGTCAAGTTCGGACCTCACCTTATCCGTCATGATTGTCTACTTAAGTACTATGCAATGCTCATGATGCTGATGTCTTCAAGCTTGGACAAGCCTACGAGACATTGAAGGACGAAAACACGCGCCGAGCATACGATCTCCTCTATCCCTCCATAATAGCAAGTCGCAACTCTTCTCAAAGCAGCCAAACACCCCACTCGCCTACCGCTTCCGCATCGCAATCAGATGCAGTCGACGCGACGCAAATTGCCGCGCTCCGAAAGTCGAAGCAAGAACGTGCTGCACGATGGCGGTCCAAGAAGGGCATCCTTGATGCGTCGATTTTTGAAATGCAGAGAGCTATTCGGCGGCTACAGCAGGAAATCAAGAACCTGGAGAGCATTCTGGCTGCTGAGGATGCGGCTGAGAGACAGAAGAATAGTTGGACAACATGGCTGCTGTCACCCATATACAAAAAGAGAGAAGATAGTGAAGAGGAGAAGGCATGTAAGGATAGAAAGAGACAGGAAAGGAGAATCGAAAAAGATATGAAGGAGCGGCGACTGTCTATGAAGTCGGCGGAAATGAAGACAGAGCAAACTCTACTGAGAATGGCGAAGGAGGAGGTCGATGCTGCAGACCTCAGCGATGACAGGAAGATACAAGTCATTCAGAGTAGGATGTCTTTCAGGGAAGACCGGCGGAGGCAAGAGAGGGAGAAGGCATATATGGAGAGAATGGCAAATGAACGGAGACAGCAGCAGGAAACTAAGAAAAGAGAGGAGGAAGCGGCAGAGGCTTTGAGGAAAAAACAGGCGGAGGCGCGAGCAGCAGAACAGAGACGATATGAGGAAGCAGAGCGGCAGAGGATCATCGAAGAAAATTTAAGAAGAAACCGGCAACACACCACATATTCCGACTTCGCCAGGGGAAGCACAGCAGCCTGCCACCATGGCGGCTGGTGGGCAAAAGTTCAAGGCCGTACAGCATGCCCAAAGTGCCAGGAGAGTTGGACTTATCTGCTGCAGTGTCCAAGCTGTGAGATGAAAGCATGCCCGAGGTGTCAAGCTGCAATACGACCGAGAAGGAATCGAGGAGGACCGCGAGTCAGGATACCGAGCCCGAATGTTGGTTTCGACGACTTCTGGTAACTTGAGCCTGTGGCAGGAAATTGGAAAGAATGTAAATCAAAATTATGACAGCAAATCCGTTCTCGCACAATCTACTGCCTGAATCGTCCCACAAAATAGGTAACCGGACACGTCGCCCATGAAAAGTGGTCTAGTAGAAAGTTCCGTTCAATGTGCGGCTCGATTGATCATAGACCCATCACTCTACAGTAGAAAGCAGCCCTTGAGATCTTTCCGCGGCTTTTTACGCCTCAGTTACACCAAACTACAAATGTCACTCAAGACACGATATCAATAGATCCGTATTTACAAGCCAAGTAGCCGATAAAGTTTCTGAATCGACTAAATGAGCGACCGGGAACTGAAAGCCGTCGATCTTTAACTTTCGGGACACGTACTGTATTCTCTCTGCACTGTTATTAGCACTGTTTTTTTTTGGGGGGGGGGGGTTAAAAATGCCGAGTCTTGCGTGTTTACCACTGTGTGAAGGCGCCACATACGTTTTATATGTATGGGGATTAAACTCCTCACACAGGCAATCCAATCAACCATTTTGCTGCAACAGGAGGCGAGACGGCTAGCCACACGCTCTCCCATTCGGCCAAAGATCAGAATAACCAATCTGATGATTGGCTATTCCTAGCAGTATATAAGTGCCGTACAGTCCCTTTTGCTTGCTTTTTCTCTCACTGCTGTTAACTGTAGAACTTCCACGGTATTGAAATCTCTCTTCAAATCTAACCAGGATCCTTTCGAAGTGCTTATCTTGAGACCTGCCTCAGCCACCAAAGCATCCGCATTGAATTCATAAACCCCTTGCTGTACACATGTGCACTTATTCCGCTGCGCAAGCCGAGAGAAGACTGGTCTTGACAAGAAATTTGTACGTGCTTCAGTTAAATGCACTTCAATACATGAGTAAGTGAATTCCTATATTCAAATCTCCACTGATCAAGCGTTGAGGATCTGGTTTTTAGGTGGCCTTCTTCCATTATGTAGTCCCGAAGGAAGCAAGACATGGCATGGTCATGATAACCATTTGACTATGAAGTTTCAACACCGCGACGGAAGTCATATAGTCACCCTACACATTGACAGGGATGGAGATACAATCTATTCCATTTGAAGTATCACCTGAATTATTAGGAAGGGAGGGATATGCCGGGCAGGGGACAGCAGGACTTGTTCCAACAGTGTGGACCGTGCAACTTTACCAGCCATCGGAGGGTTATCAATGAGATCTATTTATATGGGAAACTGTCTCCATTATTTCATGGGATAGGTACCTAGGTATTGCACGGTAATAAGCATGCATTTGGTGTTCAGTGATTATCATTGGCATAGATCTCGGGCAGTGTACGCTATGGGTACGTCCAGAGTCACCTGAATCGGCGCGTCAAGTACCTAGGTATCCAAACCCGTCTCAATTCATAGTACGATATTTCGGGACCCAAACTGTTGCCGTGTTACAAAGAGCCAAGCACGATCACACTAACATCCTTCCCCTCCTTGAATTTGCCCCGGATCCTCTCGCCAAGCTCACCCTCCGGGCACTTGACGTCGATCTTCTCCTGGCCGGTGGCGACGTCAAACAGCGTGAGCCAGCCCTCGTGCCCGACGTTGAGCAGCATGTGGCTCGTCTTCTTGACGACCGGCACCTCCATGGTGTGCCCCGCGGGCCCGCCGCCTTCGTATTTCTTGCCCGTGAAGACGTCGACGCCCGTGACGACAACCTTGGCGTGGCCGTGCTTGCCCGGCTTGGACTTGGCGATGCTGGTGATCTTGCACGGGTGGCCGTCGAGGACAACGTGGCCGCCCTGCTTGAGGTGGTTGGCTTGGACGGGGAAGGTAGGGGCTGCGCCGGCGTTGGCGGCCGCGAAGTCGTAATCGGCGTTTTCGTTGGTTTGAGAAGCCATTTTTGTTGATGTTTTTGTTGCTGTCTTTCCTCTGACGTGGTGGCAAAACAATATGGAAGTTCTGACTGGGGAGTTCAGATTTTCTGAGGGCACGGGAATAGCTTCAAGAGCGAAAGGCAATGACACCGCGGAGGATGAGTGCTGTCGCAAGGCTGTTTGACAAGCGCATTTGAGGTCTCCAGTTGCAAGCTGAGATCTCTCAGGCGAGGCTGTGTTCTGTGATTGGCAAGAAACAAGTCCAAGCTGCTGGAAGGTGCGAGCACTGGAGGACATTTGTACTGGCCTGTTGTGAAAACAAGTGTGGGCCCAGCACAGGCACCAGTTTGCACTTCTTGCCGGTGAGTCAGGCCGGACACCAGAAAAGTTGTACCAGCTTCAGCAGTAGGACATCTCTAGCACCTGGCTTGTCAGCGAGTAAATTACCCAGCAAGGCGTCCAAGTTAGGCTGCATCTTTGTGGAGTCTCCACATGGCCTGTGTTGAGACCTGCCTGTCTCACGTCAGATCCTGGGGGAAGTGGTATTGCACTGAGGCTCAAAAGTCAAAAATCCTTTTGCAAAGTATGTTCTTTTGGACTCCGTACAATTTTGTGTCCTGTGATTAAAGTTGGGTAATCTCCACCTCGATCTAACAGTGAAGGAAAGGGTCACTATCTAATCTTCATGATCCGCAGCACATTGTCCCTGGGAAACCAGGATCACACATGTGTGCTCACAATAGTAGAGCGAAGTCAATGGGGTATGTTTGCCAAGAAGACTCCCTCAGATCTCCAACACGCTTTAGTACTCGACATCGATGTCACCCTCCTCGCCCATGGAGTCGGTAGCAACCTCCTCGTAATCACGCTCAAGAGCAGCCAGATCCTCCCGAGCCTCAGAGAATTCACCTTCCTCCATACCCTCACCGACGTACCAGTGGACGAACGCGCGCTTGGAGTACATGAGATCGAACTTCTGGGAAAGAGCAGACCAAGCCTCAGCAATGGCAGTTGTGTTGGAGAGCATGCAACTGAAGCATGTCGTTAGCAGCAGTCATCGTGGGGCGAGTTTGAGAGTACTTACACAGCACGGTCAACCTTGGCGAGATCACCGTTGGGCACCTGCTCAGGGGGCTGGAAGCAGATACCAAGCTTGAAACCGGTAGGGCACCAGTCGACAAACTGGATGGTGCGCTTGGTCTTGAGCGTGGCCACGGCACCGTGGGCATCCTTGGGCACAACGTCGCCACGGTACAGCAGGCAGGTAGCCATGTACTTGCCGTTCCTGGGGTCACACTTGACCATCTGGTTGTAAGGCTCGAAGCAGGACATGGTCATCTCCTGGACCGAGTTGGACTCGTGGGCAGCCTTGGCGGCAGAGATGACGGGCGCGTAGGCGACCAGAGGGAAGTGGATACGCGGGTATGGCACAAGGTTGGTCTGGAACTCGTTCAAGTCGACGTTCAGGGAGCCATCGAAACGCAGGGAAGCGGTGATGGAAGAGACAACTGTGGCCGCATTAGCATCCTACAACTATGGGTTCTGGAATGCGCGAGACGAACCCTGAGCAATCAAGCGGTTCAGGTTGATGTAGTTGGGGCGCTCGAGCCCGAGGTTGCGGCGGCAAATGTCGTAGATGGCCTCGTTGTCGACCATGAAGGAGCAGTCGGCGTGCTCCAGGGTGGTGTGGGTTGTCAGGATCGAGTTGTAGGGCTCAACGACGGCAACCGAGGTCTGAGGAGCAGGGTAGACGCAGAACTCCAGCTTGCTCTTCTTGCCGTAGTCGACGGACAGACGCTCCATGAGGAGAGCGCCGAAACCAGAGCCGGTACCACCACCGAAAGAGTGGAAGACCAGGAAGCCCTGGAGACCGGCGCAGGCATCGGCAACGCGGCGGATCTTGTCGAGGACACCGTCGATGAGCTCCTTGCCAACGGTGTAGTGGCCACGAGCATAGTTGTTGGAGGCATCCTCCTTGCCAGTGATCATGTGCTCGGGGTGGAAGAGGCTTCGGTATGGGCCGGTGCGGACCTCGTCGACGACGTTGGGCTCAAGATCGCAGTAGATTGTTCGCGGGACATACTTGCCCTGGCCTGTGTTCACCCAGTGTCAGAGAAAAATCCGCGGACGGGCTGGAATTACGTGCAAGTCCCACGTACCTGTCTCGGAGAAGAAAGTGCTGAAGCCCTGGTCGGGGTCGGCGGCCTTGCGCTCGTCGGTCAGGTATCCATCGGGCTGCACAGAGATAACGCGTCAGTTGGGCTCAAGATAATAATTTCGGTCGGATAAGGGTTCAACGTACCTGAATACCATGCTCGAGACAGTAGAGCTAGATTTCGGGGGGTCATGTCAGTATTGCTCGTGGTGGTGGTCGGTCTGCCGATGGCACGAGTGTCTCGGAGGGCGGGGGTGATTTTTTGGAGGCGATTTGTTGACATGTTGACCGGGCGGCCGCGCGAGTCGACGAGATGAGTGCAAAACTTACCTCCCAGCACGAGTTGGCGATCTGGCAACCAGCCTGGCCGACTGAAACACAAGAGTCAGTACAAACAACGGGGATACAGGCGGTCGGGAGTGCATCTGAGGGGGTTGACGGGAGTGGTCGGGGGCATTGCGGTCAAGGAAGGACGCGTTTCGGTCGGGGTCAGGAGAGGGGAGGGCAGCGAAGGGTTCTCATACCGTTGACGCTGATGATCTCACGCATTGTCGCGACTGTTGAGCAAAGACAATAGTTGCGAATACGGTGAAACAAGAAAGAGGAGCAGGGGACAGCCGACAAGAACGAGGATTGATCTGGCGACGGCGGGTGGTGGAGGAGGACGGTTGGGTGGTGGGTGGTGGGTTGTGGGTGGTGTAGCTCGAGACAGGCAGGGCGAGGCCAGGTTGGTGTTGAAAGTTGCAAGGTTTCGGGGCGATGTGGATGTGGGAATTGCTTGCTGGGGTCGTGCACCCTTGCCCACGCCTGCCAATGGCCCCACGCAGCTGGGGACAGAGAGAGAGCCTGAAAGGTGGGTTCTGCTGTTGGTTGCTACTGCTGCACCTGTGCACACAACTGCCACAGCTGCACCCTGCTGGCTGCACCGCTGCAGCAATTCACCCCAGGACCCCCGGCCCCCCTGTCAGCTCTAGCTTTAGTGGGGTGAAATTTTGCAGTCTTGCCTGTGTCCCCAAGTCCGCAGTCCGTCGTCTCATCTCACCTCGTGCTCTCTCTCTCGGCAGGGCAGCGCAGGGGTAAGTGGTCCAAGGTGGCCCCAATCTCGCTCTTGCCATTTGTTGATTTGACACGCCCCTTTTTGGGAAGGCGCGTTCTGTTGGCCGTTGCTCCCCACCGCCCGGCTGCACCACGGCTTCCCATTGGCTGGAAACGGGCAGAGCCAGACCGTGAGGGCGCCAGTTTATGATCTGTGCAACCAAAACGGCTTGGCTCGCTGTGGACGATGTTGCGCTGTCAAATGATGGACCGTTCGGAGTACGGTTCACTACCGACTGGATCCAGATCATCATCATGCCTGCGTTGCATTATTAATTCCCCAGGCAGTCACGCTGAAGGATAACCCGATCTCCCTGTTCAGACTGCCGCCAGATATGCTGGTATGACTGACAATCTGACGTCTTGTTTGCCGTGATGGACCCCGGCCACTACCCATGCCCGGCTGCTCGCTTTTCTACGGAGTAGTGATCGAGTAGCCGAGTAGCCCAAACGGTAGCTTCAGGGTCTCCCCATTTCCAGTAATCCGTACGTATTTATTGTTCCCTGGACTGGAACCCACCTCTTGTCCCCAAGATGCAATGTGGGTCCTTGCCATCAGGAGCCAGGTGTCTCTCCGTGACGGCCACTCCGTACCGCCACTCTGTACAGCCACTCTGCATTCGACAGTTGCCTCTGAGTCAATCTTGAAAGGGAGGACACCAGATCAGTACTCTCGGACCAAGACTTTCTCGGCTCCGGGTCCTCGCATCATCTTTTCCCCTTGCTGCAACCACTCTGGCCCCTATTCTCACAAATCTGTGTTATCAGGTGGTTTCGTTTCTAATTCCCATATATATAAAAAGCATATAGCGCCTTCATATCGTAGTAAACGCTTAAGACCCAGCGTTTAAAAGAATACAGTGCCAATAACAGTGCAGAGAGAATACAGTATGCTATCGATTTAAAAGCGTTGCTACCATACGAGTGAAGCTACCAAATCCTCACATAAAAGGGCATGGCTTGGAAGACCTGCCAGTGACTCTCATCATTCTCACGTTACTCATCGTCTGAATTATACACGTAACAACTACTAGTAGAGCATCTCTACTACCACTTATATTATAGCCCGTCTAGAATCGCCCACCTTGCCCCAGCTGAAAGAGAAATAAGGGGAACTACCCTTCCCTAAGCCCTTTAAGGGACACTGCGCCGCATTAAACGAGATACCAGCGCGAGGAATGCCAGTAGCCCCTCTTGATACCAAGCGTAGATTGCTGAAATAATGACAACACAAACGGGCCCGAGGCCAGCACGGCATATTGCACTTGAGCCGGTATACACACCTAGGCATTTAATAAATAATCACTTTCAATTGACTCATAACATAGTTTCAAAGCTCGATGGTGACAACTCGTAAGCAGAGAGAACTTGATCCTTGGACTTAATAGAATGCATGAGGGTCCGACTATGTAGGGAATAGATTGTCAGTGTATATAATGCTTTGCGGAAACTTGGTCACTGTGGGAATAGAGGCAATCGCAACCAGTAGATAGTTTGGGTTATATGACCCTAGTTGGTAGACTATAGTGAGGGACTTATTGTCAGCCCTTTAAGCCTAGCTTCCTCCCTTTTATATAATCTAATTTAACTAACTAAACTACTTTTTATATATATATATATAATAATTTATATTAATATTAATTAGTAGTTATTTTAAGTAATTATAAATAGTAAAATATAAAGAAATAATTAATTATTATAATAAATAAAATAATTATATTAATATTATAAAAATAATTAATATTAATATTAATCTATTAATTAAAACTATAATAATTATAATAAAAATATAATAATAATTAATATTAATATTAATTTATTAATTAAAAATATATAATAAGTTATATATATTTATTATATTTTAAAAAACTTTAATAATCTTTAAAGATTTAAAATTTATTTTTAACTTTTATTAATAACTCTTTATTTATACTTTTAATAAATATTTTAAAAAGTATAGTAATTTTAAAAATTTAAAATCTATAATCTTCTTTTATTAAATAACTTTATTAATATTTAAAATAATAACTTAAATAAAAGTATAACTTATATAATTTATAAATTATTTTATTAAATAATTAACTTTAATAAATAAATTAATATTAAATATTAAGTTTAACTTTATTTAATCTTCCCTCTTATTTATATATTTATTAAACTTTATTATTATAAAAAAGTTAAAATATATTATATTTACCTTTATACTATTAAATAAAATATAATTATACTTTATTAATATATTTATAATAATAACTCTTCTCTCTTATACTCTTTTCTACTCTTTCTCTCTCTATACTTACTATACTTTTAATAATACTATTATTACTAAATCCTATTATTTAAAAATAAATAAATTAATAATTAAAATTAATTTTAATATTTATTAAAAAATAAGTTTTTATTCTAATTATAATTATATTAAGTATATCTTTATTAAATTAATAAAAGTTAAAAAAACTCTTAAAGTTAAATTAAATTATTCTTTTAATATTATTTTAATTTATAACCTTTAAATTATAAATATATTAAAAACTTAATATTTATTTAAGATTTATTATTTTTAATTTAATTATTATATTATAATAATCTTTAAAGTAATATTTAATATATAACTATTTAATTTATTAATTATTATTTTAAATATTTTTAATTATTATATATAATTTATTAAATATATATATACTCTATTATATTCTATTTATCTTCTTTTATATTATTATTTATTTTTATTTTATATTATATAAAGCCTTAATATAAATTATTATTATAACTCTATTTTTAATTTTATTTAAAATAATATATTTTTAATTATATTAATATTAAAACCTACTTTTAATTAATTAAATAATAAAACCTAATAAAAAGTCTTTTAAGGAATACTTTAATATATAAATTATATATTATATAAAAGGATATATTAACTTAAATATTAAAAATCTTTTATAAATTTAAATTTAATTTTAATAATTAAAATAAAAATATATTTAATAAAACTAATAAAAACTATTTAAAAAAATAAAAATTATATAAATAAAAATATTTATATTAAATATTATTAAACCCTAAATATTATTATATTTAATAACTTTAAAGGTACTTTATTAATTATTCTACTTTTAAAAAAATTTATTAATAAAAATAAATAAATAATCTATATTAATAAAATTATTTATAATTTAAATTATACTAAAATTATAAATATATATAACTTTATAAAACTTAAATAAAAATAAAAATATACCTTTTATTAGATTTTTAAAGTTATTAAGTCTACTTTTAAAACCTTTTAAACCTTTTAATTCTTTTAAACCTTTAAGTTTATTAAATCCCTTAAAACTATTTAATAATAATAGAAAAAAAGAACTATTAAAGCCTTTAAATCCTTTAAAACTATCTAATAATAGAAATAATAAAAAACTTTTAGGATTTTTAAAACCTTTAAAACCTCCTATTAATAATAAAAATAATAAAAGTTAAAGCCCTTAAAATAAAAAAGTAATATAACCTATATTATATACTTTTATTATAAAAATAAAAATAATTTAATTAATATTAATATTATTATTAATTTTAATAAAATATATAAAATAAAAATATATATATTAAAACTTATATAATATTTTTAATAATAAAATTTAAATTTTCTTTATTATTTATAAGAATATAAATATTAATATAATATAATTTAAATTAATATTTTTATATCCTTAAAGGAAGAATAAAATATATTATATATAAAATATTATATATATAAATTTATTTTAAATTATATATTAAAATTAAAAATTTATTTTAATAATTATATTAATTATTAAAATTATTATATAAATTAAAATATATTTACTTTTATAAAACTTTAATAAAAGAACTTTAATAAAAATTAATTATAAGTTTTATAATTATTATTTAATAAATTAAATATTTATAATTAAATTTTAAATATTATAAATATAATAATTTATAATATAAAATAATATATTTTAAATAATAAAGAAAGTATTAAAGTTTATTATAGCTTTATTTAATCCTTTTAATTTATAAAATAACTTTATATAAACTTATATATTACTTTTAAATATATAAAAGTTAATAACTTAATAATTATTTAATATTCTTTATAAAAATTATAATTATAATAATAAAGATTAATTTTTTTAATTAATATTATTATAAAGAGTATACTAACTATAATAGTAATTTAAACTATTTATATAATAGCTTTTATAATAAAAAAACTTTTATAAAACTTTAATATATATATAAATAATTTTAATAATAATAATAGATTTTTAATTATAATAAATTTAATAATTATAATAATAATTATAATAATTATTTATTTAAATATAATAACTAATTTAATAAAGGAATTTTTATTAAAAGTATTATTTTATATATAATTAGAAAGGTTATTAATTAATAAAATATACTTTAAAGGAATAATAATATATTTATATAATACTTTAATATTTAAATAAATAAAGAAAAGGAATTAATAAATTTAAATTATATAGTATTTATTATTAATATAGAAGGTTTATATATTAATAATAATAAAAATAAAAATAGAGTTTTTAATTAATTTATAGAAAATAATTAAATATAATATTTTTAAAGTTAAAGTTTTAATTATAAAAATATAATATTTTTAATAAATTAAACTTTTTTATTTTATTAATCTAATATTTAATAGAAAATTAAGTATAAACTATTTATTATTTTTAATTCTACTATTAAACTAAAAGTAAATAGTTAAAGTTTTAAAAATAAAATATAATATATCTTTTAAAGATTAACTTAATTAAATTTATTATATAAAACTTTTATAATAACTTTATAATTATTTATAATACTATTTATTATTAAAAATACCTTCTTATATTAATATATTAAGTTATATTTAATTAATTTAGGTTAATATTATTAATCTATTAAAAATTAAAACTATTATAAACTATAAGCTAATTTTAATACTATTAAGTACTA